GGGGGGGGGGGGCCAACCCCATCGAGCGGGGCCGCCAGTACGGGCCAAGGGGGCGCCCCCCCGGGGGTGGCCCCCCCCCTTTGAGGGACATCCCAGGGGGTGAGGCGACCGCATTCCCTTCATTGGCCACCTTTTGGCCCAAGGGGCAAAGTTACTCCATGGGCAGATCTGTTCGGAGATTCGGGGGCGTGCGGTCCGTGCAGGAGGTTGTTTATTCGCAGCCGGCCTGCTTGACGGCGCCATCCCCACGGTCACGGGCAAGACCCCTCGCCGGAGAACGTGGCCTCGGTGGCCGTCCCTGCCCGCCGACCCAGGTCATCATCCGCCCGCTCGACAACCCCATCAAGCCGACGAGCCATCTGCAGATTCTGCGCGGCAACCTGGCCCCCGGCGGCGCCGTCGCCAAGATCACCGGCAAGGAGGGCACGCGCTTCTCGGGCAAGGCCCTCGTCTTCGACAAGGAGTACCAGCTCAACGACGCCCTGAACCAGGGCCAGATTCCCCGCGGCGAGAACATCGTCATCGTCGTCCGCTACGAGGGCCCCAAGGGCGGGCCCGGCATGCCCGAGCAACTCAAGGCGAGCGCCGCCCTGATGGGTGCGAAGCTCACCAATGTGGCCCTGATCACCGATGGTCGGTACTCGGGCGCGAGCCATGGCTTCATCGTCGGCCATATTGTCCCCGAGGCCGCGGTGGGTGGCCCCATTGCGGTCGTCCGCAGCGGTGATGTGATCACGATTAATGCGGAAACCAACGAGATCACCATGGATGTCTCGGACGAAGAGATCCAGCAGCGTCTGAAGGAGTGGAAGCCCCCAGCACCTCATGTCACGCGGGGCGTGTTGGCCAAGTATGCCCGGTTGGTGGGAGATGCTTCGCACGGTGCCATGACCGACCTGTTTTAGCATCAAGTTCATACAAAATAGTACATAGTATAGAATGTTGCTCACGAATCCTCGTGTAATCATATTATCGTGATTAAGCCCTGTAGTGTACAGTCTAACAGAAAGGTATCTCGATCATAACCCCAAACCTGAACCCTGTTCCAACGCCAGAATCTAAAGCTGCAATGACAAAAGACCACTCTAAAGCGTGGGTGCTCCCTTAAGCCCGACACAGTATCGCACAAACAAAGTATCAATAAAATGCGCATGACGAATTCCGGGCGGCCGGCGCCTCTCAAACTCGTCAAGGGCTTCCTGCACACCGTACCCGCATCGCTCGATCAGGTAACAAACGATCAAGAACCCCGTCCGGTTGAAGCCATAGTGGCAGTGAACACCCACCACCGGTCGCTGGTCGCACCCCGATTTCTCCAGCTTCTCTGTGATTTCGTTCTGGAGGCGATCCACCAGTGCAATAAAATCACGGACTTCATCAGCGCCAGGGGGAATCTTCGACACTGTGGGATGCTTGTGATAGTGGATGCCGCCCTTCTCCAGCGACGCAGGATCGTACACCGGGTTCTCGTAGCTAATATCAATGACGGCGTAGATTTTATCGCGGTATGCCTGCGAAAATAGCACGGGATTGTGCTCCTCGTCCACCTCGCGTAGCATTTTCAGGGCGACAAAAGTATCCGCGATCCGGTCTGAGACGGGCGGTACCTTTTTCCATTTGGCCAAGTTCTTGACGTCCCATTTACCGGATGTGTTCAGATATTTCAGCTGCCACCCGAGATCAAGTCGATGATCAGCATATTGGCGTAAGAAGTCTTGGATGATACCAGCCAGTGTCCGATACGTCGCACGATCATACAGGAGCGCGTGGGAAGCGGGCGCAGGCAAAATGACCGTCTTCACTGTGCGTTCGGACTCGGTCTTGGTCTCCTCGGCAATGGGCTCGACCCCGGACTTCTCCTCGTGGGCCAAAGCATCAGAAACTTTGCTCCCAGAGTCATGGGCATCGGTCGTATTTTCCTGGCCACCCAGGTATTGCAGTAGTTCTCGAAGCTCCTCCGGCTTGTTGACAGTATCGGCACTGCCAGCCACAAGTAACACGGGAGTTTGAACTCCGGCCCAAATCTGTTTGCCAGGGATTCCATCGACCTGAACCCCATTTGAGTCATACGTAGGCAACGTACCCGAGACCATGCGCCTCCAGACTGGGGTCTTGCTTTGCTTGTTATAACGCAATTGAAGGGTCCGGGTATCTGAGTCGGCACATGGACCGACCATTCTGTTGACACTGGCGCTGTTCAAGCCACCACGGCGATCCCACCGCCGCCAGCAGTCAAAAATCCATCCTGGGATTCGAAGGAGACGTTGGACTGAGGTAACTTGCTGGGGAGCGAGGGAGGATGCACGAGGACAGACGGCAATGAGACCAAGAATATGCTTTTTCAAGTCATTTCCGATGGGGGAAGTAGAGGAGGCCATCAAGGCCGAGAGAGAACAGCCTAGACTATGGGCGACCAGGACCACCCCCTGACCGGCTTCTTTGTCGCGGTGTTGTTCAATAGCCGTGGCAAGCAGCTCAGCCAAAGCGTTAACGGTATAGGCATTCCAGGCTTTTGGATCGAACGAGGATAGCCCGCATCCCGGAAGATCGATCCCAAAGCATGGCCCGACATTGGACAGGCTGGTTAGAAGATGCGAAAACTGAGACAATGACCCTCCCAAGCCATGAACAAAAACCAACAGCGGGATTGGTGTGGGCTTGGTGGGGAGTTTGGAAGCTTGAGGATGTTCGCGATAGAAAGTCCGGATGGACGGATAGGTAGCGATGGATGTCGAATAAGACAAATAGGATGAATGTTTCTTCAATAGTCCGGGATCCGTCTCAAAGGCTATTTGAACGTAATCATGATCATCCAGCAATTCATCATGTCAGAACTTCAGACAGAGCTGGTACATACCATCTTCAGGTTGCTCTTTATGATAGGATTCTGTCCCGTGACGCAAGGACCCGGTGCTATCGTAGTCATCGTCCTCATCACCCTCGTCGGATGAGGTGATTGTGCCAGAGGTCTTGGAATCGTTGCTCCGGGCAGTCCGGCGCCGACGTCTTCCTGCCTTCCTGAACCCTTTGCGTTCCAGGAACGAGGATAGAAGGCCGCATCCAACCATAGTGACGACGCAGGTAGTTAGGAAGACGACACCGCTCCAGTTCACCGTTGCATCTTTCTTGAAAGAATAGTAGGATGGTAAAGAGAAGGAATGCTTGGAGAGGAAGGAATTAACCCAGCCTTTGACTTGCAAGGGCAGATCAGGGTTGGAGGATGTCCGAGGGCCATTTGCCCCCATGGCAATCAGAGGACTGCGGTTTTATAGGCTTTCGACTCCGGGCAAATGTAGGACTTGTCCTTGCCCAGCCCGATCAATGGGGGAGGACCCGCCAGACAGGATAGAACGACGAGATCGACCTGTTCTGGAAATGCGAGACTCATTCACGAGATGGAACGGTGAAGTCTGTTTGGGCGGGATTCCAAATAGTGAGGGCGACTGAGCGAGTCTCTGCCCATCAATCTCCTGAGGGTAGAGTCGCAAGGGAGCCGAAGATCTCCAATACTTCAGGGTGTCGGTCTGGGGAGGCAACGGGACCAGTATGGATTGGACCAATGAGTGAGCCGCATCCAACACGTTGTTCAGCCTCTGGAGACGGAAATCTATAGTCGGCGTGAGACTGATCCACCGGTTGCAGCCAAGACCCCAAGCGGCGCCGTAAGGAGGAATAAACGAGGCTCCAGTCGGAGACCTTAATAGAATCGTGCTTCCAGTGGAAGCAGTCACACGTATGTGGGTGGTGGTGATGATGATGATGATGGGCTGACTCACTCCGCGGCTCGGATGGCGATACGAAGAAAAATTCGCAATAGTCCCAGGGAACGGCACTAACGTGGGAGAGATACCACCACGGTTGGTAAGGGACAAAGCGAATGACGTGGATGAAATGTGAAGATGTGGATGAAGAAGGTCGCTTTCTGTTGCGTCTGGTGCGGAATTCCGGGGAAAGCGGCGACTTTTAATTAAGTTGGAATGGAAGGAAATGCCTCGGAGTCTCTGACTCAGCAACAGCCGTCCTTGTTTATCACGTTCACTTGCATCATTCAGTCCTCGATCCATAACATCTATCGCTTTTTAGTCCGAATCTCCCCTCGGAGTCGCAGTATTTGAGAATCATTTCGGACATATGTCGCTCAGAAGTCGCCGTCCCGTCTTCAGACGTGATCATGGATGCGTCGTATGTACCCGTCGTCTGTACATATCCGTCTCTATGCACCCACACGGCGTGCCTCGTCCGCTGCCTGAACCAAGCACGCAACACCTGAATATTCTCTCGCAGGCCAATCAACCGAGAAGGAATAGCGACTTCAGGTCTCATGTGGTATCCCTAATCTATATCTCTAATCCTGACTGCATCGGTAAATGGACGACGGCGCTAGACGACGGTTGAGCGTCCACAGATCCATCTGCGCACTGTCGAATAAGTAGGCTGTTGCGAACAAGTGGCGCTTGTAGTAATTGCGGCGGTTTCTGTCATTCCTTCATGGCTAGACCAGGTGGGACAATGATACACCGCGATAGAGTCTGAGTCGCAGTGATAGGCCACCTGTGCTCGTGCGACCGGTGGACGAGGAACAGCCACTCGTGATGGATCCTGTCACAGGAAGAGGGTTTCAACCGACATTCAGCGTACCTCATTATGGGAACAGCGAAGAAGTTGAGAGGTGATTCTGCACCTCTGTGGTCAATACAAAGTATCTACAAATTACATAAGCAGTAGATGTCAGCGGCCTAGCGCTAACCGCAAAGAGACAACTCTTGCTGCCTGAGGCTGCAACCCGCCTTAGGGTACGGCTAGTCCCGAAGAGGCTAAGCGAAGCCGGCGGCCACACAGCAACCGAGACCAGAGCGCGAGTTGAGTGTGCGTCCGAAATTTCGACCGACTCTCCAACGACGACAACGACGACCCATCCTCACCACCTCGTCCCCCCTTTTCAGCTCCCCTCCGTACACCTTCGATCCGAGGTCACAAGTCGCAAAAATGGGTGGTGTCACCGTTCGCGATGTGGACGTAAGTTGCACCTGTCCTTTTCCATCCCACTTGGGTTCCTGGCAGTCGATCGATATGGAATACATCGGGCATCTGGCTATGGCATCCGGCACGAACGTTCGAATCAGCAGCGGCATCATCGAGGCGACGATAGAACGACGACGATGGGTGTTTTGTGGTGGGATCCGTGGTGTTTTCTGCGACCGCAAATGATGTTCAAGATCTGCGATTTGAAGGCATATGGCGGACAAAAGGACAACGCGAGTGATATGAGGACCGATACGCTCGCCTGGAAGATGCCCGATCAACGCCCACTGCCGGCGACTGCCATGCCAGACGATTTCAATTTTCGTACCACTGCGTGATGTTGCGAATCTGGGCTAACGAGTCTTTCCAAACAGGCGCAGAAGTTCATTGCTGCCTACTCTGCGTTCTTGAAGCGCCAGGGCAAGCTCCCCATTCCCGGTTCGTAACGACTCCTGAAATTGGACCAACGGGCCATACTGACAATCGTAATAGGATGGGTTGACACTGTCAAGACCTCTTGCTCGAACGAGCTCCCTCCCCAGGACGCCGACTGGTACGACTATCCCACCTATCCAGCAAACCCGTGACGACGAGCACGTCAAATCTGACATTCCACCCTTGCAGGTACTACGTCCGCGCCGCTGCCGTCGCTCGTCACATCTACATGCGCAAGACCGTCGGTGTTGGCCGCCTCCGCAAGGTCCACGGCTCGACCAAGAACCGCGGCTCCCGCCCCGCCCACCACGTCGATGCCTCCGGCTCCGTCGACCGTAAGGTCATGCAGTCCCTCGAGAAGATCGGTGTCCTTGAGCACGATGAGGAGAAGGGTGGCCGCCGCATCACCCAGAGCGGCCAGCGGGATCTTGACCGTATCGCCAAGACCACCGTGGACGAGGAGGAGGACGACGAGTAAATTTAGTTTTGCTCGCATTTTTTTTGTTAAAGAAAATAATGAAAAAGTCCTGATGTTCTAAACCTCCGTTGATCTCCTACCGCTTACCCGCCACCGTTTTTCTTTTCACTGTTGACGCCCACCCAATCTCGGAGAGGAGGAATCGGGTGCGAGGTATACACGGTCAGGGACAATACAATCTACCATCGATTCGGATCGACATGCAACGGGTGTGGGGGAGAAGTGGCATGTGAGATACGTGACAGACAGCTATGAACGAAACCCAGGGAGAGGAATGAAGTTCTTTTGATATGTTCTATACTTTCATCCATTGTGCAGCTTTTTCCGGCAACCCCATATGTCTGTCGATCTGGACGGTCAGTATGCCTTGTCCGGTAGTATCTTCCCGAGGTAGGTATCCTGACCGTGCCTCTGGCCCTCATCTCCGGGACGGTATACGCGCAGCCTCTGTAGCGACTCTGCGATCGTAAGAATGTAGAAAGTATGTACAGTGAGATTGTCTATATCTACAGGCCTATTTCTTCCCCGACTGCGCCGCAGTATCCTACCATCCATCAGCCACGGAAACAACCAAGCAAGGGAGCGCGCTACATACCAAATAGACCTGATAGAACTTCATCTTGAGGTCCTTCTCATCATCCGCAAAGACGACCCGTGCACCCCACGGCACCTCGACCTCGTTGCTTGGATCCGCCCTGAGCCGGTACTTGACGGTGCCATAGAGCATGAGCTCGTTCTTCCCGCCAAAGTAGATGCGGGCGGGGAAGTGGGCGCGCGCTGCGACGTGCGTCCAGAGGCCATGACGGAGGGCTAGGATTTCTTTGTTCCATTAGTCAAGCTGCAAGCTATGCGGTTTGCAGGGTTCAGTGTTTATGGGGTATTGGCAGGTTTCGGACATGTATATATACAATGCACGCTTGCCATCCATCGGAACGGGAGCCGGACACGAGGGATAGGGGAGAAGACGTACCCTCCGAGCCGGTCGCGGACTTGGGCCCCATGATCAGGGTTGCATCGGGGGTGAAATTGGCGAGGTACTGCTCGTGCTGCGACTCTGTGTCGCTGGTGGCGTAGAACTGTTCCATAAAGGCCACCATGGCGGGGCCGTTGGGCGGGGAGAGGGCTGCGTCGGAGGCGATCTTGTATGACATGCTGTGCTGTTTACTGTTTGTCTTGTACTGGGGTGTCTTGAAATGCGATGCGCAGGATAAGTTGGGTAGTTATTGTTCTGAGTCCGGATGGAAGTATGCAGGAGTGCTTCATGATGTCAGCCGCGGTGGAGAGTGTCGGGCCGACGGGCGAGAAGGCGCTATCCGATCGCGTTCCGACGGGCGTGGGGATTCATATCCATCGTAAGAGTGGTCTGTGATTGATTTGTCAGGATTCCTGAAGGTATACAGGTGTTGGAGGTTGGTCCATTTCACGATATGTATACATACATGTCAGACGGCTGCATTTGTAGACGCCGTCTTTCAGATGTATGCGCCATGAGGTAGGTGAAGAGTTGTAGATATGATTCTTCGTGTTCGTTTATGCTATGCTATGTACAGATAATACTCTATATCAATATCTACATCAAGCCTTCTGGTAGTCCTCCTCCTTCTCCTCAAACGCCTTCCAGCTCGCCGGGTCAGTGCCGTTAGGCCGGCTGGCACGCGAGAACTTGTTCTCCACGCCGTCAATCTCGCAGACCGGACGCACAACCTCGATGTCGGCATTGTACGCTTTCGAGAACCACATCTCGGTGAGGGCGTCCGATCCAGCCTGGGTAGGAGGGAGGTAGAGGTGCGGAAAGCGGGCCTGCATGATCTTCAGGACGGTAGAGGAGATGCGGTCCACGCTGTCGCAGTGGCGGAGCTTGAAGAACTCAGGGGACTGAGAGGACCGCATCTGCTGCTGCACAGCCTCAGAGTACTTGCCCACTGCAAAGAGAAGCAGGTCGTAGTGCATCAGAGATGCCATACCGTGGTAGGAACCACCGTACTTGGCCCGGTTGAAGAGACCTGTCAGCGCTGTGATGGCGCCCATGCAGCCCGTGCCGTAATCGGAGATGGGGAAGGGAGGCACAACGGGGGTCGAGAGACCCATGAACTCTCCCTGCGCCCAGGCAACACCGGTAACCTACCGGCGGTCAGCAACCTCTGGACTCGCTTCGTCGCTTGGGAGGACTTACGCAGTCTGCAATTTGTTGCCAGCCAGGACGGCCGGCCCACTCGCCTTCATATCCGAAGCAGTTCTCGTTCACGTAGACGTAGCCCTTTCCACGTTTCTGGCCAAGGGCCGCAAGCGCCTTGGGTCCGTAACCCAGCTTCTCCAGAGCGCCCGGCCGGTAACCGTCGACGAAAACGTCGGCATCGGCCAGGAGCTCCTCAAACTGACGACGTCCCTCGTCGGTCTTCAGGTCCAGATCGGCAGCGTGCTTGCCCATGTTACCATCCACCTGGAAGAACGGCACATCGGAGAGGTTGGGACTGGTGATCTTGAGAACATCGGCGCCGTACTCGGTGAGGATACGTGCAACGGTAGGACCCGCAATGATACGGCACAGTTCCAGCACCTTGACTCCTTGCAGGATCTTCTTGCTTCCGTTGGCGCTGGCGGGGAAAGGCGTAGGGGGAAGCTCGCCACCGAGACGATTCACCTTGAACCAGGGCTCTTGAACGTTGAGTTTGCCCTAGGAGATATTAGACGCTTATCGAAGAGTTGGAGGGTGGGAAGGACATTGCATACATGAGGCGTCTGAATGAAGTCTTCGTACTTAAAAGCCGTCACACCGGCTTGTCTCCGCTCCTGGTTCATCTCTTCCAGTTCTGCGGCACTGTACTTCTGCACATGGCTCTCAATCACCTTGATGATCTCCTCGTAATCCGTCAGATCCGGACGTTGGCCCTCCAGGCCGATCATGTTTAGCGTGGTGGTCGCCTCAAGAGAACCGTGGATATGGAAGAACTCGTCGGGGTTCTTGGTCTTGTAGAGGTTGGCAGACATGCGACGATAGCTGTTAGATTGTGCGGCAAGCAAATCGGTATCTACGTAGATAGGTCAGCGGGAGTCCCTTGGTACGGCAGGACACGATCTTCATACCTTTCAGCTTCTTCTTGACCTCGGGGTCCAATTTCGACAATCCAGCCACCTTGGCCATGTATGCCTGACAACCGAAGGCTGTCGCCCGTTCCAGGTTGACCTTGACGGAGCGTTTCTGATCCGACGAGCCATAACGGAGGTCAGCGATGGCAGCAGCCAGGGCACCCTCCACACCCTTCAATGCCGCGAGAGTCTCGGTTTCTTTGAAGGGAATAGGATAGTAGATTTGGTTGTGGGCGGAGTTGAAGGAGACGGCATCTTTGTTGGCGACTACCTCGGTGGGCAGACAGAGACGCTCCGCCTGGTCACAGAGGAGAGAGAAGATGCGACCCGCTTCCTGGACAGGCGAGTACGCGCTGTCGGCGGGAGACTTTGTTGACATGATCATCTGCCGTGTATAGATGGAGTGGCTGGAGGGGCGAAGAGGGAAGGAGGAAGAAGAGAGGGTATTCAATGTACTGGTAGAGATCAACCAACGGTTCTACGGCAGAAGTCGGATAGTATATATGCCTCCGAACGATTCACAGGCAATTCTTTCGGCAGAGGCAGACGAGACTTGGGGATGACTTCTCCGAGGCAATTCCGAGAAGGCACCCCGTCGGGTGGGCACATCTTGGAAGAATTTCCAGCATGAAGCCGTCAACCCCGCAGAGCCAGCATTGGGGATCCGATGAAGGGAAATTTGCTTCGGATGCGCGGCCGATAAGATCGGAAGTGGATGACGTCGGGCGGATGAGGTCAGCCATGTCGCCTGAGGCATCCTTACTACCTTAAAGTAGCCCGTCCCAGAATCAGATCACGAATAGGCACTATGAGAAATGGAGAATCCCCAGATGTATCTTATCTTGGTGGACTCTGACAGGGTCATTGTACCTCCCCCCAGGCTGCGTGTCTAAAAGTTGACTGACGCATGAAAAGGAAGCCAGTGCTGGGAGTAAGGCATGCTTGAAGTACTCATTCTGGTACTCTTTTTGCAATGACAAATGTGATACATCACCTCAGCTTGTCTTCCTCAGCCGTCCTGGACATGGCCTTCAATTAGAGCACACTGTCATTCAAACCACCTCGTCGGTACTCAGACTATGCTCTTATTGGACTCTGCGATTGTCGGTCCTAGAATATCTTGACTAGAGGGACTCGCTTCCTCTTCGAATGTCTATGCCTGGGTACCTAGTATATGCATGGTCTAAACAGGATTGAAGCAGAGGACGATCGGGTCAATCCGCCTTCCCCTTGCTGATCAGAAACAATATGCATCAGTGATTGAGGGGCACGTTCTAATGAGCTCTCCTGTGATATGCAATGCGAGTCATTCGGACTACCCCTACAGGTTGTTGCAGTTGGGAGAGAAAAGATCTCGGACCGTAGCCTTGCAGGTGTTGATTCTGACGCAGGGGGTTCGAGTTATCTTAGGATGGACCATTCGATTATGCTATTATCCACTCAATTCCATATACATTTGGAATTAAGTCTGGACAAGTCTGGAGAACCAAGCTGGCTGATCAATTGATAAAGCATTTGACGGTTTATGCAGAAGGAATGTACCTAGGTAGTCAATCCTAACCTGGCCTGGCGTTGTAGCTGTGCACCACATGATGAGCGACGCACTAAGCTTGTTCGGGCATCAAGAAGCGACAGTCACTTCTGGTCTCTAGCTGTATGTCTGCAAATCATACGCTCGTTTCTCAATGCAAACACCGCAGTGTCACTATCCGCAAGGGGAGCTGACGTCACTGCAGGCAGTTCAATTCGAGGTTTGCCAAGGCAACCGCGGGAATCTGTAGTGGGCACTGAGGTTTCTTGCGCGATTTGCGACAACGGAGGGGACCAGATGTTCTAGTCTGTATAGTAGTAAGCAGTGGGTAGCCCTAACCCTGAGATGCGATGTTTGACGGGTATGCCCCGCCCCCACACTTCGCTTCAGATGGATTTCTCCTCGGTCCTTTGCCCAAGTCTTCTCCGAGATCGGGCGTAATACTTAAGGATGATTATTGAATTGTCACCGGTATGGTCTGATTCCTGATTCCTGAAACCCGACTTACGTGTTGAATATGATTACTGGGTCTGTCTGGTCAGAATTAGGCCTCGATGATGATGATGATGACATGGCTCGGCCCTGACGATCTCCACTTGGGTCCCCCAAGCGCCGGTCGATCTTGGAAATGGAGTCCAGACGGATGATTGTTACAGATGGGGAGGGAAGGAATAATACGATACCGGTCAGAGGGGACTGACTTCAACAACGTCTGCAGGCGCGGCCGGTTAAGGTTATACAACGGACCGCATTAGGCAAATCAGAGATGGCCTTTCTGACACATTCAGCCAGCAGCATTTCGTCCGGAGTACACTCTGGGTACACCACGGAGTACTCGGTACACTGACTCCCCCACGTGCCCCCCATCAGTGGAAAATGTTATCGGGTTATCGTCCAGCGCGTCCCAAACTTCCCGCGACCAACCCACCGAAGGCGGTGCACGAGCCCAGCCCACAGGCGTTGATATGTTGGTTGATCTCGGTCTTTGGAATCATGTTCAGAGTGGCATTCTCTAGGGATTATCCACATCACCGCATCATGATGGTCTCACTGTCTCATCCAGGTAATTCTAAGACTGAATCGGCGTATGGGTACAGTCAAGTACCTAAGAAGTGATACAGGCTGACGACGAGACTCCGCACTACCCCTCTTAATCCTATGCAGAGTGCATTGACTACTACTAGTACTATTACTACTAACTGAAGGAGGTAGGTACTTGGAAGTGGCAGGTCTGGGTGTCTGTCGATGGTGGGTGATAAGAGTGTCTGGTATTATTGGTACTGGTAATACCGGGACCAGACCGGAAGGGAAAAGGAATCCGGATCTTCCCGGGGGTCCCTCACGGCCAATCAGCCGCCCCACGCGACGCCGTCTGCTGCGTTCGTCTGATAAGGGCGTCGCATCCAACTCGACCGTCATGTCATTCCTCTGGGGGACGGTCGGACTCGGACTGTCTGGTATCGTAATGTACCTACTGCCTGAACAGGTCTGGCATTCCTGGGTCGCTCATGCAGGATGACTGACTACCTACCCTACCCTACCAGGTACTATTATTATTTCTATCGTCTTCGCTCCTTGCTTTCCCTCCCTCCTCCCCCTCCTCTTCCCCCCTTCTTTGCTCATCCATCCTTCGTTATATCTGAATCTTCATCCAAACAACTGTCAAGGATCTCCCGGATACTCTTCCTCTGAACTATATCCCTCAAACGTCGTTCCTGACCTTCCAGTCACGACCCCTTCGCGTCTCACTAGCGCGTCGCATCGCACCGATCCGCCTCCCGACATCGACGCTGCATTTGTGTGCGTCGTCTGTAAGTACTACCCAGCCGGCGGAGCATATCTCTCCCTTTGTCCACTCGTTCCTTTGTCCCCTTTTAGTCATCCGTCCTTTGTCCATGGTTCTTCAGTCTGACTCATGTGATGCCCCAGATTTAGCCACCCGCGATCCTCACCACCTTCGTCCTTCCACCATCACACATCTCTGCTTCCATCATGGCTGCGTTGAATACTCCCTCGAGCATCGCGATGGCCCTTGCTGGCAAGACGGCCTCTGTCGATATCCCGAAACCGCGTTCGGCCTTCGCTTCTTCCGGCCGCGACGCCTCTCGCGCCCAACCGGCCTTGTTGCCCACCCCTCCCAACTCCATCTCACCAAATCTCCCTCCGCAGGCGTTCCAGCGTCGAGATCTGAAACTTCCGACCTCCCCTCCTCTCGCGACCTCCCACGTGGAATCCGACATCGACCTCGCCGAGGATGCGAACGGTCATGCCGGACATCTCACCGCGCACGATCTGGACAGCACTGGCGCCATCACTCCCCGGATGCTGGCCCAGCACCACCTCCCCGAGATCATGCTCCAGCACGGCCCCCTCGCGATTCGCCATGTGATGGGCTATCTGACCACCTCTGTCCCGGGTTTCGCCCGAATCCCGCCCGCGAAAGCGCGCAGGCTGGTCGTCGCCGCCCTCGAGGGCCGCGGGAATGACGAAACAGGAGGTGGCGGTCAAGGCGATGTGGTTTTCGAGAAAGTCGGCTGGGGGCGCTGGGATGCGCGACGGCGCGGCGAACCACCACGGGATGCGCAACACCTGAACCTATCGCCACCGTCCAGTCTTTCCAACTCCTACCTTCATCGGGGCATCCAAATCCCCGCCAAGCGAAGCGGCCAGGCGCCGTACGGGTCTAGCATCACCGGTGATTCGGCCGTGTTCTCATACTCCGAGATGGACTATGGAGACCACGGGGATACCAGCATGCTGGAGCACGAAGCGGACAAGATGTCCCTGGATGGCGACGAACGCGAATACTGCTCGTCGTCAGAGGCTCCAGACGACGAGATGATCCAGGATGAGGACTGGGGTGAGGAGGATGTCACGGACGAAGAGGACTGGGCGCATATAGGTGCCGCGGCACTACGAGCGCGGTCACTGAATGCAACCGGTGGCTTCGTGAGTGGAGGCCATCTCTCACAACTACGAGGCGGCGGGCCCGCCTCGTCTTCGCTAGCAAAGTCAGCCCCGCGCAAGATCCCTATTCAACAACTCGGCTTCGCCGTCCCCGATGGGGTGGTCGACGACAAAGAAGAACGCGCGGCGGTCGAAGCGCTCTTACGACTTGGTTCTATGTAACGTTATTGGTTTCATATTCGGCAGTGATTGTCAGGCAGTGGTTATCTCCAGAATGCTCCTGCGGTGCTGTTCGATCTCTACGGCTGGTCCATTATCGATATTATACATTGACGTTCGACGACAAATAATCAAAACAACACGCCAGCTTACTTTCATTTACGGTTCGACTGGTTCGACGACTGGCCATGATGCATTGGGATTGGATTGGATTCCTTGGAATGGGATGGCGTTCTTGTTTATGGATCTTCAACATTATCACAAACGGCCGCAAATCGGCTACAAAACCGATGGCTTTGGTTCCCCGGTAAAAGGGGAATGCATTCATTCAACTGCATCATTGCATACCGGGTGACAACTCGGGCTTGTTCATATGATCGATCTTTGGCAGGCACAAATGGTGACCCTTGGACACGGAAGCAAGACTTCTGTGGTGGATATTTGATAGACAATATAATACGTCGCCTCGGGTGACACTCTCTACTCATGATTTGATTGCTTCCTAGCCCGTAACTGCAGAACCTGATTTGCTAAGTGTCAAGCTACAGGAGATCAGCTACCCGTCGATAGTAGGTGGTGATGTACGGGCCCTGCTCGGCGGTGTATGAGAAGGACAACACGCCCAGTCGATCGAACGACTCGTCAAGGTTACAAGAGGGGCTGGAGGATTTGAATCAGTCAACTACTCCAGAACGACAAGGGAACACTCACTAGTAAGAAGATACGTCCTCCTTGTACCGCCTCGCGCGGTCCATCCAGCCAAGTTTCTCGAAGAACGCCGACACAGTGTCCACCACCGCACTGTCGCGCAGCGTACCGAGGTTAAAATACATCTGTGGCCGAGGATATGGGTCGCCGGGGCGGAGCTCAAAATAGGCAAAGAGAAACTGATTATCAAAGAACCGGGGTCTGGATGCATGCACACCCCCTCCATCGGTGCCCGCATCGCAGGACAAAAAGTGATACCCCTCCTCAAGACCGAGAACTGCCCACAACTCACGCAAGAGCTCCAGGCCCCGGACAACTTCCGGGACCCCGCCGAGACGCCCGCCTAGCGTCCACAGGTCGGCGACTCGGTCCATCGAGACCAGGGGGTCGAGGATGTAGATCTTGAAGCGCGCGCGCGCGACATCGACCAGATCGCACGACAGCACGAACGCTTGCGGGGCTGTTTCGGGGGGTGCACGTCCCTGTTCCTGCTCCTGCGTACGGTCGTGCAGGTAGCCCTCGATGCGCGCCAGGGCCGGCTCGCGACTCCCGCAAGTGTCTGCTCGGCGGATGGCGCGAAACGCCAGCGTCGAGGCCGTTGTCCCCGTGGCTGTGGCCTTGCCCAGGAGAGAACGGTAGTACTTGAGGGTGATGTGGCCGTCTGGACGGAGGTCCAGGCCGATGTAGTCAGTTAGTCGGAGGAGGTCGGGGATGCGCCCATCGTTCTGCTGCTGCAGACGCCCCTGCTCGGTCGTGCTCAGCACCAGCTCGCCAGCGATCTGGTGGTAGGGCTGCAGGTCGATGTCGCTGTCACAGGTGTGCTGGAGCCTGGTCAGCGTCTCGGGGGTGAGTAGCCCGTTGATGCGGTTGCCGACGACGTTGGTGTGGTAGCTCGTGGGCTCGAGGAGGAGGCGGGTCGTGCAGCCGAACTGCTGGAAGTTCTGGCTGAGCTTGAGGAAGCCCGCGGTGTCCAGGACGGACTGGTACAGGGCGGGTCTGGTGTTCCTGGGCGAGGGGCCCAGGGCAGGCACGATGTGATGGGCGAAGAGAGATAGGTATTGGTACTGTCGGTGGACATCGTAGTCGGCATCTTGTAGTATTTTCCCCAGGGCTGGGGCTGCGCCGTGCCACCAATCGTGTTGGTCGTAGTCGGGGGAGTATAGGGACGCACTGAGGGTTTCGTATGGGGTTTGCTGCGAGGTCTTGTCTGTTGAGCCCATGGTGGTAGTCGGTGATAAGCAGACGACGGTATAGTCTGGATAGTCGGTGTCTGTTTACTACGTGAGACGGGAGTTCCATGTGTTTATACAACAGTATAGCCGTTCTAGACGCGTCCGTAGCAATACGAAGCCATCTTATGGTCCCTACGCCATCCGAGTCAGACGCTGTACAACCTCTGGAACCCTCGGACATCCACTGTCTGGCAAAGCTAATCGTGCTTTTACTTCCGGTCAGACATCCGATCCACTAAACACCATCCTGCCCTTGGTTGTGACGAGGAGACTGTCGGCCTATATATGTGGTGGTGGTGGTGGCTCCTCAGACACCCTCACACCCTTGCGCAGACACATACATACACATATCCCAAGTACAATTCTCTTGCTATCTCTACAATGGACGATCTTGTCTCTCAGATCAAAACCCTCGCCGCCAATGCGGACGACACCCAGAAAAGCGAGATGGTCAACACCCTCCACAACCTGGCCAGCTCTCTGGAAAACCCCCGCGAGAGCATGGAGAGGATCGCATACAGCGTATGGTCTATCTCCCACAGCCAAAGAGCCTTCAAGACTGACTGTGGCCAGCCCCTCCAGCTCTTCGGCGCAAAGATAGCCAAAGACCTCCAGGTTCTCCAGCGGCTCGCTGGCAGCAGCGCGCCGCTCAGTCTGGAACAACTGGCCGAGCCGTCGTCGGCAGATTTACCGTTGCTTCGTTCGTCTCCTACCAGATCTTCGGGCACATCTAACGATCTACAGAGCGCCTGATGCGCTATCTTGCGAGCGTGGAGATGGTGGACGAGCCTTCTACGCGCGTCTTCGCTGCCAACAACGTCACCAAAGCGCTGGGGTCCTCCAGTGGACTGAGCTATATTGACGTTTTGTGAGTGGTCTCGCTTTTCCAACCACCTTCTAGTATAGAGTCAAAGACTCACATCACAGCTACGAAATCGCCTCGCCGAGTTTCTACGAACTGCCCAAGTTCCTCGCCAGCACCAAGTACAAAAACCCAACGGGAGGATCCAAGGTCGCCTTCCAGCAGGCATTCAACTTCGATGGCAACTTCTTTTCTTTTTTAGATGAGCACCGCGACAAGCTCGCCATGTATGACAGACACATGCAGCTGCAGAGGAACTCCCCCCACGGGACTGGCCCAAGCTGCTGTCCGTCGTCAAGGAGGTCGAGTCGACAGACCCGAAGGAGCTCTTCTTCGTCGACATCGGCGGCGGCAGCGGCCGCCAGGTGGAGGAGCTGCGAAAGCAGTATCCCGAGGCCAAGGGACGGTTCATCCTGCAAGATCTTGGAAGTGTCATTGCCATGGCCCGCAATATTCCGGAGAAGGACAAATTCTGCTATAATGTGATGGAACCGCAGCACCTCATGGGTGAGTCGTTCGCCCCGAGACTCTATTCTATTCTTCGTGTTGTACTGACCCGGCAGATGCACGGTTCTACTACCTCCGCGGCGTGCTGCACGTCTTCCCCGACCAGATGTGTGAGAAGGTTCTGCGCATTCAGGCGGAGGCAATGGGCCCGGACTCGAAGTTGCTGATGGAGGAGCTGGTGCTGCCAGAAGCGCATGTTGACTGGAGCGCCACCTGCATCGACTTGTTGATGCTGTCGAGCTTTGCGTCGCAGGAGAGGACCCGCACCCAGTGGGTACGGCTGTTGGAGAAGTCGGGGCTGAAGGTCATGGATATTCATGCGTACGGTACAGGGCCATATCAAAGCCTTATTGTTACCGTGAAAACTGGATATGGCCCTGATAGCCTGTACACTTAAGCCTCAATGTCACAAGCCTGGTTTCTATGCACTGGTTGGCCGCCAATGTAAGAGGTCGATACGTTGAATCATAGACAAAGCAAGATAAAGGTGACGGTCTACCCAATGACAGGATGAATATACTGCTTCTGGGTCTTCGGATCAAGCGATGCGGCTGGATTCTATCCAATGTCACTAAACGCAGCCAGGCTATCTCCCACTTACTTCGTTGGCTCCGGATAAGACGGGATTCGGGACTTCAGCCAGACGAATCGAATGGAAGGCCAATTGAGCTGACTCGACCTAGGTAGCCTCGTGTTTGTCCACTGGGTATCGGTTCCATGGTCGTGATGAACGGCCGCCTAGGCTCGCAGTAGATCTGATTAGACTATCCAGTCAGTCACAACAGCAACCACACATGCATACCGATATTCCGTCTGACACGGTATGATTAACTTCTAGAGTTCGGTATCGCCGATCGGCTCGCGGAATTGAAACGACCTCCGATGTCCGAGTTTATCTCATATATCCCACGGTTAGAACTTCCACATGTAAGACGGAGCCTCCCTGGATAGCACAACATAGGAGACTATGCAAATCTACCCTACCTAGCAACATGTCAGATTGGAGGTCGAGACTGTGATTACGTATGTGAGCAATAGATTGAGCACGCAATCCATGTGAACCAACCTCCTGCTAGATAACCTCTTGGACTTTCTCATTGTAGGAACCGCCGAAAGACAGAATACCTCTCTCCCTCAAGTATCATATGTTGTAACCACCTAAAGAGTTCAATCAAACTTTGTAGATTGTCCCGACCCCCGACGGCTTCATCCGATCCAGTAGACCATATAATAGGTACGCAGCTTACGCTTGCAAACAATCGAACAGCGCCAGCAAGCAAGACCACAAGAATTCCATCTCATCATGTCTTTCAAGAACCTCCAACAGCTTCTCAAGGAAGCAGCTGCTCAGGAACGCTGCGGCCGGGTCATCTGCTACTCCTCTGGCAACCTCCAAAACCCTACATCACGTTCGTATCATGAACTCATGCAAGAAGCGCAACGCGCTTCATGGGCTCTTCGTACGGCTACCTGCGCCCGCCACGGCTCTGCCGTCCTCCTGCATTTTGACTCCCACTGGGACAGCATCCTCTGGTTCTGGGCGACGCTACTGGCAGGCTGCGTGCCGGTCATGTCCACCGCTCTTCCGAACAACACCTCTCTGCGCACGGCACATCTAGAGCATCTATCGAGGACCCTAAACGGGCCTCTATGCTTGACCCGTGCGCGTATGGCGCCGGAGTTCAGCGAGCAGACGTGTATCGAGCCCATTGCAGTCGAGACATTCGACATGCAGACATCCAGCAAGGAAGACCACGTCGACTCCGCGCCCGACGACACCGCAGTCATGATGCTCACGTCAGGCAGCACCGGCCGACCCAAAGCCGTCTGTCTGACCCATGGGCAGATCCTGTCTTCGATCGTGAACAAGCTCTCCGTAGTGCCACTGCGAGGACCCTTCATGAACTGGATCCGGCTCGACCATGTCGCTGCACTCACCGAGATCCACCTGCCCGCCATATTATCCAACAAGGACCAAGTGCACGTCCAGAGTGCGGATCTCCTGGCCAACCCTGTCGAGTTCATCCGCCTAGCCAGCGAGCACAGGGTCGCGAAGACGTTCGCTCCGAACTTCTTCCTGGCGACGCTTCGTGACGCACTGTGTGCCACCCAACATGACAGCCCGAAGTGGGATCTCAGTGGTCTCTATATCTTCTCCGGGGGAGAGGGCAATGTGACGCGCACGTGTGACGAGATTTCGAAACTGCTGGGCCGGTATGGAGCGCCCCCGAATGTCATAGTGCCTGGGTTTGGAATGACAGAGACCTGCGCCGGTGCGATCAACAACACGAGTTGCCCCTGGTATGACATTGAACGCACGTCTGATTTTGCGTCCTTGGGGACCTGTATGTCCTGTATCCGCATGAGGATCACCGACGACTCCGGCGGCAATACCTGCGTGTCTCCAGGCGAAACGGGGAACCTGGAGGTGACGGGCTCTGCGGTGTTCAAGGAGTATTTCAACAATCCGTCCGCGACGGCAGACGCCTTCACCAGTGACGGATGGTTCAAGACCGGAGACCGCGGACTTATCGATACGAATGGCTATTTGCATCTTGCAGGCCGCCTCAAAGAGACTATGATCATCAACGGCGTCAAGTATAGTCCGCACGAGATCGAGAGCGTCCTCGATGAATCAAACATCCCTGGGCTGACGCCCAGTTACAACTGTTGCTTCTGCTCGTTTCCACCTGGCGCCGAAACCGAAGTCATCTGCCTTGTCTATCTCCCCACGTACCCTGAAGAGGATATACGCGCCCGCATCCAGACAACAGACGCCATCTCAAAGTGCATCGTCATGTTGACCGGGTCGCGGCCGGTAATCATTCCTCTTGACAAAGGTCTTTTGCAAAAATCAGCCCTGGGCAAGCTGTCCCGCTCTAGTATCAAGGCAAGCTACGAGAAAGGCGAGTACAAAGCCTACCAGGACACAAACAGCCATCTAGTGAAGATGTACCGCCAGGCTATGCGGACTCCTCCAAAAGACGAACTGGAGCGCAGTCTGCTCGCCATCTTCGTGGACTCCCTCGAGCTCAGCGAAGAAGAATTCGACGTGCAGACTCCCGTCTTCGACCTGGGGATCACCTCCATCGACCTCATCCGGCTGAAAAAGAGCATCGAAGAGCAACGGGACATCGACCAGGAGATCCCCATGACCACCCTCATGGCGAACACCACGGTCCGCGAACTCAGCGCCGCGCTGCACGACCTCCAAGCACCGGGGACCTACAAACCGGTCATCACCTTGCAGAACGAGGGCTCCAAGACCCCGCTCTGGCTCATTCACCCGGGCGTCGGCGAGGTGCTCGTCTTCCTCAACCTAGCCCAAGTACATCAAAGACCGACCGGTGTACGCGCTCCGGGCGCGCGGGTTCGGCGCGCACGAAACGCCCTTCGCCAGCATCGAGGAGACAGTGCGCACCTACTACGCCGCGATCAAAGCCAAGCAGCCGCGCGGGCCGTACGCCGTGGCCGGGTACTCGTACGGCACGATGCTGGCGTTCGAGGTGAGCAAGCAGCTCGAGCAGGGCGGCGACACGGTCGGGTTCGTGGGGTCGTTCAACCTGCCGCCGCACATCAAGACGCGCATGCGCCAGCTCGACTTCACCGAGTGTCTGCTGCATCTGGCGTATTTCCTGGCCCTGATGAGCGAGCAGCGCGCGGGCGAGCTCGCCGCCGCGTTCGCCGGCGTGCAGCCGTCGCAGGAGCGCGTCCTCGACGAGGTGATGCAGAACGCGGACCCGGTGCGGCTGGCCGAGCTGCAGCTCTCGCGGCAGTATCTGCTGCAGTGGGCGAATTTGGCCTTTGCGCTGCAGAGTATGGCCGTCGACTATGACCCCAGCGGGTCGGTCGCCCGCATGGACGTGTTCTACTGCGTTCCCCTGGCGGTGGCGGCGGCGTCGAAGCAGCGGTGGCGCGAGGAGCACTTGTCCCAGTGGAGGGACTTTACGCGGTCTGAGCCGAGATTCCATGATGTCGGCGGAGCGCATTACACGATGCTGGCGCCAGAGCATGTGTTTGGGTTTCAGAAGACGCTGCGAGGGGCGTTGGAAGCACGGGGAATTTAGCTGGATGGTGTGTTTCGTCTGACAGAATGTATGATCCTTTGGACATGAGACTGCTGGTATATCAGACATACAGAGTTAGTGCTCCAACAATGAACAGTCTTGGCGCTCTAGCCCTCAACATGATCTATAAACCCGTCACACCCATCAACCAAAGCGTCAACTCGGTCGCCAATCTCTCCGGCTGATCAAACATAACCAGATGCCCAGCGTCCTCCACCACAACCACCTCTCTCGCCCCCAGCGCCTCGCCCAGCCTGGCCGCCTGCGCGACAGGGATCCACTCATCCTCACGTCCCCAGACGACCTTCACCGGCATAGCCCTCCCCACCTCCGCATAGCGGCCCTCCACCTCAGCAACATGGCGCTCGTCCGCCTGGGCAATCTGCCTCACGAACCCCGCTTGACCCTGCTTCCCGCCCACCCACGGCGCAGCCAGCATCTCCGCCACCTCTCCCGCCAGCGGCGCATACGCCGCGCCGGCAATGTACGCGCGCAGCATACCCGCATAGACGGCGTCAGGGACAGCCGCGAAGACGGCCGCGTTCCCCGCGACTAGCCGGTAGAACGGACTCCCGAACGGGCGCAGCGCGACGACGTCCACCGCGCACAGACTGGCGTATCTGCATCCGTGCAGGAGATGTGCGCGCAGCGCCACGATCCCGCCGATATCGTGCGCGACGACGTGCGGCGGCGGCGCTTGGCGCGCGCCGAAACCCCAGGCCTGGTAGAGGTCTGCAAAGGCCTCTGCGAGTCCGGCGAGGGAGACGTCTGGCTCGGTGGGGGCTCCGGCGAGGCCACGGAGGGGGGTGCGCGGAGGGGACGCGCCGTAGCCCGGTTGGTCGAAGAGGTAGATCTTGAAATGCGAGGCAAGGGATTTGGCGTAGGCGGCCCAGACGAAGGAGGACCACGGCGTGCCGTGGATGAAGATTAGAGGGGGGCTGGTCGAGGGGCCGAGGGTTGTCCAGTGGATGGTTGTTTCGTGGGTGGTGGACTTGTGGGTGAAGACCCTGTCCAGGGGGATGCCTTGTGTCATTGTTGCTGGTGAAGTGAGGGTATATAGAGGTAGAAGGGATGTGGTCTCCAGGTTGGGATGCTGGTATTTGAGAGAGTCATGAGCTGACAAATGAAGGTGTAGTTAGGATGAATACGAGCTCTCCCCGCTGTCACATTGAGTACCACTTGTGCAGTGCAAGCCATACAATTAGTTCCTGGAGTGCAAGTACATGTTGAAGAGGTAGCAGTAATATCATACATGCCTCCAAGGATTGAATGCTGTCACAGAACATGTATAGTCCGTATCTATCTTGCTGACTTACGAACTATACGATCAAACAGCATCAATCGCAGGTCTTAGGCAATAGTAACTATACAAAGTACATACATGCGATGCAGCATCTACCCAGTAAACCATCTTTAACAAGCCAACTCCCTTTCCAAACCTCTACCAGAACCATCCCACCAGCCAAAGGAAGAACACGTATGCCCGAAATGAACGAAATGAACATCCATCATGCCAATAGACCCAGTAAATCCACCATTAATGCAATGTCTTGCCATAGAACCAAAGACAACCACCTATTTATCATGAGCTTCATTAATCCGCCTCCAGACCTCAGCCTCCACCTCTGCCAATTTGTTCCCCGCCGATTGGAACCACGACTTCGCACTCTCGTAGAAGGTCTGCTCGCCAACGTCGGTGTCCACCATCCCCGTGGAGCCCGGATTATAATGCAGTGGCAGCTGTCCGGACGAAGGGCCCGCGCCGTACGACGCATTTGTCGCTCCGGAGTAAACAGACGTGTAGGGCGTCGTCGTAGAGTTCGGAACGGGCTGCGCCTGGGGCTGGGTGGCAGCATTGTAACTATACCCGTAGCCATACGAGACTGGATTCGAGGGAGGAGCCTGTGTGATCGGGGCGGTGGTACTGGGCGCCTGCGGCGGCGGCTGGGGAACATCGCCCGCTTGAGGGGGCGGCGCGACTGCAACTGACCGCGCAGAGGCAGGATCTGTCATCGGGGGCGGCCCTGGCTCGGGACGGGCGCCTGGCTGTGGTGGTGGCGGCGAGGTGCTTGTGCTTTCGGACATACTTGCTGCGGTGCTGGTTGCGCTGGGGGTATAAAGCGCTCCGGTCAAAGACGTCGGTGCAGCGAGGGTAGGCTGTGCCCCTGGTTGAGCGGTTGCATAGATTGGGGAGTACGGGGGCGCTGTTCCAGTAGCTGAAGTAGTTGGAACTTCGTCCGGCTGTTGCTTGGTTGGAGACGATGAGGAAGTTGAAGATGGAGTATGAGGAGTGACTCCCTCTGGGATAGCGGAAGTCGTCATGGGTATATGTGGTGGTAGACCTGCGTAGCAAGGCAGCAATATACTCCTAGATGCAGAGGGATGTTGAAGATGCGATCTGGTCCGCAGGAGCTTCTTTCATAGAGCTCCAGCCATCGACGTCATCGGACCAATGTGCACGTGACTAGTCACGTGAATCGATCACGGACCGCCTGAAGAATTTTCTGAGGCTTCAAGATAGGAGACCAAGGTACAGACTACGACGCCTACTGGACCGTCCCAAAACAAACGAATTTGATTTTGGACCAGAAATACATGGAAGAAAAAAGAAAATAGCTTGCAGGCAGTAAAATACAACTGGTACAAGAGGAAATGTCACACTGCTCTATGCTCAAGACCGACTCCCACTCTCAAGCATATCTCTATACTTTCTCACTTCCTCACTTGCTCAGCATCCAGCAGTTACGCCAGACACGAGCCACCCCCTACCCCAGAGGAACGGTAATGACCACCGCGGAGAGAACCGAATCCATCGCGGGGCCAAAGCCGACCTAACTTGTTGCACAAGTTTACTTGAACTTCTTTCCGAAGAGGATGAGCTGGACCTGGTCGTAGATGGACAGGACACCAGCACCGGCAACACCACGGAGGATGTTAGCACCGGCACCCTTGAAGAGGGACTTGTAGCCCTCCTTGGCGACGATCTGGCGGAAAGCGTCGAAGGAAGAGGAGTACTTGACGGCCTCACCGGAGGTCATCATCATACGACGACGAACGGTGTCAAGAGGGTAAGAAGCGATACCAGCACCAGTGGTGACAGTCCAGCCGAGAAGGAAAGAAGCAAGGAAGTTACCCTCAAGAGGACCAACCAGGACGACGGGCTTGATGGAGTCGTACATGCCGAAGTACAGACCACGGTAGACAACAATACCAGCGACAGAGGGACCGAAACCACGGTAGAGACCGGCAATACCGTCGGAGGCGAGGGTCTTCTTGTAGACATCGACCAGACCGTTGAACTGACGGTCACCACCACCCTTGGCGGACTTGGCGTCGTTGGCCAGACGGGTACGGGCGTAGTCCAGAGAGTAGACGAAGAGGAGGGAAGTGGCACCAGCAGCCTGAATGCTTGTTAGTATCGACTGGTCATGGCGAGTTTGGGGGTCAGGGTACATACACCACCGGAGGCAAGGTTACCCATCATCCACTTGGCGTATCCATCACGGTCCTTCTTGTAGGAGAACATGGACTTGTAGGTGTCACGGAAGGCGAAGTTCAGAGCCTGGGTGGGGAAGTAACGGATGACGTTGGCAGTGTTACCTCTCCACAGGGAGACGACACCCTCGGAGGCGGCGGTACGACGGAAGCAGTCCATGATACCGTTGTACTTGCGGTCGAGACGACCGGCGCGGAGCATCTCATCCTGGTTCTGGATGAGGAGCTTGATACGCTCGATGGGGGCAGCAGCAGTCTTGGAGACGGCAGCGGAGACACCACCCACTGTAGAGATAGGTTAGTAAAGGTCGAACAGTTTGATTGAGCGGCCTAGTGTTCGGCTGAACGCAGATGGATCGATTGTCGGATGCTAATCGACCAAGGCCGCGTGTCGGGGGATAAACATACTCAGGAAGTCAACGACGAATCCCTGTGAAAATTTTTGTTAGCGCCCGTTTGATACGCTATTTTGCGAAAACCAGCCGCAAAACTCTTCGAACACGACGTCTCCAACCCATTGAGACCGCTGCCATGATGGTGTTGGATAGCCATCGCTGCAGGTTGTTCGGGCGAAGCGCGTGTGGTCGAAGGTCTTGCCAGCGAAGCCGGATCAGGGGGGAGAACTTACGGGCATGCCGAAGACCGACTTCTCGGCCTGGTTAACGTCACCCTTGGCCATGATGACTGTGAATGACAAGTAACTGAAGGAAAAGAAGGAGAGGAGATGGGATGGAATGAGAGTGTCGGACGGAACAGGACACTTCAAAAGGGATGGAGAGAAGAAAAGGAAGAGAGAGAAGGGGAAGGGAGGGAAGAAAAAATAGCGAGCGAAGGCCTCTTGTAAGGCGGGAACAAGCGAGCGGAGACGCTAGGCCTGTTTAGGTTGGTGTGGTTTTTTTCCTGTCTTTTTTTCTTACGACGGCCACGTATTTAATACTCTTTCTGACCTTTTCGGGCGGCAACGGCAAGCAGAAACACCGCCTGAACGGGCACAGACGGTGTGGAAGGCGGAAGAAAAATTACATGAACCAGAGAAAAAAAAACTGGATCCGACGCTAATGCTGGCCCAGGCAACGAGAGCCGATATCTCCCGATCGTACCCAGAACCCGTCCCGAGGAGGAAACGATGCGCTGCGACTGTATGATTCTGATGGAATTTTCCCTCATACTAACGACTCCGTATATAGTTGTGAATGGAATTATTCAGGATGGTTCATGAGGTCTAAGAAAAGATCCTGATTAAGAGGAATTCGTCCGATGCTGATTGTTCGATCGATGCCCCATACAGGAATGCGACGAGCGATTATTTTGTTTGTTTTTCTTTTTTGCCTTTGAATTTTCTTTTCTTTTCTTTTTTCTTTTTTTTCCCTTTTCCCTCTAAAAAAGTTTTCACCCATTTCCCCGACTTGACCGAACCAGACATCCACCTCTTGGAGCCTCCTTCTCCCTCGCCAGACGGGGAACTCTGCCCCCCTTCTGTCTGGTCCCGAGTATCCGATGGCAAATTAAATTCTTCTAGATGTAGACTTCTGTCTCTCCCTTGCCAAGCCCCAGTATATGGATCGTACGGAGTATACTATAGTACAGTGCCTCTCGGTCGGCATATGTGGTTTAACCTAATTGTGTCCTGAGTATGGACACGATGAACCAGGACGATTATCTTGTCCTATATGTAGAATTGGCGTCAATCGTCATGGTCCCCGCGTGCCGGAGCCGGTCAACTCCTTGTCGCCGTTTTTCGGTTTCCCTGCCGTGGATTCCGCCGGAACAATCCCTCTACGGAGTACCTCAGGTACCTGGTATTGTTAACCGCACCCAGCCTGTTGATAGAGGATCAAATGGAGGGACTACCCCATGGGCTCCTGATCCAAACTCGCTGTCTAGTTCTCATCCATTTTTCTGCAATCAAGTTGTCGCCATCGGTCAATATCAAGCGAGGCACGGCGTGGCAGGTCAGGGACCTCGGAGAAGGCTTGGTACTGTAATCTACCTGGTACTTCCTCAAGGGGTCACGAAGTCAGATAGGTAATCTCGAGAGTTCTCTTCTGCCTTGACTTTGGGACAGGTCATTTGATCACGTTTCCTCTACCGGATGACTCTGTCTATCAGAAATCTACATGCATAGTACAGGCATATCGCGGTGTACCATGCAGACAAAAGACACCATATCCCGTCCGTCCGTACAGGGACTCCGTAATCACAAGCCCGGCTCCAGCCGGGCCCACCTTTCCAAACTCCCTTACTTTTTCTTTCCGACAATGGCGACCCAAGCGCCAGGTGTTGCCCTGGTGTTTCTTGCATTTGTCGTTCGCCGTTGAAACCGAGACCCACCAAACATGGGGTATATCGCTAGCAACAGGTTGCCATGCTGGCTGGCCGCCATCATGGTAGGCATTGCGCAACAAAAAGTGTATATCCTTGTTCTAGAACTATCTTGGTTAAAATCTAGTGGCAAGGAGTAGCAATTCTTCCGATCTGTAATTCTTCATCTGCCTTTGCCACTGCTGCATGCAGAGTTCTTCCATTTTTTGGCAGGTCTGATACTATGAGAAGCCAGGTTCCGGTGTAATGTAATCTGTTCAATATCCATGTCTAGATCTATCGCACAGATATTGTCTGGGGTCTTAAATTAGTGTTAAGGTTATGAGTATATCGCTATTGTTGTTCTACCATGGTCGCCATGCTCACGTGCCGCATTTCCTAGTAGAGCACTCGAGCACTCCACTGTAAATATATATCGGCACAACATCAAGTGATGAGAACTATGAGGTACACTTCGCCATACATTCAATAGACAGATTGGAAATGATATCTATACAATAATCCGCCAGGTCATTATTCAACGTAGCCTAATGCTTTCTGGATCTCTTTCTCTTCTTCTTGCGGCCCTCTCCCCGAATGTCTACTTCCCCTCCCTCAGTAGCATCCTCCTTGGAGTCGGCCGTTTTGTCACCACCAAAAACAAACTCCGGGCCTTCTTCGTTGCCAAACGTCTCTTGACGCCATTGCCGCAACCGTGCCTTCTTACCGAGTTTCTTCTGATCGTGGCGCTTCTTTTCCGGGTCACGGAATGCAGCAAGCTTCTTCAGCCCAGCATATTGGTTGAGCTGGGAATCATCCGCCATGAGAATGTCTAGTGGAGTAAGGCCGAAGCTGGTCGGAGACGTCTCACGATACCGGAATCCACCAGTGGTCTTCTTCGTAGCGCCAGGCAGAAGGGTCACATCGAGATCCAAATTGCGGTCGACTGCCTCTTCAATGCGGAGACGATCTTTGCGAGCCTCACGCTTCTGGTCCCGCCGCTCTTGAGCCTTACTCTTCTTGTTCTTTCCTTCAGCGCCGCTCTCGTCATCGTCGGCATCCCCCATCTCCACATCAGCCCCGTCGAATGGTCGCTCCTCGTCCTCGTCCTCATAATCCGGTACGAGGTCTTTGATGTCGATATCGTCATCCCATGTAGGCTTCTTCGGATGCTTCTTCTTGCCGTCGCCATCGACTCCACCGTCCGCCTCGGCATAATATTCCTCGCCAAACCGCTTCTGCATTTCTTTCTCCCATTTATCATCATCCCAAGCGTCATCCAAGAACTTAGCCCAGTCTTCATCCGTAAGCTCAGAAGCGCGGAATCCGGCGACTTCCTTGATCTTGTTGACCTTCTCCTGGAGCTCTTCCATTTTCAGCTTGCGAAGACGGTTCTTCTCAGTCTCGCGCTGCTTCTTTTCCTCTTCCTTCCTCTGACGCTCGGCCTCTCTTTGTTTCTTTCTCAAACTCTTTTCTTCTCGCCGCACGGACTGTTGGTTCGTGGCGTCACGGGCGTGGGTGACGAGTACCGTGTTGAGTTTGCTAGGATCCTCGAAGCGGAAGTTGTATGCTTCTTCGAAAGCCTCTGCGCGCGCATCCTCCTCTTCATCGTCGGACTCGAAAGGTTGGAGTTTTGCCCGGTCAGCGGGAATCCATGCTCTTGATGACAAGAAGTTTGAGAGGAAGGTCTCCGGATCTTTGTCGGCGTTCTCAAGATCCAGCTTCACCTCGGGCTTGGACTCCGCGGCTGGCTCTGGAGCGGATTTACGTCTCAGGAGCCCATCGTCTTCGTCAGCCGACGATTCATCTTCCTCGGCCGCATGCATCTCCCGAACGATCTCATTCTTCAGGTCTTCTTGCTCCTGGACGTAGGTCTTGGGGGCATCGGCTTCATCGTCTTCGGCCATATGCGCGCCACTTAGGAGGTTCTGGCGGTGGTAGTCTCGGAGGGTCATGGGTTTCTGCTTCTTTTCGGACGTCGCAGTTTGGCCATCGGCGTTTTCATCGGCCTCGGCAAAGAAGGTCACGGACGAGTCGTATACACGGGGGTCCTTGGATCGAATAGCGTTCAGAGTGGCCATGATTTGGGCATCAAGAGCCTCTGTCGCAAGTTCGCCGTCCTCATCTTCTTCTTCCGAAGACGACTCCTCTGAATCGCCCGACTCATCTTTACCGAATTTTGCTTCCACTGCAAGGACCTCAATTAGTATACTGACCCGATTGATAGAATTCAGTAAAAGGAGCCATACGTTTCTGCATTTCTTCTCTCTTCTTGTTATGCTCGAAGCGACGGGCATATTCTTCGTTGATCTTGAACCCATTGTCGGTGTTTAGGGACACTCCGCCGGACTCATCTCCGGACTCGCTGGAGCTATCGTCATCAAGAAGCTTGCGCGGTTTCTTCGCCGGGGGCTCCATGGTTACTGCCTGAAAAAATGGCAAAGCGATAAAGGATGACTTGATAAATGCGCCGAAAAGGAAAAAAAAAAAAAGTTGGGGACGGGGTCGGCGGCAGAAAAAAAATCACTAGGCTCACCGCCCGAGGAGGTCTGGGATGCCTGAGAAGCCAGGCGGCGAGACAATGTCTGACGTAGCCAATTAGCGCACCCACTGGGGCCTATCCCCGAAAGGCTCCAAGAGGCGCTTCCAGCTCTCGTGGGCCATGTCCCTTGCGCATCTCTCCTATATTCTTCCGCATCTTGGGCGCTCCTCGTGCTCCTCTACTAATTTACTAATTAGCTCGGGGTGAATTGCCTGCCTATCTTCTTGGAGTTACTTGTTCGCGTCAAGTGCATGGCCGGAGACATACAGTAGATGTCGACCCAGACGCAGATCCCCGTACCGCAGGTCGGGAGGCTTGTTAGCGTGGTGTAAGCTGTTTGACTTCTCCTTTCGCGCTGATAGCATATGTTCTGGTTCCTGACTCTGCCTATAAAGCCCAGTTGGTCTCAAGGAGGCGGCCCTCGACTCACCGACATTCCGCGCCACGACGCTACACTTCTCCGACCAGATCGAGTTCCTCGAGAAATGGCTCGATGGTTACGCGAAGGCCGCATCCAGGCTCTCCATGGACATTGCTGCCATGGAGGGCGTGGTGAGCGCCTTTCTATCCTATTCCACAAACCCCCTTACCGTATCTGAAGCTGCGCTGGATCATGATTACACTCTGCTTTCGATGAGGAGATGTGGTGATAGCTCTCGGGACTTGTGGAATGGACTGGTAGCCACAACCAAGAAGATCGAGGTGCTGGTTTCGGAACCTATAAGAGCTTTCATGCAGGATGATCTCCGTGCCTTCAAGGTTGCAATGGCCCCTCACCCTCATATGATGTATCAGTCACTTACCCCTCCGTAGGAAACCCGCCGCACCCTCGAGCAGACGCAGAAACATTACGATTATCTATTGTCGAGATACTCGGCGCAGTCAAAGTCGAAAGAGCCGTCGTCTCTCAGGGAGGATGCGTTCCAGCTCCACGAAGCGCGCAAAGCATACCTCAAGGCGTCTATGGACTTTTCGGTACAGGCACCCCAGCTACGAAACGGTCTGGATCGGCTGTTAGTCCGCGTTTCCTTCGACCAATGGCGCGAGTTCAAGTTGTTTCACACGAACAATAGCTCAACCTTCGTCAAATGGGGCCAGGAGATGGATCGCATTAAAGGCTGGATACATGAGATGGAAGGTAGTGAAAAGTCATCGAAGCGAGAACTATTGGCTGCGAGAAAAGAAATCGAGGAGGCTGCAGAGGTTACCGCTAGACCTTCTCGTGAGCTAGACGACTACTCCATATCCACCGTCCCCTATCTTGGTTCACGTCCACTGTCGTCTCTCAACATGACAGGAGAGGCCAAGCCGGAGAAGCAAGGATGGGTGTATCTGCGCACGCTCTCGGGCAAGCCTACGCGCACAAACTGGGTCAGGCGCTGGGCTTTCTTGAAGAACGGAATCTTTGGTTGCCTAGTGCAAGGCTCTCGAACGGGTGGCGTGGAGGAGAGCGAGAGAATCGGCGTCTTGCTCTGTAGTATCCGTCCTGCCTTCCAAGAAGAACGACGGTTCTGCTTCGAGGTGAAAACAAAAAGCAACAGCATCATGCTCCAGGCAGAAACCCAGAAGGAGCTCATGGAGTGGATTGCCGCATTCGAGGCTGCCAAGCGGAAAGCACTGGAGAACCCGGCCAGCACTGATTTATCCGTCTCTGGGAAGGTTACCATCCAGGACCCTGCCTTTGCCATATCCCAGCCACCGGCTCCTGAATTTGCGGCCGATCCAGCGGACTCCCTGACTCCCCATTCTAGTGAAGAACATGGCTCTGACCGCTCTGGATTGCTCCCTGTCCCAGACCGCGATCCCAACGGGACTCGGTCGAGCAATGACTTTAGTGCTTACCGGCGACTGACTTCGATGGACGGAGATACTTCCGCTCGTGAACATACAAACCGCATCATCCAGAAGTTGGATCTTCATCGCAAGTCGGGTCACACTGTCCAACCATCCAACTCCATCCCGGGAGCTGGAGGTGGAATTGCCAGCTTGATTTCTGCAAGCCACAACGCCCTAGTCTCTGGCACTCCCTTGCCTCCGAGCTTACCTGACAACGAAGCAAATCGTGGTCGTATCCTGACAAATCGGTCCGAGTTTCCTCCTACAACTCTGGCGCCCCAGACTCTTGCGAATCCTCCAGCACCTACAAGCATGAGTAAAGCCGCCGTGATGGTGAGCAATGAAAGGGGCATTGGACTTGGGCAAGCGGATAAAACAGGCGGAATGCCTAGCGGGATGATGGCCAACTTATGGGGAAGTTCGAACTGGGGTTTCGTGAACAGACTCGAGCGCGAACGTCTGGGATTGTCCGAGGTGAGTGGTGGCAGTGCTGCCCAGAATAGGCCATCCTCGCCAATGAGCGATTCTTCGAAGCAAGTTCTTCCAGCAGAAGCGGAATCCGCTGGAGGATCCACCGCACGGAAACAGTCAATCTCCGGCCCACGCCATAGGCAAACGGTTAGTCTTGATGGAGACGCCTCCAAGGTACAGCGTGCGATCTTGGGTGTTTCACACGAATATCCAAGCTACTATCCCCAGCAGCTCAGAATCCAGGATGCTCAGTTCCGGCTCCTCTTCCCCAACGTCAAGAGGGAGGAACCTCTGGTTATGGTGTTCCGGGCCACCTGGAACCCCAATGACCAGCAAGAATTCCCTGGCAGAGCCTATGTCACTACTCGGGACATTTACTTTTACAGTCACTACTTTGGACTGGTGTTGACAACCAGTGTGTCCCTGGAAAGCATTAAAGAGGTCACTGCTGCCTCAGGGAGAGATTGTGACTTCTTGTTCCTTCATACTATTCCCCTACCTGGCGACGACACGCCCGGTCGTGTCACTATCAAGACTTTCCTGGAACCTTTGAAGCTTCTTCAGAGGCGACTGAACTTCTTGATCCATGACTCGACGGCGGTTGAGCCTATGGGACTGGAGCAGATTTTCAAGACGCTCACCAAGATGGAATCCGATGTGGCACGGACTCCCAGCGTAGACAGCTGGGAGGACGTAGGTGCTTTGGGCGAAAAGGATGAAGACGATGGTGTTGACCAACGCCTTAGAAAAGACCTTCGAGCTCCAATCTATATTGATAAGGACCTAGACACAAGCTCGAAGAGAGCTTTGGACGGCAAGGATATCCCGAAGTTCCGATTGCCAACACAGGCAGTGCAGTACGTTCCGCAGGGAAATCTACATCTAGCGGCAGAGAAGGTCTTTGATGTTAGCCCGAAGGCGATCTTCCATATTCTCTTCGGCGATAAGAGTGCTGTCTGGCAACTTCTACTCTATCAGAGGAAGGCCAAAGGTAGGAAGTCTAGTTCACCATGTCGAGGACTAGCTAACGAGCGATAAGATATCAAACAAGGGCCGTGGACCAGGAACGAAACTCGTCATCTGAGACGCGATTTCCAATACCAGATTGAGACAACTGATATGTTCGGTAAGTGCTCCAATATTAGACAGCGACAGATCGCTCGACTAATCGCGCACAGGACGTACTGAAGGAAAGGCAATATCGGACTACCAGATGATCGACGTCCTCAATGATCATCTCTGTTATGTCATAACCGACAAGCGCACGCCGTGGCATCTTCCCTTCAAACGTTCATTCAGGTTGGTCAGTAAGATTGTGATCACCTTTGTTGCCAAAGGAAGGAGCAAGCTTGCGGTGTATACGAAGGTCGAGTGGTTGTCAACTCCCTATGGTCTTCAGGGTTAGTACATGTCTTTGTCCAACATGCCCTACTGTGGCTAATGTTCTTCAGCGGTAATCAATAAGCAAGCGATGGGAGACCTGGAGCAAGATGCCTTGGACTTGGTCGATCTTGTGGGCGACCAGGTGCGTAGGCTGGGAGCTCATAGTCGAACCAAGAAGGCGATCACGATATTCGGCCATGTTGGACGGCAGACCTTCGTGTCCCAGTTTCCTGGGGAGGTGGACGTCCGACTTGAACCTCGCAAGCCTCGACAGCAGAGAACGCTAGTCCAACTACTCTACGAGACCTTTGTCAGCTTCGCCGAGAGCGCCATCTCGTCCGTGATGCTATGGACATTTGCTCTGCTCCGTTGGGTCTGGAAGACTACGAATGCGAACAAAATGATCCTTTTGTTGCTGGTTTCGAGCATGTTTATCAATGGCTTCTATACATCACGAGATGCCTCTGAGTGGTGGCACGAAAGGTCGGCTGAAAGCTTCATGGCTCGGCTCGGGGTCCACCCTGACCACGTCATGAGTAAAGCTATATACATGAGAGATATCGACGAAGCAGTCGCCAACACAACCATCGCAGACCTCAATGGCACTGTGAGCGACTGTTTTGCCACATTCCAGCAACAGACAATACGCAACAATGGGGCCAGTGCCTCTCTGGATGTCTCGGGCCCGAGGGACTCGGTGACGAAGAGCGCGGCCCGACGACTTCAGCATACGCGTGAACGCCTGGCCACGTATCGGCACAATCTTCTGGTGGCTCTGCGTGTTGTGAACAGCATCGAGAAAGAGCTTATCCAGAACGAGTGGGAGCGCTGGCTCCGACAGGAGCTGAAGCGCTGTCGCCAAGTCGAGGTTCTTCTTGGAAAGGGCGAAGGCGAAGATTTTGATATGCAGATGAATCGCTTGGGCCAGACTGTTTTTGCCGATCTCTCCGACGACGTCCGGCAGTGGTACGAGCAGTACTGTACCAGCTGTCACAAGGAACAGGAGCAGATCGAGAGAAATGGGCGTATAGACGGGGCCTCATAAACAGGTTCGGGCGGTTTGCTTGTTGCTGTTTGTTCCGGATTGCTTGGATATCTCTGTTTGACGATACCCTGTTGAAATTGGCGGATGTGTTCATATGTTGCAGACATGGCGGCTTGATCTGGATGGAGTGTAAATAATTGTATAGCAATGCGAACAGAATGAGATATACCCGTCCGTGTCTGTACAGCCGCGAGCATCTAATTCTGCCGCGGCTTCACAGCACCCTCCTGAACGACGTAGTACACGATGGTACCATCGCCGCCCATTCCCTTGTCAATCATAGCGAGAAGCATCCTCTTCCCGCCCCACTCCTTGGTTTGCAGGGCCTGTTTCCGGCGCTCATAATACTCCGCGATGGCAGCGGCTTTCTCCGCGCTCATGTTCTGCGTATCCTCCTCGACGTCGTCCCCCGCCTGGAGCTGCGTTCCATCCTCGACGGAAGGAAGCGAATCGAACACAGCGGCCATTTTGTGCAAGCTCCACGACTGGCCCTGCACCGTGGGGAGCACAAAAACACGCTCCAGCTCGATGTCTTCCTCGCGCAGACCCTTCTCCAGCATGTACAGCTGTTCGTCCGGGTGGGTGTAGACGCGGTTGGGCGGGATGCCGGAGATCAGGAGATGAGGGGCGGGAGATTGGTTGTCGGGAGAGGATTCTGCTGTTGTATCTGAAGACGGGGTTGTGCTCGGGAGGTGTAGTTCGTGCACTTGGAGCGACGTCCAGAGGTGTTGGTGTTGCAGGTTGTGGAGGATTTGGAGAGTACGGGCGGAGTAGGGACTGGAGGGCGTTGAGGTGGATGCGATGAGACTGGTGAGCGCAGACGGCTCTGAAATCGTATTTGAGCGGGTCGTTGTCGTTGCCATTGTAGGTGGTCTGTTTCTTTTCTGTTCTCCGCTTGCTTCTGGTATATCGTGCGGAGACGATTTCGTCCCTCCAGTGGTGGTTCTGGTGGAGTGAATAGGAGGATTTCGTATAATGTAAATCGCCGAGGAATTCCCAAGTAAATATTGACCCCTTCAAATTAATTGTCCCGTGAGAATCTGCTCATGGAAGTAAGAAGAAGCGGAAGAAGAGAGTGAATGGCGCGGAGAAAAAAAGTCGGCGGGGAAAATCGCCTGAATAATTCCGCGCCGAGTCGCGTTTGGCAGAAGAACACATGGCATCATCCTGTCTTGTTTCCTCCTGCACTCGACTCTCCCCTTTCCTCCAACTAATTTAATTCTCTTTTCTGCACCTGCGCCGTAGTCGCTTGTCTACTGCGATCTAACGCATTTCCCATTTTGCCTGTTTTCTTGCTTGAATCACTGTCCCCATCTCCATACTTCAACTGCTTCATGGCGCGCCAGAAGCAAACGGCGCCCTCGCAACGGGCCACTTCTTCAGAACTGATGCACTTGCTTCCCAATGGAGCCGAAGCGCAACAGAAGCAACGGAACGGAGCCCCCCAAGAGCATGTTGCCAATGGCACGGTGTCTGAGAAGAACGCGCCTGAAGCGGCCCCGGAGGCCCCAGGGCTGACCCAGCTGGCCATCTGCGTGCTGGGCATTTACGCCTCATTGTATGTTCACCTGTCTGTACTGGAGCCCAATACAGTTAAACTAACCTCCAAAGTCTTTCCTGGGGGGTCCTCCAAGAAGCCATCACCACCGTCTCCTACCCTGTATACCCTCCCACTGCGGCCGAACCGGAGCCTCCAACCGAGCGCTTCACCTTTTCGATCGTGTTGAACACCATTCAATCCTGCTTCGCGGCCATTACAGGCTTCCTCTACCTGTTCTTCTCGACTCCGGCCGGCAAGACGGTGCCGTCGATCTTCCCGACAAGGAAGATCCTCTTCCCCCTGCTCCTCGTCAGCATTTCCTCCTCCCTCGCCTCGCCGTTCGGATACGCCAGTCTGGCCCACATCGACTACCTGACGTTCATCCTGGCCAAGTCGTGCAAGCTGCTCCCTGTCATGTTCCTGCACCTGACCATCTTCCGCAAGCGATACCCGCTGTACAAGTACGGGGTCGTTCTGCTGGTCACGCTGGGCGTCGCAACCTTCACCCTGCACCACCCGGGCACCAGCAAGAAGGTGGCTGCGTCCGCCGCGAAGAATCAGTCCGGGTCGTCCGCGTGGGGCATCTTCCTGCTGTCGATCAACCTGCTCCTGGACGGCCTGACCAACACCACGCAGGACCATGTGTTCAGCTCGCCGCAGGTCTACACGCGCTTCACCGGCCCGCAGATGATGGTCGCCCAGAACGTGCTCTCGACCGTCCTGACCTCGACCTACCTCCTCGTCATGCCGCATCTGTCCTCGACCGGCATCCTGCACGCCCTCCTCCCCATCCCCATCCCGCCCTCTACGGAGACGGAGCTCAGCTCCGCCATCTCCTTCCTGTCGCGCCACCCGGAGGCGCTGAAACACGTGCTGGGGTTCGCCGCCTGCGGCGCCGTCGGCCAGCTGTTCATCTTCTACACGCTCTCGCGCTTCTCGTCGCTGCTGCTGGTGACCGTCACGGTCACGCGCAAGATGCTCACGATGCTCCTGAGCGTGTTCTGGTTCGGCCACTCGCTGTCGGCCGGGCAGTGGCTGGGCGTGGTGCTGGTGTTTGGCGGCATCGGCGCAGAGGCCATCGTGCAACGGCAGGAGAAGAAGGCCAAGGAGCGGGCCAAAGCCGCGAAACGAGAATAACCGGGACATATGCCATGTATATATGTACACGCTGATAGACTTGATTTTCAATACCACGTTGGGTTTTGGTCATTACTGCATGAGTCGCTAGTCGCTAGACAGCGGAAGAAGGTAGAGAAACAGCTCAAGCGGAAATAGGAATAGGAGGCGAATCACTTCCTGCCCTCCACCATGATGATGTGGTATCCGAACCCGGTCTTCACATCGACGTATTTGGGGTTACTCGTTGTGCTGGGCTCGAGCTCATACGCCGCCTTCTCAAAGGTGGCATCCAGGCTGCCGCGGACTTTCCAGCCCAGCGAGCCGCCTAGGTCTGTGAGCGGGTGCAATGCGCAGGGAAGAGGGGAGGGAGGTAACATACCTTGGCGGGCTTTGTCTTCGGAGAACTCTCTTGCGACGTCGTCGAACTTGGCGCCGTTGCGGAGCTTCTCGAGGGCTTCTTCTTTCTTGGAGAATTTCTCGCACTGACATGTATTAGACTGTTTGATGGAAGAAAGTGGAGAGTGCTGAGACAAGGGCAGTGCGTCTGATACGGGATCTGTCCCATGGTGTAGCTAGGTAGAGGGTACGTACGAGAATATGCCGGACATTGATCGAATTCGCCGGTTTCAGACCCTTGCCCTTATCACCGCCATCGGCGTCCTTTCCCTTGCCCTTCTTGTCACCGCCTTTGTTCTTGGGGGCCATGTTGGCGTGGTTTGGAGTAGATGATGAGATGAGCAAGGAAGAGCAGATGATGACGATGAAGCAAAAAAAGAGAACGACGAGGTGGGGACAAGTGGGGTTGCAGCCTGAGGCAGCCTTGTCTCCCGTATTGGTGAGGTAGAAGTACTACATCAACTTCCTGACAACATCACTCCTCCTTCGTCCTATCGGAGGGCAATGATCAGGCTGACAGGGGCAACCGAGGCTGTTTCGGCGACATTGTTTACTCCAGAATCTGACACGGGCTAAGCCAGCTAGCCCCATCCTAGACACACGACCTGTTACAATGGCGGCGGACTTGGAGACCGCCCGCATCCGATCACTGCCCGAAGATGCCTTCTACATAGCGAATTTCATCACCGAGGAAGAAGAGGATCTGCTACTCCAGAAGGTACGTCTCCGCCCTTCCGTCTACCAAAAAGGTCGAACTGGTACGAGAAAGTTTCAGATCACAACCGCCCCCCTCCCCCGCTGGACGCACCTCTCCCACCGACGTCTTCAAACCTGGCCGTCAGCGCTCTCCAAGACCAACACCCTGATCGACTCCCCGCTCCCCGCCTGGCTCGTCTCGCCCATCATCATCCCTCGCTTCGACGCCCTCGGCATCTTCGCCGACGCTCCGCACGGCGCCCCCAACCATGTCCTCGTCAACGAGTACCAACCCGGCCAGGGCATCATGCCGCACGAAGACGGCGCGGCCTACTATCCACTCGTGGCGACCGTGAGTCTGGGCGCGCCGATCGTCTTAGATTTGTACCCGAAGGGCGGCGCGGAGGGAGCAAACGACAGCGACGACAAGCGACATCGGCCGCCGCAGCATCGCATCCTGCAGGAGCGGCGCAGTCTGCTCGTGACGCGCGCCAAGATCTACACGGACTTTCTGCACGGGATCGCGGAGACCACGGCGGACGAGGGCCTCGGCGCAAAGTCCATCTGCAACTGGGATTTGCTGCGCGAGCCGCAGCGGTTCTGTGGGGGCCGGGTGGAAAGGGAGACGCGGATCAGTCTGACGTATCGGGATGTGCTGAAGGTTGCGAAGCTGGGCAATACGATGAAGTTCCTGGGGAAGCGGTAGAGTTTACACACGAATCGGGTTTGTACGTAGATTATGATCGCTCTTGGATTGCTGTCTGGTGTGCGCGGCGTCGCGCGGTGTCTACGATTAGTACACCCCCGGAAGCATGTTCCATCGGTCCCGCACTGCGTCGGCGCCGAACTTCTGCATGTACCAATTCTTAGTGGTGCCCGCGGTGACGCCCAGATTGACGGCGACAAAGCCCAGCGCGGCCAATAGGGTCTTGTTGACGAGCTCACCGGGTGGGGCGGCCAACAGGGCCAGCGACAGGTAGATGACGCATTCGGCGGTGTAATGAGGGCAGACGATGGTGCGGAAGAGGGGGTGCGTGGGGAGGGAGTATTTCTTCAGCGAGAAGAGATAGTGATGGCAGTCGTGTTGCACGCCCGATGCAAACAGGAAGAGCGGCAAACAGAGAAAGGTGCGGAGCGAGGGCACCATGGTCACCTTGATGTCGTCCACGGAGAGATCATGCGACAAGAGGGAGGCTTTAGGCGCGAGCGAGATAAAGGAACGACAAACGGTCAGCGATCAGACGCGGGGTAGAGCCGAGAGCAACATGACAAACAAAGCGATGCGGGGAAGGGAAGCTCAAGGTACCTGTTCCCTCGATCCAGACGCCCACCGCCACGACGACGTAAAAGGCGATCCCCACCAGCCAGTGGACGAACCACATCCGGGACGACGACGGCTTGGAGAAAGAGAGGCATTCGGATAGTCGTCGTACTCCTTGCACGAGCATGAGGAACCAGCACAGCATCACCTGGTGGACGGACATGGACGGAGTCTGAAGACGGTCGGCGTGGATTCGGGAGGCGATAGCCTGGAAGGCCGAGCCGTGCAGAAGCACCTGGGCGGCCCAGAAGATGGACGACAGCACGGAAGCGATGTAGAAGTGCGTGAAGTAGCTGTGAGGGACGCGCAAGGTGGCCAGGTAATCCAGACCGCGGGCAAATAGCGAGGCGCTGGAGGGCGACTGCGACTGCGACTGCGAGGGGCCCGAATCGATGGGCGTGGTTACACGAGCTCCATAAGGAACGAAACGCAAACGCAGGGCATCGAACAGGTTGACCGATAGGATCTGGGGGAAAGAAAGTCCTGGTTATAGTGCATTCTAGGGGCGTGTCTTTTGGTGGTTTGCATTACTGCTTGTTTTGCATAGTGGTGAGTGAGTGTTTTGTTTCATACCGTGCAGGACGCAAAGAGGAAGAAGGCTCGTAGAACATCGACAACGTCTGTATGAGTGGCGGCCAAGGCCGTATCCACCAGATCGGTGAGGAGGTCCATGAGAGGACGAGGAGGAGGTGTTGGTGGTCGTTGTGGAGAGGTGATGTGTAAGTGGTGCAAGGCAGACAAAAGTCCAAGTTGGACGTCACGGGACCAGCCAGAAGCTGATCGTCTCTCGATAAACAGGAGGAAGGAGGGAGAATGGATGAATGAATGACTTGAGAATGACTTCAGAGGTCGGAAAAATACGATTACGCGGAGGCCGTCATACCATCAACGCGACACGTTTCGAACAAAACACCCCCCCCGTTATGGTGATGATGATCGAGAGGAAACACCGAAGAGCCTCTACTACTATCGAAATGAGCAGTCAGAAATTCGGAGAGTAAACAATACGTACAAGGACTCTCTGTATGGTGTTTGATCCACCTTCAGGGTCTCGTGAGAAGATGGGACGATCGCAGCTATTCCCACCTAGGCAGACCGTAAACACCACGGGGAGGACCTAACTACGGAGTATTTTACCTAGGTTGGTATCGATCCCCACATACTCCCTCCCTCCCTCGAGTTTTTGCATACCACATCACCATGACACCACCATTTGTTGTTTTCTCTCCTCTTCTTTCCTCTCTCCTTAACGGCCGATCGGTGGCCTGCGGGGCTTCCCATGACCCAATGACCCAACGACATGCACGCTCTGCAACATCAGCCAATCCCAAGGAAAGGGGGCGCTCATGTGGGGCGATAAGCTGGCGTCCATGATGAGCTGGGATTGGCTGCAACAGGGCAGATCGCTGCAAGTTCCGGTGGAGTCCGGGAAAGTCTCTCTTGATTTTTATTTTTTATTTTTTTCTTTTCTGCTCGTTTTGCTCGTCTGGCCTAGTCCGTTTGCGGAAACGACTCGTCTCCCCTGCTCGCCGCGGATTGGTTGTGGTGGATGCCCAGCCTGATAGTCGACGTATCGTCACCTCGAAACGAATGAATTGAACTTCTCCAAAGCTTTCCACCTCTCTATTAGAGGAAGAGGACGAGACCGGAGTTTTAGAATAGTCGGAGAGACGGAGGGAAAGGAAAGAAAAGGAGAAAGGACTGAGAGTCGCAAGGCTTTCTTCCATTTCCAGCTGGGAGTGTCTCTTTCCCGCCACCACCCTGACCGCCCCGCTTGTCTCTGGCTGCGTTAGGATGGGACGCTATGGCGTGAATGGTGGGTTGTAGTGGTACCCATCCTCCACTGCATACCGTATTCGACCTGGTGGAATACCTAGGATTCGGTGGGAGAGTTCTTGATTAATTCAGGAGGGAGGATATGTCTGAGATGAATGATGAGAATACTGATGGCACCTTTAGGGTCTTATCATGAAGTCATGGAGCAGCGAGGAGAGAATGCTCATAATACTGGCAATACAGTATACATCAGAGTGACTCATCCAAAGGTGCCACTGCTATTCTTATCGCCCAAAGAGGAGCTGGTATGGTCTGAAAAGTACTGGGTACGTATCATACCATACTGGGGCTGACTAACCCGATTTCTCGCTGGTGGCCAAAAAGTGGGCAAAAAAAAACAAGTAACATTCGTCCGTACCCTTACAACCTCCTCCTCAATCAATCTCTCTCACTCTCACTGCGACGCCCATCTGCGCTACCTGCGACTGGTAAGGTAATTTCCTTCCAACTAAACCCCAGTCGGTCGGTCTCCATCCCCGTCGTTTCAACTTCTCGTCCATTTCTCTCTTCCTCTCCATTTTCCCTCCTCTTCTCTCCCCCCAAACCCATCACCTTTCCTCTCCTCACCCTTTTCGCCCTCACTCCTCCCCAGACGACGACTACGACAACCTAACCTGATCACCCACCTGCCGACTCGCTTATTTCTCGACTCTGATCCTGTCTCCACTTCGTCCCGTTCATCTCCTTTTTAGACCGTCTTCTCCCAGATCCTCTCCCTCGCCATCCATTCGTCCTCGCCGTCCATTCCGACCGTCAGCTTTCCCCCCTCGCCTCTTCTCATCTTGACGAACAGTTTGCCTCCCAAGCGTGGTCGAGCACCGGCGTCCGCGCATCATTGCGGGTGTATCTGGCCACGAGTCCTACTTCCGCCACGGCCTCCGAAAATGACGAGCAGAACCCCCACAAATCGACTGCTACCGCTATGAGTGATGTTGACACTGTCTCCTCCGTACCAGCTGCCCTGGATGCCGATCAGAGTGCTCTTGCGGTCAAGGTGAACCACCGGTCTCCCTCGGGACCCCCCTCACCCAAGAGGGCTTCTCTACCCCCTCTCCCTCGAGGGGTGACCCGTCCCGTGAAGGAGCCGGAGCCTGTTGCTGGGGAGGGTGACGGGCCAGCAAGCCCCAAGGCTGACTCGGAGGCAGAAACCATCATCCAGTCGGGCCGGGAGTCTTTGTCCCCTGAGAAAAGGCGCAAGTTCATCAGGCATGAACCGAAACCCCGTCATGAGGGACGGGACCCCGTCGATCCCGTGGAGAGTGACCTGCCCCCCAATGACCTGCACGTTAGGAAGCGCAATTCCCCGAATGGCCACTCGCGGGAGGAACGCGACCGTGAGGAAGCCCGCCCATCAAGCCCCCGTCGGAGGACGGTATCGCCACCATCCGTCGTGAAAGTCGAGAAGCCAGAGGATTCCCAGTCGGTTTCCAGCAAGATTGAGCTGTCGACCACTTCGGCGCCGAGACACCCACGAAAGCGCAGCTTCAGTGAGACGGTCGATGGAGAGGGTGAATCGGGTCGCTCTGTACGTCAGAACAGCTCTGCGACCGCTCGCCCTCGGGAGCGAAAGGATCTGAATGGAGTGCTGCTACCTCGGCCCGTTTCCAATGATCGTTCCGTCTCCCCCGTCCGTGCCTCCCACAAACGGACGGCTTCGGGAACGCAGCTCTCTGCGGGTGAAATGCAACGGAAGAAGAAGGCGCCGACCCCTCTCATAACTGGATTTGCACGCCAAAGTTCCGAGGATCGTCAATCTGTGTCGTCTTCTACAAGCGGTTCCCCGCTGCCCAGCGCTCACGCACGGAAACTCGGTTCGGTTGACGGTGCGTCGGCCTCGCCTGCACGGCCCATGGGTCACAAGAAACAGCGGGACCAAAATGGTCGGACCCGATTAGCGCGTGCGTGTGCGGCTCAAGAACTTGAAGCCGCTATCGCACGACATGCGGAACGTCCTGAGGACCTGAATGTCGCTGACAATGCCGGAAATACTCCCTTGCAGATCGCCTCGCTCGAAGGATGTGCACCGATCGTGAAATTTCTTCTCGAGGCGGGCTGCGAAATCGACACCAAGAATATTGATAAAGACACCCCACTGATTGATGCGGTCGAGAACGGCCATCTGGAAGTCGTGAAGCTGTTACTCGAGGCTGGTGCAAACCCTCGTATCTTGAACGCCGAGGGCGACGAGCCGTACGAACTGGTCCCATCGGACTCGGAAGACTACGAAGAGATCCGGCGAGTGATCTCGGAGGCAAAAGCCAATCCCCGTCCAAACCGCCGATCCGAGGAGCGCGCTGGTTCGGAGAATAAGGAGCCATCATCTCGACGGATTTCCGCCGAAAGCGCACGCGATTCACCCCCTGTGCATCGACAACGTAGTCCGCCTATGGCTACCACGAAACGCAGGACCGTACGCAGCGAAGCCACAAGAAACGATCTACTGTGGACTACAGCCACCCGGGAGAACCTACAGGCGTTCGCAGCAAAAGGAGACATGGCTGGTGTGGCTAACATCCTGAATGTGGGACAAACAGCCGATGCGGAGTCCATGATTGCTGCTGCGAAAGGCGGCCATGATGAGGTTATCTCGCTGCTTCTAGGTATGGGTGATGCGGATCCTGACCCTGATCCTGTCTTCAATGGAAATCAGAAACCTGGCTACAACACGCCTATGTTGGCTGCGATTGGCCGGGGCAATGTAAACGTTATCAAAATTCTTCTCAACCAACCACGATTCAACCCGACTCGCCGACCATACAAGGATCGCACATATTTCGAGCTGTCCCGGGACCGCAGAGGAGATAATTGGGAGGAGGAATACGACCTCTTGCGGGAGGCGTACGATAACCATGTTCGGGCGAAGAAGTCACGGAAACAAGATGTTTCCTCCCCGCGACGACCACGAGATCGGGATAAGGAGAACCGTCGACCTGTACGCCGAGATTCGCCTTCCCCAGGTGGACGACCTAGGAAGCCAGTTGATAGCCATCGGGACGTTGCGTCCAAAGACCCGGGACTGCTGAAGGACCGGAAACGAGAGAATCTTGCACACGCAAAGGAGAAGTTGGCGTCGTCCCGTCCCAGATCCTCCCACGACCAAGATGGGTCTCGCGCAGAACCAGCAAAGTCGAAAGCGCCGGCATCATCTCGAGACACGGAACCAGCCAGTGCTACCCGTGGTGAAGATGCCCCTAAAAGGAGGCGATTGATAGCTGGAAGACCTCCACAGGACCGCGATCGACGCCGTCCTAGTATTCCGTCCTCCGATTCTCTGTCTGGGCGAGACGAAGGTCCCAAGCCGCGTGTCGACCATGCGTCTGATTCCAATAAACCAGCACCACTAAAGCGAGGTCGCAGCAGTGTCAGCCCTGAACGATCTCGTGCAATCGACCCTGATCGGCAAGCGCGCGAACTCCAAAAGAAGAAGAAACGACGTGTTTTGTCCGAAGACGGTATGACACCGAATATTCCGAATGGGAGTCCGAAGAGAAGCGTGGATGATATCGACGCCAAACTATCAGGCCCGAAGTCGGATAACGACCGCCATTCGGAAGTGGATCCCGATCACACCAGAGGTCCTAACGGGCTCGATGAAGACACGGTACGCAAATCCGTCAAGGAGGAAAAGGAGAAGCGCGAGGCGCATGACCTGCATGATGTCCCCATGGAGGATGTCCCCAGTGCTGCTGAAAAGGCCGAGGCCGAGGCCGAACAGCGTCGGCAGAAGGAGGCCGAGAAAGCTGAGAAGGAACGTCTCGCTCAGGAAGCGCGCGTAGCCGCAGAGGCCGAAAAGGCCCGATTGGAGAAAGAGGAGGAAGAGCGTACTGCTCGGGCCGCACGTTTGGCCCAGGAGAAAGCGGCTGAGGAGGAGCGCAAACGTAAGGAGGCCGAACAACGGCGGATCAAACAGGCGGAAGATGAGCGCCAGAAGCGGATCGAGCAAGAGCGGGCACGCATGGCGAAGTTGCGCAGAGACCAAGAAGAGCAGGAGCAGCGGCGACGGGACGCCCTGCCCAGCCGACTCCGCATCGCAGCCAACCTGGTTGGGTCGAACGATCCGCAAGCACGGAGTCATTTGTGGTTGCGGAAGTTCATGCCGGTTGTCACGGCCGAGACGCGGCAACTCGATCCAGGCTGTAACCCTGATCTGGCCGATGAGAAGTGGGTTCCGAACTACCTGGTTGCGCCGTTGTTGGCTACGAATGATCTCCAGCTATCGCAGTATGCCAGCTGGGAGAAGCGGGACGCAACGCCCACACAACGGATGAATCTGTGGCGGGTGACCCGTCGGATGCTCGTCCAGGCCGAAGACACGGAGTTCATGGGCTCGTCATTCGAACAGGTCATGCAGAAGGACAACGAGACGCGGCCCAAATACTTTGACATGGAACATGTATTCTGGGTTAAGGTATGTTCTCGCGATCTCTGGTAGACATCAGATGCCCTTGCTAACTGGAAGTATAGTTGTCGGACTTCATGGATCTTGTTCCCCATATTCCGCATCTTCACGGACTGGACATTCAGTTTTTGAAAATGCATATCGACCGGGAGCCATCGGCGCCGTCTGCGTTCGCCTTTCCGCAGCCCAATGGACATGCCGCCGGACCGCCGCCTCTGGAGCAGGCCGCTGGATACTCGGGTGGATTAAAGGGCCTTACGAATGGCTTCGGCCATCGCCAAAGTACATACGTCTAACGTTTTGATGCATTCATTCTCTGGCGATTCTCAGTTTAGCTTGTACAGGGATGGCACTTTCTTTTTGTGATGTATGACTATGATACCTCTGATGATGAGTCTTGCCGGTGGCGAGACAATAGAAGACCTCGGTCATGAACCATGATGACTTGGAGTAGTATAAACATTATCTACGGAGTAGGTCCATAACGTGGATAAGACAAGGACATAATGTGATTATATAAGCAAACACGCTTAGATTGACAGCCAATCAAAATGGCTACGGAGGCGGCCTTACTAAGCACATAGGGCACACTGACGGCCTCATCAAATTTAGCGAGAACTTTTCGAGTTCCCCCCATCCGCCTCCAACCACCAACCATCCATCCCACTCTTTGAGGATAATCCGACAGAGAGACCAGCATACATACAAAATGGTAAGCTACCTGCATGGTGACCATTCACCACCCAATTCCACATGCGTTTGTGTCAGTAGCTAACAGGCATGAAATTAGTCGGACGGAGAAGAGACCATTTCCAACCCCCCCGTTGCCGCGGCCGATGAGGTCGAAGTCAGCGCCGACGCCGGCGCCGGTGGCCAGATGTCCGTGCTGGATGCTTTGAAGGGCGTTCTGCGCATCTCGCTGATCCACGACGGTCTGGCGCGCGGTCTCCGCGAGGCCGCCAAGGCGCTCGACCGTCGCCAGGCGCACATGTGCGTGCTCAACGAGGGCTGCGAGGAGGAGGCCTACAAGAAGCTCGTGGTCGCCCTGTGCTCCGAGCACAAGATCCCCCTCATCAAGGTGCCCGATGGCAAGATGCTCGGCGAGTGGGTTGGTCTTTGTACGTTTTTCCCCTGTACCCTTTAGAAAGGAGTCGTGGTGGGCAGAGCTAATGATGGTATAGGCCAGCTCGACCGTGAGGGTAACGCCCGCAAGGTTGTCAACTGCTCTTGCGTCGTTGTCAAGGACTGGGGTGAGGAGTCCCAGGAGCGCTCCGTCCTCCTCAACTACTTCCAGACCGAGCAGTAAATTTCTTCGCCGTCGTCTTTGTTTGATGGATAGCGGGAAATGCGGGGGATTGAATAGATGGAGAAGAGTGGTCGTGGCCGTGCGGGAAACTGGATAGGGTTCTGTCATGTCCTCTTGACGATTGTCCTCTACTTCTACCTTTCTTATTCCTCGTCCTCAACACTGGGGTTACCCAAATACAAGGAAAAAATCTCACTGGAAGAACCTTGAATCTTTGCGTAGGATCTATGGATTTAGATACACAGGGCTGTGCCCGTTGAACTTCACTGCCTACATACAGGAGAAAACGAAATCATGCATATGGATGGACATGTACGATGAAATGACCAGATATCTGCATCGCCAAATCAGATGAACCAACCAGAAGAACGCCGCTATGCAAGCGATAAACAATAACCGGAACGCCTCGTCGGAAATGCTACCGGAACCCGTACGATGGTCGCACCATCTTTCTGGTTTCTGGCGTTAGGGAGAGTTGTTGGTATGGCGAGCTGCCCGGGTCGTAGTAGAGACCCTCGACGTGACCGCTTTCGCGGTGGAGAGAGATGTAGTAGAAACCGGAGATGGTGAGGCCTTGTCGCGAGTCGGTGGGGGTGATAAAGCATCGTTCTAGATAAATCCATCAGCGTTTAGCCAAGAGTTCATTCGGGGTCATCATGACATGTCGTACCCTTCCACCGCATCAAGATCCACCCCTGGGATAATTCCTCCGTGATCCATTTGCGACTGACGAGGTTCCTCGTCATCTCCTCGTCGGTCAGGTTCTTGAACGGCTGCAGTTCGCGCCAGTATGTACTGTCAATTTCCGCGTCGGCCTTGAAATTCTTGGTTTCGAGCGTGTGCCTGTTGAAGTCGATGATCTCGCCTTCGAGAAAGGTAATAATGTGTGCATCGTGCGAGGGGGAGGTCTTGTCCGGGATGTTGTATGCCTCCATCGTTCCGGAGAGGGTCATGTCGTGTTCGTTCACGTTGTGAATGGTGACTTTCACCGGCCAATTCTCATCCTTCCCCGCTCCCAAATTGTATATGTTATTAGCTAGATACCGTCGGCCACTACTCGTGTACACGCTGATCCGGCCGTTGTTCTGTTCGCTACCGTTGACGATCATCGGGTCATGCGACAGAGGCGATGTGGGCAGACGCTGCGAGAAGATCGAGTTGATGCTACTGGCGGCCCTCTGGGAGCCTGCGAATACCATCCCCGGTCGCAGCCAGGAGCAGACCGGCGGCGGGGCGATCGACGCCGTGTCGAGGATGAAATCGTCCTCGTCCCAGGGGAGAAAGTCGAGCTGGACAAACCCTCCGGCCGCAGCGGAGGTCAAGCTTTCCTCTAACGATTTCGATTCTCGGAGACGGTCGAGGTATTTAATCGTTTCTTTTAGCCGGGGGCTGGGCGGATTCTCCGTATGTAATTGTCGATGAGCACTGATGCGCGCACGCAGGTCATTATGTGTCAGAAGCCGATGCGGCTCACCACGGCTGCTGGGGATAAATCGATATGCTCGAGAGGCGGCCGATCGCTCTCTACTCTCTTCAGAACCCTGGCCGGACCGTTCTCGGTCGAGGAGATAATCATGCAGCATTCGGGTGCGGGAGAACCGCGGTTGTCGTCGCACGGACTGCAGCAAAGCTTCGGTCGAGGAGAGGGATGGTTCCCGGCGTTCCACTTGGCGATGGATGTTGGGATCTACTGGGTCATCGGGAAAGGCACGTGGATTACTGGTTTCGCGGCGGGCGTGACGTCGAGCGGCTCCGTTGCGATCGGGGAACCGACCAAACCAGGATGAGATGCTATTAGTGTCTTGTAGGGGTTCGTATGCGGCATCATCGTCGGGATCCTCATCGTCATCCGAGGCCGGAGCCCATCCATACAGTGAGCGAGAGCTGGAGACGCGACTCTCGTAGTTGGGCATGTTGCTGTGACTCCGGTGGGGATCGGAATCGCGCTGCCGTCTCACTATGGGGATGCGCCGGTTGATTTCGACAGACATGAGATTAGTCGGATCGTCGTCCAGATTCATGGGGTCCACTTCCAACTCGGACAGAATTTGTTGTCGGCGACGACGTTGGCGACTGAGGGAGGAGACCGAGTCTGGCGGGGAGCGTACACGAGACCGCAGGAAGCTCACGTTATCATCATGAACATCATCGGATGCAGAAGCGGGGACAGAGGGCACGGGGATGGCAACGGCGATGGACGGTGACCGAGGTGTATCCTACAGTGTCAAAGAGGTGAGCAGAGCGATTAGCCACGGTCTTTATTCAACAAGGGGAGTGATGGAAGATAGAATGACGGCACGAGCGACGCAAGGGGAAAATAAAAGGAAGAGGCAGAATGAGGCGGATGAGCTTGACACGTTCTGTCGGGGAATGCGATGCATCCACCCTCCGCCTCCAAGCATTCTAGATCCACCGAGAGTCGCAAGGGGAGGAATGAATAAATTCTGCACGAGGGCGATCGTCGCATGCGACTGAGACAAACGTACCAAAGGCGTGTTGGCAGGAGGCATGATCAGGTAAAACCTCAACCGAGGAAGGGAAATGCAGTGGCGGCGGTGGACGGGGCAACCCGCCGAGGGAAATCAAGATCTGCCAGGTGTTTTATATTAATTCCGGAGGTAAAGACCGGGGAGTGGCCGTCGAGGGGGGAAGACAGTAAATATATGAAGTGAAGAGGTAGAGGGAGTAGAGAGAGGGAGAGAGTTGTGAAGGTGTGTGCGTGAGAGAGGGAGAGTCAGAGAGAGTCAGTGAGTGACGGCCGTTGTGGACGGTTGAGTAATGGATGGTTGCCCATGGGGTCGCAGTGGAACCACGGTTGATCGCTCTCCTTTTTCCCATGGTCGTCGCTTTTCCCCCTCATCTACTAGATACTCCTTCTGTTCACTTCCTCTACAGATCTCTACAAGTATATCTGTCTTTCTATCTGACCCTATTCTGATCGGACGCCATCTGATCTCGACTGCGCTGGTCGATTGCTGACTGGAACCCCGACTTCCCCTCTGCCGATCCTCTCTGCCGTCATTCTGCAGACTCCCGTTCGTCTTCGCTTTCACTAGGTACCTACTGAGCCTCAGTTCATTCATACAGCGTTCTCCCTCAGTTCTCTCGTCACCTACGATCTCAACTGAAGCCTTCGCAACATCTCGACTGTTGACGATGACAAAAGATCCAGCGGACCCTCTGACCTCATTCGGGGAATTCCCCGCGGAGCAACTCCGACTATCAAAAGACCCTCCCCCACGTGGGATTCCATCGTGAAATACGGGACTACATCCTCAGTCTCGTGCTCTTTTGCTCTTGCTCTTGGACTCCGTACTTTCTTTTCCCTCATCACCAACATGGCCAAAATCAAGTCCATCGAATACTTCCGCGTCCTCCCCCGCTGGCTCTTCGTCAAGGTCGTCGACGAAGAAGGTCAATATGGCTGGGGTGAGAGCACCCTCGAGGGTCATACCGAAGCTATCGAAGGAACATTGAATGCCCTGTGCAAGCGTTTCATCGGATACGAGGCAGAGTATGTTTGTCTTTGCCCATTCCACCCCATCCTCCCATCGCACATACTAACAACAACCTCCGTGATCTCCAGTGAGATTGAACATATCTGGCAGATGGCTTGGCGGCTAGGTTTTTACCGTGGGGGTGCCGTCTTCATGTCCGCCATCTCTGGTATCGACATTGCCCTCTGGGATCTCAAGGGCCGCCGACTCGGCGTCCCCGTCCACCAGCTGCTGGGCGGCAAGGTGCGCCACAAACTCTCCGTCTACGCCTGGATTGGCGGGGACCGGCCTTCGGACGTCGAAGTGGCCGGCAGAGCACGTCTCGCGCAAGGCTTCAAAGCCATCAAGATGAACGCCACCGAGGACGTGAACTGGCTGGATTCGCCGAGCGTGTTGGATTCCAGCGTGGAACGCCTCAAGGCCGTCAAGGCCCTCGGGCTGGATGCGGCCCTTGACTTCCACGGCCGTCTGCACAAGCCCATGGCCAAACAGCTCGCCAAGGCCCTCGAGCCCTACCGTCCGCTCTTCCTGGAGGAACCCCTGCTCTCGGAACATCCCGAGGCCATCAAGCAGCTCGCCGACCAGGTCTCATGCCCCATTGCCTTGGGCGAGCGGCTCTACAGTCGCTGGGATGTGAAGCGATTCCTGGAAGACGGGAGCGTCGACGTCCTCCAGCCTGATATCAGTCACTGCGGCGGCATCTCCGAGCTGCGCCGCATTGCCTCCATGGCCGAAACGTACGACGTAGCCATCGCTCCTCATTGCCCGCTTGGCCCCATCGCCCTGGCGGCGTGTATGCAGGTGGACCTCGCGACCCCGAACTTTGTCATCCAGGAGATGAGTCTTGGAATCCACTACAACACGGAGGCCGGCGACTACGATATCACCACGTATGTCAAGGACCCGAGCGTGTTCGACGTCAAAGATGGCTTTGTCGATGCTCTCACGAAGCCTGGACTGGGAATTGAGATCGACGAGGAGACCGTCCGCCGGGTGGCACAGAATACCGAGCCCTGGCAGCCCAAAGAGTTTTTCGGACCCGACGGCGGGATCCGTGAGTGGTAGAAGTAGAACTGCATTGTATTTTACATAATGTTTGATGATGGTTCTTGCATAGCGGCATGCATACGACAGACGGTGATACGATCGATATGGCATGCGCAGCATTGACGTGTTATCACGACATATTAGATCCACATTTTGACTATATATGATCTTGATTCGAAATGTCTATCTAGATAAGTAGAAATCTGTCTAACGAACGGAAAATCGTACCTATACTTAGCACGCCTTCTTACGCGCAGCGTTGCAGTCATCCGCCCGCTGGAGGCACAGCAGGATCAGGTCCCAGAACGCGGCCAGATCCACGCCTCTAGGGATAGCGACTCCCTGTTCAGTAGGCGTGACACGAGATTGACCGAGGGCACCAGCCAGTTCCGCATCCGTTCCGTGTAGGCCCTCAGTGACCACATCCACAGTGAATCGCTCTCCGTTGCGATCGTCAAATTTCAATGCCTGGCCTGGGTGCTGCTTGGGGAAAGTTGGGTTGAGGGTCGACAGCACGACCGCCACCGCCAGCGGATCGTGTAACGGTGGGCCGCTCGTCAGACCAAAAACGGACTCATAGGTCGATGCGAAGAAAACCAGAAGGTCAAAAAGCATCTGTCGCAGGGTCGTTGGAGGCACGGAAGGGTCATTAGCGCCGTGGAGGATGCGGAACTGGACGTCCTGCGAAGCAAGAACTTGATGGGTTAGATCTAGAGTAATCAACGTCGTCTTAGAGGCCAGAGTTGGGTGGCTGAAGATGGACTGGGCCGCCTCAGGATCGCACTACACCGTCGTCAGAACATAATTGCGATACTAGCAGACGGGAGACAGAAAACGTACGTAGATATTGAACTCCGCCAGCGGAGTCACGTTTCCAATCCGCGCCTCCTGTCCAGCTAGGCGGCTGATGGGCGCATCCGAGAACCCTTCACCGACGCCTCCGCCCATAATGCTGAGGCCTTGAATGTGATCTGCCACCTCGGGGAACGTGGCGAACAGTAGAGCAACGTTGGTCAGAGTGCCGGTGGCCACCACCCACGGAGTACCCTTTGGCTGTGCGAGGAGAGCATCACGCATAGCCAGAATGGGATTTTTGTCAGTGATGGGTGCCCGTGTAGCCACCGGCAGAAGATCTGTCCCATCAATGCCGGAGTCACCTGAAAATAGCACAGTACCATGTTAGATCATTGAGGTGGTCCCGAGAGGATCAAAGTCTTTACCGTGGATATTGGGGGCATGAATCGCCGGCCGGCAGAATGGCTTACGACGCCCCGGATAGACGGGGATATTAGGTCGACCGATGGCTTCCAAGATCCTGGTTGCATTGACCGTGGTGTTCTCTAGCGAGGCATTACCATGGATGGTGGTGATCCCGAGGAGGTGCAAAGACGGATGGTGTGCGGCGACAAGAATGGCAAATGCGTCCTACAGTGCATTAACAAAGAATGATTCTGGAGACTCAGAAGTAAACCACACTCACATCATGCCCTGAAGACAAGTTGTTAGCATTGGGGTCTGGCGGGCAGGATCCAGATGAGGCATCTACATACCAGGGTCGCAATCCAACCAGACGGGAATTGGGACATCTGATGCAGAGGCCATCGCGGGCTCGTTATCCAAGATACTGTCCGATTCGGCTAGAGAACAACAGATTGAAAGCCGGAACTGCCGGAAGGAGGATGCACAAGACGAAGAGGGATGGAAGAGGAGGATCCATGGATGTTGACGCGGATGCTTAATGCGGGGATCTGATAAGCCCCCTTATCGCCTTATCACCCATCTGCCCTAAGCCCTATTTTCCGGTTTGGGAGCTACCGCGGCGTCATTGTTTCCCGCCTGTCGTCGATAAGACCTCTTTCCTCCACCCCTTCCATTAAGATATCCTTGCATCAACGCATTTTGTCTATAGATCTATCTTGATCTGGGATGCGATGACCAGCGACCCGACTCGTTCAGGCCTTCACCCCGTCTCCCATCTTAAAGCCGGCCCAACAACCTCAAGTTCCAAGTCAACCGCCTCGCCGGGGTCATCCAAGCTACAACCATCTTCACCCGCATCACACCGACCACGACTGCCAAAGTCCTCGAGTCGCGATGAAACGTTTAACCCGACAAGTGATAGGGCGACTGTCGCGTTGATTCGACGCGTACTGTGCCCTCAGGCCTCCAACCAAAGCGGCACTTCCGGTCCGCAGACTCTCGAAGAGTTGCCTCCGCTGACAAGCTCCAACGATGTTGACCGTCAGCTGTATGCTCTGATAGCCATCATTATCAAAGAATTTGTTCTATCTTGGTACTCGAAAATCACAACGGACCAAGTCCTCATCAGTGAAGCTCTTCAGGTGATTGCGCATTGCACCCGTGCACTGGAGCAGCGACTCCGAAGTACAGACGTCGCTGGTTTGATCCTGGATGAGATACCGGCTTTGATTGAATCACATATTACCTGTAAGTCACTTCCCTTTCCAGGGATCCTCGTGAGGTCAGCCTTGAAGGGTACTGATGACGATCAATATTCAGCATACCGGCTGGCGAAAGAACAGTCTGCTAACTCCGCCTTCTCTCCTTCTCTTCGAGACGTATATCATACTTTGAGCCCTCACCCGGGACTTTCGCCTGTTCCAGATCTCTCTAATTCCCGTGCCGTCGAACAGCAGCTTGAGAATGAAACAGCCTACCGTCAGATGCTGGTACAAAGCATGCTGGCAGTGCTCCTTCCGACGGAAGACCTGGAGAACCCCTGTCTGCGGACCTTGGTTGGGGATATCTTTGCGGACCTCATTCTTGGGAACGAGATCAGTGGGAAAATATGCGAAGGTTGGTTTCTGTGGGAGAGTGTCACAAAACTTCTTGAGGTGGTGGGACAATCCGCAAACAGAGAGGGCAATACGACGGACGACGCAGTATTACGCCAGCAAAGCCAGCTACAAAAATTCGGCCTGCTGTCACCCAGGGAGGACTTCCAGGGAAGCGGGTTGTCTCAAAAGGTCCAATTACGGGTCCCAGACTGGGTGTGGACCATCCTTCAACTTGTCTACTTGGCCTATGTGACCTTGCATTTTATTGTGATGGGCCTATTCCGTGTTGCATCGACACCGCTTCGTTCGTCACCAGTGAGCAGCGCGTCTCCAATTGACGAAGCAAAAGAAACGACTACCTTCGGCAAGATTTCGACGCAGCGACCCGTTCTTCAGTATCGAGTGTTTGGCATGGTTTCGCACCTATTGGATGTCCCTCGGCGAATGCCTTGGCTTGGAGGACTGCTGGCACTCCTCCAGTACCAGATCGTAGCGGGTCCGGGCAGATTAGGCGCCACTGGTAGCGTCCTTGATAGGTGAGTCTCATGTCTCTCTTCCATCTCCATTCATCAAATTGTCTTCCCCTCCGTGGGTCGGACGGCGCTTCTGCCCAACAACGAAGGATCCCTCATGGTCTTGTGGAATTCCGGCCGTGGAGATAGGTGAGCGAGGACGAGCTCGACCCCCGAACCATGATCGACGCTAGTACCTGTGTGAGGTCGTCTTTTGTCCGAGCACAGGGTGCGAGTCATTGGAAGATGGTTGTGCATACATGCGTATTGCTCGCATGCTGCTTCGATCACTTGATCTACGGGGAGGCCCATCTTGGGTCTTGATTCGCCCATCCCCTGTCGTATGGCTCTTACCACCTGTGACCGGCGCATACTGTTATCTTACATTGTCTGTATCGTCGTGACCGACCGCAACATTGATGGTCATCATCTCTCTTCGGATGATTGTGACGAAATGGCTCTGCAGTTGCCTGATCGTTCCCTGGCCAGAATGCCTGCATCGGCGATTCCGCTCATGACGCTTCGACGTGCCTGATCCCCTGTCAATCTATCTATCCACTACGACCGGCTTCGACTGCGGTGGCCACCGGTTAGTGCCAATGGGCTGGCCCGGCCCTTTCCGTCCCGCTCAAACTGGGCCTGTCTCTCCCGTGTGATCCGGACGACGTGGGCTATCCGCCCGATGAACGATTTCCTCCCTTCCTCTTCGAACCGTGAGAATTGCCCTCTGCTGTTCCTCACTAGCCACAGACCAGAGGCATTCTGGTTGTGTAAACAGGGATGCATTCGGGAACCTGGTTCTCAAACAGACACTAAGGAGAAAGGGGGGAAGGGGACGAGACCAAATGATTCGTGACGATCACCTCGAGACGGGCTAGATGAATGGCCATTCAACTTCGCACCTTTGCATGGATCAAGTGAACACCATTTTCCTTTTCCTCGGGGGGTCCAATCACCGAGGTGACTTGCATGGGCCTGGATTTGAATTGCGGCCGAGGCCGTCGGCGGAGTTCAGTCACGTTTCAGCGAAGCCTATGACATCGCACTATCTCCATACATGCTCTCCGAGATAGAAGGATGCGCGGAGTCCACACCCGTTCCTGTATCGACGGACTTGTCGTCATCTTCAGCATTGGGCTCTCGCTCATCGCACCAATCGATGGCCCAAGCTCCATCGACACACCTGGGCCTAGTAGATCGCATTAGGCCCACCGCGAATCCTTCCCACTCTTTGCTCAGGCTCCGTCGTCTTTTTCGTTTACCCCTCGCTTGTTCTGGCGTTACACTCGTCCTCGAAAGTCACGCAAAAGAAAAAGAAAAAAAAAAAAAAAAAAAGAAAAACCAAAAAAAAGTCCTTCTCCACATGTCCGGGGTTCTACCACCTGCTTCACCGGGGCTTCTCTTTCTACCGTTGCGCAATTCGACTGTCCATGCATCTTTTCTGGCCTGGAGGGAGTGCTTGGCTGGCGCTGGTGTGTGAAATTGTCCTAACTTTTTCTCCACTTTAGGTTCCTTCGCGAGACCATTGAGGACCATGTCCTGACCCCCACTCTATTTCCCAACTTGCTTCTCGCGTCGAGGGCGGCACTGTTCCCCTCGAACGCTCGTCCCCCAGCCGCCGATACGACGCAACCTCCGCAGTCGCGGTCTGTGCAACCGCCCGCGCCCCCTCCAGAAAGGGGCCGCCCGCCTAACGATGCGCCAGCGGCAAGTACCGCCAGCAGTAGCGATTCGACGCGTATGGTGGTAGCGACTGCGCCTTCCTTATCGCCGGACCAGTCCGTTTCCGCGCCCGACATCGCTTCCATCAAGCGACAGTGCGCGGTCAGCATCCTCTCCGTCGTTCCCCGCTCCGTCGCTCGGCGCTTCTTTGGTCTCTCGTCCACAAATGCCGCCCAACCCGCGCCCCTTAATACCCAAGGAGACCATCACCTGAGACATTCTCCAGAGGAAGCGCCTCATGCTCAAAGCCTGAATCCCTCTAGAGCGTCCTCGCCTGTCTCGCTTTCGCACCAGAGTCCAGAAGATTTGGCTCTCCTGGAGGCGGTTGAAGACGAGATCCTCGATCTCTTCGCCGATTCGTATTGCAACAAATATCTAATTTACGCGATCATCGAGACGGTCCTGGTCAAGCTCCTTCCTGAATTATCGGAGCGAAGTCTCTCCGAACTGATGGAGGATAGGGGCATCCCCCTGGTCAGCGGCTGAGCCCACAGGCGTTGCTCCAGTCTTTCACCCCTCTCTTTCACCCCGTCTCCTTTTCTTGATAGGTTCTCTGACCAGTCGAATATATTATTTAATAAGAGCCGTAACTGGCCTTGAATTTCCCTGTAGAGGTTAAGCCACGGGGCGTTGGTCCGGCTGTTGAGGGGGTGGAAATAGGTCCGGAGTATTGTGCCGACGGAGACAGGCCCCTCTGTCTCACACCAGCTCTAATGAAAGGGTATTGTAAGTCAGCAGAAGGAATCTCGTATACTTTCCTTGGAAGTAGGCAGGTAGATGGCGAGTACCCCACCATGGGACATGGCAGTAGTCTGAAAAAGCAACGGCGAAATGTACGTTTTTACAGCGGGTAATAAATGGGATAGAAGTGAGAAGAAGAAAAAGGAAATATGCAGCCCAGATTAAATGAAAAGCAAGACCTGCAGAAGCACCAGCCAGTGGTGTTCTTGGCCCACAAGGAACGCCAATGAACAAAGTAGTTGCAAGGGGATGGTGTCTGTAGAACCCTTCATCTGTCGAATCAACGAACAACAGAAATTATGATGAAGACAAGTTAGATGGGACAAAGATGCGGTGAGAAAATGGAAGCATGAGGAGAAAAAAGAAAGCATCCAACGGCTCACAAGAGTCAAGGCAAAATCGAAATCACAGGGAACGTTCCTTGCCACTCTTCCATCCAAAAAGTCCTAAATGATCCATAAACCGAGAAAGACCCAATGTCGATGCAGTTCGCGCGAGCGTTCCACTTTAGATATGCACACCCGGAAAAACCAAAGAAGCAGAACAATCGTTCAGTACAGTCGCAAGGAAAAAAATGCGGAAAGCAATTCCATACTCCACAGGGCCAGAGTCAGCGCCCCTCATCCCGTGTACACCTGGATATCGTATAGTTGAGGTCGCCCTCACACGTCTGTATCTTTCCGTTTTATTCCAAGTCCAGGAGGTCCCTGGCTTGCTGTAATGAAACAGGGAATCATGGAATACATCAAACAAATGCAAATAGTACAAACGAGCCACCCAGTAAGCAGAAAAGATAGCAAGAGAATATGTAGGGGGAGTAAAAAAAGAAGGGGGAGATATTGGGAAGTAAAATGGATATACCACGTGCCTGCAAAGCACTTGGACGAGGTATTGTCGAGCAGTCCTAGACCATGCTGTGGATGCTGCGCTTCTTTGTCACATGGGGCATGTCTTCGTGCTCGTCGATACGGGTAAGACCTCCCGGGAGCGTATTCTGAGCTTTGGCGAGCTCAAGTCTCTCCATCAGCTTGCCGATGGTCAAATATTCTTGCGCTCCCAAGCCGGCAGGCTGTTGCTCGAAGTAATTCATTACCAACTCAAGGGCTCGCCGGGCTTCATCCTGCGTTGGCGACCCTGGAGAGCTCACAGGGGAGACAGTATTCGATTTCGAATACAGTGGCGGGTATATCGATTTTGTCTTGATCTCGGGGTTGCTGCGGTTCCTCTTGATCGTGTTCGAAGATGTATCGAGAGTTGGCATGAACGGTGGGTTCTGATCCCCAGACGGTGGCTCGGGTGCCGTGCCAGGAAAGGCATGCAGGTCCGGCTTGGAAGATAGCGGATCAAGACCATCCTCTGTGGCCATGATACTCGGATCAACAACGCTAAGCGGGAATGTCTGGCTTCGAGGTCGATTCGAGCTTGTTTCGGTAGAGGTGTTTCGTGATTGACTAGTCGGAGTGAACGGACTATCCGTGACCAGCGTTGATGATGGGCTGGTTACACCAGCGGACACGGACGATGTTGTATCGAGTGATGTGGCACTTTTCGCATGCGTCAGCCGATAGTCCCCGAAAGCCTCAGAAAGAGCGTCTGCTCTCATGTTCTCTCGACTCTGCATGGGCGACAAAGGCGACGGGGACGTGAACCCAGTTGGCGAGATGGGAGACAGAACGCTGGGGGACTGAACAGCCGAAGCCAACGGCGAGTTGATGGTCAGCCGGGTTGGACTTTCTGAATCGCTCTTGGTAAAGGAGCTCTTGCGAGATTTGGCGCCGAGGATATTGTTCTTCTGTTTGAACTTCTCCAACCAGCTTGCACTCAACACCTTTTCTTTTCCATCAGGGCTGCCACAGGTATTCGCGAAGAACAAGGCCTTTTCACGTATCATCTCGTCGCTGAGCGGATATCCTTGGCGCTGGTAATTTCGGACCCAATTGGACAAGGCTTTTTCGATATCGGGGACTCTGCCTTTGGCTTTTTTGATTGGAGACCGGCTTCCATCATCGGGATTCAGATACTTTTCCTTTTGGCGCAACACTTTGGAGACAGTACTTTAGAGGAAGTTAGAGAGGCCCGTGTTTAGGCAGGACAAGCTGTACAGCCACGGGATGAGTGACGTTACCTGCGTTCCACGCCAAAAAGTGCTGTGAGGAAGATGTCAGTCCGAGTCGCATGTGATGAGAGTACAGGGGCAGCTCACCTCCTATATCAGTTTGTTTTGCGGTTTTGTGCTCCTCATGATAGAGACACATCCGTCGTCGGTCATCATCAGTGAGCGTTCTTCGGGGAGTCGAGCTACTCGTCGACGATTTCCGCGGTGGAGGTGCAGGAGCAGGGGGTGACACAGTAGAAGTGGGAGGAATTGGGACTGGGGGAACGCTCCCTTCGGGAAATTGTGATTGAGGAGTCAGCATGCTGGGCCAGGTGTTGGAGGGCAACGTCAACGGCAGAGAAGCATATGGGGGTGGTATTGACACCCCATATGCCGGATCTAAAGGCAGGACGCCGTAGCCAAACCCATGGTAGTCGAGCGGTGGTGAATGGGCCTGGGTGTGCGGAAACCCGCCCATGTCAACCCATGGGGATTGCGCAAACTCGCTCTCCTGTGGATGAGAGCCTTCTGCATCCATGGTGATGGGAACGCAGGACAAGTGGTGATGGCACCTGGGTTGTAGTGGTTTCGCAGCAACACCCGGTGCCACTCGGCGATATCTGGCTGTCGGAACCGCAGCGCGAAAGACGAAGAGAAGAAAGAAGAAAACGAGGAACCAATCGAAACAGTAAGGAGAGTCTATCCAGGGCAGTTAGGATAAGAGGACAGATCAGTAACAAAACGAGACACGCATGCACATGTTCAAGTAGATCAGGTATGGTTGAGGTCGGTGATGCCCACTGCAGAGCTGGTAGGGAATGCTGTTCAACCCGAGGATTTCACAAGCTCCCCAGAGCTATCCCGAAAGATCGGTAGAGTCAATATACAAGACGGGGTGCGGGAATGTCTCTCTTTTGTACAGGGGATACTGGGAGACACAGCGGGGCGGGATGAAGGTGAACATGCAGGCGGGATTGCGGCAAAGACATGGATGGAGGGAGTTTAAAAGAGGATCAGGTCGGGGGCGCACGCACAGCGACGATCAGCAGATGAGATGAACGAGTCAGGAACCAGAAGGACGAAGCGGCGGAGGAGGGGGAAATGTCGAGGGGAGGATAGGAGGAGAACGGTCGACGGCTGTACGGGCGTCTTCCGAGGGAGATGGCGAGAGGTGGGAAGAAAGTAGGTAGGAGTCGATGTATATACTCGGTGCGTAGTAGTACTACTACTACTAGGTTAGGTGGTATACTCGGGATGGTAAGGACGAAGCCAGGTAGGGCTAGGGAAGGTAGGTACGAGGCCAGGTACGACGTCGAGGATTGCAGCCATGTATTTAGGAGGTACTACGAACGGTCTCTAGCGGACTAGAATAATAATATAATACAGATCATGGAGGATTTGGTGTTGGACTGACAGACCTTCAGGATGAGCTCCTCTGTCGGCATGGCAAAATCAGACCGCGAAAATGGGGGGGGAAAAAATGGAAATAATAAATCTAAATTATTTTTTTCAGGATGATTATTATAATAATATAGTAATTCAGTAATAACAAATAAATCAAATCAAAAGAAAAGACACGAGCAGCAGGCCCGGACGGGAAAATCGAGGGCGCGAACAGGGAGAAAAAACCGCGGCTCTGGCTGCTGATTGGCTGGAAGCGGGAAGTAAAAGAAATAAAATCGATCATCCTTTTGGGAAAAGAAGGAAGTTACAGCCGTTGATTGGTGGCCGTGTAGATTGGGGGTGCAGGGATCGCCCTTCGGAACCAAATACCACTACCCGTACGGCGTCATACCGAGGGCTGTCAGATTCGTACCGTACTGACTGTAACGCCGTTCCTCAGGAGGTATACAGATCGTGTGTGGTAGAGGGCTCTCTCGACTATACAACATCTGAACATATACGGGAGCTTAACTAGGCCACCGTCTAGCGACCTGCGTGTTTCGGCAATAATAGGTGAATTCTCACTCTGGACGTTTCTAAAGTTACACCAAAGTTTGAAGGTAGCGACCAGTTTGTAGAAGGGCCATTTGGGTACCCGATCGAGGTGGAGAAAAAGTCAGGGAAAAAGCAAGAATAGTCAAGTATACGGAGGACGGTAGGGATTTTAATTAAAAAAAGAAAAAGAGAAAAGGGAGATTCCCACTTTATTATTTGCGCGCATTAACTTTCTCGCCTTACTCCGAGTGCAGTACGTACATACTCTCAATGGTAGTGATTCTCTCCCGTCCGTTGACAGCCCTGTTCATTCTCCCCTTGCCCTTATTCCGATTTCCGGTGTGGCCCCCTCTTTTGCAAAGGTAGCTGGCCCCATATCTACGGAGTATATGGGACCATCAGCGAACTAGAGTTACAGACAGAGAAGATCATCCTCGGGGCGAAAATCAGCGTCCGGAGAGCTGAGCGGTCTTGCCAGACGGACGGACGGGGGCGGATCGATAAACCGCCGAACCTAAAAGGCCGCATGACATACTGGGAGATAAAGCAATGATTTCCGACTAGACTAGACTGTCTTGCGACAATCAATCCCCATGAAGAAACCCAACGGTTTTTTGCTCGGCCGGCTGTGATAGGTGAATATGCGAACTTCTATCTGGTACCGAGCTCGCATCACTTCTGGACGGATGGGGTTAAATGACTGCCCCTGCAAGTCCAGATGACAGACACGTGAAGCAAGCACTGAGGGAAGATAGAATCGAAGGAGCCGATCGCTTCTTCAAATCTGGGATGACGAGGTCTTATTTGACTGATCTCGAACAAATCGCAGACCCGGCTTCGAGGGTCGACCAAGATTGGTGTATTTCTCCACCACCGAGAGGCATGCCCTGCAGGTCTGGCAAAATGGAAAGCATGGCGAAAATGGCGAGGAGAGAGACAGGGGAGGGGACCAGCCCCGAGAGGAACAACCCCAGAACTAGGTAAAACCTTCAGGGAAAAGACAGCCACGACCAAGGAGAGTGCTCGACCACTGCACCGTACTTTGTCACGGGGGGGAAAACATATGGAATAGAATGGACGAATAAGAGGGGAGTACAGAGATTTCAATTTCCTTTTTGTTACATGGACTCGACCAGGGTGGGAGCAAGGTTTGTCCTATCACGGCGGACAGAGACCGCATGGTTCGGCGATGAGCAGGAGGAGAGGAGAGTGAGGTTAATAATGAGAGGAGGAGCTAGGACCCCACGGCCCACCGGGCCCGCTGCGGTCCACTCCGGCCCGGCAGTCTAAGCAATGCAAATCCTGCCTCGATTTCAGGCATTGCAAGAGTCAAGCAAATCCCATATTGTGTCATCTAGTGTAGTCAATCGCGCAAATAAAGTCAGCTTTAGTATAGGTAGGTATAGGGTATAGTACATTTGGAGCTTCTGCGCTATCACCAAAATATACCTACAGGTACATTTGGGTTTTATGCATTCACTCCCGAACCTGACAAATTACCCGGCGAGACGAAAAATACACTTCCGTTTAGCTTCTGTACTCCGGAGTAAACCGCCGACTGACTCTGGCGAATCCGTCTGGGGTGAACTTCGGCAATGAGAAGAACAACGTTCCCTTTCATTCTGATCAGGACCTTGTGTTCCCTGCATTGCCGCAGGCTTGTACCCGGTACAATGCGGCCATACGCATTGTGCACCAGCCCGAACGCCTGACTGCAGGCATCTATCTAGTATCGACGTGTAACCTGAAGTACGTACTCGGCAGGACTGCGTGGACAGCCTTACCGGGGCCGCCACCAGAGTCTGGAAGCGATCGACCGTCTCGTAGATGAGCAGAGCTCCTACTCAAAGGAGGTATGAAGTATGACAAATTGGGGAGGCGAAGGATGAACGAAGATACGGGTCGGGGAGACGGGAAAAAAACGTGATCACCGCTGATCCAATCGCCAATCCGCCCCGCTTGTTCGGATGACCACGAGGGTTGTGGCCTGTCAAGGATAGTTACTTCTAAATAGGTAAGTACTCTGGAGGAGTCCTCCGTAATGTGAAGACCCATGCTAGAAAGCTGGTTTCAGCCTTCATGGCGGTCAATGCTTCACTCGCCATCCCAACAATTCTGAGACAATGAACAATGGCGGAGCGGCCCTTCCACCGACCCATCCAGAGACAAAGTATGGTCCGTTCCATAAAGCTGCCTCGAAACCAAGTTGCAACTAACGAGGCACTAAACGGGAAAATGGAAGCCTCATCCATGGAAACGAGTGCAGTAGGCGCTACCAGACTAACCCCCCGACGTGGACTTCCAATCGATCTGCCCATTTTCCGCCGGTTGTCGTTGAACGGAGAGAAGCTGCAAGACAATCCCTACTGGATCGAGAAGAGCAATTACTCAACAAAGACGGACCGGCGCCAAGCGACTCGACAAAAGGTGAGGATGAAGGACGGAGTCAGAGATAGCTTTCGCGTTTAATTAAAAGAAAAAAAAAAAAGTCCTATCGATAGGCATTGGGTCTCAACCCCGATTGATCCAAAGCTGCGGATGACAGCGGGATTCAACGAAAGGGGGAAAAAGGTGACTCTGTGGATCAAAAATCCCACCAGAAACAAGTCATCACTGACGGAGGACTCGCCCCAGCCGGCTTAGGCGATAGTAGTGTCATGATAATCGCTCCTTATGACGCCCATTATAGATGATATCTGTCAGGTACGCACGACAGTGCAGATGTTGGGTCGTCGCTGTCCTCCGGAGTACCTGTACACGCGCCGGAGCCTACTGCGGGAGTCGCGCTCAGCTGTATCGACCCCAACTGGGGCCGCAGGGGCCGAGATTGGATATATCACTGTCGCGCACGTTCGGAACATGTCCGAATGATGCCCATGCGGCCGTCGACGCAATGAATATCATGACATCAGTCAAGAAATTCCCGCCAGAGGTCGACCATCAATCATGGGGCGTGGAACAAGAATCCACTCTGGCAGTCTGAGGATTCACCCGCCGACGGATCTGAGCCTAATGGGGGTGGAGATGATGCCGAGATGAGGTCCCGCCGGCCACACGAGTGGTATCATTGGATGCCTTAGCCCTTCGCCAGGGCCGGCTCGAATCCTCGAGTCATTATGGCTTGACTTGCCTTGCAAGCAAATCCCGAAGGAGAGAGCCTTCTTTGTCTCTCGATGTTACAGTACATTGGCTGAGCAAAGCCACGGCTGCTCGGTGGCTGCACGGACGGGATCCACGATACCACGGGGCCGAATGAATCATGGGTCAGCATGTCGAAGGTAATCAGAAGAGAAATCCTCTATTGGTGCGCGACAGAGGGCGGACGTAACGGTGGCCGGCAGCCCCAGTTGAAGCACAGAGGATGATGCGCGGCGGGGCCGCTGGCCGCTCCCTGTGGTAGGTCGATACCCAGCTGTCATCTGAGCAGAGGAGATTTCCAGTGTCTTCATGTGTATCAGGAGAGGATAATGAGTGACCGCAACTCCGTCGTCGGCTGTTGACGGAGGGTTGGCCCATCCACCGAGGCTGTGCAGCAGCGATGAGCACCAGCTTCTAGGGCAGCCAGCCACCAGCCACCTATCAGGGAGGGATCTCCTCCTCCTACTTGCTTAGTTGCATACTTTGTAAGTGATTATGGGGCCATCGCGAGAATTGTAACCAAGGGCGATCGTCGTGCTTTGGATTTTCCGCTTGTTGGTTGACGGTCAGCCCATGCTCTCTGTCTGTCCCAACGGGGCGAAAGTGAGGACAAGGACATGTCTTTCTCCGCACATCGGCATACTACCTACGTAGCCTGTACCCTACCAGGGTCAACGGGGTCAATCTAATATATTAATGATTACCTATGCAATGGCACGTCTGCTGTGTAACATCGCCGTCCGGAGTACCCTGGAAAGTCGTCCTCAACTGCCATGAGCACAGACGGCGAGGACGATATCGGATCGTAAGTACGACAGTACTCCGCAGAGAGAAAAAGAAAGCTCTCTGAATCTCCCTTGCAAGCCCGAAGGGGACCACGGCCTGCATGAGTGCCGCGCAGACCGCTTCTTATTTATCAACATGGCTAGTGGCAGGCCATGATTATGCACAGGGTATGCAATCCTGGCCCCGATTCTTTTCCTTCGTCTTCCGAGGGAGGAAAATCCACGCCTGCATTATCTGGGCCCAAAATCCGATGATTGGTGAATTATGGAAAAATCGACGTTGCTTCTCCTGCGATCCTGGAAGACCGTCGCCCTCTCCGCGCAAACATCTCCAGGATGTGCATGACACCGTGTGGCCGACCTTCCTGTCAGGGCAAGACGTGAGACGTCGACTAGGGCTCTCGATACCTAAACGTTGCATGCAACCTTAGGCATCGCTTTCGCAGCCTTAGGTAGCAACGAGCCACCACGGATGCCTGAGGGTAACCATCAAATTCGGACGTGATGTATGTACTCCGTAGAGTCCGTACCTAAAGTGTCGTCTCCGCCTGGCATGTACCTACCTAGTACCTACCTAGGTACGTACCTACGGAGTACGTATATGGTACAAAAATGAGAACAGAACCAAGAGAAAAAGTTTTCCCGTAGTATCACCGGAAATCCATGCATCGGTCGAATCAGAAAAAGAAACGCCAAAAACCATCGGCCCCCCTGTCCTTATCCTTGGAGTACCTGGTACATACCTGTCAGCTTCTACCGAGACACCCCGGACCCTGTCTGCACCTGCAGACCGCAGATTTAGTTGCAGCCCCGGCCAAGGAAGACCCGGATCCTGCATACGGGCTGGATACCCTATACAGACCAGACACCCCCGGGAGAAGGGGCCTGCCGTCGCCCGGCCCTGAAGCCTCTGAGCATTGTATCTGTACCAACCCTCCAGATGTTTTCCGTACTCCGTATGGCGCAGCGGACCAGGCAAGACGCTATCTCGTGAGGTGCTTCCTCCCGACTGCATGGGGGGCCCGATCTGACTAGAAGGCCTCGCGGAGGGGGTGGTGGGCACCTGTGCCCCTCCCTAGTACCGATGACGGATGCGGATATGGCACCCGTCCGTCCAATTCCTGGACTAGCGAACAGCCTTTCGGCTCGACATGACCTACATGCGATCGATCCCGCATCGTATATGGCGCGAACTGACCGGACCTGACTTGCCTTTCCGCCCGTCAGCAACGTTAGGGTCTCCATAGGGCCTAGATGAATAGCGGACCCAGACAGGATGCGACGGATGGACATGGCTGGGACTAGTGACTCCCGTGCGTCCTCGTCTTTCCGGCCAATCCCCGCCGTCTACGTCGTAATATCGTCCTTGCGGAGTCTTGGACGGTGACTATCGATTTTGCGGAGGCTTGGGTATTCGATAGTCGGTAGGCTCCGAATGGATAGGTACAGTACTCTGTATATATTGGTTGAGAGGGTTTTGATGGGTGTAACGCACCTACCGACAGAGCTCAGGTAGGCACTAGATGATGATAGGGGATCGTCATCAACCGTAACGTGTCTATTGCCTACTAAGATTTAAGTAGTCTGCGCTGTTGATCTAGAACGTCAAAGCTCCTGGAAGAATGTGGAATCCGGAACATGAAAAGTCTTCGCTGCAAAAGACCAAAAACGGATCAAAACAGAATGTGGCAGTACTATCGTACCGTGGGACAGCCTCCCCAGATTCAACTTTTGTGTTTTCTGTATCACTTCAGAGAATAAATTGTCTTGCTCGACCCCCTCCATCCCCTAATCCAAGGATCGCAAATGTCAAGGTCCAAGGTCTAGTCGTCATAGACGAGTAGCAGAGCTACTTGGCCATCTCACTCATGGTTCAGTCATCTATCCCCAACACGAGAGGGACTGCGCAAACTCGGACTGCCGCCCGTGCGCGAACTTCCTCCCTCTTCCCCCAATCAAACCTTTAAAGGCATCTCGCGGAGAGCCGTCACAAGGGCCGGGCCTCTTGCACGGTCTCTTAGCGAACCACCCCCTGATACAACCCATTCACCTTCTCGCGCGCGCCATTCGCCACGGCGTTCTCCGCACTGACGCGGTCTGGAGGATCTGGATGCACTTGGATCCTTCTACCGCTTGACAATCGTCACTGTCACACGGTTAGCTTCAGGATTGCCTTGATGCCCGGGGAACGCGGGAAAGCGACGGCTACGAACCGATATCTTCATCAGCCAGCTCGTGCGAGAGACCAACCCGCTGCGGCTGGTGCTTAACAGAGCGGCCGTAAACAATGGCATGCTTGAACTGATCTCGGATCGTTCTGTGAATGGCATTACACTAGACCACGTTAGTAGGGTAGGTGACATCATATGTCGAGGGATTCGTACAAAGTCTTCAACTGTGCACTGGTGGGCCCTCAGCACAACAGGGGCCGTATAATCCGGAGCTTTGCCCTTGGGCTTCGTGTAGACACGTTTAAGATTCAGCTTCTCCCACATCATCTCTAGTAATTCGTCGATGTTCCAGCCATGTTCGGAGCTGATGGGGCAAGCGTTAGGTATCCGGTACAGCAGATCAAGCTCCTCAATTGTGATGGAATCGATCTTGTTGAGAGCATAGACCACGGGGATGTAGGCACGACTCTTGGCTTCGAGGACGTCGATAATGTCATCGATCGTAGCATCGCACCGAATGGAGATATCCGCGGACGAGATCCTATATTCGCTCATGACAGCCTTGATTTCCTGTTGGATTGGAGAGATGCGGTCAGCCACCGATCGTTCGCGGGTTGGGTCTAAACAGAAAGACGTACGTCGTGATCGATATGCGTCAAGGGAACGGTGCTCGTGATCGCGATTCCACCCTTATCCTTCTTCTTGAAGACGATGTTCGGAGGTTGCTTGTTGATGCGGATACCGAATCCTTCCAATTCGTTCTCAATGACCTTCTTGTCCACGAGGGGCTTGTTCACGTCAAGCACAATGAAGATGAGATGGCAGGTCTTCGCCACCGCAATGACCTGCCGACCACGACCCTTGCCATCCTTGGCACCCTGGATAATACCGGGAAGATCGAGAATCTGAATCTTTGCGCCGTTGTACATCACCTGTCCCGGCACAGTCGTCAAAGTCGTGAATTCATAAGCGGCAGCTGTCCGAAGAGGAGTCGTTAGCCGGGATGGCCAGCCAAAAGATGAGGAAACCAACCTTCCGAGTGTTGACCGGTCAGTTTGCTCATGAGCGTACTCTTTCCGACAGAGGGGAAACCGATAAAGCCACTATTGAGGTCAGTATCCAGCCCTATTGCACGAGGGAGACGACTTACACGCTAGCAGCACCGGTACGAGCAACATCGAAACCAGCTGCAATACCAGTTACTCCTCAAGCTCCTCACCGCGAAACGGATATGATGCACGACTTACCACCACCGCCTCCGCCGCCACCACCGGACGGAGTCAACAGCTCGCGCTTCAGCTTCGCGAGCTTAGCCTTCAACTGTCCTGTCCAATCCGTCAGTCGTTCGCTCAACATCAGTATCCCCTTATATCCCGCGCATACCCAAGTGGAAAGCCGTGGCCTTGTTCTTTTGAGTCCGAGCCATCTGAATAAGAGGTCAGTGGGCTGTCGCGAAAGGCACATCGAACGGATTTGCGACGAACCTCGTCCTCGATTTGTTTGATCTGTTAAACATGGCTGTGTTAGCAGGCGAACATCTGACAGGCCATCCTCTCTTCCCGACATAGCCAGAAACGCATCCAGGAACATAGCGAGGTATACCCACCTTCTCAACAGTGGTCGACATTTTGGCGCAAGGATACGAGTTTTACCCCTCGTACAAGGTAACAATTCTTAGCAATTCAATGGAGTTTGGGATGTTCCGGAGGGACCAGGTGAGCTGGTGAAGAGGGCACGCGCAAAGGGCTTCTAGAGCGGTGGCCGTGGTGTTTGCGGAGTTGAACAATCTTTGACGATGTGCCGCCACTTTCATTCGCCGGTTGTTGGGCGGAGAGGCTCAGATCACATGGCGGGGAGGTCGTTGCTGCCTTGGTGCCTCAGGCAGCACAGGCCGACTATCGGTGGCGAGAGCAGCCAATACCCGTTTGGGTTTGTACTCTCACCTTGCCCAATTCCATACTCATTCATTCTTTGCGCTGTGGACTATATTCCTCCTCTTCACTCATTCTTACACAGACAATATTCTATTTCCATTCATTTGCATCCCCTGCGACTAGCACATACTCAATCTGATACATCGGTTCCTTCCGGTATCGATCCCGATACTCCAACTAAAAAGATCCAAACACGGAAAAGACAACCAGACTTCCCGGCTGCCGAAACAATGCCCTATCTCGAATCTGGCAATCTGCCAGCTTCCCCCGATCTACCCTCGCCAAGCAACGCCTTCGAAGAACTAGTCCAAGATCTCAGCGCAGCGCTAGGCCCGAGCTCCGGATTGGACTCGGACGATGTTGACCCCTGTGAGATCCAGCGTCTGATGGAGCGCTACTCTTCCAATCCCTCTGAATGGCTTCCGTTTGCTCTGGGGGATCATCAGAAATCGTACACGCGCAACCTCATCGACGAGGGTAATGGGAAGAGTAATCTGGTGCGTTGTTCCTACCCGATAGTACTGAGGTCGTTAGTGCGCTTCTAGCGTACTCCGTGTATACTATCTGAGCTCCGGATTGTACGCATGCACGGTCAGATATGGAAACGACTCGTGTGTTCTAGTATAGGGTAGATTGCTGATGTGTCTCACAGCTCATCCTGGTTTGGTCTCCAGGAAAAGGAAGCGCCATCCACGACCATGCCAACGCCCATTGCATTATGAAGGTAGCGCGTCCTTCTACGACGAGAAATTGGTATCAGAACTGACGTCCATAGATCCTCAAGGGCTCTCTGCAAGAAACGCTCTACGCCTGGCCTGACCAAGACAAAGTCAAGCAGGGACAGATATCTCCTCCGCAGATCACCAAAGAGACAGTCTACCACGAAAACCAGGTGACATACATGTCAGACAAGGTGAGTAGTGGCAGAACTATGTCCGACTGGATCTAATAAGCAGCAGTTGGGTCTCCACAAGATTTCCAATCCTGATCCCAACAACTTCGCCGTGTCATTACATCGTATGTTTTGTTCCTCAGAAGTTCCATCTGGACGCTTGGGGCCCCTTAGAAGTTACTACTTTCCCATATAAAATGCTAATTAAACCAGTATACACGCCCCCTAACGCCGCAACGCACGGGTTTTCGGTCTTTGACGAAAAGACAGGCAAGGCACAGCATATCAAACAGTCTCATTTCTACTCGATAAGGGGTCGACGATGTCCGGCTCTTAAGCCGTGAACTAATCACTGTTAATACAGCCGCTTTCTGTAAATACCCGACTTGTCCTTGCATCCATTTCGAGCGATAACCTTGCTATCCATATTATTGTTTTAGATGAGTATCCTTTCTCACAAGTCACGTATTCCCACTGCTATACCCTCTCCTTTGATCCCTCCGACTCAGTCTACCTCGAGCTACAGGGTTAAAGAACGTCTGAAAATGACAATAAAGTCAAGTGATGACATTATGACGCGAGGACGCGAGTTCAAAGGTATCAACTTTCAGCTATCTACATGAGGATGGAAGACTAAAACAGACGACGGATTGTCTACAGAAAGACAATCAGACATATCATAACCGCTATAAGGATAATGAGACCTCATATACAACTTAAACTATTCCCGAGAGGCCCTTCTCCCCTGCTCATGGAGCAGGCTCAGCCCCTCCAGGACTTCAGATTGCCGCCGAAGAAGGTCCTCGAGGCGCATCGATGGATTCTGTAAATTTCCAGTATAAGTATGTCGCTCGTAACAACTGCGAAAACACATCAACCGTGAAACCCACCCAGTCCTCCTGGTTTGGCACTCCCTGCGCGGCCGGGAACTGCTCAGTAGCCATGTCCTCGTCCCGCCGCGAGGGGGACGGCGGCGCCCGTCGAATGGGTGCGGGCGTCACGGGAAGACTGGGCCGCTCCTCTTCGCTGGGAAAATCGGTCAACCGGGTGCCGGTGGGACCTGCAGCTGCGCTGGCTGACGGGCCGGCGGTGCCAGACAAGACTTGGACTTTGGCCTTGCGGGGTTGGATTGACTGGATATACTTCTGGATCTCCGGGATTTCGTCCCATGCGTTCGACCGGGAGTATGTGTCCCATGAGACGAAGGACGGGGGCTGGGCCTCCTCCGACGACCAAGAGGTGATGGATCGGGCGGATTGCGCTGATTCTGCTACGTTCGCGGTGGAATCAATAGAAGGCTTGGTACTCGGGGCGGAGACAGAGCTTTGCTCGTCTTCGAGGAAGACGCGGGTTGGTTTTGGCGCATGGCTTTCCCACGGGAATATCTGCGCCACCTTCGTCGGCTCCGGCTTTGTCTTGGGGACCTCGTAGTACATGTTCTTGGGCGCCTCAGGGTAGGATGGCGGTGGCTGGAAGAGCTGGCGATCGTCTGACATTTCGTATGTCTTTTTCTCCAGAGCGATTCCTTCGGGTTTCGTATTTCGTGGGGGTGGTTCCCTGGTCTATGTCAGCATGGCGGGAAGTTCCCTAGTAACACGTCTACCAACCTTGAGGCATCCCATTCGGACTTTGGGGCTTCGAAAATAGGGGGTTCCGGTGGGATTGGAGGCGGTTGATGGGACGGCTCGCTCGGAGGCGCGGGTTCAGCTGGCGCTTGGTAGGCCTGGGGTCCACCTGGATGCGAAGGCGCATGGCTCGTCTGCGGAATTTCCGTCTCGAGATAATGTTGAGCGGGTATGGCAGCTGTCGTTGTACCATGATGTTGAGTTACGTATGTCGCCACGTGCTCCTCTCCACGAACATATTGCGGTACGACACTTAGCACTGGGGCCGGAGGTGCGGGCACAGGTGCCTCAACGCCAGACTCCGAAGCCATGGTAGGCCATTCCGAGCTACCTGGCAGCGCGTCTTGGGTAGGCGCAGGCGGTTTCGGAGGAATATGTTCAACATAGTGTTCGCCACCCTCGGATGGCACAAGGGGCGGTAGTACCTGGGGCGTTGGTGGTATACTCGGTTCAAACTCCCCGAGAGGTTCTTGTGGAGAAGGCTCTGCAAAATGTATATGAGGGACCGGCCTGGGAGATTGGGGTGGACGTGATTCCAAAGAGACTTTCTCGTAGACTTGGTGCTGTGTCGGTGTAAGGGGTCTCGAATCCGACCGACTGATCGGTGTCTGCAAGATGTCAATTCACGACCCAGGACCCAACAGTAAAGTGAGCGCACCGTTATCACCGGACGATAGTGTCGATCATAGATAGCCCACCATCGGCCCAGCAGCTGGTTGTACGGCGCCTCCGTTGGGGAAACCTGCCTGGGCATGTTCCAGGGTTTCTGGGCACCGATAAAATGCACCATACTGATCGTACTCTGGAAGTGCTTATAGGCCGGGATGTACTGGTAGTTTGCGCTAGGCGTGCAGTTATACGTGAAGCTGAGCCGATGCCAGTTCCGAAAATGCATATTCAAGAGGCCCTGGTCAGCGCCGTCGAAGCTGACGCCCCTCTCCGCCAACGCTTTGAGCGCAAAGTAGTCCTGCACGTTGGGTCGCAAGACCATTACACCACTGTTGAAGCAGTCGGGCCAGCCCACGTCGGGGGCGGCGGCAAAGTCTACTTCTAGGGACAGGAGTTCATCGGGAGCCCGCACCGCAACCACATCGCAGTCAATGTACACTATACGCTTGTATTGTGTTTGTCGCCAGAGCTCGATCTTAGTAAAGGTGGCAATCAGGTCCGGGCGGTCCATAAGCCAGAGGTTCGCTGGGGTGTTGTTTATGGTTGGATGAACGGGGACGAGTTCATCGTAGACGGTCTAGACGGTCAGGTGTTCCTGGGTTAAATGGGGCTTCGGGAGGCGCGTCCAATGGACACTGCACTGCATTCCGGCGGTCATACCTGAAGTTCATGGATCGTGGCTGGCTGTAGGGTATCGGGCGTATAGAGGACGACCAGCTTGGCCTTGGTTCCATTGTCACGTAATGAATGAGCAAGGACGACAGCGCCTGGAAGATTCACGATCAGTTGGAAGGCATTGACAGCCATTGAGGGGCCAATGGGTTACCAGGGAGATAATTATCGCTCAACAGGAGCTACGACACCATTAGCGATCGATGCGAAGAGACTCTGAGCTCGAGAGACGTACTGTGCAATATACTGCACCCCCATGGGCGGCGGACATGACGTCGGGGACACGCCGCCTGGGTCTTGGAACGCGGACTCCGAACGACAACCGGAGCGAGAGTGAAGGGAAGAAAACCACGGCGACCCAGGAAAATCAAGGAAAGACAAAAGCCAGGACCCGGAGAAAAAGGGCCGAATAGATGGAACGAGGAAGAAGGTACATTCGATTTCCCCCTCTGGAGGAGACAACGGGTGACGTTAACCCCGCTCACCAGCATACATAAGCGTGTTGGACAGGGGGCTTTGTACGAGGTGGATATTGCCTAGGAGCGGCCCATGCGGTTTCCCTTTGCAGCCATGTTGTCAGCGCGTTTCATCTTGAAAGAGAAAAACAAAAAAAAAAAAAAAAAAGATCAGGTGTTTTTCATTATTGCGACCGTCGGAAAACACAAAGTGGCGTTAAGGGGATTGATTAGTTGGTCTGTAAGGAGGTGACGCCAAAGGAAGTTGAGAGCTCCGGAATGGACCAACAGAGCTAGCTTAGTAGTAGCTAGGTACCTTCAGGACCTAGACTAGGGACCCAGACAAGCTAGTAGGTACTAATTCCGGCTAAACCTGGCGAAATGGACGATTGGAGGGAATTTGATTAGATGCATGCCAGCGAATGGGGCGCAAGTCGCCCCGGCCGAGACCTTTCACCCCATTATAAGGTACTATAGATGCCACACTCGATGATTCTCGAGGGAACAAAGAAAGGACGAGGAGACCTTTGCATGATTATGATACATTATGGTACATGCATCTCCACCTTATCACAGATATTAACGGCGCCAGAGTCCACGAGAAAGCCACCCTGGCTCACGTATATTGGATCGGTTTAAAACGCATCGAGGACTACGACGCCAGAATCACTACACTCTTAAGAGGAGCCGAGTGGGTAGCACATAATGCCTGCCCGGGCCATAACGCGAACTGCATCGCTTGGGAATAATTCACCAGACCAGGCCTCGGGAAATCAGCTCCACAAGGACCATTCAGAAATGAGAATCGCCGCTCAGAATAAGAGACCACATTCGCGTCAAGATAATCTCACTTGCGAACCTTCACCACAGCTCCTGCATAGCAAGCCTGCAGCACAGCGACAATATCATTCTTCTCTCCCTGAACCGCCCATTCAACAGCCTTTTCCAGCGCCAGGGCACTTTCTTTCTCCAAAGGAGTAAAATGACCCGACCGAGGGAGTTCGATGACCTGGCTGTCGGCCACGAGATAGTCTGAAATTCCATCAAGACAGAGCCGCGGGTCCAGAGCGATGTCTTGCTTGCCCCAGAGAACCGTAGCCGGTGCTTTCAGAGCGCCCTTCGGTCCATCGTCAAAGATGCCCGCGCCGCTGCTGGCTCGGTGCAGCTCCCTTCCACCGGAAATACTGTGCAGGTCCGTGATAGTCTGGACGGACTTTTCCCAGCGGGCCAACGCAAGACCCTCGCGGTAGTACTTGGCCATGTGCTCGAAATTGGCATAAGCACGCTCCTTTGCCAGTGCGACGGGGTATTCATCGCCGTCGGCCGTCTGTGTCCGACATTCCTCAATCGAGGGGCCAATAGAGCTCGCCATGCATTCTGCAGCGTCGCGATCGGTGAAGGGTGTGCTCCCGTACGAGGCTTTGTGGGCCATCTTCAGAAAGAAAAAGTTGCCCCCCGAGCCCAGATACCGGACATATGCAAGGGGCAAGTGCATGACAAAGATATAGCCGGAGAGACCCACCTGACGGACGACCGGCTTCAACGTCTTGATAGCCTTGAAGATGGTGGAGCGGGACTGAATCGGCGTTCGCAGAGAGGTCTTCAACATCTTAAATGAGGAAGACGCCAACCGCTGGATGTTTGAGAAATAATGCCGGACCTGCGCGCTAGTTAGCATCGTAAAAAGCTGGAAAGGTCCAGTTACACCTTCGCATGCACATACCAAAGGACCGTTGGTCAGGATGAACCGATCAGCGAGCTCGGGAGCCTCCGCTGCAAGGCGCATGGAGAGCACGCATCCCCAGTCATGCGCAACAATGATCGTTTTCCGCTTCCGCGGGCCAGACTCTCCATCGACCCCGTAATTGGCGCGAAGAGTGATGATGAACTCAGTCAAGCTCTCCAGCACATTGGTGGCCGTGTATTTCTCCAAGCTGTCGCTACCACCGTAACCGGGAGTGTCAATGGCGACGATGGTGGCGTTCTCCTGGAGAGCTTCCGAGCTGACAATATTCCTCCAGACAGCCCAGCTGTCAGGGAACCCGTGGATGAAGATGACGAGTGGTTTGTTGGAGTCGGTTGAGGCGTCGGACGCGGTCTCATTGCAAACATAGTGAAACTTAAATCCGTTTCGCAAGGTGAGAATCTGGTGCGAGAGACCGGCATACTTTTCCGAGAGATTCCAGAAACGATTGCGCGCTAACAGACATCCAGAAGTCAGCACTCCATACCTTAATACTCCTGCCACCCTAATCCCAGAGGAGAGTTGTAGTACTGACCTAGCTGCAGCTCCAGTCTTTCTTTTTCTGTAGTACCCTTGAAGAAAAACCCACGTCGAATACCGATCAAGACGTAGATCGCAAAAGAGAACAGTCCGTAGCCGAAAACAAATACGGCCTTCAGGCCCTTCAGCAATGCGCCTGTCATGATTCGAATGGCCGGATGAGTGCCTCCAACCTAAAAAGGAGAGAGCTGACTAGCCACTCGCAGTCGGTAGGACAAGACCTCGGAGAGGACAATTGGCAGATTAGAGACGGATAGAAAACCACACTCAACGAAAAAGCTGATCAAACCTGTTCATTCCTCGCAATCGAGAGCTGGTGGGGAGCTTGAAGAAGAAGATGGTGTAAATGATCTCCGCCGCCACAAAAGAACCTCCATCTAAGCTCTGACGGGCTTCATTGGCCAACCGTTTATGCTCGGTGGGGTGCATGCATGTGACAGTGAAATATTTCTGCCTGACTATTCAGGCATTAACATAACTACAGTTTTACTTGTACCGAGGGTATCGCTTTCATTGATGACTTCCTCTTGTCTATGCATAGGTCCTAGCATACCGTACAGAACAACAATAAACACCAGCTCCTCATAATGCAAGCAGACACTCAAGCAGTACTCCACTGGCCCCGGGTATTGATACATCGCATAACATAACGGCAGAATCGTGAAGGTATCGTGCGGTTGACACATGATAAGGTGTTCGTGTCAACATAAAGGATTGAAAGTATGATAGTAGAATAGAGCTCCATGGAAGTAAGGAAGCAAAGGTTCAATCACATCGTGAATCCTATGTTCTCTCGGTTGTCATCCACCAGACGTCCGTACCTGCATCAGCTGTCAGCAAGGTGCGGAGCAAAAGGAACAGAGGGAACTCACTCTAACAATAATCGGAAAAACCACACTTCCATATCCTCGTTTCGGAGGGTCTTTTTGGCCCACTCCTGGCTTTGCTGCGCTAGCCGGGGCGCCGCTGCTTTCCCTTCCTCTTCGGAGGTGAAATATCGCATGGTCTCCAGATACTCGTCTCCCGTCAAACTGAGAGGAATGTAATGGAGCCAGGGTTTCAGCCACTCGTTGTGCCATTCGCGGAAGAGAGCCACCTTGAAGACAAGACTATTGCTTTTCAAGAAAGCATAAAACCGCCCGCTGAAGGCGTTCCCATCGATGTCCACTAGGTGTTTATACGCCCAGCCATCCTGCGGGCCCGCCGGTGGTGCAACCTCGAAGTACTCCCTCTGCGCGGCGCAGTCCTCCACATCGCATTGCCCGATAAATGTGAACTTGACGTCGAACAAGTCTTGGTACGATTGGCGGTTCACATCCCTGGATTCCCATTGCCCTTGGCCATTCCGCTCGAGGACCTTGGCGGCGTCCAAAGCATTGATGCGGCCAACGAACCGCTGTCGATGCTGTCGTCGCCATCCACCAGCTCGCGAGAAGCCACCTGTCGTCGACCCTCTCCAGTACATTTTGTCCTGTTTATCATCCCATTTGTAATCCAGGTTTTCGGTGTAGGGCACCTTGTCAGCCCAATACCACGGACTGGGATAGATAATGTCCTGGAAGCTGGAGATCTTGCTCTGCGAGAAGATTGGAAACAGGTCGCGGACCACATCGAAGGCGTTCGCACGGTCGAAGAATCCATACTTGTACCGGAGTGAAGGCGTATTGCAGATGTCAGAGAAGGCGGTCGCATTGTAGATAAACCCCAGCTCTCCATAGGCGTATCGGTTAGCCGCATCGGGGCCATCCTCATCCAGGGATCGCGCTGGCGTATCCACAGCGCAGGATGCCCGGGAACTGGTCCACGTCGGCTGGTGCGCGAATCGATTGAACCGAGTTGTGCGGACTTCGTCAATGCGATCGCCTTTGTTGAGATCGCTCGGTTTCGCTGACCACGCGTTGACAGGCGACGGATTCTGGAACGCCGCCGGAATGGCATGATCCGTGGCGACCGCGACCAAGCGTTGCAGGTCCTCGCTGGGCACGATCACGCGGGGTTCGTCGTGGGCGTTGAACACCAGATCCATATCCGGCAAATACTGGACAAAGCTCTTCAACATGCCGGCCGTAGCGTCGCGCTGCCACTTCTGTCCATCGCTGCCTCCCTCCACCCATGTCACCTTGCCGTCGCGGATCAATACTCCCAGCATAGAATTGTCGAAGCCGAGAGCTTCGTGAGCGCGCTCGCGGATCGTTCTCGGTTGAAGCGCCCAGAATGGGAGTAGCGAGTGGTAGATGGTGTCGTATTCATCGATCAATTGGACGCCCTTTGACTTTGCAAACTGGAACCACTTGTCGAAGTGCGGCGGAGGGTTCATGCCATAGCGACGGCGGTATTCGCGGACAGCGTCTGCGAGATTGCGCGACTGCCGTGCGCGGAGCTGGTTGAACTCCTGTTCGGCATCTTGAACCAGACTGGAGATGGGGTGGATGCGACGGTCGACAGGACGCGAGTTCTCGTGGTCGTATGACGTCTGTTGTTCTTGTTGTTGTTCGGCGGGTGGCTGCGACGGCGGAGTTGGGACGGGAGGAGGCAGCGGGGAGCTAGTTCGAGAGCCATTGGATATGGGGGAGTTTCGAAGGAGGATGAGTGAAAAGCAGACCAGAACGACCGTTACCAACAGGGGGAGAAGACGCTGGGGTCGCATTCTGCCATGGAGCGTGAGTCTGTCTGCATATGAGGGTGAGACAGTCGCATTGAACCGAGGATGGGCTGAAACAAACAAACGACCCTAAACAATGGGATTGCTTTTTCTGGCGTTAGGATTCCATCAGAGAAGCAATATAGGAAAGATGGTGGGAGGAGAAGATGAAGAAGAAGCTCACGATCTTCCAACATACACAGTCAAAACAGCCGGTCGCCGGGCCGAGAATAGGTAGGTAATGACGGATGGAGATTCCCCACGCGTGCCAAGACAGGAACTCACGATGAGAATAGAAACAGTTCGCTCAGGATAATATGAAGAAGACATCCCATTCATGCTGAAAACATGCAAACCTGAGTGCTTTACTTCTTCTGCACGCGACATCCCTTGTGTTCGGCCTCTCATTCTTCCAAACTGGTTGTAACAAGAGATCTCCATTCCACGCCCCATATTCCTACCTGCTAGAGGAAGCGGAATGGGCCGCATCATCATTGTTCGCCGCATGCGGTGATCGTCCGAAACAGACATGCCAGTCTTTCTGAGTTCGACTAATTGCGCACTGACACCAATCTCGCATGTTGATTGATGTAGGGCTGCAAGTATAGCTAGGTAGGAAAGTGGATGTATATTTGCCCATTGCATATAGGGTAGCTCATGCTGTACAACACATGATATATTTGCAGAACACGGTTATGCCTAGGTACCTAGGCAGGTTTATAATAATGTTTTTGACTAAAGTCTCTGCAGGCTACTTCAACAAGATGAAATCTAACTCGCCATTATCACACATCTGACCCAAAATACAGGAACCGGCAGAGCTTGTCTATACATAGCTTCTGAGCACTTATTCAAACTTCATGCAGTCTAGTGACTGTCCACTGGAAACAATGGGCACCATTTCTGTCTCCGCAATCAACACGTCGAGCAGAGCAGGCCTATCACAGCGTAAAAGCCAATCGATGCACTCAGGCAGGTCCTCTTTGAAGAAGCAACGTTGTCCCTGGCAGTTCATGCTGCGCGCAAGTTGAACAAAGTCAGGGTTGTCCTGCCGCGCATAGCAAATCCTCCCTTCGTAGCTTTCGCGTTGAAGCTGGGAAATCATACCCTGTTCCTGGTTATTGAGTATGATCACTTTGACGGAGACACCTTGCTGCGATGCGGTCAAAAGCTCTGCCATCGACATACAGAAGGAGGCGTCTCCATCTATGCAGATTACATGATGGCCAGGCCGAGCAGTCTTAGACCCGATAGCAGCCGGGAGCCCATAACCCATAGTCCCCAGACCACCTGACGTGATGAGAAAGCGTTCATCCTTCCAGTCATAATATTTGGCCGTCCACATCTGATGTTGACCGACGCCGGTAGTAATGCTGATTGGAGATTGCATAGAAGCCGTCTGCTGATTCAGCTCGGCGATGATATCCTGAGGAAGAGCTTGAGGGTGCTTGTGCTCAGAAGAGATGGACTGGAGAGGATATTCTTCCTTCAGGTGCTGTATAAAACCCAGCCATTCTGCACGGTCTGTCTTTTCCAATCGCCGGAGGAGGGCGCCCACAGTGATTGATAAGTCTCCAAGAATGGTTTGAGTCGGTGCAACGAATTTCCCCAGAAAGTCAAGGCTAATGTCAAAATGGATGATGCCTCCTTTGCCTTCTTTGGCTTTCTCAAGGGCGTTGGGTGCGAAGCCAGATGCTTTGCCCACCGCACGTTCGTCCAGCCTGGCACCCATCACGAGGATGAGGTCGGCGCTCTGGATCGCATAGTTGGCACACGGCGTTCCATAGGTCCCGGTCATTCCGAGAGAGAGTGGATGGTCATGGTCAAAACACCCCAGTCCAAGGAGCGTGGTAACCGCAGGAATGCGATACTCGTCCACCATCTGCCGCAGCAGTGCTATGCCTTCTTCACTGGCGAGGGCGCCATTCCCGGCGCATATGAGCGGACGCTGCGAATGGTTCACCAAATCCGCAACTACATCTATCTCTCCCAAGAGGTTTGCGCTGTCATTGTTGACAGGATCAGGGCTTGGTGCAAGGGAGTCATCTTCCAAATTATTGTAAGCTTCTAAAGCCTCCGCATCGAACGTCGCTTGAGCAATGTCTTTCGGGACTGAAATAAGCACTGGGCCGGGACGACCCTCCACTGCACGTTGAAAGGCCGAGCGAACAGCCATCGGCAATTCCCAGAGGCTCTGTACAGAGGTGGCCCACTTCGTACACGTACGTGCTAGTTCATCGATGTTGATCTCCTGGAAAGCTCCCTTGCCCTGGGATGCTGTCGGCACTTGGCCACAGATCACGACAATGGCGGTTCCGTCGAGCAGAGCATTTAGCATGGGTGTAACCGTATTGGAACTCCCCGGCCCCGAGGTCACCATCACCACGCCGGGCTTTTTGCTGGTGCGGTAGTAACCTTCTGCCATGTGGCCCGCGCCCTGTTCGTGATGTGAAAGGATGAATTCAAATCGCTGGGCTCGGTAGAGGCTGTCCAGTAACTGGAGAGATGCACCGCCGGGGTAGCCGACTGTACTTTTTAGTCAAAAGATTTTCAATGGTCAACCAATGGATGACATACAAACATGCTTTACGCCCTGTCTTGCAAGAAGCTCGCATAGGACATCTCCCCCAGAAAGCCCAACGAACTCGCGGCCATCCATCTGTGTTAAGTGATAAAGTAGTTGTCAACTAAAGATAGAGAAGGAGCTTTCTTCACGGAACCACTTGCTTTCTGTCCTTTCTGTCTCCTTTTATCAGTCTGCGGACACTGTAAGATGCGTCACTGATGGCCCTGTATTTGGACATGCATGACGCGAACAGGCTTCCTTCCCTGTAGTTGACGATTGTTTGGTTCTGGTATGAGCATGGTACTGTTGGACAAGATGAGAAAGGTATTAATCACTCCATCTTCCATGTACAGGAGGCCTTCGCGGAATCCGTCACCCTAGTCATGGATTCCTGAGGAAAACAAGAATCCGCATAGTTGAATCCTGTTATTCATCGATTTCGTCAAGTAGGGTATACGGAGTAGATTCTTGGTCAGGCCAGAAAATCTAGACTGTAGATAAGCAATGGAACTGGGATATAGTTCCCGATAGGCCCTTCTGCGAGTAGACGTCACTCACTTACCGAATGAGGACAGTTGCGCCGGCGAGCACACTGGAGGCCTTGATGTCCGGCTTGCAAGAATGTGATGGCTCTCTAATGGCGGCATTATGAGAATTGTCTTGTATCTGTCTGGGGTTAGTACAAGATATATTGGCTGCGTGTTGCTTCATCTGGTGTCGACAGCATCATCTTTCTCCCCCTCCCAGATCGAAGCTAAAATTCTGAACCTGGAGCCAATCTACAGGATTGTACATCCGAAAGTAGATAAACAGTGTCGATACCTAGAACAGCCAAAGGTGGGATAAGTGTGAACGGGTACAAAATCATACAATCTCAGTATCGTCGGTGGCTGATCTTCACGTCCGAGATCGACATGGCAAACTGCATTTACCAATACTCCATACTAGGAGCACTGATGAAGGGGATCTGTCAAGACGGAACAACGGTCCAAAACATCCTCAAACACGGTGACCATGGAATCGGCACCGTTCGCGGTCTCAACGGCGAGCTGGTAATCATCGACGGGGTAACGTATCACTTCCCAGCTACCGGACCCCTACACCGTCTCGACGCCACGGATATCATTCCCTACGCGATGGTCACCAGGTTCCAGCCCACGCTGACCAGCTCCGTTCCACACACAGCCATGTCGTCTCTGTTCCACTCGCTGTCGCCTCTACTCCCCGACGAGCAGAATGTCTTTCTCTCGCTTCGACTGCGCGCCTCCTTCTCGCGGGTAGTCTTTCGCGTGATTCCGGCGCAGTCCAACCCTCGAGAAACCCTGCTGCATCTGGCGAAGAGGCAGGAGATGCGCGAATGCACACACATACAGGGCACGCTGTTCGGGTTCTGGTCTCCCAAGTATACCAGTGGGTTTAGCGTCCCGGGCTTCCACCTGCATTTGTTGTCCGCGGATCGTACTGTGGGTGGCCATGTTATTGATTTTGATGCGGAGGATGGGGAGCTGGGTGCGGCAGTAGTGAGAAACTACCAAGTTGAGTTTCCTGCGTCGAATGAGTTTCGCGAGGCGCCTTTGAACTGTGTCTTGGAGAAGGAGCTGTACACTGCGGAGGGAGCTTCCACGTCTGATTAGAGCTTCTCATGATGGGATATCGTGATTGAGAAGATGATAGAAGGGAAAAGGGAATAGAGTTTGTTTGTTGGGCACACACCGGATCTAGTCAGTTGTACCTAACCTCGTATAGGCCTTGGGAGCTGTACCTACTAGGTACCTTATACATCCAGGGAATCTCGATATATGAACTTTTCTACCAATCCGAATTAGTACTTACAATCAGATTTCGCTGTACTTCTATATTCCACGGTATTGACCACCCTGAACCCTCGAATGCATGTATGCCTCCCCACCTACTGCGCCATAATCCAACAACACCCCACATTGACAACAAACGCCCCGAGCGCCTGCAGAACAAAGACCTGCGCCTGCACCACATGGTAGTATGCTGCCGCGGCAAACGTCCCCACTAGAAGAAGATGGGTGTAATAGAACGCCTGTCGCTTCGCGCGCAAGGAGCCAGATGACCATCCGCGGAGCCAGCGCGGGTTGCCGATGGGCCGTACAAACAACAACACTGATACCGCCACGGTGAGAGCAAACAAACCGCATTGGACGTCGCCATCCTGTAGGCGTTTAACCAAGAGCGAGCTGAACTCCGGATGATTCGACTGCGCAAAGAATGACAGATACAAAACCGCGTGCCCGACCAGCAACGGCGAGAGGACGGCACGGCCAAACAGGCGGTGGTACGCGGTTAGCGTGTGTTGGGGCAGTCCCGTCAGCACAGACATGACTGATGAAGCGGCGGGCGTCGAAGCGCTCAGGTAGAACGCAGGCGACATCAGGACCTGCACTGGCAGTTGTGACAGCCCGACGTGTCCGAGTGCTTTTGTCAGATGTAGATAATCTGAGGCGTTTAGTGTTTGTCTTCTCCGAAGAAGCCAACATCAATAAGAGGCTACTGACCATCGCCAGTCTTCCACATGGACAGACACACAAGCCAAACCAACCAGACGAGAATAATGGCATATTGTCTGCGTGTCTCGGTCCAACCGGCAACCGGCGGTGAATCCCACCACGACCTATGCCGGTCTTGGGGCCGAGGGATCTGCTTGCCAGGTCCAGCGACTCTCGAGTAGCTCCCATATAGCCGTATCGCAGTGACAGCAGCGACAATGGAGATCTGGGCGTATAATCCCCGAAGATCCAAGAGCTCCCTTCGTTGCTGTTTTTCTGCTGGTGTCGCTAGCACCACGAAATGCCAAGGCCAGTCCAACGCCATTGAAAGGGATCTATAATTCGATCCACAGAGACTGATGTCGAGAATATTGCACAGGTCAATGGATAAATGAGGTCCTCGGAGATGTTGATGTTGTTGGATCTATAACAGCTTACAGGCACGTGGCCCCTGACTAACGCCATTCTCCTGAATGGCTGCTAATCACATGATGCCCCAGGCATCGGTTTAGGGTGTGTTTCAGCTGTTTGCACTTTCTCTTCTCTATACAACGGGCTGGGACGCAGGAACAGGAACGATGCCAGGGTCTAGGAGCGATGGGCCAGCGCCATCGTAGATTGCTTATTCCGGTCGCAGAGTCTGATATCCGTCGAAGAGGTGGAGACTCGACGGGGTGAGTGTTTAGTAGAAAGGCCCTGCAGTCTAGATCAGATGCACTGTAAAACACATGTTATTGTTCCCTGGTCTGCGTAGGTAAATAGCTTAAATATACGAGTGCTTACTAGAAATCGAAGTACACAATTTCAACGTTAGGGCGGGTTAGGAGATGCAAATGGACGCTGACCCCAGACTGTGGCATGTTAACCGGACAAAGCCAGATGGATCTGAAGAGGTCAATAGGGCCTTCATCCTTATAGGCATGTTGTAGATATTCCCTTCCATAATGTACTGGCTTTGTGGGAACTACGCGCGTAGATCCAGCCCAGATCCCGAGTTCATCCTAATCGATGCTTACTCAAATAATCGTCATATGAAATCTCCTTTGGTTTTCCATAGGTGAAGGATCAGGTTCAAAAGACTCTACATTTAAAACGCCATGAGCATCCCATCCCAGTCAGATGCTCGGACTATTTCTAATATCGGCAAAATGGCGAATCCCCACGAGGCAGTGTGAAGTGCTATACCTAATTACCATTTCCCACTCGCTGTAGAATGGGTTCTTACACAGACAGCATCCACCCAGGTCGCCTAGGGCGACGTCTGCATCACCTCCTCGTGGCCGCCTGTCGCAGTGGTGGCAAAGTACCGAACATCGACGTCTTCGTCCTCTTGCAGCTTTTCCAAGCTAGGGATGATTCTCTGCTGGATGAGCTCTTGGCCCTTCGGTGACGGTGTGGCGGTTTTGCCGGACTTCTCCAGGTCTACCAGGGTGCCCTCTGCCGGTAGCCGTCGCAGGGTGTCAATTAGAACAGCATATGACTTGGCGACGTTGAACCGGATGTTGGGAATCTCGTCCGTGACAAGTCTGTCCAAGATGGGAAGGATGGAGTTGTCGATGATTTCGAGGGAGACGACAGGAGCAAGAGTCTAAATTCCGTTAGTTTCGTCGAATGAAAAGGGAATGTCCGTATCGAACTTAGGAGACATACCGAGACAGCAAAGCATGTCGTCATTCTATAGAGGTAGTTCGGGTGCTGTCCCATGGCCATGACCTTGGGAATGATAGACCCCTTGGCCCAGTCCACACCAAACACTTCCGTGAGCTTTCTCAAGTTCTGAGTGGCAGCCTCACGGATGGAGAAGACTGTATCTCCCAGCCATCCCATGCACAGATCGCTCAGCTGCTCATCAAAGAATTTGACGCCGAGCTGGCTGGCGAGCAGAGGAATGTATTCGATAATTGCAAGGCGGACTCGCCACTGTTTGTCCTCGGCCAGTTGTACGATAGCAGGGAGGAGAGACTGAGACAAGAGGTCGATCCCAATGACTTGAAACAATTAGCATGCGGAGGCCTTAGACCGTCAATATTGCGGTGTTTGCCATACCTTTGTTAACCAACTCCAGTTTAGAGATGATGTGGAGTCGTACGTCGGGGAACTCGTCCTTGAGCATCTGAAGGAACATAGGAAGCAGATGGGCGATAGTCCTGCGCTGAGGTTAGAGATCATACGCATTTGCATATAGGGCCATGAGACTGACTCTTCTTTTCCGAGAATAGGAGCGAGGCCGCTGATTTGGGTACCCAAAGCAGCGCGCACATGCTGGGATGGATCGGAGACCAAGTCTTCCACGCTAGTCATAATCTCGTTCAGAAGCGTGTCCCGGTCAATCAAGCTGCAGAAACCTGTCGTCAAAGTCTTAGTCACTGGTCGGATCCGGTGGCAGGAGAATACGCACCAGGGATCTGGCCGGCAATTGCAGTGCGGACCTCAGCCTCCGTGTCCTTGAGGAGCTTCACAAACGAGGGAACCATGTCCCGAGTCACAACCTCTTCATGTACAGCTTTCGCGATCTGCCACAGAGTCAGAGCCGTAAAGGCGGGCACGAGACAAGGCGAAAATGTACCTTTTCATATCGGTCGGCGACCATGTATCGGACCCTCCAACTCTTATCCTCGAACAAATTCCGTAGGGAGGTCAACAGAACACCATGGCTGGGCTGTTGTTCCTTGGGAATCTCCTCCGCGATGGAAATCAGAATATCCACGGTAAGCAAACGTACGCTATCCTGGTCATCACTCGCCAGGTATTGGAACAGGGGTATCATCTCATCAATGACGACTTGTGTGTCCATTTCCTTCACAAACTTGGCGAGGTTGTTGGCAGCCTGTCTCCTCACCATCGGAGTGTCGTCATGCACCAGGCCTCCGAAGTATTGCCGGAGAGTTTGCTGAAGGGGCGTAGGGGCTTTCTTGTAAGGCACGCAGTAAAGACCGGTGGCGGAGACTTTCGAGGTAAACCAATCGGCTTTGGACAGGCGTTGGATCATGGGAACGAAATACTCTTCGATCTGCTTTTCGGACAGCTGCTCGCCGATTTTGTTGAGGGATTCGACGGCCTAGTGCACTTCGTTAGCATCAACCATTCAAGTAAAGTGAATCATGACACTATCCCTACCTTCTCTCTCACTACGGGTTCTTCAATGGCGGCCAAATTCTCCAGCGGAGAAAGGAGCACATGCCCGTATTCCGGACCACCGACATATTCTATGAAATTGCCCAGCTCTTCACTTAATGCGGTCAAGACTTCATCTTCATCCTCAACGGAGTCTGCAAGGGATATACAGTTAGAATGCGCTCTGGTGAGTTAAACTGCAGGATATCTGTTTGTTTTGATCCTTTGTTGGGTCGGACTAACCATCAAGGAATGGAATGAGCTCCTCCCGGGTCCGCTCGGCACCCAGGGCCAAAGCAATGGTGGAGATGCGGTGGATGGCGTTCAGACGAATGAGAACATCGTCATGCTACAAGGAAAGAGAGGTCAGGACGGTCGAGAAGAGACGAGGTGTAGGATGCTGTAGTCCGGGGGACGTATTCGGTACCTTCAGCTCATCGATCAGGACGGCGATGGGGTAGAGTTCGTCGTTTTCACCCTGGCCCTCCATCGCGAAAGGAGTTGGATGTGTTGGATGTATGATCGGGATAAAGAGACGAGTAAGAAGGGGCGACGAGTGACCGGTCCACGTCCTCACTCAGGCGGCAATCCGAGCCAGGCTCACGCGAACACAGGGAATATTTTGGGCGGGGAGACGATCTAAAAACGAGGGGCTGTCATAGAACGTAATGACAAGGACAAGCACCTAGTGGAGAAGGAAATTAGCGGGAGCTGAAGTGGGAAGCGCCGTGGCGGGAATCAAAGTGAGAGCAGAGGGTCGGTCGAGAGTAGGTAGAAGGTGGTGGTGGTAGTGGTGGTGATGGTCTGCGTCAAGGTCCCCGGAGCGAGGTTTCGTGGGGTTTGGGCCGCCGCAGGACCAGTGAGAGCAACACCCAGGAGTTAACGATAGCAACATACCTCGAGGAACAATTGAAATTGGACGACCACCTGAGGAATGGTCTGGGAGATGATTCAGCGGTAGAATGAGATCTCGATCGAGAGAGGATGAATGAGGCAGAGGGGAGAATAATGGACAAGGGGGGGTTAGAGAGTGAGTATTCGTGTCGCTCAAAGCGAAGGTTGAATCGGTCGGCGGTGGTGGTCAAAGCAGCAGCTGTGGCGGTGATTAGATATTCCCAGCAGGGAAATCTCTGGCCAGCCCAAACGGGTAATCTCCTGTGGCGGTGCACGCTACCCACCGCCTTTGTCCGCCCGCCGAGGGGAAAATGTTCTGTTGGAAATTAAGATGACTCCTCCGCTCTACGCTGTTGTCTCTCCGCCGCCCCTCCTCTCCGTTCCACCACCAGATTCTGGTCTCCAGCAGATTCCGTGAGGCTCGCTGATCAGTCAATTCCTGGGTTCCGTGGGAGGACTATCCAACTACTCTTTCTCCGGTTTCTCGTGCACGGTTGAATCGCATAGGCGACACATTCCCCCACCATGCCCACCATCTCCGTCGACAAGGCCGCGCTCTTCCAGGCGCTCGGAAGGGAGTATGTCCAATTTCCCTTCCAACCCCATATATTAAGGACGCTTACTGATTCTCTGTGTCTCAGGTATACGACCGAGGAGTTCGATGAGCTGTGTTTCGAGTTTGGTATGTCACACAGACGGTGTCGGCGGGGCTTGCGCTAACTACTGGGATCAGGCATCGAGCTCGACGAAGACGTAATACTCCTTTTCTCCCCATCCGGTACTTTCGCCTGTACTAATTGTCTACTTTCAGACAACGAATTCGGACAGACCTATCGTCGATGGAAAACAGGAGCCTCCTCAGCTCAAGATCGAAATCCCCGCCAACCGGTGCGATGCCCCACCCCAACTGAGCCCTATATCAAAACCGCATATACTGAGTGTTCGTCAGGTATGACATGCTGTGTTTCGAGGGCATTGCCCTCATGTTGAACATTTTCCTGGGCCGGAGACCCCTCCCCAACTACCGACTGGTCGAGCCCGCGAACGGACAGCTTGAGAAGATTATTGTTAAGGAGGATGTGAGTAAAACATTCGGTGCCTATCCACGATGTGTACCGGTCTAATGGCGGGAACCAGACCATGAAAATCAGACCCCTCGTGTCTGGCGCTATCCTGCGCAACGTGAAGTTCGACCAGGCTCGCTACGAGTCCTTCATCGCCCTGCAAGACAAGCTTCATCAGAACCTTGCTAGACAGCGTACACTTGTTTCCATTGGTACTCATGACCTGGACACGATAAAAGGACCCTTCACCTATGAAGCGTTGCCTCCGAAAGATATCAAGTTCACCCCGCTGAACCAGACGAAAGAAATGAATGGGGAGGAACTGATGAACTTCTATGAGGTAGGCCGATCCGTCGCATTCACGGCCGCCTCAATACTAACGCAAATTGAAATCACAGAAAGACAAGCATCTCGGCAAGTATCTTCATATCATTCGGGACTCTCCCGTCTACCCCGTCATTTACGATGCCAACCGGGTTGTCTGCTCTCTTCCGCCTATCATCAACGGAAACCACTCCAAGATCACGCTTGATACCAAGAACGTCTTCATTGAAATCACGGCCCTCGACAAGACCAAGGTGGAGATTGTCAACAGAATGATGGTCGCCATGTTCTCTGAATACTGCTCCGAGCCTTTCACGTAAGACAGGTCATTCCAACTTTCGATGCGAGGTCTACTAACTAAACCCGAACAGCATCGAGCCCGTCCAGATTGTTTCGGATCACAATAACGAAACCCGGGTCGTTCCCGATATGTCTCCGCGCACCACTCAAGCCGAAATCTCTTACCTCAATCAATGCTGTGGCCTCGATCTCTCCGCCACTCAGATCTGCGACCTGCTGAAGAAGATGGCATACAATGCCAAGCCCTCCGCCTCCTCTCCTGATCTCATCGACGTGGACATCCCTCCGACCCGCGCCGACGTGCTTCATCAGGCTGATATCATGGAGGACGTCGCCATTGCCTACGGCTTCAACAACCTCCCGAGGTCCTTCCCCAGCAAGTCTGGTACCATTGCCCAGCCCCTCCCGATCAACAAACTGTCGGACATCGTCCGCATGGAGGCTGCCATGGCAGGCTGGTCCGAGGTCCTTCCTTTGATTCTGTGCTCTCACGATGAGAACTTTGGCTGGCTTAACCGCAAGGATGACGGCAACACCGCCGTCAAGCTATCCAACCCCAAGACCCTGGAATTCCAGGTCGTCCGCACGAGTCTCCTTCCCGGTCTTCTCAAGACCATCCGCGAGAACAAGCACCACACAGTGCCTATGAAGATCTTTGAGGTCAGTGACGTTGCTTTCAAGGACCTGTCTCTGGAACGCAAGAGTCGGAACGAGCGGCACTTCGCCGCCGCGTGGTACGGCAAGACCAGCGGTTTTGAGGTCGTCCACGGTCTCTTGGACCGTACCATGGCCATGCTCAAGAGTGCCTTCATCACCACCGAGGAGGGTCTGGAGAACCCCGCTGTGGGTGAATCGCACTATTGGATTGAGGAGCTGGATGGTAAGTTTATCCTTCCTTTCTACTTGTTAGACCATTTGACTGATTCGGATCACAGACGCTACCTATTTCCCCGGTCACGCTGCCTCCGTCCATCTCCGCATCGGAGGGAAGGACCACGTCATCGGCTCTTTCGGTATCCTGCACCCTACAGTGTTGGAGAACTACGAACTGAAGTACCCCGTCAGCACGCTAGAGATCAACATCGAAGCCTTCCTGTGAATGGAAGCTGTGTAGATCATAGAAACCTTGTTGAAAGAAAGTATACAATCCACAATGTTTAGATAAGACACATCATGAGCGATAAGTCCGAAGACAAAAGAATAAAAAGAGGCAATTTTCAAATGGCTACTAGCGTAGAAGCTTAAACGAACAACAACCCTAGGGGTATAGCCACGGTGCAGTTGAGTATGGAGTTGGCATGCGACGCACGTTTTATATCTACGACCAAATACTCATGACTGCACATATGTTGTTTTGAACTTTTTGCCTGCTATTGCTCTTTTTTATATGAACCGCACTCCCGCCATGCTCCAAGCTAAACGAACCCGTTACTTCCTTTTGGATTCGCCCCGTAACTTCATCTCGGACATCATGTTTTCCTACCTAGGTATTTCACTAGGGAGCCAAGAACATAGCTGCAATGATATGGAACGCTGCAGAAAGAAAACCCGTTTTGGAAGATCATGTAGTTCTTTTATTTCGTCAGGTATTGAAATGAGGTAGGACGACAGGAACGAAGAAAAAAGAGCAGGGCCTAAGAAAATAAACTAGATTACTCCTGCGCATAAGCCTCCGCACCAGCACCCTCCTGGGCCTCCGCAGCCTGCTGCTCAGCCAGACGCTGCTGTTCGGCGAGCTGCTGAGCGGCAAGAGCCTTGGCACCGTAGTCCTGGCTCATGGGCTGGAGGACGGGCTGCTCCTCCTTGGGCTCGATGATGGTGACGGAGTCAGGGAGAGTCTTCTGGGGGCCGGCCTTGCCCTCGGGGTCGGAACCGCGCATGATCTTCACCTTGATACCAAGGACACCCTGGCGGAGAAGAACGTGGCGGGTAGCGGAGTCGATGAACTCCTTAGCGGGCTGACCGGAGTGGATCATGAATCCGTCCTGTAAAAAGCAATCCTGTCAGCCATTCTGTATCCAACATGTATTCATCCACAGCAACTATAGTTGCCGGTAGTCGAAACCCCCATCCGAGTCACCCTTTGTACAGAATTCCCAAACGTACCGTGAACTTCATGGACTTGGCACGGGCAGCACGGAGCTTTCCGGAAACGACAACCTCACAACCCTTGGCACCGCTCTCCATGATGAAGCGGAGGACACCGTAGCAGGCACGGCGGACGGCAAGACCGTTCAGGAGCTTGTAGCGGAGGGACTCGCACTGAGCGACGGCGGAGAGACCGCGGTTCTGGACCTTGGCGGCATAGAGGGAAACGGAGTTCTCGGGGAACTTGAAGCGCTTCTGGATGAGGGAGGTGAGCTCGCGGATGCGGCGGCCCTGCTCACCGAGAACCTCCTGGGTGTGGGTGGCACGGATGACTGCGAAAACACATCCGTTAGCATTTGACCAGATCTTTTTTCAACGTGCCAAAATTGTTCCATAACCCCTGGTCAAGATTGAACCAGTCGCCTGTATCACTGGGTTGAACTCTTCTTCTTTCTCCCTCTCTCCTGTTCTTCCACCTCCGCTAGTGATCGCCGGTCTCCGATCTCTGTCCAACCCAGGATACATTTGGCAACGGGAAGGCATTGTGGTGCAAGAATAGACAGGAAATTCACTCGAAGGGCGAAGGCGACGTACTGATGTCGGTGACGGTGGGAGTGACACGGACTTCAACACCGGAGTAGCCCTCCTCAGCCAGCTCGCGCTGGAAGAACTCGTTCAGCTCGGCATAGAAGACACCGTCGGCAACGAACTTGCGGCGCTTCGAAATAAGCTCCCTGGACAGCGGCCATGATTGCGATCCTGCAGAAGGAATTGGGTTGTCGAAGAAAGGGCCGGGGACGCGGTGGTTGCGGAAGTCGTTCGAGGGCGAAGTAAGTCGGCTGCCGTCAAGGTCAGATTTCGAAGAAGTTCGGCGGTAGTGGGGAGTGGGCTTTCCTCTTCGGGAGAGGGCTCAACCCTCGCTTGCGTGCCCCGGGCGCCTTGCCTATCCGGGTTAGTCTACCGTTCCGTGCTCAGGCATTAAGGCATCAACTTCTATAATCCATACTACCCAGGTCGCTATGATCAACATCAACACCGCTGAAATAATGTTTATCACAAGTTCTAGCCGAGACCTCGGTCGTTACCGTAAATACATCAAGTCATGAGTGGCACTAGTCCCATGTTTTATCATTGCATCTCAACTTCCATCGGACTGATACGTTTCCCGTCCTGCTGGATCTCTCCCGTTGTAGGCAGAGACAGATTCGAGATCTCCGATGTCATAGTCTCCATCCGGCTCGACATGCTATCTGGGTCCTCCTTACCCGATATCCCGCTTCCGATAGAATGATGGGCGGTCTCTATACCGGTCAACACTGGTGCACGCTCGGGGGTAGACGCATCCCGGCCAGCAGGCGGAGTAGCACTTGAGGCACGAACGCCATTCATCTCGGCATCAGTACGACCAAACGCCTCACTCCACCATCGGACTTTATTGACCTGCGGGAATATCAACCGCTCTTTCCCGCGCTTATGATCGTCAATCTGTGGGTCGTATTGTGGGTTGAGGAACTGTTCTCGACGAGCGAGGAAGTAATCCCAGACACTTCGAGTCCGCTCTTTCGCCTTGCACTCCACGCGCTCCTTCTCGCTGTTAAAGAGAAAAGTTCCGAATTGGCATGAATAGAGATGGTAGAGTAGCCTTCGCAGGAACCGCTCGTTGAATTCGAACCGGGTTGGGTGTTGGTACAATAACTGGTACGTGGCATCCAAGAACTGGTGGAAGACAGGGCTCGTCTCTTTGACTTTCGTCACTTCTTTCTCCGAGACGACTGATTTCGGGGCAGAGCTAGGTGGTTTCCGTATTCCCCCATTATCGGAATCGTAGTTTTGCATCTCCCCATCCGACTCAGGAAGAGAGTCTCGGCTTGTGTTGTCGCGATTGAAGAACCCCTTGGCGCTTAAGAAGGCGTTTTCCAGCGCCTTGCCTGCTCCACCAGCCTCTCCAAACGCACGATTGGAGTCGCCGCCAATGCGCTCGTTCTCAATCTGAAACCACTTCTCACTGTTCAGGTGGCCAGATCTATGCCGAAACATATGTCCGAAGGAAAGCCAGTCCTTCTCCACTAGGACCATAAACCCTTCCAAAGTTCTATAATAAGGGTCAAGGCACACCTGGCTCAGGGCACTCAGTTGACTAGTGCGGTCCCATCCATCAGAGCAATGAATCAACACATGAGAATGTTGAAGACCAACTTGGCGCGCAATCAAGCCGGCGCCATCGAGGATCCCGGAAATGTGTTTCAGCCACCCGCTCCGCGCAAGCTGGTCCCGACTCGGCCCCAACGGGGTGACATCAGAATCTTTTAAGGCATCAATCACCTTATTGAGGGAATCCCTCATGACATGGATGTTGTCGATCCCCAGATACGCCTTGGTAGCGAATTTATAATTGTCCATATTCTCCGAGCCAAGCCCCACGGCCTGCATGGCGAACGCGTTGACTGTAGGCCGTGCATCGACGATCAAATTGTGTTGTTGTGCACCGTATATCTGCGGTTTTTCTTCCGGATCCCCAGGGAATGACGCTAGCATCTCATCTTCCAACTCCTCCGCGCTCGTAAGCTCCGGTATTGACTGACTACCGGACAGGTCACTTTGCGTCGACCCCGAGGACTCATTTTCGAGGCGCGGAGGGGTAAAGGCTGCGAGCGGCCTCTCTGTTCGGGAAGTTGAAAAGATGGCGGCCAATAGCTTCTCGTCTTGAATACTCCTGTTCTGGCGCACGCCCACCAGGGGCTGCGAGCTTCGTGTGATGGAACAATTGTTGACAGGGTGAAGATATGTCAGCACGGGAATTCTAGCTCTGGATCGATATCGTCCCGCATAATTGAGGGTGTTGTCGGAAATCGCAGCAGGCACCGGGAATAGAGCGGGGTAGGTTGGAGAGAACTGCATAATCCGAGTCAATGACATGGAACGATTGAGATGCCTTCAATGTCAGAAGGCACATACCCCATAGTCCGCATTTATTTGGGAAATCCGCCATCCGTGTCCATCGCTGTCCACACCCTGTCGCTCCCATTCTTTGCGAGGGTCGTACAACTCCCATCCGTTGAATTCTCGCTCCGGCGGCGGTGGCTGATATGTAAATGCGTAGAGTTTATCAATGCGTCCTATCTTGCAGGTCCATGTCTTTATACTATCGAAAACGTCCCGCGCTTTGCTCTCCGTCGCGAAATAGAAGCAGACAAATGTAAAATCGCGGCATCGTAAGCGAATGGCCGACGGTTGGCGAGAGACGGCGGGGGCTGGTCGGAAAGTACAGAAGGAGATGATAGGATACGTAATCCAAAGCTCCTTTGGACGGATAGGGGTGCCCTGAGCACGCGCATTATCCGGTAGCGGAGGGATGTGGGAGAAGATGATATGGTGAGGGGTGAGGTGGAGGGTGCCGACAACCTGTTCACCACGACGCGCTAAGGTCACATCTTCAACCTGTGGGAGATAGAGCAGGAAGCATCAGTCGATCATGAATTAGAAATAAGGGGAATGTGAAGCATGTCAAGATCAAACAAACCTTAGCGATTCGTGTTTTCTCCATGCCTTGCTATTGCCGTGTCCGCATCAACTTCATGGCCGGATCACCAGGAAATAAAAAATTGACACAGGATATGATACGACAGAATATTGGAACAACACGGCGAGAAAATCCCCGATGCAGGAAATGGAACCAAAGACGCTGTAGAAGGCAAAATAATAACCGAGCTGAATTTGAGAGAGGTGCGTAGTCGGCATACCCAACGGTCATGACGGACTAGGTCAGATGCGGAGCCCCTCGCTAACTACGTCAACCCCGTGATAGCTCTTCCATCATTCTGTCCACGCTCCAACTCTGGGTATGGTGCGCTGTAATGTAACTCTTCAACTTCTCTGAATAGCAGCATTCTTTCTCCATCAATTTCCAGTCCAATAAACCTTGCATTTCTTGCTGAAACGTCTTCCTGCCCTGGTCCTTCGTCTCTCTACTAGTACTTGCGACGGACTGCCTCTTTCGGTAAGCCTTCTAGCCTCAGGCAATTCTATCTAGTGCCACTAAGAACTTGTTTGACAGGCTAAAAGCCTCTCTCTTATTCAATATCTAGGACTTCAATACGATACATAACGGCCTGCACGATTGATTCTTTTCATCAACGTTATCCTAATCCGTTTGTCGCAAGTATATATCACCCCTCGGTCCGAAGGAGCATCTCAACAACCAGAAGATCAAATCAAACAAAGCTTCAAGCAACTGCATAGGCAAAACTATGAGCACACCGCACGCTTCGCCACCATCGGTGGATGACATATTCCGCTATCGATATCAGCATGGCACAAATGTGGGACCCATCTTTATGCATGGACCATGGCTGGACAACAACGCCTTTGAGACGGATCTCAACAGCACGAGGGAACTGGGGGAGATAAAACGGTTGGTAGCAGACGATTCGTCTTTCTCTAGATTTGATCCAACTGATACCTCGCACACAGTTCGATTGAGACAAAAGGGCTTGACGAAACTCGATCGGACTGGGAGTCTCACTGGCGGACAGCACTGACCGATGATGACCTCGTATGGCTCAGAACCGTCGCTAAATGCAATTCTATACGGTTACCCGTTGGGTTTTTCACATTTGGTCCTGTGTTCTGCATAGGGTCACCTTTCGAAGGGGAGCCATCTCAGGTGTATAACAACTGCTGGAACACTGTGAGACATCTGCTCAGGAAGTGCTACGACCACGGTATCGGTGTCTTGATTGACTTCCAGACAATCCCGGGACGGTCTCAAGGTCGTGATCGTACCGGTAATGAGACAACTGTTGATGCTTGTCCGAGTTCCAGTAATTGGAGCCTAGCTAGAGACTGTGTCGCTTTCATCGTCCAGGAAGTGACTTTTCATGCCATGAGTGAGGTGATTGGTGTGCAAATATCGAGTGACACGGACTGGAAGACGTGTGATCTCGAAAAATGGTATGATGAGGTCCTCGAAATCGCGAGCTCCATCAATCCATCCTTGCCGATGTTTATCAGCGATGGTGGAGATCTTTCTGCAGCGCTAGATCTTGCCATGTCGAAGAACCAGTTTCCGACGCGTGTAGGAAGAAGCCCCATTGTCGTGGATACTCACCGGTATTATACTGCCGAAAAATATCGCTCTATGGACCCGATGTCCGTCATTCAACAAATACCAAGTGAGCTCGCAGAGCTTGAGGCTCGTCAGAAGAATGTTGTTGCTCAGGGTACAGCTGTGGATGTGTACGTGGGCGAGTACAGCTGCGCAATGCACCCCCAAAGCTGGTCTTGTGCGAAAGCTTCCGAATATCCTTCTTTAATGAGAACCTTTGGCCAGGCGCAAGGAAAGCAGTGGGCGTCGAAAGCCTGCGGATCCGCGTTTTGCGGCTTTAAGATGCATGGACTTGGCGGCGACGCTTGGAAGCTCGAACAGCAAGTCGATGCAGGTAATATTTCTGCTCCAGTTTGGCTCGCACTCCCACAAACGCGAATTCAAAAATTACTACAGCAAGCAGAATCTCAGAGGGAACACGTTCGCGGAGGATCATTGTCACACGAGTCAAGCCTCTTGAGTTCCTCAGAATGTCACTATTATGAACTGGGATGGGACACTGGATTCAGCGATGCATTAAACTTCTTCGGCGCAGTATCTCATGGCATCATACCTGGTGGTGGCGAAGGAGGAGACAGGATTGGAGCTCTTGAGTTGTGGATTCGAAAGCGAATTTCTAGAACAAATTCGCTTGATAAACAGCTCGGAAGGGCCTGGGAGAAAGGTTTAAGGAAAGGTGTGGACGATTTCTACAAGATAGTCCGCATCTAACTCCATCGCAATGAGCATTCGTCTCCTTGTTTGGCGAGATTGAAGACTATATGTGATCAGTAATAGATCGGTATTGCTATAATGGATCAAGCCTCTTAGCGCCTACCAGGTAGGTATATAGCTTCCATACTAACATAGTGAAGTGTGGTATCCGGCACTCAACATCATGCCGACGAGTAAGAACAAAAACAAAATGGTTGAAATGGAGACATATCTAACTGCATTCAGCGGTTCACTCCCTGCAACTCCAGACCCGAAGCGAAAACAAGATATCTACCATGTGTAGAGGGACGACGACGGAAACCCCGCTTGAGCAATGCTGTCTATCACCAAGCTAGCACAGATTGGGTCCAACATGAATGTGCACAGTTCCAGGTGCTCGTCACGTCCACTCCGCATTTGGCGCATGGGTCCTTTTAGGCTCACATGTTGCCGAGCGGACACCCGAGATGCCGCTGAAATGCCGTGGGAAGTCGATGCCTCTATTCTTGGACTGATGGTCCCTGCAGTATACCCTGAAGCCTTTACTCCACAGCGAACTAGCTTCTGTCTCCGCACAGACGATGATTGTGGGAAGGGATCTCCAATATGGGCGATCAACTGTTCAAACGGCAACTGGTATGCCTCCACTAGAGAGAACCTAGATCAATATATAGAAGACGCTTGACGAAGAACGCCCGTCAAGACGGCGATCATTTCTCGTGAAAGGAGATCGAAAGATAACCAGAATTGGGGAGTATTCGAATTCACCGCTGCACGAGGTAGACTTGTGTCCCGGTACCTCATTCTGGTGTGCCTTCAAGTCAGGGACTAAACTCTGCTGGCAGGTGTTTGCCTCCAATCGAGGACTCTTTTCCTAGTTAGATGGGAACTTAATTGGAGGACTAGCTGGTAGACCGCAAGCGACTACTGTTATCATCAAAGGGTCGCTTGATCGAAAGTGATGTGTGTCGACGCTGATCATCGACTCCGAATCAACAGAGCGAAAGAGAAAGGAAGCCCATCCGGGGACCAAGAGTGATTTGCACTGAAACTTGCAACATGCCGGCACTCCTATTCGATCCCCCGCAAGAACTTAGTCCCCTAACGTATCCTGGAGTGCACGGCTCACTCCGACCCCCGGAGCTCGCCCCAGGACGAACCAGCATTCACTGGTCGATGAGTCCCGTCATTGCGCTAGGCAGTTAGGTATCCATTCGTCGTGATCATCATGTCGTGTTCCAGCTGACACCAGATGGGAATGACCTCCGCTCCAATTTACCCATGCTGGCCATTGACATCAGTCATGGATTTTGAAGCGACGAAGGGAAAAGCATAACACAGCATAGTTACCTCACATGTAGGGGTTTATTGGATAGCCGCTCGGTCGGTTTAAGCGGTTGGATCTGTGGGGAAACGTAGATATCCCGCACTTGCAGCCATATAAAAGGAGGTATGAGGTCTCCGAGTACCTGAAATGTGATTTCCAGTCGTCAATTGCTGGTCATCCCCTGTGGAGAGCATACAGCTAGCATGCATTTCACACCAATACTTTCAGCCTTCTTGCTTTCCAGCATTGCGCTGGCAACACCAGATCCAGCTTCCTCTGCTAGTGATGCCTCAGGACAGGGGAATTCAGCCCAGGAGGAGCAGTCCATAGCTGCTCAGGCAGTGACTGCGGTACCGAACACCGAAGCTGCACAGCCAAGTGCCACTGTTGGAAACCAGCAAAATCCAGCAGATATTGATAGAATTACGCCTGCCGCTCCGACAAATGGTGCTACTGAGGCATCTTCAAACCAGAATTCTGGTCTGAATGCTGCAAACACGCAATATGGGGGTGGAGATTTCCTGTCATATCTGACGGATGGCTCGTTGATTCCTACACTAGGTGGGGGATCTGACCAGCAGGCTGCAAAGTCTACTGCTGGTGCTGGTGCTGGTGCTGCTTCTGCTTCGACACAGGAGAGCCGAGCTGAGACTGCCCCGCCTACAGCTCAGCCAAAAGAACCATCAGCCTCTAGCAAGACGTCGGCTTCAGCTTCCTCAACGGCCGAAGGCTTCTCTTGGGAAAGTTTGATTCCTGAGGGAGTCACTGGCGACCCCGGAACAGATCTGGGGAATCAGCTGGATGGTGTTTTAGGTCTCCTATCTCCGACATTCCTCAAGGATGTGGAATCGTTCTTCCATCATTTTGCATATCTGTTTGACGATAAGACCACCGATCAGACTAAGTCCTTGATCGACACCGCATACGGTCTGCTGACCCAGGAGCTGATCAACAAGCTCATGGGCCTTCTGGACAACGTCACCAAGCTATTGACTCCTGAGGTTGTTAAACAGCTCAAGAGCCTACTCGATCAGCTTGGACCTGTCCTGACTCCTGATCTCTTCAAGAAGTTGTCCTCGTTGTTGGACAATGCTGGCAACCTTTTGACGGCTGACTTCGTCAAAGAAGTCAACGGATTGATTGGCAACACGAACAACTTGCTAACAGCTGATTTTGTTAAGGAGATCAGACAGCTCCTCGAAGCTGTTGTCCCTGTTCTTACTCCTGAATTGCTCAAGGGCGTCGGCGGTCTGCTGAACAATGCCAACACCTTGTTGACTGCGGAATTTGTCAAGGAGACGAAGGGCTTGATTGTCACTGTTGCGCCATATATTACTCCTGAGCTGCTTAAGGAGGTTGGCTCTCTGCTAAACAGTGCCAATAGTCTGTTGACCCCCGATCTCGTGAAGCAGCTCAAGACCCTCCTAGAACAACTCGGCCCACTCCTTACTCCTGACTTGTTCAAGCAGCTCAACACGCTCCTCACCAATACGGGTAATTTGTTGACTGCCGACTTCGTCAAGGAGACGAAGAGTTTGATCGGTGCTGTAGTTCCAGTTATTACTCCTGGGCCTCTCAAGGAGGTTTCTGGCCTGTTGAACAACGCCGGTGACCTCTTTGACGCCCGCATTTGTGAACGACACTCAAGGCCTCATTACTGCCATCGCTCCGATTATAACTCCTGATTTGCCCAAGCAGGTTGGAAGCTTACTCAACAACGCCGGTGACTTACTGACGGAGGGATTCGTCGACGACACCAAGAGTCTTCTTGGAAACGCCAACAACCTGCTCACCCCGTCTTTCGTCAAAGAAACTAGTGGATTGATCGACGGCATTGCACCAGTCATTACACCTGAGTTACTTGCTCGGGTGGGAGGTCTCTTGGACAATGCCGCTAACCTCTTGACACCTAAGTTTGTCAATGAGACAATCAACCTAATCGACGGAGTTGCCCCGATGATCACACCCAATCTTCTTGCTCAAGTCGGTGGCCTCCTTGGTAACGCCGACAAGCTTCTCACGAGCAAGTTCGTTGAGGAGACCTCGAGTCTCATTGATGCGGTGGCGCCGGCCATCACTCCTGATCTTCTTGAGGAAGTTGGCTTCCTTCTGGGCAACGCCTCTGATCTACTCACGCCAAAGTTCGTGAATGAGACGCGAGGGTTGATTGATGATGTTTCCCCGGTCATTACCCCTGAACTTTTGGCCGAAGTTGATAGTCTCTTGGGTAATGCCAACGATCTGCTAACCCCGAAATTTGTCAACGAGACCCAGGTATTAATTGAGGATATCTCTGATGTGAGTTTCAGATATGTCTTTCCTTTGAATGTCATTAGTCCTCTTACTGACGTGTTTCGATAGCTGTTCCCCGCCTTGGTGAAGATCTTGGGTACACTGTGAGAAATGTGAGCCGCAACGCTCCTTTAGGACTAATGAATAATGGAATATGAATTCATTAATAATACTATCAGGATAGTAAAGCTGCATTCCATGGCATACTGGCGGACGCTTCGGCTGGAAAACGCCTCGAGCATTGCATTAGCCCTGAAATGTTGCAAACGGTGCTGAACTGGGGGAGCCCAACACCGCAGCTTATGGCAGCTAGATTTCCTGATGTGACGGAACAGCCAACAAATACCGGCCCCTGTACTCGTATGGCCTTGAATTGATGTCCAAAACTGCGTCAAAGCACGCGAAGCGCAGCGCGAGTGTTGATCGACTTCGTGCCATTAAGGCTCAAGTGGCGGTTCTCGAATTGGCAAAACTGCCACCTTCGAGGTAGTCTTCTGATTCTCTCTGAAAAATCCATCCAAATCCTGAATAATCACTGGATATCGATTATATCGTAGAATATCCAGCCGGATATCGAAACGCGTAGCTCCACGGGTGGATTGAGCGGGTATACCCAAGACACAGTGTGTGAGGAAGTTGTTCGAGGTCTGGGAGTTAACGCTCACTCGACAAAACCGGTTTGGAGAGGAGAGTTTCATATGCTGAACGGGCCAGCACTGGTTTCAAAAGCGGTCGCACCGGGCAATTCACGAGACGTCGGAAGCCTTCGCCTTCTGATACTTCGATAACACCTTCATTTCCATGTTTCTCTCCTTGATCTTCTTGTCGATGGCTCTTTGCACCTCTTCGCGTTTCCTCTCCGCATCTTCAATCTTCTGCTTTACTTCCCTCGCGGCTTGTTCCTGCGCGGTTGCGACTTGCTCAAGTGACGTGAATTCTTGGCGTAGCTCCTCAATCTGAGCGCGCACATCGTCGCCTTCCAATGGCGCGCAGGTGATAGGGTCGTATTTGTATGACGGGAGCGGTTCCCTCGGAACGCGCACTTCGGGGAGAAGAGCATGGATAGGAGTGGTGCGCAGCGGTGAGTCCAGCGCAACGGGTTTGGCTGGCGGAGAGGATGCAGGCTCCGAAGGTGGCGATAGTGGCGGCTGATCCATGTTGGAGATAGCGAGGATATAACGTTGCAAGATAAAGAATATATCGAGTGTGATGATGGATGCTCTATGTTGATTTAGACCGCCAGTTTTATTTCCGAAAAATCGCCGGATCAAAGGCGGTAGGTTTCTGCCGACATGATTACGCTACCGCCTTGTGGGGAAGACCGCATGCATCAAGCTCACGCTCTGTTCAAGTAGCTCATCCACGATCGTTACACACATGGAAACCGCATGATCAAAGATTGACTCTCAAGTCGGGATCCTGCTAAACATGCAGGCGTTTGGTATGTATCTCCGGCTAGGTCCACGGGCGCACTCATGTGGATGATGACGTATTGGGGATTTCGTGCTGACGACAATGGTGAGCGCAGTTCCAAAGAACCGGAGGGTGAGTTAGATGACGATTGTCTACTCAATACTGCTGACTTCGCCATAAGCCACGGTTTGAACTAGTGCTACGGGTAAGGAACAAATTCCAAGATTAGTTGGGAAGAGCCGACACTGATTTGGACACTTTGCTCAGATCATCGATCTCAATAATATCCCCCTCGTCAATGGCACGGCGTTTGTAAAGTGGCGGCTACCTTCTTCTAGTGCGCCGGAGCATCATGGTCATACAGATAAAGCGGTCATTTTAGACCATCGGGCGTACTGGAACTACGAGAAGACGCTACAGGTACGGCTCACAATAGACCGGAATCAATCGCTTCACGAATGCGAAATACACTTCGAAGTCATCCAGGAGTTTGAATCACCGAGCCATGGTGACAATAAAAATCTACTTGGAAGGATCAAATTGAATCTTTGCGAATATGTGGACAAAAGCGATGACGAAGAGGGTATCGTCAGGCGATACTTGATGCAGGACAGCAAGATAAACAGTACCCTCAGAATCGGGATAGCGATACGCCAGGTAGAAGGTGATCGCAACTTTACCACGTATGTCTCTTTTGAGGTTATCGTTTCGATCTTTACCCTATCTCTTACTAACGAGCCCTAGTCCTCCTCTCAAATCCGCTATGGTCTTCGGGGGTATCGCAGGGGTCGTCTCCTCAGAGCAGGGAGATCCAGTCGATCTAGGACGTCTCCCTTCTTTGAGCAGCCAAAGTACGGAGGTTTCAGACTTGCAAGACATGTATCGACGCACTTTGGCTGCTTCCTGGAATTCGAACTCGGACGACCTGCCAGCGGACAAGCTGATCGAGGAGCTATTTTCCGGTCGCGTCAGTTGGCACAACGATGTCCAGGATTCGAAAACTACCAAAGCGGCTGACCAGGGACTATCTCCTCATAGTGCAGGAGGCGCAAAACCGAACGTGTCATCGCACCGATTATCTCCAGGATTTGAGAGGCGCGGGAAGAGCTCGTCGAGCAATCAGTTCCCCAACGATGGCAGATTACCTGGGTTCCCTGCGGGTGCTGGTCACTCTAGGAAGAACGCGAGCATGGATAATCAGTTTTATGACAACACCAAGCCCGGCGTATGGAAGAGTCGTAATACGGACTATGAACTGTCTGAGTTTGACATTCGAGAAGATTTGAGGAGCTGGGAGATCGGAAGTAAGGAGTGACATATTTCTTGTTTTATTTTCTGCTCCATGTGTTTCGTGGATCAATACCCCAATTTCAACATTCGCGATTGAATTCATAGATCTGTAGACAATCCTTAATTACCCGATTAGGCAGCGCAAGGGAATGAGATCATCGGGTAAGCAGCTTAATCCGCTCCGGGACTAGCGCATGTCGGTCTTTCGCATGATGATGTTACTGTTGATAATTTCAGATTAGTAGGCATTTCATCCGTCTGGATGTACTTTCCTCGCTCCTCCACATGCTCGTCCGATCCTCAACTAGCACAGTTGGGCTCCTGAGTTCTCAGGTCCCCCGCGATTGCACAAGATGCCGATTCCCCTTTCCATTACATCAACGCCGCGTCTTCGTCCGATTCCAAAGCACCGATAGTGACACCCAGAATACCGAGTCCGAGCCGCGCTTCAAACGCAAACCTAAACGGCGGCCCCGTTTCAAAAAGGAAGAAGCTAAGAGAGTGCCGATTGGGGTGACAGCTCTGGGCAAACCCGGAGAAGTTGTCGTTGTGTCGAACCCTCGACGTCGCCGCCCACTGCCCCAGAATACACAGGAGAAAAGCACCGACAGTATCGACAAAAATGCTTTACCTTTCATGCTAAATGAATTGGAAGACAACGAGGACATACTGGATCCCTCCACTGTCAACGAGAGAATTGAAAGTTTCTGCGCGCCGTATCTTCCGCGTGCGAAACTTACCTTAACCGACTGGGATGGTCTTCGGACCAGACTCCAGCTATCCTTTACCACTCGACAGCTGTCGGATTATGTATCACAATTTGCACGAGATGCACCGATGTCGCCTGAGTCACGAATCAAGCATGGGAAGGTAGATACCACGGAATGGAAGCCTGGCACTTCGGCCTTCTTCGAGACCGGTCCAGGATCCGCGGGAGGAGTTGCTGACAGAGTCGCGACATCACAATCTCTCAGTGGAAAACAGCTGATTTCGGAGAGAATACTCAGAGATTGTTGGCATCTGGGCATCATTGACGAGATTGGACAACTGGATGTTCGCCTTCCATCGCAATCATTGACTTTGCTTCTCAACTCAAAACACTTTTCCTTCGAGGAATTGGCGAGTCTCCATGACGCAAAGATTGATGTTACGAATTCCCTTGGTCTCGTGAGGATCACTGGCAGACAGAATTCATGCGAATCCATTCGGGACATTGTTTACGATGCGATTACCCGGATACGAGAGGAAGAGCTCGCCTTGTTTTCAGATGTCGCGCTGTCCAAAGATTATGACCGTGTCTTCAGCGCTGACTTTCTATCATGGATAAGCAAAACCTACGGTGTTGCGTTTGAGCAGGATTCGGGTTGTCCAAGCAAGATTTTCTACCTCGTTGAGAACAAGCAGGACGCAGACAACGCTCGGAGGACGTTGAATCTGGCAGTTTACGAAACTTCGGCCCTTCCGGTGCCATTTGGGACATATCTGCCTTCCTCGGAACCAGTCTCCGTCTACAATGTTGACTTGGAGGGTAATTTGTCCTGGTTCAATCGGCAAAGTTCATGGTTCCGGTGGGCTTTCCCGTCCGCCCAGACAGCTGAAATGACGACTCTCGACACACCGTTGTTTGATAAACATCAAACACGTCTTTCAGATGAATTGTTGAAACTGCTACGACAGTCTTCTAAGACGAATGATGGTAGCGTCGAGGTGCATGAGAGCCTGACAGCTACTGTTGGCAGATGTCTCTTCTTGCGGAAGCCTTCCTTCCAAGAGGCCGAGCTAACCGCGCCTCAGTTGGGAAAACTGTCTCTTCCTCGGGCATTTGCTACCGAGATCCCTCGAGTAACGTCTTTTCTACGCATGTTGACTCCTCATCTTCCGGAAGAGCCTCAACGGCCACACCGTATCCGCCTGGTCCCTTCAGCCATCCACGCACGAGTCTTCCCGCAGCTTGAGCTGGAGGTTACGGTGCAAGGGACGCGCGATAGCCTTGATTCCGGAAACGGACTTATCATGCGCAATGTGAAGGCTGTCCTGTCCGAAAACAATGTGGACTATTTACTTCCTGAGAGCGGGTTAGACCTCAGGTTCGCTCGACAGCTCACTCGCGATCTATCCGAGGACCCGGCCTTGAACGAGGTCCATGACACATTGAGTGGGCTTTTCTCCAAATCTCTATCAAACGATATCGAAGTCCCTCTCCCGACATTCGCCCAGATTACGCTGCCCAACGATGTCCTACGCCAGCCGGCTAACGCCGCAGGGCCAACTGGATACTCTTCTGGAGAATATATGTTCCTTCCCGTCAATGACATCCGAGGCACACGTATTCATCGGTATGATTTCAAGGGCCAGCAGCTCAACTATGCATTTTATGAGAGCGGCCCGTTCAATGCTCCCAGAAGCACGGATCTTTTCCTGAGCATGGACCTCACAGGTGAAGGCGACGCAGGAGAAGTGCCCGCGCAACGCGAATTTGGTTCATTCTATAATGCTGCATGTTCATTGGCGTTTGAATTGGATAAGGTATGGCGTATGATGTGAGGAAATTGCCTATCCGTGTATAGTACTGTATTTTTATTCTCAACTGAGTTTCATGGATGCTCAAGCCGTCAAGCCGTCAAGCGCCGCCGGTCTACCTCCAAGAATCATATTGCGTATGCCCTTGCTTTGGACAAAGTCTAGAACCTCAGAGGCACGACGAACCATGATGACATCAAAGAATAACAAAGACAGAGATGATATATCACATCTCTCCGAGTCATCTCGCTCCGTCTATGCCTGGAGAACCGCCCATCACCACCCGCCATCAGGAATCGAACCATGCGACAACAGACCAAAAAGGCTAGTCGAGCAGGTGACCAATTCCTCATGCACTGTCAGCCGTGCTAGTGGGTCTGGAATACGCTTCCATCGCTCAACCCTGGCGCCGCCAACGCTGGAGACTCCCGGATAGGTGCATACGGCAGCCGTGGCTGCCAGTCATGGCCGGAGGAGTGGTGCCATCTGAAACAGTCACAGGGGACGGCGCAAGAGGCCCGGATTGGCCGGACATGCATGCGGCGTACACTAGACTGTGCTCGTCTGCGCCCCCTACATGCAAGATGGCTTCGGCGCTTACATGCCCTGATATGGGGGCGTGTCCGTGCGTTGTAATACAACGTGGTAACCTGATGGCGAGGCCGTGGACGTGTGTCCGAGGGTTCAGGTCGGTTTAGCTATTGGTCTGTATGCGTCTTGTGTCATGGCTTCGGGTACAGCTTTGTTACGCATACATTCTTCAGGCTTCCCGTTGCTAGAGAATTCAAGGGGGTTGAATTGACGGGTTGGTGCGGATGGACGGATTCAGGATGATCATCACTAAATCCAGTTTGTAGTCTGCTCGAAGTGAAGTTGACCAAAGTACAGTGTCTGTGGTCGACTTGCTTGGGGTTGGAGGGTTGTGTCTAGGAAGAATCCTAGATGCTTCCGCAATACTACCTACGGAGTATGTAGCTCAAGATGCACAAGATTAACCCACTTCAGGGGTCTGTGTAGCCTAGACAGACTAACTAGATACAAGCTGATTACTGCTGACTTACTCTGTACTGTGTATAATTGGTATCGTGCGAGTTGCCTGGCATTATGTCATTCTTCTGCAGAAACCCCGCCACATGTACATCGTGGCTGAGAGACGGCAACCGTAATGAGGCGCAGCAATCGGTGATGACCGATTGTGCATGGCGCATATTATGGACGGGCAATACCATAGGTAGGTAAGTACCTTCATGGTTTAGAATACTTTTTGAAACAGGAAAATAGCAAGGCACTTGTTGATCATAAATGATACGCTGCGATGGATCCTACGGGAATGTCATACGGAGCGGCCCTTAACCGTCGAATCCGCATGTACCGTATGAGATGCCGGCAATATCGAGAGGGCTGTTGAGCTGACGACGCAGATGATTTATTTTTGTTGGTTTTTTTTCCGTGGTTTCCTTGTACGGAGAAGGCCATCGGATTTGATGCACGTCCGACTCCAGCCGACAGTGCGCTGCACTTCGACATCATCGATCACTTGCCTCTCCATGACTCGTGAGCTGACCCCCACATCGCACTGGTTGCGGGCGCCTGCTGAGACAGAGAAGCGTCGTCTGCGATGCCATCTGATCATGCTCACCATCTCTACCTACTAATCCATAATCCATACAGCGATGGACATCATTTGTGGCACTACACCGCCAGAATGACTGGATAACCGAGGGCGATTTCAAAATTCGTCGACGCTATGCGGCCTGTCTCAGATGCCGCCAGCCATCTGAATCCTTCCAACACCACACCACTGTAGTAGGAGGTGATTCGAGCAGCAGATAATGCTGCCGAAGAACTGAACGAAGCCGGCCTGTATGCTGCGGATACGGGACTCCCGAGCCTAAACAAGGCAGGATTTCGGTCTCGACGCATGGTGTGTTTACTGGATGACATCTGTGTTTCGGTCTATCGTCTAGATGCAGGTCGGAGAATTTCCTCCAATATCAACATGCTGGCCGGTTGATGGTGAGTTCTTGATCTCCCCTTTCCCTCTGTTCATGTTGTTTCATGGTTGTGGGTGTAATAGTGCGGTATTGCGATTGTTACAAGTGTAGCCGTACCCTTCCCAGACTTCCTATTCCAGAAAGTCTGGAGATGACTATCGACGAGGCTCAGTCCAATGGTAGATCGTAGCAGGGTTCTCAGCTGGCGTGGAAAAGCCGGACTCGGGGCCACGGACGAATGTGAGGGCTGAACCGACAGCCCATCCAGCTTCCACGATGTTTTAGCTCGCCCCACGATCCTCCACCCCTCCGTAATTCATCAGCTGAGGCTGCTGATTTGCCCGGCTGCAACTCGACCAGTCTGAAGACAGGACTCTTTTGGTAGGAAATGAAACTAGGAGATGGTATCATCAACCGCAGACGGTACGGTTCATCCGACGAGGATCTAGAAACTCAGGAGGAACTGATTCGTTCCCGCTGGAGGAGGTGGTTTAGGTTCGTGGTGTCGGTGGTCGACATGTCTAGAACCGGCGATGCGACCCTCATTCCATGGTCGAGATGCGATAGATAACTCGGTCCAAATCTGGAGAATATCAACAAAACGCCATGTTTAGGAGTTGGTGTATGTAGAAAGAGACTTCACTGGCGTCTGCTTGGTCTCCATGTGGAAAGTACTACAACTGGTCAGTGCATCAGGTTAGTGGGCCCTCGTTTTTCTCGTTTTTGTTCGACGACAGACTCGATCAACGTCCTGGTGTCTTCTTCAATGCTCAGCCGTGTTCGGAGCACGACTGCCGTGTTCATAGGTTGACCGCTGCTTTTTCTTGTCGCAGCTCGCGGTTGTAGGCGGTGCTGTCGGCGCATTTCTCCATGCCCTGTAAGGGGGCCCGCATACTCCTACATCTCTTGTCATACGTCTACAAGTTGATCGCGTCGATTTCGCGATGCCAGACAAGATACTACGCAGTCACAGCCATCTCGGCTACATATTACCGTTGCAGCCCCAGATCACCTTTTTTTCTCCGATATTCCTGCACTTCCCAGCTGAGTGACTGGGACGAAGTGTTCATCAAGTCCCACATGTGGCGGACTGGGTCAAGTTCCCCAATAGAAAATATCTCTCGACGGCCGTGTTAGGGTCCGACTCGTTTCTCTACTCCGTAAACGAGCATCGGATGATCTTCGCAACCAAGATGCGTGGTGGGCGCGGGGCATGACCAGAAGAAAATTTTCCACACGGGTTCGTTCGCAAATGGAAATCGCATCTGCCTGGCGGTCTATACCCGAATGATGGCGATCAGTGATTCTCCCGTCACTCCCAGTGATAGGCGGCATGACACGAAGCGGGTATATTTATCTATCGCCATCGGCCGGTGATGCTGAAGGCAGGCCGTTTCGAAGCCCTGGGATGCAACCAACCCAAAGTGGATCAACATTGGGGCTTAGCCAGCGACGCTATGATTCGCACAACCCGTACATCGTGAACGGGACCGTAAACTAAACCTTCCTTCAGTACTGGCTGATACCATCGTGCAGTTGGGGCTTTCTGCAGCGCCAATTTCGACAGGTTCTTCTAGTCCGTCGGGTGTAACAGCCGCTCCCATCACATCGTCCTCTCAGCAGAACCATCAGTCAAGTTGACGGACGCGATATCTGCGACGCTTCTCGTCTGGGTCTGGGGGAGTCAGCCTGGTCTGGTTCTTCAATAGGCTGGCTCCTACTCCGTATGCAGATGCATCTCTTGCATCGCCACCATGTATCATTTGGCAAGACAATCTGTGTATGGGCATTACCGCAAGCCCTAACCGCTCTGGCGGAGGCGTGGAGCCTTCAACCGTCCATATCATCCATGTCACACGCCATGGCGGCCGCGATGCGGAATTCCGAGGCCGTTGCGCTCTTCCTCGGTGGATTGATTGATTCTGTTTGTTTGATTCCAGAAATCGAATCAAGAGCACCCGAGGTGTTAGATGTAAGGATGTAAGTAATAAATGTAAAAGGTATACCCACCACCTGGGGAATGACATTCTCCACTTGCATCGGACGATTCTGGACACTTGCATAACGCCTAGGGGGAGCACAGCTGAGATCGGACGGCGAGTCCGGACGGTGGCCAAAAAATCATGGATAGGGGTGGCAGTGGTTGGGACTTGTTCCATACGATCGGGATTCCGCGTCTGCACAAGAAAAGTCGCCGGGGCATTGTCTTTTTATTATTATTGTTTTTCTTTTTCTTTTCCACTACTGCATGCGCCCAGGGAGGACGGACTGTGTATAGTTAGTTGAGGTAGGATGCGAATCGTACCGTGGGTGCCACCAGCGTAGTCGATATAGTTGTATCAACGTGATAATAATAGTATTTTTGCCAGGGAAAAAAAAAATTCAGTTCTCTCAAGAAGAGTCATAGCATATGAATATCTCTTTTCTCTAATTTTTCTCGTCCTCATTCAGTGGGATTTTGAATATTAGAAGGAAACCTCCCACTCCAATCAGTACGAATCGCCTGCTTTGGTACCGTTCAGATTCCAACCTCTTTCCTTTTTAGGCCAAACCCTCTCTTTCCTGCGGCCCCTCTACTACTAGGTACTACTTACTACCTTTACACCTCGAGTCCCTCGCCTCTCTCGGTCTCCTTCTTCTCTCAACCTCTCCTCCTCTTCCGCCCACACCCTCTTCTCTTTCCTCTCTCCCTTCCCCTCTCCTCCTCTTCCTCCGTCTACTTCTTTCCACTCCAATCTTCTCTTCAATCTGACATTCATTCTTTTTTTCATTCCTTTCTTTTCTTGTTCTTTGCGCTTTCGCCGACTACTCGATTTGGATCTATACATACCACGACCCTCACCCCACTCCACGCGGAACCATATCTGTGGGTTTTTAATATATACATCCAGCGGAGTCTACTTCCGACCTGGTGGGATCCCGACTGGTCTTGGGTCCCTGGGTCTCGTTGACCGTCACTGGAACGATCCACAGGCGAATGTCGCCTTTATGATTTTTCGTCCATCTTTCTTTTCGCCTTTTCGATTCTATCTTTGACTTCATTCCTTCGCTTCTTCACTTGCTATACAGTATCATTCGGAGATTCATCATATAATGCCAACGGTCTTACTCCCCTCGTCAGCCGCAGCCTTTGCGCCGCGGTCCTCGCCGAATGTGGTGCTGAACGCCAGAATCGAACCGTGGCTGACGGCGACCTTGAAGCGGGTCAACCGAGTCAAGCGACCCCTCAATAATGTCACACAGCATACCAGGTGTCTGACCGAGACGTTATCCTCGCCAAACGCCATCTGGACTCTCTGCTCGATGATGTTTCCCAAGGGCCCCGACTCGGAACTCAGGAAGGACGAGAACCCCCTGGTGGAAGCCCTCTTCAACTATCAGATGATCCATATCGAGGCCTACGTGGTGCATGTCGACATGGTGTCCCAAAACGAGGTGGCCTTCAAATTGACCCCGGAGACTATCGAAGCCTTGGTAGAGTTCCACAAAGACGTGTACTCGGTCGACACCGCCGCCAGTACCTGGGATTGGGCGGACAAGGATACCCAGCTCAAGAAACTACAAGAGGAGTTCGTCCAGGCCATCAACAAGTTTGTCTACCGGACAAGTGTGCAAGCCCTTGAAGGGTTGGAGGAGGATGGTGCTGGAGAACTGCTCGGGGGACGGAGTGAGGATGCGAAGACGGCGATCTCCAACCTTTTCGTCCCATTACTTCCCCCGCCTCCCCGGGTAGTTGATGTTCTCCGGTCGACACCCCTCCTCCCCAGTTCGACCGGACCGGAAACATGGTGGCATGATCCCGTGCAGCATTCCGTGTCGATGGACTCGTGGAAAGTACTGCCATCCAGCCCAGCAACGGCCAGTACGGGCGATTCTAACCCTAATCTATGGGCCAGCCTGAATAGCATGAGTGAGGTTCCGCTTGCTTCGCCAACACCATCCTACAGCCAACCGTCCTACAGTCCGCCATACACCACCTCGCCGTACAACGCCACACAGTTCTACAGCGCCGCTGCCACTGCGACGTCCCTCGCGGCTCTCCCGCTACCGAGCATGTTGGTACAACCTTGCAGCACTGCAGCCAACATGGTGGGATTCGGCTGGGACCGATGCCAGGATTTCGCACTTCCATACGGCGCAACGATGTAACTGGCCCATGACGAGGGCTTAAGTGAACGGTCCCCCTACTTTGCGTATCTCTGGCTTAGATCGCAGAACCCGTATCACCTCAAGGACGACAAGAGATGCGTTCCCTCATACAAACCACAGGCCGGATGGACCCGACGGCATTATATGAACCGATTCTGCGATATGATACTCCACCTCGTCTTTGCGTTTGCATACAGATCCAAGAACTTAATATCTCCTCTCGTTTTGTTTGTCGTGTTTTGCTGTTTCGAGCCAGCGTGAGCGTTTTGTTTCCATCTTTTTTTGCATGAAGAAGCGGCGGGACGGCTATTTGTTAATCTGTTTCGTGGGAATGTCCCATTGTTCAATCCCCGCATTATATGTCATCAAGACTGGTTAGCCTCGCGGCTTGGGATATGACTTGGATGAGGAATGTTTCTCTATTTTCCTTTCTCTGTCGCGTTGGGTGCACCTGGCGGGAGAGTGTCCTGGTCGGCACTCTTCCTTCGGGGCCCTGGGATCATTCTCGCCTTCTGATACAGGTGATCAGAACTGGTAATCCGTTTGGTCGGATTAGGTGAGAATGGTTCCGCGGCACTGCGCATCATGCAACATCTGAGATGTTCATGGTCGCGGTTTTTCGATGATGCAGGACCTGATACAATCACACCAAGGGACAGTGGCTCGATGCTGGATAGCCTCGGTGGGATCGGTCTGTGGCCGACACCAGGCACAGTTGGGACGGCATATGGGCCTGTGGCCTAAGTACTGCTGACCTTGAGAGCGCGTCCTTTGGTGCAATTGTCTGCAGGACTGTCCGTCGTGGATAGGTTCATCTCCTATCGTCTGGGCTGGGTTTTTGATTGACCCGGATACGCTCGTACTATTCTCCTCTCATTGATTGAAGGTTGGATGGCGAGAATCGGATGCTGGCATGGTCTTGCTCTCATTTGGTTGGGCTGGTCCCTAGTCTTTCATTCATTCATTCTTCTGATGATTATTGTGGCGTGTATTTATCGCGTAAGCCGAAGTATCTAGGTTGAATATTTAATTGAATACAGAATGCAAGGCTAAACGGGTTTTGGTGTAGGATGCTTTACTAGTACTCCGTTAATCGTGTTGGATGCTGTGGGTGGAGGGCATGACGTCAGGACCTGTCTGTCTTACCTGCTAACTGAGTAGCCTCCAGGCTCCAACCTCAGCCCATATTCCACTGTCAATCAATTTCATGCAAAGTACATACAGCTGCGGTATTTGAGGGTCTATCGAATTCTTGATTCATGTTTATGCCATCGCTTTGTCCTTAACTGTGTCAATTGCCCCTCAGAGACTGTGTCTACTCATGTGCCTCATCCACCAGCGAGCTTAATCGCAACCCAACTCAACCCCAATTCCCAACTAACAGACACATCAAAGTAGCCAGCCATGGCCGCCTTACAAGACGCCCTGGAATGTCTCTCCCCAACCACATGGGAGGACATCCCGAAGGATCCGGACGCCCTCCGCGCCTACATGAACGACATCTCCAGCAAAGCGCGACTAATCGTCGACTCGATCCCCGAGCCACCACCACCACAACCACCCAGCGACGCCGCCGATGACCCGCCACAGTACACACACGCGCACCCGTCCGCGTCGTGGTCACGCATGCGCCCGTCCTCCGCCCGCACCGGCGCCCGCGACGCCGAAACCGAATCCCTCCAGAAAGAATGGGGCAAGCCGATCCGCATCAACAGCGGGCGGGACAACCCGCTCGAGATCTCGGTGCACAAGACGCCCGGGCGTGACGGCAAGGGCCACTGGTTCGGGCGGCGCAGCGTGCATGAGGGCCTGCCGTTCGAGCGGTGGGCGGCGAAGCTCTCGGGCGAAATGACGGCCACGCTGCAGGCGAACCAGGAGCGGCTGCGAAAGGGCCGCATGCCCGACCAGTCGGTACGCGGGATCGGTGCGGAGCGGCTCGTCGAGGAGATCGAGGTGCGCGATCGCGACGGACAGGCGGTCGTGGGGTACGTGCATGTGTTCCATGTGTCGGCGCAGTTTCCGAAGCCGACCACGCCGCGCGACTTTGTGCCTGTGATTCTGAGTTGGCAGACGAGGGTGGAGGATAGCAGTGGCGGGCGGTATTGGATGATGGTCTCGAAGCCGTGTGCGCATCCGGACGTGCCGCCGGCGAATGGGTATATCCGTGGAGAGTATGAGTCGGTAGAGTTTATTCGGGAGATTCCACGGCGGAAGCGCGGGAATTCTGCGCGGGGTGAGGACAAGCTGGAGGGCGGCCAGGGTGAGGCAGATGGGGAGGGTGAAGAGGATGCGAATCCGGTGGAGTGGATCATGGTTACTCGAAGTGATCCTGGGGGTAACATCCCCCGCTGGATGGTGGAAAAGGGAACACCGAAGAGTATCTGCACGGATGCCGTGAAGTTTCTCGACTGGGCGTGTCGCGACCCTTCGTCGGAGCAGCGCTCGACAAAGAGTCGGCAGTCCAGTGTGAGGGCAGGGCACACAACGGGCGTTGATGATACCGATGGTGAGGAGGCCAGCGACTCGGACTTCACAGACACGGAGGTAGAGCACCATGGTCTCATCGCCAGTTTCTCGTATCTGGTGAATGCAGGTCTAGAGCGATATGCTCCTCAAGCGGTGCTCGATTACCTCCCAGGCCACTCGCGCCAGCCGTCGCGGGCGATGTCCGACTATCACTCGTCCGCAAGGGAGGAGACCCCTCGAACGAGCGCCGACTCAGTGCCGTCGACTCCTAGGAGACTTGTGGACCGGCCCAAAAAGGAAGGAGACGATGGCGGATCCACCTCGACACAAGACAAAGCTGCAGCCTCTCCCTCAATGGCTTCGAGCGTCGCCGAAAACGGACTTCACGACATCCCACCCATCGAGGTGATCAAGCAGAACAAAAATGGCAAACTGTCCTCGCACGAGAAACATCTGGCCAAGCTTGCGCAGCGCAAACGCGATGTCGAATCGCAATTAGACAAAGTTCGCAGTGAGATACAGTCACTACAATTGCCGTCACAGGATGAGGAGTCCGGACGAGCCAAGGCCTCTGCCGCGGCGCTGGCCGCCGCTGACCCCAGCGCTGATCGCGCCAGCAGCAGCACTGCGAGCAGCGTGCATGGACAGGCTGCAGATAACCGTTCTCCGCGACGGGGTCAGAAACGTGAGCCACCGACGCCGGATGTTGCAAAGCTGCACAAGGTTGCCTCGGGACTGTTTCAGAATGAAGCGAAGCTGCTCAAACAGCTAGAGAAAATCGAAAAGAACCAGTTCAAAGAGGCGTCAAAGATTGAAGCTCGACAGCAAAAGCATGCAGACCGGGAAGAAAAGTCACGGTATCAGACCGAGAACGAGTTTTTGCGCCGAGAGATCGAGGTCCTCAAGAAAGAAATTGGCCGGCTGCGCAGCGAGAGACAGCAATGGCTCAATCTGGTTGGATCGCTGCAGACGGAAAATGCGAAATTGGCGGCTCGAGCTGGTGATGCCAAATGAATGGTATACCGCGATGACACGGTGGATTTAATGTTGGTCATGACTGTCTATATAAACGCTAGAGCTGCGCTCTGTTGGACCTTTCGGTCGAAATACCAATTAAAACATATCGGGCTCATCAGCTGTGTGGGCTTTGTCAAGTTGTGTATTAATTCGTAGCATATAGCATATAAGTACATAGCATCCTCTCCCTCCGTTGCTGTAAAACGTACCCTATATGGCTTTTGTTAAGCCTTGGCTCGGCACACCCAACTCCATCCAGGAAATCCTAGAACCATGAGAGCACGTCAATAGCCACCGTGACTGGGTCTCGGTAGCGCCGGACACCTGGGCGAAGACGGGTTCGGAGAATCTGATCCTGACCGCAGGTCTCATCCAGGATGTTGCATTGCCGCATACTGGGATATTACTCGTTCGTTATCATGAATATCGTAAAGGGCGTAATTTTATTCCTGCGTCTACAACTCATCAGCACAGCCTACCCAAAACCTTGGACAACCTACCTCTGGCGGATTCCCAGCCCCACGAACCATCTTCTCGATCATCGCCGCGCGAACCTTCTCCTTGGGCTCGCCCATTCCGACAGCCATGTAGGACAGAAGCGGGGGGTGGCCGACGTACGAGGCGTAACTGTCGCGGACAATATTGGAGACCCATTCGTACTTGGTGGTGTCGGCGTGGCCCGTGCCGACATAGCGGGCCTGCATGGCCTCGAGGTTCTGAAGGGTGCGCAGTTTGTCGGCCATTTTGACGGGTTTCGCTGCGACGGTGTAATGCGAGGGGGATGAAAGTGACGATGAAGTTCAGGACGGAGGTTGAAGGGAGAAAGATCCGCGCTTATCGTGTGCCACGTGACCCTTATCGGTCCGATATAAAAAGACCTTGCATGGCAACAACGATACGATCCTCATGAGCTGAGAACTGCTCATTTTGCGGGCTAGCTCTGGATTCTGTTCTCCAGGTAGAAATGGAGTCTACAGAGTCCTTGCATGCCCGGATTGCGACTCTTGTTCATGCGCATTTCGATGCCTTGCCCGCGCGCAGCAAACCCATCGTCCGTGACGATGGGACGAGGGAGTGGATTCCCATGTCGGGGATAGTGATTGTGAAAGGTAGAGCTTCTAGTGCACTAGGTCTATACAGCGGAACACAGTAAGACCAACTCACAGCAAAGAAGCAAGGCTAACACTTTCCAGGAGAGAATACCTCCTCGGAGACATTAACCTGTGTGGCCGTCACGTAGGTCCCTCGATCTACATGCACATCGCAGCATTAACGACGTCTAGATCCGGCGCAAAATGTCTCCCGGCATCCCAGATACCCCATTGCAAAGGCCTCGTGCTGCATGATTCGCACGCGGAAATTCTCGCTCTCCGGGCCTTCAACTACTGGCTCTTATCTGAATGCCAGGGCTTCCTCGCCGCAGAACGCAACCACACCACAGATCCATCTCAGACACCACCATACCAATCGCCCTATCTCCGCCGTCGCCGGAGCTGCAGCGCACAGGAACCCCCACTCGAACTGCACCCCGATCTCAAAATCTACATGTACTGCACCTGCGCCCCGTGCGGAGATGCAAGCATGGAGCTCTGCATGGCATCCCAGCAAGACGCCACGCCGTGGGAAGTAGAGACCAACAACACGGAAACCAGGTCTACTGCCGCGCTATCGTCCGATGCGGATACCCTCCTCGACGGCCGCGGGTACTTCTCCCGCCTCGGCATCGTCCGGCGCAAGCCCGCTCGCGCAGACGCAGAGTCCACCCGCAGCAAGTCCTGTTCCGACAAGCTTTCCCTTCGCCAGGTTGCTTCTCTCCTCTCGTATGAGACGAGTCTTTTGGTTGCGACGACGCAGAATGCCTACCTGGAGGGGGTGATCTTGCCCGAGGAGGAGATCAGTCGCGTCGCGTGCGACAGGGCGTTTGGTGAACAGGGGCGTATGCGCGAGCTGGCGGGTCGGTTCTGGACAAGTCAGTTTGAGACTGCTGGCTCAATTGAACCAGGCGGCCAACGTCAGACGGGCGAAGAAGGTGTATACGGATACCGATTTCGCCCGTTCCAGGTCCTGTCCATCCCCCGTGCGCTGCTTGAGTCTCTCTGGAAGTATCGAAAGGCCAGCCCAGGTGTTTCTGTGGATTCCTTAGGTTCGGCTAAAAAGGCAAAGCCTGGAGTTGTCTCAGCGATATGGGTCGTGGCACCTTCATTCTCGGGGCCTTCTTCCACCTCGGCGAATAACGGGGCCAAGTCTTTACCCGTGCTCCACGGATCGAAGACAGGACTATATGAGACGGTTCTGAACGGAGTCAAGCAGGGCAGCCGGGCATCTGAGCCAAATGCGCGGGGAGCATCTGCACTGTCCCGGGCGAAGATGTGGGGGTTGCTGAGGGATATTGTACTCTCTGGCTGTTCGGCTGCGATATTTGTACCCGGGGGAGAGTCGCACGCTGACAAAACACAGTTGAATGAAGTTCTCCGTCAGGTGGCTGAAGCATCGAGTTATCAGGAGTTCAAGAAGACGGCCCCTGTGGTGACAGAGTCGATCAGTGCGCGCAAGCGTGCTATCCAGGATACAAAATCCGTGCTAGGAGGCTGGGTTCCCAACTCCGGAGACGAGTACTGGGACTTGAGTGTGCTTGTCAATCCTCCGAAGAAACAATGAACTGTGTTGTCCAATATAGATTAACGGCCGATTATGTATGATTAGATACGGTTATGACTCGTGCATGAAGAAGAGAACAATTAATATACATTCAATTATTAAACGCATATTTTCAACGCAGGCCACCTGCAGTGGAAAGGACTGAATAACGCAGATCCAACCCCACGAGCACTGGTAACCGACATGCTAGACAATCCCATTTATTAGTAGATCCCCGGGATAATGCGACTCCGGACTAAAGAAGTATAGCGATCCCAATCAGCGCCATACTTCTTCTTACACTTCTCCTCGTCGCGCTGCTCGCGGTGGATGAGAAGAACTCCGAAATACAGCAAGAAGAAATAAGTGAAGATCATTCCCCACCCCCGAGTCTCAGCCGTCTGCACCGCCTGTTTCTGGAGCTCACCTGTAGCAGGGTTGATACTCTCGATGATAGCATATCCGGCGATGCCCGTCGGCAGGCTGTAGGACCACGACATGACCCAATCACCCAGGTAGTTGATATGGCGCGCATAGCCCCACCACCCGGAAGTCATCAACTTGGATCCACTGGCAGTTTGGATGAACTTGATGTGCTTGACACGAGGATCGTCCGGGTTTGTGCGGAAACGGTTCTTCTGGTTATTGGCTCCGCGGAAGATACTATAGCCGACAGCTGTCACAGCCAGAACAAGGAGGATACCTTTCGGCCCCAGCTCAAAGGGGAACACTGCAAGATAGCGGGTCTGGAAGTTGTAGATGAACGGAACCCAAACGAGGTCACCGAAGGACAGCATGAAGCCGAATCCATCCATGATGATGTCCATGGTAGTCAGGAGAGCGGGCTCCATGTACAGTCCGTCCAAGACGTAAAACGCCTGGAAGACAGTGGAAATCACGATCGAATCGGTCACGTATCCGTACGTCCGGTATTGACGAGCAATATTTGACAGGTTAAGGATGATCCAGCCTAGAAGTCCAGGTCTCATCTCACACCACGACTTGATGTCAATAGTCCGAGCAGACTCGCTGACGAATGGAATAGGCAATCGCACGCGGGGGTTCAGCTCGCGACCGATGAAGAAGTCATAGAGAACATTACCCGTGTGGCCACCAGGCGCCAACTGCCTTAATTCTGGGTTGGGCTGTCCAGGCGCAGGAACGGAAAAGCTTTTCGCATATACGAAAATGGCGATCAAGGAGGCGATAATCAGGTTGGCGGTAATTACCTGCAGGTAGTTGTCCCAGAGAAAAGTCCATACGACAAAGTCAGCGCCGTACATATAGGTTCCAATGGCGCAGCCGGCGAGGATTAAGACGGCCGAAAGAAACGCTGCAGAAAATCAAGTCAGCTAGACACAATGATCATGAGACGGATGTAGTACCGTTGAACTTATACTGCAATCTTCCTCCGCAGGCCAACTCTGTGCCCTCAGCTTCCTGTCCTGGAAGAAAGACGTACATCACCAAGCTGAGTAGATAGTAACCCAACACACAGAGGGTCACATTGGTGTCGTAGAATGCGCGAACCCCTTCTGCAGGCCAACCAACTTCCACTTTCAATTGATTGATGGACAGTGAGGACGGGTGGAGTAGCGACGGTGCAGGGCAGCCGGAGACATCATTGCACAAGAAAGTAAAGCTGTAGACGAGAATTGGGAGACCAAAGACAATCCCGAAAGCTCCCAGACTGTAGGTTATACGGGTTAGCCAATTCCACGATACACTGGGGTATCCAGTCAACATACGGGCCACCAAACTCGTAGCCTCGTTTCTCTGGGACAATTTGAACGGGGGCTCTGGGCTTCGAAACTTTTTTCTTGGGCGCCATCTTTAAGTTTGGCTTGACTCTTATCGCGACGAGGGGGAATTGGTGGGGAGCTTTCGGTTGAAGCTGTCGCCCAGCGTCGCGCGTGCAGATTATTGTCCAAACACACAGAAAAGATCTGGGAGAGAAGGGCGATTTATATATGTACGGCCGAGCAGTGAATGGGGCGAGGCCGGATGCTGGGATTCCGTAGGCAAACGCGACAATCCGAGAGAGAAACCAAAACGGGAGGTTCTCCGCATTGATGACTAACCGAGGTTGGGGTCAACTAACTACCTAATTACTTACTTGGCGGGTATCATCTTAATCGAGACATCATCTTCTTCTCCAACACCCACTGCCTCTCGTTTTCTTTCTTGCCTTCTTCATCTTGTGTGTTTCTCTACAAGCTTCCAACTCTTGCGATCTCTCTATCTTATATTTCTCTCCGACTCACTCCCTGACTGGAATCCCGCGTAACATCAGCCGCCCTCCGTCGGCGATCTCATTCCCTCCACGATGAAGCCGCTCACGCACACCTCCGTATTCGGGTTCCTTTTCCTTCTTGCATCTTCTATATCCTCCGCGTCCGATTCCTCATCCCCCAGAGACACCCTCTCCCCCTGCGTCGCACGCTCTCCCACCACCGGGCTATACTATGATCTCAATGCCCTGTCACTATCGCCGCCTACCGCCGGCGACGAAAAATCTCGTAAAAATACCCGCGAGGAAAGTTGGCACGCCAAAGGCCATGACTATCGTGCCAATTTTACCCTGAACATCTGTGCCCCGGTGGTGGAAAACATCAAAGATGTAGTAGGGGTTGATCGCGAACGGTGGGGGAACGTCAGTGCTTATTACGAGCGAGATGGGAAGATTTACTCCATAGGGTGAGTAACCTCGGATACATCCGGACAGGTCCATCTACTTTGGCTGGCTGGCTGACAATCCAAAGACAACAAGCGTCAGAACCGTTCTTCCGAGGGCGCAAACTGGTGTTGAACTACACTGACGGCTCACCCTGCGGCGAGTCCAGCGAAAATCGGACCAAGTCGACGATCATGTCATTCCTTTGCGACCGCGATGCAGGACCATCGCAAGTAACCCCGTCGTTCGTCGGAACCATGGACGAATGCACATATTTCTTCGAGGTTCGGAGTTCGGCCGCCTGTGGTGGCATTCCCTTATCTGATGGCCAAGGCCTCGGACCAGGTGGCGTTTTTGGCGTGATGTAGGTCTCTCATACGTTGCATACTCCTACGTGACTAATTCATCTGTTCGCTAGTGCGCTCATCGCCGTCGCTGCGTATCTGGTTGGTGGCTGTGCCTATCAACGAACGGTTATGCACCAGCGCGGCTGGAGACAGTGTCCCAATTACAGCCTGTGGGCGGGGATGTTTGATTTTGTCAAAGTAAGTCTATTGGCATTAATACCGTTTCGGGGAGCTGGATCTTCCCGTCGCTATTCGTACAAAGATATCAGCAGTGCAAGATTGCCGATCTCGCGGACAGATTGAGGTCTGGCTGGTTTGGCCCTCAATCACACTGTGAGAAACGGTCACTCTCTGCCTGGGCCTCTCATTTCTCCTATATATACATCAAATGTATAGATTGTTTGGTGTTGTCATACATTGGCGAGTCATTCTGTCTTGGCCCTTCAAAGGGCCTGGAATTGCTATCATCAGTCAAGCCTGGATGCTAGATTTGATTGATTCTGTCAGATAGTGTCGCATTTCCTGTGAACTGTTCGATAGCCTTGGGCTCTATATTCACTCTCCTTCAGATGAACTATCTGTGGCTCTATATAACCCGTGGAAACTAACAACCCATTGTAACATAGGACATGTTCATCATCCTTTTCTCCTCCGTCGGCCGGTTATGCCGTGGGAACCGGGCGCCTGCACTCGGGCACACTCGCGGTGGCAGCTCCCAACGAGGTAGCTTCATCGGGGCGATCGGCGGCCGCCGACAACCGCGGGCTGCAGACATTGACGCCGAGAACAGGCTGATCGACCAACTAGACGAGGAGTGGGACGACTGATGGCGGCTATGCGAGTGGTCGCTAGCTTGGTTGAGGCTGAAGAATGATATGTACTGTATGAATGGTCTTTCTGGCTGCATTATGACAATTGTATATGCATTACGTCGCACCCCGCAGTCCGGACTGCGTAGAGCCCGAGTCCTATGTACACATGTTGCCACTATCAGCAAGATGAGCATGACAGACCTCCGGAATAATGGATTGATAGACCTGTGGGCATTCAGTGACATGCCTGAACCCGAAGGCCGGAGATACAAGACGGCCAGGTAGGAAGTTTTTAATTACTCCGCAGACTAAGACTCGGGTATTTGGGGCTTCAGATCAGATCTGACGGCCATAAGCGCCTATCAAAAGAGACAGACCTCAGGCGTTCCCCGCATATGACATGATCATAAGCCAGCATGTCATCTTTGGGCCTAGGTTCAATAAGTGTTGGGTTGGTTGGCCAATACATAACTGACGATTGAGAATCAACAGGCTGACGTGAGATATCAGATCCCTGCTTAAGTATAGATCCTAACAGCGAGTATCACTAGGCAGATAAATTCCACATGACCCATCCGGTCGTTCCTCGGTATATCTAGCTTCTCGTCTCCCAGTCTTCGTTCTCTGGTTGAGACAGATACATACTTCAACCCGCAGGCAACAGTCATGACCGGCTTCACGCCCCTGGTGCCACCCCATATTGTCCCCAATGGGTCCTCTCAACGCCCGGTGCCTTTCCCGGCAAAGGAGCGCACGCTATCGCCCGCCATCCGAGACAGCATGACCCTCACATCTTGGCTCTTACTGGGAGGTCTTGTCCAGGGTCTGCTGCTGCTGACTCTAGGCCCCATGGCCCTCATCCCCACGGTGTTGGTCCTCCTCTACCGCACGGTGGACCATATCCTCATGGCCTACAACATCACCCCGAATCGATACCTGAACGGCGTCATCAACGCCAGATACAGCGCCCAGACGCCGAACGCAGACGGCACGTTCGGGCTCGACCCGGCCGCCCAGTCGATCGTGGTCTTCCACCTGGGCGCACGTTCAAACCACCCCTTTGGCCCGCTTGCGCCAGGAATGAGGGATCTTAGTCGGCGGGCAATAGCGATGAACAAGGCAATGGCGGCCGACCCCGTGAAGTACGGGCTCCTCGGGCTCTCGCACTATATCAAGCAGGAGTCTGTCGCAGGCAATGATACCATGACCGTTTACTATCTCCGTGATTATGAGGCATTGCATCGCTTTGCGCATGACGAGCTACATATGGAAGGCGTGCGGTGGTACGCGAAATACGCCAAGCAGTATCCGCATATCGCCATTTTCCATGAGACTTACTTGGTTCCCAAGGGCCAGTGGGAGAATATCTACGCTAATAGCAAGCCGACCGGCATGGGTGATACTTGGTTTCCGGTTATGGGGAAGGACGACGCTGGGTCGGTCACGCAGTTCGTGCGGCCTATTGTTGATATTCACAGTGGCCCGCTGCGTTCGGCGTCTAGGCGATTGAACATGCCGCGGTTCTATGAGCAGGAAGATGATGATGATAAGTATGAGTATGAGTAACCATGTGGTGGGTTTATGTGTCTTTGCGTTTGGGTGTCGTGTCTAGAGGTGGATAACCAGCATGGGACGAAAGGCCTAAATATATATTCGGTAGGGAATACACCTCTCTTCATACATTGTGCGTTGGGGATAGTACTATCTATCCCCCAAAGATATACCTATTAGCACAATAATATTCTAATGAGAACAACGTTACATAAAAAAAGAGACAGGAACAAAAGACAGACCATCTGCAAAAAAAATTGTGGACAAAAAAGAAATGCATCATCCGTGAATCGAACACGGGCCTCATCGATGGCAACGATGAATTCTACCACTAGACCAATGATGCTAGTTGATATCTACCCGCACATAATCTAAGTATATATTGGTAGTCATCATATCTGGTGGTCTCGAAGACCACTGTTGGAAGTATCGTGATAGAGCGTGCTCGCCGCAATGAAAGGGGATGTCATCATTGAACCCAGATGATAACGTCCACCTGACTAGTACATCAGTAGACAGCGTATTATATATGGACCTGAGTCCTCTTCCTTAAATGCCCAAGTGAGCCATAGATCAGAAGGGCTTCCCCCCAGGCAGCTAGAACCATCTCTCTGCGGCTCACTTACAGGATAGCATACCCTATGTGCATCTGTGCGTTTATGCCAGTAGGCAGTCCAAACCCATTCGATCGTGATAAGAATTCACATTCTCATCGACAGCAAAGGAACTGAGGTGGTATACCTAGGTAGTAAACAACGTATACTGCATACTGTATTCGCAGCCAACGGGGGAGACCTTGCGCTCGGGAAATCTCAGGTGAGCAAGAGCAAGGAATTGAGATATACCATGTGCTGAAATGGATAAACCCCATACCGGCATTCTTAGTCGATGTGTGGCTAGCGACTATAGATCCGTGGGCAAAGTGAATCAGGTTCCAGATAGCCGAGCATCAATATCTTACCGACCTATAAACTCCATCCATTCATGTTGTCTCGAGGGTCCAACGGACAGAATGAAGCAGTAACTAACATAAATCAATTTTAGTCAGCATGTAACAACTACCAGGTTCTGTAGTGTAATGGTCATCACTCTGGATTCTGATTCCAGCAATCCCGGTTCGATCCCGGGCAGGACCTCGCCTTTCTTTTTTGCAAGATTTGCTCTTTTGTCTGTCATACATATCCTTAGCAGTCTTTTTGAATTACATGGTCGAACAAACCTCCAGTACCTTCATATATAGTCAATATTATCCTTGAAGAATTGATTCGAGGGAAATATACACATCGGATACAAAGGGCCACGGTCATGCAATATAAAACAACATAAGAGGAACATATGAATCATGAACAGTAATGTTAACTCCGTCTTTTCCAACCCATCCCAGACAACCAAACATCGCCAAAAGCAAAGCAGACCAATTACCCCAAAAACAAACGTGTCCCTGCCCTGCTCGGACAATTGTCGCCGCGATGACGACTCAATCGTACTTCTGATTCCGATCCACCCCAGTCATGCTCAGATCGTAAGCACCCATCGGCATGTTTCCTGCGCCGCCAAAGGCGGACATATCCGGCGTTGCCCCGACAGGGTTTGCTGTTCCTGTTGGCGGCGGTGGAGGAACACCCGGATCGAGGCCAACGCCAGCCCCGATAGGGTCGAGGTTGAATGGCAAAAACCAGGCACTAGGCTGATAGAATTCGCCCGTCCCCGAAGGTGCATTAGGATCCATCTGGCCGGCGAAAATATCGGATGTGTCTTGGTTGGGTGGGGGAGGTTCTGCGCCATTAACCGAGGACATGCCCGGAGTGTCTGATGGGACAAAGGAGGCGGGCGAGGGGTCCAAAGCGCCAAATGACCCATAGACAAACTGTCGATCTAGCTGGGGAAGTTGGTCGGTAGGGATGGGGAAGTCGAAAGGCGAATGCCCAAACATCTGTTGCTGTCCGCGAGCTGCTTGGCCGTTGAACATCGATGCCTGGGGGAACCCAGTTCCGGTTGTTCCGAGCATTCCCGGTGCTGTATCCATGTTCACATCAAGAATCTGTTGTGATGATGGCGTTGTTTGTCCCATGCGGGGCGGGACATCCATCCTGCTGCTCTTTCTCGAATGTGACCGACGGGGCACGCTTTGCGGCGTGCTAGGGGAGAGGCTAGCGAAGAAGTCTTCCACGCTCTGTAGGTCGGGTTTCTGGCTCATGACGGCATCATCATTCAAATCCTTATGCTGGGTATCGGGGTCTTCCCAATGCGACCTCGATACTCCATGGGGGTACTTATCGAACCAGTCACCGTATTGGAACATCGGTGCGATCTGGCCACCGTTCTGTGTAGGGACTGAGCCCTTGATGGCCGCATCTGCGAACTGGCGATATCGGTCCTTGGCACTTTCCACCATGTAATGGAACATTCCCCAGTATTTCTTCATCTTGTTCAGATATCGATAAGTATGTCGCAGATTCTCTTTCGATCGCGCCTCTAGCTGCGCGTTCTTCGAAAAGATACCCCAGATGTGAACTGTGCTAGCCGAATATGCGCAGTATCCAGCAAATGGAACAGTGAGAGGGTAAGCGGACGCGCGGTCAATCAACACGGAGATGTGATGGGCTGCCTCGACAGCTGCGCGTCCGGCATTGCTCAAGAAGGCCTTGGGCATATCCCGTGGAGGTCGACCTCCGGGCGACAAAGGGATTGCGAATTGGTTCAGGAAGAGCATGTTTTGATGGATAATGATGTGCAAGAAAAGAAACTGGTTAGCGATCCGGTCCGCAGCATGAATCTGAAGGTTCTCGTATGTGAATGCCAGGTAATTGGGGAGGGAAGCAGAAAACTCCTCAATCTGCCGCTTGAGGCGTGTATAGCCCGACTCGGGCGACCATAAGGGATGGCCGTCTTTCCGCTTCCCCCCTAGGTTGAGATAATCGACTATGCGACCCCATATCACCACCGCGCGAATGATATAGGCCGACACACCCATGTTATTCGAGGCGTTGGACAATTGCCCAACGTCATCTGGAACTGGGTTGGGGACGTTTCCATCTAAATCCTCTGTGGGACCAGGGATTTCCATCTGGAAATGCGATTCTTTGATCGGCAGCTGTATCTGCACGAATTTCTCGTTTCCAATGGGAGGCCGTTGACTGCCGGACGAATTGTAGCGATCCATTAAAAAGCAAGCCCACATGGTACGTCTTCGAATCTCCCGATCCGTAAAACTGAGCTGAGTGGCAGCACCGTTGTTCTGCGAGAGTAGCGGGTCATGGTCGAGTTCGCGATGCAACTGCAGAGCATATGCCATTCGCAGCGCCTGACCTCCGAAAGACCAACTTCGTCCACCATGGCAGGTTCCGAATTCATGCAGGCCCAATAAGAGGAAGACCGTTAATATCGTGATGTTGGGTTCGTCATGTCGACTTAGTGCAATGGCGGCGGCCGGATTTGCCCAGTTTTCTCCCCGCAGGAAGGGAGGTTCGGAGTTGATCTGCGGATGCGTGGAAAATCGTGCGGATACGGCGCAGACGGCGAGTATGAGAACTGGCGGAACTGTCCGGGCTTTTAATCTTCGCATGAAACTAGGCTTATGAAGGAGGAGGTACGACTGTCCGTAGACGCAATCGAAGAACACTTCTGCCAAGTGTTCTTGGATTTCCAGCGAAGGCAAAAACTCGGCTCCCTCGGTGAGTAGGTTCGATGTGTCGTTGAGTTTATTCTCACGCCGCATGGGGAAGGTGTCCTGAGGCGCCCGACGGTCCCCACGGGCCCATCCCTCCATCTCAGCGGCGAAAGCCTCGTCCGCCGACCGCTTCTTCTGCGTCTTTGAGTTCTGACCGGGCTGCGGCGGACGGACCACGGAGCGGCCGATAGCGGCCATATCGCGGACCTCGTCCTTCGGGATTGTCTTGATGACCCGATCCTCCATTCTCTTGAGTCGCTTGTCCAGCATCGCCATGTAGTCGGTACGGGGGGCGGCCTTCCTGGTGGTGACTTTGTAGACGCACGGGATGCGCGAGCGCGAGCAGTGCTTGCAAGCGGGTTTCTCTCCGGAGCAGCGGATTTTCTTTCGCCTGCAGGCAATACACGCCAGCGGTAGACGCTTTCGTTCCTTTCCGGCCTTGGTTTTCAGCTCGCTCCATGGCGGTTTTTCGCCTTTCTGGTCGGGGTTCTGCGAGTTGGGGTCATGGTTGCCGTCCTCGCGCTGCTGGTCGGAGGCGCCAGGGTGTTCGGTGAGGTTGATGGATTCTCCAACGGGTAGAGCGCTCCCGGGATCTCGCGAGCTGGCGCGACTCTGGTTGTCGATATCTTCGGGGAGGCCATGGTCATCGTGCCCCAAGGCCCCGAGGCCTATGGAGGAGGCCAGGGGCGATTCGTCAGAGTCGGGAGGGATCATGATGGGCGCGGGTACCCCAGGATCAAGACTCGGGTCATCGTTCGGTATGAACGGGAGGATGGTGGTAGGGGGCGGCGACCACGGCGGAAGCTGACGTTGTTCGGGAGAAGAGAAAGACGGGACGAAATCGCGGGATGAGGCGGTCGACTCTGGTGGGTATGGGGAAGGTTGTTGAGGGTCGGAAAGTGGCGGCTTGGCGCTACTGGCCACGCTCATGACGGAGGATTATTAATGAGGAGCTGAGAAGGAGAAGGGAGTCGTTGTCGATGTTCTCCCTCAAAACATGCCTCCCAACATCGTTTCACGAGAAAAGAAGAGACGAATCGGAAAAGTTATCCTCGGGATGAGGCTGCCTTTCTGGTCTTCTTGGAAGTGTCATTCACTAAACGAACACGGTCATTGGAGGAACCAGTTGATCCGCGCAACTCCCCAGGGAAATACTTACAGGGTGGTTGAACGCCTCGCGAGTCTGGATGTCTGGAGGAAGGGAAATAGAAAAAGGGACAGGAACAAGGTGAGGGGAAATCTTGTCCTCGTGCACCGGGAGTCTGGGGTCTGTATGTATTATTATGTCGTGGATATACGGAGTAATCATCCGCTTTAGTTACCTAGTTGCAGGAGTTGAGCTGCATGCATGGTCGCTCTTGATCGGTTCGCCCTAACTGATCGATCTGATAATGAATTAAAATAACATTAATCATTCTTCTTCTATCTTAGCGGCGAAAATCATGGGTCTACTAGTATCTGAGGGACGGGATGGGATAATCGGTGCTTCTCCGTCTAGTAGCGCTTTAGCTGCCATCGGTTGTGGTTCTAGTCCATTCACCCATAAGGAGGACGACAAACAAACTGAGATTAATATTATCGGGAGGGTATTCTAGATAGGATTATAGCTATAGGTATATATCAAATGTAAACGTCTCGTCGAATCTTCGCACTTTCGAACTATCTCCATTTATCGACCCACCATACCCGCCGATACCTCGCGCGGCTGTGGCTTGTATATATTTGGATTTGAACCGGTCATTCATGGCCATTGACCCCATTGCCAATAAGATCCTCGTATGGCTTACGATGACTTGGGCCGTCCAGCGCGCCGACGGATCGTACCATTATCAAGAGAGGCCACAATCTCCGCGCCCAGTACGTAGATGTTGTAACCGGGGAAAACAATCCACAAACCACTGTCCTCGCAATCAGCAAAATGGCAGGAGGTCAAAGATGAAGCCATGCGACAAGAACTACTTACTTAGGGACGATCCAGAGGAACACCAAGGTCAGTGCGTCATTGTGACCGATGTTCGCAAAACCAGAGAAGAACTCATTCAACCCTACGGAGTGATGGTAAGCGGAGGGTACCTTCAGGCGCGATTGGCACTGGCACAACTCACAATACAGAACGGTCTTACTCAACGTCATCAGGGAGGCGCTGTACGCAACCAGAAGTGCAGTCGCTCCGAGACGCCCAGGAACCACTTTATCAGCGGTCAACAGCCACTTGACGTCCTTTTTCGCCTTGCTTCCGCGACCACCCGATGTCGAAGTCCCGTAGGTATACACAATCCACAGATAGTAGATGTAGGCAGCCGATTCGACGACGTTCAGGATGGTCTGCGCAGCAGTGAAACCGTTGCGCGCGTTGAATGCTGGCCAGCCGTAGATGTAGTCGATCGTCCCGTACAACGCGTACGGCGTCCAAATGGGAGAATGAAGTTTGTTCCCCGGCATGCTATGTGGGCGCAGGAGCACATAGGCCGAGTCCCATGCGACAAACGGGATGGACAAAACTAGCCATAGAGTGACAGCTGTCGACGGGGTATGCACCCACCCGTTTCCACTCGCTTTAGCGCTGCTGGTGGTGGTGGTGGATGACGGGGTGGGAGGAGAGGACGACTTTGCGGTCGCAGGCGGCGGGAAATCGCGAGGATGGTGTCGGGTGGAGACCATGGTGTTTCTCGATGTGAAAGAGTCGCAGTGGACTGTAACTGAAGCGGATGTCGTGTAATCGGATGGACGATGGTCGCGCGATTGGAAGCGACATTAAATTGATGCAGCGCTGAGAGTGGAAGGGAAGGAGAGGAGGAAAAGAGGAGTCGACCTAGTCGCTTCCAGAGGGGAAGTGCGCAGGAATGCGCCGGGAGGGATGCAAGCAATCCAACCCCCCCCCAAATCATCCTGACGGCTAGTGACGTCGTGCGCCGCTGCATTGGGTGTTACCCTCTGGAGTCGCCCCCAGAAAGGTCACATTATTGGATTCCTAATGCGTCAGGCCAACCATTTGCCATGGGAGTATGGATCTTCCCACTGAGTCTTCGCTTCTCCACTCCAACGGGCGCAGGTACATACAATACATCTACATGATCTCTGAATTGACTCTGTATATAGCATGATATTTATGACTCCCGAGGTCGCAATGGAGGTTCGATCGTTACATGTGGTGTCGTAGGTCCTCTTGTCAAGCATGCGTAGAATCCGGGGGCCCCATACACGTGACCGACCACGTTATCCTGATAAGCTGTCCGCCACTGTGCCCGCTATCTCCACTGAACCCCTATCGTGGGAAGGTGCGCTTTCTTTTGACGACGGATTGCTGCATGCAATATCCGACATACACTCCTGATATTTGTGGCGAGTAATGCATCTTCAATCCGTTCTGGTGAATTGACTTCGGTGCAATGGGCTCGGAGGGTTCGCAGAAGGTTGGCGCCATTGAGAAGAAATTTCGCTTATATTCTTGGACCTGACCTTGAATCATACAGAAGACCGATCGGCTGGCCCGAATCCGCGAAAACCAGCGGAAAAGCCGAGCACGGAAACAGGAGCATATTCGAGAGTTGGAGCAGAAGCTGGCATCCTTGCAGGAACAGGCCAATCGCAAGGATGTGGAACATAGACTGGCTGTCCAGAGGCTGCAGGCGGAGAATCGAAAGCTGAAGTACCTTCTGTCTTGCTCTGGACTCCCAGCGAGTGCAATTCAGGGGTATCTGCAGGTGGCCGAAGATCCTAACGTGGGCCAGAAAGTCGCTATTCCAGCTCTGCGAAAGGTAGAAGTCGAATCCTCGCCCGATTGTAAGCCGGCTGAATGCCCTCCTCGCTGTATGCCAAAAAGAGAAGGAAATGATTCCAAGGAGGTCAGTCGAGAGCCACCAAGTCTGCGAGTGGCTGAGGTGCCTCCTGAAGCACCGCCAGAGCCGGCTCCGAAGACTAGCTCGGAACCTGAGAAGCCAATCCAGTCCATCTGCAGCTGTCCTTCCGCTACTGGAACGGACCCTTGGCCTACCAATGGGGATGTCCTCAACACTACACTCTGCGCAATCGCAGAAGAGCTGATCTCGCAATACAACACCCGGGGGGTGGAAATGGACGAAATTCGGCGCAAGTTATGGACAGGCTTTTCCAAGGGACTTACAACGGAGGAAGGGTGTCGGGTGCAAAACCACATACTTTTCCAAGTTTTGGATGAAATCAGCAACAATTAAGTCGGATTCGATTATTATTATTTACGATGCTATTGAGTCGGACGGGATGCTCTGATTTCATGCCCACTTCTGTCTCTTGGCGAACCATTTAACGACATAAACCAGGCCCAGGAGCACTGGAACCTCGATCAAAGGTCCTACGGTTGCAGCCAGGGCTTGATCACTGTCCACACCAAATGTCGCTATCGCCACCGCAATCGCAAGCTCGAAGTTGTTGCTAGCGGCTGTGAAGCTTTGGGTGCAAGAGAGCTTGTACCCGAAACCGCACCGTCGAGTGACTGTCAGGGTGGCCAGGAAGATGACGGAGAAATACACAATCAGCGGGGCAGCCACCCGGACCACAGACACAATTTGATGCACCACCTGCCTTCCTTGGGAGGCGAACAGCACCAGAATGGTAAAAAGGAGGCCTATCAGTGACAGTGGACCAATCCACTTCAGAAAGCGCTTATCGTACCACTCCTCACTCACGAGGAAACGCAATGTGAAGCGAGTGACGATGGCTGCCCCCAGCGGTATTCCGAGGAAGACTCCCACGCTTTTTGCGGCAAGCGAATAGTCTATAGTCAGCCCGCCATCTGACCCCCCGATCACGCGAATGAAGAATATCGCGAGAGGTGCGAACAAGACCATCTGCAGGATTGAGTTGATGGCTACAAGGATCGCGCAATATTCACCATCGCCCCCTGCGAGCCCCGTCCACACGAGCACCTAGATACGTCAGCTTGTGATGCATATGTCTCGAATGGATGGGGCCTACCATAGCAATGCATCGTGCAATCCCGACCAGTATCAAGCCTTCTCGGAGGCCTCTTTCGTCCGGTAGAAAGGCCCACGCCAGCGCCAACTGTGTCGGACGTCAGTTGCAGATGGGAAATATCGTTGATGAACCTACCATGAAGAGAGGTGCTATGATCCAGTTGATGACGAGGCTGAAAGCGATCTGGATCCAGAGGGCTTTTTCGCGAAATGATCGATGTAAAGTCTCATATCTCACTTTGCACAAGATCGGATACATCATGACGAGCAGACCGATAGCTTATAATAAGTCAGTACGTTTGTCTCTAAATTGTGGGAAAGTGTAGACGTACCGATGGGTACAGAGACCCCGACGAATTTTCCTCTTTCCAGTGCCGGCCCCGTATTTGGCACAAAGTTGCCCAGGATGATTCCCACCGCCATCGCGAGGAAGATCCAAAGCGCAAGAAACCGGTCTAGGATGGCTAGCTGCTGGAACGCAGATGTCGGACCCGTATTCTCGGTCTCATTTTCCTGGCATGGCGTTTTGCACGCTTCTGGATCAGTCGGACGCTTCTCCTCCTGCCTCATTGTGAGTATATTGGAGCTTTTAATATATTGTATTTAAGCCCACAGGAATGAGGTGAGAGTCAGAAGCCTCAGACCGCTCATTAGCACCTGGTTGATCTACTTGCCATGACGCCCTACAAAAATGCATCTTGGCGGCCAATCATAATCGAGGGGTGACATGGCTCGGATCACGTGATACATACCAATACCGGCAGGACTGTAACTGAATGATCGGACTTTGGATACTTCTACTATATTGGAATCATCTAGACTGCGCATCTGATAAGTGTGCATTGGTTGTACTACAGAAAATACACATGGTGTCTTTCTGCTAATGCCGGGGTTAGTTTGAGAGCTTTCCACTGCCATCAAGCAGATGGTTATACATATGGACCAATGGTGGGGTATGATCTTGGATTGTCCAAGAACCATCTCGTCAACATTGCATGAGTATTGCGTATTTCTGCAATGCTTGCGCTGCTTGTCCACGCAACATCAGGCATATGGCTCATATGAACTTATTGTTCATCGTACTCTACGGGATCAGAGTATCTAATCCCCGTTCCAGGCTTAACACTACCGGGCGGGATCTGAAGTATAGATATGGAGGTAAGAACTCAGAAATAGAATTAAGCTACCTGTTTAATGTTAGCTTATGTTGGGACTGGTTCTAGGTGAGCTTGTAAAGCAGATAGAGCCGCATCTCTTGAGAGACTAACAATCAAGTTCACGTGAAATATGACCATGAAGGTCGTCAGAGAAGAGCGTCTTGGACTAGGGTACCATAGACTGGAAGATAAGTGTTAATACAATGTTTGTGATCACTTCTGGTGCTCTGCATGAGGTTTCCAACGAAGTGATATATCCTTGTCTCTTTTTGCCAGGATAACTTGAGTCCGACAAGTAATACTGATGCTACTTGATATCAGGACTGTGATTCTTTGGTACAACGCTGGCAGCACGCATCTGCATCCGTGAGCCCTACACTCACAGCTAGCTCATTCACATGTGAAGGCAACATAGATGTGACCGGGTAGTTTCCAGGTCTAGATGCTATTAGGCTAAACGACATCGACCTGAGAGGTACACAAATAGGATTCCTATACAAGATATTTTCATGCTTCAGATCCACTGATAGTGTTAGCCAGAATAGTTACTTGAGGCCAGCGATGAAAAGGATGGTAACACAGAGGGAATGACGCCAGTGCATACCAATAGACTTCGGTCTATACAAACTTGGTAGTTCGGAGGGTGCTACAACCAGGGACTGTACTTCCCATATCATTGCGGGGAATTTCCATCGATGACGACTTTGCAGAACGATGAGTGCATCTCGAAAGTCCCCGGCGCATAATCTACCGACGTGAACCGAGATATAAGAGACCTCCAGCCCAACTGGACTCTTCTTTCTCTTTCCAGTCTGGTCTGAGTGATCACCTAGAAGAACAATCACAAGACTAAGAGCACAGCCTCCACCATGAAGCTCAACACCATTATCCTGGGCCTCTGTGCCACGCTGGCATATGCCTCCCCAATGATCCAGGAGGTACGTCGACACAACTCTATCATCCCGATGGATGAGCCGACACAGACGAAGGACATGCTAACTTACTTTGCACAGCATGAACCAACCGATGTCACGGGCCAAGAGCAGCCCGCCGGCACGCACCCGGGTCCGTACCCGCCGTGGCCGTATCGGCCCTGGCCGCCGCGTCCCTGGCCTCGTCCGTTCCCGCCCAAGATTCTTGAGTCGCCGGTGAGCCCACGCCAGGATGAAGGCGACGGCGGGGATGATGGTGGTAATGATGATGGGAACCCCTTCGACCCGTTCCAGGATGACGACGAGGAGGACGGGTACTGGGATGGTTATTTTGAGTGAGCGTCGCCATCGTGCTCAGAGGCTAGTCTTCTTCTGCCGGCTTGCGCGAAGCCATGTGTGCTTCTCAGCTTTGCTACTAGTAGCTGCTAGGAAGGGAGGACCAGTGCTTGCAAAGCAACTCGTTTTTGTAAAATCTCACGTTCGAAGTTGTAGTTCTGTAGGCCAAACTTTGAAAGTTCTAACACACTAAGAATCATAATAGTCATTCGATGCCAGAGGCACAATGCATTCATGGGCCCTCTCCGTTGCATGGACGGAACAACAACAACAACAATACAATACTACCATACTCCACACCCAAGCTAGAGTGATTATGTCCAAAGCACCTGCCTTCTTTACGGCTAATTTTCGGGAGTATAAGTGATAGTTAACTAGGTACCTACTTAGGTCCTGTCCGGGCAGGAATGGAGGATGGAGAGTGGTTCGTTGCCGAGTGCTAAGTGGACTTGGTGCCCACACGGGGCACTCCAGATCCTTTACCCCACATGACAACCCGGAGGAGACGGAGTATGGAGTCCTCCGTAGTATGGAGGGAAGGCCGGTGAAGGGTGTCTGGGTACGGTGAGCGTCTGCAGTGATGTAGGAATATGCCCAATTTGGAGAACGATGTGCTGCTACGATATACGACTTGTGGGGACGCGGGATGGGTAAGCAATTGATCTCTTGGAGTGTACTCCGTACTCTTTCCCTTCAAATCTCCTAAGGCAGTATATTAATAGCTATTGTGTTATACGGAGCTTATGCTCACATTATATATTCATATGAATCAGGTTTGACCTCTGTCATAGTCAGCCTTCTATCGATTACTTGACCAAAAGATGATCAGCTCTAGAGGCAACCCTCGGCAATACTCCGTACAAGGAGATGCCTGTTGACCATGCGATGCATGATGCTTTTTCTTCAGGCCGACCTCAGATCATCGGAATGTCTTCGGGATGATGCCCCCACGCTGACCGAGTCACCTTCAGTTTTTGGAATTCCACCATCCGGACCGAATTGCCGAAGATGCAGCTCTCGGCCCTCTCTCTCCCCGCCATCGCTATTTCTCCGAAAGTGACGGAGTGGACATTAGTGCTGGATTGGTATGGGGCATGCAATCGGGAGGTGAGCCACGCCGACCCCGATGACGTTATCATACTGTAGTACCTGATGACAACTCGGCGTCCCGTATCTGTCTTAATGATACAGTATGTAGAAGCGGACAGTTGCCGGGGATATTTGTGGAGACTTCCTGTTGACAGACCCGATGCCTCTTCCCGAATAGTCACGGAGTAACTACGGAGTACACACTGGCCGAGTGGGAGGACCTTCTGCTCGGGCGAGAGCTGGTCTAACATTTTGCCCAAATTTCTCCGACTGGCAAATGCATATGGAGCCACGAGGCTAGCAAAATCTAATTCGGCAGCATTGCAGGCGATCGAAATAATTGACAAGATGACCGGTCGGCAGGCCTCCACTGTGAACGACTGATTCCGAGGACTGCCTAGACAGATGACGTCGGATGTATCGCACGGTGTCCATCGGAAGACAAATGCAGTCAAGAGGGACGATGGGCCGACCACCTGATCCATGCCAACCTTGCATGGAGACAGGGCCGATACAGGGAGGTTGGGATCTGGAAAACCCTTGCAGCGGGAGATGATGTGGGTGAGGGTGATGCATTGTGTCTGACAACCCGTGCGTTGGTAGTAAACTATGGAAGGGGCGGGATCAGGTAGGTAGGAGGCTGGCTGCAATGCGATGGAAGAATCATACTGCGGGGGAACAGTCACATACTGCAACGGGGTAGATGCATGCGTTGTCCACCTCGTTCTTGTACGTACAGATTGACCAGAGATGGATATTAGGACTGAAGAACGCCTAATTTTAACTCCAACGCGTTGCTTGTGGAATGTACTTTCGCGTTATTATTGTTGATAGATCGGAGTCGCTCTTTAAACGTGGTGGAATCCGGACGATCTCTCTGGAACCTCATGGTGGGAATGTCGGCTACCATGGCACGATGTGGGTTTGACTTTGGGTCCCTGGAAATAACCACGGGTATTATTATGATGTATTACGGGACTAACTAGATGACCCCGGATTGCTCGGCAACTCCAACGCGGAGGAGACGGGGTTGTCCCCTGTAAGACCCAACAAGACTCGATAATGAATAATAAAGAGCGCAAGAACGAGAGGGTTTCCACTAGAGGTACTCGGTGGCGGGGCCAACAGCATCAGCCAAGACCAATTCACCGGAGTATGCCCGTCCAAGTGATTGGAATGAGGTGAAGAGGATAATTCTACCTGTCTATTTACATAGTACTATGCTGAGTGGATTAAGAAGATTGGACAATGTCGTTGTTTAGCACTTCAGTAGATGACTGCTTTGATCCTGCCGGGGTCATGATTGTTTGTCCTAAACGAACGGATGCTCCTGTCGATCCCTATGACATGCTCTAATCTACAGTAGTTACTCCTACGTAGGGTCTTACCAGGTCCCTAGTCAGTCCCCCAGCTAGGCCTCCTTTCTCCCCCTTCCTCCCTTGGACCCATTGGGCAGAGGATCGGTATGTGGCGCTCCATTCGAGGCACTAAAATCCTCCCAATAATCTTATTAACAGCTCCGACCTGCATATGATCCATACGGCGTACGAAGTACATCATCCGGCGGGATTTATTTTAATATTTTTCTGATTCACCAACGTATTCCCATTTCGGGCAGTGCCGCATGATTGTCTAATGCTCTACCCCAGTTATTATTATCATTAAATTCCCCCATCCGCCCTTCATCTTCCCATCATTTTTCTCCCCTCACCAATCTCGAAGCCCTCCTCGCGTTGCGCGTCCTCCCAGCTTCGTTGTTCTGCTTTTGGTGCCTCTGGTCACCTCCCCTGCAACAATGAAGCTTTCCATTTTGGAGGCAGCAGCTTTGACAGCTGCCTCCGTAGTCAGCGCACAGGTAACGTTCACTTTGCCGGTCAACCTCGTGCTTGTCGGGGCTCTAACCGTACGGAACAGGACGATCTCGCATACTCCCCGCCGTACTACCCTTCTCCCTGGGCCGATGGCCACGGTGAGTGGTCGAACGCGTACAAGCGCGCTGTAGATATCGTCTCTCAGATGACATTGACGGAGAAGGTCAATCTCACCACCGGTACTGGGTATGTCTGGTCTCTCATGTCTGAATTTCCAGTGGCTGACATGCATGTAGATGGGAGTTGGAGAGGTGTGTCGGTCAGACGGGCAGTGTCCCTAGGTGAGCTTCAACCCCAAATCGTTCTTCCGGACCAACTAACCGACATCGCTTTCAGACTGGGAATCCCAAGCCTCTGTCTGCAGGATAGCCCTCTGGGTATTCGCATGTGTACGTCATCCCCGCCATTAGCAGACATCGACAGCCATTCTGACTTAATTCTCCATAGCGGACTATAACTCGGCCTTCCCTGCGGGTATTAACGTTGCGGCCACCTGGGACAAGAAGCTTGCCTACCAACGCGGCAAGGCAATGGGCGAGGAATTCAGTGACAAGGGTATTGATGTTCAGTTGGGCCCTGCTGCCGGTCCTCTTGGCAGGTCCCCCGATGGAGGCCGAAACTGGGAGGGCTTCTCTCCTGATCCCGCCCTGACTGGTGTGTTGTTCGCCGAGACGATCAAGGGTATCCAGGACGCCGGAGTTATTGCTACCGCGAAGCACTACATTCTCAACGAACAAGAGCATTTCCGCCAGGTCGGCGAAGCCCAGGGCTATGGCTTCAACATCACCGAAACCGTGAGCTCAAATGTGGATGACAAGACCATGCACGAGCTGTATCTCTGGCCCTTCGCCGATGCGGTGCGCGCGGGCGTGGGCGCTGTGATGTGCTCCTACAACCAGATCAACAACAGCTACGGATGCCAAAACAGTTTGACCCTGAACAAGCTCTTGAAAGCCGAACTCGGATTTCAGGGATTTGTCATGAGTGACTGGAGTGCTCACCACAGCGGTGTTGGCGCCGCCTTGGCTGGTTTGGACATGTCCATGCCGGGAGATATCAGTTTCGACAGCGGCACTTCCTTCTATGGCACGAACCTGACTGTTGGCGTCCTCAACGGCACCATTCCCCAGTGGCGTGTGGATGACATGGCCGTCCGGATCATGGCTGCCTACTACAAGGTTGGCCGCGACCGTCTCTGGACTCCTCCCAATTTCAGCTCGTGGACTCGCGATGAATATGGCTTCGCGCACTTCTTCCCTTCCGAAGGCGCTTATGAACGTGTCAATGAATTCGTCAACGTGCAGCGTGACCATGCCCAGGTGATCCGTCGGATTGGCGCGGATAGTGTCGTGCTCTTGAAGAACGACGGTGCCCTTCCCTTGACGGGCCAGGAGAAGACTGTTGGCATTCTGGGCGAAGACGCCGGGTCGAATCCGAAGGGAGCAAATGGTTGCAGTGACCGTGGCTGTGACAAGGGTACTCTGGCCATGGCTTGGGGTAGTGGTACTGCCAACTTCCCTTACCTTGTGACTCCCGAACAGGCCATTCAGAACGAGGTTCTGAAGGGCCGTGGAAATGTCTTTGCCGTGACGGACAACTATGATACACAGCAGATTGCCGCCGTTGCCTCTCAATCCACGTGCGTTTCCAGCCAACACCTCACCTTTCTCCGAATAAGGATGCTAACTATGTTTTAGGGTTTCATTGGTTTTCGTGAACGCAGACGCCGGTGAAGGTTTCCTTAATGTGGACGGAAACATGGGTGATCGCAAGAACCTCACCCTCTGGCAGAACGGAGAGGAAGTGATCAAGACTGTCACGGAGCACTGCAACAACACCGTTGTTGTGATCCATTCGGTGGGACCTGTTCTCATCGATGAGTGGTATGCGCACCCCAATGTCACCGGCATTCTGTGGGCTGGTCTCCCGGGCCAGGAGTCTGGCAACGCCATTGCGGACGTGCTGTACGGCCGCGTCAACCCTGGCGGCAAGACCCCCTTTACCTGGGGTAAGACGCGCGCGTCCTACGGCGACTACCTCCTCACCGAGCCCAACAACGGCAACGGTGCTCCTCAAGACAACTTCAACGAGGGCGTGTTTATTGACTACCGTCGCTTCGACAAGTACAATGAGACGCCCATCTACGAGTTCGGTCATGGTCTGAGCTACACGACGTTTGAGCTGTCTGGCCTCCAGGTCCAGCTTATCAACGGATCCAGCTATGTTCCCACTACGGGTCAGACGAGCGCCGCCCAGGCATTTGGTAAAGTCGAGGACGCGTCTAGCTACCTGTACCCTGAGGGACTGAAGAGGATTTCCAAGTTCATCTATCCCTGGCTGAACTCTACCGATCTTAAAGCGTCTACCGGCGATCCTGAATACGGAGAGCCCAACTTCGAGTATATTCCTGAAGGTGCTACCGATGGCTCTCCTCAGCCCCGTCTGCCTGCCAGCGGGGGTCCTGGCGGCAACCCCGGTCTCTATGAGGATCTCTTCCAGGTTTCTGTGACCATCACCAACACCGGCAAGGTTGCTGGTGATGAGGTGCCTCAGCTGGTAAGTTGCGTGTTTCCAGGAGCAATCGATATGTGCTAATGTTGGCTATAGTATGTTTCGCTGGGTGGCCCCAACGAGCCGAAGCGGGTGCTGCGCAAGTTCGAGCGCCTGCACATCGCCCCTGGTCAGCAAAAGGTCTGGACGACTACCCTGAACCGCCGTGACCTAGCCAACTGGGATGTCGTGGCCCAGGACTGGAAGATCACTCCCTATGCTAAGACCATCTTTGTTGGCACCTCTTCGCGCAAGCTGCCTCTCGCTGGTCGCTTGCCACGGGTGCAGTAAGTGATGGGGTTACTGTACATCGATTTAATTATGTGTACATTCTTTAGTCTACGACTATGGGTTTAATTTATGTATTGTTTGATCCACTGGAGTTTGAAGCACGGTGTTGCTTAGCTGGATGCTGTCTGTACGCCTCAGACGTTTGACTTTATATAAACATAATACCTATCAACTGTCTTCCTTAATACACAAACAGCAGAGAATAAGTCCCTACAGTGCAGTCCTAGATGTCTACCTAAGTATTGCACTAACCATGCCAGTATACATAGCTTAGTAAGCAACCAAAAGATGAAGCACGACGTCATCTTTTTCCAAACTCCTCGGCTGCTGCCACGCCAACGTCTCAATTACTCACAGTCATTGCGAGACACAGCACACTCGCACGATACAACACTCCCTTCCGTCCGACCATCGCCGGAAACAAAGAAAACCAACCACCAGCCGCACGGGACGCGACGGAAGACCGAAAAAAACATGGCTACCACCTCCAGGGCGTCTTCTCCGCCGGGGACACGGCCCTTCCAACCACCCACCGCCGCGCTGCTCGTCTACCCAGCGACCCTAATCATCGGTTCACTCTTCTCCGTGCTCTCGCCGACAGCGCAAGGCGCGCGAGCCTCCGCATCCGACGACGCCGCGACAGCCGCCGCCCCGGTCAACTATTTCGCGCGCAAGAACAACATCTTCAACGTGTACTTTGTCAAGATCGGCTGGGTGTGGACGACGCTCGCCTTCGCGGCCATCCTCCTCACGCAGCCGGCCTACACGGCGCCGTCGGCGCAGCGCCCGCGCCGCCTCGCGCAGGCCGCCGCGCGGTACGCCCTCGCCACGCTGGTATGGTGGCTGACCACGCAGTGGTTCTTTGGGCCGGCGATCATCGACCGCGGGTTTGTGCTGACGGGCGGGAAGTGCGAGGCGCGCGCGGAGGGGACCCACGCGGCGTCGAGTCTGCCCGTGTCGCCGCTGGGGATGGTCTCGGCGGCGGCGTGCAAGGCGGCTGGTGGGGCGTGGACGGGCGGGCATGATGTTAGCGGGCATGTGTTTATGCTTGTGCTGGCGACGGCGATGCTGGGGTTTGAGATGGGGGGTGTGTTTGGGGTGGAAGGTGGGAAGGGGGTGGGGGTGTGGTCGAGGCGGTTTGTGGGCGCGGTGCTTGGGCTGAGCTGGTGGATGCTGCTTATGACGGCTATTTGGTTTCATACGTGGTTTGAAAAGGTATGTCTTGTCTTGTCTGTCTGGGTTGGGGACGGGGATGCTAATTGCGGTGCCGTAGTTGACGGGTCTGCTCATCGCCCTGGGCACGGTGTATACGGTGTATATCCTGCCCCGGCGGCTGGTTCCTTGGAGGAATGTCGTAGGCATTCCTGGCGTATAGGTTTGTTTCTCGGGTTGAAATGATAGAATGCATTTAGACTACAATCTGGGCCGGCATTGACGTGATGAGAGGATTAATGTACATTATTGCTGCATTACACTTGTTGCATTGCATTACATTACCTGGCTTATGTGTCGTGCTACTTCTCCTGTCTTGGGACAGGCTCGCTTCCTAGATACCCGTGGCGAAACGCTGTGCTGGTCAGCTATCTGTTGCTTCTCTGCGGACCGGACTTACCTCCTGGCAGCAAGGCCGCTGCGTACATCACCCGTGTGATCGGGCGCAGGTCGTCGGGCGTTGCATCAGTGTACATCGACCTCTCCATGTAGATATTCCACGAATCCAGGATCTTGTCCGCGTATGTCCTCAGATCGATCGAGCGTTCCTTCTCGGACGACTCCTCCGACATGCACTGGATTCCCACGCAGGTCCCAAACTCGCGGAACGCCAGCCGGAACTTGATGCTCCGCTCCAGGTACTGGTTGATCTCGAAGAGGTCATCTGTCGACGTTAGCAAGGACTCGACGATCTGAAGAACAAATCACCCACAGATCTGCTCGAAGCACCGTTCAGCAAGCCGACCTGCCCAGTCCTCCTTCTCTGCGAACCAATGTGCCGTCCACAGCGTCATCCCCAGATCCAGCGGATCGCTGGAGACAAAATGCTCGCCCTTGCGTGCCATCACGCGGCGATAGTCCCGGATTTCGTCCTCCAGCACGGGGCCCGCGCCCGCTGCCATCGCAGACGCCTGCAGGAGTCGGAAAATGACGTACCCGTCGATAGGGTCGAGGTTACCCTCCGACGCCACGAGCGGCGACGACAGGTCCATCGCCATTTTCCACACCATGCGCGGCCGCGGGGAGTCGCGGTTGATGAAGAAGCGCGGATGGATGGCTTTGGCGAGCGCCACGGCCTGCTGGTTGTAGGTCGGGTCGCCGGTCGCAAGCGACAGTCGGTTCAGCGCAAACATCCAGATCGTCAGGTAGTGGTGGTACTGGCCGTCGCCGTCGCGGCCGTGTTCCTCCATCTTCCCGATGCGCAGCCCGCCGCCGAGCGGGTTGTCGTCCGTTGCACCGGGAAGACGATGCTCGCCGTCTCGGGTGCGGCCTAGGACGTTGTGGACGGTGTCGGCAAGCTGCCGTGCCAGTGTTAGATAGCGGTCGCCGGAGCTGGGCGACATTTTGTTGCACTCATTGTGCAGGGTGATGAAAGTTGATCACCCCGAAGGCGTCGGTCCAGAGGTATCGACCGCGGTGACCGCCCGATCTGGGCGGCGGCGTCCACTTTGCTGGGGTCGGCGACACCGTTGTAGTTCCCATAGACCGTTTCCATCGCGTGTTGGCACCGCTCGAGGGCGGGTGAATTTGTGCTGGACATGGTGTGGCGGATGGTATAGTGTACAGGCGGCCGGAGGCGGAATAGTGGGAAGCTCAGGGTTCTGCATATACACCTGGACATGACAGGTAGCTTGGTGATGCGGACTACGGGCGCGTCGGTTTCTACCGGTGGTGGCTAACCGACTGCGTTTTTGGGCGATGTGAAGTCATGATGAGCGTGGTGTGATTTCATTTCCCGCTGACTGTAGTATATAGACTGTCAGCCACCATACGCCCACGCGACCGCCCACCTGTCCAGAAAGCCACAAAATGTGACCATTCCATGAGTCGAATGATTGGAAATTTCCGACAAATATTCCGAAGTCCTCAGTCGACAAAGCGCGCGATGGCTCAGCTTCAGGAACTCTTCACCGCGTCGGCTCGCCCGCTGCCGAACATTCAAGACCCCAGTTTCGGTGCCCAGTTTGATGACTTTGGCGACTATGACCTCGTCTTGCTAGGGGACGGCAGCCATGGCACGTCGGAGTTTTATTCCGCGCGAGCGCAAATCACCAAACGCCTGATTGAGCATCACGGCTTCACCATGGTCGCCGTGGAGGCCGACTGGCCGGATGCGGAACACATCGACCGCTATGTGCGCCAGCGTCCAGGTCCCAAAGGCAAGATCGGCGGCAGGCGAGAGTTGGAGCCTTTTGGTCGCTTCCCGACGTGGATGTGGCGCAACCGCGAAATGCAGGAGCTGGTCGAGTGGATGCGCAACCGCAACGCAAAGCTCCCACATGACCAGAAGGCCGGGTTCTACGGCCTCGACCTCTACAGCATGGGGGAGTCGATCCGCGCCGTGATCGACTACCTCGACCGCGTCGATCCTGCCGCAGGCAAGGACGCCCGGCGGCGATACGGCTGTTTGCAGCCGTGGGTGGACGATCCGGCCGCGTACGGGCTGGCGGCGCTGCACGGCATGCAAGACTGCGAGGCGAGCGTAGTGAAGATGCTGCGCGACCTCCTGGCCCAAACGACTTGAGTACGAGCAGGACCAGCACGATGGCGAGGAGTTCCACAGCACCGAGCAGAACGCCTACCTCGTCCGCGACGCCGAGCGCTACTACAAGGCTATGTACTACAGCTCTGCGTCATCGTGGACGCTACGCGATACACATATGGTCGACACGCTGCGACGGCTCGTGCGCTCCAAGCCGGGCAGTAAAGCGGTCGTCTGGGCGCACAACTCGCACTGTGGCGATGCGCGATACACGTCCATGGGCAGCCGCCGTAGGGAGGTGAACATCGGGCAGTTGTGTCGCGAGCAGTTCGGTCGTGAGAATGTGGCCTTAATAGGCTGCGGGACGGACACGGGGACCGTGGCTGCGGCGCACGAGTGGGACGATGATATGGAGGTTATGAACGTGCGGCCATCGCGCGCGGACAGCTGGGAGCGAGTGGCACACAACACGGGTATACCGCGGTTCGTGCTAGATTTGCGCCGTGACAATGTCAACCCCCAGCTAGCGAAGGCGATGACGGCAGAGAAGGACCGGTTGGAACGGTTTATCGGCGTGATCTATCGTCCGGAGACAGAGCGGTTATCTCACTATTCGCAGGCGGATCTGTTGAATCAGTTTGATGCGTATGTGTGGTTTGATCGTACGGAGGCTGTGAAGCCATTGGAGCGGATCCAGCCACATACGGCGCTGGGACTGGAAGAGACATATCCATTTGGACTGTAACTGTAGTATGGATAATGGATGTAATGAGGCAGTGGATTGGATAGGCTTTGGGCGTACCCAGGTAGGCAGATTGATGTGTACCAGAACAAATGATATGAGCAGTTGTTTATTTGGCTTTGCTTTCTGTAGGAGAGATTCAGAGACGAGACATCAAACTGTTTCACTCATCATCTAGTCTAGAGAGGTGGAAGAGAGGAGGGAGGCAAAGAAACGAAATGGCATGACGTCAACTCACCGCCCGGCACTATTTTGTTTACACTTTGCCCGATTGGGACGAGGCATTCCTCGCTTCAACTTCGACTTCATAATTTCTCCACCCCTTACTGTCGCTCCCACTTTCTCCCTTTCGTCATCATCTTCATCTCCATCATCCTTTATTAATCACCGTCGCCATTCCATCTATCGTCATCCCTCTCTTCCCGCCTTAATTCGACCTCCCATCCGCTGTCCACCATGCCGGTTCGGCGGTCTGCTCGCCTGCGTAGCCGCCAGGCCTCCTCCGAGGTAGGTACATCCTCTTCCATCGTGTTTACTGCTGCTCTCGTCGCGTCCACCCTTGCATGGACTGACCCTCGCTTCATCTCCTAGGAGCCGGAGCCTCCCACGGACCCTGTCAACAACAACAACAACAACAACAACAACAACACCACCACCAACACCAACCATAACAACACGCCCCACGAGAATAAAATCTCCCGCAACAACGCCCTTCCCACCGTCATGGAACGTGACGAGAATCCCGTCGTCGATGCGCCCCCAGCTCCCACACACAGTCCCTCCGCAGGAAAACCCGCTATCAAAACCCCCGTCAAGCCCACAGCTGCCCAGAAGAAATCTCCTGCGGTCAAAACCCCAACCAGCGCCATAACTCGCCCACCCCATCAAGAGATGCACCCCAGCAAAGTCCATCCGAGTACCACCAAACAGGTGGACTCGGGCCTCATTTTGGGCTTCAACCCGATTCCGAAAGATGCCGAGGGCAACGTGGTGAAGGATTCCCTCATCCAGAACACTCCGTCTAAGACCAAGGCTTCGCCTGCCTCCAACTACGGCACTCCCGGCTTTGAGTTCAAGTTCGCGTGTCATGAATCACAACTAAGTGACGAAGCCAAAAAGCTGATGGATAGCGTACGCGATGATGTCGCGAAGATCAAGGCCCAGATGGTTCAACAGAAGGGTGATAGTTCGTCACAGAAAGACCAGCTGCAACAGGCGCTGGAGCGCAAGATCGCGAAGCCTAAGGGCAAGACGGGCCGGTTCAGCGATGTTCACATGGCCGAGTTCAAGAAGTTGGACTCCATCGCGGGACATCCGTCAGCTTTCCGTGCTACTCCTGGTCGCTTCCAGCCAGTGCAGAAGACCCTCAAGCGGACCAACTCCAAGGCGCGTCTGGATGAACCTGACGGGCAGACTCCTACGAAATCTCCCGCTCGACCTGCCGCACCCACTCCGAATGCGGCCATTTTTAAACGCGCAAAGCAAGACCAGACTGATGATGCCTCGACCCGTCGTCCTGCCAATAGCCAGGATCGCACGCCGAAGCCGGTGCAGCGCTCTAGACCAGCTGCCCGCAGCTCCTTGATGACCCCAACTCGTGCGTCCGCGGCTCGTACTTCTTCGTTCAGCGTGAAGCCTCCTCGAACTTCTATGATTCCCTCTCTGACGCGATCGCCTGCTTCGAAGCCGTCGATCATCCCGCGTACACCCCAGACGGAATTCAACCCGCGTCTCAAGAGCAACATCCCGACGCTGGGCAATCTCAAATCTATCCTTCGCCGCCATCAACCTCTATTCTCGCGTGAACCTGCCAAGATTGCTGCCGGTACCCATCACGCTGCTCCCGACTTCAGTCCCAGTTCGCTGCTGCGCCCGACACGGGGTGCGTCGGAGGAGCCTGCTCAGACGCCATCGCCCAAGAAACATGTCGAATTTATTTCTGGCGCGGAGCCCAACATGGACGAAGTTCCGGTCTCTCCCTCTCCTTCCAAGATTCCAATGGCTCCCCGTCCCGTCTCCGATGTCGTGTATCCGACGCTCCCTACTTTGACTCCCGAAAGAAGAACACCGACCGTCCGAGCCGTGCGTCCTTCTGAACTACATACCAACGATGTTTCTCTTCCCGAAGTTCCCGGTGTCCCTCATGGCATCGGCAACAAGAAACGACACCGCGAAGCAGCTGAGAGTGCGGCAGATACAGAGAACGTGCCACCGACGGACCCTAGCACTGAACTGCGCAGTGCAAAGAGAGTGAAGCTCAATTCTCCGGCTCCTTCCAAGATAGTTCCCGGCCCCAGTCCTATCAAATCCCGAACTCCTGGGCGATCGATTTCTGGGGTTAACCGCGCGAGGACACCGGGAAGTGCGCGCAACCGAGGTGTGCTCAGTATGAGTCGGCTGAACATGCTGGCTCAGCCCAAGAATCGATCTTGAACTTCAGGACGGTTTGAACAAATCATGCATTTACGAGAGTTGGGTCGCACATAATGATTCTACAATATCCCTGGAGAGATGCGTTGCTTGCTCATTTTTCTCTACTTTTCCTTTTGCCAATCGTACATTACTTCGTCAGCAGTGTAATTATGATCCTTCAAATTCGCTTGGATGCATCTGGTATGCAGGTTCGGCGTTTTTCACCTGCACTGAAATGTGGTACTTCTCCTGATTAGATCAGTTGATCAATTCTGTTTGTGTAGTTGTTCGCTTGATACAATGTTCGGGTCAGGATGAAATTGAAGTTTGAATGAAATTATTCTGGTCTTGGATTAGGGTGTCTACTATGACTTGATGTCCAGAACGATTTAGATCGCCTCCACTGAAGCTAGTTTATAACAGAGTATGCCTTTGGTTGCTTCTACATCCACCAGGCCGTCTGATTGCTTTATGACTGCAATCCGACCTGTGCTCCAGGAGACCTCCCAGGACACCCACCCCATCCACGCTCCCGGTCGACATCCGCACCCTCCATCAAAGGATAGCCCTACCCAGCCTAACGAGGGTGAGGCACTGCCCCACCAGAACCGGAGCATGCCGACGCGTGCCAGACGGGGTGATATGGTACATGGTACGCAGTCGACGCGCATACTAGCGGACGACAGCTTGCCCCGAACAGTTCAATACGGACTCTGGTTCATGCGCCTCGCGACGTTGGTCCAGCGCGACACGCCTGCGCCCACAGCCAGCTGCCGGTCATAGATATGCCGCTCGTACGGCGGCGGTAGGTCGTCGTAGTTGGGGGAGAGAAGCTCGCTGTTGGCGAAGAAGGTGTCGTCCATGGAGCGGGCGTGCGTGAGGGTTGGCGGGGGGCCGTTTGATTGTGCGTATTGCGTGGGTGTCGTGTGCGTCGTGTGCGTGTAGGCGTTTGCCGGCGTGCGCAGACGAGGGAGGGACGGCCGCGCTGGCGGAGTGGTAGTGTAGCTATAGCTGTTGGTGTTGGGATTGGCGGTTGTTGGGGGCTCATCTGGAGCGGGAGCCACCACGACCCAGATCTTTTCGGCGTCGAGCCAGACCAGCTGGTGCGGCGAGGAAAAGCTGTGCGATTGTAGGCGGGTTGGGTGGCGGCGCTGCGATGGCGATGGCGCCGAGAGGGCTGTGTTGTGTGTAGATGGGGTTGCATGACTGCTTCTGGGGCGCGGCGAGGATGTAGATGTAGATGATGATGATGAAGGCGCCATATGCCCGACCCCTAGTCGGTTATTGAATGTTTCCATGGCAGGTCTGTGGCGTGGAGAGGCAAAAGCGTGGGTGGATGCCGGCCGCGGCGGCAGGCATGATACAGCCCTGTCCCAGTCCATCTCGTACTCGCCGTCGCTGTGACTGGGCGACAGGACGGAGGTGTCGAGCTGGATGTGCGGAAGCGGATCGACGCATGCTGAGGAGGATGGGGTGCGGATGGGAGGGCCTTCCAAGGAAGAGAGGTCCATTTCGACGGTGAAGCTGAACATGCAGACGGACAGCGACGGGGACTTGGGTGGGGTATATAGATCACGCCGTGGCCAACTCTCAGGTAATTAGATGACCCGGTGGCACGGGCGAGTACGAAGGCAAGGAGGAGAGGGCACCAAAAATAAGCCAAAATACGATGATTGACGGCCGGGTGGATCACACACGAGATGGCGAGAATCTGAACGCTGGTTGATCCGGTTGTATATGTTGTATAGAGGAAAGGGGAACAGCCGGCCGTGAGAAGGGGCTCTCCTTATAATGATGGAGTGACTTGGAGGCAGTGCTGTTTTTCTTTGACTGCGAGACAATGAACAGAAAGGCGTCCTCCGCAGCAACAACAAAGAGTATACAGTAGAACCAACAGCAGTTCTCTGCGCCGCCGCCGGGCCCAGTCGGAGTGGACTCAACCAGACTTTGGGTGCATCCTTCAGGTTGGCATCTCACGCATCTGGGGCGACAGGATCGCCTTGCGTCTGATGAGGTACGCCGTAAGAAGAGGGTCTGCCTGATCCTGATTGTGCGCAGGATCTTTAGGATGAAGTGGATGACTAGGTTGGGTCAGTTGGTGTTCCGCCATCTCGAAGACCGTCAGCGAACGCGGAGGATGTAGTGCCTGGGACAAAGAACACAGCTCCAGCAAGTCATCCATATTCCATCGAAAACCAGATAGTTAGTGTGGGAGGCAAATCTCGCAGAAAGACACCGCAGAGAGAAGGATCAGCTCTGATCGGGCGGTCCCAACAATGAATAATAATGGATCAACACCGCCTCGCTTCTTGGCGCAGGGTCCCGAGCAATGCCTCCTTCGGTAGTTGTTTGTTGTAGGGATTGTCGCCACCACGAGAATAATATGTTATGTATGATCGATGAGAGAATGCTACTGAAAGTCTAGTGGTATGGGGTCGGTGTGATCAGTTGATCAACACCAATATATCACCGCCCATCAGTGATATCAGAGTAAACATCAGATTACATATATGACGCAAACCAATATATTCCACACTCTCCTCATCTTGGCATGCAATTCCCCAGACCCGTTGTCGGTCAGCCATTGGATCCGTCTCGATAGGCTCAGGGGAATCAGAATGAACCAAAATGATGGGATGATCCCTAAATGCCGACTTCATCGACTTTACAGGGCTAGTACCCGCAGTAGCGATCGACATCCTACGATCAGACGGAATGACAATCATATAGGGAAGGATATAGATTATTGGAATGCATTCCAATCCAAAAGTCTAACTCGACTACCCTACTTGCTTCAGGAACTGACAGTATTATGGAAAGCGTTCATGGGTTACATTAAATCGTATCCAGCAACCAAATGCTTCTCATAACTCCGAAGCAATCCGGGAAGCCAAAGAAAGGCAAAATCAGAAGGATATATAAGAAGTAAAAAAAAAAAAGCGATAGTAAATCAAAGACGAAGAGGAATCATATTGCTGTCCCCAGTAAACCGCGACTAAATGACAACCCCCGACACCCTGCGACATGTACACGTCCCATCAGAACCGCCCGGGGACGGACCCAATGGTCGAGTGCATCGGGGCTACACTATACACAAGAAAGGAATTTAAGCCAAGAAGAGGGCGGCAGCGGCGGCAGCACCAGCGAAAGCGAAGGAGTTGCCGACGGAGCTGGCAGCACCGGTGAAGACGGGGCCAGGAGCGGAGGTGGAGGGACTATGTCCAAATTAGCGGATGCATTGACAAAAATGAAGATACAGATACTCACGTCGCGCTGGCGCTAGGAGCAGGGCCGCCAGTGGGGATGACGGGGACCGAGGTCTTGGGGGGCTTGGAGGTAGGAGTGTAGGTGATGGTCGAGTAGGTGACGGTGGGGACGCAGGTGGTGACGGGGATCACCGAGACGCTGGGGACAACGGGGGCGGGGTTGCTGGGAACCACGCTGGGAGCCACGGAGGGAACGCTGCTGCTGGGCACCTGAGGAGGGACGGAGGCAACGGGGGTGGTGGTAGGGACCACGGGGACAGCGGGAGTGCTGGTAGCCTCAACACCCTCGGGGGTGGAGGTGGCGCGGCCCGGGCAGTCGGTGACGGTAGGAGCGCAGGAGGTGATGGTCACGTCCTCGGTCGAGTAAACGGTCTCGACGTCACCGCCGGGGAGGGCAACAGCGAGGGTGGCGAAGAGAGCAACGGTGGCAGCGGTGAAACGCATTGTGACTGATTGATTGGATTTTTGGGTGAAAAGATTTCACGAAATAACCGTCAAGGTATAGGTAGAGGGTGGTGGTAAAGAGAGTGTGGGTAGTTGGGTTGATAAAAGAATGACTGACCGAAGTCGGAAGCGATTGATGCGTCGAGCAGGAACGAAGTCTGGGCTTGGAAGAAGAAAAGGAAGAAGAGAAGGTGAGGGAGCAGACGGGGGGAACTGGAGCCTTTGTATGGGCCGGGAGATTAACCTGGAGATCGTCTCAGGAACGGGAAAAGGGGAGAGTAGTAACTAAGCGGTGACCCCGAGCGATTGCACGCCCGTCAACTGGGGCCTCGTGGGATGGCGTGGACGCTGACTTGGTCGACTTGGTTGGCGGAGGAGAAGAATGCGAGGATGCCGCTAGCGAGACTAGCGTGCTGGGTTCGTCGTCTATGCTTTCCTGGTGGGAAGACAAGTGGACAACCATGCTGATCCTCTTCTGGAGTCGGTGATGCTTCTGTTGTTGGTATGGTCTTGTCCTGTCTTGGGCATCAGTGGGTTCCGATCTTGACCGACAACTCGATACTTCGGTGTGTACCATCCAAATACTCTGTATCTATCTATCCTCTAGAGACTCGAGACTCGACGTGACTGCATACTCCCTCTGTACTAGGTAGACGGATAAACAAGCACTCGTCCCCATCGGGTTTAACTCAGGGGAACTCATCATCGCCGAGGCGTCCATGCATCCACAGACGTTGAACAGCCAGTCAGACAACGTTTCAGGTTAGGGGTCTTGGCCATTCACCGTCAAGGCTTCCATCCCGCTGTGGGGGCCCCCTCCTCCAATCCATGGACACTCAGTGGGGATGCATCCAGATCCACTTCCCCCTGTTTCTCTCCCCTATTAATTCTTTTATTATTATTATATTATTACTATTGATCATTCGCGGTGATTGATCATCCCCTGCAATGATGGTTCAATCCATTTGTTGGAATGATATGAGTGGACGAGGGCTAAGGCCGGGTATTATTAGAAACACCGTTGAACAGGTGCAAGGGGATTTTTTTTAGAGAAAAATATTCCGTAGAATAAGACTAATAAAAACTACTCTGTATAGTACACTGTCCTCCAAGCTAACTCGGTTGAATCCCTAGCTTAGTATCATCAAGTATGTAGTATGTCCCCGCACGCGTGCCGACCTCCTAATAACATGCCTGTACACACATCCTGAGCATGGACGAGACCCCGACGCACCATGTACGGCGTGTAAAACCCGCAGCCCCGTTCTACCTCCCCCTGACTCCATGTCAGGATCGCGACGCTGCTTCTTGTTTACCCGTCGAGATCTACCCGCCACCCCTGTTCGCATGGTCTAGAAACACTACGGATGTCCAGCTGTTAAATCCGCCCGAAGAAGCACGCTTGGCTCGCCTCGCTTGTCTCAGCCCACTGTCTCCTTGGTCTCACCTGCGCTGCTCTTATCGGTCCCCTAAATTGCTTGTTATCAAAGCTTACTCAGGAGACGCGTGACCAACAACAGACCTACACGCTTTCCATGTCCAGAGTAGACGCCCTGTCTGGATGTACTGTATTCCGATTGCGAGGCATCTAAGGTAGTGAGTCTGTAAAAGCTTCGGCTCGGCAAGAGAATCTAGCTGACCTGGAATCAGTAGTAGATTCAGCACCAATCAGTCTGGGAGAATCAGGAGTTGTCAAAACATTCCTTGTTAGATGCTCCGGCAAGTCCAGACCAGAGCCACAAATCCATCCAGATCTAGGTATGGTAAATCATCGAACTATTGAAGCCTGATGTTTCTAAAGAAAACATCAACTCGTCCCTGAATCAAAGTTAGTTCTCTTTGCTGTTCAGCTAATCCACCGTGGTTCCAGCTGTCGGGGTAATTCCTCCCGTTCATCAGGGGATCTGCTCTCTCGTCTGGTAGCCTTCCATAGTGGACACCACTTCAGGGGTAGAACAGTTTCTTAGTTCTAGACTAGTTAGGCATTTGATAGTCTCCAAGTCTTGATAGTTTATCTCGACTGAGAGTCGAGAACATATCCCTATTCCTGTGGTAGACGGCCGTTCCAGCCGACTGAATAGGCACCTGCTATGGAGTATATGGATACACCAGGAGTCCAACCAGGCTAACCACGCCCGGTAATTGAGGCGAGATCCACCGATCAACAGGGGAGGGTACTTGGGGCATCCATCCGCGGCACGCTACTCCGTACGATTACGATTGACGCCGCTCAATTCAGGGACCGCGCAAAATTGAGGGGACAGGGGAAGGGAACAAAAGTAATAAAATCAATCGGTCCAAGTGTCAACCATGGCAGACTCCAAAGTTACCCCGGGTTTTTCTCACTGTGCAATCCCCTGTCAAGATTTACCTTGGATCAATCGTGCACGCTAGTTTTTCTGGTTCCTGGTTCCTTGGAAAGCATGAGCCAACGACACGGCCTACCTGCAAGCGAAGGCATGGCATGACTTCAGCTTGCTCGTCGGGTTGCGTCTTTTTCATTCACCATTCCTATCAACGCAACAACTTGGACGATCTGGTGGGGACTGTGTCCAAGCGAGGATCGGCCATCACTGCACCTCGACCGAGGAACACAGAGTACGGAAGATGGCCTCAAGTACCGAGTACGGAGTACTTATTTTGGTCTTCCCCTGGATGTCTTCCGCTTGATGGTGACCAAGTATTGTAGCATCTATGAGCGCGCCCTGATCATCCAGCTTGAACAGTATGATACTTACCTATTCGAGACATCTGCACGGCCCCAGTTCAGCTTGTCAGGGTTCGGGTTTCACCTGTCTCTCTACCACCGGATGAACCATTCTCGAATTGACAAAGCGCCCTGGATGTCAAAGGCCCTTGACGCTGAGACAAGAGTTTCTTTAGATCGTTCGTTGTCCTCGGCACGCGGCCGGAGGTATGGCGGTGCACCTATGTAGAGAAGCCCTATTTTTACTTCCAGGTGGGTCGTTGTCCACTCAGGAGGGTGAAAACCCTACCTATCCGGTCATTCAGATAATATATCATGTAAGAGAATTATACTTACTACCTCGACAGAGCGAGTGGGGTGGAACATTGATGTCAGATCCTTTTTAGGTGGATGTGTTGGCAGTTTCTGCCCCTGTGATGTTGAATTCTACCTACGCAGTAGTGTTGGCGAGGAAGCGAGAATGGGTTGCTCACAAGGCTGAAGCATTTCCAAGCACGTGCCACTGACAGCGGGGCACCAAGAGCCCAAGAATGCTGACGCGTCGAGATCTGGCTTAGCAGTGATCCGGTAGGGTGGTGTAATTTCCTGGGACTGCCGAGGACAGCGAGGGAATTGCGCGGGTTGAATCTTGACGCCATGTTGGTCGGGTAGGACCGCTGTAGACCGGGGCCGATTTCCTCTTCCTACGTCAGGACCACGCAGTGGAGACGAGTTCCGAGCGAAATCCTCATTACTATTATTATTATTCTCGAAGAATGGCTCAAACTCTCCGATGGACTTGACACTGTTCAGATGCCTCATTGCCGTCATGGGTAACTAATTGAACGCAGGGAGCCGAGTGGGGGATGATGTAAAACACCGCTAACGGTGTGGCAGAGAACAGCCACAATTGAGTGGGTATGATCTGGAGGACATCGAGCTAAGTGTCAGGTCGTGATGGGCAGTGATTCGGTAGAGGTATATGTAGGAGTATCGTTCTGGTTATTATTAGTATTCTCGTGGATGATGCAATTTCCTGTTGAAACGATCAAGTAGGTTGGTAGGATAGAAGAGTTTTCATGGATGCCTGGCCGTGCCTGAATCTTCGGGCTGCAGTGGGAAGTATCTTTTTTCTGGGAAATCTGTCAACAGACGGGGGATATTTGTACGGAGTATGAACATAACTAGTTATGTACTTAGTACTCCATAGGTATGCGACGGCAGAGTACTCCGTAGATCCGGCCCAGGATGACGAACAAGATTCTCGTGCATCAGCTGGAGAGGCGGCCTGGTGTCTGTATCAGAGCGACAATCGATTGTCTCGGCGCCTTTTGAAACCGCACGGATCCACCTCAACATCAAGAAGAATCACCTCAAGCATAACTAGCCACCAGACATCCGCTGGGCTATGTCAAGAGAAGCGCACCGGATGTCCGGCTTTGTATAATAATTCCACGTTATCTCTTCTTGTTCCCTACCCTTTTTTTCTGCTGTCAACACCAAGATTGAGGATTGATCGATCCACATCCAGCCCATCCATCCCGACCGTCATCCTCCTCCACTTTTCCCTCTCCTCCTCCTCTTCCTCTTCCTCTCCTCTCTCTCTCCCCCTCTTCTTCTCCCTCCTCTTCTCCTTCAAACTCCCAACACTCGCTTATTCCCTTGTTTGACGTCTTTCTTCCCTCGGGAGATTTACTCTCCTCCACTCTCTTGGGAGTTCTGGGTTGATCATCCTCTTCCTTCTCCAAAAACCCCCTCCCTCCCCTCCTCTTCCCTGCCGCGTGTGCTGCAACTTCAGCCCCACGGCCATCTTTGTTGTCGATTTCCTCTCGCTTGCTCACGACCTTTGTCCCTCTTTACCCATACTCGTGCTCTCCTCCTCCCTTGTTCGCCTTGTCTCCCTGATCCGAACCTTTTCTCCCTCCTCTTTTCAAAGTGTCGACCTCCAACGCCGCCGATCTGGCTACCTTGGCTGACCCCAACGAGTTGTTTTTGCCTGGTGAGAGGCAAAACAATCTCGCCATGTCATCCTCCCCCGTGCCCCTCTTGAAACCGCCCGTTCCTGGCAATCGCAACAATGCCAACGGCCCGAGACCTCCCAAACTCACCTTGGGTATCCCTCCGTCGCCCAACGCTCGCCCCGTCACCGGTAATGGCGTTCCTGCACCCGCACCCGCCCCTGTCCCCGCCGCCGACGGTCCTCAGCGTCCCGCCAACCGCCCGGCGCCTCCTCAGCTGCGACTCGCGACCCCCATGGGGAGCAGCCAACAGATCTCCCAGGTCAATGGTCGCCCCGCGCCCCCGCCCCTAGCGACCAAGGGCCTGAACGACGCCCAGAATCACTCGCGATCCGGCAGTTTCACCCTTGACAAAGGGAGTGGCCCGGCGTCGGCCTCGTCTTCCAACTACTCCGCTCTCTCCTTCGCGATGAATCTGCGACAGCCGCATGGAGGGACCCCAGATCCATCGTCGGCGATCAGCTCGGTGTACTCCGACCGGGAGGCGGGTGTCCCCATGGAGCGGGAGAACAGCGTCAACGCGCTGATCCCCGACTTGGATAAGTTGAGTTTGGAGAAGGGCAGGCCCCTGGACGTGGATGACCTCGACGACGAAGGCTGGCTCGCTGCCAGCGAACAGAAGAAGATCGTGGAGTTGGGGAGTTTAGGGGAGGGCGCGGGCGGTGCCGTGACGCGGTGTAAACTCAAGGAGGGAACAACGGTTTTTGCGCTCAAGGTATGTAGTGGTTATGTGATGTGTTGTAGGCGTTGTTCGAAGCTGACGTCTATTGCAGATCATCACGACCGACCCCAATCCCGATGTGAAGAAACAAATCGTTCGCGAACTCAACTTTAACAAAGACTGTGCGTCGGAACACATCTGTCGTTACTACGGAGCGTTCATGGATAAGTCGACCGGTACCATTTCAATTGCGATGGAGTTCTGTGAGGGTGGTAGTTTGGACAGCATCTATAAAGAAGTCAAGAAGCTCGGGGGCCGAACAGGAGAAAAGGTCCTGGGCAAGGTCGCGGAAGGCGTCTTGAACGGCCTGACCTACCTCCACAGTAGAAAGATCATCCACCGAGGTATGCGCCCATCGGCCACGATCATCCGTGTGGTCCATCAAGCTGACCAGGTTAGACATCAAACCATCGAACATTCTTTTATGCCGCAACGGACAAGTCAAGCTTTGCGATTTCGGAGTCAGTGGCGAGTTCGGCACCAAGGGTGATGCCAACACCTTCATCGGCACCTCATACTATATGGCCCCTGAGCGTATCACGGGACAATCCTACACCATCACGTCCGATGTCTGGTCCCTTGGAGTGACCTTGCTGGAGGTCGCGCAGCATCGATTCCCCTTCCCCGCCGACGGAACTGAAATGCAACCACGCGCCGGCCTGATAGATCTTCTCACTTACATTGTTCGCCAACCGATCCCCAAGCTCAAAGACGAGGTGGAGAACGGTATTCGCTGGTCCGATAATTTCAAATACTTTATTGAATGCTGGTATGTCTCTTCGGGAGATCCGCTGCGCATGATCCCTTGTACTGACGGCCACAGCCTTGAAAAAGAACCTCCCCGAAGAGCAACTCCCTGGCGGATGCTGGAACATCCATGGATGCTGGACATGAAAAACAAGAAAGTGAACATGGCAAACTTCGTGAAGCAGGTGTGGGGCTGGGACGACTAACCCCTGGTTCTTTCGACTGAACTGAACCCACCATCTGATCTTTCGCCCGTGCACGTTCCTCGACTAATGCATCGCATATTTACGGTCTCTCCTTACACGCTTTACAAGTGGCTGGCCCTTGGTTGACCAGGATGTCAAAAGCATACGAATCTGATCATGACGACACTCATTCTTCATCGCAACGTCTATCCTTACGGAGTCAGGATTCCGCCCATTTTTCGTTCCCTCATCATGATCACGTCTTTGAACTGTTTAGTTTTGCCGCCCACCCAGCACTGTCCTGCCTGCATTTTTCTGTTGCCGCATTTCGGTTAAGCCACGGCCAGCGGTGCTGACGCCCGTCTTTGTTTCATCTTGTCCCACGGACCAACGGCGATATTGTTTGGTATCTTGGTGTCCCTACTGTTTCATATCAACTGCGCATCACATTCTGTTCGTTCTTGATCCAAATGGCAGTAGTGTATAGGCATGTCGGAGATAGCATAATTGTGAATGGAGTGATTGTACATCCGGAATTTTCAGAGCTAAGCGCAGTATACTCCGTATGGTTACATTGATTGTATGACATCGATGGGCTAGAAACTGGGCACGCGAGCTCGATGGGACCAACTGTTTGGTTTGAGAACAGTTAGTTTGTTCGAATTTTGGGGGGATACTGTGACAGTCTGCATGCAATGCATCATTGTGGGCAATCATCACCACCTGAATGGATTCATTCATTGGATGGTGAGGCATATCAACCGCCAGACAGATGGAATGATCGATGGGATTCGATGGCTGCCGACTAAGCCCTCTCAGCATACCAGCCTCCGCGATTTTGTGAGTGGAGGAGGGGAGGGGGGAGTGGGAAGAGGAAAAAGAAAACAGAGGACAGGTGTGCTGGACGGATTTCTCTCATATATGGATCTCACCGACATCTGAAGGACTTTTTTCCATACTCCTACCTACTACTTCCTCCTATCTACACAGCATCTAGTATGAGGTGTGATTATTGCGGATAAGTTCCAAACTCTGATTGTTCCACCGCCTTCGCTGCAGTTCGATTGTTCTGGGGCCAATCAGCCGCCCGCGCGGGCTCAGTCAGCAAAAAATCATGGTTCTTCCTCATCTCTTCTTCGCCCGTCACAAATCCAGCAAGAAGAATAAACCCTCCATCTCGGAAGACCAGCGTCCTCCCTCCCCGTCTTCTCCGTCTCCGGCCTTACCTGTGCGCGGAGATTCTTCTTCCAAGACTCCCTCTACTCCTCCACCCTCATCCTCTCGCCTCTCCTCCAGTACTACCTCCAGGACTGCTACTACTACTACTACCTCTTCGCCAACTTCCTCGACCCCTCCACCCACCTCGTCTCAGTCTCCCCGTCGTCCGACCCATACGCGGTCGTCGTCCACTCCTTCAAAACCCGCCAAACCTTCCAAGTCGAAATCCTCACCTCACCCGTTCTCGGCGAATTCGAAATCGAGAGCCAGTCTCTCGTCCTCCCGCTCCTCTCGGTACTCACACGACCCTGACTCCCACCCGCTTAACCTCCCTCCCGACGAACTTCGCCGCTTATCCGCCATGGCTGCCGCTGCTGATCGGAGTTCCATGGACATTGATCCGAAGGATCCTCGCCTGTCCACGCCGAACGGCGTTAACGGCACCGACGGCGGGAGAAGCCCTACCCCGCCTCCTCATCGCTCGAATGGGAACACCGCCGAGGCCGATACGTTCAAGCTGGCGGGAAATAAATTCTTCAAGGATGGGAACTATACCCGCGCCATTGAAGAGTTCAACAAGGGTGCGTTTAGCCTGGGCCACTCCTTCACCGTGTAGAATCCTCACTAATGGCGGGTCAGCTATCGAAATTAACCCCAACTCCTCCGTCTACCTGTCCAATCGGGCCGCGGCTTACATGTCCGCTAACCAGTACCTCAACGCTTTGGAAGATTGTGAGCGGGCCTATGAGCTCGACCCATCGAACGCTAAAATCATGTACCGTCTGGCTCGTATCCTGACTAGTCTCGGCCGCCCGGCTGAGGCGCTTGACGTCCTTGACCGCATTGAGCCTCCCGCCTCCGCGACGGACCGCGCCCCTGCCGAGAAGATGCTCAAGTTCGTAACCCAGGCGGAGGAGACCCTGTCTGGGGACCGGGGTGTGTCGATGGTCCTCTTCTGTCTTGAACAGGCCCGTCAGCTTCTCGGCCGGAACGTCAAGGAGCCGCGCAAATGGACCCTGCTGGCCGCCGAGGCCCAGTTGAAGATGGCCAACGAGAACTCCCTCCGCAAAGCCCAGGACATTGCCGTCAACATGCTCCGCGAGAACAACCAGGATCCCGATGCGCTGATGATCCGCGCCCGTGCGCTGTACGGATTGGGCGAGTCCGACCAGGCGGTGAAGGCGCTCAAGATGTGCCTGGGCTTGGACCCGGACATGAAGCCCGCCATCAAGCTGCTGCGTACCGTCCAGAAGCTGACTCGCACCAAGGAGGAGGGTAACGCCGCTTTCAAGGCCAAGGACTACCGCAAGGCCATTGAGCTTTACGGAGAAGCCCTTGCGGTTGACCCGAACAACAAGGACATGAACTCGAAGATCCTGCAGAACCGTGCTCAGGCATACATCAACCTGAAGGAATATGACAACGCCGTGAACGACTGCACAGAGGCCCTGCGGCTGGACCCCTCGTACACCAAGGCTCAGAAGATGCGTGCCAAGGCCCACGGCGGCGCCGGCAACTGGGAGGAGGCGGTTCGCGACTACAAGGCTGTGGCAGAGGCCAATCCTACCGAGAGTAACATCCAGGAAGACATCAGGAAGGCCGAGTTCGAGCTGAAGAAAGCCCAGCGGAAAGATTACTACAAGATTCTCGGCGTGGATAAAGACGCCTCCGAACAAGACATCAAAAAGGCGTACCGCAAGATGGCTATCAAGTACCATCCGGACAAGAACCAGGATGGTGAAGCTGGCGATGAGAAGTTTAAGGAGATTGGTGAAGCCTACGAGACCCTGAGCGACCCTCAGTAAGTAGTTCCCGGACCCAGCTTGATTGATATGCTCTAACGATGACTAGAAAACGTGCTGCGTACGATAACGGCGATGACCTCATCGACCCTGCCGAAATGTTCTCCCGAGGCGGCTTTGGGGGCATGGGCGGCGGCATGGGAGGCTTCGGTGGTATGGGTGGTATGGGTGGTATGGGTGGTATGGGTGGTGGCATGGGCGGCACCCATATTAACATCGACCCCAACATCCTTTTCAACATGATGAACGGTGGTGGTGGCGGCGGTTTCGCTTCCGCCGGTGGCCACCCCTTCGGAGGCGCTCAGGGCCGAGGTGGATTCCCTGGCGGGTTCCAATTCTAATCTACCGCTCATGATGCCTATTAATAGCCAAGTCTCGGTGCATAATTCCGCGAGGTCGACAGGGAAAACAGGACACCCGGCTTAAAACACGCCTTGCTGCTCGCATTTCTTGTGGAGCCTTCATTATTTGATTCCCCGGGTGCATTGCGTCGTTTCATTTGAGATTGAGCTGATGCGATAGACTTTGGTGTATTTTTCTATTTCTTGAGTTCCCAGCCTGGATAGATGGGACATGTTTTACTGTGGATTTTGCTGTGGTGAACACAAATTTCGTCATCGGCGTTATATACTCATGGGGTCATGCTTTATGCTTTGATGTTTTGTCTGCTGGGATACCACGGCCTGTCTTGCTGGGTATTAACGAATGAACAAGTTATGATGACCGAGTTATTCTCCGTAGTTGGCTGGCATATAGTAAGTTTTGGTGCCTGATCAATGGATATGTACAGCCTGAGGCCACAATTTTACATAAAGATCGTCCTTGTTGCCTGACTAACCGAATCCGGAAAAACCAAAACAAACAAGTTGATTGTGATGCATCCAAAGTTCATGATCTTTTCAAGAGACTACAGTACCAACTACAGACATCTCTCAATATCAGACGAACAGACCATGAAGAAATGACCGTAAAGTTAAGCTTGACACGGTCCATTGTTTCATAACTTACTATCGCATAGACTCAACCAGGAATGTGAGAGGGTCAATTAAAGGACCACCATGGATCAGTGCCCTCAACATTCCTGAAACTGATCTAGAACGTTTAGATAATGAAGGATTTGCTGCAGTAACTGGTTCAATTCTGGATGATTCTGTACGAAGCGTCGGAGCATACAATCGAATGCGAGAGTACCTTGTACTACGGAGTATACCACCAGCACTACAACACTGTAAACAAACAAACGATATTTCAGTAAGCGTTGGTTTCACCGCAACACAAAAGCAATTGCTTTTCTATTGACCAGCATGCTCTGTATACTCCTATGCGGGCGGTGCAGTGGGCGAAAACCAAATTGGTTCCTCGACTGCAGCCGCCGGCGTGACTTGGTGAAGTGCTGATCTGTTTGCCGCCGTCTGACTTCTTCCTTCTTACTTCTTACATCCCCGCCTGCTACTGACTTCTCTCCTCTATCATCATTCCATCCCATTCTTTACTCATTCTTATCCGTGCATATTGCGCATTGTTCATTATATTTTTATTTACAGAACTACCAGTGAGTCTCCGTAGCCTGCATACGGAACTTCATGCTAACAGTGCCACCGAGGACGCATCAGGCCTGACTCTTGCAATGCTACTATGAAGATGACCACATCCTCGTCGCATTCATAACCGACAGCATCACCACTCAGACCAAAAAAAATACTCCAAATACTCCCACCCTCGACTCCCCACTGAAACCGCCCAGAACCCACCACAATGGACGGCCCTCCGCCGCCGCCCCCTCCCCACGGGGAGAAACCCAACACCACCCACGGCGAATACCGAAAATCCTCCGACCTCCCGCCCGGCAATTATGACATCTTCATCATCCCGCCGCACTCCTCCGGCTCGGGCTTCCTCTACCTGCCCTCCCTCCAATGCCAGCGCAACAGCTTCATCGCCGGCTCCGTGTCGACCCTCGTCGTCGTGCTGCTCTGGGTGACCCTCTCGCCCATCGTCAAGGCCTGGTACGTCGCCACCGTCGCCAGCGGCGGCGGCGCCTTCATCGCCCTCATCCTCGCCCTGGGCGTCGGGCTCGCCGGGTGGGCCTTTGGCACGGCCCAGGCGGGGAAGACGCAGGGCCCACGCGGCGGCGATGCCGGCCCGGGGCCGGGACCGGGGCCAGGGGCAAGCCAGCAGTCTTCCTCTGGTCCGCGGGCGGACTACAACGCGCGCGGGCAGGGCTATGCGGGCGCGGGTGCCGGGCCCCAGGGAGCGTATGCCGGTGGTGGAGGTGGGGGTGGTGCAGGTGGTGGTGGACCTCAGTACGGGGGCCATCAGTATAGTGCTGGTGAGAGTGGACCGCCGCCAAACGAGCAGCCGAAGACATCTTCTGAAAGTAAACAGGAAAGTAAGCCGCAGAGCGGAGCGGACTGGGAGAAGGCGCGGGAGGAGACGAGGCGGAAGGAGGAGCTGCGGCGGAAGATGGAGGAGTTCAAGCGGAAGCGCGAGGCAGAGGCGCGCGAGAAACAGCGCCAGCGGGAGCGCGAGGCGATGGAGAGGGAGCTGCGCGAGCGCAGGGAGCAGTTTGAGCGGGAGATGGCGGCCGCCAAGGAGGCGGCTGCGAAGGAGGCGCGGGAACGCGCCGAGCGAGAGGCGGCCGAGGTCAGGGCCAAAGCGGAACGGGAAGCGGCCGAGGTCCGCGAGAGGGAGGCAAAGGCTGCTGCTGAGGCTAGAGCGAAGGCGGAACGAGAGGCGGCGGAGGCGCGCGCGCGGGCGGAGCGCGAGGAGGCGGAAGCCCGGGCAAGGGCGGAGGAAGCGAGGCTTCGAGCGGAGCGGGACGCTGCGGATGCCAAAGCCAGAGCTGAGAAGGAGGCGGCGGAGAAAGAAGCCGCTGCAAAGGCTGCCGCGAAGAAGGAGGCGGACGCCAAGTTCGCTGCGCTTAAAGAAGCCGCTGCGAAGAAGTATGCGGAAAAAAAGGCCCGCGACGCCCAGGAGGCGGCGGCCAAAGAAGCGGCGGAGAAGAAGGAGGCTGCTGCGAAAGAGGCCTCTGCAAAAGCCTCCAGTCAGAAATCGTCGGCGACAACGTCCAACGTGCCACGAACGCCATCGCCGAAGAAGCCCCCTTCTCGACCTGCTGCCAGCGAGGCAGACGATGCGTATTCGTTTCGTCCCTATGACCGGCCGCGACGACCGTACGCCGGAACCTCGGGGTCACCATCCGTCTACTCGGAATCGTCATATGCCCCGTCTCAGTCGACGGCACGCACCACGCCTCCGCCATCCACCAGAGGACGACGGTATGAGACTAAGGATCCGGATAAGATCGTCATCCGCGGGGTGTATCAGTTCAATAATGCATTTCTCAAGACTCCGGTTGCACAGTTGGTGTCTGGCCAGGGCATGGTGACGGATGGACTGGTGCTACGCATCACAACGGAGGGGTTATTCATTGACGATGACGTGCGTGGCGTCCCTCAGCGCGAGTGGGACGTGAAGGCATGGACTATGAAGCTCGTCGAGGTGTGGTGTCCCCAGTACGGTGCACAGAAGCAGCCCCCCAAGGCCAACACTTCCTTCTTCCGTCGCGGGACGGGCGAACCTACGCCGGAGGAGAGCGATGCATACCTGCTCAACTACCTCAAAGTCTGCAAGAACAAGTGCCGATTAGCCTCGCCGGATAACTACGATCCTCAAAGCCTTCATGTGCTACGGGCTACGATCCGAGATCAGGAGGGCCGACGGTACGTCTTTGTCCTGCAGGAGACCGAAGGATGGAAAGTCGGCATCGGGCTGCAGCGGCTGCGCAGAGGGACACAGGTGCGCGCACTGGGCGTCACGAATATGCCGGTCAATGAATACCGATCAACGCTTGGGAATCTCGGTTATGTGTGATGTTGGGCTTGTGCAATGGCCTCCATGTTTACCATTCGCGTGATCTTCTAGAGGATTGCATGGGATAGCGAGGAGTTTCGAGTTCACCTTGCATCGTATCCTTCTGCTACACGTTCGTTTGCCAGAGATTCCCCCTGTTGTTTCTGTTTATCATGATTTACGATTGTTCTTATGTTTATTCATATGCCATCTGTTGTACATAATGTCATTGTTATCGTCATATAATTCTCAGTTCATCTGAATGGTCGTGCTTGTTCAAGGCGAGCTTGTGTCAAGTGTCCATGCTGCCATCGCCTTCGATGCAATATATCGGAGCTAGGCAAGCAGTCTCGTCACACCGACAACTTCTCATAGCTATTGGATTCTAAGTCTCGATAATCTGTAGATCTCGCCTCTTCGATTGCTTGTGCTCGGTAAGGGGCGAGGTTACTGTCTAAATAGACATCATGTAACGAGTCAAAATAAGACACTGGAACGTTGCAGATAGAAATAAAGCATTTCGACCATGGAATCAACCAGGTTCGCGCCCAGAGCAAGTCAGCCATTTTTATGTAGTTCTGCGCTTCAGGTATTTCCAGGCACTGTTCTGTTGGAAGACGCAAGAGCTCTTGAGAAGTGGTCCCTTGCTGGAATGCGTGGTTGGCAAGTTCAGCTGTAGTTACATGGTTTATCCCGCGGATATGATGTCTCAGATCGGCTGACCATATTCAAGCTTCAGCGGGTCTCCAATTCAATTCATTAACAAAACAGACTCCCGGGAGACGTCTGTAGATCTGCTTGCCGACATTAAGATCGAACATCCGTTCTCTTTATACCATAGCCTCTAGCAAAAAGGAACATGACTGAATGGATAACAATAATGAGATCTTAGATCGGCCTGCTTGGCATGACATGCGATGAACTACTTTCGTCTAGAGCCATTGACATACCTCCTACGAGTTGGAATGAAATTCTCTCCTGTACTCTGTACGGCTGAGGTCCCTGGGTACTCAGTGTGGTTTCCCTTGCAGGTAGATCTCATCCACATCGCCATACGGAGTAGTTGAGCAACCGTCCCTTGTAGATCACGGTACATCGCCTGCAACACTCGGCAATCGGATGTCGATCTTCTGAGCTCTACCATCGTTATGGTTATTATGTGGATGCCGATGCAGGCAGAATCGATCGCCTTGAGAGGCAAGAGTACATCCCCAGCGTCCGGCGAAAGTAACCAAAATAGATTGCGTTCATCCAGGATGACTTGAGCTATAAAAAGCTGTCTGTCTCTCCTGGGAATCATCATCTCTCATCATCCTCTACCTACCTACTTTCAGAGTACATCAACCTACCTCAGCCAAGTAAGTTCTCGAATCAGGGCGCATCTCAATAGATACCAACCCTTCCAGAATGCAGTTCAAGTCCATCCTCCTCCTAGCCGCATCCGCCACCCTCGCCGTGGCCAAGTACGACGTCGGCAACTGCGGAAGTAGCAACCAGGACGGTGTGAACCTCGGGGTGGGCGACTCAGAGACCCAGACGGCCTGTGAGAAAGCCGGCGGCGAGTACTGCAGCGCGGTGTACAACCGCTGCGTCATCGAGACGACCAAGTGGGACGCCTTCGAGAAGGAGTGCGAGGACCAGAAGGCCTACAAGGACAAGAGTGACATTGAGGATAAGGATCAGGCGAAGCGCGACGGATTGTGTGGTGAGTTTGGGACTGGGAGTATGCCCGCTGGCATCCATTTTGGAGAACCTCAGTAGGGTGATGTACATACGGAGGTACTGAGCTCGAATTCATCTGTTTTTGACTCGGGAGGTATGTTTGTTTGGGGTATGGGATGGGCCATATTTATGCGTAGTATCTGGTGTGTCGGAGTGGTGATTGGTCTGCTGCTTCTTCCGTATGGTGTTCCATCTATTGCTGTAAACGTGTGGTTTCTTCTGATGTCACCTCCAGAACGGGTTGTATCTATCGAGATATGATCATACCTGCAGTTGTGTTGGAGTCATGTGAAATAATCCACACAAATATGCCGTATAGACTGGGTCATACTCTCTGACCCCGTGACCGGCATGGACGTGCCTGATGATCACCACACTGACGACATAAGATAGAATGCTCATCTCCTTATCTCTGCAATGATCTCTTCCAAGTTGCAGTATATTCAAGCATATTCGACTACGGTGGTGATGCTTGTGCAGGGCATAGATGACTCAGCACCGGGGAATGGTCACTAGTTACGGAGTAACCAGCCGGGGCCAACCACTCAACCGGATTTCTACCTAAGGGGAGTCGGTCTCTTCAGTGTCATCGCTGCTGCTGGTCAGTGGAGGCTCTTGTGTCTCCTCTTCTCCAACCTCACCTCACCTCCCCTCTCTTCTCTTCTTCTCTCCTTGTCGGTCCTTCTCTCCTCCCACCGTCTCCTCTCCCAGATCCCCCTTTTCCCCTCCAATCCATCTCCTTATCGGGGGCTCCTCTCAGGTACCGCCCCCACCGCCAACTGTCCTCTCTAGGTCGACGTCCTCTCCACGACCTCCTTACACGCTCATTCCCCTCTTACGCCTCTCTATGCAGCGACTGTAACCCTCCTACAATCGTCAATTTCCACCCCGCCCCCTTCGCGGGACTCCTCCGTCCTCCATGTCCTCCTACCAGAACCCCCAGGCCTATCAGAGCCACCCTGCGTCTCATCGGCCGATCCCCTCGTACAACCCCGTCGCCGCGATGGCCGCTCCTGCAGGCACCTTTCTGCCGGGCACGAAGGTCCAGGTGGGCAACCATCGGGTGGTGGTGGAGAAATACCTGTCCGAGGGCGGCTTCGCCCACGTTTACGTCGTGCGCCTCCCGCAGCCCATCGACGGCACTGAACGTGCTGTGCTGAAGCGGGTGGCTGTCCCCGACAAGGCCGCCCTCGCCAACATGCGCACAGAGGTCGAGACCATGAAGAAGCTAAAAGGCCACCGCCACATTGTCAAGTATATCGATTCGCATGCCTCCCAGCTTCGCGGCGGCGGGTTCGAGGTCTTCCTCCTGATGGAGTTCTGCTCGGGTGGAGGCTTGATCGACTTCATGAACACCCGTCTCCAGAACCGCCTGACCGAGCCCGAGATCCTGAAGATCTTCTCCGATGTCGCTGAGGGTGTGGCCTGCATGCATTATCTCAAACCCCCCTTGTTGCACCGCGACCTGAAGGTCGAGAACGTCCTGATCTCGCGAAACGGGAATACCCCATGCTACAAGCTGTGTGATTTTGGCTCCACCGCGCCTCCGCGTCCCGCCGCCACCTCCGCCGCCGAAGGCCGCTTGATTGAGGATGATGTCCAGAGACACACGACGCTCCAGTACCGCAGCCCCGAAATGATCGACGTCTACCGGAAGCAGCCAATTGACGAAAAGAGCGATATCTGGGCGTTGGGCGTGTTGCTATACAAACTATGCTACTATACAACCCCCTTCGAGGAAGTCGGTCAGATGGCTATTCTGAACGCCAGCTACAAGTTTCCTACCTACCCTGTGTTCTCCGAGCGCTTGCGGATGCTGATCGGTAGGATTTTCCACGCTCGATGAGTGGACTATGCTAACGGTGGCCAGCATCCATGTTGAAGGAGAACCCACAGAAGCGGCCCAATATCTACGAGGTCTTGCGCGAAGCCTGTCACATGCAGGGCAAGGAATGCCCAATCAAAGATGTACGACGCCCGTCACTACGCGTCGAATTGAGGATTCTGACTGTTATAGATCTACGCCAATCGCTCTACATCCGAAGCTCGTCGGTACCAGGAACTGCCACCTTCTCCCACAGAAGCGCCGCAGATCGGAGCGGTGTTCTCCCCTCCTGTTCAAGAGACGCAAATCATCCCTGAGATCGCTCCCATGCGGCGCGGGCGCCCCACAAGACCAGACGCCTCCCAACATAACTCGGCGAAGCCAAGTCCGTCACCATTCCGCGGATCTTCAGACCCCTTTGCGGTCCTCGATGGAGGGAGCGGGCATAAAAGTCAGGACTCCCATGACGAGTTCACCAACCGGTTTCCTTCGCTGGATCAATTCGACATACTGCACGAGAAAGGAGGCAAGTTTGACTTCGAGCCTACAGTGTCGGAGACGAAACAAGAGGATGACGACCTTGCCCGCCGCCTCACCAATGCTCTCGCCGACGAAGCCTTTGTCAAGCGCCCTGCGTCAGAAAACGAACCAGCTCCCGAGCTACCACGCAGACCGAACCAACCATCTCCATTGAAGGCAAGATCTATCGAACCGCTCAATGATCGTCGCGAAGAGCCTTCTCGGCCACAAGTGCCTCTGTACCAGCCAGTTCCCCAGAAGCCGGCCATGGTGTCCACTGGCACCATGACCTCGCCGCTTCCCACACCGGGCCCGTCCGAGTCCAAAACAGCTAGTCGCCCGGTCTATAAATTCCCACCCGCAGACAGCCAGCCTCGACCGGCTAGCCAGCCGTGGCCGGCCGAAGCGGACAAGCGACCCACCAGGCAGAAGATCCCCTCTCCCACAAGCTCATCTACCAAACTCGAACCAAACCCAAGGGTTTCCGCGGATCGAATCTCCGACTTGTCCGCTTCCTCCGCCAGGAACTCGATGGACGGGCTGCGGCCGTCCCATTTGGAGGTTGACGATCCTGTCGGAAGATCCAAGTCTGCCAATAGTAAGGCCCGGCCCGTGTCCGTCCATGCGGGTTCCAAGCTCGACTTTCGCGGATCGGAGAGTGCTCGCTCCTCGCTTGATCTTTCTAGAAGCCCGTATGAAGCAGGATCATCCTTCCAGCAATCGCGAACTGACGTGGACCAAAACTTTGATCGGGGGAATATCACATCGGACATTGACTACCTGCGGGCGAGAGAGGAGGAGACCAATCGCAAACGCGAGAAGCGTTACAGTAGCAGCGCTAAACATAACAAGCGGTCGAGTCTGTCTACCCTGTCGCTGTCGGGCACCAAGACCCTGTTTGCTGGTCGGTTTGGCGAGGCTTTCCGCCGGTTCGAGAACCAGGAGAATAAAGCGCAGTCACCGGCTGCAGAGGAGCCCCCTAGGCAAGTACTGCCAGTGGCTTCACCTGACTACGCCGACGAGCCTGTACAGCTTTCCGACAATGAGACCGATGACATCTCCCCGGAGATGCGGCGCGAACTTGAGCGCCGTCGTCTGTCACAGGAGGAGAAGCGAGTGGCGTCTGCGGCGGCAGAGTACCGCCGCAAGGTTGCAGAACGCGGCGAGGGAGGGTATTCTACCCGTTCGTCGACTATCCAGAATCGGGTGCAGTCGTTCTTAGACGAGAGCAATAAGCCACGGGTGCCACCGAAGACGGCGACCGGCTATGGACGATTCACAGGAGAGTCGCAAACCGCTTTGCAGGCAAAGCAATCCGAGCCTCTTCCTGACCCTCCGCGACTGAACACGCGCAGTGCAGGCCCGTACTACTCCGAGCGTCCGCAGGAACAACCATTCTCGCCGGTGAAGGAGCGGTGGGAACCACCGTCGGGGCCGCCGCGGCAAGAAGCGGGACCAACGTCGTACGCACCGACCCAGGCCCAACGTACGGGTCCGTCTCGACCGGTGGCACCTCCGAAGCCGAAGAACCTCCGGGTGGGCGGGGCTCCGGAATCACGGCCTGTGAGCCACGACCGCAGCCCCACGAGCCCTGGAGAGGACTGGGAGGCGAACTTCAGCCGGAGATTCCCCAGTCTGTCGGGCCTGGAAATGGAAACGGAGATCGAGCTCCCCACCAAGCTTGCTAGCCTGAGAACGAAGGAGGTATAATCTGTATATGTATGCCGTTGGAGGTGGTTTGGTTGTGCTTCTTTCCACGTTGTTCAGCATCTGAGCCTGTATGGATATAGAGAGGGGAGTCATTATGTTCTTCATATATATTATTGCTAGAGTTGTGTACTTGGATAGTAGTAGCGGAGTGTGCTTTGCCGTTGAGGCGCAGCAGTCGTCGTCAGCAATACTCGCAGCAGTTGTGAGTTACCAATATTAATATCAATACTTATCTATACTAGCGAATAATAGTTTGATGACGACTGCAAATCCACGTATGCTCTAGATATAGTTAACATTGTCAAACGCAATGGGATGTCCATCAGTCTCGGGCGCGACAGTAGAATCTTGAGGTGGCATTTACCAACAGCCGGACAGTACTTCGTAGGCTCCCCCGACACAGCCATGGGTCACGTCACAGATGCCCATACACTGCTCAAAGTCGCTTGCATCCGGGGACTGCAGCATGCCGTTCATCTTGTCGGTGTGTGGACCGACATACGTCAGATACCCACACGCCAATACGTTGATCAATTAGGAGATGATGAGATACGATGGATCGCGCCCATCCATCGCATAGGTAACAAGAAATGGTTGCACAAAAGGAGAAGAGGATATAAGCCTGGATCAGACAGAGGCTCGAAAGGCGGTGCTTCTACCTTAGGAAACTACATTGATTAATTCTACGCACTTGGTTTCAAGAAATAGTCTATATTCGTTGCGTCATTCAATTCCATGAGATGAGTTCGATCAAAATCCCGCCCATCCATCGCTAGATTCGGAGGAATCAACAAAGCCATGAACCTCCATGTAAACTTCAAAATTGAAATCATCAAAATAAAACACGGGTGAAGAAGGGTAAAAGAAACAAGAATAGCATCTAAACGCCGTCACGCGCCTGCTCTGCCTTCCCGTTCTCTAAGAAGTACAAATGTTGAGGGATGGTATGTCGTAGTAAAGGGCCATCCCATTACCCTTTCATCGTTTGCAAGAAAGAATCCAGGTTGTATTCTTCCTGGTATTGGCGGTCGTCCCAGAGTTCGCCAAGGTCGTCGAGCCACCCCTTCTTGCCCTTCTCCTTGACTTCGCCGTCGATGTCGACCATGTCGACTTCGTTACCCGCGGCGTGTTCACTGGGTTTCTCGGCGTTGTCGGCCGTTTCGCCTAAGTTGAACAGGTCAAGGAGTTGGTCGGTGTCCATGGTGTTGAGCCCGGCGTTTTGTTGATTGACCACTGTTGAGGCAACGTCGATCTTGAATCGTTGCAGACTGGTATTCTGTTAGTAAACGTAAGGTGTCAAATTGGAAGATGGTAACTTACTTCAGAATTTTCTCTTCCAGAGTACCTCGAGTGATCAACCGGTAAACATTGACAACCTTCTTCTGACCGATACGATGGGCTCGGTCCATGGCTTGGATGTCTTTCTGAGGGTTCCAGTCGTGCTCAACGAAGATAACAGTGTCCGCTCCCGTGAGGTTCAGACCAAGACCTCCAACACTAGTGGTCAAGAGCAACACATCGTAACTTGGATCGGTGTTGAAGCGGTTGACAATGTCCTGCCGACGCGTAGCCTCGACGCCGCCATCCAAACGGAGAAACTGCACCGAAGGGAGAAGCTTCTTGAGAACCTCACTTTGCACAATGTCGAGCATTTCTTTCATTTGGCAGAAGACCAACGCCCGATGCGGGCTCACGTAGCTTGCCCCAGTACCAAGGTCAGTTTCACTGGGAGGAGCGACACCGATACCACAGTCAAGGAGTAGATCTCGCAGGGCCGTGAGCTTAGGTGCGTGCGACACGTCCCGAATATACGAGTTCTTGGCATGAAGATACTGCTGAACTTCGTTGTACTGCTTGTGACCTTCCTTGACAACCAGAGCTGGTGAGTTGCACAGACGACGCATGTACTGCAATGCTTGGAAGATGTGCTCTTTGTCTGACTTTTCGGAACTTCCCATTTTGCTGGCAAGCTGCTTTTGTTCCTTCTTCGTGAAGTCTTCGAAGAGTTTCTTCTGGAGCTCACTGGGGTCGCAGTAGTAGTTCTGGATAATCTTCGGCGGAAGATCATTCAAAACTTCTTCCTTCAGACGACGGAGCAGGAAGGGAAGGACCTGTTTATGCAGTGCTTCAATGGCCAGTGCTCCAGCTTCTTGCTCCTTCGATGATGACTTGCTGAAGCGGCTGGCGGCGATAGGCTTGGCGAAACGATCCAAAAAGACCTTCTCCGTGCCAAGGAAGCCAGGCATAAGGAAGTCAAACAGAGACCACAGTTCAAGGACATTGTTTTGAATGGGAGTGCCCGACAGAATCAAACGGTGGTTGCTAGAAATGCGCTTGACCGCAATGGTAACCTTCGCCTTGGGGTTCTTGATAAGATGGCCTTCGTCCAGGACGCAGTAATTCCAGTTAATAGGGCAGAGAGTTTCACTGTCATTACGACAGATATCGTAAGATGTCACCACAATATCGGCATCCGCGAGGGCACCCTTGAGTTTGCCACGCTCGGCCGGTGGGCCGACATATGCGACACAGTTGAGGAACGGTGCATACTGCTTGATTTCCTGCTGCCAATGGCCAGAAAGAGATGGCGGGCAGACGATCAAGGACGGAAGCTTTCGGACTTCAGGCGCTTGTGTCTTCGCAAATTCCTCGGCTCGCATATGATGATCGCTTGCGACAATGCAAATCGTCTGCAAGGTCTTACCGAGACCCATGTCATCACAAAGAATGCCGTGAAGATTATACCGATTGAGGAAGGCCAGCCAATTGACACCTTCTTGTTGGTAAGGTCTGAGCTCTGCCTTGATGGCGACAGGTAGCTGGAATTCTTCCACCTTTCGGACATCCAACATCTGCGACATGAATTTTCTCTCTCGCTCTCGCCCCTTCAGCAATTCCTCCGAAAGGCCTGGCGGGTCCGGGATACCCGCTTCCAGGGGAACGAGTTTGACCAGTGTTGCAAATGATGTCGTAGCTAGGAGTCGCACATCGTTGTCCGAATCACTCATCCTTCCGAGAACCGGCACGACAAGGAAGATGACATAAGGCAGAATGCCGTCCTCCATAACATGGATAAGATGGTAGATACACTCGACAGCCCCTTGGCGGTGGTGAACGTCCAGAGCATTGTTGATAGTGGGCAGCACCTTTTCGACCAACATGGTCATGCCTTCCACTGTGATGACACTACAGATTGTGGCAAAGCACTTGGCTGCTGCGTACCGTATCACGGACAGCCTGCACTGGAGGGCCTTCACAATAAAGGGCATAAGGTCAATAACCCAGGGATAGAGTCCAGGATCGAACTTGGGTAGAAGAGCACGAAGGGTGGATAGGCCGTCCACAACCTCCTGGCCCAGCTCATTATCGGAGTCCGTAATATTGGACGGAAGCTCATTGCCAGAGAGCGCGTCTTTGAGTGGCCGCTCCACCAATGAAGCAAGATTAGGAACCTTCTCTAGAAGCTCCGCGCCAAATTTGATGGCCAACTGCTCAAGAGCATCTTTAGCACCCCGTCGCATGATTCTTGCTTCCTTGGTCTCTCTTTCAAACTTGGCTGCATCCGGGTGATCGCGACGGTCCTCTTCCTTGCGAAGCGAAAGAATTGACTTGTCCAAAGCGGCATTGTGATGGAATTCGGGGGTTTCCGACGTGTCCACGCAACAGTATTTGACAAGATTCCCGATGACTTTGTCGACGGGTCCACGCTTGGTTGCCTTGGTGTAGTATTCGACCAGAGTTGCTACCGCGGTGGCCGAACGCTGTTGAAGCTCAGCATTCTCCTCCTTCTTGATGCTATCCATCATACCCTTGATGATGTGACTCGGCTTCTTAGGGATGTCATTCAACGCGACGAGTGCACCGGCGGCAGCAGCTCGGATCCGCATATCCCGCTGCTCTCGGGCGCCTCTGGCCTCGTTGATTGCACTTTCAGCCGTTGCGCGAGTGTCATTGAGAACCTGCGTAGCTGTGATACGCTGAGCCGGCGAAAGACCCTTCTTGAGTCGCTCAAAGTCGGGGCCAATGACTTTCTCGGCATCGGCCAATGAGAACGCGCTAGGGCCAGCCTCAGCATCTCCCTGGACAATAACGGCGAGAACTGGCAGCCTCGAGCCAGAGACACTTGCATGGTCACGGAAGGTATTCAGCAGTGAGTGGCATTGGGCGCGGGCGACATGAAGGTAGCATGCAATATCGCTGTACCATGGTGGGCGCTCCCCTTCAATAATCGGGCGCAACTGCTCACATAGGGCAGAGGTGTACTTGCTATCAGATCCATATTGTCTTGCATATTCTTCGATGATCATCGCCGCCGAAAGCTGTGATGTGGACGCGCTGTGATTCAGCCCGTCCAAAATGGATTGCCAGAGACTGGACAACTCATTCTTATCCCAGAGGAAAAGAAGCTGGCCCATAGCCTTGGCAGCATAGATCTTAGATCTTAACATAGTATCTGCCCCGACCAAGTCAATGTCGCCCTGGAGCATGTGGCCATCAACATTATGGGCTGAGGGAGGCGGTGGCAGTTCCTTTTTTTCAGCCTTGCGACCACGCTTTTTGGGTCCGTCCGCTGAAGAATTGGTGGAGCTTGGAGAGGATTTTGCTGGCGCGGACGCACTCATCGGGAACGGCACGCCAGAAGGCTTGATGAAGAGAGAAGCATCCATAGGGATGGGGTATCGGGGAACGCCGAAAGGGGCGATGCTCAAGGTAATGAGAGGTTGGATATGGGTCAACAGATCAGAATCCGGCTTGAACCACCCACGGTGCTCCAAAGCTTTGAGCAATTCAGACCAGACCTGAAGAGAAAGCTTCAGGACACCCTCATTTCGCTCCACAAGCAGATTCTGGAAAATCAAGCGCACAGCCCTTCCATTGACCCACTCAGTGGTGCCTTCGCCCTCGAGTTGCAGGAATGTGATGAGAGCTCGAAGGACTGCCGAGCGTACGCTGGTAATTGTATGACGTAGGAACGGATAGAGGCGAGGCACCAGATTACCAAAGGAGGACTCCGGGTTCATCGAGGCGTTGAGTTTCATAGCATCAAGCACTTCGGGAAAGGTGCATAGCTTTGCCAGAAGGTCCATCACCGATCCGGTACTTGCACTGAGGTCGTCCTGTAAATTCGAGAGGCAATCCCATACAATGGTCATCAAGGGACCCAAGGTGCCTTGTCGTGACGAGACAAACTCGGCCGCGATAGGGACCAGAGTTGCTGCACTCACAGCACGGACATCGTCGTCGAAATCGCCCAAGCCCTTCATGACTGCTTCCAACACGCCGTCCATGAGCTTGGGGTCTCCCACGAGAAGGTCCTTTCTGACCGCCACGAGATACCGCAGCCCAATCATACCGCCATGGCATACTTCCCATATAGGACGCTCTATATCCAAATCATTTTGGATGATAATGCGGTAGAGACACCTGTAGACAGCAACAACTGATTTAGAGGGAAGCTGAGATAAAAGGGCACCCAATGTCTGGCCGACCGTCTCACGAATGGGGGCGACCACATTGTCCGAAATGTAGTCACCAAAGCGATCCAGCATGAGGACGCAAATCAAACGGCAGGCAAGGTCGTCCAGCCATTTGCGATTCAAACTGTTATTCTCCGCTCGGCTTTTGCCCCTGACACGTCCAGCACCGGCACCCTGAACGCGAATCACCTCTCGGATAGCCATCGCAGCACCATGACGGACTTCCCAGTTCGGATCAAATAGGTCCACCATGAGGAAATCACACATTTGTTCAAAGGGCCAGACGGGGCTGGGTCCTTCATCCGGGAGATCAGGTTGGATCAGGGGCTTCTCTGGGGCTGTTTCACCCTTGAATTCGGTGACGATCTTCGAGTCATCATCCCCACTGGGGCGATCCAGGGAGAAGTAATCTGGTTTCGAATCCCCGTTGTGCTCTTCCCCGTTTTCCGTTTTGATCGGATGAGGCGTAGCTGTTGACGGAGTCGTGAGTGGGGTCGTGACGTTCTCAGACGGTCTGCGGGAGGAGAGATCGACTACCCGTACTTTATTGGCGCCCATCTTCGCACTCTGTTTATTCTTTCGCTTGAGTTGATTCAGCTGTCGTTTGCTCAAGCCAGCAGCCTCTTCGCCATTTGCCGGTTCACAGGGAGACGCCAACGGAGGCGCAGTCGTCACCGAGTTATGCATCCCCAGGGTGCGAGAATTCGCTTCATCCTTGGGTTTCAGGATCACGTCACTGTCGTCGATCAAGTCCTCCTCGATGTATTTACCGGCCAAGCCTAGTCGGGCGGTCAATGTTTTCTTCTGATGCTGGAGCCGAGACGCCGGATCCATCCCCGCGAGCGAGTATTCATATTCTTTGCTCCCGCTACCCAGGAGCCTCTTTCCATACTTCAGGATAGAGGTGAGGTCCAGCTGATCGAGTCGCAGTAAGCCATCCTCCAGTTGCGGTTCTTCACTCTTGATCTCCACGTCTTCTTCTTCGTCCTCATCCTTTTTGATCATTTGGCCATCCTCTTCGTTGGGATCGAAGAGATCGGCATTGGTGACGATGAGACCGATAGCCTTGGCGGCGGCGGTTCGCGTGTCCCATGACTTGGACCTAAGATAAGGCAGGATACGTCCCAGCAGATTGAACAACTCATCGGGATGTTGCTTCTGCACGTCTGCCAACTGCTGGGCGGCTGTATTGCGGATCAGCGGCGTGCTGCCCGTCTCCAGCAACCTGTACGTGCGATTGGTCAGTGACGCTTCATCGAAAAGGGAAGGTTCTCATGTGATACTCACGTGACTAAACGATCGAGTCTAGCGGGAGCTTGTTAGCGCGGAATCCGAAACGGGAATGAAAACGAAGTACATACCTGGAAGTCATGACGAACAGTCACCTCGGGAGAGGGAAGACACAAAAGGGAGAAGAAAGAGAACAGTGGCAAGGGCTCTTTTTTTATGACGGAGCCAGCCAGTGAAAGTCAAAGAACCAGTTCAATAGCTGGTAGAACAGGTACTGCACGTCGGCGCAGGTACGAGAAACGTACAATACGAGACCGTTACACCTGAGACACCGCCATGAACGGGAAGACACTAAGGGGGAAGGGGTAAGGTATGGTAAGAGCAGGACGATCGATCCCGTAGAGTGGAGATTTCAAGGTGTGGAATAATCGACGGCGTCCAGAAAGGAAATAATTAAGGTCAAAAAGGGAGAGCTCATCGGAGAGAATAGTGAGGGTAAGATGGGGGGGGAAATGAAGAGTAGAAAAAAAAATACAATAAAATAAAATAAATAAAAAAGTCAAATCAGGAAATGAAGATCCCACACATAAACCGAAAGATGAGAGAAGTATGGGAGATGATGGGTGAGGTGGAGGACCCGGACGCGAAGGGGGATGGGATGTACCACCACCAGCAACGGAAGGCAAGTAAGTCGCATCAACATCCAGCTCGAGGTCACGCAGCCTGTTTATATCATTGGGGGCCGCTTTGGCTGGGCGCGCCGACCCATGCTTGGGCCTTGCGCGCTAGTCCTGAACGGGGTTAGTCGCCCCACGCTCTGCAAAGGTTTTCTGGCTGTCACGTGACGGCTGCGATCGACGCTGTGAAATTACTTGAACCTCTCCATCGAGTTGCCATGCTCTCAGTCCAACTACTGTCAGATTCTCCTCAGTCGACACCTGATTGTCGACCGGACCCAAGAGATGGATGGATACAACAGCCTCAGTGGATGCCTATTTTGTGTCCGCTCTGGATCCTTCAGGCAACGTAATGCCTCCCAGATGACCTACCACATACTCCCGTACCTAGTTAGATCAGATACATCCCGTCATAGTCAGCATAGTTCCAACCGCTACCAGCCATTAAGCTTGTTTCAATGCTCCCCAGTTCACAGAACACGCCAAGAAAATGCCAGATGGCCTCATCGTTGAATGGAGGATTCTTCCTCCCCGCGAATCTCAACCGAGACATGCTGGGTTTCACTTCGATGATGCCTTCTTTTCCGTGCCTGCCTCAGGCCCCATCCCACCCATCCCGGGGCGCCAATCAGACCAGTTCAATTATACTGCTTACCATCGTCATCAAGTCTTACATATGAAGTATTGAGGCAATACCTATGTTGACGTCTATTCTTTTCATTGCAGAGTCACTATCTAGTTTCTTCTTTTCCCTTTCTTGCCGCCTTGCTTTCATAAGATATCTCTACAGTTAGACTTGAGATGATCTACAGAGTACAATCGCAGACGACGTGTCTTATATATCTTAGATCATCGACATGTCGCATGGACCACCGCAGCATTCCCGATGCCATTTAAAGCCCGAGAATAGATCGTATCAACCGTCCCAACTTGCTCCTCTCACCCCAACCAGCAGATCGGAGCGTCAGCAGTTGCCCAGCTGCACATTATGCTACAGAATCCACTCTCCACCGCAGTGGGAGACGAAAACAACCATCCCCATATTCTCCGGATCATTCGAGAAGATCGTCCATTTCTATACATCGAGGACTCCCTAATGGTAACAGAACAGCATGACGGAGGAGGAAAAAACACCAGAAACCGCACCCTTGAATCAAAAAGACCACCTCCCCCTAAGCCTTCGACAGCACCGCCGTCGACTCTTCTTCTTTCCCTAGAAGTCCCAGACTGCGGATCTGTTCGGCCTTGGGCGCGTTTTCCCGAGGGTGGGCGGCTTCCGCCTTGCGGTAGGCAGCCTGCATTTTCATCGTTCGGAGAGCCTGCGGGTACCGAGGAGAACCATGTTAGATGTTGAAACCGCAAGGTACACCATTTATTCTTTCCGGCGACCTCAGAAAAACCATTGGACTGGTGGACGTACCTCCTTTCGGTGGTGAAGGCACTCGTAGTAGTCCTCCAGGGCGGGCATGCACTTCTTCTTTCCAGCCTCGCCTTCGCCGGCATTGACAACGTAGCAACCGAGGACTTCCTGCCAGAATCCGTAGCAGCGGGAGGGACCTAAGGGGTAGCAATAATCGTTAGCCGGGGTGTCCGTCGGGAGGAGTCACAGGGTCGCAAATGAAAAAGATGTCCTCGGGGAACCAGCGCCCATCGGGTGGGAATATGCCGCCATGCGCAGTGGAATTTCAACATACCGCCGTTGAGACCGAAGCCCGAAGCCATTGTGTAGCGTGGTGGTGGATGAGGGTGGGGAGAGACAAGGGACAGAGGGAGGAAGACGGCGGAGGTCAGAGAGAGGACGAGGTTCTGCGTCCTGAGGCACGCATTCCTATTCGCCGCTTCCGCCCGATGTGGCCCGTGCACCGCGCCTCTCCCCATTGACGTCGCCGCGAACACTACAGAGTAGAACACATCACCCTCTTCGATATCGATTCCGTCTGCATCGACCGCCCTCTGTCGTTTCTTGTTGCCTGGTATGGCGGCGTTTGCTGGCCTGTCTGGTGCCCAAGCCATCTTACTGGCGACCCATCTCTGCGCCAGCGGGAACGTGTCCAGTCTGCCTCAACTCCAAGCCCGCTTCCCGCGCTGGCTGCCACTGGAACGAGTCTTCCGCATTATCTTGACCTATCTTCCAGAGAGTACTGAGCCCCGGAAGTACACTTCGGTGCTCCAGGAGCTCCTGGAGGGTTCTCACACTGAAACCCATGATGTTGACGTGTCCGCGGTCAAAGGTCTCTCAGACGAAGCGGCGCGGACCCGTGTACGGAAGCTACGTCTCCTGCCTCTGAAATACCCTGACGACGAAGACACCCTGGGCTCGACCGACCTCCTGACCCAATTCCTTATTCATCGAGCGCACCGGATTGACTCGGAAACCGCCCTCCAACCTCTCATTCTCGATCTCCTCCTGCCCTTCTATCAACACTCCGCCACATTGCGCACGTGGCTGATTTCTAGTCTACTACCCTTGCTCCGATTGAACTACGAGTACTATCCGAGTCAGGACGAGACATTTTCCTTGGACATCTTGGAGTCTATGGACGACAACACCGCTATAAACGTGCTTCTTTCTATGACAAGCTCCCAGAAGAACGACATGGACCTGGCAAGGAATCTGCGCGGGCTGCTGGGCCCTTGGATGTTTGGCAGCAACCGGCCGAAACGGCGCAGACTCAACCAGACCGCACAACAAACTTCAATCACTCTCTCGCAGGACGAGAGTTCGACAGAGAAGGGGACTAGCGCAGGTTGGCAGTCTGTTAACGAATGGCTGTTGTCGCGAAGCTTGATCGATCACGAGAGCACGGTGAATGCCTATGTCCATTGGGATGGCCCGGAGGATGTTGATCTGGGAGGATATAATGAAGAGAAGGAGACGATGTCAAGTGAAGAGTCGATCCGACTGCGGACTCGGTATGGTCAATCAGGACTTGCTGTCGTTTACGCCAATTCAGATACGAGTCAGCGCTGTTTGGATGGCTCCTTTCAGATAATTTCACGAGTCGCCCGGATACTTGGCCTTGAGGAATCTTTGTTGGGTTCTCAGGACAACTCTGGACTTCCTGTCGTGACCTTTGATGTCACCCGCGTCTCCTCGTCATCGAGGGTCTCTTTGTTACAGAACGCATTACTATCGGTGTCCAATCCTCTGACTACCCCATCGACGTCCTCAATAACATTCCTCAACGCCATTCTGATTTCTCTTCGCGTCCTGATCGAACTGGGCCATCCTGTTCCGTGTAGGACGATTGCGAACATATGTCTCCATAGTAATGACGAGGCGCAAATGCTGGAGCTGCGGGCTGTGATTGAGTCTGTGGTTAAACAGACCAAGACTCGCGACTGGCGGAAAAGCCGCCAGCAACTACTGTGGCTTTGGAATTGGCAGGGTGGCGAGTCTCAGCCAACAGAAAGTCCAGCCGTGTGTCACGGACTATTTTGGCGAGTGCCTCGAAACATTGTTGAGGCGGAGATTCTGAAGGCACTGCTGGAGGTCAGAGGTGAGCACATTGGGCTCTTCATACTTCCGTTTTATATACTAATAATAACCCAGAATATGACTTGGCCGTGGATATCTACGTGACTACTGGGTCTGCCTTGAGCTCTGACCAGGTTGAAGAAGCCATCAAGGAGGCCATCTTCACCGCGTATGATAACGCCAGCAACGGCAATCGCACACGGGGAGGGATGAAGAGAGCATCGGATATGTAAGTCACAGTGGATGCCCAAGTGTGTACCAGGACTAACGCGTGGTTCAAATAACAGTCTGCAAGCTTTCCGTGTTCACTTCCCGGACTCCGTGTCATTCAAGCAAATCCACGCTCTCATAGCCGCAACCCACTCCCTCTCTTTCTACTCCCTTACATTACAGCACGGTGTCCCTTTTCAGCCGGTCAGCATTCGGGTCCATCCAGACCCCCTTGCTCTGATAGAGAAGGTGCTTGACCAGAATCCAAAGGCCTACACGAAGTTAGACGATCTTCTCGGCATCGGAAGGAACCTCGTGGCGGCGGGGTTCTCTCCTCGTCAACGTGACGAGAATGACGAACCAGATGATATCGTCGTTTCCACAGAGCCGCAAGACCCCGTAATCACCGCGGAGCGACGTATTATGTCGCTTGCGATTTCGTCAGCCCTGTCCTCTGACGACTTTGGGACAGCTTACTCTTACATCCTCACCCGTCTTACACCTCCATCCCTCATATCGACATCCTCCCCTCTCACCAATCCCGAGGTGAAAGACGATATCTCCTGGCGTGCAGTCTACAATGCAGGTCGCTACCGCGCACCGGCCTCCTCGTCGCCGAACCTGCAGTCCCAAATTTCACAACTATCTCAGCGCATGGAGCTCCTTTCACTTGCTTTAGTCCTCGTTCCCTACCCCGACCCACTCCCGGAGATCCTAGGGGCATGGCGGCGGTGTGATGAGGAATTGAATGTTCTTCGTGCCCGTGAGTCGGAAGAAGAGGAGATCTGGGACGCCAAAGGGGACCGTTTTTCGACGGTCCCTGGCGGGTTCGGCCCCACCGACAGCGAACAGGATGCTTTTGAAACCAAACAACGCCACGCCCGACGCGCACGAGCCCAACAGAGCCGCGTGGATCTTGAAGAAGCTCCCATGGGACTCTTTGAGGTCGCCCGAGGTGCAGCAATGGCCCTCCACAAGAACGCGTTTCCGCTCCGTGGTGCCGCCTCGGATGCAGCAACCGCGTCGCATGAAGTGGGTGATGGAGAGTCCGCGCAGGAGCGGGTGCGCAAGAGGGACGTGGTGAGTAATATGGTGACTGGCGGGTTGGCCAGTGGAATCGGATGGGTGCTTGGGGCGCAGCCCGTTAACCGGTGAGCTTGACGACGGCAATGATGCAGTTTTTAGATGATATCATGTGTTGTATAATTGTGTGCTACGATAATACTATGATTCAATCAGATCTTGCATTTCTCGTATTTAACATTTTGGCTCCAGCCTAGTTCAACTCTTATAGATGGCGAGCTACGCCGCAACCCTTAACATTTCACGTGTTTCTCTGCGGGTAGTTAGTGATTGCTTCCACCATCCTCATCGGGAATATAGACGAAGACACATACCTTTATCGCACTCTGTATAGTATCCATTGACATAGCAGGTCTGCCCTTCCCATTCCAGCTTGTACCATTCACTAGAAAAACCCACGCGTCAGTAACCCATCCAACACCCAACCAGAACCAATAAATAAACACCATACCAATGGTTGTACAGACAGTTCCCGATCTCCTTGTAACAGCCCAGCTCGTACGACGCGCCGTCCCGCACCGTCGCCTGCACGTATCCCCTAAGCCCGGGCTCGGTCTGACAGTACACGGACGCGTCGCCATGCGCGTCGATCTTGCAGTACTTTTCTTTTGGCTCGTGCTTGTGCTTGTCCTCGTGGTCTTTGTCTTTGTCTGTGGCTGAAGATGCGGCCGAGGAGTCGAGCGCTAAGGCTGATGCGACGAGCGCGAGGACGGCGATGGGGAGGTGAAGTTTCATTTTTGCTATCTTGGGGATTGTATGCGTGGTTTGGTGGAAGGAGGGTGGACGAGGGATGGGGACTTGGATATATGTATGTATTTGGGCCTGCATGCCAGTGACATGGGCGAATGTAGGGCGGTTGTTTTACGGTGGCTGAATCGCGGTGTTGGATGGGATGGAATGGAATGTAGGAATGCATGCTTGTCTTGCGTGTATGGGGTAACCCCTTGGTTGGGTCTTTGGTGCCGTTAGCTGGAGTACACTTAAGTATACGAGTATGTCCTGGACATGGAATGAGGTTCTTGAATATAGATATTCGCGTCGGTGACACAGACACTAGTGTAAGTCGATATAGTGCAAAGGTATGTAGCTGAGACCAACAAGCGCGTACCCAAGTAGCCTTGATAGAACATTGTATTCAAAGCGCAGACATAACGACTGCTCAATTACATATTAAATCACCATCCCTCCAACCGAGTCAACCGCAACGGCATCCCTCTGACAGGCTGCGCCGTCAACGTCCCCCCAAACTTGACCACACACCCCTCCTGCAGCTCAGCCTTGAACCGACCAAACAAACCCGCCGCCGCGCACCGAAACTCCGCCTTTGCAAAGTCCTTCCCGATACACGCGCGCGGCCCATGCAGGAACGTGATCTGCGCGAAATTCGTGCCCGCGCCGCCGTGCTTATTCGGCGTCTGTCTCCCCGTCACCGGGTCGGTGTCGATCCAGCGCTCGGGGCGGAAGTCGTCTGCGGTGTCGCCCCAGAACTCGGGGCTGCGGTTGACGGACTGCGGACAAATGCTGATGATGGTTCCGCGGGGGATCTTCTGCCCGGCGATGGTGGTGTCGCGGATGGCCTCGCGGCCGGTCATGGGCACGGTGGGGTACAGGCGCAGGACCTCGTGCATGACGCCGTTGAGATAGGGCATGCTTTCGAGCTGCTGCCAGGTGACGGCGGCGTCGGCGGAGGGGACCGTAGCGCGGATCTCGGCCCGGAGCGTCTCCTGGATGTGCGGGTTCAGGGCGAGGTGGTAGCTGGCCCAGGTGAGGGCGTTGGCGGTTGTTTCATGCTGGGAGGTGTTAGCTTGGAAGAGTTGCGAGGGGGGAGAGAATACGCACGCCGGCCGCGAGAAATGTCAGCATTTGGTCGACGAGCTCGCTGTCGCTGAATTCGCCGCCGCGCATCATGGTGCCCAGGATATCACCGTCGACGTCGGAGGGCTTCTCGGTGAGCTGTGTGCGTTTCTCGCGGAGGATGTCGTGGAACACGCGGCGGAGGTAGCTGATTCGACGGGGGAGCTCGATGTTGGCTCGGACGGGGACGAGTTTGACGAGCCACTGCGGGAAGAGGACGGAGAGGGCAAAGAGTAGAAGAGTGTCCGAGGACGGCTTCAGAATCGCAGAGTATGCCTGCGAGACCGGGTCGTCCTCGTTCTCCAGCGACTGGAAATCGCGACCAACGGCTGCGGGGCCGATGATGTCGAGCGTTAGACGGCTTGATGGGTTAGATTGTGTTTCTGGACATGATGATGCTGAAGGGGAATGCCCATACCTGGCCCATGATCCAAGCTCCACGTACCCCGATGCGCCGCTTTTCATGCCGGGGACGGGGTGTAGCTGGATTTCGCGGTCCAGCTGATGCAGGAAGATCTGGGTCTTGGACCACATAAGATCGTACATGGCGCGGATGTTCTTGATTGCAAAGGCCGGGGTGACGGCTTTGCGTTGGGCCCGATGGGCGTCTCCTTCAGAGAGGATGAGGCCATACCCGAGGCCGCGGGCGAGGAACTCACGCCCGCCGCGCGGCTTGGTGAAGTCGTAGCTGTTGGTATGGAGAACGTCCATCAGAGCCCGCTGGTTGGTCACGAGCAAAAAACTACGGTTCAGGCCTTCACGAAAGTGGATCAGGCCTTCGTTAGGGATGGTCCTAAGCCATGGAATCGTGACGCTGCCACGCGGATGGCGGAGAAAGATGGATGCCCCGATGAAGGGGCCCTATATATGTCAGAGGCTGCAATGATGAGAGCGCGGTAGGAACGGTACTCGGACTGTGGGTAGGTGTCGCAGAGGATTGACTAAAAATGGCCAGACGAAGATGTTCCATATTGCTAGCAGGACGAGATTCAATCCTAACGCATAGAGAAAGACGGAGGTAGGCTTCTGTTCAGGCACCATGCGGGTCGCCGTCACTGCGAACGTTTCAACGACGGTTACTGGGATCAAGAAGGCTAGCTGTTCGGCCGCAGAAGACATGATGCTTGCCTGTACATACTACAGGAAGTGCAAATTGGTTCATTGCCAGGCTTTATAGGCCTACTTCCTCACATGAAGAACAGATTCCATTACTCATAGGCCTCGTGAACTAGATCGCTTAGCGGCTTCACATGTCGACCTTGTCGATCATGGAGATGCGGGGGCGTCGCGGAGTCGTAGAATCGAGCCTCAGAGTTCGAAGGATTGGCGATAGCGGGATCACATGTGCTGATTGGCATGGTCTTACTCTCTTCGACATGCAGTGCGAGTAGGCTGAGGTAGTATACGAGGTTGAGGATCGACGGTGAGGATGCTGCTTTAGTTATCTCGATTCCCCACGGGGTGTCTATGCATGCTGAGACCTGATGGCATATAACAATAATCGGGTTCCTGTTGAGGAGATATATCGACATGTGATTGCCAGTATTCTTGCTCCTGATAGTCGATAGGTACTACTGCCCAGATAGGAGAGGACCTCTTTTTGTCTATAGTGGGATAAGGTCGGTCGATATTAGCACCTCTGAGCTATTTGGGTGGCTATAGACTAGTCACAAGCGAGAAGCGAAGAGAAAGATGGCAGATAGATACCGAGTAAGGGTCTACCACTAGATGCAAAGATATCGAACATTGATTCAAGAGGGAAAAAAAATATCACAACTCGATATACATATCGCCTTAGCCTTTCTTCTGTCTTCGCTTCTTCGAGTCTTAGGATCATTGTGTTAGAGCCTTGACACGGCTCTCAGGGGCCGTGCCGCTCCCAGGGTAAGTATAGTCATGTCTTCGGACTGGTGGTTTCCTAGTCACGTTTGTATTTGAACTAATACACTAGCAGGCCGCGCAGTATTAGCGAGTCACAAAGTATGGCAACTATATCCTCGTCCTTTACTGCCAAAGGCCGACCAGATCTTTTAGGAGAGTTAGGGTGACCAACCTGGCAGGCTACTTGAACCGGATGTATAGGGACTCATAGATTTTTTGCAATACCTTCCTATGTCGCATCGAGTAAGCGCAGAGTTAGGATTTCTAGGCGCTCATCTCTGTTTAGCTGAAATGAGGGGGTATGGAACGAGCCATATTGGCATGGCAAAGAATTGATATGGATCGCCATTAATGCCTGCATTGTATCAATATCCTACTGTACTATAGTTAACTAGTGCCCTAAGTCTAACCCTGTATATTACAAGAAGTACCTAGTCAAGCCTTTGCATTCGCATAGAAAGTCCAGTACACATGATAAAGTTCAAGGATAAGTAAAAACCTATCGTAAATTTTCGATATTTCCCAAACTTCCTCGCCCATCAACAATACACGTAGTTGGGACAAAAAGTAAGTAATCAAGTTCCTCCGTAACTCCTAGCCCTTAGTTCTTCCGACACTATTTGCAGTACATCAGCGACTGTATAAGTCCCGTAGAGTGAATCACTCACGTAACCCCAGCATCCTGGGCAGTCCGCAGTGCAGTCAAGTAGTGGACAGCAGTCAAGCCCAATAGACGGGTTGCAGCGCAGTCCAGGCCTGTCCTGGCAGCTAATAATAGGTGTATTGTCGGGGATAGGACCCAACGCCTCCTCAGAGCATCTAGCACTGAGAACTGAAGTTGCAAATAGAAGCACTGCAACAAATCTCATACTGAGTTGGTTGACCAATATAATACAAAGGAGATTTATCAGTGCTGTTTGCTTTGCAAGTATGGATCGTACCTAAGAACAATTGGTTTTCTAGCTGGGAAATAGCATCTCCTTTATATGTCACTAGGTCATGCCTGGAATGACCTCATTATCTATATGCATCCGTGATTCCTTACGTCGTTTGTTGGTTCTAGGCATGTCTGGTATATGACATCACTTCATACCATTGTGTCATCCGCCTTGTCAATGGAAAGAACACAATGCTACTGTCCCTACATGGCATATACATTCGTGCCGCGGTAAGCTACATGACAATAGCTTAGCGTTACATCCGGCAACTATCAGCAGAGGACAATTTATCTATTCAGAACCATGGGAGTCTTCTGCCGCCTGGTGCCGAACGAATGTGTATTTTGCCCGCTCTAGGAGCAGTGTGGCTCTCGATAGAACCGCCGCATTCAGAAAATTTTCCACTTCCATGGATACATCACCCTAAACCCCGGTAAGGAACCGCGGTGCTATGTAGTACGGGAAGATCCGCAGGTCTGGAACATATTTCATTACGAGCACCGAGGCAAGTTGGACTTGGATAGACCTAGGACTCCTACTACTAGCCCTAGGTGGCTTGTCACCCTTTACGCCAACAAACAGACGGCGCTCCACATGTTGTCACGGAATAAGAGTCGCCGCGCCAGAAATTGAATATAGCTTATTATTTGGGTGAGACCAGACTGAGGTTGTTGCACTTTGACAGATTAGGCATTTGTAGGTCTTCCTGGTAGATAGAGCGGCCTAGACAGTCTAGAGGCGATTCATCTTTCACACACGCGGGGGGAGCATATAATTAAGCTTATTGTCGCGATCGGACATAATATCTAAATTTGATTAATAATTAAGCCGCAATGGTTGCACAACAGACTCATTGATTCCATAACCGTATTCCATGAGTGGTCAGCACAAAACCCTACCAGAGATGAATCAACTCAGGTTCAACTTAAAGTCGTACTGCCAAAATGAGCCAAAGGCAATCTGTATTACTGAGTGCTGTCCCGGTTGTCGGATGACAAAAAGATCTAGAACAAATCCAAACATAACTTCCGGAACGGCCCCATGCCTCGACCATGGAATCTCTACTCTCAAGTATGACAAGCCTCTATAACCGGACAACACTATATCGCGAGCAACTCGCCGATTGCGGTAATATGTTTAATTACATGATGTTATGTCACTTTCCCAACCATGAAAGCCTGGTGTGGGTGACTTTTTCTCCAAGGTAGGTGTCAAGTGCCCATCTTTGACTCCATGCCGGTCTCGAAAGGGTCTATCTAGATTACCTCAGTACTCGTCATGCAGATATCTGCTAGACTTACGACTTCTACTGTACGTCAGCTGTTGTATCGTCTTGCTATGTCAGCTCACCTAGCTCGAATATAAATGGAATACGTTCTTTCAAGGCGTTAACAAGATATTTCAATATAGGGCGTCTGTACTTGATCCTTTCTCCGCTTGAATCCAATTTATCTTTCAATATGCCAGAGTCGTCTATACAACAAAATAAAACTAAACAATGTTATGAGATCTTCGAATCCGCAACCGCCGACTTGCGCAGGAAGTTGAGAACCCAGGAACGATCTAAAACTTCCCACCATCACCTTTTTAGCGTGGTGTTTAATGCCCTGGCTATCGTGCAGTTGGCGATTGGAGCAACAATCACTGCATTAGGCCCCTTGGCTAACGAGCATATGGTGGCTATCACCATTCTAGGGGCTCTAAACACAGTTGTTGCCGGCATCCTTGCCCTCATGAAAGGACGTGGTCTACCACAGCGGCTTAGGAACGATATAGCGGAGATCAGAAAGGTGCTGACATTCATTGACAACACGGGTATTCGACTCAAATACAGCAGTAACAATTACCCAAATAGTGAGGTTATGCGACTTATTGATGAAGCGCTCGGCCGGTACATAACAATGTGCGAAATAATCGAGAGAAATCAGCCTGATTCATACGCTGGCGGAAATATGTCTCAGAATCAGGCAAACAATGAACCTCTCGAAGGACCGGATAAGAAGGACAAGATGTTAGCAAAGGGCCGTCAACCGGATGAAGAGATGGGCCACGATCTTTGACGCCGGTCATTTCAATATGGTCCCTTCTGACTTTTAGGCATTTCTATTCAGGAAGTACGTTCTCTCCTGAGCACAATTCAATAATCTAACTGCCCCAGGCTTGTTACTCCTCGTTTTCTGATTAATTTCATAAGTTTAGCTTCGACATGCGGGAGCCACATGTATTGCATATTCGTTGAGCTCGTTAAGTATAAGCATTCCAGTCAGGGACTTGTGATACATTACAGATAGTTCATCTTAAGCGGAAAACAGTGGCGTAATAGCCTGACTGCTGTAGCTTATCCATAAACCATGACGCATTTTGAGTACGTTACATGATAGTAGCTCAGATGATCACTCATGGCGCTGGTGTTAGCTGTCTCTACTTAGACTCGATTTTACTTCGTAGATTAATCTAGATCAGAAGCAACCATGGCACTCGGTCATAATGGGAGTACAAAGAACAGCGGAAAACTCACCCGCCAATCTAGAATTAGGTAGACTCTCTACAATTAACGTCTCACGTATGAGCGCAAGACTGCTGCCAATTGCGAAGATGATGCCTTGTGACTAGTTTATAATAACAATAAGTCAGTGATGCGGAGGTGTTACGCAGTTGTCCTTTGGCTTGAAAAGTATGGATGTAGCAGTAATGATGCACTTTCAATACATTTCATATTGCAGAAACAGCTGTCTGGTCTAAAAACTGGCCAGCGAAGTTCACTAGTATATCCTGGGGCTCCGCATTTGGGGTCGGACCGCGGTTCTAACCCATGAACGTTGAACCTCTTAGTGGTGGTCATGAGACGTAGTTTGATAGCAATCATTAGGATCTAATGTAGAGAATCATACGTAGTGGTTGATGTCACCTTCACGCATGGGTAGGTCTGGACTCTGGTGATGTCAGTTGTAAATGTAGCTTGGGGGGATTTGCCCTTGGATAGATGGCGGGTAATGGCTATAAAAGACTCTTCTATCTCGTACACGACTAGATTTTGGACGCTTAAGCCTTCAGCAAAAACAATTTCTGAGACTTTGAATTGAAAGAAACCTGTCCCAATGAAGCTCACTCTAGTTGTTCTCAGCTTGACCACCACTGCTCTTGCGGGTGTCTATTGCAACCGTGGCTACTATTATTGTGGCTGGGATCTTAACAAATACGCAAACCCCCCTAGTACGCTAACCTTTCCTGCTGGAAAAATATTCACAAACAGTTGTTGGAGAACTAGATATATCAGCTGCTAACCTATTATAGCCTATCAGTCCAATTCAATCTATTACTGTGACAACCCTGGTGGCGATCAAAGATTCGTTGAGGGTTGCCCAAATGGATGTGTTGGCCCTCAAGCTCATTGCCAGTGGTGATCTATTCTTCTGAATGGGCATTGGCCAACGGCGCTACTTATGAGTTTTTGTTGGAATCAAGTAGGATGTGCTGTATATGGGTTTTACTGCTTCCCATGCTGATCTATCTGAGAAAAGAGTTAGTTTAATACTTCTGACAAGCTGAATTTGACCTGGTCACTATCTATTTCTTTAGCTGTTCTCCCATTATACTGTCATGCAAATGCAAAGGCTACTGTAAATTATAGCAACATCGTATTCGAAGAAGGAAGCGTTGAGGGTATTGCTCCAACACAGCGGATTGGAAAAATGTAGACAGATGGTAGAAATTTTACCATACACGTCCTCACTCCCAGGCAGGCCGTGCTGCCTAGAGCACCCAGTTTGATCGGGTCATCAGTGTGTGTGCGCTAGTTTCCTAGGGCACCTGGCTATCACCGGGCTATTCTGGGCTGGAGCTTTCATCTGGATTGGCGTTGGCACACTGGACTGGGGTGATATCTGGCAACTCTATATGCATTCTGTATCCTCTGCGCACATGGTGTTCATGTTTTAGTTCCTTGCCGGCTTTCTGGTGATTGTCGGCTTGTTAACCGACGCCAGCGCGATGAGATGGAGTCTGACTGGGTAATTACTATGCAACGTTCCGGAAAGTATTATCGAGTCCTTTTCGATGCTTGTTCTGATCACGGGTCACAAGGCGGAGGAGAGTCAGGAACTCACAGGACTGCGCTCCATTTGTGAACGGCGCGTGAGGGTCTTGTCCTTTTTGCAACGGGTTGAGTCGCTGAGAGATAGGTCAACCCTTCCACCTTAGAAACTCGCCGTTGTCTCGACATTCGATTCCATCGGAGTACTCTTTATACTCAAAGTGGCTTCCTTGAGTGGTATCATCTGTCCCTGCACAGGATACCTGGCACGATTCAACAGTGCCTGTTTCACTGGTCAGTGTAGCATTTCAACAATCCTTTTCATACTATGTGACTGTTTCTGAATATACAAGCCGCACTTCCTCGTTTCGCTCGGCGTCTTGAGTTTGTGGCCTCGTGAGTCATACAATATGGGTAGCCCTGTAGAGTCACTAGGTGTCTACTATAAAATAGAGAGCAGAGAAGAGAAGAGAAGAGATGATGCAGAAAACGGTGGCCTTGTAGATAACGATCACATGATGATACGAACGGTGTAGTGTAGACAATGTAGACGCTAGTCCTGTTAAGGAAGCGGATCTATTACATAATCCCCCAGATTCCAGCGGCGCTTTTCCGCTTTCCGCATCGCATTCATCCATTCATTCATTTCATCTTCACCTCATCATCCTACCATGGCCCCCGTCACCCTCAGCACGGTAGACAGTACGTCCCTCACTCACCCACACAGCGACTCATCTAATAAAACCAGCCGACCTCAAGGATGTAATCCAGCATCTCTTCGAAATCCAATCCGCCGTGCACGGCTATCTCGGTCCAGAAACCCAACAAGAACTCGTCCGGAAGATGTACTCCCCCCTCTCCTTCTAACACACCCATACACCTCTAACCCAACCGACGAACAGCAAAAACCTCACCCTCGCGCTCTCCACCCTCTCATCCCACACCCAATCCCACGCCCCGGACGCCGACACAGCACAGGCAAACCCCAGCGACCCGCCCATCAGCACGATCGAGCTGCCCCCCGAGATCATCGATTACGTCGACGCGGCGCGCAACCCGGATATCTACACGCGCGAGTTTGTCGAACTCGTCCAGCGTGGCAATCAGGATCTGAAGGGGAAGAAGGAAGCATTTGCGGGGTTTCGCGATGTGCTGGCGCGCGAGATGAGGAGTGCTATGCCTGAGTGTCGGGGGGAGGTTGATCGGGTGGTGCGGGCGACTGGGGGTGGTGAGGAAAGTTGAGTATGTTGTTGATGAGGACGAGGTTATGAATTATGTGATAGATTAATGAATTTGAATTGTTCCGTCTGGCTTTCGAGGGTGTTGATGGACTCCATGGATGGGAGATATTGTAGTCAGGTTGTCACCTCACTTATTATGTCTAATTTTAGCTTGGAGAGTCGCTAGTCTCTGCATCGAACGAATCTAGCATCATAGTACATTTGCACTTCGATCACCCGTGCATGAACATCCGTGGCTGGTCATGATATTGCATTGTGGTTGCATTGTCCACGTTGGGTGCACAGATGTTGATAAGACTCGCAGGATACTTTTTATCCAGGAGTCATACTATGAGGATTGGTTGTAAATATCAGATTGTCGATGATATGTAGTGGTGAAATAGAAGGTTTCCATGTCTGTTACTGCTCCTGTATACTCCTACATACCCATCTCATACCAACGTAATGCCCGTTATGCTTAGAGATTGATTATCGATATCCGTTCTATGCCACGTATTCCAAGTATAGAAGAGCGAATGACATCTCTGAAGTACATATGCCCAAGGCATATTTTGGGAGCGCGCCAGCTGCATCTTCTTTTCGTGCGCATCCATCCGCCGCTTTGTCACTGACAAGCTCGTCCGGCGAACAGTGCCTTCCTCCCTCACGAAGGCCCAGTCCACTCATCCATCTGAGAAACACTCTCCAACTTCTCGCGGCGCTCACACATAAAACCATCCCGCCCACATCGTGCTGCAGCAGCGCCAAGGGTGCGGCGGGCACATGAGTCAACCGCCCTCTCACAGATCAAGTCACAGTCGCACGTTCCTCTCGAGTCCAACTTCTTGTACCCATAAGAAGACCAGACTAACTTGCCTGGTAACTTGTCACCTGCATGAGAGGACCGTTCGCCTCCACCGCGCAGGTATAGCTTTCTTTTGAGTGAGTGAATGCTCACAAGGAGGCGCGCAGTCCGTGGCGGAGATCCTGCAGGAGACTGGCGTGGTGTTTGAGTTTGCGAATAACTCGTGGGTGCCCCGTGAACTCATGTGAGAGTACCTCTGGCTGCAGGGTTTGCCCACTTGAAGCTGTGACGTCGGAGAATCGAGATCTGATTAGACTATGCCGGCAGAGGCCGGCTGCAGCCGAAGAATGCAGTCTAACTCTGTACGTCGATAGACCAGATCAGATTTATTATCATTACTGTACAGCCAAATGGCCACCTCCTCTTCCAGGCTTTCATCTACACTGAATAGAGTCCATGACTCGTCAGTCAGATGGGATGGTCGGCTCGTTCCTGGCGGACCCACACGGACCCCTGGAACGTCATCGCCACAGTATACAAACGGGGTATAGTAAACAGACCTCGACGACGGCGTCGTCGTCGACAACAGGCATTGCTCATGACTCGTCATTCGTAATCGGATGTTAAAGGTAGGGTATGTCGGTAAAAAGTAGGGTGTTAGGGATCTTGATGGTGGGGTTATCCTGGATCCGACGTCTTAAGGTAAAGACTGCTCGGTTTGCGGGGCCACGAATCTGAATCGCGCAGGTTGCAGGTCTGGGTGTCGCCGCTCCATGAGTGCGAGACTTCGGAGGTGCCGGCCTCGCGATGGCTGGAATGTTCGAACATGGCGATGTCGACATCATCGGAGTCCATGTAGGGGTGATCGCGGCGGCGCGGCGCGGGGGCGGTCGCAGCGTGTGTGAGATCGGAGGTGACGCGGGTGGCGTCGACGAAGTCGGGAAACTCTCCAGGGGCGGTGCCGGGGTGGGTAGCCGACTCGGTTTTCCAGACATGATGGCGGACGAGGTGGACGAGCTTCCCGAGGACGGCGAACTCTAGCTTGAGCTTGACGGAGTAGACGACGCCCTTGATCATGGTTTCCATGATGTAGAGATTCTTGTACTCGACTACGAGCAGGCCGAGGTCCATGAAGATGATGATGAGGTTGATGGCGACGAGCTGGTACATGATCTTGCGCTTGGCGGGGTCCGGGTCGAGGCGCAGCATGCGGACGGTCTCCATGATGTACAGGGCGGAGAGGATAAACTCCTGGATGCAGAAGCCGGTCATCTGGATCTTCTCCATGACGTTGTAGCCGTCGATGTAGGCCCAACGGCCGCTGGACAGGTTGGAGCCATAGGTGAGCACGGTGGTGGGGATGTGCAGGATGACGGCGTTGACGATGATCATGGCCAGCACGCGGCGCAGGACGCGATGGTTGGGGAGGACGAGGTGCAGGCGCGAGTAGAGGACGACGGACTGGCCGGTGACCATGCAATACCAGCCGACGGTGATGCAGGTGACGGAGAGCCAGGCGTCGGCGAGACGGTAGAACTTGAGCAGGAAGCCAATGGCATAGGGGATCAGACCGAGGGAGGAGGAGATGAGCAGACTCCAGAAGTAGACGCCGCGATATCGGGCAAAGGTGACAAAGACGAGGATGATCAGCTCGATGGCATTGTACCAGGTGATGCCGGCGAGGGTCGCGATGGCGATGCGGACGACGATGCTGTCGCCGGTGTATCCGCCGGTGATGCCATTACCGGGGGAACGACTACTGGCCATGATCAGGCATGGTGGAGGAGAGGTGAGAGAGGGAGAGGGAGAGGGGAGGAGAGGAGAGGAGAGGAGAGGAAGAGAGAGAAGGAAGATGAGGTGAGAGTGAGAGTGAGATCCGGGGGAAGTCTGGGGGTGGAGATATTAGGCATAATTAGTTAATTAATTTAGTCTTATTATTAGGATGACTGTTAGGGTACACCCTGCAAGACTGGCAGTTTCTTTGTCCTCAATACGAACTCCGCCACCTCCCCATTTGGGCCGTTTCCACGACAAAGAAAGTCTCCCGGAGGATATAACCTTACCATCTTAATACGCCCTGTTATAAAGAACATACTCGAAAGTATCCCCTATTCTACTTGCCTTTCCCCTGGAACAGACTCCCGAATAAGAATACTAACCAGGGTTATGACTTCATCCGACGCAGCAGTCAGATCCTGAATCCTGCGACACTCACACGGCACGCCAACCGACCGACTACCTAAACTAGTCACCACCAACACACGGGGGATTCCTGAATTCCCCGAGATCCACAGACCGTCGTACCACAGAGGTCTCAACCCGACAAACATCGGAGCATTCTGATACTCCAACTTCAACAGAGTTCGGAGGTCACTACCAAGGAATGAGTCCACGCGAGTCCGATCCAACCCCTTACGGATCCACGTGTGACGTGACGGCCCCCTCCACACGTGCGTCGGGCAATAAAGGTACGCTGTATTAATACAAGAGTGTCATCATAATACGGAGTAATAATCATCTCGCGGTGAGAAAAGCCCGCGGAGACAAAAACACCGGCGTCTTTTCCCGGCTCAAACTCGACATGTCCAAGCGACCTGTCCAGTTGCTTCGGGGAGCATGGATCCTGCCTGGGAATTAGGTACGCCTAAAGACGGGTGGTTGGGGCTGTAAGGCTCGGCGCTGTTTTACTTGGGTAGACTAGGTAGGCTATGTAGTGTCTTTCCATCGTTAACTCGAGAATAGGTATAGAACAGGTAGACTATCAGGTGTCGGGTACTCCATAATGCGATGTATACTACTCATGACTGAGAACCGTGACCGTGATAATAGGCTATGCCAACGTGCGCGATACCCGACGAACAATCTAGGTACTCGCTCGGGCCAACTGTGACCAGCCTGATGTCATACCCCATAACTAGTTATCAAGGACCAATAACTCCCGCATTAACACAACAATATCAAGAAATATCGAGACAAAGACATACACTCTCTCACTCGACAGCAAACCGTCGACTCCCCTCCACCAGCCCGTCTGACAACTTACTCACCCCCACCCACACGGGCGCATACGCCAGTACCTCATCCAGCGCCGGTATCAGCCCCGGCTGGTTGTGGTCACTCCACAGGCACACCGCTCGTCCCGTCAACTCCGTGTCCGCCGTGTCCATCGGCCACTCTACATCCACCGTCCATGTATGCGCCCACTCCCGACTCCAGAGCCGGATCTCTCGCGTCCCGTTCGGCGATTCAAGCGGGAACCGCGCGTCGTAGGCCGAGTCCGCCACCTCGAACTTGGAGACTGGTGTGTCAAACACCAACTTGCAGGCCCGTGTGTCCTTGCCCGAGACGCGGAACCGCGCGGCCGGGGTGCGCTTCTCGGCGCTCCTCGACGCCGTGAAGGACACCCAGTCCGCCAGTTTCGTCTCGTCAACCACCTGTGGAGTCAGCCCGTCCCAAGAGCACTGGAGGCGGTCGCGTAGCCAATCGCAGGTGACGTTCTGGCCGGCGACGCTGGGAAGGCCCTGCGCCACATCCTCCACGAACGGGGCCACGCCCGTCAGCGACGCGCGGTTCGTCCCGGCGTCGAGATCCACCTGCTGTATAAAGAACAACTTCAGACGGTTGTTGGCGGAGAATGGGAAGGCTGACAGGTTGTAGATCAGTGTGCCGACAAAGACGGCAAGGAGGAACATCGGGATGTGGTAGGTGTAGCGGTGCACGAACGGTAGCAGAGGCGTCAGAAGAAGCGTTGTGAGAGCAGCAATGGCAATGTAGATAAACAGGGAGGATCCTCCGTCCTGCCCCGTCTGGTGGATGGCACTCGTCAACAGGAGTGCAATCGGCCCGATGAAGATCAGCACCAGCGGCACAACCAGAATGAGCTGCAGGAGCCACGTCCATCGGGGCATGTGGGCACTCCACCGCTGTTCACGACCGTAGACATTAGGGTCGGACTCTTCCGTTTCCCCGCTGGCATGGTGCTCTGCGTCTCCGCCCACCCGCACATAGTTTGCAAACGTTGTCCGCTGCCCACTGCCCAGCAGGGACGTCGACTCTGTCGGCTCTTCGTCTTCCTCCTCCTCCCCATCCCCTCCAGATCCGACTCCCTGTCGGCTGTCGTAGGCACTGCCCCGTCGCGAAGTCCCCGTCAATTGACCGGCATAGTCCGACTTCCGCGGCAGGGAGAAGAGCTCCAGGTAAGCGATCCACGTAGCCACAAACGTGCCGGCAAAGACGAAGAATGCAAAGTAGCCTCCGGAGAGACCCCACCGGTTCCCATAGACGGTCGCAACAACCAGGAGAACCCAAGTGAGCACGAACATCCACGTCAACGTGTATACCCGGTGGAAGGCCGACGGCCGTGCAAAGTCCGCCACACGCGCGACGAACCACGCCAGGAAAACCCACACCGACAGCATCATGCTCCACACGGCGTACTCACTGCTATGGATGATGTAAGGATTGACCTTTGTCACCAGATAAGCCAGCGCGACCGTGATCACCGTCGGGACCGCAAAGAGGAACGGAAACCGGAAGAACCCGCGCGTCCCGCGCAGCGAAACCACCATGCCGTCCTCGGTCTTTGCAGACGATCGAAACAGATACATCTTGTCAGCCCTGCTGAGCGCAACGCTCGTAATAAGCAGAACCAGCGGAGCCACAATAAGCAGCGTCACCGACAACGCAAACAGCGTATGCAGTTGGAACACCACAAACGTGCTCCCAAACAAGTCGAACCAGACAGCTTCCGTACCCGTACCACTGGCAATCTGGCCCTCATTCTTCGCCGGCCCATCGAACCGATCACTCGAGTCCGACACCAGCCCGGATGTAGTCGCCACCGCTGCCGACAGCATATGCCACAGCGACGCCTTGCTCGTATGCCGGGTGTCGTCCTGATCGGTATGGTACCGGGCACGGGGCTCCATGAACGCGACGTCAAGCCCGCGCAAGCCCATATCCCCCTGGAAGACAACATAGTCCGTCTGGCTGCGGATCAAGCCTGTCTCGAACCCGTTCGCGCTCAGCACCGACCCAAACGGGTGCTGCGATTTCATATACGCGCGCGTAACTTCGGTATCGGAGCTGCGGAACAGCGTCGCGCGGCCGCCGGCGCCGGCGCCCTCCAGGTTCAGGAACGTGTGCGGCAGCTTGGAGATCGGGTGTTGGCTGTAGACACGAGCGCCGTTGAGGAAGTCCTCCTCGCCATTGTTGAACAGCACGACCAAGCCGCGGCGGGGCGCATGGCCCGGGGTGGTGAAATATTTGATCAGCTGGAGGCACGTCACGACGCCCACGCCGTCGTCGGTCGCGCCGAGTCCCGTCGACACGCTGTCGTAGTGCGCGTTCACGAGCACGCCGCCGCGCCCCGACGGCGCTCCGTGCGGCGTCTCCCACCACTTGTCTTGGTCGTCCTCCGACCCGCGGATGTACACGAGGATGTTGATTCCCTCGAAGTAGACGCCAATGTTCGCATCACTGATCGTGTTGCCTGTAAAAGTCAGGTTCGATGTCTGGTCATCGAACACGAACACGTCGGGTTTTTCTTCGTCGAGAGCGCGATATGCCGCTTCTGACGGCGTGGCTTCCAAGATGCCCTTGATGCGGTTCCGCAGCCACTCGTGGACAATGTCGTTCTGATGGGAGTTGTAGGGCCGGAAACCACGAGTCAGGTCTTGGAGATCAGCCCAGGCTTCGGCGATATCCAGGCCGCGCGGATTCGACGAAGGGGGCGGAGGTACAACATGGTGGACGACGAGTAAGGGAATCACCAAGGCGAGATAAACGAGGGATGTGATCACAGTGACAGGCCATGGGGTAAAAGCCAATGGGTTCGCGCGAGATAGCTTGAGAGACGCCATGAGGACGACTTCATCAAGAACTCAGCGATGACAACCGGGAGGAGCTGTCTTGCGAAGCTGCGATGTGATGCAATCGGATCCTGCCAAGGCGGAACGAAAAGCGGGGACTGCCTGCCTGGATCGTCAGGCAGAACATCTACTGCACCTTACAGGATTCGGTGTCGAAAGGCAAAACTGATAGTTCACTGGGTATATGCTCCATGTACCTAGACCCGAAAGCAGAACGCCTCAATGCATGTCTCGCTATGTAGATGATACGGCCACATATACCTAGTATGGACCTGGCACCTGTCGCCCTCTTCCCATCCAGTGAAAGGAGATCGCCTGGTTCTGCCAATCTACCGGCAACTGAATTCCGATAAGGAAAACCACAAGTAACCATTAAACACATGACCGATCATACAATCGCTACCAATGCATTCGCCATGAAGAACTGCGACAACCTGGATCGCACCGCACCAATGAAGACAGATTTGATAACACAAAATAGCGATGAATAGAAATGGCTGATGATGAAGCAACAAAGATGATGTCAAAGACAGGCTCAAGTCGTAGGCAGGGTATCGGTCTGACTATCGGGTATATCCGTGTATTCGTCGGCGTCGTGAATCGCGGTCGCATGCAAGAGGCCAGTCACTTGGCCCTCGTCCTCTTCTAATTCTTCGTCATCGTCGTACATCGTCGCCTCAGTCATATCGCGTATGGGAGAGCTGGTTCGGTTAAGGAAGTCTCGGAGCCGGTTGACGCCCTCGCCGCTGAAGACACAGAAGACGTCCCGCTGCTGGTTGGTGAACTCTGGAGGTGCCTCGCGACAGAATACGGTAAGCTCCTCTCGCAGGAACTCTTGCACGCCAGTGAGACTCAGGTGGGTGAGACGAGGACAGTTGTTGAGCAGCTCGTGAATACCCTAATCGATCAGCATCTATCCCGCAAAAAAAAAAAAAAAAAAGGCATCAGGAACCGAACTTACCCTCTGCGTTATTTGGACACAGTAGCTTAGATGGACCCGCTCCAAGCTACTGGTTCCCAGCGGATGGTGTGATACATTCGTCCGAGCAAGGGCCCTGATGCTAACGTCCGTGATCAGTTGGCACTTAACTAGACCCACCCGTCGTAGCTTGGGCAGCGTTGCCAACTGCTGCACGCTAAGGTCGGTGAGAAGGTTGCAGCACGCCAGATCGATGTACCGAATGCGGTTGCAGGACTTGACCAGCTGGATGACGGCAGAATCCGTGATATTGGAGCAATGACCAAGATGGACGTAGTGTAGATTCTTCCCAAGCTTGCAGATCGCCCAGACCGCGCGATCGGTGATCTGCCGACATTTGGCTAGGACAAGGTTTCGTAAACGAGGCGCTGACTGAACAATGCGCTCCACTGCGTCGTCCTTGATTTTTTCGCAAGCTGTGAGATCTAGAATACGGAGACTATCCATAGAGAGATGCTTTGGAAGCTCCAGAAATGCGGTGTCGTCGATTTCGCTGCAATGCGCCAGTCGCAGTTCACGAAGATTGGGAAGAGTTGCCATCAGACAAGTCACGGAAGCATTGGTGACGAGTTTGCAATCATGCAGGTCGATCTCAAGGATCGCAGGGCAATTCTGCGCAAACGAAATGATCGCTTTATCCGTCACTTGGCCAACCCCGTTCAATTTCAACTGTCGCATGTTAGCTCCGGACACTCAAACTCATCTGGCGTCACTCACCCTCTTGATCTGTCGACAATTCTGTGAGACAATGATCAAAGATTCGTCCGTCACCTTGGCACAGGCCGTGATATTCAGCCCCTGCAACCGAGGGCAGTTCCTCGCCACCGTGTAGAGGGTGTGGTCTGTCAGGGAACGAAGCTCCGACACGTCTAGCGCTTGGAGGTGACGGTTCCCATCAACCAGGTCCGACACCCCTGTGTCCGTAAGTTTGGAGCAATTCGTCAAGGTAAGGCGCTCGATCCGTTTGCACTGGGCGAAAGACATGACAGTGCCGTCACTGACATCATCCGCCAACGCCGAGAGATTCAGCCGTCGGATCAGCGCCGAGTACTCGAAGATACTATCGGCCTCGCCCACGGAGTCGGCGATGCTCTTCATGTTTTTCCAGTTGTTGCACGACGGCCGGTGCCAAAGGATCCCCACACAGTTCGCTGCCCAACCACGACACACCCGCATGCAGCTAAGCAAGTCCGCTGGCGAGCTCAGTTTGGCAAAGATTGCAATCAAGATCTCCGGGGGGAGACGTCCGATGGGCGGTAAAGCGACGTACTGGTCATGGTGACTGGAGTCCCGGATGTTTGCGACGCCGATGGATGATTGCGAATCGTTTGCTTGGGCTGTGAAGAAGTCGGTATCGTCATCGACGGTGCGATCTGGGGAGGTCGAGCTGGAGGTCTCGGATGGGGCCTCGCTCGGAAACCGAGCGGCTTGCCGGGAGCGGGGCATGAGGAGCCGTTGGACGCGACTCGCGTAAGCCTGAGATGCTGCGAATGCCGTGGTGATGTCGGTTTCACTTAGCGGGGGGGGTATGACATGGAAGAAGTCCTTCTCGTCAGAGCATAGAGAAGAAAAGACCCGACTGGTCGATATGGAACCGAATCAGGGACGAAGAGGCACGACAGGACACAGGTTCGGAGGCAAAAGGTAGGATTATTGGATGGGAAGTCGTACGGGTGAGAGGGTGACCGGGCGCTTATGAGGAAAATGCGGGTCGGGGCCGTGCCTGCAACAAGGTATGCGTGGGCAGACAGGGCAAGGCAAGGGAGGGGAGAGAGAAGACAGCGACAGGTCGGTGGACGCGAGGGAGACCGAAGTACGATTCGAACGATCGAGTCGTTGTCGGAGAATAAGGGAGAAAGCGCGACTCCAGAGGACTATGCCAATGAAATCGGCAGGGGTGGAAGGCTATGCCGGTGGGAGGAGAAGCGTACTCCGTAAGATGGACGATGACGATAGGGCGGCTGTAAGAGGGAAGGCGAAGGCTGTCAAGCGCCGACAAGAGGCAAACCGATCAAGGTGGGGGTGGTGGATTTTCCGACTGGAGAAGGTGGTTAGAGGGGGGTTTGACAGGAGGAGTCGATGATGCACTCCACTGAGAGGAAAGAAGTGCAGCAGGATACGTACAGACCGACAGAAGTCCGTCTCGGATGAGAAGATGAGGAAGAAAAGAGAAGTGGGAGCGAAGAAGCCTGGAGGAGAGTGCAGTGAGGATCAGCTGAAGCCAGGGAACCTTGATTGATCGGGTCCCGTGCGCTCATTGGATCACATTCACTTGGTTATGCCCTTGTGCGTCTTAGTCATACCTATAATTATTCACTTCACTGTACTCCGTAGTCACTCGCTCTTCTAGGTAATCTACTCTAATCTTCTCTTCTCTCCTTCTCAAGTTCTGATCGTATCGTGAATCAAATGAGTGGTTCTCCCGACGGCACCATGGGTACCGTGGGTCTCGGTCCGATTCTTCAGATTCTGGTAAGCTAAAGTACTAGCGGTAGTATGCCTCCCTTCCCAAACGGGACGCTGTAAGGGACAACTACCTCATTGTCTTCACTAGAACACCAAACTATATCCATCTCGCAAATAGTGCTCCATACAATCACCCCTCGATTTGTACGCCAAGTCAAGCCAGGCTATTCTATCATTAGGTCTACTTCAGAGATCCCGCCAATAAAGTCGCCTACCCCCTTCGATATATATTCCCTCATGTCCGGCTCCCCCCCTTGGCCCATTCTCGGAGCACATTCTTCCTCACCTTTCCCGTGCTGGTTTTGGGCAGCTCTGGTACTACTTCCACCTCGCGTGGGACCATAAACTTGCTAATCCCACTCGTGCTCCGAGCCCACTCAATCACCGCCTTGCCTTCCAAGGTCTTCCCACCCTTCACCGTCACGTACGCCTTGGGGCGCTCGCCCCAATGGCTATCTGGAACGGCCACGACCCCCGCCTCCAGAATGTCCGGATGGGTAACCAGCATGGATTCCAGCGCCACAGACGAGATGTTCTCGCCACCTACATACCAGCCATCGTCAGTACTCACTAGGACCATAAACTCGACACAGAGGGCAACATCTTACCGCTGATGATAATATCCTTGGCGCGATCCAGGATCTGAATAGCCCCATCGGAATGCCAAACGGCCAAGTCGCCCGAATGCAGGACCCCACCCGCGAAGAGTTTCCGCGTGGCTTCGGGATCTTTGTAGTAACCCCGAGCGCAAATATTTCCGACGAACACAATCTCTCCGATCTCCTGGCCATCGCGGCTGACGTCCACCACCGTCCCCTCAGGCACGTCGGTCTTGACGACTCGCACAGGCAAACTGGTCACGAATCCATGGCCCTGCCGCGCCATCTTCTGGTACTTCTCCTTCAGTGGCAGTTGGTCCCACGAGGGCATGATGTACCCCTTCGTAATGGGACCGTACGTCTCCGTCATTCCATAGGTGTGAACCGGGTGCAAGTTTAGGTTGGTCATCTGCTCGAATAGATGCGGCGTGGGCGGACTTGCCGCGACGGTAACCTGCACCGGGTTCGGGAGTCGCTCCGCTTCATCGGCGTTGCAGAGCAGTGTGTTCACGGTGGGCGCTGCATTGAAGTGCGTGACATGCTCCTGTTTGAGAAGCCGCCAGATCTCGGGGTAGTCGATCTTCCTTAGACAGTAGTGCGTTCCCCGTACGGCGGTGACAGCCCACGGGAACGTCCAGCCTACACGAGGGTCAGTAATGATGATGAGATGCCAGAAGTCGAGAGTAGCCACCCACCCATAGCATGGAACATGGGCAGCGTCCACAGGTAACGACAACGTCCGCGCAGGGGATTAAGACCCGATTCGATGACATTGCCCATCGCCGCAAGATAACAGCCACGATGCGTGTACTCCACTCCCTTGGGACGTGCTGTCGTGCCGCTGGTGTACGCCAGAGCGAGGATATCGTCTTCGGAAGCAGCCTGGCTCTCAAGCCCTTCCCAGCCCTTGGCGCCAGTCTCGAGGTCATGTCTCAGGCCTTCCAAGACCGCTCCATCGAAAGGACCAGAGAGCTCGCCTTCGGTGGCATCCGTGTCAGTATCAATGATGATAGGAATGTTAGGCTTTGAAGCGCGGTAGGCTTGGATAAGCGGTTCGAATTCCTTATCCACGATGATGACCTCGACATCGGAGTGTTGGAAGATATAGCTGATATCATCCTCCTTCAAGCGATAGTTGACGGCTGGTCCTCGTTAGATGTCTATTCTCGTTGAAATACGTAGCCGAGGCGCTTACCAACATTGACCGCCCCAGCGGCTGCGATTCCGAAAATGGACTCCAGGAAGGCAGGGGTGTTGGGACACAAGATGCCAACCCTCGTAAAGCCATGTTTCTTCAAGTAGTACGCAAGGCCCCTGGCGCGATCCGCAGTTTCGATGTAAGATCTCCGCAGGATCTGATTATTCGCCGTGACATGGTAGATGGCCTCGGCCTATCTCCGATAGAAATGACTGGTTAGTTCAAACAAGACAAGTAGCAAGGGCGCGATACCGCTCACCTCAGGCTCAATGGCAGCCGCTCTCGGCAAGAAAAAGGTCGGCGACAGAGTGTGGAAGTTCACCCTATGCTCGTACCGAGCCGGCGCCTCAGGACTAGATCCCTGGGGCTCAGCTGAAGAGAAGTGGCCGAGCAAAGCCGACAGACGGGACTTCGCAGACATGTTGAAAAGACGGCGTATCAGAGTCAGGATCTCTGCATAAGGGGGACAGAACCGCGAAGATGGGAATGCAGCGAGAAATAACCGAGCAGGGCCCGGTCCGGGTTCCGAGTTCGAGATCTAAATGCGGGGGAAAAAGACGCTAAACTCGGACCGCGGAGAAGCGAACTAGACCCTTTTGCCCGTGGTCTTTTCGCAACCGGGGATCTGGGAGTTTCAGGGATGACCTCATGAGATGTCTGCAAGGCGATTTGGTAATATCTAGGCTACATAGCTTCACAGAATTGGATAAAATCAAAGGAGCTCCTCCATATCTACAAGGGGTAGTCGCATGGAACATCTGGAGTCGAAGAACCACCACAGAGCATCACAGGTCGACCGTAGAAAGCATCATTATTCCCTTTTTTTTTTTTGTTTGAACTCTTGAAATTCTTTGGATTAAACCGCCACGGCGCGAGAATAACGGTCAGCTATTTTGAATCACCTTTCATCCCAAACGACTCCGTATTTTTAATAAGAAATCGATCTCTCCAGCCTCCATGTGCGTCACAACGTGAGAATTGTGGGAATTCATGACAAGGTAGGGACAGTGAGAAAAAGGTCGATCCGGCTTGCTGTCCACATTCCGCTGAAAGAAAACCGTTTGCGATCCCAATCCCATCCCATCACAGACACAAGCAACCAGCCGAGCAACTAGGTATCTAGAATCCGTACTCAGCGAGCTGGCTCTTGGTCTTCTCGTTAACACCCGCCGACTTCTGAGCGTGGACAAGTTGGCGGCGAGCGGCCTTCTTGCGCTCGTAGTATGCACTGCTCTTAACCTTTCTGCGCTCCTCGAGTCTGTAGAGTCCGTTAGCATGCCCCCAGAGATAGACCACACTCGAGATGTAACGTACCTGGCGACAACGTCCTGGTACTTCCAGCCAACCTCGTGGCTGAGTCTGCCGACGGTGCAGTACTTGCGGCCGGGGCGGAGACGGAGAACGCGCAGAGCCTGGGGAACGACGACACGCTTCTTCTTGTCGTAGGGAGGGGGAACACCCTCGAAGACCTTCAGGCGCTCCATGGCGGCGGCACCACGGGCGGTCTTGTGGGGGATCATACCACGGACGGCCTTGTAGAAGATGCGGGAGGGGGCGCGGAAGTGGAAGGGACCTGATCGATGGCAGCGTTAGTACCATCCCAGACGGTCTCGGGATACGGTTTGGATGCTCACCTCCGCGAGTGGGGTTGAAACGGGTCATCTTGCGAAGGTAGGCGTGGTACTTCACTATATCGCACAATCCGAGTCAGTCGAGTCTGTAGTTTGAAGATGATGGCATGGTTCGTCTCGGCGTCTGATTCTGTTCCTCCGCTGCGATCCTCCTTGATCCCACGCACAAGCGCTCTCTTCCTCCCCGTCGACCGAAACTCCCACATCATCAAACACAAAAACGCAGAAATGCAAAACCGGGTCGGAGGTCACGTACGCTTCGCGCGGAAGAACTCGCCGGAGATGTTGAGGGCTTCACATCTCACGACGACGATCTTTTGGCCGTTGAGCAGCTGCTTGGCGACAGTGCTGGCCAGACGACCAAGAAGGTGTCCCTTGCCGTCAATGACGACCTGCGAAAATCCAACACAAGTTAGCGATATATGTTTCTGCAATAGGCGATTCGTCTCCGTCTCGTCGCAACATCATGATCACCATCCTTCCCCATCATGATCATCTTCAACCTCCTCCCGAGACATCGACATTCAAATCCCTGGGGGGATGGAAAAGGGGCAACGCACGACTGGCTCGGTAGCGGACATCCTGCTCGTGTCAAAAGGAAAATATCCAGCGAAAGAAGAGCACTGCTCTAGGATACTCCCTTGGGATGTATGTTGTCGGCGGTTGTTGTCGTTGTGGGCAGGTTCAACGCACACAACGAAGTCGGATGGTTCCCAGGGTTGTCGCTAAGCGAGACTAACTTTGTGTGGCCGATCGGGGAGGGCCCCAGCCCTAAGTCCCGCCAATCCCGTGGCCCGTAGTCACGTGAATTATACTGCCACCTTTTCTATATTGCCACTGCAGCCTGCTAGATCATAGGATATGAGATGATAGTATTAGTGAATAGAAATAAATAGTTACCTAAAGCTTTCTTACACGTTGCCTTCTTACCCAGGTAGGCATTTGCGATTATCTCCAGGGAACAGAGGTTGCAGATGGCGTCGTTGGAGTATGATTACATAAGCTGATTTATAGACCACCCAAGCCTCCAGAATCATCTAGTCCTGTCACACTGTCGAGTCCAGATTCGCTGGGCAATTCTTATCGTTACAATCGTGGTTGTTTCCAGCCCTTCGACGCCTTATGTCCATATCCGTAGGCTGGCATACGGCCGACAGCTCAGCAGCAAGCCGGCACCAAGACCGACTTACACAATGGCCCTATTACCTCTCAAGACCGAAGATGGTCATTGGTACTGAGTCTGCACGGAATGTTCGAGGCCATTTCCGCATCTTCCATCCTAGCCCAGACGGCGCCTACAGGATCGCGGTAACCAAACTGGGATCTCCTACACCACCGTTCCCGATACCACCCAGCAAAACCTCACTAGGGTAGGTACTCGATAATCAAGGCTGTGCTAGTCTGCCCCGAGATACCTTACCCTCGGAAACCATTAACTTTCAAGTGGCGCTCTTCGTGCGACGTAGCAGCGCCCAGTATCACAATCCACTTGCTGTAGATGGCACGGTCACAGCCTCCTGCCATCGTTGGCGCGAGCAAGCAGCCGGATAATAGGTAGGCAGATGCTGCTGACACCATACTTGCAGTACTGTAGGCTATCCTAAACGACGGGTTTGAAGTATGTCCAATGACGGCACGCATGGCAGTCCCACAGAGTCCATCATCCGAATCTGCATTGAAACCCACCGCAACGGCGCGGAGATATTCGGCAATACTCATGGCATCCTGATGCTACATCACAGGTAGTACTCTGGTGTACAGCCTCGATAGACTGCAGCGCGTATATCCGTCTCACTGGACCGGAGTTTCGGGCCGTTGTCCGGTGTTGAAGGCTGAGTCTGAGGCTGAGGCTGAGGATGACTGCTCATACAAGCTGACGTGAGTCATACCTTGATCTGTGATACGCATTCGTGAACATCCCGTAGCGATGTCTTATGAAGGCCCTTGTCAACGTTGGAGATGAGATGCGGAGTGGCATCCGTACCTAGCTGTCGATCATGACCCACTCCCATTGTCATGTTTACGTACAGAGTAACTACCTACGGCAGAGTGGATAAGGCATACCTCTTCCGTTGAATCTCGGAGAATAATACATTCGTCCATGGCATTAGCTATCAACAAGGCATATGTTACTCGATATGAGAGTGTCCATTTCATCGTATATATCGAAATGTTTTGGGTAAACAAACCCGACATAGACGTCTATGAATCTTATCACAGTCCGCGTCAAAATTAACATTAAGCATTAATATAGTCGTCGTATATTCTGACCCATCCAATAAATCGTACAGCGTAAGCCCGTGCATGTCTAGTACAGCGGCAGTTTCGCGTCGCGCGTGCCCCGTTCGATCACCTCTTCCACGTCCCATCGAGGAGGTTCGATCGACTTGCGGCCAGTCTTCGTATGGAAGTCCGCTGGGAGCGGCTCCCTGAGCCCACCCGCGATGCCGGTGGAATATTTCAGTCGCAAGGCGTTCCCGATCTCGTCGCACACCCGCAAAAGATGATCTAGGTCGTCCTTGGTGTGCGCAGCCGACAAACAGAAGCGCACGCGGGATAGCTCCAGTGGCGTCGCCGGGTAGGTCACCACGACGACGGAGATCTTACGACGCAGCATCTCGTGCGAGAAGGCGGGCATTTTCGCTGGGTTGTAGAGCATCAAGGGAACGATTGGGGCGTCGTCGTGACCGTAGACGATGAATCCGAGACGTTTGAGACCGAGGCGGGAGATAGCGCGAGTTAAACGCAAGTCGTTGGATGCGTTCGCGGCCCTGGCCCGGGTGCAGCGGGTCCTCATCGGCGATGAGCCGCAAGGAGGAATAGATCTGTGCAAGGACAGCGGGGGCCGGTGCTTCGCCGAAGATTTGACCAGCATTCGTGGCGCGCAGCTTGTCGATGACAGCCTTGTCGGCGGCGACATAGCCACCATTGGCTCCAAAGGACTTGGTGAAGGTGCCCATTAGGATGTCTACCTCGGCAGGGTCGACGTGGAAATAGTCACATACACCACGGCCATTGGGACCGATAGCGCCAATGGAGTGGGCTTCGTCCACGAACAGGTTGAACTTGTATCGTTTCTTCAGTTCGAGAATCTTGGGCAGATTGCACATGGTACCCTCCATGGAAAACAGGCCTTCCACGGTGACCAAGATCTTCTTCCACGGCCGGTGCGTGCGAGGCTGACCCTGGGAGATGGCTTCCCTGAGCTTCTTTTCCAGATTAGCCATGTTGTTGTGCGAGAAGACTTGGATAGAGGCACCAGAGAGGCGGGCTCCAAAACGGATAGACGCATGGTTGAGTTCGTCGGAAAGAATCAGACAGCCTTTCTCGACTAGCGCGGGGAAGATTGTGGCATTGGTAACGAAGCCCATGGAGAAGACCATGGCCGATTCCTTTCCGACGAAGCGTGCGATCTGTTCCTCCACCTGGTTATGGAGCTTGGATGTGCCGGTGTCGCTACAAGATCCCACCATGCTTATGCCGTCGCGCCGGATGACTTCTTCAGCGTAATCCGCGCAGGGCCCTTCCGACTGCGCAAAGCCCAGGTAATTGTAGGAGCTCAGGTTTAGCGTATCCGTGGTGGTTCCCGTCAGCTGAAAGTGAATGTTGTCGTCGGTGGTCTGGTCGAGCAGAGTGATATAGCGGCCTGGGACACCGGTGGTGGGTCGGTCGAAGCAGTCATTGATGCGTTGTTTAAGACGTCGCGTGTAGAAACTCTCAAAGTCACTGTACAGCGAGGCGTAGCCGTTCTGGGGTTTCAAATGCCGATACGTCTGGGGGCGGAACCACTTGGCGAAGAAATCATGGAAGTGACCGAGGAAGATGAGAACGAGGAAGTTGAGATAAGTAGTCAACGCGATGAAATACGGCGGCTCATCGAGGACGGGATCTGCAATCTCTCCACCGGGGTGTTGACTCGTGTAGAGATGTGACGGATCACCGAGGGGACCGAATTCTGCATGTTGCTTGGCGAGCTTTCGGATCGCCGCGGGATCCGAATGGGATTGAGCATTCACCGTCCCGGTGGGGTTGGAGGGATCGGGAGAGCTCCCGGAGACAGCACGAAGAGAAGCGACAGCATTTGACTGCGGTCGTGGAGGCGAGTGGAAAGTGTCGGCCAACACGGCAAAATTATTGCTGTGGGCGACGTCGTTGTCGGAACGAGGCTTCTCTTTGCGTTTCCACCGCGGCATGGTGCTGGAGGCCCTCAATCTTCGGGATGAAGACTACGAGGTTGCGACCGGGTTGGATGGAGGGAGCAGATGAGGGGAGACTACGAGAAGGTCGAGTGTAACGGAAGAAAAGGAGAAGAACGAATCTACCTAATCGATCATGTAATCTAGGCCCAAAGAAGACCCACCGTCATCGCTGCCGTCGGTTCCCATTGGCCATGGGAGCTGTCAGCTCTTACATCATTTGAGGTACAGTTACCTAGTTACCTAGGTACTTGGGAGGTACTCTTTCTGTGAGGTTAGTATGCGAAAGGTACCTTATTTCTACTAGTATATCTATGTATGAACAGGGTATATTCTCTCCGGCACTACTATCATTCGAGTAACTCTGAACTCGAGTCCTGTCTCCAGTGCAGGTGGTGATCGTTGCAGATCCGATCGGAATGTGCCAAGCCGAGGCACAGATCACACTGCCTCTCGACAAATTCCCTTCTCAACCATGCCCAAAACCCGCTTCGTCTGCGTTTCCGATACACACGCCTACACTCCCTCCGAGGCCGGGTTTAAACTGCCTCCTGGTGATGTCCTGATACATGCGGGCGATCTCACCACCCGAGGCAGCCTATCCGAGCTGCGGAAGACCCTACAATGGATTTCTGCCGCTGACTACGAAGTCAAGATAGTCATCTGCGGTCTGTTCGCATCAGCCTCCTTACCGAGTGCCTCAGCCTTTGCTACCCCATTTGTACACCTGCAGCGATGCGCTGGTACTCTGCACGGGGGATCCAGACTGACCAGACCCAGGAAACCATGACATCACACTCGACCCAAGCTCCCTTCCGAAACAAGGCGACGAGGCTCTAGAAGAGTCCCAGAAATGCATCGAAACGATCACCGCTACACCCTCCATTCTCTTTCTCAGGCACGAGTCAGCGCTAGTCCGCTTGACCCGTCCCACCGGCCCCAACACCGTCTTCACGGTCTTTGGGTCCCCTTACTCGCCGTCCCATTCCCACGGGACAACATCCACCTGGACTGCGTTCGGATACGAGTCCGACGCTGCAGCAGCACTCTGGCAGCACATCCCATTGGACGCCGACGTGGTCGTCACGCACACCCCGCCTCATTCGCTCTGCGACCGCCGCACGGCAGCCGTTGGGCCCGAGGGCTGCGACGCCCTGCGCCGTGCACTGGGGAAGGCTCGCCCGCTGCTGGCGGTTTGCGGCCATGTTCACGAGTCGCGAGGCTGTGAGCGTGTGCGATGGGCGTCTTCGCCATCATCCTCATCCTCGTCTCAATCACCGCAGGATGCGAGTGAGATTGAGTGCGTTGAACGGGTGGCTTTGCCGCCTCGCGGCAGTAAGAAACAGAGTCTCGTTGATTTGACGGGCAAACGGGCGCGCCGGCTTGAAAACGAGGGCTTTGCGGCTGAGCAGATGCGAATGCGAGAGGGTTCGTTTCCGGGCACGGCGGACGAGACGAATGCTGTGGTGTGGTATCCTCGAGGTGAACAGGCAGAACAGTGTCTCACAGAGGACAATGACGAATTTGGCGCCCGTCGACGGGAATCCTGCATTGTGAACGCTGCCATTCTTGCGACGAGCTGGCCTCATCGCCAGGGCAAGCAGTTCAACGCCCCGATCGTCGTCGATCTGGATTTGCCTACCTGGAGAAGCAGTGTGACCGACCGGTGATGAACACCTGGTACGATTGGATGCAGTTGACTTGTTATCCGGTTTAAAGGGAGCTTGAGCACCGACTTGTCCTTACGTATGGATTGATGAGCTACCGGCGGGGAGAGGAGCGACGGGGGAAAATCATTACATCATGCAGGTTCATCTACGTCAAAACCGAGCCCAAACAAGATACCGTCGCTCGTAGCAACCCATCACCACCTCCGGCGTCGTTTCTCGGTGCTGGATGATCTAATCGTGCCGCGCTGGACCTTGGAGTACCTAGGCTCTGTCTGCAGGGTCATCTGGAACGGAGACTGGAAGGATGTGACTGCTTCTAGAAACGATCCGACTGCTCACGCATTCGAGGTCATGATAGCGGGGTAGATCGTTTGACCGATACGGATACCTGTATCAACGCCGGTTAGGTATGTGTTTTACCACTCCCCTCGTGTACATAGAGGGGTACCTAGTTACTTATTGCCCTGACAACTGGACGCAAGCCACATTGCCTTTTCCGTGATGCTAATGGAGGAAGTGCAGACGAGTGGAGCGCCCCATCTGGAGAATCCGCACCATCCAGGTGGCATCGCGACAGTTGTCCAGCTGGCGCGCTAACCATGGCTAAAGCTGATTGCCCCCTTGGCTGAAGGGGGGACAGATTTCCCATTATTGTTCCAATGCAGGCTGCAGGTGGTACAGGCGACTATGCTGCGTTCGGTAGTTCGAACGGGGATTGATAAGGTGCGCCCGGCGGGCAGTGACGGGGTCCTAAATAAAGGATACCTAGGGAACTAACTATGTTAGTACTCTGTACTCCGTAGGTTAACTAGTAGTAGGCAAAAGATACGGATGGATGACACCGGCCCCCACAGTGCTCGGGGATGATGATGTGAGCCAGCAAGGTACGGAGTACAACCCCTCCTCATGGGGACGCCTAGGGACAAATCAGCATCCCCATCACACCCAGACAGGTCATCCGTGGGTTAACCGGTGATGGTGGTACACCCTCTGGCCAGACAGATGATCGATCGCATGTCGGTCGGTATCCACGGTTTCATGGGATCTTCTAGTCCGCCAGCCGAGGCCATTCCACGTCCTCTTGTCCTCTGGTCTCTGGTCGATGGAGGTTGACGATCGTTCTGAGCGATACGAAAGGATCTCGGACTTCTGACCTCTGACACTTCTGCAACAGAGGACGAGGCAAAAGAGAACCGGGAGGGGCGATGGTGATTGGAGTGACCTGCAACAATGATCTCCCGGCATTAGTTCTGCATGGCGAGTGGCGGAGAGCCAATGCAACCGAGGGCCTCGTGCGCCGTGGATTTGCTGGACTGGCCACCAATGAATCTTTTCTTTGGGGGGGATGGGCCAGGGTGGGACAGGTCTGACCGGCCGGAGAAGAGGAGGGATTTGAGGCCAGGCTGATGTGATATGTGATGAAGAGGAATCTTGTGACAAAATAAGCGCCGACGTTCTACTATTATACATATACTGTACAGACAGAGTACCAACTGGAGGGTGAGCGGAACCAACTGGGGCAGATCCATGGGTGGTTTCACGCGAGGCCAGGATCGGATCGAGGGAGGGATTTCCGTGGATACGTCAGGTACATGAGGATGGCAGGGTACCTTGCTTTGGGATTCTTATAATTATTATGATTATTATTAATAATATTGATAATTAATATTGAGTGTTATATATATGGTATTATTATTATATTCTTACGAGTGAGGCGAGGATAAAAAGCAAGCGGCCTATGAGAGGCGCAGCAACGACTCTTCCACGATGCGGGGTTTTTGATTTGGTGGGCTGGACAGACGGAGAGAGAGAGAGAACTGCAGATGACCGGAAGGGGCCATTATATTATATCCATTGATGGTCTTCCTCTGTTGTATACCATCATCATTATACCGCAACAGACCGCTCTTTATGCTGGTCCCCCCGTCAACCTCACCGCTGTTTGCGACAATCCCATAATCAGATCCTTTAATTCCATTAATATCGATTAAAGGAAGAACAGAAGACAACCGACAGGAGAATCATTCGACCGAGACTCCCCAGAGCCCAGAGAAAGAATCGGAATGCTCGATCTGCACCGCCACGCGTAAGAATACCGAAATACCGCCAGATACTTCCATTCCAACCACGGGCTCCCGCCCACCGCAAGTACCGGCCAAGTACCTCCTCCAACGACCTCATCTTGCCTCTCTCTTCGCCTCCGTTTTCGTCTCGTCTTGCCCGTGGTCTGTCAGGTTTATTCATCTATCCCGCTTCTCTCGTCTTCGCCGACCTTCGTCTCTCCATGAATGGCTGCATCTTTCTCCCAGCAAATCTGGCCATGAACTGATTGATCGGGTTGTCTCTCCCTTCGACTCATCAGCTGATTTGCCTCCCATTGCATTCGCCCCTTTCGCTTTCACCATCCCCAGTCAGAGTCACATAGACCTAGTCTCCCTCTACTGATACCCTCTTTATAACGTCCCTCTCTTTCAATTCACACTCACTCTCTCATTTCTCCTCCAATTCATGTTTGACCGACTTCTCTCGGCTGCATCATGCCATCCGTACCGGATATCAACCCCTACGCCGTCCTCGGTGTGGCCAAAGACGCCACTCTGGCCGACATCAAATCCGCACATCGCAAACTCGTCTTGAAATGTCATCCCGACAAGATCAAGGACGAATCCCTACGGGAACAGGCCCAGGATGAGTTCCAGAAGGTCCAACAGGCCTACGAACTCCTCTCTGACGAGACCCGTCGCACCAAGTACGACCAGAAGGTCCGCCTGGCCGAACTCCATCACGAAATGATGATGTCGGGCGCCCGCTCTCCGTCTGCCCGAGCCTCCAGCTCCCGTGAATATCGCGATGGCCGCATCTTTGAGACCCGCGCCCCCGCCGACGCCGGTTACGAGGACGATGACCTGCGATACCCCGACGAGCCCCCGCGGTCAACCTCGCGCAAGTTCGACGAGTTCAGCGCCCGTCCGCGCACCAAGGCCGCCCCCGACGACCGCCGCAAGTCCCGGTCCGTTCCCCTCAACAGCAGCAGCAGCACTCCGCGCGCCACCAGAGAATCCCCCCGCGATGCCGCCAAAGCGACCCACTCCGATCGGGCCAAGTACCGTACCAAGGAACGTCGACGGGAGGTCTACGAGAAGTACGAGCGAGCCACGGCTCCGCCGCCGCACTATGGCCGCTCCGACGACGACTATGACGATGCCTCCGACTCCAGCACCAGCACCGTCTACGTGAAGATGAAGGTGCCCTCCAGTTCCCGTCGTAGCCGCCCCTCCGCCCGCAAGACCAAATCCGCCGACACGCCGCCTCCACCACCGCGCTATACCGCTCCGGCCTCCGACGATGACTACTCCGATGACTGCCACAAGTATGACAAGCTGGCGCACACCGCCCGCGATTACATCCACCGCTCCGGCGGCACCGTGCCCATCGAGATCGACAGCCGCCGTCACCACTACCAACGGTCGTCGCGCTCGCCCCTCCGCTACCGCGAGCACGACTCGCCGGAGCCCGAGTCCTCGTCCTCGCGCCGCTCCGCCCGCTCCAAATCCAAACGCTCCAGCAAGGAGAACGTCTCGTCCTCGCGCCACGGCTCCTACGAGGATCTCGACCGCCGCGACTCCGCCAAGATCCCCGTGCCGCCGCCCATGCCCTCGGCTGCCACCGCCCCGGGCAGCAAGCATGCCCGTCCGTCCCTGCAGACCTCCTCCCGCTCCGCCTCGTCCTACACCGGCCGTCGTGACGGCCCCGCCGCCTCCAAGCTGTACGCCATGGCCCAGGAGCCCGTCCCGCGCGCAGCGACCACCACCACCCGCCTGCGCGCCGGCATCGACCGCACCGACTCCGGCTACTCCAGCCCCGGCACTCCAGAGATGGTCGCCGAGCGCGAGCCCGTCTCGAAATCCACCTCCAAGCGCTACAAGATCCCCCGCGACTCGCCGCCGCCCCCACCCCCAGAAACCCAAAACCATCCTCGTCGAGCCGCCGCTGCGGCCGTCCCCACGCCACGCCCGCACCTCCGCCCCCACCCGCCCCCACGGCCCCAAACCTCCCGTCCGCAGCAACACCGCCAACTACCCCTTTGTCGCGGAGTCGCCGCGCGCATCCGGCGGCGGCAGCAGCGGCCGGAGGAAAGCCTTCGGCGAGGTCGACTACGTCGACTGTCCGCGGGACAAGGTCAGCTACCGCGAGATCGCCCCGGATCATATCGTGAGCTCGCACCCGCGCTACTCGGCGTATGATCAATATGGGCCACCGCCGATGATGCCGCGGCGCCAGTCCGCGGCGTATGCCCAATGAATATCACGACAGAACCTATGACTTATACATTTGCATTTTCTTGATGGGTTTGGGTTTTTCTTCTTTTTCTTTCCGATGATTGAACTTGTTTTGCAATGTCTTTCGTCCTGTTGTTTTTAACACCCTTTTTTATAACGATACTAAACTGATATTGCTCCGGGCGTTGAGGAGTTCAATGATGACGATCATGAGTGACGATGGGCGGTGGGGTCGGGGTTGGCTATATAGGTCTAGCAACGTACAGAAATGAAATACCATCTTATCCGTAAAGAAGCCTTGCACTGGAGCCTAAGATCAGACGTAATCGACATACTATTATCCTCTACCATGCATAGACACCTCTAGTAACAATGATGAACATACAACACGCCCGGCCTCTGACGACAGACAGATCAAGCATTTACATCGAATATAAGCCATGGATAAGAATCAACAAACAACAGGAGTAAGCCAGTAACCAACCGGGTATGTATTGTATGCTCTGAACTAATTGCTATTCCACTTGACCTGTAAGACCAAAATCGGGCGTCAGGGAACGAACTCAGCTGTGGGCCTATCGTCAGAACCGGATCCTTCCGCTTGGTCGAAGAGATGAGAACTGCGTTTTTGAAGCAAGACACCGTAAATAGTGATTGATATTAGGGGGGGTGGGGTGGTGGATATGGAGTGCTCCGGGAAAGACTACGGCTCGGTCCAGTCGACCTGATCAGTCACCGGCGCAGATCCGTCTTTCGCATATGTGATACGGAGACGAAGACGCAGCTTGGGTGGGAGTGCCTACAGACAAGAAAGTCAGCACCTGAGAATGAACCTGAATTCCGTGCAACTTACCCCACTGAGAGCTGTCACTTTCAGCATCTGGATGCCTTCATCGCCGCCCTCGAGATCGGCCTTGTTGATCGCACTCAGTTGCAGTCGTTGGCTCTTGGGCACGGCAGCCTGAAGTCCAACACCCGAGAAACTGCCAAAGTTAGACGCGTTGCGGAAACGAGCCTGGATCTGTGCATTGTTGGGACCGCTCCGTTGCACTTGTAACGTCAGAGACAACTCGTTTTTATCGAACGCAGTGTGTGCGGGCGCTGCGGCCGCGGAAGCCGCTGGAGCTGGAGACGTGCTAGATCCCAGGCCCCCTAGTAGATCCAGGGAAGACGCTGGCTGTGTGGGTTGGGGAGACGGGGTCGCGCTGGCCCCATTGGAGCCAAAGAGGTCCATGATGGCCGCAGTGTTGCTCTGGGCGGGCTGCTGGGCTGGTTGAGGCGCTGGTGAGGACATTCCCGAGTCCCCACCAAGGATATCGGCCAGTAGATCGGCCGTGTTTTGAGAGGTGTTACCGGTCGGGCTGGTTGCGGGCGCGTCGCCGCCCATGAGATCGAGGAGCATGTCTTGTTCCGCCTGCTTAGCAGGTTTCTTGGTCTTGTCCTTGAGGACCTTGCTTTGGCGCTTCTTGGTTGGTGCGCCCAACACCCTCTGTTCCTCGCGAATCTCAGGCGCGGGCATCCGTTCCAAGACGCCTTGGCGGATCTGGTCATATCCAAAGAGGTTGCTGTACTCGACGGCTCGCTGCTGAATCTCCACGCTGAGATCGGCGGTTCTGCTCAGGAGGAAGCGACGGAGACGCTCAATCTGGCTGGGGTCAGACATGCGCACTGTCAGCTTCATCGAGGCCGTGGTGATGTACTCGACCACGGTCTGCGAGGCATATGTGCTGTTAAGGATGTTGTTGAAAAGATCAACAATGTCACTCTCTTGAACCTCCTTCACCAATTCCTCTTCCTCGTATTGCCCGCCGCGGAGGAGGCTATCGCCATATTCGCCAATCACCCAAGTGGCGGCCAGTGTGAGCCCCTCCTGGGAGATATCGTCCTTCAGGGACATGTACAGCTTCTGCACAGAGTAGGTCTGTAATTCCGGGGTTGTCGCGATGAGTCGGACAAAGGAAGACAGGATCTGTTCCTTCACATAGGCACCAGCCAGTTTGAGAACCCGCAAGATTGTGTCGACGTGCCAGCGCTTGTTCGGTGCGAACCGATCAGCGGCAATCCCGATCTGGGTAGTCATGGCAGGCTTGAACTCATTATCCGCCACCTCCAAGAACGCCAACAATTCCCGGACAAGAACGCGGACATTTCCCTCGTTGATCAGCATGAAGCTCAGGTCCAGAGCTCGACGTCGGATACTGATATCGGGATCACGGAGACATTCCAAGATGGTATTACGGTGTCTCTGCACGGCATTCGGTTCAATGGCGACGACCTTGTTCAGTGTGTTCAGGGCGACGTAGCGAATGTTGTTGTCCTTATTTGTCAGGAACTTTCCGAGAATGTTAACACCCAGGACACGCAGACCCGAATCAGCTTCAATGTCGAGGATGGTCAGGACAGCTTCGTAGAGGATGGAGTTGCCGACGTTCTTCGAAGAATCCGTGTTGGTAGCCACCTGGGCCAGGATATCGTTAATCAACTCGCTCGTCGCAACATCACCTCTTCCCAACACTCTCAGGAGACGCAGGATCTTGACCTGGAGGAAAGGATCGGTGATTCCAGAGACGTCATGTTCCGGGGCGTATCCCGACGTGGTCAGCCCTTTCAGAGCACGCACAAGCCCGCCAGCCAGGGGCCGGAACATTTCGATCACGCCTTCCTGGCCTTCTTCCGCTTCCTCCGCCTCACACATGTCAATGACCAAAGTCAATCCACACAGCAAGACACCGTGGTTCCGGTCAGACAGCAGTTGTTTAGCCTTTTCCAGGAAATGCTCCTGCAAGTCCGGAACCTTGCGGCAGATGCGCATGGCACAGAGGGCAGCTTTCCTCCGGATATAGGGGTTCGCGGTGGACAGAAGGTTCTCGACTTCGGGAAAAAGATCTCGTGACATCTCGACGGAGGCGATGTTGCCGAGGGCGCAGAGGGCAAGGCCGACGATATATTGGTTGGAATGGTTGAGATCACTACATTCGGGGAAAACGACGTCAGCGCAAGTCCTGGAGGAGCAACCAGAACCGGGGGTTGACAACTGACTTCTTCAATGAGTTCGTCACCAATGTCAACACTTCCTGGTTCTCATCCAACAACAGCATGGTTCCCAGGTAACCCAGACGCTTGTCGGCAAAGCGGTGGGAGGCGAGGAGCTTTAGACATTCGATCTGACCGAAGTGGGTGCGTTCACCGAGGGTGAACAGGTATAGGAGTTTGGCTACATTGTTTCTCCTGTAGGACAATGTAAGCGGCCGGTTTGGACGAGCGGAAGAACAAGCGTGGCGTGTAATGCTGACCGGATTCCCGAATCATGGCTCTCTTCGCGGAAGGATGCACGGATGGCGGCACTCTCTTTCTGAATGACGGCACGTTCGTCGGCAATAGTTTTGGCCGAACGAACATTACGGATGAATTGTTTCACTGAAGAATGAATAAGAGAGGAATTGGTTAGCGAGGGAGTAGATGAGGTCGACCAAGAGGGAGAATAGATGATAGGGTGTGGGGGATGTAGGGAATGGGGGGGACGACGTACGGGAAGTCATGTCGGCCACAACAACCCCCCTACAGGGAGATGAAAAATGGGGGAAGGGAGAAGAGGTAAAAGGGGGATGGATAGGAGAGAGGAGGAGAAGGAATGCGAAGAAACCGGTCTTGCGCAAACCAGAGGAAGACGGAGGTGAGGTGAAGCTGTTGAGAGGGACTCTCGAAACAACCAACTAACAATCATCCCGTTGCTGGCATCTTGGCGCAGCCTGATGGGGTTAGTGCAGATTAATCACGTGCGGCTCGACACCTGATGCGCTTATGCCTTACTGCCTTACTGCCTTGCAGCCTTGCAGCCGTATCGCCGTCCCGCCCTTGCGCTTGCCGTATTCGTATCTGCATCGGCACTCGGAAGCCGCCAGACCGAACCCGCATGACGTGAGCGTCTCTTCCTCCAACTTCCGGGCGATCTTCTTCATTCTGGACCATGATGTTTCAACCACATGAACACATGTCGCGGTGGGCGGTGTTCTGGTGATCCTCCTGTTCCTATATCATTGGTCCTGGCGCGACTTCGAGCGGCTTTGTCGGCTTCTCGACGGCTGCCGATTACATATCAAAATACGGAGTACCCACGGAGGATCCACCATAGCAACACCGCCCTGCAACCTGCACCTCATTGAGCATACCTAGGTACATATATACTTGGCTCCTTCTCGTCTGACTTGATTCTCACATTGTCCGGAATCAATGTGACCTGAATATACCCTTTCCTCCCTGTCAACCTCACCGTCAGCAGAAATGTCGTCGGTCGACTACCGACCCAACGGCTCCTCCGCATTGCGGCCGCGGCACGCGATGGGATTGAAGAAGTCCGACGATACTGCGAAGATGCCTGTTCTGGAGAAGCTGGCCTCTGATTCCAGGTACGCTCTTCGCTGCACAATCGGATCTATATACACGGACTGACCATTCATCCAGCGGCGTTTCCACCCCCGTCTCCGAGGATGCGCCTCCTTCCGTACAATCCATCTCGACCGCTCGCAAGCAGGCTCGCGCGCGCCATCGCATCTTCTACAGCATTGACTATGTACCCCGCGTATCACACTTTGATCCCAAGAGCGACTACCATAATTTCCGCGGATTCTTTACCCTGTTCTGGATCGTCCTCTTCATCATGGTCGTAACCACCATGCTGCGCAACATCAAGGACACAGGTTACCCCCTGCGCATCAGAGTCTGGAGTATCCTCTCGGCGAACGTCTATTCCATGGCATTCAGCGACCTCGCGATGGTTGTCAGCAGTGGCTTCGTTTTACCCCTGCACCGCCTCTTCCGGCGTAGCTCGGGGTGGCTGCGCTGGGGACGAGGTGGGATCATCATCCAGAGTATCTTCGAAGTTGCCTGGCTCGTCCTCTGGATCAAGTACGCGCCTTCTCTCCCCGCCGGACGCGCCATCCAACACAGCTAACACGATTTCCCAGCTGGCCATTCATGCTGCAATGGACCTGGACCGCGCAGGTGTTCTTCACTCTCCACACCCTGACCTTCCTCATGAAAATCCACTCCTACGCCTTCTACAACGGCCACCTCAGCGAGACCGAGCGCCGACTCTCCGCCCTCGACAACCCCGGCTCGCAGCCCCTCGACGCCGCGGTCCACTATCCCGAGCCGTCAACCCGTCGGCCGGCCCCCCGACGCACCCGCTCGAACTCCGTCCCCGAGCTGCGCGAGGATCTTGCCACGGAGCTGACCTCCCCGCTGGGCCATGTCACATACCCGCAAAACCTCACGCTCGCCAACTACGTTGACTACATCTTCTGCCCGACGCTCTGCTACGAGCTGGAGTACCCTCGGAGCAAGGACCGCTCCTGGACGGAAGTCGGCCTGAAGTCGCTCGCCGTCTTCGGGTGCATCTTCCTACTAACTCTAGTAAGCGAGGAGTTCATTCTGCCCGTCCTCAGCGAGGCCAACGTGCACCTCCACCGCACCGCCAGCGTCGGCGACAAGGCCCTCATCCTCGCCGAGACCATCAGCATGCTCCTGTTCCCTTTCACCATCACCTTCCTGCTCGTCTTCCTCGTCATCTTCGAGTACCTCCTCGGCGCCTTTGCCGAGATCACCTGTTTCGCCGACCGTCATTTTTATTCCGACTGGTGGAACTCGTGCGATTGGTATAGTAACCCCCCTATCCGCCCTGTCAAGAGAACGAAGAGTGTACTAACTGATAAAGGCTGGAATTCTCGCGCGAGTGGAACATTCCCGTCCACCACTTCCTCCGCCGCCACGTGTATTTCTCCTCGTTGACGCATTTCTCCAAGCCCGTCGCCATGTTCATCACCTTCCTGGTGAGCTCGATCGCCCACGAGCTGGTCATGAGCTGCATCACGAAGAAGCTGCGCGGCTACGGGTTCTGCGCCATGATGCTGCAGCTGCCCATTGTGGCGGTCCAGAAATCGCGCTACTTCCGCGGGCAGACGACTCTGAACGTAAGTGTGCATTGGGACTGTCACGGTGCGTAAATGGTGTGCTGACCTTTTTCGCAGAACCTGTTCTTTTGGTTATCTATGATCTTTGGTCTGGCTCTTGTAGGTCCTCCTTGGCTGTCATTGTTTCGGCTAGTGCTAACCAATATAGATGTGCGCGTTGTACGTTCTTGTTTAAATTCAGGTAAGATAAGGTGCTGTATCTATGGTTGATCTGTATCATCTGTGCGAGTTCATCCTTCTGTACCATATGGCTTTGGATTATACCCTTCATTTTGTTCTGTCTCTAGATTCATTCATTGGCGGTTGCTTGGGCGTGTGAGTACCTACATATTAGAGGTAGATTAGAAAATGTAGATTCCATATATTGTCATCTAGCAAAAACTCCACCTATACTAAATACAAACCAGAACGCCATAAATGAATTGAACCAGTGCAACGCCGAAATCACCAAAACAGACCAAACAGAAAGACGTACACTATACCATAGCTATATACATCTAGAGATGTTCAATAGGCTCTTCGGGCAGAAGCAATTCTCGCTCTCTTACTTCGCGAGGAAGACACGCCTTCAGGGGTGGACGTACGATATCGTTGAACAGGAACGTCCCATAGACCAGCAGGACAAAGCCCAGCACCTGCAGCCACTTGAAGGACTCCCATCCGAGCGCGAGCGAGACCAGCCAAATGAACAGGGTGCGGCAGGTGTCGATCGTGCTGCGAGAGGTCGCGGAGACCGACCGGGTGACGGAGAGGCCGAAGAAGTTGAAGCCGCTGGCGATAGTGAATTAGTTATGTTGAACGCAGGCAAGACGCAGGGGGAGAGCCGAAGCCATAGTCATACCCAATGCTGAACATGATCAACACGCTTGAAATCATCACGTTCTTGTTGCTGAGCACCTGCCGCCATCCCTCATTCGCATCAAAGTAGCCATACCGACCGGCAGGCGTGCGCCCAATCGTGAAATGCAGGATGATCGATGCGATCACCGTAACGGAGAAACCGAACACGCCCTCCCAGCCGACCACCTGGATCGGGTCCATGGCGTAGTTCTCCAGGATCCACTCCTCCGAGACGAATTGTGACGCGGTGAAGATCTGCGCCGCGGCAATCAGGAGGACGCCGATGACGGCCTTGACAGCCTCAGGCGTGCTCGCCACAGCGCGAGCCTGCAGGGTAGCGTTGGTGACCGCAGCTATCGCGTTCTCCTTGGTCAAGTCGTGGTGCGAGCTGTCGCCGAAGAGGGCACCCGCCAGACCGACAAGCGCGACGCCGAGCACGACGACGAACAACGCCATCCACTGGTACAGGTACAGCTTGCGGTGGAGGAAGAGGACGCTGAACAGACCGACGAAGAGAACTAGGGCGCCCCGAGTCATTTGGTAGATACTGGCGGCGACAAAGAGCAGCCCAACATTCATGAGGGTAGTTCCGGCAATATCACAGCACGCCGGCGCAGCGAGAAGGAAGATCTTCCGGCCCTGCAGTTTGGTTCGTCCATCCTCGGCGTGCGATGGCTTTGTGGGGTCATCCGTTCCGTTGCCAACATGGTGATCGTCGTCGTCACCGTCCTCGAGGTGGTCGTCACCGTTGACAGGGCGATAGCCGCCGGCAAGAAGGGGTGATGTGTCGCTCGAGAAGCGCGGGGCGACGTAGCGCCGGTAAAGGAAGGAGAGGGCAACCACGAGCCAACTTCCCGATTCACCGACGAACATTTGAATCCTGAAGCGGTGAAGGTCAGCAGAAATGAGGAAACGGCGGATCTGGTGTACCCACGTCTGGATAACGGGTTGTTCGAAGAGGTGACGATCGCTGGGATCGGGGGAGTCGCAGTTTCGAACACATTGCATATCCTGGTTGACATGGTCAGACGATCACGAGGAGACAGCACAGAGTCGGTCGTACCTGATATTTATTCAGAATAGTGTTACAAACGCCGGTCACGAGCATCATCGTGACCAGGAAGGGGATGAGGGCCTTATTCGCCATGGTGAACGGGGTGAGCTCTGGAGATGTTTCGTATCGGTTGTTGTGGTTGTGAAAGCGGAGACACAGACAAAGGATGGGCGGAGATGACGCAGATGATCTGTTGGGGGACTGGAGTTCCAGGGCAATATCACTGGAATCAGGCAGAGTAGAAAGCTGGTGTAGCGGAGTTAGCGAGAGGCCATGTCGAACGGCGGGCACAGGAACCAGGAGGGATGAAAGAGGGGAAAAGAGAGAGAGAGAACGGGACAAAGAAGGGGAGGATGGATGAGGCGCCGAGCAGGTGACTAGGCCTTATCTTATCAGCGCAGATCTCCCGTGCCGCACTACAAAAGGCATCTATGACGTGGATGTACTCGGTATAGGTACGGTTCATGATAATAGTCCAGGTAAATAGAATAGAATCATAACGCCTAATTACACACGGGATCCTCCCGGCATTCCGACCCATATCAAACAGCCCGCTGTAGAAGAAAGAAACCGACATGAAAAACATGAACAGCGCATAGAAAATTCCCGGGAGCTCATCGTAAACAAACCCTATCTCTGCTAGTATTCAAGTCATCGAGAATCCCATTTCTTTGTTTTCTCAATTGCTCCAAGAAACGCCGTGGCTAATCCAGCAAACGAAGAAATATTGAAAGACAGAAAGAAAAAGGCCCAAAGAATAGAGAAGAAAAACAAGAGAAGAAGGAGAAGTAAAGGCAAACGCGCTTGGGGTGGCCGTAATGTACAGGAAACAGTCCATATTTATGCAGAAGGAAAGATCAATCAGAAGCTGAAAGCTTTCCAATCCGGCGGAAAGCGAGGCGCCATCAATCACAGTACAAGGGCTGTCGATGCATTCTCCAGTTCGCCACGTTCAACCGCATCCCAATCGAAATCGATCGTGGGTTGGCTCATCAGAAATCCGTCTTCAAAGCCCCCCGGAAGATTGATCCAATCGGCGGGAATCCAGTTCTCCTCGGGGAGCACGTCGTTGGCTTTGCCTGTCGTGTCATCGGGTCTCGGGAGCTCTCCATCCTTCGGCGTCTGGGTGACTGGGGCGCTCTCCACCGAATCAGGGGTGTCTTGCGTGTTTGTGAACATATCCGCATTGAGAAATTCGTCCATGGCGCCGAAGCCCAGTCCGCTGTCCCCGAGATCGATAAACGCCTCGTTGATGGCCTCCAGAGACACGGCACTGTCGGCCCAGGGGTCTTTGGCGGGGGCCTCCACAGGCGGTGCTGGTTCGGAAGTCTTCGGGGTTTCTTTCTTGGTCTCCTTGCCCTTCGTCATCGGTGCTGGAGTAGGTCCCTTGGTAGACGGGCCACGGGGAGTGAGTTGTGGTTGGTTGGACGCAGGGGAACCGGCCTTCGGGCCCATCTGGCTGGGGACGCGGCCCATCGGGGTGGTGCCCGTAGTGGCCGGGGTGGTACCAGTCTCCGGCTTCAGGGGTGAAGCAGTCACGCCGGCCTTCGCAGGGGTGGGCTGGGCCTCCTTCTTCAGGCTCGACATCTCAGTCTTGTCCTCATCCTTGATCAGGGCACTGCGGGCACTGTCAAGAGCAAACTGAAGGGGATCATCGATAGCCTCCTCCTTGTGGCTCTCCTCCACATGCTTGTCCAGCGCGCTCTGGGTAGCAAAGCCTCGAAGATGGTGCGGACACTCTGCGACACTGCACACGTACGACCCACCAATTGCCGCGGCCGCGGGCATTTTGACGTCGGCGGGCCGGGTGGTTGGCGGCTTGGTAGCAGGCGTGCCGACGGTGGGGGTAGCCCCTGGATGGGACTGCTTTCTCTTCTTCGGCGGAGGCAACTTCAACTGCTCCGGCGGCATGCTTCCCGGCCCGTACGCATGAGGAACGCCCTGAGGGGACGGCGCGCCAAATGGGGCGGGTGGAACGGCCGATGTTGCAGACACGGCGGTCTGGCTCGACGCTCGCCGCGCCCGTTGGAGAGCTTCCTCTTGTTGCTGGAGCTGTTGCAGGTTCGTGGCATTCAGGGCTGGCATGGCGTTTTGGCTTGCTTGTGTCAAGGGTGGCTGGGGACCGCCGGGTCGTTGTCCAGGAGCTTGATTTTGATGCTGACTGACGCGGGTGATCATCGCATGGAAGAGCTTCTTAATATAATTTATGGTGGCGGTTAAATTTTCGGGAGAGATGGTCAGGCTGTCATTAAGAACCCAGTCCGGACTATTCTTGAACTGCCTCATCAATTGGATTCGCTATATTCACTGGGTTAGACGGCAGTGACTCCAGGAGGACGATGGGCGGAACTTACCATTGCCAGCAAACTGCGCACATTCTTCTCTTGGCCGGGGATTTTTGCAAACCACTGGACCAGGGTATCCATCCGGCCCAGCATATCAGTACAGTCCCGAAGTTGCTGGTTCATCGCTGCATGCTGCTCGGGCGTGATGGCTGCGAATTTCACTGGGGGCGCTTGTTTCAAGGTATCCTGATAAGCTTGACGGATCTTCTCCGGCAGATTGTTCCAAGCCTCTTCCGCTGCAGCCTTGGTACGAGTCTGGCCTTGCTGGCGTCGCATATGTGCTTCAATCTGCGCACGTTGCTGCGGCGTCATGGCGGCCAACTGCTCTCTGGTGAATGGCATATTGGGCTTGGAGGGTGCAGGAGCCGCCACCCCTTGCGGGGCACCAGCCTGAGTTGGCTTTTGCGCCACTTGATTGTCGGGATTTTGCGCGTCTGCGGTCTCGTCGCTCGGCAACTTCCTCTTCGCGGGTTGTTGCTTCGCCGGAGGGGCCTTCTTTCCTGGTACGGTCGTGGGGGCTTTTGTCGCCGGGCTTTGTTGCTGCGGTTGCGTTGCGGGCTGCCCGGGGCCCTCTGGGCGGAGATGGGGGCCAGGAGCTGGTCCGCCCACGGGGGTCTGCTGAAGTGCCTGGGTTTGCTGTTGTTGGGCGGCCAACTCCTGCGCTTGAGCCGCGCGTTGCTGAGCCAAGAGCATCAACTGCCGTTGTCGGGCTTTGTTGAGGCTTTCCCGAATTTGGTCATCCGTGAAGTTTTGGGCCATGGCCGGGTGCCGCTGACGAGCCGCTTGGATGTCTTGTGCGGTGACGGGGCGGATCGCAGCCATGTTGATCGCAGCTTGCTGTTGCCCCGGCGGAAACTGCTGAGGGTTCATCATCGGCGGTTGCTGGGGGGCTTGTGTCGGGCCCGACATCCAGGGACCCTGCCCCGCCTGGTCTGGGTTGCGACTGCGTTCTTTGCTCTGGTTGAGGATTTGCGTAAAGTGGAATTTCTGGAGGGCCATCAACTTCTGCAGATTCAGCCCTCCTGGGAGTTGTGGATTTGTCGCGGCCCACTGTTTGAGCTGACCCCACGTCTTGATATTCTTGGGCACCAGCGAAACTATGTTCGGGTTATTTCCCAGAAGTGAGGGTGGGAAGTGTAACCGGTCCATCTCCTTGCTTTGCTCATTCGAGAGCTCTAGATTACCGCCTGACTGTTGGAGTAGCTGCATCTTATACAGCTCTTGACGCTGCTGCTGCTGCTGCTGTTGCTGTTGGAGGGACATTTGTTGACCAGGCATCATTTGTTGCGCCCCGCCCATCCCAGCTAGCTGCGCTTGTACATTCATCGCTCGCATGTTCTGGTTGTTCGCCATCGACTGGGCCTGCGCGGACTGGGACACGCTCTGCTGCATGGGCACGGATTGCCGGGCCGCGTTGGCTCTCGCCAGGGCCGGGTTATTCGCCATGGCGCGCCGCTGGGCCAAGACCCGGTTCAGCTGCTCTGGAGACATTTGCGCCAGTTGTTCTTGAATGGCCGGGGGGAGACCCGGGGGGATTTGCGGTCGACCCTGCATAGGCTGCTGGCCTCCCATGGAAGGCTGCTGGCCCATGGCGGGTGCCCGCGACGGAGGACGGACTTGCGCTGCCATCTGCGCGGGAGACATCTGGCCCGGGGGCATGGGTCGGTTCAACATGGGCATGGCAGGGCTTTGCTGCGGCATGGGCTGTTGCAGGTGCGAATTAGCTTGGCCGGCCTGGGAAATCGCCATCTGGGCTTTTTGAGCTGCCTGGGCGCGGGCCTGGGCCTGAGCCTGGCTCTGTGCTTGAGTCTGGGGCTGGAAAGGGGCGGCCGGCTGGGGCCGATCCGGCGGCATATTCGGGGTGTTTTGCATGTGTTGTTGGGCGAACATCTGGGGGTTGATGCCGGCAGCGCCCAGATTAGCCTGTCCTCCCTGCGCGAGCTGTTGGCCCATCGGGAAGGTGTTCTGGGCGTTGTTGAACGGTTGTTGGTTCATCTGGGAGGAGCTCGCGGGGACGACCAGCTGACCAGCTTCCTGCGAACGGAGGCCATCCGCCTGCTGTCCTTGGATATTCTCCACATTGCCAATGAAGGAAGAGGGGTCCATACTTGGCTGGTTGCCCATGGCGAAGGCCGAATTGCGCTGCAGGTTCATCATGTTCGGGAACATCTGGGGGTTCATCGTCGGATCAGCGCCCATCATCACATTGTTGGGGTCGACGCCGGTATTCTGGGGGTGAGACATGTCCACACGGGCCTTCATCTGCCGCTTGAGGTGGGCGAGGGCCTGCGAGCGAAAGAAATAGGCGACCGGGTCGATGTTTCTTTCAGTCAGGTACCGGCGTTGTACAGGATTCATGTTCTGCAGGTTGCGTTTGATTTTCTCCGCATCCACCGGCGAGGTCTTGGTCATGATCTGGTGAGCGACGCGATTGACGTTCTCGTACTCTTGCGGAGTCAGGTTATTCAGCTCGTCGACCAGGGCGAGGGTATTGGCGGAGCGTTGTTGAGCGCGTGGCTGCTGCTGCTGCTGCTGCTGCTGCTGCTGTTGTTGTTGCTGCTGCTGCATCATGGCTTGCTGCTGTTGCGATCGCTGCGGCATGGCGGCCTGTTGATTCGGATCGGTCATCCCCATGGCCATGGCTTGTTGACCGGCCATGGGATTGGATTGCATGGCTCGATTCATCTGTTGCGGGAAGGAGGGTTGTTGTCCGACGCCACGCATGCCTCCGGCTTTGGGAGCGCCCGGGGGAATCATGCCATTCTGCATGACGGCGGCCTGTCTCGCTCGAGTGTCTCGAATATGCAATAATTTGTCGTTACATTCTTTGTCGTAATCGACCTAGGAGACGGGTGGGGTTAGCGGGATCTGTTTCGAACGGGGCGACCGGTCGGAGAGGACGTACTTTCTGCTGAGCGTCTTTGAAGGCCTTCTGCTCAAAGCTGAGGGCAGCTTGGGCCAGGTGTTGCAGATCTGCTTGGGGTTGGATAAGGCGAAGGGAGGTGAACCTAGGCGGCGACAGGGATTGATCAGCATGAATGATCGAGAGAGGGAAGAGAACGAAAAGGATAAAGGATGTCATCGGAGCGCAAGCTTTTGTTTGGGGTGGAACGGGCCACGATTCGCTCCGAGGGCAGGATAATGAGCGGGTCACCCACATTTGATACACTCGAACCACGCGCTCTTTCATGGGCACTTCGGCGCGCCAACCGGTATAGGTGCCTTGTGCATGTAAAGCCTGGGCGACATAGTTCATCATGACCTGGTTATTGTCGAGTCTCGGCATCTGGGGGGTGGGCGCGGCGGGCATGGAGCCGCCCACGTTGAAGTTTGCGGGATTCATGTCGACAACCCCCTCTGGGGATCGAGGAGCCGTCCGCGCACGGTATCGGCGGAACTCCGCATTCGCTGAAGGATATGGAATGCCACTGGCGATCGAGGAAGAAAGAGCGACCGAGGGATGGAAGTGGGAGGAGAAGTTGAATCACAAGGAGTGGTGGGAGGAGAGGAGAGGAGAGATCGGTGGAGCGATCAAAACGAGGCGGGAGGAATTGACAGGCGAGTCGAGAGACAGGTCGAGAAAAGGGATGGTGAGGAGACGAGGGAGTCAAACGGAGGGGATCAGACGGTAGCACAGAGCGAAAGAGGTAGAGAAGGAAGAGGAGAAATCGTCCGGACAGACGGGGACGGGCGGTGGTAGTAGGGCGTTCGGGCAGAGAAGGCGAAGAGGAGGGATTATTGATGGGATCCGTTCGTTGGCACACACGGTGGCTCAGCAGGAATTCCTGTTGTTCAAGTCCCGGACAGGGATGTTGCACCGACGGGAGGTCGCACGGAGCGGTCTGGGAGGGAGCCAAATACGAAGATCAGTAAAGCGGACCTGGAGGGGGAGAGAGGAGAAAGGAAGACACCGAAAGAGCGGGAGGGAAAGATAGAGAGAGGCGGAGGAAGAAGAGAGAGTGGAGGGACGGCGAATGGTCGAATGACCGGCAGAGGGTGAAAAAGGAACAAAAGCGATGGAGGGGGAGCGAAGACGGCCAATGGTAGACTGTCGGGAGAAGCTTACCGGGTGTTGAGTGAAGAACCGACCGATCGGAGGGAATGATAGAATGGAGAGGAGAGGAGACGAGAGAAAGAAAGACGAGGGATAGAGGAGAGAGTAGATGAGGAGAGGAGAGGGGAGGAGTTAGGTAGGTAGGTAGGTAGGTAGGTAGTAGAAGAAAGAAAGAGGAAGATGAGAAGTGGTGGATGATCGACCCGCAACAGTCTAGAGTCTGTCAGGTACTCGATGATTACAAGGGACCAGGTTACTAACTGAGGCACCAACCCAAGTCACAGCTAGGTACTAGTACTAGTAGTATCTAGTACCCAAGTTACCTAGTCCCAGTAGTTATTTTGATGCGGATTATTGAGAGGAACAGAAAAAGGAAATCCCGCATCCAATAATGGGCAACAAGGGGGGTGCTCTAGTGGCCGATCCTTGACAGCTGAAGGATTCCTACGATTTCGCATTCAATGCTGTAGAGCTGAATTGGACGTCGATTCGCACGCAGCATTATCTACTAGGTAGGTGAAGAGAAAAGGGCATGCTTCTCCCAGAGAATGATATATGTATAGTCATAATCATAAGGACATCAACGGAAGATCAGTCGATCAAATAAAATCAATCCAAAATGGACTGAACTAAGTTAAGGTACCGACTAGGGACGGATTACGTACACCATCCACTTCTATGCAGACCAGACTACTCCGTACCTCTACCTAAGGTACCTTGGGCACAGATAACATCCTGGACTAGCTGGATTGATTCAAAAGAACTAGAAGATATAGAGAGTACTCCTTAGATATCTCTTGTGAAGAACTACAAATCTCCTCCATGCAAGACCTATAAATAATCCGATGAAAACGGACATCACGTGAGTTGTCGTCACCGCGCGGGTCGCTCATTTAATTGCGGCGTCCCTGAATATCCACCCATTCATCTCCATTCCCATTCAAATAGCCTCACCTCCTCCTCCACAACGACCTGTAACACTACCTCGTCCTCCTCTACTTCGTCATGATCCCCCGTCTCCCATCGCCTTAAATCACCGACATGCTCGCCTCCTCTCCCATTCCCGTCGGCTCCAGCATCTTCTTCTCCTTCACCCTCCTCCTCATCTCCATCGTCGTCCTTCTGCTCCTCCGCCGCTTCCTCACCCTCCGAGCCACCCCCGCCTATCTGATCATTCCCATCTTTCTTGCTCTAGCCCTCCCCGCCAGTGTCGTCCTTCTCGTACCTATCGACCTCGCCTCCAGCTCCCGCGATGGTTCCGGTCCCAAGGCGATTTGGTTACCGGATCGTTTGTTGCTGGTGACCTGGCGCATCGCCTACTGGCTGATCTTTGTCCTCACCTGGTATGTCTCTGCATCCTCCCAGTCCCATCGGATGTCTGGCTGGACACGCGGCTTACCGTGTCTCTTCTTTCCAGGGCTATCCTTCCCCTCCTCGGAGAATACGTCGATTCCGGCTACCGGGACCCCAAGGGTCGCCTGCAATATTCCATCCGGTCCAACGCTCGCTACCAGCTCATCGTCCTGGGCTGCGCATTCGTCGGCTTGATCTACATCTCCATTCAGAATGGCTTCAAGTTCGGCTCCATTAAAGGTCTCGTCATGGCCCTCGCTTACGTCTGGGGTCTCGTCCTCGCCATCTACCTCATGGGCCACGGTCTTGTCTCCATTCCCCGCGCCCTGTTCCGCAACGCCAACGTCAGCGGTCGTCTCCGCCGCGTCCAGGCCCACGCCCCCCGCCTGCATGACCGTCTCATGGACGCCATCAATGATCTCGAAAGTCTCGAGTCTCAAGTGTCGCAGTTGCAGCGACGGAAGACCGGCAGCGCACGCGAATTCCAGGATTGGATCGAAGAGCTGGCTGAACCATCTGGTACTCCCGAGGCCCGCACTCCGCTGTTAGCTCCATCCGAGGAGTCCAGCACTGTCCCGAACGTCATCACTGAACGCTACCTGGCCGACCTCACCCGCCGTCTCCAGCGCGCCCGGCATCAGAAGGCGCGCTTTATAGATGAATGGGACCGACTGGTGTTGTTGGCGGCCGACCTACAGGCCATTATTAACTCCTCCGCCTCCAAGAAGCTTGAATTCAACCACTCGCCGCATCGCTCTACCTTCTGGCCTCGGGTCAAGATCCTGACCCCCTACATGCGATACCATGTGTACGTCCATCTCGTTCCAAAAATCCGTCTGCTGCTCGGCGCGGTGTTTACCGTGGCATCGGTCTGCGTCGTCTGGTCCGAGTTGATCAAGTCGCTGGCCCCCCGCCTGTCCGTCGTCACGCTTTCCATTGTCTCCTACCACAAGGACCCCGCTCCCGTCAACTTTGGCCGACAGGTGACCGCATCGGCCTGGTTGCTATACATGTGCTGGGCCGCGTTGGTGGGCGTGAACGATGCCAAAGTCTGGGGCAACCGTGCGTTGGTCCGTCGCAACACGTACGGCGAGAGTGCGTGCTGGTACGCCAGCCTCGTCGCCCGATTGACCGTCCCGATCGCCTACAATTTCCTCACTTTCCTCCCGACGACTTTTCGGCAAAGCACGACCTTTTATCATCTCCTGGGTCGGTTCATCGACCTGACACCGCTCGGAAAGGGCTTCGACTACTTTTTCCCGGTGTTTATCCTGTTGCCTGTCTGCGCGACCTTGTTCAATCTGTACGGCCGCGTGAAGAATATCTGCGGATTCGGCCTCATCGAAGAGGACGACGAGGACATGGACAACAACCCAGGCGGCTATGGATTGGGCGGCTGGCGTGAGGGCCGAGATCTGATCGAGCGCGAATTGACCGGCCTAGGGTCGCTGGGTCTGTCCGGACGCGGGGTGTCCCCTCGCGCCACCAGTCGCAGCGACGAGGGCACGGGGGCATTTTCGACCTCTCGCACGCCGCGCACCGAGGCCATTCGCCCGGCCCGTCCTGTCCGGGGGCCGGCAACCGCCTCCGCGGTGTTGGATGGGGAGGAGGAGGAAGAGAACTTTTTCCAATCATTTGCGCATCGCGTACGAAACACGTTTGAAACAGCCGATAAGCCGCAATGGCTGCAGGGCGACTTTCTCCGACTTCCCCGATGGATGGGAAACGACGGCAGTGAGGGCAATAGTGGACTTGGGCGATGGTTTGGCGGTCGACCCACGCCTGGGGGCGTGAGATTGTAACTTATTTGTGTTTGCATGGCCAGGCGTTTGGTTGTATATATATATAGGTGACAATAATAGATTATAATTGTATTTTGTTATGGTGTGGGGTAGATATATTTCTGGCTGTAGGACAGTGTGCATGAACCTTCACTACAAGCATCTTTGTGGGATTAATGCAGAAATCATCGTAAATGCAATGACAGGACTTAATGAATGCGCATAGTTATATCTAGACATGCTTGTATGCCTGTAGAGGAAATGGTCAAACTGCTTTGTAAGGCTCGGTTCCGCCTGGCGCCCAAAACGGAAAAGAAAGAAGCCAGCTTCCATGACCTCAACACCTGCGGCTTACGGATTCAGCCTCGCGTCCGTAATTCCCCCTCAATCCATGTCCCTGTTGCTATCGCACGTATCCCAGACCTCTCTGGGCGAGACGTGTGCCTCCTACGTGGATTATATCGCCGACCACCTGCCTCCCTCTGTTCAGAAATTTGTGCTCTCCGCCAAAGCCTCGTCTCCACCAACCTGGATCTCCGAATACCTGCGCTCATTTGACACCACCACCTCAACCACCACCCTTCTCCCGCTAACAGCCCTGTCGCTGGTCCTCTCGGGTGCCATCATCTTTGCTATCATGTCCTCGTGGCGGGACTTCTTCCGCCGTGGCCCGGCGTACTCGCACGTGGCGAACCCGCCGCTCGTCACTGAACAGGACTACGACTACATCGCACCCACGTCCGACGCCCACGGCGACACCGAACCGGATATTGTCCTCCTCCGTCACCGCCGTCACACATACGAGCTCCAATTCCCGCCCTACGCCATCAACGAGGGCCGTCTCAGCGTGGGCCAGCTGCGCCGCCGCGCCGCAGAGGTCACCCACACCGCCGACCCCCACCGCATCAAACTGCTTTACAAAGGCACCCTGCTCGACGATGATGCCCGCCCGTGCTGCGACGAGGGTCTGAAGCAGCACTCTGAGGTGCTCTGCGTCGTCTCCGAGGTCGCCCCTGGCCAGCGCACCCCCAGCGAGGGCCCCTCGGACGACACCAGCGAGTCCGTGGTCGCCCCACCGGCGCCTCTGTCTGGCGAGGAGGGCGAGGCGCCGCGCCGCCGGACCCGCAACCGCGGGAAGAAGGGAAAGAAGGCCAAGAAGAATCAGAAGAAGGACGCGGAGGACGAGGGCAGACTGGCGCCCCCGACAGCGACGGCGGAGTCGTCGCGTCCGTCGTCGGCCGGCGGCGGATCATCGTCGATGCCGGCCCTGGCGCCGAACTTGAAGATGTTTGCGACGGCGGGTGAGCAGGTCCAGGCGCTGCTGTCGTATCTCCGGACCGAGCTCACCCCGCTGTGTGAGGAGTACATTGCACGTCCGCCGGCGGACGCGAAGGCGCGTGACTTCGAACACAAGAAGCTGAGTGAGACGATCCTGGCCCAGGTGATTCTCAAGGCGGATGGGATCGAGCCAGCGAGCGAAGAGGAGCGGATGGCGCGGCGGGCGTTGGTGAAGGAGGCGCTGACGATTTCGGGTCGGTTGGATCAGGCGGCAAAGGAATAGATGGTTTCTCTCTTCGCATGTATGATCCGCTTTTGAATTGTATATGTACGCGGATTTCTGCTTTTGCGGGGCGCGGTTGCTGCGATAGAGTACGGATGGACGGCGTTGGACAAGACCCAATTATTGATCGCATTCCTGTTGCTGGAATGGAGAGTACCTAGACTTTAGAGCCACGTGCGACGGCCAGAGGACGGTGATCGTAGGCAGGCCGTAGAGACGATCGGTCGATAGACTATGCAGACTATGTACTCAGGAGGCAGCGCCGCGATACTAGTGGATTCGACTGGTCGATTCTGGAGGCGTTGTGAGACATCCGATCTATCAGAAGGGCATCCAGCAGTTAACTAGTTATGGAGTATGTTCCAATACCTTGAGAAATATGGTGATCATTGTAGAATATTAAATTCTATTCGAATTCATGGCATCGTCGATGCATAGTTACCAGCGGGGGGAATAAGGACGCCTCCAGATGCGGTCTAGAAGGAGTTAGTCTGGCAACGTTGGGACTAGCGGATCCTCTCCGTCTTTCTCTCTCTCCTCTTTTCTGTCTTCTTCTCCTCCCATCGGCTCTTCTCCTTCACGCCTCTCCTCTTCTTTCTTCCCCTCGTCCTCCTTCTCGGTTTCAACTTCTTCTCTCCATGCTTCATATCGCCTAATCTCCTCTGACCCCGTGCTGCTGGGACGGACGCCACGCTCCCGCCACACCTGGCTGCCACTCCTTTTCCACCTTTCCTTTCTCTCCCCCCTCCTTGTTTGCTTCTCGCCCTCGATCCAACCACCCGAGATCGCCCCTCGATTGACTGACTGAACGTCGCTATACTGTCGTATTATTCTCTTCTCCAACTCCCTCGAGTTCGTTCTTCGATCCGGTATTGGTTGTGATTGGTTATCGATCCCGGGTCCGAACAGCTCCTATCCACGGTACTGAAGCCGTCTGTTCCCGTCCGTCTCCCGCTCGACTGGTGCATTTATTTACAATTTACCCCTTCGGGCCGTTTCCTGCTCTCTCGTCGCTTTCTGTCCTCTCCATCAAACGCGGGCTGCCCCAGATACGGAATACCCCTATATCCAAAGAACCGATAAGATATACCGAGTCAACTCCTTTCTATTGGTGGCATGGCCTGATCGGAACGGATTCTCCTCAAGAACATTCAAACCACCACCAAACACTCTACCTAATCGACTTGGTCCAGCTGGACTGGCCCTTGTTCCCTAAACGAATCCACTTGCTGCGGCATGGCGGGCGCGGCCACCGCATCGTATTCCGCCGATGTTTGGACCTCGTCCGGCACTGTAGACGCGACTCCGCCTTCTCAGTGGGACTATGCCGTCCCAGTGAGACGAAATGTATGGCCCTCCACAAGTGTTCGCTGCATCGAGTGCGAACCCTGACGCTAACACGTGGTAGAGCACAAACCGCGCCAACCGTCGTTCGAAATCCCGCTCGTCCTACGACTCCACCCATGCCCGATCCCGGCGGAACTCCAAGGGTTCTCGCAGCTCATCCCTCTCAAGACATGCCTACGCCCACGAGTCTGGATACGTCAACTCCCGCGGACGGCACGACGCCAGCCTGTCCCGCCGTGGAAGCGAACGAAGTGTGCGCAGTCGGAGTGTGGGGAATGTGCGCGATTCGGTGGACACGCAGAATGCGCCCCTGCGACGAGGCGACATGAAGGACGGCATCGGAGTGTTCTTGGATGAATCGGACAGCGAGAATTGGATCCATCGCGATAAGCTGGCGAAGATTGAGAGCGAGGAGCTGCAACAAGCGGCCATTCTCTTCCACCGTCGCGGCCTCGAGAACGGCCGGACGAGCCGGCGCAACCATGACCTGCACAGCAGTGCGATGAGCGTCACCTCTGCCCGCACCGAGCAGACCGAGCCTTGGCCCAACTTGCACGAAGACCACCGTGAGTTCACCGGATCCCCGACTCCGTATGACGATGATGCCCCCGATGAACGGAGAAACTGGGATCTCCGCCGGCCGGAGGAGATCGCCGCGGACGTAGCAGAAGATAACGCGTCGCACTTTTACCGCAACCCAGGTCTTCGGAAGAGCTCTTCTCGCATCCCCATCCCGACCTCCAGCCCGGCCCCGATGTCGCCGGAGCACTTTGGTCGAGAGTCTTCCGGACAACGCTCTCGGGCCACGACCAATGAGGACGACGCTATGTCCACCGGTAAGCCGCGTAGAGCCAGTGAACCGATCACGGTCGATTCGACAGATGCTAGCACCCCACCCGGGAGCACCAGTAGGCCGGTCAGCCGTGGACTGCAGTCTCACCCGACCTCCAAGAAGACGGGTGTCCGGGGGACTGCCACCCGCAAGACCTCGGCACCCCCGACGACCCGGAAGACCACCCCTCGAAACCGCGCGGTCTCTGGGAATGGCAACCAGCGGCCGACAACCCGGTCTGGCGAGACCCGTCCCACTACCGCCGTTAACCGTCCCGAGGGCGATCCGCCGTGGCTGGCCACGATGTACAAGCCGGACCCGCGTCTGCCTCCGGAGCAACAGATGCTGCCCACGCATGCGAAGAAGATGCAGCAGGAGCAGTGGGCCAAGGAGGGCAAGACGCCGACGGCATATGATCGTGAGTTTGCGCCTCTGGCCATCGGACCGGACGGGCCTCCCCGCGTGGAACCCAAGGAAGAAAAGAAGGACGATGACGCTCCTGCTGCTGACGAAAAACCGCAACCACTGCCTGCGTCCCCACAACCTCCCACCCAGGCCGACAGCACGAAGATGGCGGAACCTGGCACCCGGCCGGGCACCAGCTCAGGATACAGCCCGATGCCCCGACTGCAGGAGCCGCCGCAGGCGGGACTGACGCCGCGGTGGAGTCCGCCGGTGGTGAGTGCACCGGAGCCGCCGAAGAAGGAAAAAAGTTGTGGATGTTGTATTGTGATGTGAGGAAGTCGTTTTACTGCCATTTCTACTCTGAATTCTTGGAGATACCTTAGATCCTGATTTGCAGGCCATTTACACTTGGTGCTTTTCGTTTGTTGTTTCAGCGTCTGGTTGGTCTTTGGTCTGGTGGTGTTTCATTCTTAGCCGTTTAATCTGGTCTTCGATTCGATTCTTTCTTTTGTTGTTCTGACCCTGTCGATCCTTGCACGATTCCCCTTGATATATTCAATTAGAATTCGATCAGCTATGGTTATTATAGTAAATCTAGTAAGGTAGTTAACTAGATCTTGTAGGAATTTACGTCAGAAGCGCAATGCTGACTCAACGTCACATGACAAGCGCTCCCCTCATTGCGACATCAATTCCGGCGTGCTCGGACTTACAAACCAACCTCCTCGCTCTCCCTCTCCTCCCACTTTCCCTCCCAGTTGCCCACCATAGCTTTCATATTCCGCCGTCTGTTCGGGTCCTTTGCCGGCCCCCCTCGCGATCTGACCATGTCCGTGGAAAAGGCCCAGAAGATCATCGACGAGAACGCCGTGGGTGAGTCGTCCGCACATCTCACGGAAGATAAGACCCCACTAACCGGGGTTATGCAGCGGTGTTCTCCAAGTCGTACTGCCCCTACTGCAAGGCCAGCAAGGATCTGCTGAACTCGTTCGATGCGAAGTTCACCACCGTCGAGCTCGACAAGGAGAGTAAGTGCCCCTCCTCTTCTGACAGCGACTTGTTGATAGAAGCTAATGTTTTTTGGGTGGGACAGGCGACGGCAGCGCCATTCAGGACGCTCTGCAGGAGATCACCGGCCAGCGCACCGTGCCCAACATCTTCATCAACAAGAAGCATATTGGCGGGAACTCGGATCTGCAGGCGAAGAAGAATGAGCTGGAGGCGTTGTTGAAGGAGGCCGGTGCTATCTAGACAGTCTCATACAATACATACAACTAGTACAGGATGCGTGCATTGAGTAAAGTAGTGATTGTGCTGTGCATAGTCGTACATATAATACAAGCAGTAATACATCTGTCTCCATAGACGATATTCACGGTGCAGGGACTAGATAACCTTCTGCACAACAGTCCCAACCGGCCGCTCAACAACCGCCATCACCCCCTCCACGACGCTCTGCCGCGCCCCCTCACTCGACACCGTCTTACCAGCCAGGTAATTCAACCACACGAGCCGGCTGATCCGCTCGTCCGCCACACGGCCAAGGAAGCGCATCGGCTGCGCGGTCTCCGCCTGGAACAGCGCATCCAGCGCGCCGTCCGCATTGCGCACCAGCACCAGCGTCTGGCCCTTGGGCACGTTCTTGCGCTGACCGCCGCCGAAGAGACCCTTGAACTCGTTCATGGCGGCGCCGAACGACTCATCCTGGAACTCGCTGGCACCAGCTCCTCCGCTGGGAGCGGCAGCCTTGGCGCTGGCACGCTGCGCACGCGCAGTGATACCCCTCACCCAGCCGTCGCGGAGATGCAGGAAATCCGTGTTGCGGGTGGGCACGATGCGGAAGGCGGTGCGCAGGCCCGGTTGGCGGAGGATCGCGTCCCAGAGGTCGTCGCCGGCGTCCGGGTCGAGGAGGAGGCGTTTGAGTTCGCTGCGCTCGGTGGAGACGAGGGAGGTGGCGGAGGCAGCGCCGGGGGAGTCGACGACCGCCGTGTCGGAGGGCGGGGCGACGGCGGCGCGGACGAGGCGCTGCTGCAGCTCGGAGATGTCGGCTTTGGCGACGTACAGGCCGACGACGTAGACCTGGATCTTGAGGAAGGAGACGGTGCGGACACCCAGGCCGAGGAGCTGGTATTCGTCGTGCTCGGCGGAGGCGGGGATCTCAGCGTTTGGTGGGAGGGCGCCGGCGCCGGCGTCGATGCGCGGTAGGCGGATCGTGCTGGGGAAGTAGGGGATTGTGCCGGAGCCGGTGGAGACTTGTTCGGCGCCGTCTTGGCCTTGGATGCGAATGACGGACGGCGAGCCGGTGAAGCCGTCGGGACCGTCAAGTTTAGTAGTCTTGTTGGGGGTGGTGGTGTCGTCAGGGCTGTTGGAGGTGGTGGTGTGCGCCTCCAGCCCGAACACGTCGAGCTTGATCACGCCGTACATGGCGACGGCGCAGGCCGCGATCCCGGCTGCGGAGAGCACCATCGACCGTCGCGATTGTGCGACTTCGTAGTCGCGCGCGCGGGTCTGCCCGGCTGTGCGGAGCGGGTTGCTGGCGGTGCGGAGGGGTGACGTGGTGCTGAGGAGACGGGGTTGGTGCGCGGCACGCTGGAGGTACTGCCGGCGAATGCATTGGGCGCAGGTGCGCCACGGAGCGCTGAGGTATGGCGTTGCCATTTTGTTTGGATATGCTTCCGGTGATGGTGAGGTGGTGATGTGAGGTCGGAGTTGCGGGTTGATCAATCCGGGGCGACACGTGATCGGCTGTGCCCTGGTCTATACAAAAGCGGAGTATCGAAGTGGGTAGGTATTATATTTATATCTAGGTAATGAATTATAAATATAGGCTGTATTGGAATTATACTACTCTACAATGACTTTGTGTGCTCCACCCCCGCTGACGGTCACCGTCGCCGTGTCGTCGGCATAGTATACGCCGCGGTAGATGTCGTTCCCATCAATGGTGATGGACGGCTGCTCGCCGCTGCGGATGAACGGGAGAGTGAGGTTTCCACGGGTGCCAGACGGGACGGAGAAATGCAGTGTGTACGTTTCAGTGCTGTTTCTCTCCCAGTGGGCGTAGAACTTGCCCAGGGAAGTGGTGAATCCGCCCTCGACAGAGCTCAGATCGCCAAACTGCGGCGCAATAAGCCACGTTAGACCGACGGGGGAGGTAATACTCAGGCCCAGGACATAGTTCGTCAGGGCACTCGTCGGCCCGGCCGACCACCCGTGCGCATGCGACACGTACGACTCATCCCACGAGTACCCCCGGTCGGACCGGTAGCTGAACGACCCGTTGCGGAGGTAGCCCTCGATCACGGTGCTCTGCGTCCCGTTTGGATGGCGGAGGTACCAGCCCCAGCTGCGGCGGATGAGCTCCAATGCGCGGTCGGCACGTCCTGCGGTGAAGTGACCCTGCACCTCAAACGAGGAGATGAACGGCGAGATGTTCTCCGCCAGCTCGGGGGCGACTGCGCCGATCGGGGTCCAGTTGTCGGTGAGTCGGTGCGATATGCGCGCGGCGCGGTCCTTGTCTGTCACGCCGTACAGGAGCGCCATGCTGTTTGCGTCTTGTGGATGCAGGGCGGTCGTCGTCGCGTTGTCTTTGAATGCGCCGTATTGGTCATCCCAGCAATGCTCGTTAATTGCCTCGCGCAGGTGTTCGGCTCGAGTATTCCATTCATTGGATAGAATATCGGTGTCTTCCATCCATTTGGCGAGGCGGGAGCCGGTTCTGAGCGTGTGGTAGAGACTTGTGGTGTCAGTACACGGTTAGCGAGACAGTCGGTTTGACGTACATCATCTGTGCTTCGGTGTTGTTGAAGCCCTGCTGCCAGCGGGCCCAGTCGCGCGTACCAGTGACGTTCAACAGTCCGCTGGAATGGTCTACCTTCTGGTAGATGTAATCCATGGCCTTCTGATACTTGTTCCAGTTCTTCAGGAGAAAGTCGGTGTCGTTCGTGTAGAGCACGTAGTTGAACGTGCCGATCATCGTCCACATGTGGTAGGTGTCCGAGTTTTTCTGGCTGAGTGGCGGCCCAGATTCGTCAAATGCACCAGTCGAGTTATTCTACGGTTGTCAGGAGGCGTGCCACAGGAGGTGTCTGGAGTCGTACCTGCGTATCGTACATCACCTGAAGGGCGTTCTTCACGCTCTCCATATCCCCAACGCTAACAAACGACGATGGCACCGCAATGCCCATATCTCCAGGCCACACAGCACGGTCTCGTTTGGCTCCGTCCACAAGGATCGTGTCGCCCGGTCCAAGGGTAGCGTTGTTGGCCCATCCTGCCTCGAGCATGGGAACCTGCCGACCAGTGTGCACAGGCACCGCATTCGTCTGCAATGTGTAGGCCCCGCTGTACCAGATGCGATTCAGCAGCTGGTCGTTGGAGTGGAAATAACCTTGGTAGGCCTGCAGATTCGACCACGTCGGCTGGAACGCGATCTCCAAGCTCACACCCTCCACATGGACGCAGGTTTTGGGATCCTCCGGCATTAAAAAGACAGTCATGTAGCGGAACCCACCGCGCAGCTTCTCATCAGGCATGACGAACGATCCATGGCCGGCGTTGGTGAAATTGGCATACAACACACCATCGGGTCCCTTGAAAGCGCCATTGGACGAGTCCGACGACCGTCCGATGAAGTTCTTTGCCTCAGTGAAGGCCAGCCCGATCGCGCCGGCGCCGGTGGTGGTGTAGTTTACTGTGACGATGCCGCCGACTTCGATGCCAAAGTCGAACACAACCGTGGGCATGTTCTGATGCAAGGCGTATGGCATGGACTTGGCATAGTCGGTGGTTCTGTTCGGCGATGCGATCGACAGGATCTGCCGTGGACTAACCGTTCGCGATGACGGCGCATAGATATTCTTCTCCCAGGGACCGGAAAAGGCACTGTTTTTGGGGCCGGAACAGGCAGTGTTTCGCCAGCAGCTCTGCGTGCGAGCGCCTTGGGCGAGAGCCACCAGGGTCAACAGGAGGTGAAGCCACCACACCGCAGCCATCGCATGTTATAGGCAGACGCCAAGGGAGGGCAGTCGATTTGAGGAGATAGGCGGGGAGGTCAACAGGGAATCGAACCCAAGGAAGAAGCGCATTGTTATTTATTCTACGTGGCGCATAGGGCGAAAACTAGCGCCGTTCCACTAGCTCGGTCAAGGTATTTCATCCGGATTGCTGAACTCCTAAGTGTCCAAGGAGAGGGGCCGTCGGACATAATTTCTTTCTTTTGGGAATAACCTGGGATGCCGGATTGCCCGGGGTGACTAGCGATGCTTCTCCGGCGGTCTGCTGGGACGAACGGCGCGAGTTGGCTTCGTTTAGGGGTTGCATTAGGCCCACTTAGGCCGGTAACGAGGCATCACAGTGGCCAGTCTCCTCTCCGACAGCCGGTTGCCAAGTTTTGGCGTCTGGAATCACGATCTTGGTGAGTGACGGCGTTGTGAAACAGGAGACAGGGCGATCAACGAGGCGGTTGTTCCAGAAGATCGTCAATCACCGCGGCGGACAATCTTGATCGGAAGGCGACTGGCGGGAATTCTATCTCTGAAGTCTGAGGATCAGACGATCACCGATCATGCATTCGAACCTGCGGGGGGACTGAGTGTCTCATGGGTTCGGGGGTTATGGTAGCGAGATGGATGTTTGGGCACGCTCTTCGACGGTTGGAGAAGGATCCCTGGAACTCGGCCCGGTTTGGACTGTTCTTTAGCGTGTGTGTCTCTTGATTGAGGATTTCTTTGCCTGATCTCTTATTGCTCCACTGTTAATTGGGAGATTCTCCTGAGGCTTCCAGTTCAGCGAAATCATTCGGCATAGAGAGGCGCTTTGATGCCGACCATTAGTTAGCGCATTCAACCGATGTCTTATTGGAGATACCTCGCATGATTTTCACGCATGAGATTCACCTGGACAGGAGCTGCGGGGATGATGATATTGGGGATGAAGAAAGAGAAGAGAACAAGGAAGAGAAAAGAAAGATTAGGTTCTCTCCAGATTATCGGCGTTAATCTAAAGTGGAGGATAAACCCGATGTCACCATGTCATCCTTAAGGCGCGATCCGCCTGTCACCCGTCTAAAAGGGGAACAAGACAATAAAACACCTCCCACCGCCATCTTTCGCTCTCTCAACATTCTCAAAGATTTACTTGTACGTCTAAATATTAATACTATATTCAATCAGCTCAAAATGGCCAATTCCACTACCCCCCAGGAACCCTGGATCGAAACCCCGATAATCGAGTCTGCGACACTCTCCAGAGCAGCAGGATGGTCTGTCCAACAGTCTACTTTGTTCGCAAATACTAACCCTATGTACAGTCGCGTCTTCTTGAAACTGGAGCTCCTACAACCCTCCGGCTCATTCAAGTCCAGGTGAGTCTCATGGAAAACTCTCCCAGACACGAGCTCACAAATACAGAGGCATTGGCAACTTCATTCGCACTGCGCTTCTGAACCCCACCAACAATGGCAAAAATCTTCATTTCTACATCTCCTCGGGGGGGAATGCCGGATTAGCAGCCGTTATCGCCGCGAATGATCTGGGCTGTCCATGTACTGTCGTCGTGCCACACAGCACGAAACCACTGATGATCAACAAGTTGCATGCCGCCGGTGCGACAGAGGTGATCCAACACGGCGCCAGTTGGGTTGAAGCCGACTCCCACCTCCGCGAGACTTTCATCGATCATCAGGAGGGGAAGCAGACGAACATCTACATCCCGCCGTTCGACCATCCGGACGTCTGGGCGGGCGCGGCGACAATGGTGTCGGAGATCGCAGCGCAGGTACCGCCGCGCGATTCAAGCGGCTGTGCTTTCCCCGCAGATGCGATTGTCTGCAGTGTTGGTGGCGGCGGTCTGTTCAACGGCATCGTCCAAGGCCTGGATGAGTATCTGAGATCCCACGAAGCCGCAGACAAAACGGGCAATGTTCAGGTACTGGCAGTGGAAACTCAAGGCGCCGACTCGCTGGCCCATTCTCTCCGCGCTGGGCGTCTCGACTCGCTCCCCGCTATCACCTCGCTTGCGACCTCACTCGGAGCCCGGTGCGTATCGGCCCAGACCTTCAAATACGCGCAATCATCACCTGCGGGGATCAACGTGGTGAGTGTGGTTGGGTCGGATGCGGAAGCGGCCCGGGGAGTGGTCACGTTGGCCGATGAACAGCGGTTGCAGGTTGAGCTGGCGTGTGGGATCAATGTTGATGTTGTCACGGGAGAGAAATTCAAACAGGCTGTCCCAGACCTTACTCCTGAGAGCCGAGTGGTGGTGGTGGTTTGTGGCGGTAGCAATGTGACTGCTGAGATGATTGCCGAGTATCGTCAGAAGTTGCAGGATGGGTGGAAGTAAGGCTGCTCGTTCCTTTATAGATACCAGATAGACAAGTAAGAATCTTCAACCATGAGATGTCTTATCTCTTTTACTTGGATGGAGTGACCCAGAAATGAACCATCCCAACCTCTACACTTGCGTACCAAGCCAACTGACAACATAAGTAACTTTTGACACATAGAACAAACCCAATGCGACACTGTGCTAAGCCCTGCCTTTTATATCCCAGCTCGGAAACCATCACACTATGGCATTGATCGAATCCATAAAGTACTCGTGCCAATCATTCCGTCGTTAGACTGTCTCTGAGGTCCGATGGTTATTGAATCGTCCGCTGTCGGAAAGTGGGTAGGCTTCGTGGTCTTGGGTTCGCCTGAAGTGGCCGTGGGATTTCAAGGCTACTACAGCTACCGTCCAAGTTAGCCATAGAAGAAGCCAGATAACAAGACAGTAGAGAGATGAGGATGGAGATGAACAAATCTAGGAGTGAACAAGACCAAACGCACTAGCAGCTTGATAGATCCGAGCAATCCAGGCTTCTATATGGCGCGCGATTGAAATACTCTCTAGGAAGGGGAAGTGTCGACGTTGGGGCCGGGACATGGCTGTGATTGGCAACATCTCTTGTCGTTCTGAAGGGGAACCGTTATGACGAAGTCGAAATATTTCGTACAGACTGATCAAGGCTAGTACCGAGGTGGGGAGGGCAAGAATGAACGCGAGAAATTCAAAGACTAGCGATGTGGTCCAAGCCATTTTGGGAATTGGGCTTTGACATAGAGAAAGAAGACTGAAAATTTTTCTGAGATGAATTCCCTGGTGAAGACCAGACAGCATTTATAGATGTGCAGGAAAGGGAACTGTGGTATTTATTTTCTTCGCTAGATGACCCTACACTCACATCTCTGCAGTCAGGGGATGACAGTGGCTACGTTTTTTGTAGGTAATTTCATCTATTGGACGAGATACCATGGCAGAGATACTATAGCAGAGATACCATGGCAGACATGCTATGGCAGACATGCTATAGCAGAGATACTATAGCAGGGATGGTATGGTAGACATGCTGTGGCAGAGATACCATGGCAGACATGCTATGGCAGACATGCTGTGGCAGAGATACTATGGCAGGGATGGTATGGTAGACATGCTATGGCGAGTGCACATCCAAATGTGCCGCCCACAAAGTACCAAGGATTTTGATGAAATGAGGCAGTGCCTGTAAACGGCTCTCGGGGGTACTTGGAAAGCTCCAGATGGCGCGCGCGCCATCTAACAGCCAATTATTGTCGCAGGCTCTTGCTGGCATCCCTGATTCAGGACAAGGAGACACCCAATGGCAGACTGATAATGCTCACACCCCCTGGTGAGTGCATATGTACTCGCTGCCCTTGGTGAGCACGGATGCACTTTCCCTGGTGAGCGAAGATGGATTTGCTTCCCTAGTAGCCGCAGAGACCCGTTAGGTCTGTCATAGGAACCGTAAGCATTAATGGACCCGTAGAAGTGCAGTAGAAACCTAGTAGAAATGTAATGCAATGTAATGCAATGTAATGAAATATAGTGAAATATAGTGAAATCCAGTTAAATCCAGTTAAATCCAGTTAAATCCAGTGCATCACTGTATAGGGACCTGTCCTTTTTATTGGCAGAAAATGGAGACTTTCGAATACTCCAAACCACGCTGCAATAAGAAAAGAAAAACTAACTACGTAGGCACGGAACTTCAACACCTCAAGCTCTTAATTCCCTGTTCCTACCTAGAGTTTGCCTGACAAGTCCCCCAGTCCCTTCAAGCGGTGAGGAGTGCTTGGCATGACAGCGCTAAACTACATCTGGCCAAATCGTTCCACGCGGAACGATTTGCACGCGGAACGATTTGGCCAGATGTAGTTTAGCGCAGACCCGAGCTGACATCCCATGACTTTTCTGGTTGATACAATCGAGCATTATTTGCCCCGTTCGTTCAACCTAGTAACGCGCTCGCCGACTTTGGAAAGGTCAATGAGCTCCAAGACTCCATCGAGAGGCGTGATTGGGAACCTACATCGAGGGTATATGGGTCCAACAATAATAATGAGGCCAAGATCGGGCCCGGGACCAAGGATGGAATCAACGATGGAAAAGATTATGAGAAGAACGGTGGGAAAAGCCGTGGGAAACCCGACTGGCACTCGCGCGGGCTTTCCCTTTTATTCAATTGGCTTTCCTATTGGCTTCGCAGAGCTTGCTCTATTCGAAGTCACTGCTGAGAGCCATTGAATGTACCCAGGTAGAAGAGCGATTCTCAAATAGGGACTGGTTGATTGATGGGTAGTAGGCTCTCAAAGATTGCTGGGATATGACTTAATGTTAGAAGAACAAGCACCCGAGTCCTTACGCCCACCAACCTACGTGGATCAACTGAAGTCACTTCCCTTGGTCCTGATGAGTGGGGAGACGGGGGGAGACGAGCACACTAGCGGTGCAAAAAGAAAGGTACACCCTATTAAATATATCCAATATTGACCACGGGAAATTAACCATGCATTAGAAGGTAACTGAAATTCTGCGCAGAACGTTCTATTCAGAAAACAGCTTAGTGCTTACATGGTGCGGGGATGGTCGTAGCTGATCAATGCATTTTAATTACGACGGTCAAACGAACTTGGAGGGTACCGTATGCCTGCTCTCAGACGCAAGTCCCAAGACGAGGCTCAGAGATCATGAAGAGCATGCATGTGGTGGCTGAATCAAATGGGTCTGGTTGGTAGAGAGAATTCCATGTGGATTAAAGAAGAGAGTATCATATTGGTGAAGGGCGGGGGCTGGTAGGGGGCAAGAAAGACTTGCAGGGAGACCACCAGTCAGAGATGGTCCAGAAAACCTGCCCAGGGCAACTATTCTAGCACCGAAACATGCGGAGCAATTATTTCCTATCCCGTTCATTCTAAATTACCCCCTCTACGAAGATCTAGCGTCACTCCGTCATTTCTGAGTAAGTACCTAACTATCAGAGGATCAGAGTTAGAGATATACCGCACCCCAATTCGGGCCCAGTAATAGTTTGCGATAAACTACCGATGTAGTCATACTCAGCCAATGAGTTAGCAGCCGCCAAAATGTCCCTTGAGACCAGGAATCATGGTTGTACATGCCCTCTCGCTCTGCTGCGATGAGTATTATTCTTACAGCCTTATCATGTACATACCTACTATATAACTGACGCAGACCAAGAATACTTTCACCACCTGTTCTTCCTGTACCGCGTAACTCGTGATCCATCCCGTAGCTCAACCCCAACGGGATAGAGCTGATACCGCAAGATCCAAGGTAACAGAAAAAATCTCACTCCATAGTACACCACACCAAGAGCCAGGATCCCCAGCGACACGACAGGAGAAAGCCAGTATGGCAACTGTCCCTCCCTTTGATTAGCTGGTGGGGGAACGAATGGCATGACGATTAGAAACTGTAGCCCTCACGATTATTATCAGCACGGCCATACATACGGGCGAAAAAGGAGAGGAGAAGTACCACACTGCCCGCCAAATAAAACCCAATAATGGCCCAAGGTACGGAGAACGGCCGGTTCTCCATTTCCTTCGCCAAACGCAGCTTAATCAGTGCGATCGTCGTGGCCGTCAATAAAACGGTATTTGGGTAGGACGACAACTTCACAACGAAGTCGAATGCCTCCCCGGCTGGCGGCGCGCAAATGAAAATGATCGTCACCCCGAGGTGGACGAACAGCGCGACGATCGGGGTGCGGAAGGGCCGGTTCTGCATGACCAGGTTAGGGAAGGGCGCGATGTCGTCTTTGCCTAGTTCTTAAATCACTCGAGCTACAAGAATTAGCGATGGAGTATCAAGGGCCAGGCACTTGGACAGAAACGTACGAACAGTAAAGGCGATTCCGAGAAGATGGCCCAGAGCGGAGATGGCTACTAGAGCTGGAAGTGCGGTGGTCGCGGCCGAGTCGCCGAAGATGTTCTTGAACATGGACGCCGCGATTGTGACCTCCGAATGGAGAAATTGCTCTTTGGGGACAGCAGCAAACTTGGTGGCCACGTTAACGTTAGATGTGTGACTGGCGGAGAGGACGGAATAGGGAAATCTCACATATGCGACGTTGGCGAGGATGTAGAGCACGGTGATCAGAGCCATCGCCGTGGGTAGAGCGATGCGGAGGGTTCTGGCCGGGTTCTTCACCTCCGAAAGGACCGTGTTGACATTGTCGTACCCATGGAACGCAAAGATGGCGTTTAATAAGGCAGTGCCGATACTATATCCGCTCTTGATAGTGCCTTCGAAGGAGGTCGAGATGTCAAAGTTGTGCGGATCGGGCACTTGACGATGTCCAGCCAGGGCCGCAAATCCAGAGCAAACGACGAACAACAAGACAAAGAGCTTGACTGCACTGAGCATATCCTGTAGCATTCGTCCTCCGCGGGGCCACACAGTGTGTATTCCTACAGCAAATGTAGATGCTGCAATGGCCAACCCGCGCATTCGCCAGGTGGTTGCGGCAACGCCTGCCGCCTTAAGCAGATAGGAGGATGTCGTGATGGCGTTGCTGGCCGATACCTCTAGGTTGGTTAGCCACCATTAGGGCCATATTGAGATGGCCTGGGGAGAAAACTCACGAAGGAACGTACAGTAAAATAGATAGATGCATGTTACCAGTAACTTGGGAGAAAAGGCTCTCTCAAGGTACACCTTCATGCCGCCTGATCGGGGCATGCTGATGCCCAGCTCCAGCATAATAAGTGCGCCACAGGTCGAGAGCAGGCCGGCAATGACCCAGATAATCAAGGCCATGCCAACACTGCCGCTGTGCTTGAATATCGTTGCGGGAGTAGAGAAGACTCTGAGAGACGTTAGCTTAGTAGGCAGGGAGAATGCTTCAGACAACACACCCTGCCCCTACGATCTTGTTCACGACCAGCGATATAGCGCCAAATATGCCGATACTTCGTGCTTGCAATACATTAGATTCCTCTACATGGAGCGAATCTTGAGTCTTGACATCTCCGGCTGGCTGTGTTGTCTCCTCCACGGTACATGTTACTTGAATTGAATCGTTGCCACCTGCCATGATGTTAGGACTGGAACGCAAGTGTGTTCTGTTCTATACCTCTGCGCCTATCTGCATGCTGGTAATTTATAGGGTCTCTCAGCTCCGACCAATCCTTGGTGACTTGCGTGAAGAGAATACCATATCGCACCATATCACGACATGCATGGAGGAGACACTTATTCTCCGAGCGGTCTTAAAGTCGGAAACTTCAACGGTGACTTGGGCAGATACCATAGTCCCACAATAGGCACTGCTGGTTATCCTAGTCCAAGAGACGTGCGCTCACCAAAGGACTCTCTTGCATGCTCTTGAAACTGACCGTTTCGTTTGGGGAGTTGATGCAGATCACACCTTATCGCTCCACACTGGTGTCAAACAGCCGACTTCCGGATTACTCCAATGATAACCAGAACAATAGTTATCAGAGTGGGATCCTGAACAATATTTAGCAAATATATTGGTCACGATGGACCTAGCGTCGGACATACCCCTCCGGGACTGCGGAGTCAGCCCGAGCGAGCTTGTTGGATTTAAGCACCATGAGTTGGCCAGTAGTCCCGAAGGACTCGCTTTAATTCATACAATCAATCGTTCTCTGCCCACGAGTTGACTTGCAGATATCTGAATCGAAAAGACGCTTATCATGTCCACCACAACGGTCGAAACTCAAGTCGGCGTTCAGCCCGACATCCAATATCATCCCGACTATCAAAAGTACAAAGCACGTACGCAGCGTCGCAAGGCGACCGAGGATCTTATCCAGACTCTCCCTCCAGGCTTCCCTGCGCAGCTGTCATCGCCTCTTGTCTGGGAGGGTAAAGACATCGAAAGCCGAGATGACTGGATCTACAAACTGAGCGAAGAGCAGCTGAACGAGATCGACGCCGCCTTGAAGCACTTCCAATGTATGTCGCCATCCCATCTACATGAGACGGTTCAATCTTAACAGTAGGTAGCACTCAAACTCCCCTTGGGATACATCGACGAAGTAACCTTTCCGCTCCCGGGTCTCCGCCCCGTCCTCCGGGCACTCTCGAAAGACCTTCATCTCGGCCGGGGCTTCTTCGTCCTCCGCGGCCTCCGCGTGGAGAACTACTCCCGAGAAGAAAATATCATCATCTACGCGGGAGTCTCGTCCCACATCGGAAGCATTCGCGGCCGGCAGGAAGACACCCGCTTCACGAATGGAACTTCCCTGGTCCTGTCGCATATCAAAGACCTCTCTGGGTCCGTGGACAAATGGCGAATCGGCGCCCCGTCCAACACGGCAGATAAGCAGGTCTTCCACACCGATGTGGGCGATATCGTCTCTCTGATGTGCCTGCAGCCGGCGGCCGAGGGCGGCGAGAGCTATCTTTCCAGCAGCTGGCTCGTGTACAACATCCTTGCTAGGGAGCGGCCTGATCTAATTCACACGCTGGCACAAGACTGGCCCGTGGACGGGTGAGTTTGCTCATGTACTGCTAATATTTCCATACGCCAGGGCTGAACATACATTCTCCGTAGATTCAACAACCCAGAAAAACCCTACACGAACCGCCCACTCCTCTACCACCAACCCGCCACCGAGTCCGCCCCCGAGCGTGTCCTGATCCAGTACGCGCGACGCTATTTCACCGGCTTCCTTGCGCAGCCTCGTTCCCCGCACATCCCGCCCATCACGGAAGCACAGGCCGAGGCGCTGGATGCCCTGCACTTTCTGGCAGAGGAGCACCGCGCATCATTGGACTTTCAACGTGGAGATGTTCAGTACGTCAATAATCTGAGCATCTTCCACGCCCGGAACGGATTCCGGGACGAACCTGGGAAGGAGTAGGTGTATTGATTATTTTAACGAGACTATGTGCTAATGTGCTATAGACGCCATTTGATGAGGCTGTGGCTGCGTGACCCGGAATATGCATGGGAGACGCCGGAGCCGCTGCGTCCACGCTGGGCTAATGCATATGAGGGTGTCCTCCCGGAGGAGCAGGTTCTTCCTTTGGAGCCGAGACTTAGGAAGACGATTGGTTCCTAGGCGCATCATGCATGTCGAATCAATTCATTGAGTGGAGTTTGCGCTCGTGGATGGACAAGTAGCCCATGGTGATCGTGCCGAATTGAAATCAGTCAATAGCATTATTTTGATACCATAGCCTTGAACACACGAACTAAAGACCTTCATTCTGCTAATGGCAATACTCAACGACAGTCAAACCGTACAATCTTGGAGTCTATCACAGACACATAACACAATCCTCTCAACCAGCCGCCTCTTTCAACACCTTCATACTCTCCGGAATCCACGCCTCGCTCTTGCCCGTCATCCACCAACAGCACTCCTCTAACCCACACCGAGCTCGGTACCAGTCCTCGTTCTTATCTGTCAGCCACCACGAGTGCATCTTAGCGTGTATGTAGAGGACCTCCCCGTTCTCATAGACCGTCCAGTGGCCGTACACCTCGACCACATTGCGGCTGATGGTGACGGTCAGGGCGCGGATAATCCTATCAAACCCTTTCGCATCGAAATGAGTCCTCTCCCACAGAAACCGCAGGTTCTGGAGCATAACAGCTGCATTGTACAGGTTCTGTCTGGCCCCAAGCACCGAGCCTTCTGGGGCGATCTCGACAGCCACGAATGGAAACGCCAAGGCTTGGTCGCATTCAATCGGAGACATGTACGGCTGCAGGTCCCGGAGAGCCTTCCCGGTCAGGAAGTGGAACGATTGCAGGCCGGTGGTTACGCGTGGCCTCGGCGCGCGCAGGACCGGTGCGTCGGACGCGGAGCAGGGCAGGGGCTCGACGGTCCAGGGACTGTCAACGCAAAGCCGCAAGGATGATATGCTCACCAGCCACTCCGTCAAGAAGAACGGAGTGACCTGGTGAAATGTGTGTTCGTTCCAGTATCGGTCTCGGATGGCCTTCGCGTGGATCAGCGATCGGGAGTATAGCTCACTACTGCCGGGCTGATCGGCGTATCCTGTGTGTAGGTCTTTGAGCTGGCCTTGCCAGGGGATGTCCTTGGGACATGAGGCCACATTCCTCGACCGGAGGGCGGTCAGATAGACAGCGCCATCGGACGCACTGAGGGGTTTGGCGTCGGTGTCTGTGGGGCGGGCTGATGAGTCCGTACTTGGAGTCAGAACTGTTGGCGAGGACGACTCATTGTCTTCGGTTTCTGAATGAGAGCCGGACTGGTAACTATCATAGTCTTCCCAGTCTCTAGAGAAATGCTCGTGTAAGCCAAACGTTGAGAATAAGGTGAAACTGAGTAGAGCGGACACCTACTCTTGCTCATGCCAATCGTCCTGCCAATTGCTCATGTTGTAGCTTCTGCAAAGGTGAGCCGCCGTCTTGTGCTCGAGTCGCCAAAGAAGGCAGACTTTTCAACGAGCCAGCGAAGCCTTAGGAAAGATGTAAGCGCTTTGCGGCAGACATAATGCCGACGAAATAAGAATAGTAGTCGAGCGTCATACGCCGGACCATGGTTAATGCGTTCTAACACATATCGCTTGGATAGGCATTGTTGAGTGCGAAGCTTAGAGGCGCACGTCATGATACAGAGCACTCCCAGGTCATGTTGCGCGCATCACGTTGTTGTTGTGGGCGTTGGGGTCAAAACTCATAGGGATCTATATGCAGCCATGCGAGGTTAACTGAGCACAAGAGATCTTGAAAGCTTTGCAATCCATACATCAACAGTATGAGACTACGTTAGCTTGAATGTAGTAGCATGGAGGATCCAGTACAATGAAACGTATCTTAACTCATACTTCCCATGACGATACTGATATCCAAAGCTTCATCGTCACTACTGCACCGGGTTATATATCCGCCCCACTGTTTCCCGAGGTCAAGAAAGACAGGATGAACCATAAGCGGGGTAACACTCTATAACGATCGAGCCATAAAAGCAGTGGCCTCAGCCACTCTCCCGTCATCCAACTCATCGTCATCTTTCCCTTGTCCCCAAAACAATGTCAACAACGACAGCCGACGAAGACGCCCGCGCGGCCTACCTCCTCGACGCGCAGAACAAGGCCGTCCAGCTCTTCGACGAGATCCAGCGGGACCTCGTCCGCCCCGGCGTCAGCGAAAAGACGCTAAGCGACGAGATCCATCAACTCGGCGCCACGCGCCACGGCGTGAGAACCCACTGGCATAAACGGCTGATCCGCAGCGGGCCCAACACGCTGCGACCCTTTGCGGATAATCCGCCAGACCGGATCATCCAGCCCGACGACATCCTGGTCGTGGATCTCGGCCCCGTGTTCGAGGAATGGGAGGCGGACTTTGGGCGGACGTTCGTGCTTGGAGACGACCCGCACAAGAAGCGCCTGCGGGATGCGTTGGAGCCAGTATGGAAGACGGTCAAGGCGCGCTTCCATGAGGACCCGCATATCACGGGGGAGAGGCTGTATGAGATCGCGTGCGATGTCGCCCGCCAGGAGGGCTGGGAGTTTGGCTCCCATATCGCTGGCCATCTTGTTGGGTCGTTTCCGCATGAGCGGATTCCCAATGACAAGACTGCATTGTATATTACAAAGGGGAATAAGGAGCGCATGGATCTGCCTGGTCGTGATGGGTTCAAGAGGCATTGGATCTTGGAGATCCATCTGCATGACCCTGTGCGGAAGATTGGCGCGTTCTACGAGCAGCTTCTGACCGTCGACTAAGACAGTTCTCGTTCTGTACTGGAGTTACAGCCATGCTGGGCTATAGAATTGGTATATACAGTAGGTACCTAAGTTGCAACGTCCGGCGTCATTTAGACAATTCTATTCACAGGCTGTGCAAAGGCATGTGCATATCGTCAGTCGTATATCTATCAAGACAGGGTAAACGAAAATATCGTCCTCCGCGAGTTACTCGCTGTCACTCGCGCTGCCATTCGCGGACCCGTCATCTCCCTCATGGGTCAGTCCCTCCGCGAGGATATACTCGGTCTGCTGGAGGGTCTTTTTGATCTCGTCGTTGTTGTAGACAAGCTCCGCCGGTTTTTGGCCGTGCTTGTTCCGGACACGTGGGTCGCACCCCGCCTCGCACATCATCTTGATCATTTCTAGTCCGAGCTCGCTATCCTTCTCGTTCGCGTACCGTACGGCGGTGTGGAGGGGTGTGTCTTTATCGAGGCGGGTCAGGGGGTCGCATTCGAAGTACTGGATGTCGAAGAGGGTGTCCATAGCGTCGTCTATTTAATAATTGTCAGTAAGGCTCGGAACAGAAGAGGTAGATAGCGTACAGCTTCCGTATTGGGCACAGATGTGAAGAGCATGGTTCCCCATGGAATCCGTGACAGAGTTGAAGAACTCCGCAACTTCTTCGTTTGACTTGTCCTCCATCGTCTCTAGCACTTGCTGAATCAAGTGGGGTTGATCACGACGACAGGCCTCGACGACCAGCTCGCGAGGCGACGCACCCTATATAGTCAGTACGGCTACAAGGTAATGGGATCCATTGCGGCGGAGTACAGGCCCAACTTACATCGTCTGCCATGGTCGGTAGTGAATATGGTTAGGAAGAGAGCGAGAAGCAGTAAATGGCTCTGGTTCAAGAGACAAAGCTGGATTTCTCAAAATCAGCCAAGAATGACTACGGCATAAACGTGGCACAGCGACTGGACAAGCACTACCGCGGAGAGGGTATAGCGGGGATTCCGGAACAACGAACGGGGGATGGTGCGCGTAGACGAAGATAACAAGAGAGCGAAGCAACCATGTGCCACGTCGTAGAGGATGCAGAAGATAGGTATCCTTCTCAGAAATCAACTAAAAGGAAAATGTTCACTCACAGAGTTCAAGTTGGACCTGAGTACACTGCCTCCTGAACCCCCGCAGGCCGCCAAATACACCAGTCGCGGGATGCCCGGATAATTAGGTTGCGCCGTTCCGGATCCTCGAGGTCCCGTCCAATCGGCGCGCGCCAAGGGAGCCGCGCGGTAGGGCGGCTTTTTTTCTCCGCGAACCTACATCGTTGGTTGATAAGCCGCCATTATCGCATGCCTTGCTGCGGGACGTTGACAGAGGACGCTGCTGCAAGAGGAAGGCTCTTATAGATTATTTTTGGTGAATAAGCATCTTTAAGCTACGGTCTCGAATCAATTTCTTTTTTCTCTGATATACTCCAACTTTCTTGAGATCCAATCAACATGCCGTTGACGTGTGAGCTTTCCTTCATCCGATGATATCTTCTCGCAGTATCGACTGACCTCTTTGGTGCATAGTCTGCCCCAATTGCAGCAATGCGCTGACGATTTCCCGTGGAGAACCGACTCCCAGACACCCTCTGGGCGTGAATCGCTTCGAATGCCGGACCTGTCCATACCAATACAACCTCGAACAGAGCTACTTCGAAAAGACCCCTATGAAGCAGAAGGAGGTGGAGGACGTCTTTGGAGGCAAGGAGGAGTTTGCCAACGCCGACAGCATGGCCAGTATGTTACAGATCTTCCCCTACGGCGGTGATATCAGAAAATGGTGGTTGCGGAGGCTGACGAGTGTGTTCTTCCAGCGCAATGCCCCGCAGAGAACTGCAACGGCGACCGTGCATACTTTTTCCAGCTGCAGATTCGAAGTGCAGACGAGCCGATGACTACATTCTTGAAGGTGGGTGCTTTCTCCCGTCCATGTGGGCGGTGCGTCTGGCGTTGCATGCTGATTTAAGGTCGACAGTGTACGACATGCGGTGCTCGGTGGAGAGAGAACTGAGTGCCCCTCTTCCTCCTTGCGCGAACGCGATCTTATCGGGCGGATGGTGAAGGAAGGGACAATAGTCATTATTACTCTCATGGTTGAGTCATTCGTTATTGTGTTTTTACGTGGATCATCGTCATGTCTAGGTGTCACCAGTCGGATCAGGATTTACAGCTTAGCTTCTAGATACCCCTCAATGGTTAATCATGTTTACAGTTTTCGGAGTCACCTTGGTGGAAGCTATGTCAGATCGACACCAGCACAGAAAATTTTGTTTTTAGCGGCGGAAGGATAATCATCCAGTTTGGATTGGGTCCAACCATGGTAGCTTGTGCGTGTCTCCCGAACCTGAGCGAAAAATTTTACATGGGGCCAGTGCTTTTTTTTTTTTTTTTTTTTTTTTTTTGCCATGGGATTTTTTTGGAGGGGCAACAGAACCCAAAACAATATCCAACGGTTAGCGGTGAAAATCACCCCGATCCTTCTAGACGAGGCTAAAAGAGCACTCACACACACAAATAAAAATCTCCATCCGAAATGAATGCCTGACAAGAATAGAAATGTGAAATCATGATCGAAGAAAGCCCCTCCTGTTTCGTCACTCCTCTCGGTGTACTTCAGAGCGGTCTGCTTTTTCTTTTCCCTCGCATGTGGGCGATATATCTGGAAGAGAAAATGTGGGTCGGCCGTGCCACAGCTGTTTTGGGAAATGGCTGCCAACGGGCCAATCACAACGCCCACTGACCGCGGGGTTCTGGTGCAAACAGATCCAACATTGATAGGCAAAATCAGCAAAATAAAAAATTTCCGCCTGCCCCTCCGTGTTGCCCCTCCGTAGTCCACTTTTCTACCTGCGTGGATGCCCAGTTTCCAGTCCAACCGAGTGAATTTTCTCCGAAGAGGAACAGAATGATAGTATGCAATTCGTAGAGCTCATAGATGACTACTATAATACTGGTGTAAAAAATGGGAGAAAATTTTCCTTGATCGGGTGGTGAGGTGGGGGGCAATTCAGAGGGGGGAACCATGGGACGCAACAACAAGTCGAGCCCAACCAGTGGCAGCCCAAGGCGGGCCAGGCTGGACAACGAGCGCCGGCGCTGAGTGAAGATTCTGCGCGTTGAAGTGGGGCTGGCTACCCCTCCATGTCCAATGACACCACTACACCGCTGGGCGGCTCGCCAAAGGGTTTGAACCCGCCCGCTTAGTCGTAGGCTCGCTTGCCCCTCCATATAAGGATTTCCCCTCCTTCCTCCTCCCACAGAATTTTTTTCCTTTCCCTCCTCGTCCGCTTCAGTACGTATATCTTCCCATCCTTCCTGTCTCTTCCTCCTTCTTTCTTCATCCTCTCTCTAACTGACTTCCTTGCTCAGCACCTCTACGCGTTCTGCCGTAGTATCTGAGCAATTCACAGAATCTTTTCTAGTATCTTACAAAGAACTACAAAAGTTCATTCCTTCAACCGTCAAAATGGGGTAAGTCACCGTCCCAAGCAATCTTCTCACTTCATCCCTCCTTCTTCTATCTCCATCATGACTCGAGGCTTATCATCATTGCTCAACAGTAAGGACGAGAAGACTCACATCAACATCGTCGTTATCGGCCACGTCGATTCCGGCAAGTCGACCACCACTGGTAAGCCTCTCCGCCGCCCATCCGCCCTCGATCGGGTCCTCGGACAACATACTCATACCACATCATAGGTCACCTTATCTACAAGTGCGGTGGTATCGACTCCCGTACCATTGAGAAGTTCGAGAAGGAAGCCGCCGAGCTCGGTAAGGGTTCCTTCAAGTACGCTTGGGTTCTTGACAAGCTCAAGTCCGAGCGTGAGCGTGGTATCACCATCGACATTGCCCTCTGGAAGTTCCAGACTGCCAAGTATGAGGTCACTGTCATTGGTAAGTCTCTAATGTTCCTGATGGTACATTTCAATCACTAACATCCCCCAGATGCCCCCGGTCACCGTGACTTCATCAAGAACATGATCACTGGTACCTCCCAGGCTGACTGCGCTATCCTCATCATTGCCTCCGGTACTGGTGAGTTCGAGGCTGGTATCTCCAAGGATGGCCAGACTCGTGAGCACGCTCTGCTTGCCTTCACCCTCGGTGTCCGTCAGCTCATTGTTGCCCTCAACAAGATGGACACCTGCAAGTGGTCTGAGGACCGTTACAACGAAATCGTGAAGGAGACCTCCAACTTCATCAAGAAGGTCGGCTACAACCCCAAGGCCGTTCCCTTCGTCCCCATCTCCGGTTTCAACGGTGACAACATGCTTGAGCCTTCCCCCAACTGCCCCTGGTACAAGGGTTGGGAGAAGGAGGGCAAGTCCGGCAAGGTCACCGGTAAGACTCTCCTCGAGGCCATCGATGCCATCGAGCCCCCCGTCCGTCCTGCCAACAAGCCTCTCCGTCTTCCCCTCCAGGATGTGTACAAGATCTCTGGTATCGGAACTGTCCCCGTCGGCCGTGTCGAGACTGGTGTCATCACCCCCGGCATGGTTGTTACCTTCGCTCCTTCCAACGTCACCACTGAAGTGAAGTCCGTTGAGATGCACCACCAGCAGCTCAAGGAGGGTCTCCCCGGTGACAACGTTGGTTTCAACGTCAAGAACGTCTCCGTCAAGGAGGTCCGTCGTGGTAACGTCGCTGGTGACTCCAAGAACGACCCCCCTGCTGGCGCTGCCTCCTTCACCGCCCAGGTCATCGTTCTCAACCACCCCGGTCAGGTCGGCGCTGGCTACGCCCCCGTCCTCGACTGCCACACTGCCCACATTGCCTGCAAGTTCGCTGAGCTCCAGGAGAAGATTGACCGCCGTACCGGAAAGTCTGTTGAGTCTTCTCCCAAGTTCATCAAGTCTGGTGATGCTGCCATCGTCAAGATGATCCCCTCCAAGCCCATGTGTGTGGAGTCTTTCACCGAGTACCCCCCTCTCGGTCGTTTCGCCGTCCGTGACATGTATGTTCTCCCCCCCGACCCCCCTCCGCCACCCACTTTTGGGGCCCGGATCCATTCCCGGTCTACCCCCTTTGGGTCATGGCCTCCTTGGACATTATACTAATCTATCTTCTTCATTACAGGCGCCAGACTGTTGCCGTCGGAGTCATGTATTTTTACCCTTTCTCTGATTCTTCTGATCAAGATGAGCTAACTGTTCGTGCAGCAAGTCCGTTGAGAAGTCCGCCGGTGGTGCCGGTAAGGTCACCAAGGCTGCCCAGAAGGCTGGCAAGAAATAAGTGCAAAGCACCATGTTTTCATGAGATCAGGACACGGAATAATGGACTTAGACCGTCTGTAGCTAAAATAGCTGAAAATATTTGCGATGAACGCGATGATTTGCTCAAACTGTTCCCATTACGAAGTTGTAGTTGTAGTTTCTTGCGTACGTCTCTCCAGGTCCGTACCTCAACCAGTAGCAGAGCACCTGTCTTCCCTTCTTATCTTGTAAATGCTTTTCCATTCCTCAAAGGTATGTCCGTGGACAAGTATCTTCACGTGTGGTTAGTCGTGGAAATTGACATGCTTCCAGCCTATTGTTACTTTGAACAATAAATTACCAACAACATATCCTATGAGACTAGAAGATATCCTCCACCCTCCTCCGATCACAGCCCATCATCACTTGCCAGCCACTATGGTAGGACATTCTTCCCCTGCCGGAAGATCAGCCAGATATATATTTCAGATCCAGACCATGGAGCAAATCAGGATATAGACTCTCCTTTCCTCATGGCCAGGATAGAAAGCTCCACATCGGAGAAGATGTCTTTGACTTCTATGATCTGGTATTGCTTGGCGACGAGTGTAGAGTACTAGGTCTCTGAGATACTGACATCGGGATGCTTACGGGAAACATGTTGCCAATAGGTAAGCAGATTGACTCTATTCATGAATAGTTACTCGTTGCCAGGCTACTCCGTAAAATTCAGGTTTAATAGCTCGCCCAATAATCCTACAGCCCTTGGAGCATCTCCAGAAACTCCTCGTCATCATCGTCGTCGTCCTCCAGATCCAGATCGGAGTCTTCGGCGAAGGCCTCTTCGAACGTGAGCCCTCCTCCATTCTCGTCCCCGTCCACATCCATGCCAGAGCCGATAGCAGATCCCTCTTTGAACTCCTGAGCCTCATAATCTTCAAGTTGAAGCCCCATCTCGGAGTGGCCCTCGGGTCCCTCCGTCAGCATCTGCATATCGCTAGTTTCTGCTTCGTCTTCCAATTCGGAGCCGTGAAGTGATGCCTCATCGCTTGCTTCTTCATTCCACCTCAGTTGGCAATTCACAATCGAAGTCCGAATCGTCCTCCTCGTCGTCCTGGCTGAATTTTGAGTTCAAGAGATGTGGATGCACCACCTGCTCCAATTAGTCCCTCTATGGCCCTCCCAACAGTCTCCGCAAGATCCTGCTCGGGGCCTTCCAGCCTTACATACTCGTCGTGCAGTCGGAAGAACTCCTCAGGGAGTTCTTTGGCCGGGCAGTTGATCATCAACTTGGTGTTGTATCTCACAAGTTTGGCAAGCTCTCTCTCTTTGCACGGCTAACCCTCATGTCGAGAATTGCCTTCAACTGCTGGTGACGGTCGATTACCTGTCGTATTTTCCGCTGCTCGTTCTTTTTTTTTTTTTTTTTTTTTTTTTTTTTTTTTTTTTTGACGTCTTGGACTCGGTTTGCGCGGCGTAGGGGGGTTTTCAACCGCTTTCTTCCAACGCGATTTTCTCGTTCGTCCATGGGAGGCATGGGATTTCGCAGTTTAACGATGAGCTCAGAGCTATTGAGTTCGTTCAGAAGTCGCGCGCGATTGTGTCGCAGGTAGACTCTCCGCCCGTATGGGCTTGCTTCCAGAAAAGTACAGCTCACATCAGCACGATACCCGCCCAGGACTAACGTAAAGCCGCCTCTATCAGGCAACAAATTTTCCGAATCAGATTGATATTCTCCTGCGTAAACGGAAGCGTATTCCATGGGAACTGAAAGAGCTGTATGAAGGAAGAGTCTGGATTCAGGCAGCCAGGCCCATACAACAGCGCATGATAGCTGCAAGGACTAGACCAATTGTCAAAGACATCTTTGTTACAGATAGGTCTTTGACTTACTTGTTGGGGTGGAGGTGCTGGAGTTTGCGTACAGCAAGGCCTCCAGCTGTCGATGTCGCGGAACCACAATAGAGGAATTGATGGATATGCTTCCACGGCAGCCTGTCATAACCGGGCCAAAAGTGTCCTCTCATACTGGAGTCAAAGACATCAAACCGTCCCATGTTGGGGGCTTGATTGAGGATTTTCTTCACGGGATCCGGTGTGTACGCCATAAAGTACTCGAGGAGATGATGATCGTCGATGGCGTGCAGCGCAAGCTGCCAGGGCTTGGACTTGGGCAGCTTGCGCAAGGCTTGAATAGCCTGGAGGATGGTGGCACAGAAATTTGGGTATTGGGTTCTCTCCATTCTTGGTCTCTTTGGTGGTGACAGGTGGAATTTAGGCAAAACGCTCTGGAGAGATGACAGCGAGACGAGAGGTCTTGTGAGAAACTGAAGGAAAATGCTCTAAGGAGTACAATCACAGTGTCACAGGTCAATGTGCCTAGAGAGAGGAGCAGTATGGAGAGGCAGGGAGAGATAGATATGGGTGCAGGAATTCCAAAGAACCATTGGGAAGAAGTAACACAAGATGAAACCTGCATTGACAAAAAAGAAGGAACAAAGAGAGCACAGTGACAGAGGGTAGGAACAGAGACATGTAATAGAGGGAGCATCGGATTCACGCCTTCTCCATTGGTGAATGAGGCTTACTGAGATGCATGTCTATCTTTCACTCTGGAACAGTCTCTACACGAAACCACAGCGGTATCTCCCTCCTTTCAGCAGCCTTGGTAAACCCTTGAACTAGCCGTCACGAGCTGGTGACACCACCCTACATGTTCTGGGGCTACTCACAAAGGTTTTTGTCGCCATCTTGGGGCAATTGGGAAATAGTAGTGGTCTGGCACCAAAAATGACTGATCCCCAGAGGTTGCCCCAACAAACAGCGAGCGGCCACGATGCTCTCTGCCTACGTACGCGCTGTTTAAGATAAAGGATATCATCTTTCTCCCTACTAGCTTCAAAGCATTCACGAGCGAATTGAGATATGGGAACAACTTGGAGCACATGGGGCTAGAATGCAGAAACGCGCCCACCGGGGAAGACAAGGGAGAGCCATGCATGATGCAACTGATACAATCCACTGCTTGCTCGGGGTAAGACGAGACGCACTGGACAAACGCGCAGGCTCAAGCCATGGAGTATCAGAAGAACTGGATCCCAAGCAGACAATACGATCTTCGTTTTCCCCCAGGTGTCCAGTATCTGTTTGTTCAGTTATGTAGTCCCACAACACGACCATCATAAGAAAGTGTATGGCAATCATCTGTTGATCCCCGAAGTGAGAAGAGAGAGAGGACTACGATGTCGATGTTCGAAGGATATAGGATGACCATAGTCTCACCCAAGGAGGTAGGCTTACGAGTAGAACGGTCCTGCTGATTGAGCCGCTTCATCTCTCACCGGTAAAACCAGGGTGGCTGTACTGTATGTTTCGTGAATACTTAGGGTTCGTTGAAGAAAAGGATGATCGGCATAAGGAGCTAGAATCATAAAACAGGACCTTCCAGGAAGGATCTATGTATGCTGTCTCGTCCGTGGTGAAGGTAGGAATTCGGTGTATTGTGGGTATCATAGGGATTCTTATTCAAATGTCACGGCTCTATCGCCCCGAAGACATTCTATCAGTCTTCATCGGTTGACTTTACCTACGACTGATCATCTGCGTTGTCTCCATCGCTACCTTCATCCTCTTCCTCCGCTCGCCGAGTGCCGCGTTGTGAAATTCCGAGACTCCTCGCTAGACGGATCTCAAAATCGTTCGTCAATTCCCTCTCGGCAGCCGTCGTATCACTGTCCTCGACCGCAGCCTGTCGCCCATACACTTCGCGCACGAGACCAGCGACGCCCTGCGTACCGACCTCAATCTTCCCACGCGGACCGACCATATACTCGATGACTTCCTCGCCGCTGTCCATCTCGCGATTCCGCACCAAATAGCCGTCCTTGCATAGTCGCTGGAGGAAACGGTCCGTGCGGTCAATGGGGGTGTACGTATCGGTATTGGTTCGCTGCAGGTATCGCTCGAGCTTCTGTTCCGGCAGAGAGCCCCCGTTCAGCAAGATCAGAGCGATGATAAACGTGTAGAGCCCAGTGTATGCGCCTTCCATTGGCGCGCGCGTCGGTGGCAGAATCTCCGTCCTGCGATACGCAGCCGGCAGCGTACTCGTCAGAATCCAGGATTTATTCGTAGACGACGAGGGTTTCTCAACGCGTTGCGCAGCTGCCGTCATCACGTCAGTAACCCCACCACATAAACAACTACAGCGCGGCTCAATGCACGCTCCTGCAAGACCACGTACCCCGTCGCTGGTGAATCGTCACCTTCTCCCGCCCCGGCAGCTCCGTCATCTCCATCCCGAATTTACCCCGGAGGACCTTCTGCGCGGCCTCAAACACAGCCTTGAACTGCCGACTGCCCTGCTCGCCGAGCACCTTGGCGCTGATATCGGTCCGCCGGATCGGGAGACGTGAGTACTCACTTGAGAGCGCCAGGCGCACCAGCTTCTTGACCATTACGTCTGTGCTGCTGGGGGCGTGCGTGTCGTCTGCGCCGGAGTCGTCGTCCTCCGCGGAGGCTTCGGTGCGTCGGCGTCGGCGACGGGCGTCATTTTCGTGTTTTGCGGGCGTTTCGTCGGCGCTGGTGTCGTCGCTTTGGGACTCTGGCGAGGGGTCCTGGGATTGTTAGGTATAGTTTGGGAATTAAAGGTAGGGGGCAAAGGTATACAGCTCGGCGTTTCCGGATGAGAGGCATGTTGTATGGTTGAGGAGGTCGTTGGAGAAGAGGAACAATCAAGTGGTGTGGATTAGCTTGACGCGATGCGCGTGTGTGGGTCGGCGGATTTAGCCAGATTGGGTAATCACATGTCATGGCATCACATGTCAAAGATATTGCGTCGATCATGCGTTCGTCGATGGGCGAACATTTACGCCATCACGGTTAGAGGGAGTCTAGTGCTTAAACGGAGCTTTCATTAAATTAGACAGTTTGGCGATCGCAATGTATTCATTAATCGGGACGACAAAACTCCTGCCTACGAACCAACGAAATTAGGACAGCTTTCTAGATACAATAAACGGAGGAGAAAAGATAGACAAGATCCGCTGAAATCAACACTTCGACCAATCCACACTCTAGTTTTCATTCTTGTCCGCCACCGCATCCTTGACGTTCTCCTTCTGGGCGTAGAGGAACGAGTTGACGTAGCCCATCACCTCCTGCGACAGGACCAGACCGGTGACGATGCAGGCCTTGCCGGTGGCGACCACACCATTTCCGCCGACCTTCTTGTACTCGGAGCCGTAGGTGTCGAAGACGTGGTTGCGGACGTCGCTGATGAGCCGCAGCGGGGTGGTTGCGCTGTTGTAGAGCGATCCGCGGAGCTTCTCGGTGTCCTCCTTCAGGACGGGGAATTTCGAGTCGACCTTGGTCAGGCCTTGATCGCCGAGATCGTCGACGCGGGCGAGGTATGGCGAGACGTAGCCGTAGGTCTTTTCGATGTAAGGGAGGAGGGGCTTGGCGTAGTTGTAGCCCTGGTCGGCGAACTGCAGCGACTTGGCGCCGTACTTGTTGTTCTTGAAGGTGGTGATGGAGTCGGAGACGACGGGGTAGGAGGTGAGGTGCTGTAGTCGTTAGAAGAGATCTCTACGGCGATGGAGGGGACGGTATAGGACATACATCGAGAAAGTGAGAGTACACTTTCTCTCCGTTGACAGCAGGCTCGCCCATTTTCGCGGTTTCTGCGTGCGGCATGGGTTCTGGGAGAGTTAGTAGGAGAGAAGATGGATTAGAACGAGAGAAAGATATAGGGCGCAATACGTACCTAGATAGTCCGCCGTGACCTAGAGAAAGAAAGAAGAGGGAGGGAGGCTGTGAGGGGCAGCAGGTCTATAAGAGATAAGAGGGATGATGGGAAGCACAACGCATCCGGAGAACGAGAGGCAGGGAACCGTAGTTGAGAGCTCACGAAGGTTCGGTTTGATCAGTCAGTGGACTGGAAAGGAATTCAATTTATGCGACCCTTCTAAATTTATAATTTATAAATTTTTTTTCCCTAATTTTATCTCTTTCTGAAAATGCTCTGCTCCTACAGAACAACCATCAGCATGTGAAAGCGGGCCCCGACAAGATGCGACGATGCTTCCACTGGGAGGGGCGACCGTTGCGAGCACAATGGGCCGACTGATAGGCTGGAATTCAACCAGCTAGTGTTCACTTAGTTACATGATGAAGGATGAGCTGCTCGCCTCATCCATCATCATTATCCTTCTCCTCCACCGCCATCATGATCATCTCATCCGGCCTGGAACCCGGTCGATTCGGTCGGGCTGCCATGGCAATCCATCCATCTCGTCTCCGATTGCGCCCCCCTCCCTTCCGATGGTCTGTGTCAGAAGTCGACATCGACAGGGGAGGGGGAGGGGACGACAAACACGACGGGATCACGGAATGCAGCGACTAGTCATGGAACGTTCAGTCCCCCTCCCCCTGGTGCCACCAACTATATCCCTGCGGACTGCTTCAGAATTGCGTGGGAGGGGGAATGGGGAAATGATAAGCCTGGAATGATTACCTATTAGGTATATGTATGTATGTGTACTCCGTATATGTATGTACGGAGAGTATCTTCTGAGAGGATTGCGTTATCGCGGTGGCAAAGCAAAGCAAAGAAAGAGTCGAAAGCCCTTCTGGCAGAGGAGGGAGGATGAATCCGGAAGGGAACGAGAATCACATGTGATTGCGGGTCCCTGTCATAATGTATACACCTCATATCATGATAGAGACACTACTCCTCCTCCTCCGCAGGTAGAGACTCGTCTTCTCTCTTCTCCCAATTGACTCGCATCGTTCTCCTCCAAAGTAACACCACTTCTCCCATCCTAAACGCTCACCGTCACACCTTCATCAACTCTGGTCCCCTCGATTTGCTTTCAGCTTCTTATCTGCCTGAACAAAACTCAATCCGTAACCCACCGGCTGATCGGTGCGCCTGGGCCTCGTTCGGATTCTGATATGCTGGCTGGCCTGAGCGTAGCGTCTCCCGCCTAGCCAACAAGAGTTATTGCTGAATCGCCCGAGGAGTTGACGTTCATCGTGTCTCCCTTAGCGCCAACACTTGCATCGTACTTTCACGCTTGCGGCCCATGGACCATATGTCAAACAGCTCCCGCTAGCTTCATCGCACGGGGGATGCCACGAGACTGCACTCGTGCTCCCGTCCAGTCGCCGTGCAACGTGCCCCGTGCAACTCAGAACCCATATATATATCATCACGAATATATGTATGCATGGCTAACGTACTTTGATGGGCCGATATGCCATCCGCCCCAAACTCAATTAACAGAACACCTACGCTCCAGAAAAGTCTACCCATCTGCCTGGAATGAGCACAGACAGGGACCCGGCTTCGACACAGTCCGTCGGGTGGACCGGGCTATGCATATCCTCAATCGAGGAATAATGCGCTGGTCGCAATTCGGTGCCCCCACGGCCGAGCTACCTAGGTACATACGAAGGAAACCTGCCAGGAGCACATAGTACGTACCTCCTGTAGCTAGAACCTAGCGAGGGACTAGCGGGCAAATCGCCGGCGGTCATTCTCGATCCATGCCATGTCCCCGCCTGAGTGTCGGCTCGCCTGCATCGACCGGGCCAGTCCCTGTCTTACGAGAGTTCATCCGCCTTTCGGAACGCGGCGGCTACTGACTTGCGAATATGAGTGACAGAGATCCCCGCGATCCAGCTACTATCCATTTTAGTCATCGTGTTCGACTGCGGAGATGGGACGCCATGCGGGGATGTCAGCGCCAAGTGGATGAGGACCGAGATGATGGCACATCTCATCGACGGGATCGTCCTTCGTAGACGGCGAAATGGACAAGGTCCACCCGAGGTGACGCAAAACGTTCGAGTTTGGACGATACCCACTGGTTAGGTTCATAGTCCAAGACACTGTGTACTGCGACCAATAAGTAGATCAGACAAAAAGAAATTTTGAATTTGTTCATATTTCCATTTCATTCAAGGACGCCAGGGCTGACGGGCCTCCTCATTAAAGAAAATGGCCAAGTCCTGGACTTGTACATCGATACATTCCCAATTCTTCCGCCAGCGATGGTATACTTTCTGCGATCGTTCCATGCTCATGAACCGAATGTCTTCGATGCGTTTTTTCCCTTTGCCTTCTCTAAGACCTTGCGCGCTCAAACGACAAAACGCCCCATAAAAATACCCCGTTTAGAAACCTGCTAATGTCAGCCAGAATCCAGTCAATAAAATCACAGGGTACGCACGCAGAGGAGTGAAGAACCAACGGTTCTTGCCGCTGGTGTAGCGGTCCTCCAGAGCCTTCTTGATGGTCTTCTTGGCGTCCTCGCGCTGGGAGACCTCCTTGAAAGTGTCGGCGGAAACAGCACCCTTGAGACCCTCGAGCTCAAGAGTGTAGCGAGTGGGCATCAAGTGGTTGTAGTTGACAACCTTGATGAAGGGCTTGATGCGGCTGCGCTTCTCGACCATCTTCTTACCCATGCGGCGGGTGACCTTCAGGGGGTAACGCTCAATGCCGGCGACGATGGCATAGGGGAAGGGGTGCGCCTTGGAGCCGGTGTCGTTGGGCTGGACAATGACGACCTATACCGCGAACCTGGTCAGCATTCATCTGCCTGGTATTTCCCGCAGCTCCTTTGTTCATCCATCTTCGATTGTCGCTTCGTCGGGCTATTCACGGCCGTCGTCGTCGAAATCGTCCATGTAGATCAAACAATCGCTTCCTCCTCTCGCTGGGATAGAAAAACACTGGTCTTGTCGTACCTTCTTACCGGCGTAACGGCCACGGGTGATGATGGCCACACGGCCCACTTTCATGACTGTCGCAACAACCGGTCAGTATGGGATTCATGATCGAAACAAATATCGTAGTAGGAGAGCGACGGGATACGAACACTTCATTGTGAAAGTCCCGGTGAGCGGCAGCAGGGGTCGATGGGGTGGTTGTCGGATGTGCTTCGTCGAGGAAATGAGGTTCTCCGCGCTCGACGGTCTTTTTTTCGCTTGGGAAGTGCACGGGAGAGGGTTCAGGGCAAGCCGATTTGTGTGCCGCCGGCTGATTGGTTGCATTACCGATGGGCGGTGACTAGGCCTGAACCGGCAAAATTCTCCAAAGGGCTAGCTCCGGGTGTCTTCCGGAAGAACTGTCCCCTTTGGGCCAGTGACGTCCCGACTCACCGCCTGAGATTTGTTTACAGGACAACGAGGAGGCTGGGCCGTTGCTAGGCGGCCGTGCTTGATGTGTACGCCGCAGATTGGACCGGCCCACGAGCCATGCCCCATGAGCTACCACTTGCTCCCAGCCCTTCTCCACCGGTTGTTTTCTCCATCGACTACTTAATTCTTGATCTTCTATCGACATCCACAGCTGATGTTGTTGTTGTTGCTTCTCTCTATCCGCTGAGACCGGTCTTGAACCAGCTTGTCTGTCGCGTTGTGGCTTCCATTGTTTCGTTTCTGCGCCCTTGATTCCCCCTTCCTCGTTCTTCTTCCACACTCCCCATACATAGCAAGCGCATTGTTTCTTTCTGATTCTGTTGCCTTTGTCGAATTCCTGCCTTACAACCCCAATTCCTCTTGTTTTGTTTTCACGATTGATATGCCTTTACGACTTTAAGCCGACGATCATTCTTCTACACATTCCAACATACATACCGCTCCGCCCACTTGTCGCAGTCTGATCGAACCCTCGACGACCATCCGACTCATATCTCCACTTGAACCACGACTACCTCACTTGAGACCATGCCCTCTCACACTCGAGAAGGTTCCCGCGACAGGGAACTCGTCCTCAGAAGTCAATCAGTCCCCATGTATGTCCAACACTAGCGTATTTCTACTTTATTCTCTTCGTTCTTTGACTCCCCACCATGGACTGCATTCGACTAACATCACGGCGTCGGAAACAAAGGTGGGATAGTTCGGACCCTGAACGCGCACCCCCACCGCTACCTATGAATCCGGGATCCGCATCGACCAGCCCTGTAACGACCAGAGCCAATGTATCGCCCGGCATCCAGGCCGTGGCCGCGAACTTTACCGAAAGGAATCGCGACATTGCGCCCAGCCCCTATACGACGAACCCGATGCCGCCCAAGTCATCGCCGGAGAAGTCGCTGATCAAAGGGCAATTCCACAAGCGCATGCAGTCGTTGCAGAACACCGATACACGATCCGAGTTCTTGAACTACCTGGAGAGCAAATCGCCCGAACGCCCGAAGCGAGCATCTATCCTAGAGCCGCCCTCGAAACCAGAAGAAAAGAACCAGACTCGATCCAACCCCACGCCAGATAATGGAGATGCGGAGCGGGATCTCCCCAATCTCTACATTTCCAACCGTTACCTGTCCAAGCCCATTCTGGGCGAAAGTACGCCGCCATCCGCCACCATGCTAGCCCTTCAGAACATGCAATTGCCGCGCGAGAGCGACCCCCATGCGAAAAGCCAGGACTCCGATCCCTTTACAGGACCCTCGCCATCCACCAACAACAGCTATTGCTTCGAATCCTTGTCCACCCAGATACACAGCCTCACCGACATTGCCAGCAACTTGCAACGTGAGATGGCCCAGTTGAGTCGCCGCAGCAAAGACAACGCCACCGACCTCGTGAGTCTGAAGGCGGCCACCAACGCACGAGACGAAGATATCCGCAAAAGCCTCCGTGAGCTGTCATCCAGTCTAGCGGCCAAGTTCCTAGATCCTGATGCTGCCACAAGGTGGGATTTCGGTCCTCTTCTAGACTCTGAGAGTGGTATTAACAACCAGGAACCGGATAGTTCTCCGAGCTCAAGGAAGACATATCCCGCCGCCCGAATGACCAGTCCTAACGCCTTTGCTGCTGCAATGGAACGAGAACTCTGCGGCTCTCCCGCTCCAATTTCGGACGGTTCCGCCAGTATCGCCTTATTGGAGAAGGTCCTTCGCGAGATGGCAACCAAAGAGGGCCAGGAGAAGCTGGTCGAGTTGGTCGACGAGATCAAAGCGAGACCCACGTCCGACACGTCCACGAAGGAGGTCGACACCAAAACCATGAAAATGCTGGAAGAGATCCTCAACCTCGTGAAGGAGGAGTCGAATAACAAGGCTTTGGTACGTTCACGAGGTGTTCCTAGTGCCAGTCATCTACCCCCCAAGAAAGACATGGACTTTAGTGCCTCCCGGACGAGATCGCTCGACCCGGAACAAGCCTATGCACCCGATATGGAAGTCATGCACAACGGTCAGGGTAAATCCGCTGAACGTTCCCTGGTGCACGCGGATGGTCAGATTTCGGACGAAATGCTGTCGATAATGAAGCGCGTGAAGAACAGCGTGATCGAGAGCGGCGGCATGACAAATGAGGTGAAAGCCCTCGTGCGAGAACTCCGCGGCGAGGTCTTGGGAATGGGTCGGAACCTGGCTCGTCAGTTCGAGGATCTCGGGGCTGCTCGCGCCATTGAGGACAGCAAACCGCAGCCTCCTGGGAAGGAGGAAATTTCGGCTATTATCGAGCATAGTCTTTACGACCTCAGGAACCAGATGCACGCGATCATTTCTGAAAACCGTCGCCATTCGTCTGCGCTGTCTGAATTTCGTGCCGCGATGGATACTGCTCAGATCTATTCAATCGTCAAGCGAGCCGTTGACGAAATTGATGTGTCGCGGTTTCATGCTGAGCCGCGTGGCGTTGAGATGGATAAGGAGGAAATCCTCGAGACGGTCCGGGAGGCTTGGGAGACATACAAACCTGAAATTGAATTGCAGAATTTCGGTCTTGAACGGGATGAGATCCTGGAATGTCTCTCGGAGGGGCTCAAGGCGTACCAGCCCCAGCACGAGCAAGCTGTGACCTACGATCAAGTTCTTGCTGCCGTGCAGGCTGGCATGCAACAGTTTGAACACCCACCGAGCATCACCAAAGACGAAATTATCCACACCATTCAAGAATGCCTTCAGGACCACCAGCCAGCCCCTCGATCGTTGGAGCCTGAACACTTGGGTGCGATTCGGGAAGAAGTACTGCAGGCGGTCACCGAATCAGTCACATCTCAAAGTGCTCTCAGCCGGGAAACCGTTGACTCCGGGATAGGCCGTGAAGAGATCCTCAGTGCGGTATCAGACAGCATTGCGGCGCATTTTTCTGCTGCCAAAGATATGGAGAAACCGCATGTCACCCGGGATGAAGTCGTTGATGCGATCAACGATGCGTTCACAGCTCAACAATCGGCGGTGAGCACCAATGCGCAGCCGTCCATTTCTCGGGAAGAGATCTTGCATGCCATCGCAGAAGGACTCGAGCAGCAGAATTCAATCACTAGAGAGGTTGAGCTGAACAAGGACGACCTCATGGAGGCTATCTCAGCTGGTCTCCACGAAGCCACGACGTCGGCCAACCACAACATTGGAGGTGAAGTTTTGGAGCGCCTCCATGAGCATCTTGATAGCATGAAAGATGAACTGAGGCAAGCCTCTTCTGCGAACGAGAAAGACATCGCGCACGTCTTGGACGCTGTCAAGGATGGCATTGCGGTTGTACGCCAAGAGCTGGAAAGCTACACTGCAAACATCCCTGAAGCGTCAGGGAAACATGAGATTATGGATACCGTCAAAGAAGGGTTCCGCTTGCTCCAGGCTGACATGGAGAAGACAATCACTGAGACCGCTCTGTCCACCAACAGCCGTGGCAATCCCGACACCCCCGAACTGCTTGATGCTATGGAGAAGGAATTTGAGCACCTTCGATCAACCCTCAGCGGTCTGCTACTCCGGAGCAATACATCAAGCGACAAGGACGAGATCCTCGACGCCATTCGTGACGTGTCGGAAAGTCAAAAGTCTATGAAGACCGACGACATCACTAGTATCATCAAGCAGGAGTTTGAAAATCTCCGCGAATCCATGAGCATGAGCCTCATCCCTGCAGAACAGAAAACCGACAAGGATGATATCATCTCAGCTATCCGCGAGAACCTGGAGTCGTTCCGTGAAGAAAGCACCCATCCCAGGGATGGAGGTGAAAGCGTCTTCTCTGCCACTGGCGAGCTCCTTGATGCCTTCACTGATGGTGTTGGAACGATTCGGGATGATCTAGCAAAGCTTCTGGAACAGACGACCGAGAATAATCATTTCGAGCTTTTGGAAAGCCTCAAGGAGGGGCTCAACAGCTTGAAGGCTGACGTAGAAATGCTTCGTCAGTCCCAGAAGGACACAGAAGAAGGCGAGACAACCCGGGGTGGAGAGCTTATGCTCGCAAACGAGTCGACCATCAGCAGCGACATCGAAGGGTTGAAGGCCCTTATTACCCAGCTTCAAGCCAAAGTTGAGGCTATCGAGTCCACCCCTCGGGCCGCAGAACCGTCCGAGGATGCTCTCAAAAAGGAGCACCTGGACGAAGTGCTGGCTGGTCTACGCGAACTGCAGGGCTCCGTCACAGGCATGATAGCCCGTGATGCTCCCACGGATGAGACGACGGCCAAGAAGGAGGATACTGATGCGATCGAAACTCTTCTCCGCAACACGAAGTCCCAACTCGACCAGATGACCTTCCCTCCGGCCGACGAAATCGCAAAGGCGGACCAGATTGGTACTCTAGAGGTTCTTGTTATGGAAACGAAAGAAGCTCTGTCCCAGTTGTCTACCCGTCTGGAGTCCGAAGGCCCTACGAAGGCCGACATCGGTACCTTGGAAACGCTGATGAAAGATATGTGGATTGCACTTGATGAATCAAAGAGCAAAGGAACCGAAGAGGAGACGGAAGCGGAGAAGCTGGTCAAGTCTGATCTGCAGACGGTGGAGGCCATGATCTTCGAGGTCAAGACCCAGGTGGAAGAGCTCAAGATTCCTGACCCGGAAACCCTACCGACAAAGACCGAGATACAGGATCTGACCGCCCTAGTGGCGGAATTCAAGGAGAAGACTGAGGCTGAAAATGAGCTGACTGCTCAAGGCTTCGAGGCACGAAAGGTCGAACATGCTGGTCTCCATGAGAAGATCGAGGAGGCTCGGGCCGTTGTCGAAGGGCTTGGGGATGAGCTGAAGAGCAAGCTTGATGGAAGCAATGAGGGCCTTTCTGAACTGAAGCAGCTCCTTGAAGGCCTGGCTGTATCTGCCGAAAGTTTCACGACCGTTGAGAACATCAACGAACTCACGGAACTCATTAACCGCGAGTTTGAGCGTGCACGGGGAGAGCAGGATGCCGCAAAATTGGAAAACGAGGAGCGCGACGCTGCGGCTCTTGTTAAGCAGGACGAGACACGGGCAGCTATTATTGTCGAACTGGGATCCAAAATTGACGAGAAGCTTGGTGAAGTGATGTCCAAGTATGACGAAGTCCAGGCTGCAATCGACTCGAAGTTCTCGGAAACTGTGGAGAGAGACAACGCTCATCTGGAAGCAGTCACGGACACCAAGAGCCTCGCAGAGGACATCAAGCTGGTCATTGGCTCCATGGGCAACAGTGTCAACGAGGCCTGTGAACGGATCAGTGTCGACACCAAGACATTCTTTGAAAAGGTTGATGTGTCATACAACAAGATGGAGGAGATGCATAATGAAGTCAAGACACAGCAAGAGCAAGCCCGATCTGACCTTGAGCGCGCTGCTGCTGCGACTACGCGTGTCGAGAGTCAGCTGCACGAGTTTCACCCCCAGGTCCTGGAGTCTATTCAAAAGATCCTTACTATCGTCGGCGAACACTATGACCATGCGCAGCAGTCCTCTCGAGATCTTAAGATGGACTTGTCTGCCCTTCCATCGACTATCCCCCAAATGCTGCCTGCCCTACCACCCCCGGAGTCGGACAAGTACGACGACAGCCAGGTCCAGGAAAAACTCAACAACCTTCTGGATCACGCTAAGGACAGTAAAGTGCAAGAAGCGTTGAATATCCTGGTGGAACGTGTCACCAACGACCAGGTCCATGAGAAGCTTGATCAGTTGTTGAGCCACACTACGAGTACGAATGGAGAGATCTACGACAAGCTGAATCAGCTGCTCGACCATGCTACCAACAACAACAGCCCTGTTCATGACAAGCTCGACACGCTCATCGACCACGCGAAGAATGCAGACCAATCCGTTACGCAAATGATGAAGCTGGACGAGATGCACAAAGATATCATGGAGACATCTCGCAAGATGAATGAGATGTTTGCCGCTCAAACGGCCCTTGTTGCAGAGGAGAACGACCGCAAACGCAAGGAGGCGGAAGAGGCCGCAATCGCTCTGGAGCGGAGAAATGCGCAGAGAGATCAGGTCGAGGCCGAGATTGTCAGTCTCAAGGAGGAGAAAGACTCTCTGCTGAAGATGATCCACAACCTCAAATCCGAGAAGGAAGACCTCGTCAAGCAGAACACGAAACTCAGCAAGGAGCTTTCCGGATTGGAGATGGCTCTTGAGCTCCGACAGGAGGAAATGCAGGTCATGGAGGACCGTGCCGACAGTTTGGAGAAGCGTATCTTGGAAGGTGTTCTTGACCACGCTCGCAGTGTTCTTCTCAGCCGACCCAGCGGCTTGCAGGGATTGAACATGAAAAAGGCGCGAGGCCGCCCCCGCGGACCCAGCAATACCAGCAATGCCAGCACGGCAAAGGACTCCCGTAGCATTCTTGGCAGCAGTGTTGGAATGGCACTGAGGAAGCGGTCGCAGGTTCCATCCCAGCCCAACATTGGCACGCCAGCCAACGTGGGCAAGGAACGGCGGATTCTTAGTCTCAGCCATGTGACGGGTAACCGAGGTGTGACCGATCGGCAAACGAGTCACACCAGTGGGTTTGCCAGTCTCAAGCGGAGTCACTCAGTAAAGTCCAACTTCTCTGCACGCAAGGCATCCTGGGGCGGTCGCAGCTCTGTTGCCAACAAGGAGAACGAAGCCTTTCCCGAAGAGGATGAACATCAGAGCGGGGATGAGAGCGACGCTGGTACGGAGCGACGGACAAGCTACACGGGCACCTATGCCGATAGCATGGTGTACGGGACGGGCAGTGTGGTCTCCACAGATCGACGAGTGAGCGGCGTTAGCGGTGTCAGCTCCACCACCGCACCACGCTCGGTATCAGGTACCCAGGACGGTCGTGAGGAGGAAGAGCATGAGGATGGGGCGTCCGAGTCGGAATCGTCTGAGTTCGACGATGCAGAGACGACCAAGGCGGCCGAACCGGAGGATCAGTTACAGCTCGATGAAGACCAGTCGAAAATGGTCCTCTACGGGCAGCATAGCGACAGCGGACTTGGGGCGGAGGTCATGAGTGCAGTTGATTAGGGAGAGGAAATGATGCGGAATGTGTTGTGACTTGAGGAGGCTCACGTGGAGTCTATACAAGTCCAACGGTGTGACCATGGGCTGTTGGGGAAGCCTACATTGTTTTTTTCTTGTGTACTTTCCTTTGTGATGACTATGATGTTTATTATCCTGTGTGGAATTTGCTTCTTGGAGTCAGAATATATGGTTATACTGTGTACTATGTGTGTCTGAAGATGTAAAGTGTAGATGTAGATGTCCGTAGATGGAGGTGAATGTAGGGCTGAGGCGGTCAGGTGAGCATCCCCAACAGGTAACCACCCCCGTGGCAGCCGGACAAATCAGACATCCGCGGGGACAGCTGCCGAGGCGCTTAGACGGACAGGCTGACTTGCTGATACCATCATACATCTCCTCCTCTCCTCTCCTCTCCTCCTCTTCCTCTTCTCTTCCGCCTCCTTTCAGTCATGGCTCCGCCTGTCTAGGCTTCTCTCCCCCCCTTTCACTATCCTCCTTTCTCTGGTATATTTCTCACACATCAACCTGCTGGTGTCTCTTTCGTCATCACTCCGGAGACCTAGCTACCTAGCTCCCTAGTCCAGCTACCGGTCCATCCACCTCCCACCACCGACAGAGGTGGTCTCCTATCGGGATGTTGGACCCCTTAGGGCCTCCTCCGGGATGGCTTCGAGACCTCGTCGAGCCCTGGGCTCTGTACTTCAACGTTCCCGCGGCCTCCGAGCATATCCATGAAATCCTCCTCGCCTTCGTCGGCTACCAGCTCATCCACTACGTCGTCTCGCCCTGGCTGTCCCCGCGTCTCTTCCCCCAGCACTATCCCAACCTCAACCGCCGGACCAAGCTGAACTGGGACGTGCATGTCGTGTCCCTCGTCCAGTCGACCACCATCAACGCCCTCGCCCTCTGGGTCCTCTTCACCGACCAGGAGCGCAAGTCCATGTCAATCGGGGAGCGCGTATACGGCTACACGGGGTCGTGCGGAATGATCAGCGGCCTAGCTGCGGGGTACTTCATCTACGATCTGATCGTGAGTACCATCTACATGCGCATTTTCGGCATTGGAATGTTATTCCACGCCATCAGTGCGTTGTGGGTGTTTAGCTTTGGATTCGTACGTCTCCTACAGCCAACTGTTCTCCCTTTATGACTCGCACTAACAACCATGTACAGCGCCCCTTTGTCAACTTCTACTCCCCCACCTTCATCCTCTACGAGCTCTCCAGCCCCTTCCTCAACATCCACTGGTTCCTCGACAAGATCAACATGACCGGCAGCAAACTCCAATGGTACAACGGCATGATGCTCCTCTTTGTCTTCTTCTCCTGCCGTCTCGTCTGGGGCACCTGGCAGTCCGCCCTCGTCTACCGCGACATGTGGCACGCCCTGAAACAAACCTGGAGCAGCCACTCGCTCGTCGAGCCTGTCAACATCTCCACACAGGTCTTCCAGGTCCGCGACGGCAGTCTCTGCGTCGACGAGGCCTGCGCCCGCGCCGGTGCCGAGGTCTCCAAGTTCGCCTCTTTCACCGCCGCCGGCGTTCCCACCTGGCTGGTCCTTACATACGTCGCATCGAACCTCGTCCTCAACGGCCTCAACTACTATTGGTTCTCGAAGATGATCGAGACTGTCATGAAGCGCTTCCGCGGGCCGGCGCCTAGCAAGGAGAAGGTTGAGAAGCTGAGCAAGGAGGAGGCTGAGAATATCGCGCAGAAGATGGTCTTGGAAGCAGCGGCGGAGCTCGAGGCCGAAGAAGGTGCCCTCTTCCTTGGGGACGAGGTTACCGTCGAGACCGTCGCGTCCGCTGTTGACCCCGGTCTGGCGGAGGAGCTGCGCAGGCGGAAGGCTACGGCCGCTGCTGCGGCCACTTCGTAGGGTATGCGTAGTGATAGGTTGGTTGCCATGGGGTTGGTCGCGGAAGCGGACCAAGTGATGCTGGATTTGGTTATTGACTGTCTGGTGTATTGGGGTGTCCAACTTCTGATTGTACAGACTGCGTAGATATCCTATACTTATCGTTCATTGCTTGGGCATGACATCCTGGTACTTAACCAGAGACTCCGAACACCGGAAATAATTAAGTCTTGTCTGATTTTACGTCACTGCAGCTGGAAAAGATAGCGACAAAACAAAAGAATATACCAGTCCAAACACCGCACAAGCGCCCCAATTCCAAAACAATGCCCTCCGCTCGGGATAACAAAAACAAACGTAACGGTCGATGATAGAGGTACAGAAAAATCACCGTCCCATGGCCGCCTCCGGCTTGGCGAGCATGTACCGCACCGCCTCACGGGCCACGGGCGTATCCCAGGCACTATCAGGACCCCCACGACGGAACTCGGGGCCGCTGCCGTCCTCGCCGCCGCCGCGCGTCGCCTCGCCCAGGATGGTCTCGAGGTCTCGGCGCTGCGAGTTGATCCAGCGGCGCAGGAAGGTGGCCGGGTCTTTGCTCAGGGCCGTGTAGAAGGAGTGTCTTGCGCGCGAGTGCGTCAAGGCTTGGATGATCAGGGCTACCTGATCGTCCATGGTGGAGATCTGCCGCAGACCGGCCGTGTATTGCGGGTTCTGGGTCAGGGCGAGCATCTGGGCGCGAAGCGGGTCCTCCACGGCGACCTGGATGTCGTAAACGGTCGGGGTTGGATCCTTGTGGAACTCCTCGTCGACGCGGATGGTGTAGGGGAGCTTGATGGGGTCGAGCGGGCTCGTGTGGGGGCCGATGCTCTCCGGAATCTGTGGGAAGAACATCTGGTCCCTTCCGAAGATCTGTGCATTGTTAGGATTTGCCATACTTCATGATTTGCGGGATACATACCGCTCGCAGACGATGGTCACACCGTACCAGCCGCTTCTCCTCGTTCTCCTGCAGCCCCATAGCACGGATGTAGTCCCAGATACCCAGGACGATTCCGCTGCGGGTCTCCTCTTCCACGTCCAGCACCTCGGCCAGCTCCTTGCTCAACTTGTACCTCTCGGGGGTCTCATCGCGCACCAGACTAACAGTCACGTTGAGGTTCTCCTGCGAACCGCGCGAAAACTGCAGCGAGTCGAAATCGGCGGTCGGGGGCAGCGAGACCGTATTCGGCGGGAGCTGTGGCTTGACCCAATGGACGGGCTTGATATCCTCCGGGTTGACCGTCGACGACTTGTCAAAGTCGACCGTGATGGATTTGAAGAAGTGCGAGAAGCGCTGTTTCGCGCGCTTGGGCGCGGCCTTCTTGGCCTCCGCGCCGTCCTGGTCCATCGCGTCACCATTTGCCTGCGCTCCGTCTTCTGCCTGGCCAGCAGCCTCCTCGTCGCTGTCCTCGGCCATCGTCGGATCGGTGTTGTCGTCGTCTAGGAGGCGGCCTTCGATGCGCACCTTGTACCGGCCGGAACCGGGGTGGGCGGTCGGGGCGGCGGCGCCGCCGTTCTGGCCGGTCTGCCAGGGCTGGGACTCGACGGTGTTAGAGATCCAGATGCGCATGGTACGGTACTTCTTGACGGTCTTGCTAATCGAGTCCTGGATGTCGAGACGCTTGCGCACGATCGCGGCGTCAAGGCGCTTCTCCAGCTCGCGCAGGCTCTTGTACTGCTGCACACCTTCACCGATGATGACGTCCTCGATGCCGTCGGGCATGTTCTTATCGGTGGGTTTGCGGCTGCGACGGAGCGCCGCGTCGTTGGGATGAGCCATGGGGCGCTGATGGGCGGCCGCCATGTAGTGAGGGGGGACGGCGTGCTGGGACATGGGGACGGGCATTGCTGGACATGACGACATTAGCGATGAGGATTACGGTGATCTGAAGGAGTAGGTTGAATGGAGAAGGTGATGGAGAATCAAGGGGCGGAGCGACAAACCTGGAGCTGGAGGTCCGCGACGGGGCGTGGCAGGAGATCGTTGGGCGGCCTGCGGGAAACCACGCCCGTAGTTGGGCGGCATTGGGGCTTGCATGGCTCGTGGCGAGGAAAATACCACACTCCGCACAAGGGATATCCGAGAGATGGGGATTTGGGTGTTGTTCTGCGACGATGAGAGCGGAATGCGGATGGAAGCTGAAGATGAGTCTGGAGAAACGAAGTCGCGATTCTTTTGCCGCGGTTCGCGCTTTACCCCTTTTGGACAGGCCAATCACAGCTCGTACCCGGTACATCCTACGCCTACCACGACAACAAATAATTCAAGGTACCAGCTACTTGGATACTTGTATACTCTGATATTGGTCTTCATTCATTTGGACAAGCGGTGATTATTTCCCAAAAGACATAGAGCTCGTCAACTCTCCCAAATCCGACAGGCTCACTCCAGCAGCGATGCCTGATTAGTGTACAGCTCTTCCACCACATTGCTCAGCTTCTCAATCGTCTCCAGGGCGGCATCGTATGCCTGATCCCGCTCCGTCTCATCAAAGACAATCAGACAGCCAGATCCCTGGTCCAGCACACCGATGATCACCTTGTCCAGGATCATCTGCGACAACTTCCGCTCCACCTGCTGCGTGTCCAGACCAACCATCTTGGCGATGTGGTCCAGCTCCACGCGGCTGAACGGCTCAATCACCTTGATGAGGTTCTGTTCCAACATGGCATCGTACAATCGGCGGAGGTGGTTCCGGATGAAAGCGTCACTGCCCAGCTCGAACCGATAGTCCGAGAGCGCCTTTTCGTACTCCTCCAGCGACCGATTGGCGTGGGCACGGGCCACTGCTTTCATGGCCTCGAGTCGAGGGCTGGCGTACTTCTGGGCCTGCTTGGAGCCCAACAAGCTCGTCACGTCGTCCACCAGGTTCAGCATAATCTTGCAAAGGAGCATGTATTGAAGAGCCGCCGTCGCCTTCTCGCCTTCATCGAGGGAGCTGTATCCTTCCAGAGCCTCAATGAAGTAGGAGTATGAAGTGTTGAAGTCCTTGTCTTCCGCATGGAGCATACCGCTTTGCATGTCCAGTCCGGCTTGCAGGTTGGGGGGAGTGTAAACGGAGGCAGCCGACGTCCGGGCGGCCGTCAAGGCAGCGCGTGCCTTGGCCTGGTTGCCCAGGGCATGGTACACCCGGGACTCCAGCAACTGCACTTCAACCAGCATCAATTTGTCATCAAGGCGCTTCAACTCGCGAAGGAGAGAGTTGATGAGGGTCAGGGCGTCGTAGTACGTTTGCTTCTGCATGTAGATGGCCACCAGTCGGGTCTCGAGATTCTGTCGGAGGAAGGATCGCCGCTCCGCAACGGCCCAGTCGATGCAAGATTTGATGACGGCGATCTGGATGTCGAGGGTGTTGGGGATTTCACTGAAGAGGTCCAGCAGCTGACGGACTGTAGAGGGTCAGTCAATTCGGTCCGATCTCGTAACATTGCCATCTCCTATCACATCAACACGTACCAAGTTTCGCCGTCTTCGCTTTGGCAAATGACGAGAAGGAATCCCGACTGGTCTTGATGAGTTCTGCGATCTCATTCGGCTTCTTCTCATCTCGGTAGAGCTCTCCCAATCCAACCAAGGCATTCTCATAATCACGCGACGAGCTCTCCGACGATCCGGGGCCCTGAGCGAGAACCTCCTTGTAGACGCTCTCGGCCTTGGAAGCATCCGTCTTCGCGAGAGCCCGAGCTTCCTCGATCCGCTGAGCGGTTGTCGAGGAGGGCGCCATGGTCAGAGTTGTGTGGTCGATGAGGGAGGAGATAGGTTAGGGGTGCGATAGAAAGGGCGACTAGGAGAGTCACAAACCAACGAACGAGATAGAAGGGGAGGGGGCGGAGGAAGAAGCAGGATGATGAGAAGCTGAGCAGGACAGCGAGACAGCCTGAGACGGCAGGGTATCGGCGTCACTGCTGGGAGCTGCTCACCGCCCGCCGGTCTTGGCGCTCCAACCCAAAAGGGCAAAAATTGTTCCCGCAGAAAAAAATAAGAATTTATATCGGACAGACATTTTTCTCTCCGCTTCTCTTTCTCCTTCAAATTTACATTTCTCAAAGTGGTCATGGTAAGTCGGGACTCCGTCGCTACTGTCAGTAGGCCTCCGATTAACACGATCTAGAAAATCAAAGCTCTCTCTCGTCCCGCCTCCTCGCAGCAGGCTCCGGGATCTACTGTCGTTCGACAGCCCCGAAATCTCGACCCGGCGCAGCATCCGTTCGAGCGAGCTCGAGAATATACACGTGCTCTCAATGCCACAAAACTAGAGCGTCTGTTTGCTGCGCCCTTCTTGGGCCAGATGGGTGACGGCCATGTGGATGGTGTGTATTCTATGGCAAAAGATCCTGGTTCGTTGGAACGGTTTGCAAGTGGAAGCGGTGATGGTGTTGTGAAGGTGTGGGACTTGACGACACGCGAGGAAGTGTGGAACACGCAGGCCCATGAGAATATCGTCAAAGGGCTGTGCTGGACACCGGAGCGGAAACTCCTGTCTTGCGCCAGCGACAAAACCGTGAAGCTGTTCGATCCTTACAATTCGTCTTCTGAAGCTCCGCCGTTGGCGACCTACTTGGGCCAGTCTGCTTTCACCAGCGTGACACATCACCGACACCACCCCAGCTTTGCTGCCGCGTCTTCTCAGATCTCGATCTACGATCTCTCTCGTCCTTCCTCTACGCCTTCGCAGACCCTCCACTGGCCGACCAGCATCGACACCATCACTTCGGTTGCCTTCAATCAGACGGAGACTTCGATCTTGGGCTCGACCGCTATCGACCGATCCGTGATCATGTATGATCTGCGGACTTCACAACCCCTACACAAGCTGGTTCTGCGACTCGCCTCCAACGCCATCAGCTGGAACCCTATGGAAGCGTTCAACTTCGCCGTTGCGAACGAAGACCACAATGTCTATATCTTCGACATGAGAAAGATGAACCGGGCGTTGAATGTGCTGAAAGACCATGTTGCCGCCGTGATGGATGTGGAGTTTAGCCCTACCGGTGAGGAGCTGGTGACCGCCTCGTATGACAAGACTGTGCGTCTGTGGAACAGAGCGCAGGGTCACTCTCGTGACATCTACCACACGAAACGGATGCAACGGTATGTCTCTTTCTCTGGTACTATTTTCGAAAACTAACTCGGTGTAGTGTGTTCTCTTGCAAGTTCACCCCGGACAACAAATACATCCTGTCGGGATCCGACGACGGAAACATCCGGCTCTGGCGTGCCAACGCCTCTGAACGCAGCGGTGTCCAGAGCGCCCGCCAGAAAGCGAAGATGGAGTACAACAAGACGCTGGTGGAAAGATACTCGCACATGCCGGAAATCAAGAGAATCAAACGCCAGCGCCATGTGCCCAAGCCTATCAAGAAGGCTCGTGAGATCAAGAGAGAGGAGCTTATGGCGATCAAGAGACGCGAGGAGAATGTTCGCAGACACACCAAGAAGGAGAACCTGCGGGCTAGACGCAGTGAGCGTGAGAAGATGATTTTGGCTGAGGAGCAATAGAGTGGACGCGTCTGGTATCACTGCTTGCTACGGCAAGTCGGTTACAGGGTTTGGTAGCTCTGTTCAAGTTGTCTTTTATACATGGCATGGCTCGTTTCACATGACAGTCATACATTGGGCGATACCCCCGGTGCAACTGCATCAACTCTCATCTACAGATTTCTTATCTTCTTGTGAGTGTTTTTGTGGCGACTCACCAGAACCATCCCCGCTCTTTTCGGACGACGGCCGCGCTACGGCATAGTCAATTCCCGCCAGGTATCGCGCGAGTCGCTGGATACTGGCCGGCAACACTGCATACCAGTTGACCAGCATGGCGTACGTCGGCATCCTAATGACGCCACCTCGACCCTCGTCGATGGCAGCAACGATCTCCTGGGCGACATTGACGGGTTCGAGAACGGGCGCAAAAAAAGCATTGGGTGTTTTGACCGATTCGAAGAGCGGCGTTGCGACCTGGCCCGGCTCGACCAGCAGCATCTTCACCTTGTCGTCGTTTCCCGACGTGCGCAGCTCCGCCTCCAGCGTGCGATGAAGGGCACTCAGACCCGCCTTGCTGACCGAGTAGTCCACCAACCCTGCGGCGCAGAGCTGTCCCAGCACGGAGCTGACATTGACGATGGTGCCTCCGTTCGCGGTGGCCAGCATGCGCGGCAAGAAGAGCTGGCACGCGTGGAACACGGCGAGCAGGTTGGTCTGGATGGTTTTCTGGAAGGCGTCGGCGGGGAGCGACAGGAGCGGGTTGCCGTTGATGCGGGCCGCGGCGCAGTTGATCAAGACTGTAGGAGTACCCAGCTAGACACGTTCAATCAATCAACCAATCTATCAAGCTATGCGCGTAGAATATAAGTCCTGGAGAAGAGGGGGGGATGCATACCTCCTTCTCAATCCTCTCCACCGTAGCCTCCAACTGCGCCCGATCCGCAATATCACACCGGTAATACTCGACGCCAGCACCATCCTCCCACCCCTCAACACCCCCTACGTCCTTGACATCCAGGACGGCGACGCTGACCCCGCGCAGGCCGTAGATGCGCGCAATGAGCAGGCCCAGCCCGCTCGCGCCGCCGGTCACGACGACAACCTCGTCGCCGAGGTCGACGGGGCGCGGCAGGCCATACGCGATGCGGCGGTTGATGACGCGCGCGACCGCCAGCAGAGTCAGGACGACGGCGTAGGTTGTCGCGAGCACGAAGGCGGGGTGCGCGTAGGGGGTGGCCTGGGCGCGTAGGCTGAGGACGGCGATCCAGGCGACCCAGGGGTGGAAGAGGGTGCGGTTGAGGACGGCGAGGAGGAGGTCGATGGTGAGGTGTTTATACCAAGGTGTATCGGGGGGTGTTGTGAGGGCTTGTCGTGGGGGGTTTTGTGTCATCTTAGAGGTTTGAGTTCTTGGTTGTTGTGAGGTGATATCGTGATAGCTAGGTGACAAGCTAGGAAGAGGTGCCCACCATAGAGGTAAGGGGATGCTGGTAAAGTCTGTCGGCTTAGAACGCCAACAGCATGTGGTTCCAGCGTTATGAGCAAGAATGGCTTAGCTGAAGAGTGTATGTGTTGTGGGAAGGTCGCAGAATTAAAAGCTGAGTGAAGTGGTTGTACACATCCTACGGGATATATATTGTGGATTCATCCAACCATCTAGTACGTCAGAAGACAATAGACGATTGAAAGTTGAGCTAGATATAATCATTACCATATAACAAATATACTAACTCTATTTTAGATGCAAGGCTTCTCAGGAAAAGAAAGTATCAAAAACAAAAAAGTAGACTGAGTGGGATTCGAACCCACGCCCTAGCGATCCCGGCGAGCAGGTCTCTTTGCCCGGCGGGGCCGTGACCCAGTCTGGTGTCCGGTTGGAGTGGGTACCTTGTCCAACCGGTTTGCCAGAGGGCCCGACCCCGACCACGAGAGACCCGCTCGCCGGAACCGCTCGCTCTGACCACTGAGCTACCAGTCCTGATTACTCCATAGTGGGCCTTGGTGCACTCAACTCCTCAGCCCGGTTGGATGGTTTTGGCCAATTTATCCACTTTTATTGATGACAGGACCCATCTGTGTGCCTGTGAATGGTCTATCGATGTAGTCTAATGCGAACTAATGCAGACAGGGATCAAAAAAATGCATTTTTGAGGGTCTGGCGATGATTTTGCGTCTTCAGACTCTGTCCGACTTGGTATGGAGGAGACGGATGGTCACCTGACCTCATAGTTAGGAAGTAAGAGTCGGTCGCACATCAACGAGCATGGCCATTCCGTTCGCCAAATGCCACAAAATATGACAATGGAACATCCAGATCCCCGGATTATCCGCCCTGAAGCGCAGGACCGCATAAGCACGACTAGGGATGTAGACTGTGTCTCGAAACATTGCGCGAGACAGGTCATATCCATTCGTATAGGGATGTTTGACTTTATCCAGTCCAGGAGGAGCATCGTCTGTGAAGGGATTATAGGATCCCCATCCGATGGCGGCTTTGTGGACGGCCAAGATGTAAAAGTGATGACCGTGCTGTGTCCGTCAGACTATGCCTTAACTAAGGGACCTCGATCATGATACTGAAAAGCAACATACCAGGTGAAATGGGTGTCCCCCATCGTCAAGATTATTCACAACCAGGTCTACCCACATTGCCTCACTCTCGGCTCCCGCATTGCTAGAAGGACCGCTGACTGCAATACTGAGCTGGTTTCTATCCCATTTTTCGCGTTGCAGGTCAATCAAGGGTATTGGCGGATCGGCCTGAGCAACCCAGGAGGTCCTGTTGAAAAAGCCGTATGGTACGTTGTGTCGGATCGATAGCTTTTGGATTTTGGTATATACTACCTCTGTCGTGTTGACCGTAGCGGTTTGAGGGAGCTGCGACAGTATGTGCCCTGCGGATGGGAGATCGTGTATGTCGATGGAGACGGGCTCTGAGCCTGGAGCTGAGCCCATATCAGGGCTTGGAGATCCATCTGGAGTATGCACTGATGAAGAGATGAAAAATGTTTGGGTAGATGTCAGCGCGGGGTTTGGGTATCTGAAGCATCTGTTACAGAGTCAGTTTAAGATCTGTTCGCCCAGACAATAGGAGCTTGAAGTGAGGACTCACTCTTCATCGAGGTGAGCCTCTAATAGAGACGGTGTGTCTTCACTAGTCTGTTGGATGTGCAGGTCCATGCGTTGTCCAGGATATAGCACTCCCACGGATTGACCGTTCCGAGCCTCCACCGGCATGCTGTCAACAGCGAGGACAGTAACATTATGATTGTTGAATGTGAGTGTCAAACCGGCAAGAGACCTAGCGTCTGATTAGCGGTGTATCTTTAGCGTGGCCAATTAATTACCCCGTGTTTACTACTCGTAGTTTGTAAACTCCATCTGTTGGTAGAATCTGCGATAGGTTCATTGGATGATGGATGCAATCTACCGGCCTTGCAGGGACAGCCATCGAGCAATTAAACTGTCCCAAGCCATTGATCAAGAGAGAATCAGGTACTGGCTATTCCCAAGATATTGGTCAGTGAAGTCCAACCGAATGAATGAGAAGATTACCTCGTTTCCAAATGAGCCAGCACGCATATACCATGCCATGACCTCTGGCCCGGATCGATGGTACCAATCGCCGACCAGGAGCAACACATCTTTTTCTGACTTAGGATCAATGCTCCCCCTTCGACTCGTCAGTCCGTGGGCCGTCGATTTGGCAGCCGCGGGGTGCACTACGAAGCCGCCGTAGAGACCATCAGCGCGGGCTAAGCCCGCATGAGCGTGATACCAAAAGGTGCCGCTTTGGTCGGAGGGGATGACAATCCGATAGGTGAAGGATGACCCCGGAGGGATTGCATTCTGTGTTACGCTTGCGACGCCGTCCATAGAGTCTTCGCATGGTCAGCTCCTGCTCAAACAATACTGTAAATGCAGGAGTATAGGACTTACTCTCGATGTGAAGACCATGCCAGTGCACGGTGAAAGAATCATCTAGGAGATGATTGGTAACGTTGATGACCACGACATCGCCAGAGCGCGCTTCCACCGTCGGACCGGGGAAGATGCCTGTTGGCTTGTTAGTAGAGCCAGGATTGAGGCGCGATAACGACTGTACCGTTGATCAGGTATACACGCTTCAGCACCCCGTCTGGGCGAAGGTCCTCTGCAGTAACCGTCCAGTGCTTGTATTGCGTCACGGACTCTCTGTACATGTAGCTCTCTGGATGCAAACGGATCTGCGGACGCAGCGCATCAGGGCTCTCTACATGAGGCGATTCGGATAGTTGATGATCTGTGAGATGGGTCTTCTCTCCAGGCACAGCTATAGAAGGCAGCCCAGTCGGAGCTGTGTACCAACTCCACAGAAGGATCCATAACACAACTGAGACGATGGGAAGATAAATTCCCCGGCCTTTCGAGCAGCATTCTCTCTTCATGATTAGGTTTCCATGTTTTTCCAGGTCATCGGAAGCCCCCGTTGACTCTTCGACTTGATCATCTCCAGGACGGGATTCTCTTCGACTGGACCTGCGTTGCATCCTCCGAATCGACTGGACCAGTTCCACCAGATCACAAGCTGCCTCATATAAATGGGTGATTTTGTGTTCTCTTGGATCGTAACCCACACTCAATGAAACCTGTTGGTGGGGGCCAGAGGCTGTGCTGGCGATCCATCCATCGGCTGTCCGCGGCTTCCCCTGAAGACTAGTTCTTATGGCCGAATGGTTCAAACCAGCTGTTTGAAGTGGAAGAAAAGTGTCTATGAGAATATCCCATAATACCCCCAATAAGCACCAAGGATTTCCGCACGTTGCCCTCAGTCTCCCTCCGAGCATAGAGCCATACGGCAAGCGCTTTACCGCGAAACCCTCCGCTCTCCTCTTCAGGATTCTTTGTTTATATTAAGTCCAATATATTTCCAATCCAACAGCACATGCTTTGCTGCAGACTCGGCCGCCGACGATCTTCATCATAGCGGCCGACTAGTTGCCAACCGGCTTCAGCGCATTGGCTCTCTCCCCTTAGCGGCGTCCGCCGATTCCTTTCAACATCCGCAGGCAATCTGGACGGTAGCTTGTCGAGTCGGGGTATCCAATGCGCTGCACGCTCCTCGTTATGCTCCACCAGATGGATGCTACTGTGACTAACACTGTTGTGTTGGTCGTCTGGGCTCAGTCGCATGGTTACATTGTACTATAACTATCTCCGTAGGTGCTATTCTATCTCTCTTTGACTCTTCGTCTTTTTCTACGTGTTGTTTATTGACAAGATGAGTGCACTGCTAGGTTCGGTCTTTCTGCTGTTGCTGGCCGGGGGCACTCCTGCGGCAGCCGGCTCGCTCAAGGATATCGAGCATGTCGTGATCTTCATGCAGGAGAACCGATCATGGAACAATGTACGGCTGACGGATCGTGTGGCGGAACGTGTACTGACACGAGCGTCTAGTACTTCGGCACGATGGCCGGCGTTCGCGGCTTCAACGATCCCAACGTCCAGGTCAATGGCAATGGGACGCCCGTTTGGTACCAGTATGACTGATCCCTACTGCCCTGCACGCACAACAAGCCACTGACCACCTCAGAACTGTCACCCCGGACATGTCGTCTGACACCAAGACCCTCCTCCCCTGGTACCTGGGCTACAAGAATAGCAGCTACTGGAGCGGCGCGATTCAATGCATGACCGCCGGGAGCAACGGCTACGAGGACAACCAAGCAGCCCTGAACCACGGGCTGAATAACATGTGGGCGCGCAACAACACCCCCTGGAGCTGGGGGTATCTCAAGCGTGACGACATCCCGGTGCATTTTGCCATTGCAGAGGGCTGGACCGCGGGTGATATGTACCAGGTGTGTCCCTGTGGACCTTGAGTAAGGGGCCGCAACTGACAGCCGCAGGAATCACAAATCACCTCGACCAGCCCTAACCGGGTGACGCTGGTCAGTGGCTCGGTCAACGTCCCTGGGGGCCCTCAGAGTCCCGACCAAGGCGGACCGTACCTTGACAACAACGAAACACCAGGTGCGCGTCCCTGAAGCAAAGCTAAACTCGGGGTTTGTTGCTAATTGCTCCCCAGGCTGCGAGGACAACGGCATCAACTGCTACCCGCTCAAGTGGAAGACCATCTACGAGATCTACCAGGACGCCGGGGTCTCTTGGCAGGTATACCAGGACAAGAACAACTTCGACGACAACCCGCTGGCCTGGTTCGAACAGTACCAGAACGCGTCGGACGACTCGCCGCTGGCGCAGCGCGGGCTGAGCTTCCTCGGCCTGGACGCCTTCTACCAGGCGGCGTCGAACGGCAGCCTGCCCGAAGTCAGCTTCATCGTGGGGCCGGCCGAGCTCAGCGAGCACCCGCCGTACATGCCCAAAGACGGCGCGTGGCTGCAGAAGAAGGTCGTCGACGCGGTCACGCACAGCCCGAAGTACAGCTCGACGCTGCTCATCATCAGCTACGACGAGACGGGCGGCTGGGGCGACCACGTCGCGCCGTTCCACTCGCCGGAAGACACGCCGGGCGAGTGGATGGAGGATCCGTACGGGCTGTTTGGCAAGATCTTCGTCGGGCCGGGCTTCCGCGTGCCCCTGTACATGGTGTCGCCGTGGACCCGCGGCGGCCGCGTGTTCACCGAGCGCGCCGACCACAACTCGCAGATCCTCTTCCTGGAGAAGTGGCTCGAGGCGCGCGGCTACGACAATGTACGCACCCCGGAGATGGTCCCCTGGCGCCGCGCGCACATGTCCGACCTCGTCAACGCGCTCGACCTCGACCACCCGGACACCAGTCTGCCGCATCTGCCGGACGCCGACGAGCCCGATCGCCTGGGCGACTTGTACACGGGCACGTCGAACTGTGAGGCCGCCCACCCGCAGCAGCGCCCGCCGGTGCCGTACGGCCAGCAGAACGTGTCGGAGGCGCTGTTCTTCGAGCAGGGCTTCAAGGAGGTCGTCGGGTATCTGACCGAGGGCCGCTACCTGGTCTTTGAGCATGGTCAGACCGCGCTGACGAATGCCGGCAGCACGGACAAGCTGACGAGCGCTCCGGCGGCGGCGGATCATAGTGATAAGCGGCAGCGGTGGGTGATCCATTACAGCAGGGGAGAGGAGAGCCAGAAGTTCCAGGTGTCCAGCGCGTTGGACGGCAAGTGGATTGGGCCGAGTGGGAGTTTGGTGGCGTCGCGCAGCCAGGCTGCGGATATCAAGGCCAGTTTCCTCGGCAATGGACAGGGCTACCAACTACAGTATGCCGATGGGTCGGCCGTGGGCAGCGAGCAGAGCTACAAGATCTGGAGCGTCACGTACCGGTAGAAGGACGCGGGGAGTGCTATTGCTATTGACGTGTATGTATGTACCTAGTAGCTACCTAGGTAGTTGCCCATGTACCAGTAACAGTGTCTAGTTTAACCAGCCCGGGTCCGCCCAGTGATACTCCAACACCGGCACCTCGAACGGTTCCGCCGTGCAAGTTGCATTGAAGAACTCATCATGCACACAGTTCAACTGGAACTCGGTACTCCCACTGTACGTAATCATGCTCCCATTCGCACACTCCAGCGCATGGCCATCGCCCAGCGTATAATCCATCCGTCCAATAGAGCTCGCCTCATTCGAGGAACCATAGAACGCAACGATGCGTCCCAGCCCGCGGTCCGCATAGCCGCAGTTGGACTCGCCGTGCGCGATGTCATGCACGCGGTACCCGATGTACTGGTCGTGGCAGGTGAGGCCGTCTTCGAAGACAATGTCGAGGGTCTCCGGCGGGCCGTAGCCCCAGGGCTGGTAGTTGGGCATGCCCGTGTAGCAGACGGGGACCATGGTGCCGTTGCAGGTGGCCGGGTCCGGCGCGCACCACCCTTTGCCGCACAAACAGCCTTTGGCGTTGCGGTCCACGTCGCTGTGGATGCAGTCGAGGCTGTGGGAGCCGTTGTACCAGGAGAAGGTGGTTACGGTCCAATTGGGGAGGGGGCAGCCATCGGGTGGGACGATGGAGGAGAGAACGGTGGGGAGAAAGGCTGAGAGAGCCGTCAGAGTGAAGGTAGAACGCATCATGGCTGGGATTGGTGGTGGGTTCAATGTGAAGATGGGTGTGAGGTTAGGAATGCAGCCGCTTTAAATACTCTTGTGTTGCGTGGCGAGTCATGGTGAGGTCGAGAGTTGTCTTGTCTTGAAGCCACAAGAGACTAGAAATGCAAGTAAGCTCACCAGCCCAGGCGAGCCAATGGCGAGATTTTATCTATTTTAAACCGAGACAATGTCTTTCACCGACTCATAGGGATGCGCTGTTTGCTATCGATTTATCCGTCCAAGAGTTGTCGAGTGGCGGAGGTAGTATGTAGTATTCCATAGATATGTACGGGGTCATGCCGATATTAGGGCTGTCTCGGAGATCAGCAAGTAAGCGAACGAGACTCCTGCAGCGCGATGTAACAGGATTTGTCATGCGTCTTGCTACTCCAATTCCTGCAGATGTTGGCGTCCGCTGGCCAAGTACTTATCCGAATACAGCGTCTAAGAGGAAATGAAACAAAATTAATCAATCCCGCCAGTTCCCCTGCTTCACCATAGTTCTTCCGAAAGATGACGGATGGCTTTTTATTCTTCTCCTTAATCTGGCAGGAAACGAAAGGGCCAACTGCTGAGCAAATTCGTTGTACCGCATAGAACCATCGGCCGGAGTTGCTTATCATCACCACAGCTGATGAGGCCTTTTATTTTCGGGCCCTCTTTCAGTTTCGTAAGCGGAATCCAGCCATTCGGTTCGAGTTCCTTCGGATCTTCGTCTCTGATAACGAAGATGGCATTGGCGGTTACACCGAAGTTCGAAGACACAATGGGGTCTCCCATATTGTTGTTCGCGGATACGACCACAAAAGCTTCCCGGATGACTTGTTTAGAGGCCTTTCTGAACGCCAAAAGTGCCTTTCGCTTCGTGTCTTGGTCGAGCTGCCTGAAGTTCTGCTCCTGTATAAGTTCCACGTAGTCTCGAAGAACTTGCAGCATATCCACTTCCTCGCCTAGGGTGTTGCCCAACTTCGACCGCAAAGGAAGAGTAGAAGGGCACACTGGCTCCAGGTATCAATAGGAGCGGAAGTCAAAGACATTATGTATCATGGTACCTGTGCATCTGTCAAACCACGTCCACAGCCATGTAATACACCTTACATACCACTAGTTGCCGAAGCATTTTTGGTAGTGTAATGATCATTGTGATCCTCAGCATCTGACGTCTCGAAGGTTCATTTCATTGGGAGGACAGAATCGAGTCTGGATAGCGGTGTTCTCGCCAGATGCGTAGTGGAGGAGGAGAGAAGAAGAGGGAGAGGGAGAGGGGGGTTTATAGCTCCAACTAAACCGACTCAGGGCAAGTCTCTGTTGTCACTTTGTTCTGTCACTTATTCATGAGTGAAAAGCCATCTGTCACTCCTCTGTATTGATATCTCCTTCTCGTGGGTGAGGTGAATTACAATCTTGCATATACACATATAAGTGAGGACACCTAGGAAGCTATTCATTCTATATAATTGAATGACCACGCCTACTTGGACGCATACCTAGGCGTAGGACCTAGCTCAAGGACGTTCCATCCTCCAAGTACAAGGGGAAGGCAAGTATATCCACCACCAATGTGATGGCATTAGATAGTCAAGTGCATACTACCCAGTCACCAGTCAGTACTAGTAATATGCATCTCCTACGCACCAGGAACGATACACACCTGACTGTCTTCTGCGATCCAGTTGCATAATGCCTCTAACTCTTTCCGCGCTGCATAGAGGTCTTCTCCGTCGCGTAGTACCCACGAGTGCACCAAAAAGTGCCCATCCCAAACCCTGGAATTGTCTGAACCACATAATGTCCAATGGCCGTAGATTTGTACCTCATTGCTGGAAATGGTGGCAGTAAGGACGCGGACCTTGTCGTCAAAGCCGTCCGTACTTCCGCGACATCTTTCGAAGAATCGACGCGTTCAGGGATAGGTAAGCGGACGGCGTCCTCATTGAGAAACTCGGGTCGCGTATATGTACGAACCCCTTGAGGTTCTGTCAAACCAGATGTAGATCATACAGGGCCCCCTGAGTGTGTTCGCACTTCTGGTGGTTTAGCGGTCATTTTTGATTGACAGGTTCACATTGATGTGTCTGGAAAAGAGTCCGAACTTGTGGTCACTTGCGAGGCACGAAAAGTCCTAGCTTGTGTTTCGGGGATGCACAAGCATGGAAAGCGTGGGCTTACTCTTCCATAGAAGGAAGGCATAACAGGAAGGAGGTATTGATGAGAACCGCGAACGGATGTTGAACCTGCCTTTAAGGTACCTTGGGTGCCTACTAGATATGTACGATAATTACCTCATCATAGCTTCACAGAAGTGATTGTTGAGTTCCATCGTGGATTAAATAGATGCGATGGTTCATATACAGCTTCATATCGGTTCATAATGGGTTATTATTCTTACTAACAGGCACTTGGCTGAAGCACGAGGCACAACGAGAATATGTACTCCAGAGACATACAGACAGAACAATATCAGTCAGGAATCCGGCTTTCTCTGCCTTCTCTGTTTTCTCAGAGGTAGGAAGATGACCACTAGGACATAGGCAAGCCCGATAATTCCAGCCACCACGCTATAGGCGACTATTGCCCCGACTGGGGCAGTTGAGGTGACGTTCCGTGCCAGATGAAACCCTAGCCCACCGTTGACAATACCCAGAACAATAATCGAACGGCCAAACCATCGGTGCAAGTAGGCAAAAACACTCTTCTTTCCGGTTTTGTGGAAGTATCTGTGTTGAAGAAAGCCCATGGCTGGCTGGAAAAGAATGAGGGCAGGAACAGCCACCATCCCAATGATCGGATGGTAGGTCCCTACCAGGTGAAGGGATTTTGCCAACGATATGCCGATACCAAACCCAGCTATAGCCACGGCCAGAGTGAAAAGCTGGAAAAAAGCGTGAAAGTCAACAATCCTCGAATGTGTGCCGGTGTGAAGCATCAACGCAAACAAGGGGAAGAAGATGACAAAGACAAGGATCATAAGGACAGCATGTGCTACCCTGAGACGCGCAATTGATCCGCTGTTATATGTCGTGAGCGCTTGCCCAGCACTGTTCGAATTATTTGATGCTAAGAAAGGATTGTCGGATGCGCCGCCGATTGCTTCTTGGAGGTCAAGAACTGCAACACCGGAAACATCATGTATGGTGATCGGGAACGACAGGCTGTCTGAATGGAGTGGGATGCCATATTTCACGGCCCAAACCCACGGACTAGCCGGGTTATTCGGATCTTCACTTCCTCCTGGCCATGCGAGGCAGCTGTTGCACCGAATGTTTGCGGTCATGATTCCATCCTTGATCCCGCTGCCAGTCAGGAGCGAGATCTGAGCCTGGGAATTGTACGTCGGCTCAACATGCTCTATGCCTAACCTCGGAGAGACGGTGACATTAGTGCCGTCCTGCGATGCATAAGCAACGAAGATGTTCGCTCCTTGCATCCGGGAACCCTGACCCCATGCAAACCATGCAAGCTCTTGCGTTGACTTCAGCTGAATGTAAATTGGCCCGGAACCGGACGAGGCAGTCGTCGAGGGTATATTAACACTGTAGCTGACAGCGCTCTGTCCAGGGGGGGAAAACGTTTGCAGCTGGGCAAATGCGCCCGCCAGCAGGGCCATCCAGGAGCAAAGGTATATTCTTGCCATTCTAGATGAGGTAGCAGGCTTGTTACTTGTTCTTCATCTGTGAAGGGAGGTTGGTGGGAATGCATAGCTGCAATGGCATCGCGACATATTAATGGCCTCTGCTGGCTCGTGGGAGGAGTATACTGCAGTCTGTAGCAGAGTTCCAGCAAGCCAAACGATCCCTGGAAATCGCCTGACCCATGAACGTCCTCTATGCGGCTCCTCATCATGTGGACTTTGCAGTGTCGAGGGTTGTGGTCAACCATGGTTGCTTTTGCCTCAAGCTTTGGAGAAGGTGGCTCAGTCTACCGCCCTCGGCTGTCCATGGACGCATGCCACGGACGGTGTTCTCTAACCCATGGCAGAACTTGGGGATTTCTCTTTGATGGAATTTTGAGCTGGGGTACTGAACCCCCGTAATGTGATCGTAACCGCGTACAATGTGAGGAGAACCAGAGATGGGAGAGTTGTGGGAGCCCGCTCGAGACTTAGCCACTCGACGACAATGCGAGCTCAGCCCCAAGGATTGTTGGAGGGGAGTTCGATCGAAAGGCCGACCTAGACCATGCCTATGATAATAGGGTTTGAGCTGGTCTGGGGCTTAGACTGGTCACGCAACGCATGGCTTTCCTGGCGGTTTGGGAGGCTGATCGTCGAGTATAAGATCTGGAATGAATTTCGGAGACTAGAGGAAGGCTAGCATGTCTGCTCCAACTGTCAGATACAATCAACAGGCGCGACAATGACAATGCTACACTATCTCATTGTTTATATCGGGCTCATGCAGCTCCAGCTTGCTGGTGCCCAGTCTGGTACCGCTACCAGTGAGACAAGTTCATCAATGGGCACCTCGACCCCGTCAGCTGTACAAACAGTTGATGTTGGAGAACATGGCTTTAGTTTCGACCCTGATACTCTTCAAGTAGCTCCCGGTGGCAAAGTCGAGTTCCATTTCTATCCTGGTAATCATTCTGTGGCACAGGCCTCTTTTGACAGGCCCTGCCACCCCATGAGCGATAGCAGTTTTTTCTCTGGATTCATAGCCCCAACGTCTGGGGAATCGGTATGCTGAAATCAACGGCCTGGTGATCGGCGCTGACGGCATAGGACACTGTCTTCACGGTCACTGTGAATGACACGACTCCCATTTGGTACTACTGTGGCCAGATTGGTCATTGTCAGGCGGGTATGGTTGGCGTGATAAACCCACCGTCAGTCGCCCATGGGCAATTGCAAGCTGTGTGAGATGGTGCATCTAATGTCCCACTAGGAGCTCCGGCTCAGATACGTTGGATGCGTTTAAATCGGCAGCGTCGAATGCAGATGGAGGCAGCGTGCCATTCAAGGTCCAAGGTGGCACTATCAGTACTCCTACAGCGAGTCCCAAACCATCCTCGACCTCTGCCTCAAGCAGCGAGACCAGCACGCATAGCAGCACAGCCACCACCACTACCAGCGCGTCACCCACTACCACCAACAGTCCAAGCCCCACGGTCACTAACATCGCCGCGAACCTTCAAGCTTCGACGAATTCAATCATTGGTTTCATTTTGACTCTAGTGGCTTTTGCTTTGTCTTTGTAGATTCGCGAAGCTTGAGGGCGATGTTGTTGAGAGCTTAGGTCGGCCTATACTCTGCTAACCCTGTCGACATACTGTCTACATTTAACCAGTTGTTTTTGAACTGTATACTTCTGTATACTTGGGTGTATCTACGCTGAGGTACTCTTCTGATTGTCATATGTTTGCAAGTAGTCATCTTGACCCAGTTCCAAGACACTTTCCCCACAGATTTGGGTAGTGAATATACTCCGTAGATCCTATGTAAGTTTCGTAGGGCGAGTACCTAGAGAAGCTGCGAATTGAAGTATGACAGAGTGATAGATGAACCTCGGCTTATCTATTAGAGATATCTTTTTTGCGCTTATCCCTACGGATCCCCTAAGAAAGCCGTAATTTATCTTAGAGAGGTACTAGGGTGGGGGTGTGGATAGGTAGGAAATCTATAGTCCGCATCAACCCGCACCGCCTGCATCCCTATACAGTAACAGTAACCTAGCAATGCCTCAGCTCTCCTCCCCCATCCACATCCTCCAGAATGTGCGACTGGCGTCCGGGTCGTCGACAACCTGGGACATCGCCTTTGAGCACCCGCAGGACTCTCCGCGAGGTATAATCAAGGCCATCACCCCCTCAAACGCGGACTCCCAATCGCCCCCTCTGGCCCTCCCATCCCTCACCCACCCACACATCCACCTCGACAAGGCCTTCGTCCACAGCGCCCCTCAATATGCGCATCTCCTCCCGTCTACCGGCTCCTTCGCCGAAGCCCTCTCCTTCACCAGCCAAGCCAAAGCGCAGTTCACCCCGGCCGACGTGCGCCAGCGCGGCGCCTGGCTGCTGGCCGAGTCCGTCTCGGCCGGGGTGACGGCCATGCGCGCCTTTGTCGAGGTCGACCACACAGTGAACGAGACCTGCATCGCCGCCGGCGTCGCGCTCAAGCACGAGTGGCAGTCCCTCTGCGACATCCAGCTCGTCTGCTTCGCGCAGGACCCCATCTGCTCGGGCGAGTTCGGCGCCGCCAACCGCCGCTGCATCGAGGCCGCCCTGTCGCGCTACTCCGCCGACATCGCCGTCCTCGGCACAACGCCCTACGTCGAGGCCTCGCCCGCCGCGGCCAAGGCCAACATCGACTGGGCCGTCGCCCGCGCCCGCGCCCTCGACCTCCACCTCGATTTCCACCTCGACTACCACCTCGACCCGGCCCGGCCCCCGCTCGTCTGGCATGTGCTGCAGGCGCTCCGCGCAACCGGCTGGACAACGCTCACCTCCACGAAACGCGTCATGCTGGGCCACTGCACCCGCCTCGCGCTGTTCACCGACGCGGAGTGGCGCGACCTCGCCGCCTTCATCCGCGACCACCATCTCCCCGTCAGCTTTGTCGGCCTCCCCACGAGTGACCTGTACATGGCGGCGGCCCCCGCCGGGCCCGGTCCGCGAGGCACCCTGCCCGTCCCGCGCCTGATCCGGGCGTACGGCTTGGATGTCGTGATGGGGGTAAATAACGTAGGCAATGCGTTTACGCCGTGGGGCTCGGCGGATCCGCTGGCGCTGGCGTGCTTGGGCGTCGGGGTGTACCAGGCGGGCACGCAGGCGGATGCCCAGCTGTTGTATGAGTGTGTGTCGACGCGGGCGCGCGCGGCGATCGGGTTGGCGGCGCCGCGGGATGGGCTGGATTTGAGGGTTGGCGATGCGGCGGATCTGTTGGTGCTGCGGGATGTTGATGAGACGGGGTGTGGGATGGCACGGCCGCGGAAGAGCGTGGCCGGGGTGGTTTGGGATCCGCCGGCGAGGGTGTGTCGCGATGTGGTGTGTGGAGGGCGTAGAAGGATACCGGTGACCGATCTTCCTTGAAGCTGCAGCAGAATGAATGAAGACTACAGGAATCATTGAAGACTATAGTTATTACTTGCTGATTGTATGTCAGATGTTCACGCCATTATGTACTATCTACTTAGATAGGTACACCAGGAAGACTTTCAACTTCAAAACCTCCAGGTAATAAAGATGATGGCTCTAGGAACTGGAACCGTCTGTAGTGGGTGTTGCCTCAGCTTGTGGTAACCTACGCAGGATGTACCATACCGCTACGGTACCTGATCTATCTGCCAACGTGCAAGAAATATTACCAATTTTCATGGGCTGTGTGATTTATAAAGTCTCTATATCATAATCCGTCCTAACTCATTCGTGGTGTGTTCCAAACCCTGATCCATGCGCAACGTTCAACAGACAGGTTAAGGAGGCACTGCATCCATAGACGTAGCATAACAATAATTATACGCCCCAGACTGGGGGCGGATGGTTCGTCTGAGCACGAACTTGCGCAGGCCCATGTAACGCATAACTAAATGTCGGACAAGCTGGGTCTTCGCGCATGATGTCTAAGTCGTCGGCATTGGAGGAAAGACCGAAACCATTACCGGCGCGCGGGTATAAACGATGGTCTTCTACTTCGTATTCTGATGACGAGTCGGACTCGTCATCCTGTCCTCGTTGGTCGGAGGAGGGCGTAGGGAGAATGTCGGGGGTGTGAAGAGGTCCTAGCTTTTCACTCACATTGGCAGCGAGTGACGGACCGACGCCAAAATTGTTCGTAGAGGTGGATGGCGATGGCGTGGGGATCTTTGGTGGGAAAGCGAATCTAGACGAGTGAAGAGATTTGAGATTTTCAGGGAACATGGGTATGGTAGGATGATTGTCTGATATTCTGAGCAGAAGCTCGACCAAAGCCGAATGCGACAAGCACGACAGAAAACCCCGTCGCTCGTCCGTGGAGAAGCCCTCGGCGCCCACCTCCAGCTTGGGTATTTCCGTCGGAGGAAAGATAGGACGGTCGAACGTCAATGACGAGACCCCAAGACTGGGGTTGCTCCGGACCACTGTCGGCTGCACGATGGAGATCGGAACGGGCTTGCATTCTCGACAGCGCCATTCCTTCTCCTTGACCGTGACGACCTCGGCGGCGATAGGGGGATCGTGACAGAGTTGGTGCCAGGCGCGGTTGCACTCATCGCAGAACACGATTGCGTTACTGAGCGGACTATGACCCCGCTGACAATGCATGCAGGTGATGTTTGTGTCCTTTGTTCGACGGACGGCCCGCTTGCGCTTCCGGGGTGCCGCACCCTGGGCATGCACGCCATCCGATGTGTCGAGCGGGTTACTGTTCTCTTTCGCAGTGGAAGGCGACGGAGCAGAAGGTACATAGAGAGATGGTCGATTCACCTGCCGCCCAGATTTGGTCTGGGTGGCTATTGGTGCAACGTCGGATTCATCCGAACTGGAATCACCGGCCCGGACAACATCGCTGTCGCTATCATGGCCGCGTCTGCGCTTCTTGCGCCTTCCAGGGTGGCTGCCGTTTTTCCGTTGGCGAGGGCCTGAACCTGGAGTTCTTTTCGGCACGGATGCCGGGGATGAAGGCTTAGATGCCGGTGCCACAGAGGTATGTGACGGAAATTGACCCAGAAACGATGGGGCTGGCGTGCTGAAGGGGGAGTCTGTTGGCTTAGGAGCAATATGAACGAGACCTGGAGCTTTGGTAGTCGTGGTACTATCGTTCTGTAGGGATTGAGAAGCAGGAGCTTGAGCAGAAGCCGCAGCCGTCATGTGGTGGGAGTACACGAACGGTGCCGTCGGCAACTCTATGATGGTGGACGAGGCCTTCATGGTGTTTGCTAGATGAGAAGAATTCGGATGGTTCAGTGGTGAAGAAGATGACTGGGTCCCCCGGACGGACGTGGTATCATTTCTTTGCTGTTGGTGGTGTGGTTCCCCTTTCAGACGACCTGTCACTCGGGCAAGGAGCTCGGTGGTGGCTGCGGACAGCTTCGGGATATGCACCTTTGTGGAAGGGGTGCTAGATGGTCTTGCCGGGTTCGACGATCGGGACCCCGACGACAGTTCAGTGCTGGCTGGGCGCGCCGGTGCTGATGGCTGCGTGTCCGAGGGAATGGTAGTGGTGGTACTGGTGGTGTGCGGCGTTCCGTAGGTTGGTGGCGTTATCGCTATAGACGCCAGGGAGGGAGATGCCCCATGCTGCTCTGACATACTACCCCCCAAGTTGACCGGTGGAGTGAACGGCGCGGCGCTGTCACAGCGACAGGAGGGTCTCGGGTCCCAGCGAGGGCGACCAAGTGTTGGTGCAGCACTCTGACAGATGAATTGCGCCGTTGCATCCAGGCCGGATCCAAGGATTTTATATAGCGTCACGTGAGGACGACGAATCCGTTCCCGCGACAAGGAATGAAGGGAAATCAGCCCCCTAGATTTTCTATCGCGTGTGTTCTTCTTGATTTATCTCTATTCATGATGCATCCATCTACTTATGTATGAGGTGTCTGCAGCAGGTCTACTCGAAAACCCGCTCCGAGTGTCCTGGCGTCTATGCAACCACGCCCTGTTCCTTCAGCCGCTCGATATCCTCCTTTCCATAATCCAGGATTTCTCCCAGAATCTCGTTCGTGTGTTGCCCAAGTGTTGGGGGTGGTGTCCGCACGCCGGGAGTCGCGTGGGAATATTTGATGGGAGTGTTCACCAACTTGATGGGGCCGCAAGCTGGATGGTCAACCTCTGTGACCATGCCACGGGCTCGGACTATCGCAAGACATCAGTAAATCCTGTCATGAAGTTATACCCAGCAGACCTACCGTGAGCATGGTTCAAAGTTCCCTGAATATCGTTGACTGCAGCATAGGGCATCCCGCTTCCCTCCATAATCTCGAGCCATTCCTGCGTGGTCTTCTGCATGGCCGTCTCCTCGATCATACCATCAATGTCCTCACGATGCTTGACGCGATCCTGGTTGGTAATGAAGCGGGGATCCTCCTTCCACTCCGGATGGCCCAGGCGATCGCACAACACTCCGAACAGCCGGTCATTTCCGCCTCCAAAGAGGATGTTTCCGTCCCGAGTCTTGTAGCTGCGGTAGGGCACAATAGAGGCTTGAGGGTGTTAGTATACATTTCAGATCCGTTTGCTCAACACGATACTTACGATGTTCCGTCCCCCATCTTCCAGAGTCTTTCTCCCCGCTGATCAATGCCGAACTGGCAATGTTTGCTAACGTGGCGACCTGAACGTCGCTGAGACAGGCATCGATATGCTGTCCCTTTCCAGTCCGCGCACGCGCCAGAAGCGCCGCCATGATCGCATTGGACGTGTACAGCCCGGTGGTCAGATCAGTCACGGCCACGCCGACCTTCACCGGAGGACCGTCCCGACTGCCCGTAATATGCATCAAGCCCATCTCGGCTTCCACCATCACGTCGTACCCAGCGCGGTTACTGTACGGACCTGTCTGACCGTATCCGGTGATACTCGCGTAGATAAGCTTGGGGTTGATTTCTCGCAACGTCTCGTAGTCCATGTTGTACTTCTTCAGACTGCCGGGTAGATAGTTTTCCACGAGGACATCGCATTGCGCCGCGAGACGGTGTAGGATCTCCACGCCAGACTTGTGAGCAAAGGAAAGGCCGATTGACTTTTTGTTGCGGTTGACCTATATACTGTCAATGGAGGATCCTAGCAACGGCATCGCAGGTGTCCGTACCGCAAGATAGTACGCACTTTCACCGGGCCCTTGGCGCGATTCATCCTGGTATGTTGCATACGGCGGGCCCCATGCGCGTGTATCGTCGCCCCGGACAGGATGTTCGACTTTGATAACATCTGCTCTGTCGGGCGCATTCATGTCAGCATGTTTACCCTAATGGGATTCTGAAGCCAAGATATTGCCAATTACCCTAGATCTCCCAATATTTGGGTACAATACGGCTGAAGCATACACAGTCAGCAAAATGCTTTCCCTCAGTTATAATCCTCTGCAGGACAACTTACGCCGGCCAGAACCCGGGTCATATCCAGCACGCGGACACCCTTGAGGGGAAGCGTATCGTCTGCGGGGGCGGTCGAGTATGGGCGCCATTGCGGTGTACGGAGCTGCGCGCGGAGAAGACCGCCCGACCGGCGCAGCGCCGGAGCGAAAACAGACCGACGTAGCTTCAAAGTAACATTCATTGTGTAAATAAAGACATTGACCAGCGTAACCACAGACAATGGACAATGCGGAGGATGTCCACGAAGCAGCGGGAGGACTAAGTAAGGAAGACGGATGCGCCGAAGCCGAGGTTGGACCCATATCCGCTCATTCTTTCCCACCTCTATCCGCCTCGCCCATCATCCCCTCAATCCCGAGCTACTTTCCACTATGTTTACCGGTCTGGTAGAGACAATCGGGAGTGAGTGAATCCTGCTCTTCTAACATGGTGACATCAGCGGTACTGATCGGTCTTGCTTTCCAGCGGTCGTGTCCCTGGAACCCCTCGACACCTCGTCAAGCGGGGGCGGGGGCACCTCGCTGACCATCTCCAACTGCGAGGAGATCCTCACCGACGCTCATCTGGGCGACAGCATCGCCGTCAATGGTATGTAGCCGTCTCCGACCGCCGGTGCCCCTACGGCACGCCCACGCCGTCTCCAGCATCTGACCACCCCACCTCCAGGAACCTGTCTGACCGTCACGGCCTTCGATAAGACCTGGTTCAAGGTCGGCGTCGCACCCGAAACCCTCCGCCGCACGAATCTCGGCTCGCTGCAGACGAACTCGCGCGTGAACCTCGAGCGCGCCGTGCTGGGCGAAACACGCATGGGCGGCCACTTCGTCCAGGGCCATGTCGACACCATCGCTAAAATCCTCTCCGTGACGCCCGAAGGCAATGCCCTCGTCTTCCGGCTGCAGCCGCGCGACATAGGCGTCATGCGGTATATCGTCGAGAAGGGCTATGTCACCCTCGACGGTGCCAGCCTGACCGTGACCAAGGTTGTGGACGGTGCGGATGGGTTCTTCGAGGTCATGCTTATTGCCTACACGCAGGAGAAGATCGTGACGGCAGCCAAGCGGGCGGGCGACGATGTCAACGTTGAGATTGATATCGTGGGCAAGTATGTTGAGAAGAGCGTGCAGGGGTACTTTGCCGGCACGGCTGGCGGCAATATGAGTATCTTGGAGAAGATGGTGGAACGGATTGTCGAGGAGAAGCTGAAGAAATGAGTCTAGGATTGCACGGGTTACGATATGCACGATTAGAGCGCCTTCTGCTTAGTTTGGCTACTGTAAATGTCACGTTTATATCTATATGGACTTTGAAGCGTATATGAACCAGCCAAGATTATGGGTATATTTTGTTCGCCGCTGAGATACTCGTGCAACTATCGATGACTCAATAGCCATCCTGTAGATTTCACCGTGCAGCACCTCCAGATACTAGGCTAGCCTCAGAGTCAGGAAGACGAGACTCGAGATAGGACCCGGATGGTTGCGTAGCAGTGCAGAAGTGGTGTTCGTCTCCGCTAGAATCCTTGCGGAGTATGGGACGATGCCCAGACGGGCTCGCAGATCAACTTTTAGTGCTGTCAAGCATCAGAGATGCTTGTAGGCTTCGAGAGCGAAGCGCGAGGCTCCCTTATTCCTCCATAGAGTCATCCTCATCACCCTCAACCTCGTCTTGGTTCTCGTCATCGAAATCGTCGCTGAGCCAGTCATCATCGTCCATATCGACATCTTCTTCGTCATCATCATCGTCCTCAGGCACCTCTTTTCCTTCAGCCTTAGCCTGCACCTTGGCCTGCTTCTTCTTCTCGATGTTCTCCTTCTGCTGTCTCTTTCTCTCCTCCTTCTCCTTCTTCCGTTGCTCCCAGCTCTTATCGAGATTCTTCACTTCCGCCTCAGACTTTTTGATATAATCGTGCCACATGATCCGACCCTCACACAGGCCCTCCTCGACCTTGATCAGACGGAGCCTCATGCGCGGTCCTAGCTCCACCAGCTTCACGGCACGCTTCTCCACCCCCGGAGCCGCATCCAGTTTCTTCTGAGCCTTCTCCTTGTCTCCCGACTTCATGCGCTGCAGCTCCCGCTTCGTCAGCACCTTTTTCGTCGTGCTCTCCGCAACCTCCACCTCGGCGTCGGTGTCCAGTTCCGTCTCACTGGCAGAGGTGTACCCAGCGGCGGAGGGGTCCAACAGATAGTCTGCCGCATCCTCCAGCTTGCCCAAATTCGGGACCGCTGACTTGGCCTTCTCCTTGTTGCGGATCTCCTTGGGGTCCAGCCGACGAATGCGCTTCGGGATGCCCGTTTTCCGCGTCGTGATGGCGTAGTGGCGCAGGTTCAGCACGTACGAGTCCTCCTCCTTTTCGTCCTCCCCATTCTTTCCGGACAGCTCCCGGTTCAGGAGCATCACACGGCGGATCGAGTGCAGCGGCGTCGCTTGCGGATTGATTGGTGGGAAGAGCGACTGGAAGACGGTCGTCGTGAGGCTCTCCAGACGCTTCGGCACCTTGGACGTCTCGGTCGCGTTGGGTGAGTTGAAGTTGTTCATCACCAGCAGCGGCGGAGTCTTGTGGTCCTGGCCGCCGCCGCGGGGCCGCTTCAGCGCCCGCTCGACGTCTCGGCAGAGGGAGTAGTTTTCGACCTTGAAGTGGAGGGTCGGGCCGCGCGGCGTCAGCGCCAGACGCATGTTGGTGTTTCCGGTCGCGGACTTGGAGAACAGCATCAGGTGTGTTACGCCGAGCGGTCCGGCCATGACGGTGTAATCTCTCAGACGGTTGGATTTGCGTTCCTGGTCGCGAGTTAGCATTGACTCCTGGAAAAGGTAGATGACACAGTTATCTTGAGATTACCTTCAATCGCACAGCAGTGTCAGGCTCCATCATTGTCCGCACATCCTGCACCAGCTGGCTGACGCTGGTACCGACTTGTGAACCGCCGACTCGAATCACCATCGACTTGGGCGTTTTGCTCATGGTCGCGGCGCTCCCCTTCGCCGCAGCAGTAGCATTTTGGGGACGAGCGTGAGTGCGCTTCTTAGTACGAGCCTTTGCCATGGTGGATAAAGTGAAAAAAGAAACGACGAGGGTGAAAAGTGGAAAGTTGAAGAACTTCCCTGTGGTTGACCTGCCGACGGAACTTTTTTTTCTGGGCGGAAAAAGTAGATCGTCGGAGTAAGACGCGGAGGCCCGGATCATCTGTTTTCCCGGCTCGATAACTATGGCTTCTGCTTAACGAGCTTACGCCCTTATGATATGAAATTTGAAAACTTCATCATTAATTCATTCGTGTCATTTCCTGTTAGTTCTATGAATAGTTGCTTCGAATGGGTAGTAAGTCTGAGCCCTCGCGACATATTCCCGACCATCAAGACAATCCTTTTGTATACATAACAGTAAAGCAACTAATGCTTGAACCTCGCAATCCGTCGACTGTTGCCGCTATTACATAGAACAGGCAAGTTTCTTGTATTGGCAAACATCTGTCAATCCGAAAAGGCTCAAGACTGCAGGATCTCCTTGATGCTGCCAGCTTCAGAAACAGCATTGGCAACGCGAGTGGCAAGGTCATCAGCCTCCGACCGGCTAGCGGCCTCCGCATACACACGCACGGCATCTTCAGTGCCACTGGCACGCGCGAAGCTCCGTCCCTTGTTGTAGCGAGACTGCAGAGACTCGATCTTGGCCTGCAGGCCGGGGGGTGACTCGAGCTTGCGCTCGGCATCGTAGGCCTTGAAGATCGACCGGTCAGCAACCTCCACACGGACTAGCCGCGATGGGAGGTCGGTGTAGGTGGCAAGCCACTCCTTTGGGGTCCAGCACTTGTGGGCAAGGATAGCTTCAACGAGAAGCATGTCCGAGAGGGCGTCGCCGACCGCCTGGTTGATGAGGTCAGTCAAGGCGTTCAGGCACTCGAGGGAGCGTTGCTGGGCCGGAGACTGAGGCTCGGTGCTTTTGATCGTCTTCAGGGCGTTCTCCGAGAAAGTAATAGTGCCATGACCGTTGGCCTCGAAGTAGACGCCAACGTCGAAACGCAAGGCAGCGTGGTGGAGATGCTTCACACCAGTGTTGGTACAGACGGAAGGCAGCTTCAGGACCTTCTCGATGTAATCCGTGCTGGCTCCGTTGGCATAGGCTGTCTGAACAACACCGATCTTGAGCTTCTGAGCGATTCCAGCACTCCGAGCAAGGTCACCGATGAAAGAGGCAGCAAGGGTGGCGATCCGGTCACCATCCAGCATCCTGAAAACGTTGCCCTCGTCCATGAAGTAGTAGATAAGACGGTCGGCGTCACCGTCGAGAGAAGCGCAGCGATCGAGGACCGACGCCTTAGAAGAGGGAGGGGCGCGCTGCTTGGTCTTGACGTAGTCGGCACCGCACTAAGAATGATGTTAGTACGAATTTCGTAGGTAGGTCACGATAGTAGTACCTCGTAGTTCAGTTTATCGGGGTTGATAACATCGTCATTGACGACCTTGATATCGACTCCGCCTTGCTCCGCACTAGGCAGGTACTTGATGAGTTCCCTCAGCTTGGGTCCACCGACACCGTTCGCGCAATCGACAGTCAAGGTGCCCTTGACCTTGACACCCCGCATCACTCTTTTAAAGGCCTCGGCGAGCTTCTCATAATAGCCCTGTTCCGAGGGCTCGCCGTATTCATACTGTGTACCGATGGTGTTCTTGCAACGCACGACATAGTGGAGCTGAGGAGTCGTCATGAACTTGAGGTCCTGGAATTCGACCTCCGTCGCGGCGAGGGCCGAGTTGAGGACGCTGACGAGGCGCGAGCCAGAAGCGCGGGTATCACGGGCAAAGACGACACGGGCAGGGTTCTCCATGCTGACGTCGATTTCCTTGATAAGCTCTTCATACACATCGGCGACCTTGTCCAAAGGAGCATTAGCGAGCTTGGTTGCGTAAGCCTCCCATTCAGCCTAATCAATTATCAGTCACCAGTCCATCCCGATCGGGGTCATGTCGACTCTTACTTCGAGCATCTCGCCCTGTTGTTATATTTCCGTTAGTAAATTTTGAACTGGTCATCGGAGTCTTTTTCCCAGGTCCACTCCAGACTCACCATTGGATCGACCAGCTTGACGCCATTGTCTTCGGCGGGGTTGTGACTGGCCGTCACCATCACACCAACCCATTGTCCACTAAGTTTCTTGGACCGCAGACCGGCAAGCAAACCAACAGAAAAGACGACGGTGTTGAGGAGGTCACTGGAGATAAGACGTTGGCGAAAGTGTAAACAACCAGGGGCGATCGCGGGGTATGTGGAGGCGGGGCAGATCAATCCTTCCAGGGGTGGTTGCTTCAATGAGAGGTCGAGTTACTTACGCCTTCATGCGGAACTGCAAAACGGGAAGTTTGGTCAGTTGAAGAGGCCGGGCGAGATAGAGAGGTTGGGATAGAGTGAGAGGGTTGACATACCCCAGCAGTGCCATACTGGAAGACCTTTCCTTCAGGTTTCAGGTACTGCGACGCCGCCTCGGAAATTGCTTTCTTGATGGCTGGAGAAGCCATTGTGGTACAGGGTAGGCCGGAAAGAGGGAGTAGGAGACCTAGGATGGAGATGAAGAGAGCTGTATGAACACAGCGTACGACGAGAGAGAGGGGCGCGAGAGAAAAGAAATGAGGCTGAGGGGGGGGATGGCGTAGAAAAAGAGTCGCGGTGCCCGTGACCGAGAATGGGGTGAGACACTTTAGTACTATTATTACTCTTAGTCGGTTGGCCTGAGCTTCCTTTACTGCCACAGCCCACTTGGAGCGGTGAGCTACCAACCCACCTTGACCCGGATCGAGGAAGCCGGTGGAAATAAGACCCTCAAAAGGAGCTACCTGGGACCACAATAATGATAGTAGTAATAATACTGAGACCACCCCATCAGTGGAATACGAGGACTCATCGATTGCCTTGGCGTTGGTGGCTTTCCAGAATTCTATATATTGTACAAGGTATTCGGTCACCTGGACCTACATTATTGCAGCTGACTCCAACACTGGTCAGGAGCAACAAAAGAAAAGAAGGAAGGATTCGAATTCCCTTCCGATAAGAAATCTGCCTTGCCTTTACACCCTCTTGTCCTAGGCCTTCAATCTGTCTCCAGCCACGTCGTCTTGGACGTCCTTGATCAGGTACCTGTCACAGTCAGCTGCACGGAACTCAGAGATGAAGATGTAGATCCCAACGTACAAATACCACCAGGCGGTCGGGATGACGGTTCCCAGATGCCACAAGCTGTGCGCATCGATCAATCCGTGCCACGGAGCAAAGTCCAACAACTCCAGACTCATAGCCAACATGATCCAGGCCACGATCATTGCTGGCCAGACATGCCAGGGTTTGCCATTCTTTTGGTATCGGAAAAGACTAAACGCGACCCACAGGACATTCTGGGTCATGCCCACCACGATGTTGGCGATCATGTTGTAGGTGTAGTCCCAAGACCAGAAGCTCAGGTAGCACACGTGCATCGCGTACAGCAGGACACAGACCGCCGTCAGAAGGCGGCGTAGGGTCGGCTTATGTCGGGGTTCCTCCTGATCCAGACGGAATATCCGGATGATGGCGAGATACATGCCATACATGACGTTCGCGCCAGCTCCAAAGTAATCCAGCTTCTCGGTCAAAGGAAAGTCCCTGGTGTGAAAGAGCATGCTGAACGTCCAGCACGCGAGACCACAGTATCCAAAGGCCAGATAGTAGCCCCGAAGTGAATGCCAGGAGGGGATCGTTTCGCGAAGCCGGGAAATGCCATGCCAGTGTGCAAGGAAGTTGAAGAAAGAAAACAGGACGGAAAACGGTTCCTGCATGCCGAGGATTCGGCGGAAAGGCCATTTTCCATGGAATTGCACCACTGGATTGAGCATCGGAGGGTCTCGGGCGACTCGGCGGTCTGTCACCACATGCTGGCAGGTGTAGTCACATTCGGCGGGACAAGTCCAAAGCAGAAGACGGAGATGGAAAGCTAAAGAAGACGGGGTTAGTTAGATGTGAGCCCATTTCAAACACAAAGGGTAGTTGGAACTTACGGATAACCGAGCTGCCATCCTGACAATTTTCCGATTGACAGATCTGTTTGCTGGTTAGCTTGTTTACTGGACAAGCACCGAGGGAAGTAGATACCTTAACACATTCTTTGAAGTCGGGAAGATGATCGCCCAGGGACGCGGTCGATCGGCCAACAAAAGTCGCTAGAAGAAAGAAAAGAAGGCAAGTGAAAGCGGTCGTTCTGCTTGAGCCTCCTAGTCTCATGGTGGGCTACGTGTTTGACTGGCGGTACCACGCGGACGTGTGAACTAAGGAGGAAGCGGGCGCAACGCGTCTTGAGGGCGGAGGAGGCGGAGGAGGCGGAGGACCGCCGGTCGGCACCACCAAGTCCGATGGCATCTTGGCATTTGCCGTCTATGTACTCCGTCGGTTGGCTATATCGATCTGTTCGAAAGCTCAACCGAGGAAGAGAGATATGTACAGGATACGAACTTGTTTATTTTATTAGATAGACACCTACATTCGAATTTCTTAGCTTCGTTGATATGTTACCAATCGTTAGTAGGACTCGAATTGGAGGGAGACCACAGACATCGTCCGGCAGCAGTACAATTCGTGTTTTGTCCCACCCCAAGGCATTTACACGGACACCAGTAAATTCAGGATTATGATTGACTTTATTGAAGGCATTCACTCGTACCTAGGTAGCTGGAAGTGAATGAACTGACAGGCCATTGTACTCCGGTGAAGAGCGCTTGTCCTATTGAATCTGTCTTCAGGGCTTTGTTATGCACGTGATGATAAGTCCCAATTGGGGATGGCGGGAGGCGATAACGCTAAACTCAATTTAATCTAGTGCAGGCGGAGGAGAATTTCCAATGAGATTAAGACTAAGAAAAAAAAAAAGTCGCTCGTAGGGATCTTGACGGGCGCTTAACCTTCTCTTCCTCCAATCTATCGCCTCACAGACTCGATCTGTTCTTCTCTGTCTTTAATTCTACCGACTCATCGATTCTCTCTTCCGCCCGATCCTTTACTTGTTGAGGCAATATGAACGGAACCGATAGAGCTTCTGCAGAGCCTGCTGGTATGATAACCAGCAGTGCGGATCGCATGGTCGGTATGGACCACGCTGAAGTCCGCTACTTCACCAGGTACGATGTGATACTGTATGATCTGTGAGGATTTACTGATTGCTAATTCAATCCTAGCTATGATCATCATGGTAAATCAATACCTCTTATTGAACTTGTTCTTGATCCGACCAGCTAACTTGGAGCCCCGCTTAGGCATTCATGAGGAAATGCTTGTAAGTCAAGATCGCACACATCTCACATACCACATTGATCACTAACGCACTGCGCTTTTCCAGAAAGATGATGTCCGTACCAGATCGTACCGTGATTCTATCTACCAGAACCGTCACATTTTCAAAGATAAGGTTGTCCTGGACGTTGGTTGCGGTACCGGTATTCTCAGCATGTACGTGGTTGAGTACATCGAACATTCCCTCTGCATATTTCTGACAAGAGTTTGCGCATAGGTTCGCCGTCAAGGCTGGCGCGAAGCACGTCATCGGTGTCGACATGTCTTCCATTATCGAGAAGGCTCGTGAGATCGTCGCCGTGAACGGAATGGCCGATAAGATCACTCTTCTCCAGGGCAAGATGGAGGAGGTCGTTCTGCCTTTCCCCAAGGTTGATATCATCATTTCGGAGTGGATGGGATACTTCTTGCTCTACGAGAGCATGCTGGACACCGTCCTCTATGCGCGCGACCGTTATCTCGTGCCCGGTGGCAAGATCTTCCCCGACAAGGCCACCATGTACTTGGCCGCCATTGAGGATGGCGAGTACAAGGATGACAAGATTGGATGTAAGAACCAACCGCAATCGGATGATTCTCGCTCCACCCACTGACCGCTCTAGTCTGGGACAACGTGTACGGCTTCGACTACAGCCCGATGAAGGAGATTGCCCTCACGGAGCCTCTTGTGGATACCGTTGAGATGAAGGCTCTTGTTACCGATCCTTGCCCTATCATTACGTTCGACCTTTACACTGTCCAGCCTGCCGACTTGAGCTTCCGGGTCCCCTTCCAGCTCGCCGCCAAGCGCAGCGACTTTATCCATGCTGTGATTGCTTGGTTCGACATTGAATTCGGTGCCTGCCACAAGCCGATTACTTTCTCTACTGGCCCTCATGCCAAGTACACTCACTGGAAGCAGACTGTCTTCTACCTGCGCGACGTCCTTACCGTGGAAGAGGATGAGGTTGTGTCGGGCTACCTGGAGAACAAGCCCAACGAGAAGAATAAGCGTGACCTCGACATTACCATCGATTACAAGTTTGAAACTGCCGACAAACTGCGTTACGCGGAGGGCAGCTGTTTCTACAAGATGTGAGTCTCTTCTCTGGAAGACGAGGAGCGTATTGACTGACCCACACAGGTGCTAATTGAACTGGGGTTGATGTTCTGCGGCCAATTTTAATTTCAATCTAGAGCCCACTTTTGGATCGGTGTCATAATGCCGACTCATTGAAAAGTTACAGGAGGGCATCATAGCATCGGCGGAAAGTCCGTGTCATGTCATGGACTTTCCATGACACGGACTCTTGGGTTAACGGTCTCATTCTTCTTTGGTATCTTTGGATGTTTCGTCCTGATTTGCTGTGATATTTCTTTTATCTCATTCAACCCTGTTGCACGGCGTTGTTGTTTTGGAAGGCAGGGGAACGGCATCATTGTTCGGCGTGATACGGAGAGATGATTTCCACAGAGACGATATAAGCTCCTCGATTTTGCAAGTAGATACCCCGAGTTGATGCTCAATCTAACGACCTCCGACGTTCTCCTTCATGTCTATCTTTTCATTTCTGCTCGTGTCCAAATGGGAACAATGGAACTACCGGATGTCTGGTGTGCCCACTGATTGATAAAAATTAGGGGCTCCAGTGTCCACCGGTAGCCGACTTGGCGGGCCAGTCGACTGGCGAGTTTCGGCCAAAGCGGCGCGGATGGGCCTCGGTTGGTGATGGTCCAGCCCCGCAAAAGATGGATGGATTTGTCTGGCTTTCTGACTACAAATAGTTACTGAGGCGCTCTACCCATCCCAGCGCTCCGGTCATTCTTCTGCTTTTTCCTCATTATCCGTTCCATTCCAGCTTCCATTGTCATTACTTCGCCTGATACCGCGCGAAGCCCTCATTGATCTACCTCACCGTCCATCCTATTATTACTGTTCTGCCCCCCTTCCCGATGTCGGGCCCCGGAGCTGGTTACGAATACCCTGCCCAGGAGGTCTCCTGGCAGAAGCGCGATGTCCTGCTGTTTGCCAACAGCATCGGCATCAAGGCCGACGAGCTCCACTTCCTCTACGTAAGATTTGTCACTGTCTTTCGGGAGGACGTCTTCTCATCTCTGAGCTTTAGGAGCTTCATCCCAACTTCGCCGTCTTCCCGACATATTCTCTGATTCTGCGTACGCACTATACTCCTGGTTCATAATATCCCTTGCATTCAGACATTAACACTGTTTTCCTGTAGCCTTCAAGCTCACCGACCAAGAAGTGACGGATTTCTATGCTCGTCAGCAGTCGCACCCTATCCCGGGTGTTCCCAAATTCGACCCCCGTCGCTCTGTCGACGGCCAGCGCAAGCTCACTGTCCTGAAGCCTCTTCCTCCTACTAGTGCAGGCAAGAAGTTTGAGCTGCGCAACAAGGTCATTGGTGTTTACGACAAGGGCAAGTCGGGGTCTGTGATTGAGTCGGAACAGTCCATCGTGGATGCTCAAACTGGCGAGGTGTACACCAAGACCGTCAGCAGCGGTTTCATGGTGGGACAGGGTAACTGGGGTGGACCCAAGGGTAAGTTTATAGCTGTGCATCTCAACTTGCGTGTATACAGTATGTCTGACCGCATTGCAGGCCCCAAGGCTGTGAACTATCCCCCTCCTGAGGGCAGAAAGCCCGATGCTGTGCATGTTGTCCAGTCGACTCCTGAGACTCCCCTTCTCTACCGGTAAGCCATCCTTCAGGAAGAGGAAAACGAAAGCGAGGTTTATAAAGCACTGCTAACATTCGCTTGTCTATAGCCTGAATGGTGACTACAACCCCTCTGCATGCCACCCCCGAGCCCGGTGTGAAGATGGGATTCGGCGGTGTCATCATCCACGGTCTCTTCAGCTGGAACTCCGCCGCTCACGGTATCCTCCGCGAGCTTGGAGGCAGCGATCCCAAGAACTTGAAGGAGTTCCAGGCCCGCTTCGCCTCCCCTGTGATCCCTGGCGACAAGCTTACCACCGAGATCTGGCGGATGGGCACTGTCGAGGATGGCTTCGAGGAGGTCCGTTTCGTGACCAAGAACCAGAAGGGCAAGGCTGTTCTTAGCAATGGCCGCTGCCTGCTGAAGATCGTTGCTGGGTCCAAGAGCAAGCTGTAAATTCGATCATTGCTTTTCATGTCCGATAGTCGATGGTGTACATAGCGTAGGAGTCATGTAGCATCAACGCAGCGATTCCAACCATACACTAAATTCTAGCCTCGCAATGATGCAAATAGTTAAATTTTATTCCACCAGCAAACGGTTATGCCTATTCTAGCGATTTCCGAGGAAAACCGAGCCGATAATGATGTTATCACGTGATTGATGGGTATATCCGTGGAGAGTCCGTTCGTGCGGGCACTAATTGCATGACCAATTTATATCCCTCCTGCAGGTGATCGTTACGATTTGATCGGTAGCACGCCAATAGACTGAAGAGCATACCGTCATGAGCAAGATTGCTTCCACCCGGGCCCTCCGGTCCTTGAAATACCTTAAGTGAGTAGTAGATTGCGCTTCATGAATATTGGCTGATTCTGTAGCCTCTCCAACTCATGGAGCGCCCAGTTGGTAAGTAGCGACAAGCGCATCATTTGCAAACCCCAATGGCAAGGACAAGCAATTTTATTATCAGACTGTGCTTAACTTCATTCGCAGTCTCCTAGATCCCGTTGCCTGCCTACCAACTGCAGACCCACCATCGTCAATGCACCGCGGCGGGTTGCTTTTGCTCTGACAAGGACAAATTCATCCATTGCCACCCATAAATCAGGCCGGAACCGCCAGAATGCTTTCGAGTATTCTCCAAACGACTACGCCTCAGTGTATACATACCTCAAAAGCTCGCCAACGAGCCAAGAGGGTCCTTTGTATGTGGATTTCTTCCCTACCTCGTTTGTAGAACTGCGTTGCTAACAGTCTGTCATAGTGGAACGTTTTGGCTTCGGTAAGCGCCAAATTTATTGGAGCATGTAATCAAAGCTTACCAGGGCTCCTTTTGCTCCAACACAGAGATAGTTGTCAATGCTCCAAGTGTATCCATCCGGACACAAGACAGCGGGCGGTGGATACTTTCTCGGTATGTTTCGATGAAGCATCTACAGGTTACTGTGGCAGATTCTTTAACGCCTGGTTAGATCCCTCGTGATGTGTCGGTCAAAGATGTCCAATATAATGAAGGGGGTGCCGAGGTGCAATGTATGCCCCCAGTGACAGGGGCGAATGGCTTTTGCTAACTTCACTAAAGGGTCAGATGGACACCGCGGTGTCTACCCGTACTCATTCCTGTCTACCCACTTCAACTCCCCTAAAAATAGCCAGAGCAAAGTAGGCTATACTCACTCCAATTTCAGGTGAGAGGTCCTCATTTATCGACGTCGAATTGACAAATAACGTACGACCAGACCTTTCAAATCACACGACCCCGCTAGCAAGGATTATCCGACAGTGGCATATGCGGATGTCATGTCCAGCAATGAAGGCTTGTTCGAATGGCTTGAGAAAATTGTGAGTCAATCACCGACCTGGTAGACATGCTAGTCTAATCCGTGCGAAGTACGTGTGGGGTTTCTGCTTCGTCAAAGGCGTCCCTGTTGACCCAGAGTCGACCAAGACCCTTATCGAGAGAATAGCCTTCATTAGACACACCCATTATGGTAGGTCCTAAGTTTCCTCCTCTGATGTGACCTTTGGCTAGGATCTAACCCGATCAGGTGGTTTCTGGGATTTCACGGCGGATCTGACCTTCAAGGACACTGCCTACACGACGGAATTCCTCGGCGCGCACACGGATAACACCTACTTCACGGACCCAGCCAGACTTCAGCTCTTCCACCTCCTGTCTCATACGGATGGCGCCGGCGGTGAAAGCCTGCTGGTGGATGGATTCCAGGCCGCTGCTCGCATGCGGGCTGAAAACCCCTCCAACCTCGGTATCTTGCAGAGCGAGACCCAGCCGTATCACTCCAGTGGTAACGAGGATGTTTGCATCTTACCTGCAAGCATGGAGCCTGTGGTCAAGGTCCACAAAGAACTGAATAGGATCTACCAGATCCGTTGGAACAATTATGACCGGGCTGCGAAACGGGACTGGGACCTGCACCGTCAAAACAGATGGTACAACGCCGCGCATCATTGGAACAATATCATCACGCGCCCCGACATGGAGATCTGGACACAGCTGGAGCCCGGTACTGCGCTCAGTAAGTGCTTGTATTCTGCGGATGTAGAGCCAGGCTAATCGGTGCAGTCTTTGATAACTGGAGAATGATGCACGGTCGTTCCGAGTTCACTGGAAAGCGCAGAATGTGCGGCGGCTACAGTATGTATATCCCTGAAACTGAATCGGTGCGTCCCTGAACAATGCTAATGTTTACAGCCAACAATGATGACTTCATCTCGAAGTATCGTCTTCTAAAATTCGGTCGGGAGAAGGTCCTGGAGAACCTGGGAAACACCTTTGTCTACAAGGACAACCCATTCTACTACATTTGAGAAGCGACTGGCAGATAGCTGTATATAAGCATAGAAGAGTGAATGCAATGTGGTTGTAGCATAGAAACACCCAAAAGGTTGATGACGCTGGGACCATTTGTCAGGTATCACGTGATGCAGGCAGGGCAGCTGACGTTGTTTGGCCGAAGCTCTCACAGCTCCGTCTCTCCAACTCTCCGGCCACCGTTCTCCATCATCCTCATTTCCCTCCCAATTCTTGCTCTTCCATCGATCCCTTCGTACCTGTTATCCCGCTAATCCCACCCCCGCCCTTCCCCAACCATGTCTACCCTGGAGGATCTCGACGACCTTGAGCGTGAAGAGAGAAAGAAGCCGGACCAGGGCGATGGCGACGGCAAGAAGCCCGACGGCGATGGCGACGCCGAAATGAAAGATGCGGAAAAGAAAGAGGAGGAGGAACAGCTTCTAGATGAGGAGATTCTCAACTCGAGCACAGCGGACATCGTCAAGCGACGACGGATGCTGGAGAACGAACTCCGCATAATGAAGAGCGAATTCCAACGGTTGACGCACGAACAGAGCACGATGAGAGAGAAGGTGAAGGACAACCAGGAGAAGATCGAGAACAACAGGTATGATTTTGTCTTCGTCCGGACGGGGGTTTGGAGCTGTTCGCCGCAACGTACATCACTTGCGGTGGCGATGAACACTTATCCCTCTCGAGACGTAGCGGCTCTCTTGAGATATCCTTTACATGTACTCACTGTCATCCCTTCCACAGGCAACTACCATATCTCGTCGGAAACGTTGTCGAACTCCTGGATCTGGATGTTGAGGCTGAGGCCGCCGAAGAAGGAGCCAACATCGACTTGGACGCTACCCGGGTCGGCAAGTCGGCCGTCATCAAAACGTCTACCCGTCAGACTATCTACCTCCCGCTCATCGGTCTAGTAGACCACGAGAAGCTGAAGCCCGGTGATCTGATCGGTGTGAACAAGGACTCATATCTGGTCCTGGACACGCTACCGGCTGAGTACGACAACCGCGTGAAAGCCATGGAGGTCGACGAGAAGCCGACGGAGAAGTACACGGACATCGGAGGCTTGGACAAGCAGATCGAGGAGATCGTCGAGGCCATCGTATGGCCGATGAAGGAGGCCGACCGGTTCAAGAAGATCGGTATCAAGGCACCGAAGGGTACGCACGCACCGCTCGAAATCGCTTTCACCTCCCTCACTAACTGAACTCCCATCCAGGCGCTCTGATGTACGGACCTCCCGGAACGGGTAAAACCCTGCTCGCTCGAGCCTGCGCCGCCGAGACGAACGCCACCTTCCTCAAGCTCGCCGGTCCCCAGCTGGTGCAGATGTTCATCGGAGACGGCGCCAAGCTCGTCCGCGACTGCTTCGCGCTGGCCAAGGAAAAGGCGCCGTCGATCATCTTCATCGACGAACTGGACGCCGTCGGCACCAAGCGTTTCGACTCGGAAAAGTCCGGTGACCGTGAAGTGCAACGCACCATGCTGGAGCTCCTCAACCAGCTGGATGGCTTCGCCTCCGACGACCGCATCAAGGTGCTTGCCGCCACGAATCGTGTCGACGTCCTCGATCCCGCCCTGCTCCGGTCCGGTCGTCTGGACCGCAAGATCGAGTTCCCCCTGCCCAACGAGGAGGCCCGCGCCAACATCCTGCAGATCCACTCGCGCAAGATGGCCGTCGAGGACACGGTCAACTGGCCCGAGCTGGCCCGCAGCACGGACGAGTTCGGTGGCGCCCAGCTCAAGGCCGTGTGCGTCGAGGCCGGTATGATCGCGCTGCGGAAGGGTATGTCCAAGGTGGGCCACGAGAACTACGTTGATGCCATTGCCGAAGTGCAGGCCAAGAAGAAGGACACAAACATGGGAATCTATGTTTAATGCTCGGGAGGAATGTGCCTCATGATCTTCCCATAATGTCCTTCTTTTGCCGTTTCTTTCTTGCGTCATGTCATGTATCTACGTACAATCCCGTGAGTCTAACCAGGACTTGGCTGCATGCTTAGTCCCTACTTTTCAGTGTCTGTTGGGAAAATAGATAAACAGTAATCGTGTCTTGAATCTTCGTTCCGTTCGTAATATACAACTGGTAAACATATATATTTTGGCCAGCACTAGGACAGCATTTAAGTCACGGATCGATACCACAAATTCCAGTTGAAGTTCACGATTCTACTCCTAGCAAGCAGTGCTGTATTTGGCAGGCTTTGACGGATAAGGTTGCAGAAGACATATACATTATACAATATAGACCGATCAACGTGCTATGTACTTGTACAACGAGCCGGGTTCATCCCGAACAAAACGAATGGTATAGTGAACAACAGACGCCAGCCCAGCCACTGTCCTTGGCAAATACAAGAAAGGGGATATAATGTAAACGAAGACCATGGTATATGACAAGCCGACCCAGGTCCAGTCCAACGCCACGATGATTAGATGGGGACAGGACAAAAAGAAAATAGGTGTATGTGCATCAGGAATTGTAGGTACTGTAGTCGGGGAGCGAGGGTATGTGCAGAGGTAGAAGAGGGAGGCACTTTGCCATGTCGAGATAGGGGTTGTTTTGGTTGATTGTAGCAGGTGAAAGAGAGTTGCGATGAGTATCGATCATCCGTAAAAGAAGGATTCCGTAACGCCGTTCCGCGCATGACTGTAAGCGTGTTCGTACAGATGAGAAGATAAAGAAAAAGGTGGAATCGGTGGCGACTTTAGAAGAGATTGTGGACGTCAACGATCTTGACATTTTCCGGACGGTCTCGCTCCATGTGAAACCACCAATCACGGCCATTCTTGTGGCTGTAGTTCCAGGATCCAGTGCAGGTGTCCTTGTCCCAGGGTAATCCAGTGGGCGATGAGAGGCTCATGGGAGTTGGGGGAGTCGAGGACGTGTTGGGGCTGGTAGCCAGCCCGGATCGACTGCCGATGCCACCCCAACCGAATCGCGGTGTCGTTGTCGTTGCTGGAGACGGTGGTTCTTCAGGGGACGGGCTCATGGTGGGTTTATTACCGAAGCAGTTGACACCAACGCCGGCAGCGTATGTCAGAGACTGATTGGACGCCAGAATATGCTTCCAGCTCACAAGGCCACCATCCGCATCTTGCCCCTTCATGTCGGGGTGGAGGATGAAGCGAGGGATGGACACGTCCTTGTCACTGGTCTTTGCCCCCGATCTACCCATGTATGCGGGCATCCGGAAATCGAACACAGTGACGGGGCCGTCATGAGCCTCAGGGGAAGTGCTTCCTTTAGAGTGTTCTCGCATTCCCCACATCGACTCCTCGTCCATTTCCATATCCGATTCTTCTTCGGCGGCTTCCTCCAGGGCGTTGTCGGGAATATATCCGTCAGAGTGATCGGTGATTAGGACCTGCATGCCGGTTTCCGTGTCCTTGGCCGCCATATCGATGAATGTTTGCGCGCGAATCCGGGCTGAGGTCAGGTTGTTGCCGCCAGGAAGAGCCATCGGTCTGGTATTGACTGAGCCATGAGAACTTCGGGGAAGGCAGTATCGGTCTGCCGGCTGCAACGCCTGTGCTCTGGGGAGCGGTTTGCAGACGGCCTGAAGAACGCCTGGAGGTTCAATATCCGACGGGGCCCGAAGAGCCTCTAGACGGGGGAATCCGGCGGAAAGGATGCTTTGGGCGAGATGAGAGTTAGGCGTTTCGATATGGCGTGGAGGTTTCATGAACGGGGCATAGTCGAGTCTGGTGAGAGCGGTGTTCGGATCGGGGCAAGCCACATCCCAGTGCAGGAATTTGAGGCTGGAAGAAGCAAACAATGGTTGGAAGATCATGCCTTCGGCGTTTAGGGTAGGACACTTTTCGGTTTGGACGAACTTAAATCGTTCCAGCTGTCCAAGTGAGGCCAGTATCTTCGAGATCACAAGAAGAGAGTTGATGTTTTGCTCGATGAGGGCCAGCGACTTCAAGGAATTGGATTCTGGGCCGTGAAGTGTATTGCGCGGAGGCCCTGCGTCCCGTTACTCCGGGAAGTGTTTTCCCAGTCGCAGGAGACTCGGAGGGGGTGGTAGACAAAGCAGAGCACTGTCTGCAAAGGCGTCGGCATTGAAGTTCGAGATGCACAGATTTCGCAGCGATGGCAAGAGGCTGAACATGCGAAGGAAGATGCTGGGTTCGACAGCAGTCTTTTCGCTCCATCCGTACATCGTCAAGGTCTCCAGTTTGGTCCAAGAGACATGGTAATCCAGAAACTCATACATCTGCAAGGGGCCTAGACTGCCGGGACATGACATGCTCCGAGGAGATACCTCCAAAGCTTCGGGAGCCTCGCCTAGGAGCCATGTGTGCTCCTTCAGCTTTTTCCGGGTCGACAAGGCGTGGGTCAGTCGATCGAACTCGTGATTGTAAGGGATCATCAACCCTAAGAGTCGCTCCAGATTCGGGCAAACCATGACGACGGAGGCCACCAAGTCTCGGTATTCCTGCCATTGGGTGCTGTGTTTGCTTGTCGTGAACAAGACGTCTAGTTGTGGGACACGGAGTTCGATGACAAGATTGGCCAGCAATCGTCTTTCCCGTAGAGTGCGTCGCAACAACTTCAACCGACTTCCTCGTTTCAAGCGGTATTTCTTTAACTGCGCAGGCGAATCACAGCCGATAATATGAATACGAGTGTACAGTCTCGCTCTCACGGCCTTCTCCCAGACTCGACAGGTCAGGGACAAGGCATGCAGGTCGCGCTGGTAGCACGTTAAGCACCCAGACTGGCCGGGACTGGTATGCAAGAATTCAAGCTGATCCAAGATGGTGTCGAAGATCTCCGGCGGCAGTTTCTTGAAAATCGACTCGAGGATCTTATCCAGGGAGGCGGCCGAGTCGCAAAGATGATATGAGGGGATCGGGGAGGCGGTTGGCGAGTAGACAGTTGGGGATGTTGATACGGTATAGTTGGATTTGAAGGAGGAAACCGACGACGTTCGGGAGGAGACCGGCTGCACCGTCACGTTTGTATATGCGGAATCCTTGTACCCATGGAGGGCATGATGAGGGGCGGAGGTATAGGGCACAGCAGCGCTCTCGGGTCTACTGGCGACAACACTCATCATGAAGACTTGTCCGGTGTTTGACAAGCATGAAGACAATCCGATTGATCAGGCGAGGGATGACAGGAGTGAAGAGGGACGGTCGAAGATAGGATAAGGGGGGAGAAAGTGAAGCGGCTGGTGGAGAAGGTAAGAATGTAGTGTACCACCGGAGCGGCGCGTTGGTATGCAGAAGGATCTTCGAGGGACTTTGCAAAGTGAGAACAATGACACCGCAAGAACAATAGCAGGGGTCTGAGGAAAGCAAAGAAAGAGGGTGTTTTTGGAATAGCCTGAGACGTACTAACACGAAACAAAAGGAAAAAAAAGAGGGAAAAAGAGGGGGATCAAAGCGGGAGGATGTTGGCGCGGGCGAAGAGAGTCATGGACTAGCCTAGCCTAGCGTAAAGTTCTCGAGTGTTAGTCGACAACCCCAAAGGAGCTTAACTCAGGGTCAATACTGAGAACTGCATTTTTTGGAGCACCAACCCACGGACACGCCACTGCTTCGTTTAAGTTAGAGTGGTCGGACTAGGAGACATGGGACGGCAGTCGAGGGGCCGATCGTCCCCACAAGAGGAATGAGGATCTTGCGTTCACCACGTCGTCGAGTAATGTCGATGGCGTCGCCATGCGAGGAAAGGTCAGGGCTGCAGAGAAAAGCGGAGAGGGTCAGTTAGCCCGCCAGACGAGAAAGATGAGCAGGGGGATGGAGGGCAGGAATTGGTGGAGCGAGACTGCATGCGGATGGAAAGGGGAGCAACGCCGTGAGGACAAGGTCGCTAGTTGCAGGATTAGCCCTCCCGAAGGAGGATTGACATACCCGAATCAGTAACGATGGGTTGTCGACGAGCACACCGTTCCCTCCGTCGAGGAATATCCTTTCCTTTGCCTGATCAGCCTTGTCCGGGTTGGAGTACGGAGCAGATGGTGAGGGGAGGTGCATGAACGGGGTTGGATGTCTCACCTCGACGAAAGGATTGCATTGACTGCAGTGCACCCACATAGCTGGTGTCAGTCATTCATTTGCATAACCCGCGATGACGACGTTCGTGTTGTGGAAGCAGAAGAGGCAGCACGCCACGAGTCGCATTCCAACAAGAGCCGTGGAATGCTCCTGGCGCTAGGCCCCAGGGGGTTAGCCCCAGTGGCCAAGGAGAGTTAGTGCCAGGCACCAGCGCACTAATCCCGTTAAGGCAAGCCCTATACATTGCCGCCATTCCGAGAGGAGGTTAGTGTCTTGGCAACCCCCTTTTCCTTCTGTTCTCTTCTTTTCTTTCCTTTTTCCTTTTCGTTTCGATCACTACTCCATGTGTACTACTTCGTACAGATGCCGATTTCTCATTCCGATGTCTCCTTGTCCCCTTGCAATAATCTCTACTGCGGATAACCATCGTCAGCCTCCAGTAGAAATCCATCAACAGGTACTAAATTGTCCATACTTCGACTCCGTACCTCCTTAAGGCCCCTCCCCCTGACAACACGAGGTCTGTTGGATTCCGTCATACTCCGTAGACCCGTTCCATCCATTGGTTCACACCGTTGCGCTTTTTAGATTGGCTGATCCGCGGGAACCATTCATATATTGTATGCAGTTGTGAACGCCTCAGAGGTATAATTTACGGTATCCATCCGTGACTAACGCCATACTCGGAGTATAAAGCCATACAAAACAGTAGATACGCCAACATATGGAGTCTGTTTCACTTCGACGCTATATATAGGACTGTCGTACAATACATACTGTTCATCCACTGTATCTACTCCGTAGATAAATGTCGTACACCCGGGGCTTCTCGTCGCGATCCAGCCGGCTACACCGCCAGTTCCCCCAATGTAACCATTCTATTTTTACCAGGTATATCATCCGGACCCCGGCACGCATGCATATGTATGCAAGCTTGTCAGCTTCCTCGCATTCCCTCGTGCAGACCAACCCTTACCCACAGCATATACGGAGTATAAATCAACCCCAACTGCACTCCTCGCTTCGACGTCTCTGCATCTCCGAGGCCCACATTCATATTCCCCTCCAACACGACGACTGCACGGAACAACCACCCAAGGCTGAAACCGCGCAGCCTGTCTAGCCGCGTTTCACCAAGGTACTCCGTAGCCCGCACTGACTCGACCGTCCACGGCGGAATCGATCGGATCCCTGCCTCCCATACTTGGGACTACAGTACGTACTCCTACTCCGCTCCCTCCAGTAGGCAAGTCTTAGCTACTCCTGAGTCGTGAGAAGTGGGTCGAATTTACGATCCCAAATCGTGCATGTCTCATTCTTGCGTCTGGGTGGTCCCGAAGTCTATCTATTATTCTTGGGCATTCGGTGCAGAAAAGGACATCTTCGGGACCGGGCCCAGGAACAGCGGCCGGCGCGCCGCCTGTTCAGTGCGAGCAGGAGCAGCGGGGGATGTATCGGAGTCCTGCGGAGACGGAGTCCGCCCGCCCGCCCACACCTCTCTCTCTTTGCACGATGGAGTTGATGGATGTACGTATGTACAAGATACGAATGTAGTAACGATCCGTTAATCTTATCAACCTGAGCATGTCTAGCTCGCTTCGCGTCCTCACGACCAAATCAGCCCGCAACTCCCGTACTTTGTATACCGACACGGTCAACGACACACCATACGAACGGAGCAGAATACGATCGAGAATGGCTTCAGCCACCCCGTATACTAGGTCGATACCTCGTGTACTCCGTACGCCGCCGCCCCGTATCCCCACCGACAATCCGTGATAGGAGACCAACACCACATCACCTCTTCTGCCAATCAGACCGCCATGTGCGCTGGTAAGGCACAGGTACCCCGAAGATCGTCATCTGCATGCTCGGGGGAACGTGCCGTCGTCTTGGCGGCGTGCTGGTTCTGGTTCCTCCCGCGTGATGGCGGACTGAACATACCCGATGCTGGAGTCCACTTATCATATCAGTGTGCTTCAATAGGCCGTCGAGTCTTCGCTGTCAATATGCCTGGAGCGGATTGTCCAATATATATTCCGATAATACGCACTTACTGGACACTACATCAAAGGTTTACCGCACTATTATAGCAGAACATCCATTCGTTCATCACATACATATGTATCAACACCGGCTACCTGCGCCATGGGCCGCCTGAACGCCTACACCACCCCCGTACCATACTCGTTCTTCGTGGTCCTACCATGCAGTCGTCGAAAGAAAACAAAGATGCATTGGGCGGCGTATCAGAAGGAAAACCGAACCAGTCGAACACGACGAAGAGAGCAGCGACACAGCTGCCGGATATCAAAAATATAACAGACCAACACCAGAAGCATAGGAAGCCAACCAATCTCTAGCTGGATGGTCTGAACGCGTTAGGAAAGCCAAGACCCAAAGATTAAGACGCATCTGGGCGATGAGGATAATCAAAGTATTCAACTGAAGCCACAATGTTGGTAGTAGAAAAGGAACACCAAATTTTGAGCCCCAACAAAGGCATGTACAAACAGCAATGGATATATGCAGAATTCAAAACTCCATATCATGCATCAGACATAATCACATGTCAAAGTTGTCGTCAACGTTGAAAATCTCATGCTCGCCTCCCTCGCTAGTCTTCTGGACCCCACTCATTCGGTGGTGGTCCACAGAGTTACCAGCCCGATGAGAGCGCTGCCATGATTCCGTATCCTCGTCCATTTGGTCCGGAGCATCATGTTTGATGTGATGGTCGATTGTGCTTTCGTTGACAAAGGTGAACCCTTTGAAGTTGGCCTGCATCCCGGGGGAGAGTGGTGTCGAGGCAGGCATGAAGCTGTTGGCCACTGCAGCGGCCCGATCGTTCAACGAGTTGTTCAGCGCATTCGTGAACTCCGGGTCAAAGTTGGATGTGTCCGTCTCGGAATCAAGTTTCGGCTTGAACGGTGGGATGACCTCCTTGCGACTCAGGGCCTCCCAGTCAATATCATGGAAGAACGGATGGGCCATGAGCTCCTTCGCATCATCGTTGGCGCCCAGTCGGTGCCGCGGGTTGCGATTGAGCAGACCCTTGACGAAGTTCCTTCCTTCCGTGCTCAGAGCATCTCTAGGGAACCGAACTTTCCCAAAGGCGATGTTCTTATACATCTGCTGGGTGTCTTCGGCATAGAAGGGGCTCCAACCACAGCACATCTCAAACACGAGAACACCCAGCGACCAGAAGTCGACCATCTTGGTGTATCCTTGTTCGTCAAGCAGAACTTCGGGCGCAAGATATTCGGTCGTTCCACAGAACGTATTGGTGGTGTCGTTCTGCGTCAGGTTGGCCTTGGACAGACCAAAGTCGCAGAGCGCGATGTGGCCATTCGCGTCTAGCAGGATGTTCTCGGGCTTCAGATCGCGGTATACAATGTCGTGATCATGAAGATGCTGGAGAGCGAGAATTAACTCGGCGATGTAGAATTTGGCGCGTGCTTCATGGAACCGCCCTTCCTTCTGCAGATGCCAGAAGAGCTCGCCCCCGGACATGTAGTCCGTGACTAGGTAGAGATCGGTGGGCGTCTGGAAGGAAAACTTGAGGCCGACGATAAACGGAGAGGCGGACATGGCGGTCCGGACCAGGATGTTACGCTCTCCCAGAGTATGTGCGACTTCCTTCTTCTGAATGATCACCTTCTTCGACAACACCTTCATGGCGTAAATGCGCTGGGTGTCGTTCTTCTTCACTTGATACACCTGACCAAAGGTACCTTTACCGATAAGTTTCAGGAGCGTGAAGTCGTTCGGCCCGACTTGCTTCTTTTCCGTTTCCTCGAAGCGCACTTCCAGATGGATTTCGCCAGACACCTGAGAGTCACCAGCTCCGCGAGCGGACAAAGGATACCATCCATCGAGTCGACCGTTCTCCTTCAGGTTGACGCATATCCGTACGTGACCCAGGAAAGCCTCTTGGTTGTTGCGATCGTACACCGACACGTCGATTTCGGACTGATCACCGAAAACATCACTACAAGGGTGGTTAGTATATCGTCAATGCTCGAAAAAGCCGAGAAGACGTACAATGTCGCCTCATGGTTCCAATGAGGATCCGTAACCGGAGCCCGACTCCGAGGATCATGGGAATCCATGGAACTGTTGTGGCTGCTTTGGCGGCTCTTCATGGGAATCGCCATTGGGCGCCCAGCCTCCCGGTCTGAGCGTTCCTGCTCCTGCTTCTGTCTCTCCATCGACTCCTCTTCCTCATCCTTGGCACTCTTGGAGATGCACTCGTTCCATTCAAACACGCAGACGACATACGGGTCATATCCGGGCCGCAGCCCTCGGCCCTCGGAGATCTTGACATAGAGCTTGCCCTTCTGGGAGGCAACCGGGGGACCGGTTGAGGGGCTGTCGGGTTCGGAGGGGAACGCCTGTTCTAGTTTTCCAGTAATCTCATCGGTGGACTTGTCCATCTCGTCAGACTGCGACTGGCCCTCTTCGGGGGGGTCAGGGGAAGCGGTGGGGGTTTTCTGTTCGGATTGAGAGCCTTCGTTGGACATAGCTCGCGGGGTCAGAGGAGGGGTATTCTTTAGACGCAAAAGTTCAGACACGTTCCCAGTTAGCTTCGCCAAATTCTCAGAGGACATTGAAACATGTGGCTTTTCGTGTTCGAAGAGGGGGGCGTCCGACAAGGACATGACATCTGAGGTACACGGCAGCGAAGGGTTGGAGAAATGAGAGGCAAGGACAGGGTCATCCGAAACACTGGAAACGGGAAGGGAAGTATGGCGACGGGTTGATGGGTCAGAGGAAGAAGGGGTGTTTCCCGACACAGAGAGATAATTCTTCAACGCGGTGAATATCGATCCGACCCCCTGAGACGGGGCCGAGGAACCCAGCTCAACATCATCCGGCTCTTTCTGCAAAAGGGAGTATGCGGGACAATAAGGGGGAGTGGGTAGATTCGTAGGGGGCATCGCCCCCGGAGGATATTCCTTTGCGCCGGGGTATTTGTCGCGAGGAGCGGAGGACGGTTGGTACCCCGAAGCCTCGTCACGCTCCATCATGACAAAGGACCCCGAAGAGGAGGAAGTGTGGCCAGAGCTTGAATCATCCCGGGTCCCTGCATCATCTGCGCGTGACTGTACATTGTGGGCGGATGCCGATTTCGACGAAGGAAAGAGAAGGGTATCGGAACAACGGCGTTGATCACCAGAGGAAGCACCAACCTGAAGAAAGCTATGCATGATGGACGGCAAACGCTTGTCCGATAGATCAGGTTGCGGAGTGGCCATTCCAGAGGGACTTGGACTACCTGAGCCAATATGATCCTCATCCTGCAGACCATCGCTGGAGGGGGTTAGCCGTGGAGCAAAAAAAATGTTGAATTGAAGAGCGATGATGGGAGAGATATAAGCGATGGGGCTTGTGTTTGCCACGGGAGGAAACCCGGAAGAGTGGAGAGGGTTGGGAGGCGAGAAAAGTAGGAAGTAGCTGAGGGATGTGCCTTTCGTCTCCGAATGGCATCGGGAGCGCCCCCTGTAGTACAGACAGGCATCCCCGCGGGCGGGCAATTGGGCAGGGAAAAAAATGGGGTTCGATAGGCTCGAACAGAAGAACCAAAGACTTTATGACTCACCTGTGCGAAATTGGCTGCCTTAACAGATCTGCATCACCGTGCAGCTCAGTTCCATTTTGAGCGGCAGCCATGATTATATTTCCATTCGGACTCTCGATCTTTCCACCTGGAACACAGGGACGACTGGGAAGTGGCGACAACCGATTCAGGCGGAGAGCCACAAGGAGATGGCGAAAAGATCTATCGAGGTCACGAAAGCCGAAGGAGAGGATTGAGAGTCACTAGTTGAGTCCAAGACCCGTTGAGGGGAAAAATTGGTCTTGACGAAAAAGACTTTTCTTGGACTCGGCGGTAGTGGACTAGGAAGTTTGCGGGAGTATGATCCGATCGGGTTCGGATCGCACGAGAAAGGGAGGGGTAGAAGAGAGCGGGATGAGGGGGAGGCGGGACTAGGGATTCTGTTCGGTAAATTGTTAAAAGTTGGGTTCTCCAGTGCGGACAGATCGAATAATAATAATAATGACGAAGGAGGGGGGAAGCGAAAGAATCACGGTGAGAAAAGAAGCCGAGCGAAAGAAGACATGATTCCACAGGGGTAAAATAGGAATAGTCGTCTGGAAGGCAACGGAAGTCGACCATGGATGGTGGATATTACTCAGACAAAACCCAAGAGTGACTAAGAAGAGAAATGGGTCCAGCCGGTGGAAGAGAGGTCGAACACTTACCCCGACTTTCAATTCGTATTCTCTGTGAGAATGTTTGTTCCCTTTTTTGTGGAAAGCACAAATAATGGCTGTGTGGATGAGGCACCCGGATGACTGCCTGGACCAGTCAAAGAAGCCGGGTTGGCCTTGGGGTACTCCGTATAGATCGTATCGTGGTGATTCACCGATAATTCTCCTGCCCCCAGGAATCCAGACGGACTCTAGAGAATCGGGGGGGAGGCGCCGTAATAAAATAGGCAGTCACTGGACACGAATTAGAACTCAGGCCAACCAATTTCCTATTAGGAAACGCAACAGGACAAAAGAAAAGAAAATAAAGAAAGCCAGGCAGGGGAGGTATTTTGGGGAAAGGGTGGTGGCGTTGCAGAGGGAAAAGCTGAGACCAAAGACATACATAAGCTGCCGCTGATGCCGCTGAATGGGCTGCAGGGCATCCAACTGGAGAGCACTAATTCTCCGTCCGAAGCAATGACACGACGACAAATCGTCTCCGGTATGCGGATGAGGGGCTTGGAGGGCCACTTCTGACCAAGAGGGTAAGCTGGGCACCTCACAGCGGAGAGCTGACAATCAGGTTGCAATAGTCTGCAGAGGGGGGGAGCGATAGTGAGAGGGTGGAGGATGACGAGGAGCGGGTGTGTTGTATGTTGTATGGATGATATACGGAGTATAAAGTAGGTATGAAGTAGGTATGGAGGATATATAGTAGTAAGAATCAAGAACCCGTTGGCGTTGATCTGCACGAACTTGATCGATTGTTAATATACCAGTTGTAGAACCCCGAAAAGGTAATCGGTCCTGATCGATTGTTTTTCTCTTTTGACTTTGTGCACCCTCCTTAATTATGTCTGGCACGGTGGCTCATCAGAAATTATTGGGATGTTGAGATCCAAGGTCGACAGTCGGAAGAATTAGGTCGATTCCAGGAGTGGCGGTCTCCCTCCTCCCGTGGGTGGCCTATCCGTTTTGGGTTCCTCGCAAAAGGAGAAGACCAGAGAGGGAAAAAAAGACCTCACAGTTGGTGGAGATGCCGGGCCAGATGGACAAATGGTAATCAGAGCGATGGATCCATCAGGAGAGCGGGTGAGGTCAAGTCGGAACCACATTTCTTGAAAAAGGGACAGGAGAAAAGGTCGCGAATATGTAGGGGATGATGTTATTCATCAACAAGTATGAAAGACCGGATTTTGCGCGGATAATAAAAATCTGGTATAGTCATACTACTAAGAATAATCATAGGGACGATGACAGCACAGGTCGGATGATGATCTACAACTGGTAGTCGGTGCGAGGCGCCCTTTCATCCGGTCTGTCATTCCAACAAGAATGTGATCTCGTCTCCCACGCCCATGGTTGGGGTGTGCGACATGAAGGAGGGCAGCACGGGGAAACGGCCAACTTCCTGGATGGGGGAGGGCCCCCCACGGTCGCCTCCTGGCCACTCCATCATGAATATTCATGCGATGAACCCGTCTGGTAGGGTTTCTATATCCACGCTCTCTTTCCCGTGAACTGCCTGGTAACCTCGTCAAACCCCGACTGATTTGGCATTTACCTGGTTACTGGGTTGAGGTACCTGCGATCCCCTTCCTCTCCCCCCTCTCCCCCCAACGTCATCGTGGATCTAGATGAATACCGCGACATACCGCCGTTTCCACCCTTATCAGAATCGCGCCTTCACAACAACTCGGTCGCCCTTGTCTCCTCACGCTAACCCCTCCCTCAGCCACCGTCGTGCAGCACGGACTGCTTGACTCCGAGGCGCGCGCTCTACCCAACTTTCTTGCCACCTCCTCCTTGAAAGCTGTCTGCTATCGGTCGGTCGGAGGAGGGTGGGGTGCATGAATGCCTTCGTCTACTGCAACCGTCGATGGGGCCGGTCCTTGATGGATGGCTGTGATTGATCAAAGATTATCGATATTCCAGTAACCCGATCATACTCCGTACTGCGCCCGAGCCCCTCAAGTCGCGTAGGCCTTCGGAAGGGCCACCAACCTCCAGGACCGGAGATCTCCAAAGATTGACTGCTATCAATCGTAGCGTCCATGGGTGGCTCTCGTCGAATCTGTTCTCGAAGTCCCAGCATTCACCGAACAAACCCTCTGAAAGGGTTGGGCTGGCTCAGACGTGGTACAGACCGGTCTTTTTGAGCGGCTGTGGCTGGGCCGTACCGCACTTCTGTTGACCTGAAACTTCCATACTCTCCCGTTCTCGTAGTCTCGCAGTCAGAGACTGCTACAGCGACCATAGCTTCTTCCACATGCGAATCTGGAGACAGTGCGCGTTTGGGTGGTACCAAAAACGCCAGGCGTGTCAGAAGTAACCGCCGGGAATCAATATCAAACACTCGTAGCTTGTCTCAGCGCAAATGGCGCGGAGTACCCGAGACCGTGATCTCCTTGCGGCTGCACATCATAGGCTGCTAGGAGCTCACGACCCGAGGGGTGGTACGCGCGGTGGCACGCGCGGTGACACCAGGACAGTGCAGCTGCCAGCCTCAGGTCGGGTGTTTTGCAATGTGCCCGAGCTCTAGGCCCTTGGGATGATTTGACGGACAGATCATCCGGGCCTCACGGTTGACCTCGAGGAATGCGGACGGGCGCGTCGATCGGCGTGTGTGGGTAATGTTAGGGAGAGTTGCAGCCGGGCATAAAGTTGACTCATTGAACTAAACACATCTCCCGATTAATCGAAATCCTGGTCGATGCTTCGGGAACCCCTCATCCCCAGTAAGTCGTGGCAGCCAGTGATCGGGATGGGAAAAGATCTCCCGAACCTCCCTTCCATTCCTGACACGATATTTACCATAGCTCCCTGAGTTCCGTCAATCATGATTTCATCTCTCCGGCCTGGGCAAGCGAGGATCGTGCATGGGGCGAACTGGTCACTGCGCAGTCAGTCGGCCAGTCATCTGCAAGATGCAGTGTGGTTGTGTAAGGGATCGGCGATAACTACGCAGTGCAGAGTACTCCGTAGTTCTCGTCAACCACTCGTAGTCGTACTTAGGTAGGTACTGAGTTCTGCAATGGACGTATCCACGGGCCTACTGCTCAAGTCTCAATCCAACACGATACTTCGACGTCGGGACGCGACAGGTTCGTGTAGATCGGTTGGGGAGCTTACAGGGTACTGCTGCGCCGTTGATGCCACCGCGCATACTCCTCTCCTCCGCCGTGGCTTGCATTGGTGGATGGACAAGACGCGGATCCCGTCTTGATTAGAGATCGCCGTCACCATAATCGGCAGCATCTTGGGACATTCCCGGTGGAAAAGGAGGGTGAGGTATTGTATTCCAGAAGTCTCGTTTCAGACACCGTTTCTCTCCGGGACATGTGAAATGATCCAAGTCTGCAGGAAGTCAGGGATCGATCACCCAGATCGACGACTGCCAGAAGCCTGTTCATGTGCATAATGCAGGTGAATAGGCCTGATAGACCTGATCTCTGACTCTTCGATATGAAGCTCAGTTGGCATTCCAACCCAGCAAATCGTCTTCTGCGTTCAAATCCAGGGATCCCGTGAGGTCTGTTACTTCTTTCTATAGATCAAAAGTGACGGCGTCAAGAGAGATCCTATATCGCCGATACGGCATTCTGATTCGACCATCATCTTGCCCTGAAGAATGAGCATTGTACCATGGTCCCGGACGCTCACATGGAGGGGAAAAGGCAGTGACATCATCGGACAGCACCCTTCATCTCCCAATAAGAATGGCCGACGGCCATCCCGATAGGCTAGGGCATAGGGCAATCTGTCATCGGAGCGGAGACCACCGGGTCCCCCGCACGTGGCCGCGATCGTGCAACCTGAGGCACCAACCGGTCGAGGCCTCCTTCACGTGACTTATACCGGATCCCGGGGAAAGTCCTCCTCCGCCCAGCGTCGGTGCGATGCTGCGGAAAGGAAACGATCCAGGGCCATCCAATCCATCAGCACCCGTGCCCGCCCTGTTGTTTGGCGTCCTTCCCCACTCACCAGGCATTTGCTGCTATCGCCATGGCGAGGAAACTGCGAGCGGCTGCCCAAGCAGCCGCGCAATCATTGAGTACGTTGTCGCCCCCCTTCCCTTCGATTTTCTCGTGCTCGTGTACCGTTTCGTCGACATCCGTTCTCCGGGCCAACGCGCACCATGACCATCACCGTGTATGCTAACTACCTCCCAGGGAATGCACCCCCTGCGATCCCCGATGGCTCAGACGAGGAAATGGCGGAGGCACCCCCGTCGCGCGACCCCTCCGTGGCCCCAGAAGACACAGGAGACGCGTCCGAAAAAGATCCCGACGTCGAGCCTCCCTCCGAGCCGGCCCAAGAGGAGGAACCCGACGCTGCGCCCACCCCCGTCGCGGCGGAAACCCACCCGCCGTCGCGCGGAGACACACCAACTCGCTCCGTGGGCCGCCCGGCCATCCCGCGAAAACGCCGTATCGGTCGTCCGCCGAAGAACCGCCCACCCGACTGGGATGCGCCGGACGGATCTGCGCCGCCGCAGATCCATGTGAGCACGCCCGTGAAGCGCCGCCGTGGGCGGCCCGCGGCCAGTGGTGGTCGGTGGGGGCGCAACCGGGGCCCGTCGCATGTCACCCAGGTGCCTATCGACAAGGAGGGAAACATGATGGACGTGATTGACGATGAAGTCGCCGTGCCAGGCGACCCTGAAGGCGATACCAAGGTCGATAAGAACGGCCATTTGCAGGGGGACCGCGAGTACCGTGTGCGCACGTTTACGATCCTCAACAGGGGCGATCGTCTGTACATGTTGTCGACGGAGCCGGCGCGTTGTATTGGTTTCAGGGATTCGTACCTGTTCTTCCAGAAGCACAAGTTCCTCTACAAGATTATCATCGACGACGATGCGAAACGCGACCTGATCGAGAGAGAGGTCATCCCGCATTCTTACAAGGGCCGTGCCATCGGTGTGGTCACTGCTCGATCCGTCTTCCGGGAGTTCGGCGCGAAGATTATCGTTGGCGGCAGGAAGATTATCGATGACTACAACGTGAAGGCTGCGCGGGAGCGTGGGGATGTCGAGGGTGAGCTGGCGGTGCCGGAGGACAAACTCCCGCCCCCCGGCGAACCCTACAACAGGAACCAGTACGTCGCGTGGCATGGAGCGAGTAGTGTTTATCACACACAGACACCTGCCGCCCCGCTACCAACGGGCAAGGCTGTGGACTCTAAGAAACGGAGAGTGACGGTGACTGGAGATAATTGGATGCTCGAGCATGCTCGGGAAGCTAGGTATGCAACCTTCTATCTGTCGTTCGTTGTGCACGATAGACTAATGTTTTTAACCTGCAGCAATTATAACGCAATTCTTACAAACACCCGTCGCGCCAATCTGGAGGGCACGTACGATATACACACCAACGTCATGCAGTACCCCAAGATCATGCAGCCGACGCACGCCCGGTGGGAACGTTTGCCGCCCCCCGATCCCCGTGTGGCCGCCAAACTCACCAAGGAGATGTCATCTCTTACCCTCACCAATGGCGTTGATGAAGATGAAACCGCGCCCGAGGAACCCACTGCAGCCTCGGTCGAGGATGAGACCCAGAACAAGGCAGAAGACACGCCCAAAGAATCCATCTTCTCCACCATTCCGGCTGCCCTCTCCCGTCGCTTTGCTATCAGCGACATCTACTACGAAACGCCACCATATTCCAATATGGGCGTTCCTGGTCCAGATGGTGACGTTCACGATCTGGGCACGAACGGTCTGATCAGCGCCGCCAACGCGACCCACCCCGAGTTTGTCAGCCCCGAGATTCTCGAAGAACTGCCAGCCGAATGCAAGGAGGCGCTCGTGGAGGCGGCCACGCGAGAGTGGGAATGGAAATCCAAATGGCGCAGTGAGGCCACGGACGGAGCCCGGACGACGCCTCTGAAGAGTTATGCCTGGTTTCCATGAAGGCGCGTCTCTTTTCCCTTCGAATCATTCATCAGCTTTCGTTCTTGCTTAGCCCCTTCTTTCTTATCTTGTCTTCGGTACGGGCGGGTTTCCGGGCGGCACGAGAAAATGGAGTTCAGATGTGTTTTGATCACGGTGTCATTATTTCTTCCTCCTTAATACCTTCATCACCTTTCCTGAGGCTGTGTTGGACGGGTTTGCTTTTCCCTGTATCATGTCAGATTGAATTCCGCTAGACAGCTCAGGGGGACTTCCAATATGAATGCATGAGTTACTGGAATTTTATCCTTGGTATTCAACATTACATTTCGTTTCTTGCTTGTAGGACGGGAAGGAAAAGATAAAGGCGTGTCTCGGTTAGACATGGCTTTGGCGTAGATACAAAACGTAACATGTTTATGACGGCCCAAAAAGCAAAAGGATAGACGCCCTTGAACACGAACGCGGCGATATAAAGCCTTACTCGATTCTGCAGCAGTGTAGTGGAAAAGCAACGTTCAACGTTCATTCAATCATGCAGGTAAACTCCGAGTCACCACAAACAAACTTCAATAACGGCATGACGGTTTATCCGGGAAGGCGTGTGAGGGTGTTTAGGATGAGACAACGCTAGGATAACAGATAGAAAGGGAGATCTCAGGGACGAAGAAGTAGAACACCGATCTATCCCATGGCCATCTCGGCCCGTAGCTTTTCCAGCTCGGCCTCCTCGTCTTCCTCTTGCGCGGGTTGTTTGCCTGTAGTGACTGCATAGAAACGTGTGTTAGCTTCGGTTGCGCACATGGGAGGCCGCCGAGGTGGGGGGAAGGGAGTCTTACGTTCGCCCTTGGCTGCGGAGGGCAACATGTTGATCTGGTCGGCGACGGGCACCGTGCCTGTCTTGAGCATGCGTTCGTCCATGGCCTCCTGCTCGAGGCCCTCGAGCTCGCGGTCCAGCTCGGTCTCGTCGGGCTGTTCGCCGATCGAGCCCGAGGTGATAGCCTGGGCGATTTCCTCGCTGAGCTGGTGTTGTTCTCGGAGTTGGTCCCTGGAGTGAGCCCGGTAGTTAGCAGCCGATCGATCCCGTCCATCCCCGCAGCAGCAACGTACATAGTCTCATCGACCTTGTCGATGGTCATTTTACCGTGGATCTGGGTCATGGCGGTGCTGGCGGTCTTCAATGCGTTCAGCGTCTCCTGGTTGATATTCGCCGCCTCGATGGAGTATATCTGCTGTTCGAGCTGGGCGATCTGCGCCGTCGTCTGTTCGAGGTTCTTCTCGTGGACCTTTTTTCGTCGCAGGGCCGCCTTGGCCGCTGGATGCTGTTAGCCTGTCTCGTTGCCTCATGCTCTCTCTACTACGTGATGGTGTATGGGAGAGTTCGCACCATTCTTATTCGTCGCCACGTTCCGCTTCGCAACAGCCTCCTGCTCCTCCATCTGGTGCTCCAGGTGCTTCTCGCGCTTCTGGAGCATGTCCAGCTGCTCGCGCAGCATCAGGATCGCGTTCTTGGGCGCATCCTTGCGCTTCTGCGCGGCCGATCCGCCGAACCACGACCACATGGTGACGAGACGAGAGGAATATGTCTAAAGGTGAGGGATGCAGGGGGAGGTCTCGGGAGTGGATGTTCGAGCCCGCGGGGGTCTATCGGCGGCGGTGGTCTGCTCGTTGAGGTATGGAAATCGGTGGAAGGCGTTGGTGCCAAGACAGCACGGGGATGGAGGGGTCGAGACGGCAGGTCGACGGGGATCACTGGGGAGAGTCCGTGGATCCTTGAGAAGTTATCGGTCGGGGGGACGATGAGGATGGTGAGAATGGACGGAAATCGCACTAGATAGCAGCGTTGGGAGGGCGTGAGAAAGAGAGATAGAGAGAAGAGGAGCGGGAATGGACGTTTTCCCCTCGTTGGCCTATGACATACGCGGTAAGCCTATCGGAGGGATCCGGTCACGTGGACGCGAATGAGGCAGGTGACTAAGCCGCCTGCGCTCACCACCAGGCAGATGGTTATCATCCATCGTTCTTTGTTTTGAGCGCTGCCTACACGGGGCCACGTCGTCGCCGTCAATTATGGATGACTGTGGAGGTCATAGCATCGAGCGATGAATGTTCCCCCGCCCTCTACACACGCATTCCTGTCAGATCTGCCCTCTGCGCCGGTGGACTCCAAAGTGCGATTTCTAGGCTGGTGCGTGAGCCCGTTGTAACTGGTTGCTTTCTATGCGGATCGAATTCTCCAATGCCGCTCGATTGCAGACTATGTGACCAACATCAACTGATAAGCCATGCGATGTCTAGCGTAAGAACGTATAACATCAATACCGGCCACTTAACCCTAGAGCACAACTATCCCCGGCGTAGACCATCACAGCCTGTGCCGAGCGTGTCGGTTGACATCGATGCGGTCCTGGAGACAGTGACATCGGAAGAGCTGCGTGTGGGCGCGTGGGTCAATGTGGTCGGGTACGTGAGGAGGTCAACCGAGCAGCGGGGTTCTATCTACGTGGAAGCTGTGATGCTTTTCCCTGCTGGACCGATTGTGCTGGGCGAGTACGAGCGGATCCTGCATGATTCACTCGAGGTTGAACGATGGGTGCAGCGGCCGACGTGAGGCGCTTATCTGTACGAGTGTTTGAGACTGGAGACAAAGGGAAACAGGTTGATCTATTATTCATTAGGATTTCTGTCACTGCACGTAATTGCATGTTAGGAAAGATATGTGCCACGGGTAGAACCAAATGTACGCCTCTAAGGAAGCCAATCTCGTGCCGATGAATAAGCCTAGGCGCCAATGATGAAGTGAATGAGGATAGCTTTTGGTGTGGTGTCTTCGTAAACGTCATACTTCATGTCCAATAGACGTCGAAGTGTAGAGTGATGATATTGATTAGACCTCCATCTTTTCCTTCTCCGGTTCGGTGCTCGTGTTCGCGTGCGCCTGCGCGCCCTGCAGTCGCTCCAAAAGTCGCTTTCGTTTCCCTTCCAACCGGCGCTTGTCTTCTTGCATCCGACTGATCAGAGCACTCTTTTCGCGGATCTTGTAACCGTACTTGTAGAACACGATCGGGATGGGGATGATGATAACCTCTAACAAGCCGAGAAGGGTTCCAGACCAGTTGGGGCCAATACCCGCGTACAGGTAAGATCCAACCAAGGGGAGCACACCACCCAGAATGGATCTGACGACAGAGTTTCCGGCCATCGCCGATGCGGCATAAACCCCGTAGCTGTACGCGAGGTAGTTAGACGCATAGATGAAAACGCCCGTGTTGCCTGCACCGAACGCGACCCCTGCCAGGATCGGGGCAATCCAGTGGATCGAAGCAGGTGCGCATGTCCACGCGAACCAAAGCTCTCCGGCGGGAATCAAGAAGGCTGAAATGCAAACGATCGAGACCATAGCCTCCGGGTATACCTTGCCCGTCTCGGGATCCTTCGGATGGTTGTTGATCATGCGACGGATGAAAGGCTCGCAAGAGATTGTAATCAGACTGCCTACACCAATGCCCAAGAAGGCAAGACCAGAAAGACCCAGAGACCACCCACGAATGTCGCGGAAGACGATGGGATAGGCGGTGAAACAGAGGTACAGAATGCCGTACACGATCGCGATGTAGATGTTCCAGAAAATACTGCAACGCGTGTCAGTCCATATGTGATGGGGATAACTGGGTGAAGAAGGAAATTTACCAGATAGGTTCGGTGGCTGCCATGACAAAGGGTCGACTGAGGTTGATCTTCAGCACCTCGGCCAGACCAATCTTCTGGTCATATCGACTCCACCATCTCGGTTCGTCGGTCTCTTTGCGTAGACGGGCGGCTTTCTTCTGTAGGATGATAGGACTATATGTTTCCCGCATGATCAGGGAGAACGCCAAAGCAACTCCACTAAAGATCATGGCGATCCAGTTCATCCATCGCCAACCCAGGTACTGCGTCACGAAACCTCCAATGATCGGTCCAATCACTGGAGCGAGCGTTGTAAGTCTCAGCTGAATTGATTGACAGTGCGGAAGGGGACTAATACGCACCTGGTCCGTTTACTGGCCCAATACTCCAAATGGACATGGCGAGGGCACGTTGCTCATCCGTGACGAGGTCTGACACCATTCCTGGTGCGGTTGAGATCATGACACTGCCAAACAGAGCGCCAAAGAATCGCACGATAATGAGCGTCTCCACCGATTTGGCCAGCGCGCATGGGATGATCAAGATGGTAAAGAGAGACAGACAGAGCACGGACACTGGTTTTCTGCCATACACTTCGCTCAGGGGCGCCATGAACATGGACCCAATGGCCAGGCCGATCAGATAAAAGGTCAATCCTAGTGTGACGATAATATTGGAGGTTTCGAAATCCGCGGCGATGTCAGCGATACCAGAAGTGTACGAGGTCGAATATAGAACCCTAATTGTGAAGAAGGCAAGTGTCAGTCACGGTGATCATGGCTAAAGAGCTGCGCAAGCACGCACACTGTGAGTGTATTCCAAGAGAGAAATGTCATGGCCATGGCCTTGTATTTGATCGTCCAATTCTTGGGATTCTCCGGGTCGTCTTCTGACTCAAAGTCCACTTCATAGTTAGGATCGCTTGTGCCCGTGGTCCCAATTGAGGTCACCCTTCTGGTCAAATCCGGGTTGGGGTCTGAAAGTCGCGAGATCCGTCTCGACAGTTCCTCTACCAGCGCCTCGGCCTGGTCAGTGTCCTCGGAGGTGGTAGAACCATCGAGAGTATGGGTGTCCACCTCCATGGACTCCTCCTGAGAATGTTTGGGCCATTTTTGCGCCTCTTCGGGGGTTTGATGCTGAGGGGCAGACATGGTCGCAAAGGGCGCTGCGACGTTCTGCGCGAGAGGCGATCCAAGACGATGAGAACAAAGAGGATCTACTCTATGGAGCGGTTTGGCTAACCCGAGGGGCAGTCGAGTAGAAGCTATGTCCCTGGGAGTTGGGAGTGTTAGGTCAAACGACCGAAGAGGAAGGCCAGAAGGAAGTATAGTACTTGGAAAAGAAGAAGAAGAAGAAGACTACCGAGGGGAGAATTGGCAGTTTTATTTAACCTGAATCACCGACCTAAACAAGTGGGGCATCTGTGAATATCAAATTTCTAGTCTGCTGTTATACGGAGCAGTACTTAGGGTCTTTCTTTAGTGTACCAGACCATCAGCATGTCGCTGATAAGGCGTAGCCGGCATCTATCCCGGTCAAGTTCGCTTGAAAGGCCGATCCCTGACTACAACATCCCTGCCGACACCTCCAACAAGAGAGCCCAAGGGTTGATATTCCCTTTTCATCGCCAGAAACCGAGGCTGTCAGACCCTCTCGCCCCCCACATTCTTCTGGCATGGATGCTCGGTAAGCCGCCGAATTAGGTACACCACGTCGTTATGGATGCAGATATTTGTTTGCGTCCTGTGATGCAGCCCGTGTTTGGATGAAAGATGGTAATGCTGATAGTTGGATGGTCGGGCTTTGCTTCGACTGTGCAGGGAACGTGGGTGCGATGCATGGCAGAGAATACGTGGTGCACCTTTGCTTTCGTCGGATGAATAATACCACGGGATACATCCATGAGGAGCCTTCACCTACGGAGTAGCTATGAGTAGCAATGCGATCAATCCCTCACGACCGACTGAGGTACGTACTCTTGAACCCACCCGAGTCGAATGATTCTCCAGAACCTCTTATCCCCCGGACCCAGTCTGTGGACATGGAACCCGAGAGTTTATTATCATTATCATCCCCAGATCCCACGACATCGACTCCACTGGACGAGAAGGGCATTCAATTCCACAGGCCTTGATGACTCGTCGACAACAACGGCTCTGAATCATCCTGCGTCCACCTGGGAGGGGTATCTCCACTAAGCGTTCGAGACTTTGGGTCCCGTTCGCCGCCCGTGCCGGTTTGCCGAACAGGTTTTTGATACAGGTTGAAAACAGGTCGCAAGGGGGAAAGCCAGAGGATGATCGGTCGATACAGGATGTGAGTCTGGTAGAGGAGCCGTTGCCATTGGGTATCCATGCGGTCACAATATCTGGGCGATGTAGGAGGACATGGTCGACTCTATGTGTACGACTGATGGTGTACCTGATTAGTAATTCCAGATAGAAGTAACTACTAAACCACCAGGCACACCAAGCCATATGTATAATCAGATGCAAGAAAGCCATGGATGCCTACTTTCTGCACATTGGCTTCCAATTTATACCGCGATATTCTCCTAAAGGCTTATCGACAAGGAAATGTTCGAGAAACCGGATAGAAGACGAGTCACCACGGAAGGGAAATTTCCCCGAAGTGGGACCGAGAACCTACTCCGTACTACTGTAAACAACCAAAAAGATTCGAATGTCGCTGTCAACTACCAAAACGGCGCACAACATCAACGGACCCCCTGATGAGACCCTTAAAAAAGGTCGTCTGCATCTTCCCGAGGGGTCGATCGGTGCCGTACCAATGAGCGACCTCTCCGAGGGTGACGCTGTCGTGTGCAGTGGAGATTCTTAATGTCGGCTGCTCTAACCGAAGCTACTAAGTCTGGAACGTACTCCGTAAAGGGGCGTGCTGACTGGGGCTGCGCCTCTAAGCGATGCTTCAAGAGGCGGTGGTCAAGTTCTTAATACACAGCCTCGCTGGCCTTTGAGGCTTCGTCGATTTGCTTTTTGTTGTCCACGCACGTGGGCACCCTTCACGAGACGAATACCTGGGATCATTCGGCCCTGTCTATATACCGGTGCGACTCGATCCAATCTCCGGCGGGCGTCATCTCAAAATGTTCCTTCTACTAGCTGGTATCGCCGCTTTGGCTATCCTCTATCTCTACCATGTCAACCGAGGAATGTGCGCCGTCCCCGCCGAAGCTCTCGCGCTGTCCCCTCGGCGCTGGACCGTGGAGGAGATCAAAGCTGCCTACGACGAGGCGGCCAGATCGCCGGTCGATGTGAGCAAGGGTCTTCCTCCCAAGCAAAACCGTCGCTATATTGTTGTGGGTGGATCTGGTGAGTCTCCCGTCCCACTGGCATTGATCTCACGCTGGGGCGTTTTCAAATCAATGCAGCTGACAGATACCAGGACTGGTGGGCAATTGGATCGTGAGACACCTTCTCATGCGCGGCGAAACCCCCGCCGCGGTGCGTGTCCTTGATCTCAAACCACCCCAGCGCGAACTCCTTGACCAGGGCGTGTCCTTCGTCCAGACCAATGTCACGGATGAGAAGGCCGTGCTGAGCGCATTCGCGCAGAAATGGTCGCCAGACGTTGTGGATCTCCCCCTGAGTGTTTTCCACTGCGCCGCGGTCATCCGACCTGCTGAGCGTCACCCTGCCTTTCTCCCCTTGTGTTGGAAGGTGAACGTCGGGGGAACCGTGAATGTGTTGAATGCCGCCAAGCAGTTCGGTGCCAGCTGCATGATTGCGACTTCCTCAGGGTCCGTCGCTATCCGTCGCCCGTCTTGGTGGATCGCCCCCTGGCAGATGGTGCCCAGGTTTCTGGTGCAGGTCATCGGGGACTCGACTGACGTGCCGAAAGAGCACGACCAGTTCTTCGGCAACTATGCGGTGGCTAAAGCAGAGGCAGAGAGGATCGTCCGTTCCGCGGACGACCTGAAGTCCAACTTCCGGACCGGTTGCATCCGCCCCACGAATGGAATCTACGGCATTGGCGCGGACGACAGCGCAACGGTCACGGGCCAGTACCTGCGCTCCGGCGGCAATCCCAGCTGGACCTACGATGTCATCCACAGCTTCGTCAACGCCGAGAACGTCTCCCTCGCCCATCTGCTCTACGAACAGCGTCTGATCGAACATACTGACCGCCCCGACGAGCGGCCGAACATCGGTGGCCAGGCCTTTGTCGTCTCTGATCCCAACCCCGCCGTCGCCTTTAGCGATGTCTACCTTCTCCTCACGACCTTGTCCAAGACGCCCGTGAGCTTCCCTCGCGTCCCCGCTATCCCCTTCGTCCTCCTCTCGCATCTGGTCGAATGGTACGCGCTCTTCCAGCACACGTATTGCCCCTGGCTGCCGAGAGTGCAGGGTGATCTGGCCCAGATGCAACCGGCACTCTTCTTCATTGCGAATGTGCATACCTTTGCCGACGACTCGCGCGCGCGCAAGTCCCCCGAACAGGGTGGTCTGGGTTATGCGCCGGCGATTACTACGCTGGGCGGGATGTGCAAGCAGCTGGTGGAATGGAACCTGGATGTCAAGGCGACTGCGCCCTGAGGTTTGATGCGCTCCTGCATTTGATGGTCGATCTACTGTACGGTGCTGTAAACGAATGTATGACGAAATAGGTGAATATATCAGTCAAACCTTACTATAGGCAATACGCACAGTTTGTCAAGGGTACTGATCGCACGAGGAATTACAGCATTGTAGAAAGTATATATTGAGCTGCTAGACTCTATTCAGTAGCAACGACTATCAAATAACCTTGTACAGGAATGAGACAGGGAGAGGGACCGGGTCGCGTATCTGCGTCGCTGTTGCTAGACAGTGGCCATGGAGCGGGATGTTAGATAGGAGAAGCCGAGCTGGCAAAGCTAGGTAGATGGATGCTCTACCGTGGTCGAATCCGCTGTCTCAGGTGCAAACTCTCACGGATGACGGGGTCTGGGCAATAGTACCGGAGGTTCGATTCCCTGTCCTTGCAATCATGCTCTGCCTGAGTCCTGGCGCGGCGGTATCCACATCCGCTCCAGCATGCCCGCCCTGTACCATGATGTCTGCCAGTGGAAGCTCAAACCCCCCAAACTCGCAGAGAGCCCAGTAATCCACCCAATGTGCGGAGCAGCAAGCATCGGACCCAAATCCGTTTGAGGTAGTCGTCGCGAGGTACAGCAGGGAGGGTGTGTGACGTGTGTTCACGAAATACCAAACAAATTACCGGGCCTGCTGCTGCGCGAGCTGACGCCTCTGCTCAAGAATCTGCAAACGCAGCGTCTCCGCCGCGAGCTCCACATCCAGCGTAGCGCCGACACCCTTCTTCCACGTCTCCTCCAAGCCGACCAGCTCGCCCTTGCTCGCCTCCTGGGCGATCTTGCGCTGCTTGTTGACCGACTCGGCGGCCTCCTTCGTCTCCGCCAGCTCCTTCTCCAGCCCGCGCAGGATATCCTCCAGCTGCGCGTTCCCGATCAGCCAGGCGTTCTTGCCGTGTTCTTCCAGCAGCGCCAGGTTCTCGTGCCGCATGGACAGATGCGAGCTGGCCGTGTAGGCCTTCTGCAGGGTGCGGCGCCATTCGTCCAGGTCGGGAGTCGCGCCTGGACCCGCGTCGGCGGACCGCGTCGGCGGCTCCGGTGCTTCGTAGCGAGACACGTCAATGCCCCCTGTCAACGGCTGGCCGGCGGCCTTGCGCTCCAGCTCTTGCTGGATGAGAGGCGAGAATTTGGGCTCTTCGAAGTTGGGGATCGATGGGTGGAGGGTCGATGAGTAGTCGGCCGGGAGCTCGGCGGCGACGAGCTTCTCTGCTTCTGCGCGAGCTCGTGCGGACGGCGCAGGGTCGATGTCTGCGGGTGGTTAGTCGTGGTTTGTCGGAAGGTAGTGTTATGAGATTGGGTCACTTACAGGGAAGGGAGTCGTGCGATTCGTTGATTATGGGCATATTGGAGGGATTGATCGATATTATCGGGGGGAAAGGGGGACAAGAACTGAAGAGTATGTCGTGGTTTGAGATGATATGATTCTGCTGGTGCAGGCGGTGGCACAAGCAGATGACTAAGCCTCGGCACAACCAGGCACAATCACTTGTGTATCATCATTACATAATCTTTCCCAAAGGGGAAATTCATCCATACAACTCAAACTCCGCTGAGCTGACGGACTGCTCATGTGCCCTTCTTTCTCTTCACATGTCCTGCAATATCGTCTCTTTAATCTAAAATGTTCCCCTCCGGCTTTTGGTCACCGACCTGTTCGTGATCGACACGCGACGAGGGCCCTATACAGAGTTGCAGTGAGCGTCTAGCCTACTTTTTCGTGCTTCTCCACTCGCAGGAATGCCCTACAGCTAATGCCGACTCCTCAGCAACCCCCTGTCGATTGACCAGCACCCTTGTTGCCGGTGTTTGGGATTACGTCGAGGAATGCCCGTCGAGCGGGGGAAGAGACATCCTACCCAAATCAGTCTAGGTGCCCGCGATAAGACGGGATGGATCCGAATGACGATGTCACCCTCCGTTCCCAATAGAGCCATCCTTCAGCCTTCGCTTGCGAGCTGATGAGCGACCGGACTGGTCACTTGTTCGTGCAAGTCCTGAGAGATCGTCGCGCCTCGGCTTGAGAATCATCTTCAGCGAGTCGCAAGGGAAAATAAGTGCTCGCTGAATCCCGAGTCTTTGGTTGCTGAAATCCAGCGACTCGCAATACAACCTGCGGTCAGGTTTTTACTATATAATCCAACCTGTCTTGCACCATGGCGAGCCATAGGCTTAGTATCGCCTTCGGTGGAACCTTTATTATTGCGATCGTATCTCTGCTCTTCCTTTCGTTCGTCCGTGACATCGACGAGCTTCCCGGTTTGGACGCCAGGTACCAGTGGGCAGACCGGGAGTTTGCTGCAGATGACAGTGTCTTCCTTCTGGGAGCCGGAAAGGCCGACATCACAGGGTACATGGACCTATCTTCTTCTATTCCCGTTTCTCATGCTGAATGCGTTTAGGCCTGTCGTCGAGGTAGCGTTCGGGGGTTATGCCAGCCTGACTCAGGTCGGAACTGGCCTCCGACAGAGAATCTTCTCGCGTGCTTTCATCGTAGCAAACCCGAGAAACCCGAATGATACCTTCGTCTACCTGATCATCGACTCCTTGACGGGAGATACTGCAGTGCGCCATGGGGTTCTCGAGGGCCTTGCCAGCTGGGGTGGTGACTATGTGCGGTATGGTGAACACAATGTCGCCCTCACTGGCACCCATTCGCATTCGGGACCGGGCGCGTGGATGAACTATCTCCTTCCGCAGATTCCCAACTTGGGCTTTGATAAACAGAGCTATCAGGCCATTGTAGACGGGGTTTTGCTGTCCATCAAACGGGCTCACGAAAGCTTGTCTCCTGGGCGTCTCCGATTTGGCTCCATCGACCTTGAGGGCGCAAATGTCAATCGAAGCCCGTACTCCTATGATCACAATCCCGAAGAGGAAAAGGCGCGGTATTCCGCTAATGTGGACAAGACGATGACGCTCCTGCGCTTCGATCGGGTCGCAGACAATAAAACTACGGCCGTGCTCACATTCTTCCCCGTACACGGCACATCCATGTATAATAACAACACGTTGGTGTCCGGGGACAATAAAGGAGTGGCGGCGTACCTCTTCGAAAGGAGCGCTCAGGGCGACGAAAAGTTTGCCGAGAACTTCATTGCCGGCTTTTCCCAGTCGAACGTCGGTGACACGTCTCCGAATATCCTGGGAGCGTGGTGTGAGGATGGCTCTGGCCAGATGTGTCGGTATTCAGACAGTACTTGTGGAGGTAAGACAGAGGACTGCCACGGCCGCGGCCCTTATTTCCGAGAAAAGGACAACGGCGCAAAGAGCTGCTTTGAGATTGGCCGCCTCCAATACCAGGCTGCGAGCAAACTGTATGATCAGTTGAGCTCCAGCCCCGTCCAGATCCTCAAGAACTCCGACGTACGCGCCTTCCATGTCTACCACGACCTGTCAAACTACACTTTCATATCACCATTCAATTCCAACACGGTCAAAACGTGCCCTGCTGCACTGGGATACTCCTTTGCTGGCGGCACAACCGATGGCCCAGGGGCGTTCGATTTCACCCAAAACGGCACGGGTCCGGCAGAGTCCAATCCATTATGGAAGATCGCCCGAGCTTTTCTCCATCAGCCAACAAAGGAGCAGCAGGCATGCCAGAAACCAAAGGATGTGCTCCTAGATGTGGGCTACATGACGAAGCCATATCCGTGGGACCCCAACATTGTGGACATACAAGTGCTCAGAGTGGGCCAGTTATTCATCATCATTTCAACCAGCGAAGCAACCACGATGTCCGGCCGGCGCTGGAAGGATGCCATTGCCAAAGGGGCAAAGGAAGTGTTGTCTGTTGAGGAGCCACTGGTAGTCCTTGGCGCCCCATCGAACAGCTACGCGCACTATGTGGCCACCGAGGAAGAGTATAACGTCCAGCGGTACGAGGGTGCCTCCACCCTCTATGGGCCCAACACGCTTGCGGCCTATGTGAACCTGACTCTCACATACTTGCCATATCTAGGCGACAGTGCTGGACTCCCGCAAATCCCCGCGGGGCCCCAGCCACCAATCAATACAGAAAGGTCACTGTCATTCATAACAGAGGTCGTTTATGACAATAGTCCCCTCGGGAAAAATTTTGGAGATCTCCTTTCGTCCTCGGGTGGCAGTACCTACAGACCAGGCGACATTGTAAATGCAACGTTCGTTGGAGCCAACCCCCGGAATAATCTGCGACTTGAGTCGACATTTGCTGCTGTCGAGCGGCAAAAGTCTGGCTCCAATGATTGGGAAGTCGTGCGTACGGACAAAGACTGGAATCTGGTGTACAACTGGAAGAGGACGAACACCATACTGGGGCATAGCGAAGTGACGATTCAATGGCAGATCGAGGACGACTTCTACAATATCGGGGACCCTCACACGCTTCAGGACGGAACATATCGCCTCCACTACTATGGAGATTTCAAGAGCGCCCAGGGTGACATTGGCGCCTTCGAAGGAATAGGTCCCTCGTTCAAGGTTGTGTCCAGCTAGACACATGTAGGGCGGACTCGATGCACGACATACCAGCCTCTTTCTTTCATGCTCTCTTTTGTTCGTTCAGCTACAGCGGAGTTGTTATATATCACGTCGATGGCTAACATTAATCTACCGGAGAAGAGCTGGTTTTTGAAATATGAATGCTGTAATACATTGCTTGATCCGATTGTCCCCTAGTCGGTCAATCCAGCAATGTAAAGCCCATGTCTTTGTTCGATCATCCGCAAATAGTCTCCGTCGTTCTATTTTCGTAGAATGCGAGGTCCCTGATCTCTTGTGTTTCACCACTGCGACCCCAGCGCCAATCGAGGCCGTTGCTGCAGCGCTTCTTTGTCGCGCGCCAACGTGCTCCCTCGACAACCAACCATCCTCTCCTCGAAGCATCGAGTCGTCGTTGACAACGCTCTGTTTGAAAGCAGGCAGGCAGTCCAGCTGTCAAGGCGCCAAACAAAGACGCTAACGCCCTGATCCTGGAGTGTTTAAAGAGGACTTCCCTCATTCCAGCTTCTGCCTTCCGTTTCATTCTCATCCGTTTCTCTTTCAACTCCGTTCATTCAGTACTCTAATCGTCCATATTCAGCATGCGCAACGGCCCCAGCTGAAAAAACATGTTATGTCGATCGACCATGTTATAATAACCCTGTATTCGCTCGTTAATCCCTGGCTCGATCTTCGTCAATCGTTCCCCTTTTCTGTCGTCAACCAAATCACCGAATGGAAGATGCGGTTGCTTCGTCTGTCACTCGCTGTCTCCCTTCTCTCCTCATCTTCCTCGGCTGGCCCGATTCCCATAGCTGTCCCCAGCTTAGTGCGCAGGTGGTGGGATCGGGGGACCTACAACTCCAAAACTGACCCGTATGAGCCAGTCTCATCAGTCAAACTGCACAACCTTGACGCTGTGCCCCTGTCGACCTGTGACGCCGACGATGGAACCTTCTCCGTCGTCCCCGTGACGCCAAAACATGCTCAGGCCTCGGACCCAGCCATCGTGGCCCTGACTTTTGACGACAATGGGGCGGTCACGCCGTCTACCACTGCTCCTCCTCCACCTCCACCGTCGTCAACTTCGACCCCGGAGCCTCCTCCTCCTCTGCAGCCAACAAGCACTGCACCACAACTGCCTTCGTCGTCGTCGCCGCCTCCTCCTCCACCAGCTCCAGCGATAACAGGCATGACTACCTCTGGCTCACGGTCCTTCACAACCGTCACCGTTCTTGTAACCGTGACGGCCGACGACCCTCCCGCCGAAACCATCACCGAAACCTCGACAGTCACCGCGTCGTACTCGAGCCCCACTTCCTCATCGACATCCTCGTTCTCCTCGTGGACCGTGCATCTGCCCTCGGGGATTGGGATGGTCGTCCCCGCTACCCCAGTTGCGGATAGCCCGAGCAACGCCAGTACGAGTACCGGTACCCTGTCGACTGCTATGAGGACTGAGATGGCGGTGAAGACGGCCACTGTGATGGGAGGAGATGCCATGCCTGATGTATAGTCTGTTCTCGTATACATGGGACTGGTAGTATGTGATCTGGCTGTTTGGGCAAGCGGCTCTGGTAGCAAGATTAGTTATGATATAGTTGTAATCTTTTTCGCTGCGCAATGTGAACTACTCGAACTACTCTTTGGTGTATTGCTCGGCTGTGTGCATATTATGTATCTATCCTCATTATAATGAGTGGGAATACCGCAGAACTGAATCATTTCTCATTCCATCAGGTATCATAGAAAAGCAAAACAATATACAATTATAATTCGGAGAGGATACCGCCCGCCTCCGCAAACCGCGCCTGGTACTCTCTGATGCTCCCCCACTGCTGCAGTTCTTCATTGTCGCGGTCCGGGTCGCTCAGGTAGCTCATGGATCGACCATTGGGCTGGGGGCTTCCCTCAGGAACCGGAGGATTGGTCACCGCCACACCCTCCAGCCGAACAAGCGTATCGATAAACGCATGGAGATAGGACTCGGCCTCCCTGACGGTGAGCGGTTGCGGGCCAGCCGTTAACGCCGGCGAGTCGGATGCATCGGGGTTTGCGCGCGGAAGGTTGAGAAGCGTGGATGCGACCTGGCGGACTTTGTAGGTCTGTATAAGAGTATCAGTCAGTATGGGCGCAAGGTTGGAATAAAAGACACGGGCCGTGCTTACAAAGCTGGCACCGTTGGGTTCCATGTTGACCTGGTTGATTGACCGGAGTAACACGAACAGGTCGCGGATGACAAGTCGGCGCTCTTCCCCCATCATCTTGCTGATGTAGTCAAATTGGTCGTCTGAGTGAATGGCGGCACTAAGCTCGGCTTCGCGTTTGACGATGGACGGGGTGCTGGGCGTGGGCTGCTCGGACGGCTTATGATACCGCTTCCACGCGCCGTACAAAGCCCAGTATTTCTCGGCTAGGTATGACCGCGTGCCGAGTTGGCTGGCGTATATATTAGCCTTTTGGATCTCGTACTGGATTGACCGCCGCTCGTCGTCGGTTTGATCCTCTATCGCATAGCCCGCCCCGGACGCGCTGAGGTCGGTGCTGATGGACGCCGGCGGAGACCATTGAAGCGAGTATTCTCTGGGGACCCCGGCCAAAGCGGCTTTCGCGTTCTGGAGACTTTCCCATATACTAGTGCGTTGCCGCTCCCAGTTGAGGAGTTGGCCACTGCCGAAAGCAACTTCCCAGGCTGACACCGCATTGTAGCAGCTGAAGACCCGCACATTGAGGTTGAATCCCACCATGAGGGAGACTCTGTGGGCGGGTTGGGGCTCGGCGTGCGTCGGGAAAATATACTCGTCGTCCACCTCTAATGGCAAGGGCGGATAGGGGTCTGTCGGCGTCTCCGGAGGTACATGAAAGGTGGTGTCGTTAGAGCCCATCTGTTGTATAGTTCGATAACCGACGAGTGTGGTGTAGAACAAGCGCCGTCCGAGCTCCTGCTCGATTAAGTCTAGATGCCCATCTCCTGGCCCACTGAATCGATCCTGCGATATGCGGGAGGAGGCGGATTCTGGACTGGTGGGATCCGCCGATGAAAGAGCGCTCCAGGGCCGGCAAAGGTCATAAACATGGAGTAACGTGAGACACTCCGCAAAATAGGTGCGACATCGTCTGATATTGTACATGTAACCGGAACAAAGCGCGAGGAAGTAGCTGATCGCGGCATCGTACACTGTCGCACCTCGATCGAGATAACCGATCCCCCGCGCCTGGACAGCAACATGGCAGCATCTCCTGACCAGAGCCATTGAATGCGGGAATTCCCTCCGTTGATCTTCGGATCGTAGGTGTAATCGAGGCCTTCGGGGAAAGGAGGTCACCAAAGCCCCAATCATGGAGGCTGTGAGCGCCAAGAAGGTGCGGTTGGTGACATCTTCGCGTTGTTCAAAGGCGGCTCGGAATGTGGGTTCGTGCGGCACGGGAATCAGCGGATGGATATACGTGAAGTAATCGTCAATTAATAACCGGATGATGGGTAGCGGGCATATGGATTCCAGCGACAAAGGAGCTGATGTGGACGCCTGGCCACTCCCGCTGGGACCGGGAGGGGCTGGAGTTGGGGACGTCTGGTCAGACGAAGTGGGAGAGCTGGGGGAGGCTCCTAGCTTCTGCTTTTTGATCGCTTCCGCATGGCGATTCGGAGGACCGCGCCGACGACTCGGTCTCTCGTAAGTACAGGGGATGTCGAGGCTTGCGCATGACCGACAGGGTGGACCACTCGTGTCACACTGGGGACAGGCAGTCAGTGGGAGACCGTGCAATGGAAAGAAGCACAGAAACTCACTTTCACCTTTCGAATACTACAGGCATCACAAGCCTTCCGTAGCCTGGTTCTTTGGTCCATGGGCAGAAGAGTGACGCGGTAGGAGTTTCCATGCTTTGGGAGGCATACGAGAGACTGAAGGCATCAATGGCACTAGTCCTTTGCACACTAGACGCTGGACATTCTCCGCAGGCGGTAGACTGCGGGATGTTTCGAGGGGCAGGCCGCAATACTAGTAATAATAATGCGGAGATGATCCGGGATGTAACGTTGGTCAGACTGAAAAGGTGCCCCAGACGGCACAACAGGACCCCCGATGATGGGCAGGAACGGCAATCCGGAAGTCAATGGCGGTTAGACGATCGTGGAAAGGTTGATGCGCGTCTCTCCTCTGCCGTTAATAAGCAAGATGCATATCTGGGGCCGGCTAGCCGTGTACGGAGTAAGTAGTCGCCCGAGCAGACGGCACAGGCCGAAAAGGATTCCGATCGCGGCGGTGTGGGGAACAGGAAGAAGAATAATAATAGTGCATCCAGCATAAGACAAGAAGAAGCCGTGCACGGAGTGGGAGAGAAGAGAGACTCGAGACGGGGAAGACATCCGCACGGAAAGTTGATGCGAGAGCGCCATGTCACGTGGACTGCGTCATCTTCAGGCCGGGGGGCCAATGAGCGGCGGCAATTCCGCCCTCGAATGGGGCCTAGTTTTAGTTTATGGAGTGAACCAGGGAACCTACATAGGGGTTAATATGGAGTCCCAGCCTGGATCATAAAGGAAGCGATTTTAGACCTTATTATCACTACGCTAGTCCATCCATCCATTCCAAGGGCCCAGTCCCCATAGCCCAATGGCCGGTCTCGCAACGACTCCAGCGCACAACAGTGCCACCCTCCAAATGCGCTAAGCTGCCAAAATATCAACCCTGAAGAGGGCGCGCCGGTGGAGTTCGGCCTTGGGAGCCCCTCTCGGTTTAGAGGAGAGGAATGAGAAAGGGACCTTCCGGAGTTATCATTATCCAGCCAGACTGGCCAGGTCCAAGACCGCACGAATCATGCAAGGGTATAAGTACGCGGCGACAGATAGCGGGAAAGTTCGAAGAAATATCAATCATATCACATTAAATGTTCGTCTCATCATTATCGTCGTGGAATTCACCAATTCGGTCTGTCGTGGATTCCACGAGGCCACGCTTGGTTTCAATATCCACCGCCCAAAGTGCGGAGCCCACGGCCGTCGACATGAGGAAGAACATGGACAAGGGTGGAATCAACTGCAAAAGGAGAGCCACCGTGCCAAATCTAGAGCGCAAATAGTTAGTCACCTAGTAGATCTCGGCATTAGAGTGCAACGTACGTAGTGTACTGCAGCTGTCGTCGGCGGATGCTTTGCTTCCGCTGCTGCTTGGATAGATCCAACAATTGGAAATACCGCCAGTGATGAAAGGGTCCCGCACGGTACCCCGTGAGCACAAGGAACATGGGTGTCCCGGCTACCGGGATGAAGTTTAGCGGGAGGAGCAGGATGAACTCCACAATCTGTCGAAAGGAAAACGGCGCATAGACCGCACTGTGGGTAGGCTTGCCCAGCCGTTTGACCACATCGTCACCCTGAGGATACAAAACCCGCGAGGTCGTGACGAGTTCACCATGACCCTCGTTCACGAGGACCGCATCGAAGATATCGACCAGCGTCTCATCGACAAAGAATGCCTCGAATAGCGCAGCCACAATGGCGGCGCCCTCTCCCAGGACCAGAAAGGCGCCATTGACCCACGCGCCGGCGCCTTGGAAGATGGCGAGAAACGCGACCTGCGGGAGATATGCGAACAGAAAGAGGATGACGTAGATGAAGGCCGAAAGGAGGACAATGGGGATGAGACGGGTCTTGAATAAAGGCCAGAGAAAGCGATGCGACGCAAAGTAGTATATACCCTGTCAGAAAATAGGTCAGTGGAAATGAAGGACGCAAGGTGGTGAACAGTGATGAACAGGCAGCAAGGATCGGACGGACCTTGAACGGATACAACCACGCAGCTTTGCTGGAATCCCACACCCTGGGCATCACGATCGATAGACTATGTAGTTGTGAACGCAGCAGCCCCAGAAAAGTGGTGAGAATAGAGGAAGAGGGGGTTGTATTCAAGGGATGAGACCCTACTGCAGGTAGTTGGTGAAGAGGCAAGCGGAACAACTGTTGGAGTACAAAGAAGTCATAGTTAGTAAGGAGGTACTGCCAGACTAAGCCCCATCGGGACCTTAAGGACCTTATCGATAAGCGGGCGGTCAGAGACCCCATATAAATCCGAGTTTTCTTCCCTTCCCTTTTCTCTCTTTTTCTTCTTCTTCACCTTACTGATCACACCTTCTTATTCACTCTGGATTCCAACTACCCCATGGATATCTGGAGGGGAAATAGAAGGTCAGAATAGCGCCTGCTGACTTACCCCAAATTCTTCTTCCTCTGGCGTGGAGCGTTTGGAAATATTTACAGCGGTACATTTCACTTTCTCAACCGACATGATGTTTACCTGTAGGCGTCGGGTTGTACGAGGAAGGTCGTACCAATGAGATAGGGATATAATTCCGTACTATGTCGCTGCATTCTGTTGGAAATGATTATTGTTGATCACATCGACAACCTGTTCCAGTTGGTGCACGATGGCGGTTGGGTGCAGACTCGGCATCGCTTGATCCTTCCATCCTTTCTGGGCCCGATCTACCCAGATCGCCCTCAAGCCCACGTTCCGTGCCCCAATCACGTCGAATGGGTTCCCGCTCACCAGCCAGATGTCGTTGAATTCGGCCGGGACCTTTCGGACTCGTTGGGCCAAGTATTCGTAGACCTCGCGTGCCGGTTTGTACTTCCGGATGTCGTCTACGCTGACGACATCCTTGAAGACCGACCGGTGACGGTTGAGGACACTCGAGCGAGCCAGCGATTCGCTCAGCATGTCGGCCGTTCCGTTGGAAAAGATGACTGGTTTCACGTAAGGCATTTGGGCGATCCGCTCCAGTGTCGGCCCCACGTCGTGGAACGTCGCTATGCTGTTATAGGCGATAAGCAACTGGTTGATGTCGTCTGTGTCGAGCTGCGAGTCCAGTTCGCGGAGCGCATGCACCAGCGCATTCTTCGTTACATCCTGGAAGGATGAGTAGCAACCTAGATACGTATTAGTCGAATGAGTGTGGGCGATGGGGAAATTGACGGACCCATGGTGGTCAGTCTCCATGAGTACTCAAGCTGGTAACGTCGCCATAGCTCCGCAACTTGTCGGGATCGTTTCTCGTCAAAGTATTCCTCCACTTCTTTGCAGATGGAGTCGGTCGAGAGAAGCGTGCCGTAAATATCAAAGGCGAGTACTATTTGCTTAGTTGTCATTGTTTCCTGGTTCATTGGTGTCAGGTGAAGGGGAGGTGATGGTGAAGTCCCGCAACCTCGGGAAATATACATAGATGTACGCGGGGGATGCGGAGTATCTGGGCATTTTTCAACCCACATACTGATAGAATTCCGGTCCTCTTATTTAAGTTCTTCTTACTCTCGGATGATGTAACTCTCCTCGCATTCTAGATGTGTATGAACAGCATGTACATTATTCTTGACGGATATCAGTCAAGGTCACTCATACAAACGAATATATGACGGCATAATGGTGGGCGCTGAACGAATCCCGCAGGTTGTAGTTCTACTTCGAATGGTCTCCACTAAACCCGCTGCAGTAATTCCGCAGATACGATGGGATCAACTGAACAGTGACTCTAGGACATTAACATCACACAACATGGCTTCCGACACCACCGACGCCAACTACCAAGTCTTTCGAGAGTGCCTATCCAGCGCGATTGTCGAGAAATCCAACCCCCACCGCCCGAGCAAGACGCCCAGACGACGAGGGCCAAAATCGCGGCGCAACACCAAGACCACCGACTCTCCGCAACAGGAAGACACAACGCCAGAGTCCTCTCTTCCATCTACAGTTAATCCAGAAGAAATTGCCGACTTTATTGACGTGCGTAATGCGATCGCCTCCCTCCCACATATTCAACACTCTCCATGCCTTGTCATTCCCCTCCCCGCACACCACTAGAGATACCTACAACAACACAGCTAACAGCTCCCTATCGGACGCAAACCAGTTCCTCGCATCCGAAATCTTCACCTCCCTCCCCACCGACCTCCAGACCCTCTCCTACGCCGCGCTCCAACACACCCCCTCCCTCGAGGACCGCTACGCAACGCCCCTCCCGCGCACCACCCTCGACGCGCTGACCACCACCCTCCCGGTCTCCGTCCCCGAATCGCTCACCGTCTACGGCCTCATCCCGGACGCCGCCGACACCCCGGACTTTCTCAATCGCGTGGTGGGCGAGTACGTCGCGGGGACGACGCGCCCGCCACCGGTGTGGGCGACGACGCGCACCGACGCCTGCGAGATCTGCGAGCGCGACTGGATCCCGCTGTCGTATCACCATCTCATCCCGCGCGGCGTGCACGCCAAGGTGCGCAAGAAGGGCTGGCATGATGAGTGGATGCTGAATAGTGTTGCGTGGCTGTGTCGTGCGTGCCATAGTTTTGTGCATCGCATGGCGACTAATGAGGAGTTGGCGCGCGAGTGGTATACCGTTGATCGGATTCTGGAGCGGCAGGATGTGCAGGAATGGGCGAAGTGGGTTGGGAGGGTGAGGTGGAAGGCGAAATAGACGCTTATTGATTAAATGTTTTGTTTTCAGCGATGTGTGTTTCATACAAGTAGTCTATAGACGCGACGTCGTATATTGTACATGAAATAGATCTATGGGTTGCGTGCATCCGCAACTACCAGCGCTTTTGTCCACATCTGCACGAGGTATCCATAATCGTACATCACCCAAAATTCCAGCGAGATAGTAAGATAATACAGTGACCAAGGTTACAAGAATGAAAAAGGACAAATCACAGGTATCGTTTCTCGTGGATCTCCTCGTAGCACTGGATATGGTCTCCAACAGCAAAGTCGGTCCAGTTCTCAAAGGCGATACCACACTCGGTGTCTTTGCGCATTTCGGTCACGTCCTTCTTGACGTTTTTGAGGGAAGACATCGAACCTGTTAAAGCTAATTAGCCGTCGTCCTATAAAGGGAAAGATATGTGCTCACCGTCGAAGATGGTCTCCTGTCCTCTCAGCACCCGAACCTTCTTAGTCCGGTTGATTACCCCGTTGCGAACCCTACATCCAGCGATCGCAGTCTTCTCTCTTCCCTTGAGTGTGATTTCGAAAATCTGGCCAATCTCCGCCTCTCCAGTGACGCGTTGGGAGACCAGGGGAGCGAGGTGCTCACTCAAGGTTGCCTTGACATCGTCAATGAGTTTGTAGATAATGTTGTGGTCCATAATCTTGACCCCGCGGTTTTCAGCCATGCGGTGCATTGCCGGATCAATCGGCATGTTGAAGGAGATGATGTGACCGTTGGCTGTGGCAGCGTGCTCAATGTCGAATTCGCCAACCGGCCCGACACCAGACCGGAGGACATTCGCAAAGACCTCGTTGTTACCGATTGCGGTGACAGAATTCAATACAGCCTCCGCAGACCCGCCAACGTCGGCTTTGATGATAAAGTGGATCGGTTTGGGACCCGATGTCTCCTGTGCAGCATCGGCAGTCTGACCGTCCTCGGAGTCGTCTTCCTGTCGACGCTTCTCAAGCACCTCACGTCGAGCTTCATTAATAGCGGCCGTATCTTGGCCTAGTTTCTGAGTCTCGGATTTCTCCAGTCGATATTCCACGACCTCCTTCGCCTGCTGCTCATCAACAGCCTGTAGGATCTCCGAACCAGCAGAGGGTTGTTCCCTCCAACCGTCAATCTCGACGGGCATGCCCGGCGTAGCCTCGTCAACAGCAACGCCAGCTTCGTTCCGGAGCGTGCGGATCCGGGCCCATGTAGTGCCTGCCACGACGATATCACCTGGCCGCAGGGTACCTCGTCGAACGAGGGCAGTTGCCACACGGCCATAGCTCTTGGTTGTGCCCTCAATCACCCAGCCCTCAGCGCTCCCACCGGTGTCTGCACGGTGATCGAGGATCTCCGACAGAGTGACGATTGCTTCCTCAAGTTCCAACATGCCCTGTCCAGTCTTTCCACTGACTCCGATCGCTTGTACATCACCTCCATAGTCCTCAACATGCACACCGTGGACAGAAAGGTCCTGCTTGACCTTTTCGGGGTTGACATTCTCCTTGTCAATTTTGCTAATGGCGACAATGATGGGGACGTTGGCTCCGGTGGCATGCTTGATAGCTTCTATCGTCTGAGGCTTGACACTGTCGTCTGCCGCCACCACAAGGACCACAATGTCCGTGACATCAGCACCACGACGGCGCATTTCCAGGAAAGCCGAGTGCCCTGGAGTATCCAAGAAAGTGATTGTTTTGCCCGAGGGCATTGCGACGGAGAAAGCACCAATATGCTGCGTGATACCTCCATGCTCTCCTGCGGCAACCGACGACTTCCGCAACCAATCCAGAATCGTCGTCTTGCCATGATCAACGTGTCCCATGATAGTCACCACAGGGGGTCGAGGGGGGAAGATGGACTTGTCCTCGGGCTCAGGGGCCGATTTCAGGTCGTCCGCACCCGTTTCAAAGATGGGCTCGAAGTTGAACTCTGTCGCGACTAGCCCCGCGGTCTCGGCGTCGAGAATATGGTTGTATGTGACATCTTCGAATCCCATCTCCTCCATACGTTGGACGAATTGCGCAGGGCGCACTCCAATCACGTCGGCAAGATTGCTAACACTGATGAACTCTGGCAGGTACAGTGGGATCGGGGCTGAGTCCACTTCGACCTCTTTTCGTCGTGATTTCTCTTTCTTCTGCCGTTTCCGCTCCTCTCGGCGACGCCGACGCTCCTCCGCCTCTTCATCTTCCTCCTCTTCTTCATTCCGTTTGCGGTTCTCTCGACGCTTTGACAGCTTTTTTTGCTGTGCGCTCTCTTCGGAAAACTTCATTGCGTCGAGTGAAGACGAATCCCAGGTCCATGGGTCTGCGGTCTCTTCGGTCTGCTTAGCTTTGGATTTGGGGTGTTGGTGTAGACGACGGCGCTTTTCTGCTTCTCGTGCCGCCTCCTCAGCCTCGACCCGTTCGGCCTCAGCCTCGACATCATAGACAATGCGGGGCCCGGCATACTGTCCTTTGCTCGCCATATGTTGGCGGAGAGCATTGTCCCTCCGACTCAGCCCCCGGGACTCCACGGACTCATCCTGCAACTCAGAAAGCATCGTTTTGCCCAGTTTCCTGATTTTGATGGTTTCCTCCGCATGTTGAGGGCTGTGGTGTCGACTTTCATGCTTCTTGTGTGACCGTCTCGGGGGCGGCGGCGGCGAGTTCAGATCCGGTCGAACCGCTCTGCAGCACGGACAAATCTTATGCTTGCCGAAACAATGGTACTGACAATCCGGGCATATCCAGTCCCTGTTGCGAAGATGTGTCGGCACCTTGTTGGTATTCAACTCGAACTTCTTATCCGGCTGAAGCGATTGGCTTTCCTTGTCGCGCAACGGATGGGCGGATGGTAGATGACGTTTCTGCTGTGGACGCGAGGGTGCATTTTGCCCACGCGAATCGGATTTCGACGTGGGTTTGGAGCCGTCGCTAGTTTTCTTCGCTACTAAGGCATCCCGCAGCGCCTGTTCCGCAGGACTCAACGCTGCGGGTTTTTGCGCGAGCTTGCTGCCCCAGCGAGCGCCGAATTTGGGCTTAGGCGAGTTCGAGTCGGCCTCATTGTTCGAGATAGTTGGGTCCGGCGACGTCTCGGGGGAGTTGAAGGTCACGAGTGACGTACGGAAGCTCCGCCGTGTTGTTAGTACGGGAGAGAAAACTGGTCGGGGTCTGGCAGCATATTCGACCCCATGACGCCGGGAGAGCTATGAGCAGTCGAGTGTTAGAGGTGAATTGGAAGGAGCGAGAAAATAAAACACTTACCTCCAGGATTGCCCGCCGGTGCATAATGGAGCAAGACGACTGGGGATGGAAGTGGTCGAGAATCTCTGGCGCAGCGCAGTGTTTCCCTAAGGAAAACTTTCGCGGCCTCAGGCACCGCCGGAGAGAGTTTCCCGCCGACTCACGTGCCCTCGGCCTCTCCGGCGAATCGGAGGCGCGCATCGCCTCTTGCGTGCTTCCGATAAGCCTCCGCCGTCTCTCTTTTCCTCCTTTCCTCTCCTCCATCTTATATTTCCCGATTCCTCTGCGTTGAAGGGGCTTGTTCCTGATCTACTTGTCAATTGCTTCCGTCCATTCCCCCCGTCATCGCACATCATGGAGTCGGAGGCTTTTGAAGACATGCAGAAGGGTGGTGGAGCCCTGCGTACCATCAAGGATTTGACCGCGGGCGCGGCCGGTGGTATCGCACAGGTGCTTTTGGGTGAGTGATAAGCATAAGACTGGATTGGAGAACCATGATGAAGCGTCTCGGTCTAGACAGCTGCTGACAGTCTCATAGGACAGCCTTTCGGTATGTAAAGTAATCATATAAAGTAAACCTTGCCTGACGACAGGCAGATATTGTCAAGGTGCGGCTGCAAACTACCACGCAGTACTCGAGCGCCCTCGACTGTGCCAAGCAGATCTTCAAGAACGAAGGCCCTCTTGCCTTCTATAAGGGAACATTGACCCCGTTGATCGGAATCGGTGCCTGCGTAAGTCAATACTTCGCAGTGTGAGGGCCATCCGCGCTAATTCCATACAGGTCAGTGTGCAATTCGGTGCCTTCCACGAGGCCCGGAGACGCCTTGAGGAGCTGAACAAGAAGAAATATGCCGATGGCAGCCTCTCTTATGGCCAGTACTACATGGCCGGGAGTTTTGCGGGTCTCACCAACTCCTTCCTCTCGGGTCCTATTGAGCACGTTCGTATCCGGCTGCAAACGCAGCCCCACGGCGCGAACCGCCTCTACAGTGGCCCTATCGACTGCATCCGCAAACTCTCCGCCCACGAAGGCGTGCTGAAGGGACTCTACCGCGGCCAGAATGTCACCTACTTCCGTGAGGCCCAGGCCTACGGTATGTGGTTCTTGACGTTCGAGTACCTGATGAACCAGGATGCCAAGCGCAACAACATCAAGCGCGAGGATATCTCCAGCGTGAAGGTCGCCACATACGGTGGTCTGGCGGGTGAGGCCCTCTGGCTGAGCAGCTACCCCTTCGACGTGGTCAAGAGTAAGATGCAGTGTGACGGCTTCGGCGCCCAGCAGCAGTTCAAGAGCATGACCGACTGCTTCAAGAAGACCTACGCCGCTGAGGGGCTGGGTGGCTTCTGGAAGGGTCTGGGTCCTACTCTTCTGCGTGCTATGCCTGTGTCGGCTGGAACCTTCGTTGTGTATGTGTCCATGTCTTGGCTGATACATTCTGAACTATGGCTGACCTTTCTAGCGTTGAACTTACCATGAAGGCCTTGGGTTAAGCATCCTCGGAGCAGTTTTGGGTTGGTTTCCTTTGGTTTATAGTTTGATATCCATCTCGTTCGTATTCAACAAGGATGAGGGAAAAGTTCTAGACGGCTTGATCGGTTCAACTTTGCGCATCTTAGAATATGTATCTTCCATTGGCATGAGTGATTATGAACTGGCTTAATGCCATATGATATGATATTTTCAGACACCAGTTTTTCAAAGTACAGAGCATCCTGCGGATATACTCAAACGGCCAGCGAATAATCCCCAAAGAAATCCTGCCACGCAGTGGGAAAATAAAACAAATTGAGCCCCGGAAAATCCCACTCGGTGACAAACTGCTCTGGCACAAACGACTGCAGATCCGCCTGCGCATCAAACAGCTCCCAGAACGGGCCAGAGACTTGGTCCTCCGCCCCGATCTCATTCTCCTGCAGGATCCGTCCGTACTTCTCTATGCTCAGCCTGAGGATGTGCAGGTAGACGTTCCCGTTGCCGGTGGTGTCGCTGTTCGAGCCGCTTTTGGTCAGCTCGTCCAGCAAGCGCGTCCCATGCTCGAGCAGTTCCTGGTGTTCTTCCCGTTGCTCCGGCATCAGCCGCGAGAGCTTGAGAAGGAGCAGGAAGCAAAAGGCGCATTTGGCCCACACGAAATCCATGGCGTACTTGAGCTTGGCGAGGTAGAAGTCTGGCTCGACGCTGATGAGCCGCAGGTGTTGGCGGGCGCTTGCTTTGGCCATGATCAGGATGTTTCGCTCGACTGCGGACATGGCGCTGTTTGTGTTTGACTGGGTTAGCGAGGCTCGCCTGAAAGAAAGTGTATGTGCTCACGCTATGTTCTCGACCCCCATGGATCGCAGCGCTTTGCAGTAGAGCATCATCTCTGACCAGCATTTCTGTACTCGCAATGCGGCGAGCAACGACGGGCGTTCTTCTTCTGCATTGGCGGAGTTCTCTGCACCATCGTCAGGAACACGTTCCTCCAACAAGTATGTTTGCATACCGATTATGCGAAGCCAGTCACTATAGATGTCATCAGTTCGCATGTTAAGAGAAGCAGCTCTGGTGACTTACTCAAACCACAGGTCAAGATCTACCTTCGCTTCGTGCACGAAGTCAGCTATATCGGGCCGGTTGAGGGTGTCTCTTGCCCCGAGGGTCTCATTGATATTGACTGTATCGTCAGATTTTGATCATGGACGTTGCAAGGGTCAACCTCCCACCTCTAATGACGTTCAACTGTCGCATTGTCAGTCACTCTCCGAGCTAGAAGTCAGGAGTAAACGCACCTCAACCTGCGAAAAAAGCCGCAAATCCAACACCGTCGACGAGGGATGATGAAGCAACAGTCGACACCGACGTGCATTCCCAGTCATCCGAATTCCGGGCGGCTTTCCTCCATCCACACGGAAACTAGCGCATCGTCAGCTTCCATACAGATCATGTTTTTGAGTTTGGCGGTAGTACATATGCTCCAACACCAACAAGCCAAACCATACTCTCGACTTTCTCATCAGCATGTTCTCCTCCTCCCTGGAGTTAGCCATATCTGACGACCCTTCTATGTTTTTCATAGTCAGTCGCTGTGTAAGCTCTTCGAACGCCTCGTCCAGACCCAGGTCGAGAGCCATGCGGGTGGCAAAGGAAAGGAGCAGTGAACGTTCGGCCGAATAGCACGCGATGACAAGGAGGGCTTGTACGGATTCCAAGCAGTTTAGTCTTTCGTTTTGGATAACGACGTTGATCCACTTTTTCAGCTCGGAGTGTAATATGTCTGCCTTTTGGGGCTCTGCAGGTGGTTAGTATGAAGATTCTGGAACCCATTCAAGGGCGGATATCGTACTGGTTTCTATTCGAGACCCGATTGTGCATATGGCGTTCAGTAATATGCTGCTGCGAGCACGCACAGATGCAAATGTGTCGTTTTCTGGGTCAAATATGGGAATGTACCTATCCTAAGTATTGTCAGACCGCGTCGGTACTACGAAGTAGGTGGCACTCACACAGCCTTGAAAGAAGCTTCATGCAATTAGCTATATTCCAGCCGACTGATTTGTGTATGGACGTACGTTTGAAAACAGGACACGGCATATTCCACCGTTATCATGCCTTTACTAATGAAATCCGCTATAGGGTCGCATCGGACCTCGAAACCAGATCGCTTTCGCTTCGCGGGACGAGCATATTCGTTTTCCGGTGGAATGCTTTGGAGCAGTACATCCCTCTGAGGACCTGTCATGTCAACCGAGGTTGAATCAAGATACGCAGGCATGTCCCCAGGGGCACCAGATAACATCTGTGCAGGTGACGGCACGGGGCAAGGCTGCTGCGCAGGAAGGGGATCTGGAGGTGATGCCACGCCCCCCGCCAGAGGTACCACGCTCGTCTGCGAATGGAGACGAAGAAGGCTGTGCATGTCATCCAACTGCTCACGAAGGCGTCGGACTTCGGATTCGACGTTTTCAATTCGTCTGTGTTGACCGTCAGACACGGTACAAGTATACAGTGCGAGAGCGAAAACGTACTCCGTAGTTGGATCTTTTGGCATTTCGAAGAACACACATCTCTTCTTTAGCTTTTCGCACCTAATGGACTGTTAGTGTGAGTTGTGTCTATCGGATGGAAGGGAGCGGACCTTGTGCAGGGTCTTCTGCCATCGCATTTCACCTGGCGTCCGACAGTGAGTATATTATGATGTCTGTGCGCGGTTGACTAGTACCTTTGACTGTCGACATGAGCTGCAAGCTTTCTGTCATTGCCATTAGAGATTAGTACCTATCGGTGCAACTCTGGGTGGTACAGTGGCCACACACCGGAATCCGCTTTCTCCAGGGTGGCGCGGCCACGACACATGAATCATCTGATTCCATTGCTGCGGCAATCAGAGACGCCAGGATAACGCGTCAGGAGTAACGGGGCGTTAGTGAAGATAGTCGACTAGGTAACCTGGACTTAGTGAGTTGAGGAGAAAAATATGGGGATCTGCGGGGGTTGTCGGAGTATCGCCGATCCGGGGAATTAGAGTAGACAGTTTCTATCTCTCATGCTACTCAACATTTTTAAAACATTTTCAACATTCTCTCTGGATTGTATGGTGTCAATTAAGAAATAGCAAACGATCTCGATTCATGCATACTGTGCCTTCTTAAGAACTTCACAGGACGTCACAAACCCCCAGCAATTCATGCAGTTATACTCCCAGGCTTCGCTGGCTGCAGCCGGTGAGCACGTAGCTACTCCATCTCGCAGAAGAATACAGTCATACCCTTTGCTGAACGCATCCATTAGAGTGCCCCCGACACATTGATCAGTATTAACTCCAGCGAAGAGAAGAGTGGTGATGCCCTCCCGTTTCAACAACTCCTCCAACTCAGTGCTAGCCCCCCAAAGCCCCGACATGCGGTTCTTGTAGACGATGGCATCCGGTTTCGGGGGTGTCCGCGACGAGGACCCAGACGCAGCAGCGGCAATCGCAAGACTGTGGCTGTATTCCTTCTCGAGTGGCGGGTACAGGGCGGCATTCCATGTATCGCGCATCAACACCCGGCCTCCCTCTACCACCTCGCTGTTGCCAATATTAAGGGCACCGAGATCTGCCCCGAGGCCTCTATACAGAGACGGGTTCTTCTCCCGGGCCATGCTCGCTGGCGCAGAGACAATTTTTGCCTCGTCCGGGATATGAACCGCACGGTAGACCCCGAACGTGCGCATAAGGCCTGGCGGCATGCAGGCGAGATCCTCCTCGGTTAGTCCCCAGTTGAGCCAGACCACGCGAATCTGGTGTTGGCGAGCAGCGGGAATTCCCGTGTCGACGAGCACTTGGGCGGCTTTTTCGCCGGCAGTGGGCTTGCTCTCGGCCTGCGGGCGGCGTAGCGCCGGACAGAGGAAGAAGTTTTGCATGTCGATGATGACGAGGGCTGTTGTCTCTGGGTTCAATCTGACGGGGTTTGTTGTTGTTTGGAGGGTTAGGAGGGGAGTGTCTTCTGATACGCCCCGCGAGAGATCAATCTGTCCTGTATCTGGAGTATAGGTCCAGAAGTTGTCTTTGGCGTTGCCGACTCTCTGCGTGGGGGACATATTCGATTGACAGCGGATTTGGTAGAGGGTATGAGTATGTTGTGAAGGAGAAGACGGTATATTTGGTCGGCGAGGAAGGCATCTCTTATCTAGTGTCCAGACCTCGGATCTCTAGTAGATAGATACGGTGCGGGGATGTGTGCTAGCTTGGTACTTCACGATGATGAACAATAGGAAAGAAAAAGATAATGCGATACTACAACCGGTAACTAGAACCATCCCAAACTTCAAACTAATATACATAGACAAAATCCTCGTTCTGCCAGTCCGTCATGTCCCTGAATGCGTTGTCATCGGCCAGCTGTTGCTGAGAATTCTCCTCCTTGTCGGCCTGAATCGCACCGACTGCATACATAGAGTGGTCTACAACCTTTGCGCTCTTACCCATTGAGACGCGGGTTTTTTCGTGCTTCTTGTTCAGCAGGGTGAGATATGCGATGTTAAGGCTGGGAAAATTAGCACCAGGTTATGAGCAAAGGAGAGGAACTTACCCGCAGAGAACGACAAGAACACAGAACAATGCGAGGCTGGTCTTGTTAGTATCATGAATGAAGGATCCCGAATGGTTCTTACTTCGATAGCAAGCCACGTCTGTATAACGGGGCTTCCTCGGTGGTGTATAGGTTTGGGCCAACGACCTGTGTCCATGAGCAGTGCACACCCAGGTATTGAATGGAGAACATACGTTGCCGGCACATTGTCCGATCAGCAAAATGCCGTTTGTCACTTTCTTCTTGGTTTCACCAGCCGTGTTGGCTGCCGACCAGGAGTAGATCAACGGGGCTAGCATCCGCCGTCAGTCAAGGCTGCCACCATGTTGCGAAGCTAAGAGGATACTCACTGATACCGGGGTAAACAGAGATCTACTTTCATTAGCACAGTTCTTCTGTCTGCGACGCCCAACTTACAATATAATACCCGGCAAGCAATGCCCCCTTATGCGCGCCGTCGTGCGGAATCTGGAGCAGCATTACACACCCGGCAATGGCGGGAAGACACAGCAGGGCGATGACCGGCCCCTTCATCTTGATGTACGTCGCAAACCACGCGCCTCCCATTGTGGCGACGAGCTGAACCGCACCAAAGGGGATGTTGAAGAGGATAGTCTTGAACTGGTCGAAGCCGAAGGATTTAACAATCAACGGGCCGAACGTCGTGATGCCACCGCTGGGAATACTGCGGTTGTCAGTTTAGTCGTGGCGAGAGGACTTTGGAGACATACGAGATGGAAAACATCAAGGCAAACCAAAAGAATGACTTGATGTCTAGAAAGGCTTCTTTGACATGCTCCCATTTCCATTCATTTGTTTCCATACCCTGCTGATTCATGCGAAGTCTAGACCGAGTGAGCTTTTGCCTTAGGAGGAGTGTGTGGTGCTGTTACCGCTCGATCGCAAGGAGCTTGTCTTCCTCTTCCAGGAACTTGGCTCTGGATGGCGAGTCTGGCATGAAGGCCCTTCAGGTGGTTAGCTGCAAAAAGTGCCCAGTGATGGGGGTTTACTCACAGAACGACAAAGGAGAAGACGACTGTGATCAAGCCGAAGAATATAAAGATGATCTGGTGATCCGATCAGAGCTGCTGCTTGAAGCGGGAAATGATCCTTACCTGATATGGTGCAAATACTGACGACTGGATATGAGCAAGACCCCAGGTGATAAGACTTCCAACCTGAAGGCCATGCTGTGAGCATACTACTCGCAATGAAGGAGAAGATAACGTACCATGTTGACAACACCATTCATCGCGTACCATGAACCAAGACGCACTGGTTGTTCGTACCGACGGTACCACATCTGCGTGGTCGCAATGAAAGCAGGTGCTTTATAGATCAGAAACATAACCACCGTCAAAGACATTCTGGCGAGACTTACGGATTCCAGCCTCAAAAAGTCCAAGGAAAAGTCGACAGACAAGCAGTTTGGCAAAGGTGTTTGCCGGTGTCATACAAGTCAACGCCACGCCCCATAAGAACGTCGTGCATGCCAGAAACTTCCCCAGAGGGACTTTCACCAGGATGTATGCCACTAACGGCTGGACCACGAGCTGTGCAAGGTAGATCACTGAGCCCAGCCAGGAGTACTCCTGCCCCTTGAGGCCGACGTCCTCGATAATCCCAAACACCGACGCGTAAGAAAGCGTCGACTTGTCAACCTGTTGGAGGAAGTAGATTGCCAGGAGAATGGGCAGTAATCTGAGATCGATCTTTCGGAGGACTTGAGCGTTGTTCTCGGGTGTGAGCATGGGAGACCCTCCGGCCACCTCTATGAGGTCCAGGGCCTTGTCATGCTTATGGTCGTCTGTATGAGTTGGATTCTCACGACGTGAGTCTCCAATGTTTTCGATCCTCTCATCCTCCAGCCCCTTACCATGGGAGGGGTGTTGTTGCTGCGACATTTTGCGGGGGCAAGGACTGATCAGTAGTAATTTGATGCTAGAGACGACACAGTGAAAGAGTCATATATCTAGCAAAGAGGACAGGGGAAATGGACAGATCACGACGAGGTCGTGGATATATCTTTCCCCACAATCACTGGCATGCCATTCAACGTGGAGAACCCCATGGGGAAGAGAAACTGCCGACTACGGATGAAACGACGAAAGTCCGACGCCCACGCCAGGATACGGGGATGGCATGGCTGGAGTCGCTCACGGTCCGCGTCGTACAGTCGCACAGAAGAGGCATAGACCACGACTCCCTCGGCGAACATCCGACGCTGCTTGTCCAATGAACCGCCCAACGTGGAGAAAAAGCATGCGGAGGTGGGGCAACCTTAACGTTAGTTGGCTTTGGCTTTCGGCGTTCGGCCGTCAACCCCGACAACCTCCTGAAGCATCTAGATCTGGGGATACTGTCATGTCGGAGATCAGCCCCGAAGACCGATCTCTCCCCCTCGTACTTACGACAATGAGGGGATGTGACCCCACAGCTTGGAGGGGGATGGATTGAGCGATAATGATTGAAATATAGCTTCAATTCTTGTCCATGTCCGTAGGTGACTGTTGAATCCATTGTCGTTACTCGCTTGCAACCATGCCGCAGAAAGAATATTGTCCCAAAGGATATCAAGAAGCTGCTGCTGCTGCGTCTCAAGCTGCGGTGAATCTGCGCTCAAGCGGTGCCAGCAAACAGCACTTTGATTTTTCTTTAGAGGCCATCCGTGAGAACCTCTTCCGCGTCACATTCACCTCGCAAGACCATCCTCTCCCTCCGTATCCAAGCGTGACGAAACCAGAGACAAATCTCGACAATGTTCATGTATCCACAACCTCCGGCGCCGCGCAGAAGACGATCGAAGTCGGCGGGGTTACGGCGTCGGTAGAGTGGGCGCATACCCCGGTAGTTTCACTGTCATGGACAGGCGAAGACAAGCCCCTGCACCGCGACCTGCCACTGCGCTCTTACGTCGCGGATGCAGACGGCATCGCATACTACAGCGAGCACGACCGCAATGCGCTCCACGTCGGACTGGGAGAGAAAAGAGCACCAATGGACCTGAGCGGCCGCCATTTCCAACTCTCCGCGACAGATAGCTTCGGATACGATGTGTACAACACCGATCCGCTATACAAGCATATTCCGCTGTTGATCAAGGCCACCCCCAAGGGCTGTGTTGCGATCTTTTCCACGACCCATGGCCGGGGATCCTGGTCGGTTGGGTCCGAGGTGGACGGGCTTTGGGGTCACTTCAAGGTGTACCGGCAGGACTACGGCGGTCTTGAGCAGTACATGATCGTCGGGAAGACGCTTCGCGATGTTGTGCGGTCGTACGCTGAGCTCGTGGGCTTCCCGCTCCTCGTGCCCCGCTGGGCCTATGGGTACATCTCTGGCGGATACAAGTACACGATGCTGGACGAGCCGCCGGCCCACCAGGCGCTCATGGAGTTTGCGGACAAGCTGAAGGAGCACGGTATCCCCTGCTCCGCCCATCAAATGAGCTCGGGATACTCGATTGCAGAGACGGAGCCCAAGGTCCGCAACGTCTTCACCTGGAACAAATACCGGTTCCCCAACCCGGAAGAATGGACTGCCAAGTATCATGCCCGCGGCATCCGTCTTCTGTCGAACATCAAGCCGTTCCTTCTCGCGTCGCATCCGGACTTCCAGAAGCTCGTCGACGGCAACGGGTTCTTCAAGGATCCCGCGTCCAACGAACCGGGCTACATGCGGCTGTGGAGCGCTGGAGGGGCCACTGGAGGCGATGGATGCCACATCGACTTCACCTCGGCGTATGCCTTCAAGTGGTGGTACGACGGCGTGCAGAGCCTGAAGCGCGCCGGGATCGACGCCATGTGGAACGACAACAACGAGTACACGCTTCCCAACGACGACTGGCAGCTGGCCCTCGATGAGCCGACTGTTTCGGAGGCCGTGAAGAGACAGAGTAAAGACAAGTCCGTTGGGCTGTGGGGCCGTGCGATGCACACAGAGCTCATGGGCAAGTCTTCTCACGATGCACTTCGCGATATGGAACCCAAGAACAGACCCTTTGTCCTGACTCGCAGTGCCACCGCTGGCACAATGCGGTATGCGGCTAGCACTTGGAGCGGTGACAATGTTACCAGCTGGGAGAGTATGAAGGGCGCGAATGCGCTGTCTCTCAACTCGGGCATGTCCCTGATGCAGGTGAGATTTTTCTCCCCAGGAGTCTAATATTTGCTGACCATCGTCTTGATAGTGTGAGGGCCATGACATTGGCGGATTCGAAGGTAAGACTCTACCCGCAAAGTGGACTGTCCCTTAGAAGGTAAACACTAACCTCCCATCAGGTCCTCAGCCATCTCCCGAGCTCCTCCTCCGCTGGGTGCAGCTGGGGATCCACTCGCCCCGATTCGCGATCAACTGCTTTAAGACCTCGCCCGGAAACAGCTCCGTCGGCGAGGTCATCGAGCCATGGATGTACCCGGAAATCACCCCACTGATCCGGGACACCATCAAGCGCCGATACGAGATCCTCCCATACATCTACTCTCTCGGCCTGGAGAGCCACCGGTCCGCGTCTCCTCCGCAGCGCTGGGTCGGCTGGGGATACGAATCCGACCCGGAGGTCTGGACGCCGGTGCTGAAGTCCGGCGACGAACAGTACTGGTTCGGCGACACCATTCTTGTCGGCGGCGTGTACCAACCCGGCGTCAGCGTGGGCAAGATGTACCTGCCGCGCAAGTCGAACGACACGTTCGACTACGGCTATGTGAACATGAACGCGCCGTACACGTACTATGCGTCCGGGCAGTGGGTGGAAGTGCCCTCCGAATGGAAGAAGAGCATTCCCCTGATGGCGCGGGTCGGCGGCGCGATCCCCGTGGGCAAATCCGTTCAGACGCGGGTCCCTGGCGATGACACTGCCGCGTCTGTGGCCGTGGAGGAGGTTGACGACTACAGAGGAGTCGAGATCTTCCCTCCCCGCGGCAGCTCCCATGACAATGTGTTCTCGACGACGTGGTTCGAGGACGACGGCATCTCGGTCAACTCGAGCGTTTCGCAGTATACCATCACGTACCGTTCGACAGAGGACAGGGTAATTGTTGGCTTCGCCCGCGATGAACACAGTGGGTTCGTTCCCGCCTGGAAGGACTTGGATATCATCCTTCACAACAACGATGAGAGACGGGTTGTCTCGGACGTTGGAAAGACCGTCGAGTATAAGGGAAGAGACAGCCGTGGCCGTGAGGTGTATATTTTGAAGTGCTAGATGGAATTGGTCATTATAGTGGAAGGATGGTAGGAGTTTATAGAAGATGCATCGATAGACAATCTTTCACCATTTCCATTCTTGTGTTGTCTTGCCTGTCGTGGGTGAAAAGGATATCGAGACACAATCATGCCAATCAATATCAGTCAATGTTGCCCCGAAACTACATGGTGTACAAGTGATTGTGGGAAATAATCCAATTCTAATCATGCTCTTAATACATCAATTATAACACCAGAAAGAAGCGACCAAATTTACAGCGTTTTATACAATACAGACCCGTGATGATTCCAGTAATCGCTCGTCGGCAAAGCACACAAACAAAGAGGAAAGCAAACTCAACACGTTTCTATTGTTCGTTGGGTTTCTCGCTCTGCTCAGACTCCGCCTTGAGCTCCTGGGAGTTGACGGGAGGGTACGTGTAGACTCCCTTCTCTGCCTGCTCTAGCCGCCGCAGCTGTCCGGCTTCACCAGCTCTTCCGAGGATTCCAGCGATCAAGCCGACAGCGCGCAGACTGTCATCGTTCGAGGGAATGGGGTACGTGACACGGGTGGCGTCAGCGTCCGTGTCAATGATGCCGATGGTCGGGACGTTGTTCAGGCCACACTCGTGCAGCAAGACGACGTTCTCGAGAGGGTTCAGGCATACCACAAGATCTGGCTTCAGAACCGGACGATCGGCCAACAGCTCCTTGTACTTGGGCAACTCCTCGTCCAAGCCGTTCACGACCTTGGTCTCGCAGTGGCCCAGGATCTGCTGGCCGTTGGTCAGACTACCAGGGATCCAGCGCTCGAAGATGTGGTAGCCTTTTGCCAGCTCTGCGGCTCTCACCACGTATCTCTTCTGGCCCTTCCGAGTACCCACAAACAGGATCAAGCCGCCCCGAGCGGCGACCTCTTCCACCACCTTGGCCGCACGGCGCAAGTAGGCGGCGGTCACATCCAGCGAGATGATGTGGACACCGTCTCGGATACCAAAGATGTAGCGCGAGTTTTGCGGGTTCCAGCGGGATGTCGAGTGTCCGAGGTGCGTCTGGTTGGCGAGGAGCAGTTCGAGGGAGATGTCGGCGGGTTTGGGAGGGTTCCGAATGAGGTCTTCTGGCTGATATACATCTTCGACTTCACTACCGAGCTGGTGGAAGGTTTTCCCTGAGACAAACACGTTAGTTTCAACGGTCTCAATGGACGGGCTGTGCGCGAAAGCCCTTCTGGGTGTAATTCTCACGTCGGAGTTCCCGCTTCTTCCACGCCTCCTGTGCGGCGCGCCGTACCGAGGTCGTCGCTGTGCTCGCTTGCAGGGCCGATTCGGAGGGAGGAGTTTGCTCTGCAATTGGTGTCTGTACTGCTGTTTCGACAAGCGTCTCGGTGGAATACAGCCTGTTCAGGAAGCGAGTCTGGCGGAGCCCAAGAAGCTGGCGACCTATGATGCGACTGGGTCAGCACTGGTCTTCAAGAAAATGAGTCGCTGCATTCGTATCGGTCCGACTTACTCTGCCGCACACACAACTGCCGAACAATCATGATGTGGTGTTGGGGAGTATGAGTCGGGGTTATCTCCGGTGATTCTTGTGTCTGGGACTTCTTCCGCTCGAACTTTTGATGCTGGCTTGGCAGTATGCCTTAGGTCTCAGGCAACAAAAACTACGCTAACCCCTTCTGGGAATATCCCATCCAGGAAAGAAAACAACAACTACTACGTAGTTACTCCGGACAGGATCTTGATATTCAGTGCTCTTCGAATACGCCATTCGGACAGCTGAACTGGCTCGATTGTTTCTGGATGGACGGCCTCGGGGCGGCAACACTTTCACTACGACGGAAGGCAGATCCATGCAGTCATTCATTTCATCATATCAAAACATCAAACAGCTAACACACTGTATAGTATCACAGTCTTTCAGCCGGGTATACACAGCAATGATAACGAAAACAACACTTGTACACATAGCCACATTATAGAATGCCAGAACCAGAGAACCAGGAATGATGACGAAGTCGAAGCGTTCACTCGAGAAAAGATCGGAAGCGATGCGTTTATTTCTTGAAGAAGCTGCCCAGCTGGTCCATCATGCCGTTGTTAGAGCCTCCGTGGGAGGGAGGAGGGCCGCCATACTGGCTGCCGCCATAGTTGCTGCCGTATTCGGGGGGACCCTCGTTCTTGTTCTTGTGCTTCTTGATGGCATCTTCCGCAATGCTTCCCATGATGGCACCGCCAATGGTTCCGAGGAAGCCGTGGTTGGCCTTGTGACCGGCGAAACCGCCCGCTGCACCACCGGCCAAAGCGCCCATCAGTCCACGCTCGCCCTCCTGGGCTTCACCGGGAGCCTGTTGATCATGACTATACAAGGTTCTGTCAGATGATATCCTCGGGAAGGGGGCGATAACGTGACGCCGGGAGGGGCGAATGACTTACCCTTGCTGACCGTATTGTTGCTGACCATACTGCTGCTGCTGACCATAACCCTGCTGGCTCTGGTCATACTGGTTGTATCCGTGCTGCTGGTGATGCTGAGGCTGCTGTCCGCCGTAGTAATCGTTGGCGCTACCACCCTGGGACTGACCGTAGCCACCCTGGGAGTAACCACCCTGCTGCGGGGGATAACCACCCTGGTTGTAGCCGTAGCCCTGGTTGTACTGGTTGTTGTAGCCGGACATGGTGTCTAGTATGGAGGAGATTTGTTGGGATGGAATGAGGTAATCAAAGAGGGAGTTGATGATGGTAGGAGAATGACCCACGAAGTCAGTGGGAATGTTGGAGCCTTTATAGCAGATGGTTTGGCCACTGGCATAAGATGATCTGGGCGTCGCAGGGCTGAATCCTGATGGACGAACCCCACCACGGCTCCATCTGCCAAGAGGGATGATTCGACCGACCGGATCTCACCATAATACGAGGGAAATAATCAGCATACCGTCATCAAACCAGCTTTACCGCCTGTTGTTGTACTGTCTGCAGTCGGCTCTGACGGTGACGGTGGTGAAGATTACGGTGTGCTGTAGCCTGTACTCCGTACTCCGTGGTATCCGTGCCCCGCGGGGTGGCTGTGCGCACAGCCTTGTCGTATACGTGCAGCGTTGAGGCGCAGGCCACTCCGAGGAGGAAGCAAGCCTCCGTTTCTACCTAGGCATCATGAAGAGGACCTTCTGATAGAACCTTTCATCATGATTCCTCCCTTCTGTATAGATCTCTCTATATGGTGGGCTCGCTGAATGCGGATGCCGACGGGAGAAATGAATGACCATACCTGACGGTACTAGCACTAACCTTATGCAGGGTTAGTCATCACGCCTTACCAACACACAGCCACAGAACGTGGCTGATCCATCAACGTCATGAGAAGGCTGAGCATGCATGAAGCCCCTGTCATCCCGCAGGCAAGCCATAATGAGATATTCTAGAAGGCCCGAAGATCTTTCGGCTGTTCTCAGTCAAGGCAACGACTTTCGTTCCTTTCAGCTGGCATCTACTTCGTATATTCTATTTTCGGACTTTTACGAGATCCGCTCACTCCGATCGAGGTAACCTCCGCTGTTGCCGAGTTCCGTTCCACCAGGTACCGCGGTAATACCTTACTACGGAGTACCTGGTAGGCAGCCATATTCTGAGCATCTCCGCTGTTTCGCAGTTGGGCGTAAGTGCTCGGCGAACTTACGTACTTTTTCTTGGTATCGGCGCTAACTGACTAGTCGGGAGCAACGAACCAGACTCGCGACTGCCTATCATCATGGTTCTTCCGGATGCATTCCGTGCTGTTCCAGTGGGAGGTGCCACCGTTCAATGTACGGCATCAACGGACAACATTCTGCTTAATGCATTATTTTATGCCGCCCCTGCTGAACGATGTAGATATCTACCTTACCCACCTGATGTTGCAGTCCTTGCATTTACCCAAACTAGTCTACACTTACACGAGATGAGATTGGAACACAGTACCCCTCTCAAATGAGTGGCCAGTCTCATTCACAGTCTATGTCTGCCCGCATCAAGCTCATCAGCACTAAGAGCACTAGCCTGGCCTTGACGGGCGGATTCTAGCCCAGCTCTAGGTCAAGGAACCGTCTGGGACTCAATCCGCCTTACCTTGGCCGAGCCTTCAGTTCTAGCTTCAGGAACAAAGATTCAAGCAATGACTCTCGCTGATCTATTGCAGGGGAACTGCCGTTGACAACCGGTAGGCTACGACTGACAGAGCAACGTACAAAGCAACATGGCGACCGGACTTTACTTGTCCAAAGGGTCTCTTAGCCTTGTCTGTAGACTGAAGTGACCAGTTTTGGTCTTTCTCGGTTTCTCCAAGAGCTCGATGGAAACATCACTTCTAATTATCTTTAACTCGCGTGTGCCCTACCGTTTACGTGTTGTAGCGCTAGTGTTCTGTGTGGTTTTCTGACATGGGTATGTAGAGCGTTATGGGTCTTTTTATACTGGACGATAATCCTGGCTATACAAGTCACTGGGAGCAAGTCAATATCTAGTACTATATAGATGCCGCACGTTTCAAGACAAACCATCTTCAAAAATTACGAGGTCAACCCCGTCGAGAAGTCTCCTGAATCTAAATTCTGCACAGAAAGGGACCGTCGCACAAAGTATACTTCTCCCACGCAACATCTTTCGAAATCTGGTAGACACCCGCATGCCTAATTCCATAAATCCTCCGTGTGACATCCATGGATCTGATGTGACTATATCGGCATGTGGATTGGTCGTGATTGTGATCCGTCTGGACGGCTGACCAGCTGTGGCTGGTGAACGCAAGGTTACCTCGAGGGTACACAACATCGAGAACGTGATGCTTCAATGACAACCGCTTCAACTCATGCATGCAGCTCAACCTTACCTGATGACCTCCTTCTACGATTGGCACACGACCATGTCTCTGGCATGGTGCCTGCCTACCCGGGAGGTAACTACTAGGTACGCTATCTAGGGATGCTATACAGATCTAGATACGTACCCCTTGGAGAAGGTCGATCATTCCACGCCTCGCGCGAGCATTCTTCAGGACATCCCCACAAGGACAGCGACTTGCAATCGATTGTATCCCTAGAAAGACCACCTCCACTCGTTCCACCGACTCCAACCATTTAACCCGACAATGCATCCCACAACAGCCTTAGTCTTATATACCCTCCTCGCCTCGCTCTCATCCGTCTTCGCCGCAGCATCCCACCATCCAACTATATACCTCATCCGCCACGGCGAAAAACCCGACGACCCAGCCGACGACGGCCTCAACGCGGACGGGTTCAAACGCGCACAATGCCTGCGCGATGTCTTTGGCGCACAGTCCGCCTACAACATCCGGCACATTCTGGCGCCGAAAGTCAGCCGACGTACCTGCGTTCCACACCCTGCCGCACAGAGCTGCAACTAACGTCTGTCTGCGCAGGAGGTAAACACCGCCGCTCGTACGAGACAGTCCTTCCACTCGCGGACGACCTCGGCCTGGACATCGACACGTCGTGCAAGTCGACGCAGGTTCGCTGTGTCGTGCGCAGATTGAAACGGTACCGCGGGTCTGGAAATATCTTGATTGCGTGGCGGCATAGCCAGATGAAGAAGATCGTGCGAGACCTGGGGGATAAGCATGCTCCCCAATACCCCGATAAGAGGTATGCTTCCTCGTCTATGGACGTGTTTGCGGAACTGATTATGAGTAGGTTCGATTTGATATGGACTATTCCGCATCCTTATGATAATATCACCGATGTCCGCAGTGAAGCGTGTCCGGGGTTGGATATCCCAGATCCTTTGAAGGTCCAGCTGTGAGCGTTATAATGCAGGCCTGTCTCTAGAGAGAGGCGGCCATGTCAACATTGTATATATGCTCGAGTCCTCGAGTGCAGCATAGAGACGGTATCCCGGCTCAGGCGTATCGTAAGCGTCATCTTTCCAGAAACTGATTCTCGACTAACTTGTGCGGAACTATAGACGTTCCCAATTGCTGTTTTCGGGTGATATCGTTCCATGCATTAGTACTTGCCTAGATGCCTATACAGGGTATTAGAGAATAGAACTAGCAGCGATGTAAATAGACAAAAATCAAAAAGTCCATCATGACAAGAGTGAAGTCATTGTTCTGACTCCGCGTAATTTGAAAATATATAGTTCGCCATAGTTGGTCGAGGCTGGGGTATTATCTGATATTCACTCAGCAAAACATCTACCCAACACAGAAGCTTCCGAACACAATACCATGAGTGAGTACTCTCCCAATTACCAACAACGCTCAAGCAACATTGCTAGGACTTTTCATACTCCCTCCGTAGTAAGCGCTTTGATAAGCAAAAATTTGTGCAGGCGGTGAGAGCCGAGCGGAGAAAAAGTGGGTGCCAAGATTTCAACCGTCCACCCAATTTTTTCGAGGTATCGCCGGCTTGCTTTCGCTCGTCTGACCGACTCCTCCAGACCCTCCCCATCAATCTCCAGGAATCGCACGCGCATTGTGCCGTTGGAACTCTGCACGGTCTCCTGTAATATCTGTCTTTTAGGATGGCCGACATCGAGGTATGTGCTGCTGTGCACGCGCCGTATACCCCACTCAGGATGTTGACGCCTTTTTTATCAGGAACGTCTGCGAGGCCATTCCGAGGCTTTCGCTGGCCTCATGGAGCTGATTCCCGCAAAATTGTACTATGGCGAGGAGAACAGTGTATGTGATTCTCGTGATCTTCTTTTTCTTTCGTCTGGTTTAGCGCAAGACCTGTGGCTGGGGTCTTCGTCCCTCGCTTTTCTGCTCCCACCGTTCTGCCTCAGGCGTCGCTGACCAGACTTCCTCGAACAGGACCAGTGGAAGCGCAAAAAGCAGACCAAAGCGGAAGCTAGGGAAGCCAAACGAGCCAAGTTGGATCCGGACTCTGCCAAAACCGCCAAAGACGTGATGGACGAGAACGCGCGGAAACGCAAGCGTGAGGAGGAGGGCCAATCCGAGCCCGGCTCATCCGATGACGAAGAAGTAACCGGCACCGAAAAGCCCAAAGAAGGGCTCAAGCGAGGCGAACTGAAGTCGAAGAAACAGAAGCAAGCCGAAGGCACAGAACAAAAACCCGAGGACGCCGAAGCCCTCAAACAGAAAGAAGAGAAGCAGGCGCAGAAGACCGCCGAAAAGAAAGAGAAGCGCAAGGCCAAAGATGCTGCCAAGAAGGCCAAACTTGAACAGCAGAGCAAGGGCAAGACTGAGACCACGCAACAAAAGTCCGAACCCAAGTCCAAGAACGACAAGCCCACCCAGAAGGAGCAACCGTCCAAGGAGGCTGAGGATGATGATGAGGTCGATGGAGAAGAAGCTGCTGCCGAGGGCCTCTCCCTGGAGTTCAATCCCGACCAGACGTCGTCGGCCTCTTCGGCCCCCAACTCTCCCAACTTTGATGCCTCCAATTCCCACTCCGGCAGCTCCTCGATATCATCCATTGTTCCACCGACCGCTCCCAGTGACGCTTCCAAGACCTCATCTACCGATGCTAAACCTCTCAAACCCACGCCGGAGGAGCTGAAGCAGCGTCTTCAGAAACGTCTCGATGAACTTCGTGCTGCGCGTCATGCCGATGGCCTGAACGGCCAGCCGGCACGGAACCGCCAGGAGCTCATCGAAGCCCGACGACAAAAGGCCGAACAGCGCAAAGCCCACAAGAAACTGCTCCGACAGAAGGCCAAGGAAGAGGAACAAAGACAGCGGGACGAGGCGATCGCCCGGCGGTTCTCACCGGGCGGCTCGGGATCCCTGCTCGCGTCGCCGCGCTCTCCGGCCGAATCGGTCTCCTCCAACAACAACTTCGCCTTTGGCCGGGTCGTCTTCGCGGACGGTCAGCACGCGGACCCCAGCCTCAGCAATGTGCGCGATCAGCCCAAGCACCACGGTCCGCGTGACCCGGCCGCCGCCCTCAAGGCCGCCGAGGCCAAGAAGGCGCGCCTGGCCAGCCTGGACGAGGAGAAGCGCGCCGAGCTGGAGGAGAAGGACATGTGGCTGAACGCTAAGAAGCGTGCTCATGGCGAGCGCGTGCGGGACGACACCTCGCTGCTGAAGAAGGCCCTGAAGCGCAAGGAGTCGGCCAAGAAGAAGTCGGAGCGCGAGTGGAAGGAGCGGCTAGAGGCCGTGAAGAAGGGCAAAGACATGAAACAACAGAAGCGTGAAGAGAACCTCCGGAAACGGCGGGAAGACAAGGGCAACAAAGGCAAGAAACCGGCCGCCGGTGGGAAGAAGAAGGCGAGACCTGGCTTTGAGGGCAGCTTCAAGGCCAAGGTCGGCGGCAAGAAGAAATAAGAGCGACGTTGTTGAGGAAAACTGTAATAACAACTTCGAAGGTGTATGTACCTCGAGGGACCGTATGGCTGACAAGACCAGAGGTTCGACATGCACAGAAAAAAGATGGAGGGCGGGTCCTGGAGATCTGGTGTTTAGGTGCCATTTGGGGGTTTACCTGCTGATTTTCTTGATTTGTGCATATGTGCATAGGCAGCGATTTCCTGTTGATATCAAATCTAGGAGTTTCTTGGTCGAGTGGTCTGAAGTAAGGTAGATACTAGTGGGTAGATGAATGCCCTCGACAAAGGAAAGATTCTGAATTTAGTCCCTAACAAAAACAAAAAAGAAAAGAAAGCCCTGCATATCCTCCAACATCAAACAAAATAATAAAGCCGGAGTTCCAGGGACTGGAATCTCCTGCGAACCCGACTAGTACATGAGATAATAAGCAGGCCAGCGTTAGTTATGTACAAAGTGGGAGACCGAGGTCCAGGACCTGGATATCGTTGGATGGGAAAACTCCATCTCTATTTCGCTCTGAAAGTATTTTTCTCCATGTGGTTGTCGGCGGAGAGCCGAATATAGACCATCCCCTACAGCACCCTCATGCTATGTGACATGTCTTAACGGTAGGGAGCATCAGCTCTGGCAGCGGCGGCGATTTCAGGCTCCCACTTGTCACCGTTGGCGAGGAGCTTCTCCTTGTTGTACAGCAGTTCTTCACGGGTCTCGGTGGCGTATTCCGCATTGGAGGCTGAGAAGAAAATATGTTAGCCAAAATCGCCATGAACCGATCGCGACTACACTCACTCTCAACAATCGCATCGACGGGGCAGCTCTCCTGGCAGTAACCGCAGTAGATACACTTGGTCATATCGATATCGTAACGGGTCGTCCGACGGCTTCCGTCTTCACGCTCTTCGGCCTCGATGGTGATGGCCTGGGCGGGGCAGATGGCTTCGCAGAGCTTGCAGGCAATGCAGCGCTCCTCGCCGGTGGGATAGCGACGCAGGGCGTGTTCACCACGGAACCGGGGAGAGATGGGGCCCTTTTCGAAGGGGTAGAAGATGGTGTAGCTAATCGCGCAAAGATGTCAGTTTTGTGGCTCAATGGGTTGGATCTGAATCGAAATGGGCTTGCGGTCATGGGGGCCCGCAGAGGGGTGGCCAGGATCACCGGCGATGATACGATGCATGGGACGTGGGCGACTTACGGTGGTCGGAAGAACTGCTCCAGCACGACGTACATGCCGCGGAACATCTCGGCCAACAGGAAGTACTTGGTAGCCTTGTCCAGCGAGCTCTCCGTGGGCTGATCCCACTTTCTCGGGGGAGCCAGACGGAAACCGGGCTGAGGGGGACCAGCAGGCGTGGCGGCCCGGGTGACCGAGGAGGAGAAGTTTGCGGTGGAGGTCAAGGGACGGAAGGACGAGGTCAAGCCTGTAGCGACAGGGCGACGGGAGGCGACCAACCTCACCATGGACGTGGAGGAGGCCATTGCGAGTGAGTAGGCGAGGGGTGAAGGGAGGGTGGAAGAGCAATGGGAGAGAGGGGAGAGGGGAGTCAATTGTCGTGGTGGTGGTGATGGGACGGAGGGAGGAAGATGGGTGTTTGAGGTGGTTTGCAGAGGGCGGCTTACCTCATTGCTTTCTGCCGCCCTGTGATTGGCCGGCCCGCAGGATTTTGCGAGCCGCCCGCGAAACTCGTTCAGTTCGTCTTTCTCGTCTACATCCGTCATCCCCGATTGTCCTCCCTCTCGTCGCTCTCCCATCCACCCCTACAACCACCCAACCGTCCTCCATCTCAATCGCCTCCGAGATTCTCTCTTTTTCTTTCTCTGTCACAATGTTCCGTGCCGCCGTTGTCCGTTCTCTCCGGGCCTCCGTGCCTCGTGCCGTCAGGGCTCCCGCTGCCTTCCAGATTCGCAGCTCTCCCGTCGCTCGACCGGCTCAATTCGCTCCTCGTTTCGCCTTCCAGGCCGTTCGCTCCTACTCCGCTCCTGCCGGTCTGAACAAGGAGGAGGTTGAGGGCCGGATAGTCAACCTGCTGAAGAACTTTGACAAGGTACGTCGGTTCGCGTGTCTCGGGGGGTTGACCGAGGGAAACCGGGTTTCCCATGGGGAACACCGAGAAAGAGCACGATGGCTAACTGAGTGTGAATGTGATTAGGTCTCCGATGCTAGCAAGGTTAGTCCGTTCGGAAACCCTTTTTGGCGCACTTGATGCGCACATGCACCCGAATGGTGTCGAGAGAGGGACTCCCAGCCAGATGGAACCTATTCCTAACGTACTCGAATGACACAGATCAACGGCGCCTCTCACTTTGCGAACGACCTTGGACTGGACAGCCTGGATACCGTCGAGGTTGTGATGGCCATCGAGGAGGTATGTTTCTACTTGTGTTGTTGTTTTGGTGGCGGTGGTGGTTGATCGGTACTGATGATGATATAGGAGTTCAGCATTGAGATCCCCGACAAGGAGGCGGATGCCATCCACAGTGGTAAGTTTGGGAGAAACCTATGTTGTTATCGATGTTTGAGTGAGGCGATGCTGATGAGTTTCCCGCACAGTTGACAAGGCTGTTGAGTACATCCTTGCTCAGCCCGATGGTGAGTCCTTCCGATGATCTGGAACTCTCTCTTGCAGACACAGTACTAACGACAACTAGCCCACTAAATACGTAATACCACATCCGGAGAATGGAGGGCTAGATAGAAAAGAAGGGATGTTGGCGTGCATCGACCGGGACTGTCCGAGTAGTCGAGGACGCTACTTGTATGCTGATCCATGCCGGTGCTTTTTGTGACCCTTATATCGTGTATATCACCTTGAATGCAATTGTCCATTCTGTTCTGCGTGCCGCGCGTACTCCGTATACCTCATGTAGCCACCTCGGCGTACAACGGGGAGTCTCCCGTGGCATGACCATCTGTGTCGATCTACTATCCATTGGATATGAGATATAGGAATATAGACCTACAATAACGTGAATATCCGTCTGATATCATACCTATATACCTGTATACTCCGATAGTAATGTTCCCTTGAGTTGAAAGAATTGTTCCGATGCGGCTCCGACCGTCTGCGCGCTAAGCCCAACTCAGCCGTGCGCCAGATAGCCAGAAACACCTCTTTTGTTCTGTCCACCACCATCACCACCACCTCTCTTATCCTTTCTCCTCTACTCTCTCCGACCGTTTTCTTCTCATCCTCGCTGCGTCGCATTGTTCGGCTTCTTCGTCGTCGGGACCCTCTTCCCCCGTCCATTGATCGTCCCTTTCATCTCGGGTGCCCGAATTTTTCCCCTTGTCTCGGCCTATCTTTCCTCCCACCCCTGACAATTTCCCGCTCCGCCAGATCATCCATAATAATCAATCAGTCAATCAGCAAAACTCTCTTCCTACCTCTCTCCGCCACCACCAGACATCCCCTCTGCCTCCCTCGCTCCCCGATAGAGGTCCATGTCGCAAGTCTGAGCGGCATAGATTCCCGTCCTTGCGTCTCACCTGTCGTCCTTCCCCTCTCTTTCTTCCCTCCCCACCCAATCCAGCTCTTCCTCTCATGGCCTCAGCCGGGGGCTTGACTCGCCGACGAGGTGGCGGTCGAGTCGCTGGCGCAGACGAGAATGATGATAGCCGTGTCTCGTCACCCGTGTCTCGGAATGGTTCTGCTCTCGGGGACCGTATCCCCGAGACCTCCTTCACCAGCTCGGAAAATGGCCACAAGATTGCGTTTGATCCCCGCGATCTCAGCGAGACGGAGGAGCGAAGCAAACAGCCCAAGCTGACCCTCATGGAGGAGATTCTGCTGCTGGGATTGAAAGACAAACAGGTGAGTGAGGTCGGTCCGGACGCGCGAGCGTGCGCGGCGTCGTCGCTGGTCACTTGCTGACGTGGTCTTGGTCGGTGACAGGGTTATCTGTCTTTCTGGAACGAGAACATTTCATACGCCCTGCGAGGCTGTATAGTCATCGAATTGGCTCTTCGCGGCCGGATCAGCATGCAGAAGGACTCTTCCCGTCGACGGTTCCCTCTGGCCGACCGTGTAATCGAGGTGGTGGACGATACGTTGACGGGTGAGGTCTTGCTGGACGAGGCGCTGAAGATGATGAAATCGAGTGAGAAGATGAGCGTGAATTCTTGGATCGATCTGATGAGCGGTGCGTATGCGGTTGATCTGGTCTCCGGTCCTGTATGCTAATGGCCGACGGATTGCAGGCGAGACGTGGAACTTGATGAAAATCGGCTATCAACTAAAACAGGTCCGGGAACGCCTGGCGAAGGGTCTCGTGGATAAGGGCATTCTCCGGACTGAAAAACGAAACTTCCTCCTCTTCGACATGGCCACCCATCCGGTCGCGGATGGTGGTGCGAAGGACGATCTCAATCGCCGTGTACGCAACGTCTGCAGCAGTCGCACTGTGATCCTCCCTGCCAACCAGTGGCTCCCCGAAGATGCCGAGTTCCGCTACCTGCGGACCATCATCATGGTGTGTGCCGCGTACGCCGCCAACGTCCTCGAGAACGCCCTGGTCACGATGAGCCACGAGGCGCGCGAACGTGCCTTTGCCCAGGTGGACGAACTCTTGGCCGAGTATTCCCAATGGCCATTCGCGCGGAGGGCTGGTGGCTCCCAGGCCATCGGAGCGAACCTTGCGCAGGCCGTCAACGACGAGGTGAACAAAGCCAAAGACAAGGAGTTGCAGTTGGAGGTACGTTGGCGAGCTGTGTTCCCGCGGCGTCCAGGACTGATCGATTACAGATTGTTGCCGCATGTTTGAGCGTTTTTACTAGACTCGACTCGTTACTTTAAGGCTGTTGCCTCGACCGCCCTCGCCCTCCGATCCCCGTTATCTTTTTACATCTTCCGTAGGGCCCCCCGAAGGCTTTGGCTACTTTGGAAGGAGTTGCCGGCATCTTGGAACAGGATGAACAGCCTACATTGCCTGCCTTGAAAAGCGACCCCATGATATTCCGCTTTGCTCATCTCACTGAAATGTTTGTTGCGTGCGCTTACATCTTTCATCGACCTCCGCCCATACCCTCTACGTCTGTCAAAAGCGGCATGTGTGTTCCATAGAAGGGCGCGGAAAGCGCCTGTCATTCGATGTTCAAGACCAACACCGATCACCATAACCTTCACATGCCCCACAGAAATAAAACCAAAAAGATGACCTGGTCCGGATGAGGCCCAACTGGATTGAGGCGTTCATCTTGTCACGTCGATCCGAGGAAGCAAACCGTCTCCCACGCTCGGACGGGCAAGGAATGAAGTAGGTGGTGGACTTTCATATTTTTCTTCTTCTTCTGGCCTGTCTTTGTCTTCTTTCTACCTTTTCATGCTGTATGTTTCTTTTGGCGTGTCCTGTCACATCACCGTTTTAATGAAATATCCACTGTGTCCCCACAGGCCTTCCTCCAGTTCTGGTCCTCCGCGTTTTGACCTCTTGCGACGTCTGTATGTACCATACCGGGTTTGTATGCATGGCCTAGGCTAGGTGTTGTTTGAATTGAATGAGAGTCTCTTGAGCGCATCATGATTGCATTGCACATCTATAACTATGCTTGGGTAATCTTCCATGCTAAACGAACAGGCACTAGGTACATACGCTAATAACAACATCATCAGAACCAAACCATCAAGCTCAGACATTCACCCGAAACACGATAATCCCCCCTCGCCGGCCACCCGCCGCGCCCGCCGCCCCAAACGACAAGATATCCGCGCCGTCGACAAAGTCCACGATGGTCTGCACGCGGCCCCGCACGACATCCTGCTCGACGAGCTTCGCAATGCGCGCCAGCGCCTCGCCATCCGGCCGCACCGCCACAAATCGACTGAAGATGCCCTGGTCGCGCGACGCGTCGCCGGAAACCGTGCCCTCGCGGTGCGTCGACGACAGCGCGGCCGTGTCATCCACGGCCGTGAGCACGGTGCCATTCTCGCGCACGACGTCCGGCGAATGCGCCAGGCCGAACATCTGCCGGTCGGCGCAGTCGACGACTAGATCGACGGGCGCCCAGCCGCGCTCGCGGAAGACGCGCCCCAGATCAAAGTCCTGCGCCAGCGGCAGCGACGCCTCAACGATCTCGTCCACCTCGCCGTCCGCGCGGAGCTGCTCGTCGTGCGCGCTGCCCGAACATGTCAGGCACACCCACGGCCGCGGGCCCGGAAACAGCGCCGTCGCCCGCAGCAGCCGCAGCACCTGCGCGCCGACCTCGCTGTCGCGCCCGTTCGTGACCAGCACGCGCAGCGGCGCCCGTCGGTTCGAGCCCGCGTCTGCGTCGTCGTCGCCGCCGGGCGTCAGGCCCGCGTAGGTGAACAGTGCCTGCCAGGCGGTTAAGGCGGGCAGCGGGATGGCGGCGGCCTCGGCGGCGGAGATGTTGCGGGGCTTGAGGGCGATCTCGTCCTGAGTGGCGACGACGTAGTCGGCGGCGGCGCCGTCGCGGGTGTAGCTGATGAGGCCGAAGACGACGTCGTCGACATGGAATTTGGGGCCGGTCGCGCTGTGGTGGTCTTCGGTCGGGGTGGAGATGATGGTGCCGCAGAAGTTGTGCAGCGGGATCTGCGGGATGGATTTGGACGGGTTGAGGATGTGCGACAGCCGCAGCTCGTCGTGCGAGAACGCCGCCGTCTGCACCTTGATGAGGTACTGGTTTCCGGACGGTCGCGGCGTCGGGAAGTCCGTGTCGAAGATCATGCCTGAGTCGACGCGCGGGGCGTCCAGCGCTGTCAGGTCGGTGATGGCCGTCGAGGCCGGACGGTGGTAGAGCGCGCGCATGGTCGGCGGCACGAAGGTCTGTTCATCCATCGTCGTGGAGTAGGGTTTTGCGGGCTTCATCTGGATGTAGTCGTTCGGTCGAAGGTGTAGCGCAGTTTGGTAGTTGCCGTTGGACGTGTGGTGGGCGGCAATCGCTCGCACGTTATATACTCAGTATATTCAAAGAAACAGGGCAATTGACGCTCATTAGTCGTGTGGATGGAAGAGACAGCCTCCAATGCGATGGTGTGGATGGGAAATATACAGCGGAGATGCCCCGGCGCCGAGAAAAGTCTATACTTCATCTTGACGTAACATGCACGAGCCATCCGCCACACCCCAATCGGGCGAATCCGACGGCCTCTGTCACAGGAACAAAAGCAATCGTCATACGCACGATTTAATGGTACTGATATCGTAGGGTGATGCGACTCACTTGGCTGTGCATGTCGTCCGGGCGCTCAAACACCCGCCAGATATGATGGGGCACATCCTTGAATGCGGACTCGAAGCGCTCGCGGGAGTTCTGTTCCTCCAGATGCGGCACGTCGGTGACCTTTCGGATCCAGATGGCCTGGATCCAGCCCGGGTATCGCTTGTAGATCTCGGCGTAGGTCTCCGGGTCCTTCTGCGTTGAGTCGCCGATGCACAGCACGCGGCGGTGCGGGAACCAGTGGCGGATCTTCCTGATGCGACTGACCTTGTACTCCATGGTGTGGACGGTGAACGAGCGGACGAGCTCGCTGATGTCCATCCAGGACGAGTCGCGCAGGATCAACGTGCCGGGCGTGTAGTGGTCGTGGATGAAGCGGCGCAGGAACGGGTACAGGTTGTACGGCGAGGCGGAGAGGTAGAACCAGACGGGACGCAGCTCGCGCTGGATATGTGTGTACAGCGCGGGCATGCCGGCGATGGGGCGCGGGTCGTCGACAAAGGTGGTGCGCAGGATGCCGGTCGACTCGGACGTCTTGGTGTACTTGATGGTGTCGTCGATATCGGAGATGACAAGCCAGCCGTCGGGGCCGGCGAAGACGGTGTTCATGGCGACCTCGTCGGGCCAACCGCGCAGGTAGCCGCGCACGACGGCGCCGTCCGTCAGCGACCGCGTGCCCGTGTTGATGACCTGGCTGCTGATGCCGTTGTGGTCCGTCGGCCCCAGCTGGTGGATCAGCGTCGTGTGGTTGGGTAGCGGCATCTCCAGCATCATCAGTTGCGCCGGCACCGTCTGCCACAGGAACGGCCGCAGCCGCTCTGCGATGCGATGCCGCGTGTTGCGCTCCGTGCCGATCTCGCCGTCCAGCCCGATGAGGTCTGCGATTGTCGCCACCAGCTTGCTCATGTCCTTGCGGCTGTCCTTCTCGAACACGCACGCGACAACTTCGGCGTACCATGCCGGGGATCCGCCGGGCGAGCGCCTTGTGGACCGCTGGTAGGCGGTGTTGTCGAAGAGCCAGACCGTGTGCTGCTGATCGTCGACGGCGCGCAGCGGGCGCGGTCGCGAGAGGAAGGAGGTGAACTGCTGCACGATCGAATCGCGCCGCCAGGGACGACCGCTGAGACGGAGGAGCTGCTGGATAGCTGGACTTGCCTTGGCGCGGGCGCTGGAAGTCGTTCGGCTTGGTTTAATGCGCGGAGGTCGATCCATGTCGGACATCTTGGGTGGATATAGTAGATGTTGATACTGATGAGATAGTAAGGATGGGGTGGTGCTCTATAGCATCCTACGGATGACTCGGATGGAGAAATGTGTCAAAGGAACATGAAGATATGAACATGCAGAGTACGTGGAAGATTCGATAGGAAGCTAACAGAGGCTCGCGCCTATCCTATACTTATAGCACCGCGGAAGCCTCCAAGACTCTCCGCGCGCCTGATGCGTCGTATTCCCCATAGCCACAAGGCAGAGATCGGTTGATGGTGTCGGGCTGGTGACGCGCCCTGAGTCATTCTTCCAGTAAACGCGAAGAGTCAGGCGAACGGTGGGGGCAATAAGGCTGGAGGACGCCGTTGATTCTGTTTCTGCTGGTGATCCTTTTCCCCGCGTGGTTTAGGGCTTGTCTGCTTGGCGGGTGGTCAGCCTGAAGATGCTTGTGACTGGCGCCTATCACAGCCTCATCTGACCAGCCATCATGCTGCGCATCTGCAGGAACAGGGATGGAAGTGTTCAGATGGGTCATATCACAGTCACATTCGTTAGAACTTTTAGTGGTTGAAGGGTACATCTACCACCGCTTCGGCGCGCTGACCACCGTCCGCGAAAACGAGGCGCTATATACCTCCTTGTCCTTCTTCCGCGAGGCAGCAATAATTCCCGTTCGGTCCGTCACTGGCGTCGCGTTGATAATATTGTCAAATGCTTCATCGTCACTTCCGCCAGCGGATCCGGACTCGGCATCCGAGTCCTCGATCGGCGCCGCCTCAGGTCGTGGGATCGTCTCTGGCTGCGGCTTGTCCGGGACGGAGGGATTCTGGAAAGATTTGGAGTTGAGGATCTTGCGACGGATTTCGGCCATTTGTTCCTCGTCCTCCGAGTCGTCCGAGATGGCAAACGGGTCCTTTTCTTCCTCTTCCTCTTCCTCTTCCTCTGCCTCCTCGTCCTCATCGCCACTGCCCTCCTTCTTTTCTTCATCCTCATCATCGTCGGAATCCACATCTAGTCGTCGGTTGGTATTTCCTATCGTCCACATATCGTCGGCTCCGGTCTCCGCGCGGCTCTCTTCGTATTCTCGTTCGATCTTCGCCAGCCACTCTTCCTCCGTGCGCTTGATATCTTCTTCGGTTTCGCAGGCCGCATACCGTTTGAACAGCTTTGCGTTGATCTCCAAAAAGGCTTCACCGTAGGAGAAGTGCTTCAGCACTTCCCGCGCCCAATCCTCGTGTCCACAGATGCAGAAACAGGCGGCGAGGGCTTCGACACAGTTGAGTCGCCAGGGTTTGCCGTAGTTGACTGTGTTGGCTGCGATCAGATAAGGCACTACCACTGTTAGCATCGCGTTCCGCCCCTCAAACCTGTCCACGTACAGAGTCGTTCACATCGTCCTCCAATCCGGGACCACGGGACTTCTTTCACCCTGACCCAGGAGCATTCCACCACAGCAGCGCCAAACTGTTCCAGTAATTCGCGGTCGGCGGGGGAGACGACCCTCTTCGCGTTGGGCCTGTAAAGGAGAATATTAGTGGGTATTCGCAAAGATAGCGCAAAATCTCAGTCCGTAGAAAAAGCACAGGAAAAGACTTACGAGATGACGACTCCAGGAAACCGCTGGCCAATCGCCAGTTCACGCATCAAGCCATGATGCATCAGCTTCTTCCCCGAGCATCTCTTCGGATCGCAATGTCCCAGATCCCAGCAGGCAGCTTTGAAGGGAGGCCGAGAAGAATCGCCGTCACCGCGGGGTCCTGGACGAGGGCGGGGACCGGCGGAGAATTTCTTGCCGCCGCGGGAGAAGTTGTCTTTTTTGTGGCGGACCATGGCGGAGATGGAGGAATGGAAGTGGACTGACTGTTTGATATCGATAGAGTGCTGTAGAGTAGGGTATGTAGGGTAGGTCAAGATAGTGTACTAGGTAGAGATGGCAGAGAAGCGCCCGCCACACGTGGAAGAGGCGGGCCAACTAAAGCAACGCCGCAACTGGCCTGAACTTCCCCCCATCAACACCACATCCCATCAACTTCTCCTCTCTCCTTTCCTCACCACTGCTTTGTGCTCGCTGGATAGCGCCTCTCTTCTCATCTAGCCCATTGTTGGGTCCTCTCTCATCTTCCCATCTTTATCGCCCCCCTTTCCCCTTCTCGCTTCGTCACCCTGGAGGCCGCATCTGCACGGATGGCAGCTAGGGACCGCTTTGGTGGTGCCTACGCTGACCTGGGGCTCACTCCCCTCCAACGAGCTGTTCGTATGTTTTCTTACACCCGTGGCTTCGGTCTAGTAAGGCGAAACTGACACAGTCGTCTTTGGTGGATAGGAAATGCCTGTGACATCACCCACTACGAGCCCAATCTCGCCCTGAACCTCGAAGTTGCGGACCTGATCAATTCCAAAAAAGGCAATGCGTGAGTCGCCGTCGGCCCCGTCCAAAGGGGCTTGGTTCTTACAAACTACAGACCCCGAGAAGCTGCGCTCGAAATCGTCCGCCTGATCAACTCTCGCAATCAGAATGTCGCGTTACTGGCGTTGGCGGTAGGTGGTCGCATCTTTCCCCCCGATCGTCGGAGAGTGCGGGGTTGGCTGATGTTGTGCTCCTTTTGCGTCTAGCTTCTGGATATCTGTGTGAAGAACTGTGGATACCCCTTCCACCTCCAGATCAGTACCAAGGAGTTCCTCAATGAGTTGGTGCGCCGGTTCCCCGAACGCCCGCCGTTGCGCCCCTCGCGCGTGCAGCATCGCATCCTGGAGTCGATCGAGGAATGGAGACAGACCATCTGTCAAACGTCGAGGTACAAGGAGGACCTGGGCCATATTAGGGATATGCACCGGCTGCTACTCTACAAGGGCTATGTCTTCCCCGAGATCCGCCATGAAGATGCGGCCGTGTTGAATCCTAGTGACGTATGTCCGACCCAACACCCACCCATCTGTGAGGCCTTGGATGGAACACTTTCATGCTGACTCGGTCTGTCTAGAATCTCCGGTCCGCCGAGGAGATGGAGGAGGAAGAGCGAGAAGCGCAATCGGCGAAATTGCAGGAGCTGATCCGTCGAGGCACCCCCGCGGACCTACAGGAAGCCAATCGGTTGATGAAGGTCATGGCGGGCTATGATAATCGACACAAGACCGATTACCGGGCGAAGGCTGCGGAGGAGGTGGCCAAGGTGCAGCAAAAGGCCAAGATCTTGGAAGAGATGTTGCAGAGCCATCAGCCCGGCGAGCGGGTTGCAGAGGGGGATGTGTTTGAGGTGAGTACCCCGAGCGGCGGGCTCGACCTCGAGATAATGCTCCAGGTAATGTATGACTGACCTCGTCCAGGAACTTGCCAATGCGCTTCGGAGCGCCCATCCCAAAATCCAGAAGATGTGTGAGGAGGAATCGGACGACCCCGAGGCGGTCCACAAGCTCCTGGAGATCAACGACAGCATCCACCGCACGATTGAACGGTACAAGCTTGTGAAGAAGGGCGATTACGATGCTGCTGCCAGGATCCCAAAGGGCACGCTCGGCACGACAACCGGCGTGTCGAAGAATGCAAACAACGAACTTTCCCTGATTGACTTTGATCCGGAGCCTAGTTCCAACGGCAGCGCGGCTCAGGCCCAGGCGTCAGGCGGAAGCTCCCTGGAGAATGATTTGCTCGGGCTTTCGATCGACGAACCTACACCCGCAGGAGGCATTTCTCTTGGCCCTTGTAAGGATTGGTCCCTTTTTGAGATTCCCCGGCATAGAGTGACTGACTCTGGAAGCAAATCCAATCATCTCTTCTCCACCTCCCTTCCAACCACAGGCGGCGCAACCAGCATCGCAGCCGCCGGCCTCTGCGGCATTTAAGCCGAACTACGATATCCTGTCTTCCCTGAACTCGTCGCGGCCGGCCTCCCAATCACCATCGCCAGTGCCAGGGACATCCCGGGCACCGAACGCCCCATTGGCAACGGCCACCCCTCCGCCCGCCGATCCGTTCGCCTCATTGGTGTCGGCAAGTCCGCGACATGGCAGCCCGTTCCCATCGGGGGCTGCCACGCCGACGCCACCGCAGCCGGCCACCACGGGGTCTTCATCCTTGTTGGATTTGATGGGCACGCAGCCCTCGGGAGGTCCCGCAGCCAAAGGCGACGACGATGAGTGGAACTTTGCCTCGTCTCTGCCGGAGAGCAGCACACTGCCGACGACCAACCGGGTGCAGGTGCTGGACTCGCTGCTGCGGATCGAGTTCGTGGCGCGGCGTCACCCCCAACAGGCACGACAGATCCATGTTGCGGCGCTCTTTTCGAACGGCACCAACCAGGTGCTCAACGAGCTGCATTTCCAAGTGGCTGTGGAAAAGGTAAGCTAGACTACTGCGGTGTTTTGATTTACGCGTTGTATCTATGACCACCGAGCGGCCAGAAGCTAATCCGGTTGGTAGGCCTACACATTACAGCTTCGGCCGCAGTCTGGCCGCGATATCGCCCCGCAGCAGGCGAACGGGGTGCAACAGGAGATGCTCATTGACGGGGTGGATGCGGGTAAAGGGAACTCCATCAAGATGCGGTTCCGGGTGTCGTACCGGGTGGGCCAGGAGCGGAAAGAAGAGCAGGGGATGGTACCGTCGTTGGGGATTGCATAGGAGGGGGGATGGGGGAAGCGGCTGTGGCTTGTTGCGATCTTGTCGCTGCGTTGTTCAGCCTGGCATAGTGTATACCTGAATCTCAGTTGATTTCTTGCTTATCAGGCTACAACAGGGGGGAGGCCCTGATTTTGCGGCGTAGGGGATGTATAACCGAGGTTCTCTGAAGTCAATCCTTATCAGGAACATCGGCCATGCCGGTGTACTTAGGACCTTCCTTTTTGCATATTGCATTTTGCCTTCTGCCTTCGCACGAAAGGAACTGAAGAATGGGGCCAGGTACACGGAGGAGACACGGAGGAGACCACGTTGGGAAGTATGTACGGCGGACGTAGGCAATGGGCAACAAAAAGGTCTCCAGTGTGGCTGGAAGGCGAACGGAGTGGCGTCATCCGCGCGGTCCACTCAAAGGGGATTACTCGGTCCCGTGCAGTCGCTCGCATGAATCAAGATGCAAAAACTCGACAACGGTTGATCCGGGCAGATCTGGGGCACACGCCCAGGCCGAGGCTGAGAGGTGATCTGTCCACTCAGCACGCAATTGCCTGTTTGAGGTGGAGCGTGGTGATATCGCCACAGACCGGGTATACGGACGGTGGATAGCTGATCTGGGGTCGGTCGGAGCAGGGATTCCGTACGCATGATCTACAGAGGATCTTGGTCTGTATGCGCGTCGTACGCCATCTGGTCCGTAGATGAATGGATGTAGATTAAACGAGGGTGAAGACCCAAGGGTCAGCGACCGGAGGAAGGTCGAGTCCGAGGGGTAGGTGCCTCTTGAAATTGAGGACGACGAGCGTGGGGCAGACCAGCAGTAGGAGCAACTATCCCGTACGACTGGATCGGCTGTGACCGACGGGAAGGAGTAGTAGGGCCGTGATAAGTCTCAGTAGTCAGTAAGTACTATCGAGAGGTATGAAGCGGCTGACGCCATGTAACGATCGCACTGAGGATCGGCTGAGGTAAGCTGGCCGGACCAGGGATAGCGGCTCCCCCCCACCGGGTCCCCAGCCACCAATCAGACACAGCCTCTGCGATAGCCCCGAACTAAACCTAATTCAGTGGTCCGTGGGAGCCTCAGGCAGCAGAACCTTGCCTCTTGCGGCACCAGCTAGGTAACCTCTCCTCTCTCTCTTCTCTTCTCCTCTCCTCTCCTCTCCTCTCCCTCTCGAACCAAAACCTCTCGCTCCTCCATCTCCACTCGACCCTAACTTCAATCCCACTAGCGGTCGTCAATCCCCGGTTCGCCTGGCTCGTGCGCTGCACATCACGACCTTCCCTTTTAGGTAGCTTGCGGTGGAGTCCTCCATCCCACGTCCCAATGGCTATCTCGCCTGTCGGCGTTTGTTCGCTCGTCCAGAGCGAACCGGCGCTCTCGACGATTATCGGCTAGTCATGTTAGCCCACGAAGGATACCCTAATCGGGTCAAGGAGAAGACGAGGATAGAGGGGCGGCCCTGTCAGCTGGTGCAGCTTCACACCCCCACTCTCTTCCCCCTCCGATCCGATCCTATCAATCTGGACCTCGCGGACACCTGCAGGATTTCCCCAGATCGCTCTGCAAATCTGCGCCGTAGTGGATGTGGGATCGTTTGGTCTAGTCTGGATTTTGGTGTCTTGCTGTCTTTCCAGCCCTACCCGTTGTGCATCCGCGCCATGCATCATCATGTTCCGTCTCCGGGGAGGGATCTGCTATCAATGGGGTCCTGCTGGAAGCCTGGAAAATGGTTCCGGCTCGCTCTCAGCTCTTTGCGCGGTTTTGCATCGAGGTGAAGAACCTTACAACGCTTACAAAACTTTCCATGGCAGCCCCCGGCGCTGGGTTTGGTCCCGCAGTAAGAGAGGATTTTGGACGGATGGATTCCATGGAACCGGCCCCATCGAGACTTTGACCGGCCCTTGTATTGAGGACCCCAACCTCGCCATGGATCGCTCGTCTAGACCACTGCAGTGCCTTGCCTGACAGCTTGCTCCTACTGCAAAGTTCAACCCTGGGCGAATATGATAGGCCGAGGGGATGCCCCTCCCATCCGGCCTTCCTCACGGCCTGAATTCCTACATATTCGCCTTCCCTTCCACCCTCTTGTCGTCTGATCTCCGTTCCAGAACTTTTTCCCATCTTGGCCCGGTTGGAATGTACCTCGTTGACCCTGTGTGTTGATTGAATTGATTCTGATTCTCATTATTCCCATCTTTATTGTATCTACCTACCTACCACCTTATCTATCCACCCCCCGATGGCTTCCACGTCGGTCGATCTGGATGTCTCCCCCAACCCCCGAACCCGGGAGGAGAACCAGGAACGGTGTGTTCACCTGATGGATATGAAGGGAATTAGTTGCTAATCTACGTGGCAGTGCCTTTATTGCGGCCTCGAGACGCAAGGACCGCAGCTTGGATGCCCGTCTAGAATCCGCCAACCGAGCCTCCCTGCTGCACAAGCAGCGCACGGGCAAGGCGCTCCTGATCAGCCGGGAGATTGTCGAAAAAGAGGCCATGTACGAAGAAGTCGACGACCGATACAAGGAAAAGCTCAACCGCATGATCCAGATGCAGACCATGTCGATGAAGGATGATTTCCCCCACAGCCTCCTCACGTCGCTGCCCTTTCGTCCTGGCGGGCTGCAGCAACGGCGGGCCTCGAGTATGACGCCGCGGGCGTCGATGGATGGGATCCGCAAGATGAGCCTGGACTTGTCCGGGCTGCGAGCCTCGGTGACGGATGGTATGCATGGGAGCCCGATGGCCAGTCCCATGGGGATGGGGCCGTCGTATGTGATGTCCCCCACTTTCGATGCGAGCTCCCAGTCGCCATCGTATCCCAACGTGGTTCCCGCGTCGTCGGGTCCGCTGCCATCCTACCTGGCGCCGGGCCAAGCGCCGGCGTCGACGTGGGCGTCGCAGACGATCGGACCCCAGGCGGCGCGGGGGTCGTGGGCGGGCTTCCCCATGCCCATGGGCGACCTCACCATGTCGGCGCCGCCGCGGCAGTTCAGGGACCGCATGGGGTCGGCGCCCGTGATCCCGGTGCAGGCCGTGCCATCGGCCAGTGGGGCGCGCACGGCGTCGCAGCACTCGCGCAACCGCTCCGAACCCGGCCAGCCGCAGACGCTGGGCCGGACACCCCATGTGGACATGCTGCCTACGGAGCCGCTGCCCACGCCGGAGCTGTGCCCCACGCCCAGCACGCCGCACTCGCCGACATCGGGGGCGAAGCAGGCGGACTTTCTCAACTGGGAGGGGCTGGACAAGGACGCCGAGGGCCTGGGGTTTTCGCATGGGCTGTCGGATGAGGACTTTGACAACTTCAACCAGTACGCGCTGAGCTTGAACAGTAACAGCGGACTGGCGGATGATTTCAAGATTGACGAGCTGGTGGCGTTTGATGATTTTCCGGTCAGTGCATAGTTTGTATGCTTACGGTCTACATATGCGTGGATGGAGGGGCGATCGGTGTACGGGCAGTGAATACCCAGGGATCGTTGGCGTTCCGGTGTACGATATGATTGTATGATTTTGCGGTGGGGAGACCGCCAGGCCGCAAACGGCGATAAGCGGAGCACGTATGTAATTGATTGATCTATGTATCTATGGGTATTACATATCTTGAGCATGTTGTGTGTCTAGATTGTATGTCTAGGTGATAGCTTATAGACTCTACATACATTCTACATGCTGTCGTCTATCTTCTTTCTTGGTGGAATGGGTGATGTATCTTGTACCACCGCAGGAACTTAGATACAAGCTGAATGTAACCCCTTCTCCACCGGCGATCCGCGCACAGACCAGGTCAAGCTTGTGTGGATCCCCTCCTCTTCTCCCACCTGCCTGACTAGTACAGTAACTACCGAGTAAGTACTACTACTTACTACAACTCTCGTATACTCCATCGATCCCCCCCCCTCTCCTCCTCCAATCCAGGCCCCTCCCCGACCCCAATCGGTGGTTCGATTCGACTCTGGACGCAAAGCTGTCCCGTGCCTGTTCCCTGTTCGCCGAGTTACCCGCCTCTGTTCATTCCCTCCTTTTCGTCTCTTACTTTTGTTAGTCTCGGAGCTCCAGGTCACTTGCGCTGCTTGCGGATGCCCCTCACGCCCACAGACGGTCTGGCCGGGCCATGGCGCTGGGCGTGGGTTCCGGGGTAGCTATCGTACCACAACCTACGGAGTACTTGCCCTTACGCTATTGTATAGTATAGTATAGACTGCCTGTCGATCTGTGGTATGGGCTATGCATGGCTGATCTACATGTATGAGCGATATAGTACCTCCCTCGTTTCCCTCATGGCTAATAAGGAATGCAGTACTCCGTATCTCACAGAGGCAAATCCCGGTCGCCACCGAGACCCGGTGGACACCCTGCACACCAGGTTTGCGTGACGGACGGTTCGGCGGCGTCGCCGTCCATGGCGCTCGTATCGCCGGGTCCACCAGACCCGGTTGCGGTCGACGCAAGCAAACTTAATGCTAGGGGGAATCAGGCGGTCGGGGCCGTCAAGGTCCTTCGTTACTCAGCCCTGACTAAATGTTTGATCATTTCATATCATTTCATATCATATTATCCCTGCATTGGACTGGACTATGACTCCGTAGAATGCAATAAGCAGTACCTAAAGAAGTAGGAGAAAAAGTCTATCTGCCGAACAATTCCCGGCCGATCTCCCCGCTGCGTCGCACGCTCACGCTCGAACTGCTGCTTCGTCGGCGCCGGCTGCGATTCTCGGCGGGGTCGGCGGGGCTGAGTCCGCTCGCCCGCGCGTGCAGGTTCAGGATGTCGGTCAGACTCACCACTCCGACGAGTCGTCCGGACAGACGCGCGCCTGGGAGAGCCGAGGCCGGGATCGACGGGGTTACTGCGCTGGACGGGCCCGGCACCGGGAGGTAAGGCTGCGGGAGATGCGACGAGGAGTAGTTGGCAGATGGCGGCGACGGCGACGGAGGGGGCTGCAGGGGCGGCTGCGACTGCGATTGCGAGCTGCTGCTCGAGGTGCCATTCGGAACGAGTGGGATATGCACACTGGAATGCGAGGGGGTCGGCGGGCCGGACGATGAGGGCGAGAGGGGATCCGTTACCCAGAGTCTAGCAATCGTTAGCTACTGTTGCTTCTCTTTCCGATTTGTGGGTACCGACCGGTGCGATTTGGTGGCCACCACCTTGGCCACCGTATGCGCCAGGGTCGAGCCCGGGTGCACATGGAACACCGGGAACGAGTCCTTGCCGTCGACTAACCCGCGCGTCGACAGGATCACCGAGATGAAGTGGGTGCAGGTGTTGCGGAGCAGAGGAAGCGAGGAGGATCGGGTGAGGAGCTGTCATCTGTCAGCATACTGATCCTGAATCCACCCGACCCGGCTGTCGTACCTTCACGTCGGTCGTAGAGATATTGCCGACGACATTGAAATGGTTGTCCACCACGGCAATTGAGGAGATGCCCTCATTGTTCATGATCTGTAGCGCCTCGCATAGAGGTTTATCGCCGCTGCGGGCCATTAGTCACGTCATTCGCTCGCTCCCATCATATCAACGGCACCTACTTGATGGAGATCACCTCCCGCGACCCGATGCGCAGATCGCGCAGGGCCTGCGGATACAGCTGGTCGATCACGGGAAAGCTGCGGCCGTTCTCCCACAGGAACTTGACCAGCCGCAGTTGACTGAAGATGCCGACGACTTCGCGGCCGTTGTGCTCATTCACCACCACCACCCGATGCACCCCGCCGCCAAAGGTCTCGACGGCCGTCATCACGCTGGCCGTCGCTGGGAGCGTCGTCATCGGCTCTTTTCTTCCCAAATCCTTTACGTCTTTCAGCGGAATCGTGATACCCTCGCGGGCTTTCCGTGCGAGCTCTTCGTACGATGCGAGGGTCTCCTCATCTGGCTGGGTCAAGCCCGCCGCGAGGAGCAGATAGGCATTGAGGTCGTTATAGTCAAAGGTCCCGACCGCCGACGTGTGTTGGGGAGTTTCCCGAATCAGTAAAACCGGTGCGCCCGACTCAATCAGGACCTATAGTCACTTAGATTAGCCCCGGCTACCCTTCAGATTCCCCGCAAGATGCCTCTCACATTGGTCGCTTCCTCAATGCCCGTATCGATTTCTACGAATTTCAGGTCATCCGGGCTGACCAGCTCCCCGATGGAGATCTCTCGCCAGTCACGCCCGACGAAGGCCGGGTCCACATGATTGGGGGCTGGCGGGTTATCGATCAGACTCTGGATCGCCGACTGGGTGAGGGACGGCTGTCGACGGGCGCGCGGCGAGCCCGGCGCGGCGCGGAGGGACTCGCTGAAGCTCTGGCGGTGCTGATGGTTGGACGAGAGACGGAGGGACTGGCTGCGCATGGAGGGGGAGCGGGAATCGGTGCTGGATCGCGGGGATGCAACGTTGGATCCATTGGAATTGTCTGCAACCGGGTCAACAGGGCGATCCGCCATGATGAGGAGGTCGCGAGAGATGAGCTGTATGACACGGATGGATATGTAGGAGATGGAATATGACAGAAGAGGATGAGGGAGGGAACAGAGATGATAGAGGCAAGACCGAGATAGAGATAGAGAGGTCTCATGTCGGGCTGCGGGGAAGGGCGGTGTGGCCAATTAGCGGGGAAGCGGTCATTCCCGCGTCATCCACAATACATACCTGCTGTATACTCTTCTTCTCTCGATTCTCGAGTTCTTGGAGTATCTCGCACTCTCGTCGAGATGTAGGCGATCGATGACTGCCGCAATCACATAAATCCTCCCAGCAAAATCCCCAGATCCTGCGCGGGTCGTTTCTTCATCACGGCCTTCTTGACCGGTCTCTTCTCCGTTGACTCCTTGAGCTTCTTCCTCGCGCGCTCAGCATCGTCCGACTGGACCCGGCGGAACACCAGAATCTCAATGTTGTTCCTCCTGCGCTTGCGACCGATCTGAAAGTCCAGCACAGGACCCTCGCACGCCTCCGCCGAGCCACCCGCCTGAGCCACCTCCTCCTTCACCACCCCCATATAACACGCATACAGCGCAGCCTGCGGCTCCTCCATCTTGTCCAGAACCCACCCATCCATGACCTCCGGGGTCGGACGCAGCCTCGAACACCCACACGCAATCACCACGCGCAGCGCCGGAAACGCCTTCAAATACCGCAACACCACGCCCGTCACCTCCGCCTGGTTCGTGAACCGCACGACGCGCACGCGCGCAAACGCCTCCCCCGTCTGCGCCAGCTCCCCCCACGTCCGCACAATCCGGTCGCTCACCGCCGTCATCGGCGTTTCCGCCCCCTCCGGCACGCTCGCCGCTGTCGTCGTCGCCGGCGACGCCACCTCCAGCGCGACCAGGTTGCGGATCTCCGCCACGCCCACCATGTCCGGTACGCGCGCAAATGATGCCGCAAGTGTGAGCACCGTGCGCCAGCGCTGCGCGTCGCTGCGCACCATGGCCAGGTACTGCGGCATCGGGAGGAGCGGGCCCTCGATCTTCATCGTGCGGTGCGGGCAGTGCGCGGGGAAGTCAGCGGGATAGGTGGTTGCGAAGAGCTTCCACATGTAGAGGGTTTGCTTTCCGCTGCACACAGCCATCAGTTCACACGTCAGACGGTAGAGGTGAATGTCAGGGTAGGGTAGGTTACCTCCGCCCCAGACACTCCCACAGATACCGCGCCGTCCGCCACGGCACCGTGTCGAACAACGACGGGCTGAGAACCCGCTGGTCGGAGAGGACCTGGCGCATCGCAATGTGCTTCAGCGACGCGGCGCCGCGCGCGCTGCGGTCTTCCCAGCCTGTTGGTAGGAATGGCGACTCGTGCACCCAGGACGGACCATTGGCGTGCGTGGTTTTTGGCGCGGACGCCAACTGCGTGTAGACTTGGCCGGACTGTGCATCGATACGTTTGGACGATTGGGGACGCAGGTCTGCGCGGGTGATTTTGAGCTGAATGGGCATGGTCAGTTAGGATGGACGTAGTGTTGCTTTGCGTATAGTCCGGTGGTCATAGTAGACCGTAATGATGCCGTTGCCGATGGGGAGGACGGTCTCAAGCTAGGCTTGTAGGATCTTGCGACTGCGGTATTCAACGGTAGAATCGTACTTAAATCTGGCGGATACTAGACTGACACGCCGCGTATAGCATCGCGTAGACGCGTGTTGAAGCCTCTATGGATGAGTGGATACACGTGACCTTACCGAAAGACATCTTAATACTCCGTATACTCTTAACGCTACAGCCTACGACGCAACGACCTCCAACAAGAAACGAAAATATTTTCATAAAATAAAGAATAGTAAAGATAACAGCTCAAAGCTCAAACAATCCCAAAACCAACCGAACAACCATCCGAAAACCCGAACCCGAAAATTATTTACATGACATAAAGCAGGTTCACATCTAGTTCCCCGTTAGAATTCTTCTTCTTTTTCTTCTTCGGTGATGCGCGATGCCTGCGCAGAAGCCTTCGTCGGGGACTTACCCAGTGGATGACTGCAACTTAGCTGTGGTTTCTGTGAGTATTTGGTCGCCAGCTCGTCGCGGATGCTGTTCAGCAGCTGCACGTAGCTTTGCTGCGGGTTCTTCCGGAGCGCCGAGATGAACGCCCACGACATGGCGCCCGTGGCCTGGCCCTGAATCTGCGCGTCGGAGCTGGTCTGGCTGTCCTTGCTGCCGGACCACATGATCACATCGGCGGGGCTGGTCTTGGTCTGCTTGGTGCGCTCGTACGCCTCGTCGCCCTTGGCCGCCTTCTTGAGGAAGCCCACCGCCGTCGACACCATGCTGCCCATGTCGCCGCGGGCGTACGCCGACACCACCCCCAGCAGACCCTGTCCAGCCTCCTTGGCCAGGTTGGGCTCCTTGAGGATGCCCTGCGTCGAGTAGATGTACGGCAGGTCCAGGGCGGATCCGGAGTGACACGAGTCGAAGATGGCCGTCAGTCGCGTGCCGGGTTTCAGCGGGTTGACCATGATGCGATGCATCTCGTCATCGACAATGTGGCCGGCGACACGGAAGTCGACCGGGTAGATGACCTCGTCGTAACCGTCGTCCTCGTCGCCGTCGAGATCGGGCGTCTGACCGCCGTGGCCTGCCGAAAGAGAGAGAAAAGTTAGATGCTATGGCGGCGTAAAGTCTCGACGGGGAGCACTCACCGGAGTAATGGAAAAAGAGGGAGTCGTTGGGCTGGGCGTCCTTGACCAGCCAGTGCATGGCGCGCAGGATGTTGGCCTTGGTGGGCTGGCTCATGGGGTTCTGTTGGTCATCGGTGAGAAGGACCATGTCTTCGCGGGCATAGCCGAAGTTCTGGTTCAGGTAGGTGGACATGTTCTTGACGTCGTTGATGCATCCGCGCAACTGGCCTTTCTGACCGAAGTAGTTGATGCCGATCAGGAGGGCCTTTCTCTTCCCCGTGCACCGCGAGTATTGGAAGTTGTAGCCTTGGGGCGCGCCATGGCCGAACGCGACGGGGTCGGTTGGGGGCGGCGCGGGACGGCCGTGGCCACCCTGGTAAGAGTTGTGCTGCTGGTAGGGAGCGGGAGGGCCTGGACAACAGGAGACGATATTAGCGACATCGGAGGACGTGATTCCAAACGGGGTGAGGCGACATACCCTGCTGGTACATGTGACCACCACTCGGCGGCGGACCGTAACCGGAGGGGCGCTGCTGATAGAGATGTCAGCACCGTCGCATTTTCGCACTCTGTCGAAAGTCTCCACGTGACATACCTGATAATTCGGGGGAGGCGGTTGCGCATACGGCTGAGGAGAGGGTTGACCGTAGTAGGGCTGTTGCTGACGGTAGGCCTGGCCGGGATAACCGCCGCCGCCGCCGCCGTAGGAAGAATGATGGTGATGCTGCATTTGAGGTCTGGAGTGGGTGAAGTCAGTGATGAAGAGGGAGAAAGAAGGAAGAAGGTGAAGAAGGTCAAGATGGAAAGAGAAGATTGCTTACTGATAGGGCTGCGGATAGGGATTATTATTATACGGCTGCGGGGGGTAACCGGGCGGACCGGAATAGGGGGGATAATAGGACATTCCGGGTGGCGGGGGAAGCAGGTGGTTGCGAGTGGAACTGCAGCCTAAGAGGGAGGGTCCTGGGAGGGGCGAAAGAAGACAAACAAGGCTGCCTGATGAGCGTAGGTAGGTAAGGTCGTAGGAGGTACAGGTAAAGAGGCACGAGTACTGGCTGTACGGAGTAAGGTTAGGCAGGTACTGCGGAGTACGCTCGGAGGTCAGACTCGCTCGGAGCGGATTATCCTGCTTCCTTTCCAGGTTGCTCGCTCTTGACATGTACTAATAGTTATCTGGTCCACCCATTCTTCTGTCTCTATACTTCTGTTTCTACTCTCCTTCATTACTATTGATTTCTATTCTTCCATTCTTCTACGTACAGATTCTTACTCGGAGATTGCCGAGGCTGGGACGAACCACCGTGAGATCTGATTTGCTCAGCCTTACCGCAGACCCCCCTTCCCCCACCGCTGATTGGTCCGATCTGGATATAAATACCCTTCCGCCGAGTCTATTATTAAGGCTGCATCCATATCGACAATAGACAAACTTCTGGATACTTCTGAATAGTCTCAATATCAACATTATCTAGATAATCACACGAAGAACCCCTCTTCTTGTCCACTGCCCCATCTCACAGCCGGCCTCTTCATAAATTTTCTTCGCCAACTCTCACTCCTTACCGACCCCGACGGGGCATGCCACGGCCCCGTCCTCCACCAAGCGCCCGCTGAGCAGCTCCCGGGGGAAGTCCACGCGTCGGCGCCTGAGGCTGGGCCGATTCTTCGTTCTCTGTCATTCACAGTTAGCATCACCAAATATATCATCAACCAAGGGACCGACGTACTGATGGTCTCGTCCACGCTGAGGATCAGGCAGGCCGCCTCCACGGCCGCCTGAATCGCGTTCACCTTGACCAGACTGGGCTCCCACACAAACGCCTCCATGTTGTCGCGCACACCCTCGTGGTCAAAGTCCACGCCGGCCCACACCGCGCCCTTGCGGTGGTCCACCCGCAGCCGGTTCAGGATGTCGGTCGCATCGAAGCCCGCGTTGTCGCACAGCTGACGCGGAATCACCTCCAGCGCCTTGGCAAACGCCTTGACCACGGCTTGCTGCTTGTGGGGCACGTTGCGGTCCGCATACTTGTGCAGGTAGCCGGACAGCTCCATCTCGGTGGCACCGCCTCCCGCGACGATGGTCGTGTTCCGCAGCGCCCGCTTCACAATCATGATGGCGTCGTGCAGACTCCGCTCCACCTCGGCAATGAACTGCTCGGCTCCGCCACGGAGCACCAGCGTACACGTCTTGGCCGCCGGGCACTCCGAGAACAGGTTGAACCGCTCCCCACCAATCTGACGCTCCTCAAACGAGCCGCAAGTACCCAGATGACGCTCCTGGATGTCGCTGCAGGTCGACTGCGTGGCGGCGCCAGTCGCCTGGCACACCCGCTCCATGTCCTCCGCTGCAACACGACCCGCACAGAAGATGTCGCGGTCCGCAAAGTACCTATGCTGTCAGTCTTGTCCAATAACAGTAAGAAGAGGGGAGGGAGCCCGAGTAACATACTGTGTAGCCAAATCACCGATAGGCAACTTGCTGAGCACAACCTTCGCACCCGTCTTGTAGATAGCCTCGAGCTTGTTGTAGATGATCTGCCACTCCGCGTCGACGATCGCCTGGTACTCGGAGACCTGCTCAACCCGGACCTCCGCGTTGTCCTTTTCGCTCTTCAACTCCAGCTCGACGTTCAAGCAGACGATCTTGGGGTCCTTGAAGGACTTGGGCTGCTGTTCGAAACCGGCATAAGAGAAGGTCTTCTTGAAGGCCACACCGTTGACAAAGAGCGAATCCTGCAGACCACCGCCGGTGACCTTCTTCACACCGATCAGTTTCTCGTTCAGGTCGTCCTGGTCCAGCGACAGCACCGCATCGACAACCACTAGAGAGAAAAAAGACCCGTTAGCGTCCACCCACCCACACAAATCCGCAGAGCTTACTCTTGGTGAAAAAATCCGAGTTCCGCTTGATCAGCTTGCTGTTCATGGCCGTGCCCGCCAACCGTCGTAGCGTCTCCACCTTCTTCTCTTCACTGCCAGCCGACTCGATCATTTCCACCGCAATCTCCTTGACCTTGTTGACGGCCATGGAACCGGCTCTCCGTAGGCCCTTGATAATCGTCTGTGAACTGACGCCCTGTTCCACCAGCTCGCGGACTTCCTTCAGAATCTCACCCGCCAGCACCACCACCGACGTGGTGCCATCGCCCACCTCAGCGTCCTGGGAGCGCGCAATATCGGTCAAGATGCGGGCGGCGGGGTGCACAATATCGAGGAGCTGAACAAATCAATCGTGAGAACAAATCCCTGGACCGAGCGACTATGAGAGAAACGCACCTTCATTACTGTGGCACCATCGTTCGTGATGGTCTGCCGGCCGTTGCTGTCCACCAGCAACAGATCCCCGCCGTACGGACCGAGCGTGCTCTTGATCGTGGATTGCACTGCGACGCAGGCATTGATGTTGGAAATGATCTGTCCCTTTCCCTGCGAGGCATCCGTGCCTGATTTGCCAACCAGTCAGTGATTGTGGTCCTCCCACAGTGAAAATGGAGACGGAGGAGGGGGGGAACTCAGGAATGCGGGCGGGAGACGGACCTTCTTTGAGGACGATGATTGTGGGAGTCTGGCCGGCGAAGGCCATTTTGATCGAGGCTGATCTAAGGGAATAGAATGAGCGAGAAAGAAGAGAAAGGAATGCGTGGGTGGAGGGACGGTGATGATGGAGAAGAGCGGAGGGGGAGCAACAATAATATTAATGGAACGAGCTCGACGCCAAAATTTCCCCGTCCGCGCTGAGGCGGTGACCAATCATGAGCCGCACTACCGACACCTTAGGTACTTACTACGAAGTACCTGTTCTACTTCGCTACATTAAGAAAGATAGAAGAGAAATTATAGAATAGATAAATAAATGGTTTGAATATTAGATGCTTCGTGTTCTATATTTACGATCGTATATCCTATTCGTCCATCATCCGTAAATGTATCGAATCCAAAATCAACGCCGGTATCATGCTACTGGAAAAGAACAGAACCCCGAAAAGCCATCTGGCCGTCACGTAAAGTCCAACCCTTCGTCGGGTGCTCCACCATACGGATACTTGTCCGGCAACTGCTCATGTTGCACGTCGCTGGCCTGCGAGTGGACCAGTCCTAAAGCCCCCTGATGGAGGGTGGTTTCATCGGCATTCGCTGGGTCGTCGACCATCATATGGTAGTCGTGACTATGGTGTCGGACATGATCATCAAAGCTCGGGTTCGATAATGCCTGCGTGGTGTGGCCATAAAGTTGGGACATTTCATCGTGCGCTTGGTTGAAGCGGGTGAGTTGCTGGTGGATATGGGCCATTTGCTGTTCAATCGGCATGTTTGCATAGTCCGCTATCGCCGCATCGACCGCTCCCTGTACCACAGAGGGGTGTGGCGTGTCAAACGGGTTCTGGGTATGATGTGGATCCAGTGTGGTATGGCCCATGAGCGAGGTCGCGCCCATGGGGTCATTGTGCGGCATGTTGGCTCCGCTCGTGTCGTGGTTGCGGTTCTCCGTGAAAATATCATTCATCACCGGTGCCTTGAGAGTCTCTTTGCACTCGGGACAGTCTCGGATCACCCGACTGACCGTTTCTTTAATCCGCACCCAATGGTATTTGACTGCGATGGCCGCGGTCGTCTTATTGATACCCGCGTGTTGCTCGTTATGCAACTCCCGCGCGATCTCGTACTGTTGCTGCGGATCCGATACCACCTCCTTATCCTTCAACATGAGCTTTTCGGTCTCCCCGTCTTCCCCACCGACGAGTTTGTAGTGAGTCGCGGCACTGCGAAGGCGACTCTTTTCGGCTCGGTCAGCGCCCCGAGGATACTTGGAGTGTTTGAGGTAGTAGCGGATTTTGTCGAATCGATCTTGTGTTACAGAGTCCTCGCCCTCGGGGCCGAGATCCCGACCGTAAATGATCGCATCAACATATTGCCCGGGGTTGGAGATGAGACGACCGCCTCCTGGCACTCTGCCAATACGCTTGAAACCAAGCGAATCCCAGAGACGACATGAGGCGACGTTGCTTTCATACACGAGGTTGAACACGGCATATGTATATCCCTACCGAAGATTAGTCCTGAACAGAGTAGTGGACGTCGGCATCCAACGCCCTTAGGGGTTAGGCAAGACGAGACGGTAGCCAACTCACCAGCTTTGGAGCCCATTCCAGATATCCCTCCCCCATCAAGCGACCGACACCGCGATTTCGCGCGGCATCAGTGACGAGAAACATCCCGTTGCAGACATGGCTACTACGCCCCGGGTAGTTGGGGCGGACATTGAAGCTGCCCAGGCAGATCTTGGCCCAATTGGCGCCGGCGCGGTCCAAGGCGTGCATCTGGTAAGCGCTCCTGATATCACCCAGGATCATGATGGCGCTGAACCCGGAGAACCAGTACTGGCTAAACTGCTCGAATGGGATGGGATCAATCATGGCGTACGTATCGCCCTTTTCGATTTCCTTATTCAACTGCTCCGACAAGTAGCTCATCAAGGACCGGGGCACATTCTCATGGGAGACAAAGGGCACGAGTGTGGCGATCGTGACCCGGTCCCGGAGAGTGACCTGGCGCGGATAGATCTCCGGCGGCAGGTCACTCTCCGTGGGGAGCAGAGAGGTGGTTAGATCTCCATGTACAGCAGGCATGATGCGAGATTTCAGACATTGGGGGGCCGGACTCGGCCGGTCACGACTGTTTCCCAGATTAGTTCCATCTCGTTTGAGATCAGACCGAAGATGAGACAGTAGAACTAGAACAAGCGATCCAGAGCGAGGCCCACAGGGGGCTGGCTACAGCAGGAACAAGAAGACTACAATACGGGTTGTGTATGTAGATGTATACCAACGTGAGGCACTTACTGTATAGATCGACCGACGGGCACTTCGAGGACCGCCGTGTATTCTCGAGTCCGGAATGGGGTGAACGCAGGAGCAGAAAACCTCGTCCCGCGAGTTTGCTTTGGGAAAAGACGATGAGTCAGCTACGGAACAATAATTTTCCTACGTACATGCATATCTTAGTCATTTATCACGTGCTAGACTTATGCCGCATTATGCATGTTAGTACAGAGTACGGAGTATCTTATTCCTCCATTGTCCATCTTCATCAGACCGTCTCAGGCAGACTCTTGCAGAGTCTTGCAGAAAACTTCATCCATCCTCTGCAAGCGAGGTTGCTGCACCAGCGACGCTTGGTATTCCCCACCCATACGATGTTGCATTGGACTCGCGGCTAAGACTAGCCTAGGTACAATGCCACTGTTCAACGGATCCTTCTAGACCCTTCTCATGCTACCTCACGGGGGCGTGTTCAATCGACAACCGGCTAGACGCACGATGACCGTGAAGAAAATCCGGCGTGGCTACAGGGATGTGGAGGTGGTTGCAAGGATGTCGAAGCCATCTGCGACAATTATCTTCAGCATTAAGACAGAATACAGAGATGCTTTGACCCAAACGACTCAAGGGCCTCGTTAGTCTTGTTGAAGGGCCCACCGCAAGCTATCCCTCGAGGGGCAAAGATTGTCATTTGCCAAAAGACTTCATTCAATTGTTGGAATCTCGGATCGATCATACGTACAGTACGGTGACAACAAAGCTATGAGGCCTGTTGGCCCCCTTATGTCCTCCAACATTGCTGAATCCTTTGGTGGACACGGAACATTCTGGATACTCGATGATAAAATTCTTCACCTGCATGATTTCCTGCACCTAAGGTACCCAATGTCTGCCGCCGTCACCATAATCGCCAATGAAACCGAAGCCGAGTCCTTCAGGCGTGTCATAGCGTTGAGATCGTCCGGTACGGGAAGAATCCTCCGGCTTTAGAATACAGGCCAATCCTCGCTTCGCGTGCTTCGTATTCTTAGATGCTGATGGCTCCATATCGGGAGGCGCCGCTAGGCTTAAGACTTGCCAGGGGCTAGTCCAGAGTCTTCAGGACGGCGTCCAGATGGACCCTTATTTAATCAGGCCGTCCCATCGCCCACATTCAACGCGCTGGCGGATTCAAAAAGACAAGAATCTCCCGCGAAGAATACTAAGGTAGTGCTTCTTACCAGTGATCAAATCTCCGCAATGACTGACGCGGTGCCCCGCTATGGCTCGGACCCCGAGGCTACCGCCGTCGCACGTCGCAAGAAGCGTCGGGCAAGTCATCATCGCCAAAACACCATCCGTGCCTGTGACACCTGCAAGGAGAAGAAGACGCGATGCAGTGGCACTCTACCCTGCGTGCGATGCTGTCGCCTGGGGATCCAGTGTGAGTACCTCAGCTCGTATTCTCGAGGTCTTGCTCCACCCCTACCCCCGCCCCTGAGTGCTCCAGACAGTCTCCCAGCCGTCTACGCGCACTCTCGAGCGACCTCTCCGCAGCAGGACCCCACCAGCTCTTGTAATTCGATCAACGGTCTCCTATCCTGTCCCGACGTGCAAGGTACTGAGCCTGGACCAGTATCAGGCCTTGCCTTTTTTGCCCGCGTTTGCCAGTATCTGAAATCTCAACAACCATCATCCAGCCTGGCTTCAGTATCCTCTCTGGGAGAGCCTAATCCGGAAGCCCCCGATGCCTCTTCAGTGTTCCGGTACGGGGACAAGCCGTACAAAAAGTACGATATATCGGACATCGAGCTTCCATCTCTCGAGCAAGCGATGCACTTAGTTGCTGTTTACTTTGACTCCGCTGTGGTAACATACCGATTCCTCCACCGCGGCCTGGTGGAGCAGTGGGTCCGTCAGCTGTTTGAGTATGGGGTATCCCCATCGAAACTGCCCCCCGGGCCCGTCGTCGTGAGGGCGAGCATTGTCTTCGGGATCTTTGCGATTGGCGCGCTGTATGACCAGCACGAATCAGCTTTTCCAGTGGATGGTGATGATCAAAGGTAAACTTTATCTCGTGAAGCACTCCCCCGGCATATGCTGATTTGCGGAAAGTGAACGATGGCTCATCATGGCCAAGCATTTGGCGTTCTTGGAAGCTGGTCCACCTCGACTCGAAAGCATTCAGGCTCGATTGAATATCTGCTTGTACCTCCTGGCATCGTCCCGGGCTTCGGAGTGTTGGTTTTCCTTCGGGCTCATCGTGCAATTGATCCTCGCACTGGGCCTGCACCGCGCGGCTCCCGTTCCGCCAGATAGGGATCATGGGGCCGCGTACCTCGAGCAACAGCTGCGTAAACGAGTCTGTTGGAGTGCATACACGTTGGACCGCTATATCAGTGTGATCTTTGGCCGCCCGCAGCTATTCCACGAGGAGGACATGGACCAGGACCTCCCGGACGAGGTAAGTGATGGGGATCTTCTCCTAGACGACCCGCTCTTGCGAAGTGGGCGGCCTGATGCTGTTATGATCACATCTGTCCTACACTACAGGTTGGTGAATTCCTTTCCTGGATGACTTGCGGTAACAACACTAACCCGTCATCGATCTAGACTCGCTCGAATTGTGGGGTCTATCTCTCGACAGCTTTACACGTCAATATCACCCTCTCAAGAAACTCCACTTGAGCGGGCCGTGCTATTGATGCTAGAGCTTGAAAGATGGAAGGAGAGCGTCCCCAGCTTCCAGGACAAGGGGCGGTCTGAAATAATACAGCTGGCGTACTCTCACGCGATCATCCACGCCACTCGCTCTCTCCTCTTCATTGACTCTAACGACATGTCTGGCGCCCCGGTACCCTCTGCTACGGTGGTGTCATACATTCAAAAATGCATTGGCGCAGCGGAGGAGATCATGACCATCGTGGACGAACTCTCCAACCAGGGCCGATTAATCCAGGGATTCTGGTTCACGCACTACACGTGTTTTTGTGCGATCACTGTGGTCTACATCTACATCATCCGGCAGCACCAGTCCTCCTCGCTCATCGGCACGTCCAGCCAGTGCATCGACGATTCCGCTCGACTCCGCTACCTGTTCAGCCTTGCTGAGACTTGTCAGCAGCATCTCGGCCGCGTCACCGCCCACAGCAGTCCAAGCCGCCGCTACGGACTCATCCTGGAAGAGCTACGGCTGGAGGTACATCGCCAGATCCTGTCCCATCTTCGGCCTACGCGGCAGAGTACCTCCCCTGGCGGTCCTCAGGACCGTCGGGCTGACAGTGTATCCAACGAACCCGCCGCGTCTAGAAGAGGGGTCGCGAGTCTCACGAGCTCGTCGCAGCCTTCGCCGCCCACCTTGGGGTTTGACGCGCACGGGTCGATGGGTTCCTTGGCTTTGCAGGCGGACCTGGGTGATCCGACTGCCATTCCAATTTCCGATCCCATGAGTCTGGGGGACAGCGCGGATGGTGCGGCCTGGTGGGCGCAGCTGGACGCCTGGGTAAGCTTAACCACGTTAGAGCTGTGTGAATGGTACTGACTGTGGTAGGCATATTCGACTCTTTCTGAAGAGCCTTCTGTCTTTACATTCTAGTGAAAACTACTGGGTGTCTTCCGCCGGACGGAGAATCCCTAATCCACGAGTGAAAACGACTATCATGATGGCAGTGTACAGGAACATGATGGAATAGAGCGATGAGAAAAGTTATCTAGCGTAGTCATAATTCATACCCTTGCCCTTGCATGTACGACTGCTAACCGCCTTAGAGTAAATTCTGCATTTCTACTAATAGGAAGCAATGCATTGGCTATAGCACAATGACACAAACGCCCACTGATGCACAGTCATAAATTAGATCTATCATTAGGCTACCTGATCTTCAGCACCCCGGAGATTCATAGCTATGTCTAAGAAGGCAAAGGTTCTTAACCCAGCTCGGTTCATCATACTTTCACGTCAACCAGACAATCAAATGCCTCTTTTTGTAAGAAAGGAAACACAGGATATCGCTAGTCTCTTCATCTAGACAAACACCTTCTCCCTTCTCATCAGCAAACTGCAGATCAAGCAGACGCTCCCGGCAAAGATGACAGGCACATAAGCCAGCTGTACAGCCCGCGTAATGCCATGAATACCAGCCATCTCCTTGACCGGTCCAGCAGAGCGCAACAATTCACTGCCCACGCCCGAAATCGCATTCGAGATCTGGGTCTCACTGGCGCCGGGGAAGACCGCGCGGAGGGCGTTCTGCGCCGAGTTGACGAACAGGGCGCCCGAGACGCCCGTGCCGAACACAATACCCAGCATCTGGCCGACGGTCATAAAGCCCACGCAGTACGGGATTTCAGTGGGCTTGACTTTCATCTGCGCCACAGCAAAGCCCGCCTGGCAGAAACAGCCCACGCCCGTGCCGAGGATGATGGTGTACCCGTAGATTTTGGCATCGCTTGTGTGCTCGTCGACAAAGTCTGCTTCTGTCAGTGGCTGCTGGTTGGAGGGGGTGAGGATGGGACTTACACATCAAGACGCCGCCGATGAGTTCCAGCGCCGCCCCAACTACGTACCACGGGTAGTAATAGCCTGTCTTTGCCATGAGCTGGCCGTTGGCCAGGTTGAAGGCCACCAGGAACAGGATGAAGGGGAGGAGGTGGACGGAGGTCTGCATGGCGGTGCTTCCACGGGCGAACTGGTAGTAGATCGGCAGGTAGTAGATGCCGATGAAGCTGCCAAACGTCGCCAGCACTGCGCAAGTCAGCATACAATCACAGGGTTGTAGAAAACGAAAGAACCTACTCATCGTGAAGAACAGCACGATCATCGAGCGGCTACGCCAGAAATGCATCGGGAACATGCGCGAGTCAAACGACGTGCCGATGAGGAAGACCTGCTGGACGACGAAGAGGATGAGAAGCACACCGGACCCCACGAATAGACCAATGCTATTGCGGTGGTCCCATGGCCACAGCACGCCGCCAAAGTTCATGGCCATGATCAGACACAGCAGGGCGCCGATGGACAGCAGGCCGCCAAGGTAGTCGATTTGCGCGAGACGCGCCAGCAGCGGCTCTCCCTGCTGCGGCCGGAAATCCGGCAGGAGCAGGAAATAGATCGGGGCGACTACCGCGCCGACCAGCAGGTTTAGGTAAAACGCCCAGCGCCAGGTGGCGCTGCTGTCGCCGAACGCGCCGCCGATGACGGGGCCGAGCACTGTGCCGATACCCCAAATCAAGCCCGTGAGACTGAGGTACTTGGGCCGCTCGACGTTGTCGGTCGTGACGGAGAGGAGGGTCAACAGGCCCATGTACATGCCACAGCCAGCGGCGCCTGCGATGGCGCGGCCGACGATGAAGCTGTCGATGTCCGGGGCCGCACCGCACAGAGCGGACCCAGCCATGAACATGGCCGTGCTGCCGATGTACAGCTTCTTCGCAGAGAAGGTTCCGTACGCTTTGGACCAGATCAGGGTCGTGGCCGCCGAGGCCAGGGCAAACGAGACACCGAGCCAGGGCACCAGGGCGACATGGCCGAAGGTCTGGACGACCTTGGGCTGGACATTGGCGACGACGGTGTTATCCAAGGCGTAGAGGAAAAGCGACGAGAGCAGCGCAATCACAACCAGTGCCCACTGTCACAGTGTCAGCGACAGGCACATTTCGTCGGAGGAGGTGGACTGACCTTGATGCCGTGGACATCGCGCGGCGACGAAGGCTTTTCCGCAGACGTCTCCGAGGGCGGCTCAGACGAAGGAGAGCGAGGAGTATCTTCTAGCACCTTTTCAGACATTGTGCCCAGTGTCTATCTCGAGGGATGTCTCTTGCAGTCTGCTCCCATCGTCCGTTGGCCGTCCGGGCCTTAAGTATGCCACGGGCCATGCTGGGGGCTCCATAGTCGGACGGTCATTAGCAATACATCAGGCATTTCCGTGCTTGCAGACCTGGTGCTCCATGCCTCTTCCGGTATTTTTGCTGGGGATGATTTCTCAGCGCGGCGTTGCTCGCCCGGAAATGCTGTGGGGGCCTCGGAAATGTCCCTGTATACTTCAGTGTCAGCCCGGAGATGCTCCTAGTCTCCTCCAACGTAAGCAATGGACATCGCTATGGAGGATATTAAGTGCTGAGGCCCACTGTGCCTTTGAGAATTTCATCGTTCTCGAATTGCCGCCATGTCTGCGCAGACCATCACGTTCCAGCAGCACTCGACCGAGCCATCCCGGGTGATTCGCGTGCATCACCATGAGTCTGTAGGGGACCGTCCACTTCCCCCCGACAGTGTTCTGCTGCGCCTTCTCGCAGCTCCGATCAACCCGCAAGACCTGCTGGTCATTGCCGGACGGTACCCCGTACAGCCACACTACAAGTACGCCGACGAGCCCATCCCAGGCTACGATGGCGTCGCGCGCGTGGAGCGCATCGGAGCCAACGTGACGACTCTTCAGCCGGGCGATCATGTCATCCCTCGCAGCCACGGACTAGGCACCTGGCGGTCGGAAGCGGTAGTGCCAGCGACGTCCGTGCTGAAGGTGTCGAATCGCCTGGACCCCACCACCGCCGGACTGCTCAAGATGGGCTGTTCGACCGCCTACCTCCTGCTGGAAAGCAGCAACGCGCTCCAACCGGGGGACCTGGTCGCGATCAACGCGGCGAGCGGCTGGATCGCACGGATGGTGGTGCAGTTCGCGCGCCTCCGCGGCTGCGGCAGCATCTGCATCATCCGCGACCGTGACGACGTTGAGACGACGCGGCAGTCCCTTCTCTCCCACGGCGCCCATGTGGTGCTCACCGAGTCGCAGCTGGCGCAGGAGGGCGTGGCCGCTGCGCAAACAGGCGGCCGGCGGGTCATGCTGGCCCTAGACGCCGTGTTCGGTGCCTCGGGGCAGCGGCTGGCGTCGCTGCTCTCCACAGGCGGGACATATATCAACTACGGGTCGCTGGGAGGCGCCGCCGGGCAGATTATCCTGACGCAGGAGCTGCTCTTCTGGAAGCAAATCACGTTTCGCAACTTCCGGCTGTCGCAGGCCCTGGCCCGGTACCCGGAGGAGGCGCAGATCCAGCTCCTGGCGTGGTTTGGGGAGCTCTTTGAGCAGGGACAGCTGGTGGCGCCGCCGGTGAACAAGATTGAGTGGAAAGGAGACGGTGCGTTGGAGGAACGAGTCCGGCAGGCTCTATCTCAGATCTCAGGGGGTTCTGCAGGAGTGGTGGGAAACCTCAAGCCCGTTTTTCAATTTGAATCTTGAGGTAGCAACAGTTCTGATGGAGTAGCCAGGATGTAATCCGCTAAGAGCTCGAATGCACAGGGATTGGGACTGTCCAGTTTGTAGTTTATGCCTCTTTCTGGTGGTTATATCTATTCTGGAGTATAGGGCGGCCGTCTGAAGTATCATATTGGAAGTTTTACATGATGTGTACTTACTGAAGGAGCATACTACGCCTTTCTATATCAGAAGCATGAACTTTTATTCTCAACTCAAGAATACAGCGCATTGCTTGTCAAAAGCATACTATTCATTCGTACTCCACTACATACACATCAATCGGTATACTTGCTCTCCTTCTCGATAATAGCAGCATTGTACTTCCGCAGCTGCTCCTCCAGTCCCGGAATGGGCGCATCAAAATCAATGTGGCAGCTGTTCATGGTGCGCGCCAGGAAGGCGTAGATGCCCTGGGTGTAGAAGAGATCCATGAGGGCCTCTCCGCCCAGCACCGCCTTGGCCTTCTCAACGAGCTCAGTGCCAACACGATTCTTCAGACACAGATCCTCCACGATTGCACTAATCAGCCGCTGGCGATCGGTGAACAGCTCAGTGCTCGAGAGGTCCCCGGAGCGCAGACACGCCAAGTGCGCATCAGTGTAGCCAAAGACGCGGGCCACGGGCTCGTTGACATCCCACTCGTAGGGAGCGTCCAGCAGAGACGCCGTGCGCAGGACCACCAGCTGCCAGTCGGTCGAGCGGAGACTGCGGTTGGGAGACCAGGCACATGTCAAGAGCTTCATGAAGGTGGGGAAGAACGTGGGCGCATTTGCCAGTAGCTGTCATCCTGGTCAGTATGCTGTCTGTGGCGATGCGAGCTGAAATCTATCACACACCTTGAAGATGTTGCGCTCAAAGGGGAGCGTCTTGAGGGCGGCGCGGACATCGTCCGGTGCCGTGGACGAGTCCACGTATGGCAGGAGGTGGTTGTCCGTCACGTCGCGGTTCTCCCAGGTCGTCATGATTGTGGTGTCGTGGTTGTAGTTGGGAAGGGTGATGTCGGTTTGCCTTCGTCTGGTCTAGAGCCACCAGTGACTACCTATATATCGTCTGGTACACCCACGCGGAGTTGTGAAGAAGGTATATCGCCGACGGAAATCCCGTGCAGCAGACTTGCTCATGTCATTTCCGGCCCCAGAGGATCTCCGGATCGGACCGGCCCAGATTGATGAGATCCTGCAGAAACTGACCGTGCCGGTTGTATCTATACGAGTTCCTGCAGGGTCTGACCACCGGAAGGATCCTTAGGCGCTGCACTACTGCTGCAAGTCACCTGCAGATCGCCACCGCAGCAGCCACCATTTACGTAAACTCCATGCTCGTGGTTGTAGCGTGGCGGCTGCATGGCTCGACGAGGGTCTTCATCTAGAAGATTCCTCTGGTGCGTCTGCATCTGTCCTATCTGCCGAGAGGAGTGTACTTCGGCAAGATGTTTACATGTGCACATTCTGATCGTCAAGCAAACTGGTTCTGTATCGCAATTCGCCAGGGCATAGCCAATTGATCGGCATTCCTGGAAGCAGAGTGCTTCAGGAAGCCGATCTTCAGTTCTGCAGAAGCGACATAACCAGCCTCGTATCCTACCGGAACTAGTCCGACAGTCGGTCGATGCTGAAGACGATGGTCTTAAGTGTCTTCAACTCCTATCCAACCATCGGCCGCATGAGGCCATTTGCCCCTGTCTTGAAGGATTCAACGTGCGCCGGAAATGGTCGACTATAGCCGTCAGGTCCCTCAGAGAACCAGTCCACGAGAGTCTCGCCAGAGTCTCGCCAGTGTATTCTGTATAGAGCACTCAATTATAATCCGGAAATAGGTGTATGACTTGATTTCCGGAGGAAACGCACGGCCTGAGAGGGGAGCATGGCGTGAAGGCCATGGGTCCCTCAAAGGAGGACATCTGGTCTATAAAAGACACTGAAGATATGAACCCCATGAGCTTCTTCACTAAATCATCATCACTTGCTTGTGTCCATGGAAACGGCCTTTCCCATATCCAGTCAGTCGGACTAGCTGAGCAGTCAGAGCAGATTTCTGGTCCTCATTTATATCCGCTGATTGGGATAGAACCTTCAAAAGTGCTTTTTTGTTCCATCGTGTATTGTTCATAGAATCCACCATGAGCCTCGTGCAGCATCAGCATCGTCCTGATGACCTCTGGACCGACGATCTCTTCAGCCATGCCGAAGTGCTAGATGAGAGGTTGTTGAATGAGACAGAGCCTCTTGTGAATGGATATGACCTGGACGAGGAATGGCCTGTCACTCTAGCACAGCGTCAAATGCTGGAAGGGCACCCCTCCCCGTGGTGTCGTATCAGCTTGATCCTCCCTCGACAGTCTGCCCCAGACGTGGCCCGAATCCGGTCTATCTGGAAGCAGCTGTGTTCACTTCGTGAGTTACCCACGGTCATCTCTGTCCTCACTCTCCACTAATGACGTCCGACAGACTGCTGTCTGCGCACTGTGCTTCGCACAGATCCGGTATCAGGCCAGGTTTTCCAACGTGTGCTATATCAGACCCCTGACATCCACTGGAACATTGATGGTGCCACCCCTGCACCCTCATCCAATTCTTCCCAACTGGAGAGTGCCGGAGAAGACCATGCTGCGCAGTTACTTGTTCGACGAGACGCTAGCAGTGGCGGCCTTCGTCTCACCTTCCGGGCTCATCGAGCCTTGGTGGACGGGACCTCGTTAGAGCTGATCAAGCGCAACTTTGTCCGTCTTTATTGTGACCTGCCGGTGCATGAGCACACCCCGTTGGCTTCGTACTATCAGTTCCTGGCGCAAACCAAGAATCCCTCTGCCAGTGCCGAGTTTTGGAAAGGTCAGCTGAGCGGAGCCTTCCCACCGCATGCCTTGCCCTGGCGTACCCGACTCTCTGACAGCAGCCCTGCTCAAGAGCGGCGAGCCCTCACTCTTCACCTGGACGAGACTTCTCATCCCGGCCTCGCACGCTTGGAGCATGCGTCAGGCTTGTCACGGAAGCTGATCTTCGAGGCCCTATGGGCCTATGTCCTCCACTGCCATACCGGCTCGAATGACATCGTGTTTGCCGTTGTAGAGCGCGATGCCAGCTTCCCCGGCGCGTCTTCATGCCTCGGATATCTGGACAACACGTACCCCATGAGAGTGGCTGTCGATGGGGAAGAGCTCTTTGTGGACGTGTCCACCAGGATCAGCAAGTTCCATGAATCCGGCTCGACTCATGCCTTTTTGGGCTACGATGAGATTGCTCAATACCTTCACTGTGAGGTCGAGTCCGTCCTGCGCTACTCGCCCGATGCCAGTGGTCCGATGATGGCGGGTCAGTGGCCCTCATTCCCGCTGGCCCTCTTCATCAACGGCACCAGCCCGGCGAATGTGACCTTGTGCCACTCGACTATGATCAGTTCCACTGATGCCAAGCTGCTGCTCGAGCACTTTTGTCACGCCCTGTATAGCGCTTTGGATCAGTTCTACCTGCCGCATACCCGTCTGGAGAAACTTGACCTCCTGTCTCGGGGCGACAAGCTCAATCAGATTCACACGGCCCGATCCCTAGCGCAGCCTCATAAGGAATCCACTATTCCTGCCTTGTTTGAAGAGCAAGTGACCAGAAGCCCCAATACGGCAGCCGTTCAGTTTGAGGAAGATCCTCCGCTTACCTACGCTGAGCTCAACGCTCGTGCCAACCGCCTTGCTCGTATACTGGCAGCCCATGAGATCAAGGGTCGGGTGGTCCCAATCTGTATCGATCGATCCGTGACTCTGATTATCGCTCTGATCGCCGTGCTGAAGGCCGGTGCAGCATACACCGTCCTGGATCCGGCTGGACCTGTGGAGCGCAATCAACGTATTATCGCAACATGTGGCGCCGAAATTGTCCTGACAACGGACGCCTACGCCTCTCAGTACCCAGAGGCGATGGTTCTTGAGAGCAGCGCTGGCACAGACGATTCGCTCTCGTCATCCAACCTCAATATAGACATCCGGGGTGTGGACAGATGCTATGTTGTCTTCACGTCAGGGTCAACAGGAGCACCCAAGGGGGCAGTCATTACCCATGGAGCAGCTACCAACGGCATGGCCTACTTCTCGCTGAACGGCTTACAACGATGGTTGCTCTTTTACAACCCCACATTTTCCGCTGCACAGAGAACGATGCTGTCTACCCTTGTCCACGGCGGTACTCTGCTACTCGCCAGCAAACAGCGGCTGACGGGACGCCTGTCAGAGACAGTGCAGGCCATGCAGGTCGAGGCTATGGGCATCACCCCATCTGCCTTGTCGGTGATTCGGCCACAGGACGTTCCGTCACTGAAGATGGTCACACTGGTGGGAGAGAAGATCCCCCGGGAACTGGTGGCCACCTGGGCCGACCATGTACATCTGCGCAACACCTTCGGACTGAGTGAGTGCGCTCAGTTGAATTTTGGATGCCGTCTTCATGCCACCAGCAATCCCGGTATTGTCGGGCGTCCTACGGACACCACACAGGCCTATGTTCTGAAGCCTGGCACAATCGAGTTGGCTCCCATGGGCGTTGCTGGGGAGCTCTGCCTGGCAGGGCCTCAGTTAGCGACAGGATACCTCACCTCTGATTCGGACTCCGCTGGGACTGCTGCTGATGTCTTCGTACCCAACCCTTTTGGATCCGGCATGATGTACCGCACTCGAGATATGGCTCGAATGCACACCGAGGGCATCGAGATCCTGGGACGTCTCGACTTCCAAGCGAAGATTAATGGGCAGAAAATTAACCCAGCGGAGATTGACCGAACCCTCTCCCACCATCCCGGTATTGCCCAGTGCGCGGTCGTCACGGTTGAGATGCGCAACAAGCCCACCCTTGTTGCCGCCATTGTACCGTTCCCTGGGCAGTCATGGCCGGGCCTAGTTGCTTCGCTGCGCTTACATGCCAGTGAGAAGCTTCCTGCTTACATGGTTCCATCTCTGTGGATGGAAATGCGCTCTCTTCCCACTAATCCGAACGGCAAGACAGACGTTCGGAGTATTCGGGTCCAGGTACTGGAGGCCGGGTGGGATGCATTGGTCGCTGCAGCCATCTCGTCACATTCAGAGCCTCTAACTGACCCTGTGGAGGTCCAGATTGCCAGTGTGTGGGCTGATGTTCTCTCCTTGCCTGTAAGCACCATCAACCACGGCACTTCCTTCTTGTCTCTGGGAGGAACATCAATAGAGGGAATCAAGGTGATTAATGAACTGCGAAAGCTCGGTCTTTCCATCGACCTGAATCCTTTACTTGGCAACAGCCCCCTCACAGAGGTGGCCGCGTCTGCTCAGCAGTCTGAAGGCACACGCCCGAACCTGGAACCGTTTGACCTCATCGCAGACGCCAAAATTCGCCAGGAACTCCAGCAAGATGTCGCAATTGCCGACGCCTACCCTGCGACTCCACTACAAGAAGGCCTTTTAGCGTCCATTGACAGTGCACAAGGAATGTACACTTATCAACGCGTTTGGGACATAAGCCGACTAGATCTGGGCAGGCTCCAGTCTAGCTTCCGCACCGTCTTTGCTGGCAGTGATATTCTGCGAACCTCCTTTGTACCGCACGGTCGAGGCCTACTTCAGGTGGTGCGCAAAGACTTGGAGCTAGATTGGACAGAGGTCTCCTGCAGCTTGGAAGATTATCTAGCCCAAGACAAGGAGCGGCCTTTCTCTCTCAGCGGCCCGCTCATTCGTGTGGCCGTGACCCCGGAACTGCGCCTGGTTGTGACCACTCATCACGCCTTGTTCGACTTCTGGTCTCATCGGTTCCTGTATGAGGATGTGGCCCGCGACTACTTGGGCATGTCGCTGAAGCCACGTCCACCGTACAAAGAGTTTGTGGGACATCTGATGTCCACTCCCAAGGCTGAGAGTGATGCATTCTGGGCCACGTATCTTAGAGAGATTGAGCCCAGCATCCTGAACACGGTCCCTGTTTCCCAGACGAAAGTCTCAGTGACTCGCCTTCCCTGGAACCGCCAACGGCAGGCACTCAAAGAGCATGGTCTTTCAGCTGGATCCGTGCTCTATGCTGCATGGGCTGTGGTTCTCTCGCAACATGTTCGCCACTCTGATGTGGGTTTCGTCACGACACTCTCAGGTCGGGACGCCCCAGTGACAAACATTGACCGCATGGATGGGCCAACATTGACCTCTGTTCCTCAGAGAGTCTCGGTCTCCTTGCAGTCGACACTGATAGAACTAGCCCACTCCGTACGTGACGGTTTTCTTCGGGTCTTGAAATACTCTCAGCATGGAATCCGCCATGCCCTCGCAGCTGCAGAACTCGGCGCAAACCACTTCGACACACTCGTGAACATTCTTGTGAAGGATGAAGATAGCGCGGAAGTCACTCAGGTCTTCCGCCGACATGGGGAGCGACCGATCTGGCATTCTGAATTCACAACTCTGGAGATTGAAGAATCGGGCGAGGAGCTGCTCCTGAGGCTGTCGTCTCAAATGGAGCCACGCCGTGTTGAATTCCTCCTGGAATCGTACGTTGCAGTAGTTGGGCAATTTGTGAATGCTCCGACGCAAAGAATTGCCGATTTGACAATCATGGGCGAGGAAGAACGGCGGTTTCTTTCCAACACGCTCTCCAACCGAGACACCCTGCATGTCCCGGAGCCATCTCTGCTTCACTCACGCTTTGAGACCTTTGCACGCGATCAGCCCAGCATCGTGGCCATCAACTGGGATGCAACCGAGGCCGTATCCTATGCCCACCTGGATGCTCGGGCCACCCGGCTTGCCAACTTCTTGATCCGCGCCGGTGTGCAGGTTGGCGAGGCGGTTCCTCTCATGCTCGATAAGTCTATTGACACGATCGTCGCAATCCTGGGGGTCATGAAGGCTGGTGCCGCATACGTCCCTCTCAGTCCCGACAACCCAGTTGACCGAAATGCGTTCATTGTTAGTGACGTGGGAGCGAGATTCGCGCTTGCGCATGAAGAGTACCTGGACCTGATCCGAGGGGATTCTAATCTCAAGGTTTTCCGCATTGATGATCCAGAAATTGATGCCTTGCCCGACACTATGCCAGACGTCCAGATCGCCACCGACAGCATCGCCTACATCATCTACACGTCTGGAAGTACAGGCATGCCAAAGGGTGTCAAGGTGCCTCACCAGGCAGCGGCAGCAGCTGTCACCAGCATGGCCAAGGCCGAAGGGCGTTACTCAGGGGAATGGAGAACGGTGCAGTTCGCCAACTACGTTTTTGATGCTTCAGTCCAAGACATTTTCAACACCCTAAGTACCGGAGGGACCCTTTGCATGGCACCTTCAGACAAAATGCAGTCCAATCTGCCTGGTGTCATCCAGGAAATGTCTGCGCGCCAGGCCATCTTGACCCCAACGGTGGCTCGACTGCTTGATCCCGACGAGGTGCCCTCATTTGACACCCTGATCGTTGGGGGAGAGCCACTGACCCCCGACGTAATTGCGCGATGGAGTGGCCGCCGCATTCTCAACGTCTACGGTCCCACGGAGACGTCGATGGTCATTACGACGAAGGAGGTAGACCCGACAGGGCGACCCGGCAACATCGGCGCTCCGTTCCCAACCGTGATGGCTTTCCTCCTCGATCCTGATGGGACCACTCTGGTGCCCTACGGCTCTGTAGGCGAGCTGTGCGTGGCAGGACCGCAGGTGACGGCTGGCTACGTCAACCGAGAAGATCTGACCCGGGCTGCGTTCGTGGAGGATGTGCTCGGCACGTCGCGGCTGTACCGCACCGGCGACCTTGCCCGGTGGCTTCCTGGTGGCGAGCTCGAGTGTCTAGGTCGAAAGGATAACCAGGTGAAGATCCATGGACATCGCATCGAACTGGCCGAGATCGAGCAAGCAATCTTGAAGACGGGTCTCGTGCAGGGAGCCGCAGTGCTGGGGGTCTCGGTCAAAGGCAGCAAGCAGCTCGTTGCGTTTTGCGTGTTCCAACCAGGCACCTGTGAGATCCTTCCAGCAGAGGATCATGAGCAAGTTGCACGGGAGCTGCTGTCTAGTCTGACGACTGTGGCTCATTACATGGTGCCAAAGTACATCATTCCTGTTGGGGATTTCCCCAAAATGCCATCGCGGAAAACTGACCGGAAGCTGCTGGCCAAATGGGTTGACAAGTTGGATGTCATGGCCTTGAGCAAGTATGCATTTGAAGGCAGCGGTGCGCAGGACGCACTTGTCCCCGTGGCCACGGAGAACGAGTCGCAATTACAACACTTTTGGTCCCAAGTCCTTGCACTGCCGCCGACAGACATCGGCAGGAACTCGCACTTCCTTTCTCTGGGTGGTGACTCGATTGCCGCGATCAGCGTCACTAGCATGGCTCGCAAGGCTGGGTTTGCTCTCACCGTCAAGGACATCTTGAAGAATCCGGTGTTGGAGCAGCTAGCGGCGCTCATGCGCATAGACGACCGACAGGAGCCTGTTTCAATGAAACCGGCTTTCCAGACTCCTCCAAGTGTGATCGATGCCGTGGAGAAGAGCGGACTCAGTATGGAGAACGATGTGGAATACGGTCAGTAACCTCTTCATTCTTTAAAATGGCGCCACCACTAACTCCTTATAGTATACCCATGTCCCCCCGGCCAAGCTCAATTCCTCGAAGAAGGGGACCGCCCAGAGCAGATGTGGGTGCTGATGGCTAGCCGACGGATGTCCAGGGAGACCAAATATGGGGACTGGATAGAGTACACGACACGTCTAGCCGAGATCAATGACATCCTGAGGACGTCCTGGATGCGTTCATCCGAAACCGAGTGGGTGGGTGTTGTTCTTCGATCCTCGACGTTGGACGTCCAAGTCATCTCATGCACGGACGACGGAGAGCGATCAACGATCGTGGAAGCGTTCTGGGAAGAGCGGTTTGCGTTTGGCAAGCCTTTTGTGAAATATGCCGTCCTTCTGCATCCCGACAGCACGTGGGAGCTCATCATCAAGATGAACCACGCCGCCTACGATGGTACTCTCCTGCGGATATTCGACGACCATTTCGGCGCCATCGTTCAAGGGAAGCCTGTTCCCGCCCACGGTGAGTTCAAAGACTTTGCGTCTCATATTCATCGCTCCATCAAGGATCAATCTCTTCAGTTCTGGAGACAGAGTCTCCAAGGCAAGACCTACACATGGCCGGAGACCCAGAATCCCAAAGTTACGGCATCCGTCCGCCATATGGTTCCACGCAATCTCGAGTCGGTGGCTCGCGCGCAGGGGGTGACGGTGTCGATTCTCTTCCAGGCAGCCTATCAACTGTGGCTCGCCCGCGCCAGCAACCGCAGCGACATCAGTTTCGACTATCTGCTGAGCGGACGCAATGTCGACCTTGGTGGCGTCGATCCGCAGACAATCAACGGGACGCTCGCCAACTTTCTTCCGGTGCGATGCACCATCTCGCCGGAGGAGCGTCTCCGGGAGTACCTGGCCGCGACGCAGGATATGTTCTGGGCCATTACAGAAAATGGCAACGTAGGCTTGCAGGAGATCTTTGCCGCGGCCGGACTGTCTCGTACGGCTAAGAACCATTGTCTCTTCCTGTATCAACCATTCGAGCCCAGTGCCAACGGCGCCAACGAAGACGCCACTCGATGGCTCGTCATGGCCAAGTCACAAGTCCGCATGTATCAGCCGTACGCGCTGGTGGTTGAAGTGGCCAAGGCTTTGAATCATGAACATCGCCTGACAGTCATGTATGATGCAGATGTGTTCACCAGCGCTGATGCAGAGGGAATTGCAAAAGAAATTGCCAGGCTGACGGATCTCCTGGCGAGTTGTTCGTCGGATGAGACCTGTCTGGGGGATCTGCTGGGTTCTTGTATATAGCTGGACGGGCCTCTGCAATGGCCCTCAATACATAGTCGGTAAATAGACGTTTCCTAGACTTTATCTGCTGCCGTATGCTGTAACCATTTCAGCTCATGGGGGCACCATCACGAGTGATACGTCCATCTCCACGAGTGGCTGGGGAGGTACTCCGCATCCCACTGCATTTACGCGAACGCACCAGAGACACTGCAGCACACTGCATACCTAGGGTTAAGTATGCATGACGGCGCCCAAAGTCAGTTCCGTCGGTTTCTTATATAATTCGCTGTGTGCGCTGCATCTCGTTCTTCGAAATTCTCACCATCCCCCACCATGGCGTATCCGCAGTTCTACAAAAACACGCTCACCCCTGTCCCCATCGACGCAGAGCATCTACAGTCGACTCTCAAGGACTTGAGGACCGCCATCTATCGGGGCACGGACCTAATCCAGCACGGCGTCCCTCCCCCGACGGAATGGGGCATTACCGGCGTGTACGTCGGGGTGCCAGGCGTGGCGCTGGCCTTTCTCCGTCTCGCGCATCAAGCGGGTGCCTTGACCGACGAGGCAACGCTCTCTGTGGACTACCCCCAGCTTGCAAGAGAGCGCATTCTTCCAGACGGCCCAGATGTGCCGGTGCGCGCTGACCGACTCGCGCCTGGCGGGTCGCCGACGCCGCTGGCTGGCGCAGTGCCACGCATGTTCGAAGCGGCGATGACAGGCGGCGCCGTCTCGACGGATGATATCAGGGTGCTGCAGCAGACGGTCGAGACGGCTCTAAAGACGGGAAATCTGGTCCTCCACCATGACCGTCTCATGGGCGCGGACGATACGCTGTATGGTCGGGCTGGTCTGTTGTGGGCGCTCGTGAATCTCCGCGTGCGTCAGTTTGATGAAGAGACGTCGGCGTCTCTCAGGCCAGTGCTGGATGCTATTCCCCTCCTGGTGGACAAGATCGTCGACGCTGGCCGTAAGGGCCATCGTAGCTACGTGCAGAAACATGGGGAGCAGAATGCGCTGCCCCTGATGTGGACATGGATGGAGGGCCATTATGGTTTCGGAGCGTGCGTGTCCCTGGTCCTTATCCATTGAAAAGCGTAGACTGACACCAGACCAGCGTTCACGGAATGAGTACGTATGCTCTGCGCATCTCCATCTTGCACTAACCCACTAACCCATCACAGGTGGCATCTTGGCCGTCCTGCTCGCCTGCAGATCGGAGGAGATCAACAACCACCTCCCCTACATCGCGGAGACCATCACCGCGCTTTCGAACATCTGCATCGCGAACAACGGCCATCTCCCCACTACCATCCCGCCACGGAGCTCCTCCTCGCATCGGGAGTCGCCTCTGGTCCAGATCTGCCACGGCAGCCCCGGTATCGTCCTACTGCTGGCCTGCGCCCTGCGGAACACCGCCCTGATCAGCAACCACTGGACGCCCGAATGGGACGGGGCGCTTTGTCTTGCCAGCGAGCGCATCTGGGAGGAGGGTATGCTCTCCAAGGGCGGCGGGCTGTGCCACGGCATCGCAGGGAACGCCTGGCCGCTGCTGTACGTGCACGACGCGCTAGAGTACAACGCCGACGCCCTCCGCACCGCACGAGACAGCTACGGGCAGCGCACTGGTGCAGCGGGTCTCCAGAATACCATGGGTGGGCTTACTAGCGACCATTTCCTGGCGAGGGCTCTGGCCATGATGTTGCACGGGCGCGAGACGCCGCCCTACGCGTCTGCCACGGACGTCTATCGGCTGCCGGACCGGCCGTTCTCGCTGACAGAGGGCCTCGCGGGGACGGTGTGCGCGTGGGCCGAGACGTGTGTGGTGATCCAGGCGCGGTTGCGCAAGATGGAGCTGGATGAGAAGGGTCTCGGGGATGGGGCGTTGGAGAAGGATGAGGTTTTTCAGGAGATGGAGAGGCTCAAGTTGGGATTCCCTATTCTCGCTTACCACCGACCCGGTGGGATTTTCTAGATTAATGTGGGCAATGAATCGCTAGGCAGATACTCCGAATCTAACTAGATGCACGTACAGCATTTCTGATATACCAAATAGTCTAATTCCCAACGCCCGCTCATATCCAAACGAACTAACATGGAAGACACAAAGACACCCGCTAATACAGCATAAACCCAGACCGATATATAGGCGGCTGCCCAGGGATCTCTGACCGGAACTCCACCCGTTTCGGTACAAACTGTCCCTGCGGTGCTTCCACCGCAACCCTCCATCGCCGCCAGCAGTGGCCTACTTGATGGGACGCCTCCCCGCAGAACGTACACCGCGGTCTCGGACGGCGGTCCTGACGCGCTCGCGCAGGCGCCTGCTGCGATCTCGGCTCCGGCTGACTATAACTCCGCGTCCTCGTCGTCATCTCCTGATCGCGCCGCATCTGCTGCACCACATAGTCATTGATTTCCTCCTGGCTCGGCCGCTTGGCGTGGCCGCGCCCCGACTGGCTCCGACGCATCTGTCTCACAACAAAGGCATTGATATCTTCCTGCGTGAGCGTTCGCCGCGGATCCACACCTGATGCCTCACCGTCCGCGCGGTGACCACCCTCTGTCCCCGTCCCGGACGCTCCCGCCGGGTCCGTCTCCCGCTGCAGCGCCCGATCCGCCAGTTCGCGGAAGGTCAAGCGATCGGCAGCGCCGTCCTGCAGCATGGCAGTAGCCCAGGCGGCCCACTGCGGACGGGCCTTCAGCTTTGTGAGAAAGAGCATGTTGATCGGAGCGTCTGCGATGCAGAGCTGCTCGTCGATTTGCATGAGGCCTTCGCGCATGGCGTCTATCAGACCGATCAGATCGGCGACGCGGTCGGATCCGTGGGCGTCGAGGTCGACAAATTCGCTAATCTGGTGGATTATGCGGAGATTGCGCTGCCATCGATCCATTGCGAGGTGTGGAGTTGGTTCTGTGGGTGGTTGGTGGTTGTTTGTTGATGCTGTTGTTGTTCCGAAGGGAAACAAGCAAATAGCGCCCGTCGTGGGATGACGTCACTCACCTACCTACTTAATTAAGGGACAACATACTGTAGACTCTATATCTATGAGGATCCTTTATACTATACACTGATACAGCGTTGATGAAGTATATGACCTTCTAGCATTTTTGCAAGTGCATAGCGCAATGATCGAGGGTATCAGTTTATTCATCCTCATGCTCATTTCCTCCCCTCATGCTAATTGTCGTCAATATCAAGGTCGTCAAAGTCGTCCAACAATTCATCCATATTGATCTTGGGCGCCTCGCCATCCGTCATGTCCGTTTCCGCGATGCTCATCTCGTCGTCCTTCTTCTTGTTCTTGTACAGTGCGAGAGTCGCCCGCAGCTCGGCATCCTCTTCCACATCCCGCAAGAACATCTCGAAATCGTTCTCGACCCGCTCTTGCTCGTGATCCGTCGGCAACAGGTCGCTCTCGCCCACCGCCAAGCGCTTGAGCTTCCAGTTCCGCTTGTTCTTCTTCTGTCGGTTGGGGTAGTGTTTCTTCACCAGGACCACATCGGGGACTCTCGCCCCATACGTCTTGGACTGTTCGATCTGCTCGAACTCAGGGTTGTTGAAATTCGCCCCCGTCACCATGTACCCGAGGACAGAGTCACCCGGGTGCAGAATGCTTCCAAGGTGGGTTCGCGTGAAGAATTGTTTATCGCCGCTGAAGTCGGAAGCCCGGGCAACGGTCACTTCAGCGAGGAGCTATTGCACGTTAGTACTTGCGTTGCGGAAGCGTCCCCTTCTGAGTCACTTACCCATTTGCCGTTACTGTACCCGGTGGGCTCAATATCAAGGACAATGAATTCTACCAGCTCATTCACCTCCGCGAGAGAAGTAAATGGCGCGCGCCAATAGATCTTCGGACTAAGGTCGGCGGTCTGAAGGGTGTTTGGGTCAAGGAAGGTGATGGATGTGCCGATCTTGTTGCACAGAAGTAGTGGCGAGATGTTCCCCAGTTGTTGCGCCATCTTTATGGGCAACGCAATCAAATCATCTTTGCACACGGGGACCAGCTTTGCCGAGTACGTGAACTTGTACGATTTCGTTGACGTGTGGATGTCCTCCGAAATGAGCTGCTGCGATTTCGTCACTTCCACCGGGACAACCGCATGGAGGAAGTTCAGGAAGGCTTCGGCGTGATTCCGCTGGGCGAAGAAGAAATCGACACCATTCCGGGCCTCTTTAATATTGGTCGTATCGTGGTGCGCGTTGTGCTTGAGAATGAGCTGCTCGAGATGGAGGAACGTCCGCTTGTGCGAAACGTTCTGTCGCACTTGCACGCTGGCACGCCAATGGTTCTGGGTGTACGACTTGGCGCAATCCGGGCATTGCTGGTACATCACCACATAGACAACTTCGAAGGTTTGCTGAAGGATGACATCGTTGGCGACAGAGTCTTGGATGGTGAGCTTCAGCTTGATCCGGCGGGAGTGAGGCTCTGTCCAGATGAACGACGCATCGACAACGCGGACTTTGTTGAGGCGTTTCAGTTTTCGGAGGCAAATGGCCATCAACTCGCGCGATTCGGGGGCGGCGACGGTCCATGTTGCCGGGGGGAGAAGCCAGCGTTCACAGTCACGACAGAAATTCAGAGCCGCTTCACGTTGGATTCCTTGAGAAATGTCCACCGAGGTTTTCATGCAATCGTTGCATAGCGTGCTTCCTACTAACGGAGCCCCGCAGTTGTAACACAGGGTCCTAATGATAAAGGTTAGTACATGCTCAGGATGAGTTGAGTGAAGGGAGAACTTACGTTGGGACGACCGGCTCTGTGCCGGCCATGGGGACCGTCATCGGCATAGGCGTGTCCTCCTCCATGATGTCGGGTTCGAGGGCTGTTGAGGTTGATGTGGTGGCAGTGGATGTGAAGATCCCTTCAGATCGGGAAAATTTTTCTTATCGCCGCCGGGAGATCTCACGTGATGATACGTTCCCCCTCCATCACGTGCCATAAGGCGGGGCGCAGAAACGCCTGACGTTTCCCGATCAGGAAGCTGACTCAGCGAGGCTGTACGCAGTAAATATAGATCCTCTAACGTTCAGTTCTCTTTCTCTCTGCTGTTGTGTTGGAAATCTCCCAGGGTGTTGCAGACATGCTGTCGGTGTTCCTGAACTCGTGTTTTCTTTTGTCGTAAACATCTTCTCTCTTCGTGGGCGGCAGTGTCAGCCATTCCTTTGCGCTCCCATATGCCCTCACATCATGGAGACCACTCCTCCCTCCTACCAATCTGCAACCACCAGAGACGCCTGGTCCATTATCGCCCAGTACATTCCTTCAAGCGATCTGTGTGCTGCCACTTTGGTCTGTCGGCGATGGCACCAACTCTTCATGCCCTTCCTGTGGGGCGATCCGGCCTCGCATTTCGGGACCGACAATGACGCAGTCTACGGTAGGACATCCAGACAGGACCGGCTAGTGACCGGAATTATGATGCTCACAATCTGTTAGTTGCTTTGACGCGATTCCGCCGAACCCTCAAATATGCCAGACTTGAGGTGCGAATGCTGACCCACACGCTTCACATGCCTCCCGCGCTGTCGGAGATCTATGGCGGACCACGACCAGAATGGTTGAGGGAGATTCTCGAGCGTCTACCGTGTCTGCAGGCTTTGATGGTTTCGAAACTGCCTTTCTTTGATCATAATGCCATGATGGCTTTGAAGGGACCCAGCAATACGGGACACCAATCCACCCAAACGTATGATGTCCGTTTGCTCCTCGCAGATCACGAGCCAAACACCACCTCCGTAGGAATCGCGGAGACGCTACTCCGGTTTCACGAGCTCATATACTTGGACCTTTCGTATACCACTCCCGCTCGTGATCAAATTGTACTGTCGGCATTGTCACAGCTCGAGCATCTTCAAGTTCTGAAACTACGCGGAATCGGGTTGAAAGATCCAGAGGCCGAGTTCCTGGCCAATGCGATTGGCCTTAGAGTCCGCTTTTTGGATTTACGGAATAACTCGCTCACTGATATGGCTGTACGGTCATTGTTACAGGCCTCATTTATGCCCCCAGATCGTTCGCACAGCCCAGCCCAGGCCTCCTCGCCGACAACCAGGTTGCTCAGCAGCCCCAATCTCGATGAACTATTTATGAAAGCGCTGACACAGCCATTGACGGGACGTTTGTGGGTAGAGGATCTGCCGCATGTTGGCGTGACCCACCTTTATATTGCAGAGAACCAACTCACGGTCGAGGGCGTCGCCGGACTACTAGCTTCATCTCGTCTCCATGCCCTCGATGTCGGGACTGTTGACACTGCGCGGTCCCTTACGAAGGGACAGCTCTCGCTCCCATTACCCCCTGAGGAGAATCTCCAAGCCCTACCTGGTGCCGAAAAATTAATCCCTATCTTGGGGTCGGCAGCTAAAGACAATTTGACATATCTGCGCGGCCATCATGCCATCTGCACCGCCGATGCGCCTCTTAAGGAGGCCGAGTCACCATATGCGCTTTTGCCTGAGCTTCCCACAGAAAGTGATTCGCCAATCCCTCGAGAGGCTGAGTTGGATGTTAGCCATCAACTTCATGAGCTGCCTGGGGGTGGTCCCGTTTTCGAGCTTCCAGCAGAACCAGTTCTTCCAGCACAAGCCGCTCCAGCTGACTCTCCCGCGGTTCGACGACAGCGAACCGTCTACGAAGACGAACCATTGCCTATCCGCCGACGGGGGTCGGTCTTTGCACCAGAAGTTGTACAAAATGAAGTAAACACTGAGTCTGGCGTTGTGGTTGAATCTGGAACCAATCTCTCAACGTCACCAAGATCCATAAGGGGCTCAATTTGTGCATCAGACTCATATCCGCAGACGCTAGACCCTGTTCACCGATGTTCATCCCCCCTCCCCTTGGACGATGTCCGAAGTCAGAAGATCCAAGAGCTGCTTTCCAAACGCCCCAAGAACCAAACCCTTCCTCGGCGAGACAGCAGAGAGAATAAGTTCCCTTACCTCCACCCTTCCCATGTCCCTCATCTCGAAACATTGGTCCTCACAGACGTTCCGTCCCATATTCCTGCCAAGTCCCCGGTATTGAAGTCCCTCATCCGTTTCATCACAGCCTGCTCGAACGAAGCTTTGCTGGCGACGCTTCAAGCTGGCTCAGACTATTCCCTTCCTCCTGGACAAGCCCGAGCCAAGGCTGAGCAAGAACGGGCCCGGTCTCTCTTTTCACTGAGACGACTGGTGCTCGAAGTCACCCCGGTTGACAGGTCAAGAGGCCCCACAGGGTTGACAGCCTGGAAGCCTTTAAGCTATCATTCAGGGACATCGAAGTCAAGTACTGGAGACCGGGACCTGGAAAATCTCTGGTCCGCTGCCATGGACGACTTTAGCTTCTTCGGCGAGGATGAATGCGGAGTGCCCCAGAACGACCCTGGGAAGTATTTTCCCATGGCTGTTCTCAATGAGAAAGTAACATTGGTTCCGGAAGACGAGGACTCCAGTTTCCCTAGTAGCTCAGAACCGGGTACCTTGTCTGATAACAGCACCATTCATGCGAACCAACATTCAAGGACGCGCATACGGTCCCATTTCGTCACCTCTCCACCCAACATGGGCTTTCATGCCGCTGGCCAAGACAGCAATGTCCCTCCGCAACTGGAGGAGCCTGTGATTGACGTGGTCGCCGAGCTTGCGGCCTTTCGACGCGCAAAGAAAGTCGAATATGAGGAGCTTGTCCGAAGTGACCGAAGACGTCGGAGTACCATCAATGCCAGCTCTCCGGCGTCGTTATTATCTCCGTCGAGTCCTGATATGCGGTCACCATCGCCATCTCCCAGCCTCACCACCGTAGCCGGAGGTGGATCTGGGCCACTGGCTTCGATGGCACACTTTGTCGAAGGGCACTGGAAGGGAGAGGTAAAGATTGTGCGCAATGCAGCGCCGAAGGGCCGCAGTGGGATGGTAGATATGTACGGGAACTACTTCGAGAAGGGATATTTATACCCTTGATATTGGTTGTGTTAGTAGCTATATACCAGAGTTAGCATGCTGTTTATACTAAATCCGATGATCCTCGACTTATCCGAGTTGTGTGAATGACACACGAGAGGTGCATCTAGTCAGTGCCTATACTCATCTCACCTGTATACGACGACCAGGCCCTAGTGCTAGAGCTACGCCAAGCCAGTAGGCGCACAGGGGTTCAATCCTCCCCAAGCTTCCAACTCCATCAGTCCTGTTACAAAGACTTCAGCTTCAGCGTCCTGCAAACAGATCTCTCGGACATGCCCGAACGCCCGCGGTACCCAGCCGCATCGGCAGCCATCCATCTAACGTTGCGCGCAGCCGGAGTCATCATCAACGTTATCCTGATCGCCTTTCTGGGCCGTCTGACAGCGGTCTATCACAGGACGTACCCCGCAGCATATGTCGCGGTCTGCTTCTTTCCAGTCCAAGAATCCCTTGGTCATGTATGTGACTGACAGGTTCTAGGCATGCTGGGCTCTATGTGGAGATCTCCCAGAGATCGGCGTCTTGTTAAACACGAGTCGATCCTTACCGCGCCTCTCCGCCGGAGGACAGCTGACGCTGGACGTTATTGGCATACTTCTGCTGGCGCCAGGGGCGGTCCTCAACTGGGTTGGCGCGAACTATTCCTATGAGGATCGGCCGATGTCTGCTGCTGATCGCGGGGCGGATGACTGGGAAGCCAAGTGTGTGTGGGTGGGATGTGCCTCGCTGTGAGTGTCTCGATTGGGTTTTGTTGTGTACGGAGTATGCATGCTGACAGTGAGGTAGGGTGGTGCGCGTTATTCTGGCTGTCGGGGTCTGTGTGGATTGTTGTAGGATTCGACGACGTCGAAAGAACTTGAAGTAGCAGGTATTTTGATAACTGCAGGGATTGGAAAAGTTGAGGAGAGGTGGATAGAGTAATATATCTTGGACCTCACTACTATATGGAGGTAGTTTTGTCGGCGTGGTACTCCTATAACAAGGAGCCCATATACAATATATCTTTGCGCATTCCTTCTACAACCCCATTCAAGTTGCCTTGATTTGGTAGCAGGACTTGATATGGACCAGCCTATACTACCGATCTACTGCTCTTGTTGACCCGTTTGATTGGGTACAAGTCCTAGGGTTGGTCGTCGCTGGTGTTGGTGATAAGACCATGTATACTACAATCAAGCACTTGTCATGAATCTCTTGTCATTGTTTTGTCATAGCCGACCTAGTTGAGAAGTGAAAGCCGGTCACCGATGGACTCCGTTCGTCGTTACCAAACCAAACTCGCCCTATCGTGCTTTTCGAGATGACCTCCGCAAAAGACCCAATGCAAGCCTTTGGCCGTGAAACTGCAACCCATTCATTCCATTTGAACCGTAGTAAGAGAAAAAGGTATGTTTCGGAAAGAGGAGAAAACAAGAATAGAAGCCAGATAGAAGCCGTTTAAACTAATTCCATTTTTTATCTTCTCGTTCTGTTTAAATCCTTCCTTACATAGCCTTGGCGGCCTGAGGGGGGTTCAGCTTCTTGCCGTCCTTGTTGTACCGGATGCGAGGAGGAGGGGCACGGTTGCGACGACCTTCCCGGGAACGGACACTGTGATTATCAGCATTGACTCGAGGTGGTGGTGGCTGAGGGTAGAGAGTCATCGTACCGAACGATCTTGCCGTGGATGGCGCAGGAGACGCAGTACTGCAGCTTGAGGTACATCTTGGGGACGGCGTAGTCGGTGAAGACGGAGGCGTCGGAGATATCACCTGAACCGGTCAGTTTGGGATGCTTTTTTTTCGATAGTCGTCAATTCCCGTTGTGCGTCGCGAAGCCGTGACTCTTCCCAATCCTTTCGTCCTTGTATCCATCCGGTCCTTCTCTTGCAATTCTTTCTGATTGGAGCGGACTTCGGGCCACACGCGAGGAATCAACAGGTCAAGGATCGAACGTACGGATGGCAGCGGACTCGACCATGTTGCGGATGGTGAATCTCTTGATCGCCTTGTCCTTGGGAGTGCAGCGAGCGCAGTTGGAGCAGCGCACGGGCTTGACGTGGCCGCGGCCGTTCTTGTTGCGACCGCTGGAAAGACGTTAGTTTCTGTTTCTGCATTGGTGATGACTGATGTGGTGGAATTTCCAAGTCGATAGGGATCTCATGTCGGGAGAAGATTCGTATGGTCGGGATCCCGGATCATGATGGACAGTTGCGACGGGAATGATTTGGATATAGTAGATAGACAGGGAACGAATGGAAGGGGAACGGTCTTACTTGTTAGCCCGCTTCTTGACCATCTTGACGGATTGTCTGTGAGAGCGTTAGAGGGAGACCAGACGAACGAGTGTCGAGGGAAACGTACTGGCTTGTCGTCCGGGAAAGGGTTGTCGTAAGGCACTCGGAGACTCTCTCGCTCGACTCGGTGATGGGAGTGGCGGGAAGGGTGTGTGTGGTCGCGGAACCCTAGGTTAAGCGAAGTCATGTGAGCTCGACACCTCAGGCGCTGTTTGTGGGATCCTCAGGCATACATTGTCAGGCACCAAGGCACCATTGTTTACCCCCTGTCACTTTCCCTCCTCTTTCTTCCGCTCACGACTTTCTCTCTCTTCCTTGCATGATCCTCCTCCGTGCTCTCCGATCTTCTCAGACATCGTCCTGACCTCCTCGTACAGTCTCGGTCTTTCCATCTTCTTCTCTTCCTTCATCCCATCCATCCCTGCCGAGTCTCTCCCCACCGTCCCTTTTGTTTTTGTCTTACCCCGTACTCCATCCACAGACGCCTGGGACTTCGGAGATGTCGGCCACAGGGACCTACAAGGGAACGATCAGTCACAAGACCGTCGGAAGAGGCAGACTCCCGGACTTCAACGATAGTCCTTCCGCCTCACACATTCCTCGCCCTCGTACCGATCTCTCTTCCATCTCTTCTCCATCTCCCGCCCCTCATACCCCGGGCAGCGACATCGGTAGTTCCACCATGAGTGCCGCCAGTAGCCGTCAGAGGCAGAATCAGTCCAAGCGTGATGAGGTATGTTCCATCCATCTGATGTGTGGGATGGTTCTCTTTCCCGTCGCGTCGAATATCGCGTCGAGTCCTCGTCGATTCCCCGTCGAGTCCCGTCGGGTATTCTGGGCTAACAAGTCGGTCAGGCCATCCGCCGCAAAATGGAAGCCGACCTCAACAAGAAGAGGCACAACCCTGCGAGAGCCCATCGCTCACGCAAGGCCCCTCCCGGTACCGTCCTCGCTCTCAAGCCCAGCCAGGCCCTCCAGATCAAGCCCAACACCACTATCGCCGAGGCTGCCCAGTTGATGGCCGCCAAGCGGGAGGACTGCGTTCTGGTTACCGACGACGATGATCGCATTGCCGGTATCTTCACCGCCAAGGATCTGGCCTTCCGTGTGGTCGGCGCCGGCCAGAAGGCCCGCGAGATCACCGTCTCGGAGATCATGACCAAGAACCCCCTCTGCGCCCGCACCGATACCAGCGCTACCGATGCCCTCGACCTGATGGTCCGGAAGGGGTTCCGCCATCTCCCCGTCATGGATGAGAACCAGGATATTTCCGGTGTGCTCGATATCACCAAGTGTTTCTACGACGCCATGGAGAAGCTGGAGCGCGCCTACAGTTCCTCCCGCAAACTGTATGATGCGTTGGAGGGTGTGCAGACCGAGCTGGGTTCCAGTCAGCCGCAGCAGATCATCCAGTACGTCGAGGCCCTGCGGTCAAAGATGTCTGGCCCCACTCTGGAGAGTGTCTTGGACGGCATGCCCCCTACCACCGTGTCGGTCCGCACCTCTGTCAAGGAGGCCGCCGCCCTGATGAAGGAGCATCACACTACGGCGTTACTGGTGCAGGACCAGGGCTCCATTACCGGTATCTTCACCAGCAAGGACATTGTTCTCCGGGTGATTGCACCCGGTCTGGACCCGGCCACCTGCAGTGTGGTGCGCGTGATGACTCCCCACCCCGACTTTGCTCCCACCGATATGAGCATCCAGGCCGCTCTCCGCAAGATGCATGGTCCGTATTCTCCATCCGGGTCCACCTTGATGAAAACATGGTTGCGACTAACCAGTTCCTAGATGGTCACTACCTGAACCTTCCCGTGATGAACGAAGCGGGCGAGATTGTCGGCATGGTGGATGTGTTGAAGTTGACCTATGCCACTCTGGAGCAGGTGGGTTCCTTGGTCATGATATACGTCCCCGCTGTTCCGCCACTAATAATGGAAACCTGTAGATCAACTCGATGCAGACCCAGGACGATGAGGGCCCTGCATGGAACAAGTTCTGGCTGTCGATGGACCATGAGTCCGATTCGATGGTTTCGGGTAGCCACCGGCCCCATACCCCACACCGGTCAGTCATGAGCCCTGAGGACCCAAAGGCTGGTTATGACGCGCGAGACAGTGTTCTCCCGAACGAGTCCGCTTCGCATCATGGTGGGGATGAACATTCGGAATACATTGACCACCATCATGGGGAGTCGGTCCCGTTCCCGTTCAAGTTCAAGGCGCCCAGTGGCCGCGTGCACCGTGTCAACGTGCTCCCTACGGCGGGCATTGCGGAACTCGTGGCGCAGGTGACGGCCAAGTTGGGTCCGGAGTGTGAGGCCGTCGGTGGTGCGTCGGTGGTGGAAGACGGTGTGTTGAGCAACACGGGATACGCGCTGAGCTATCTAGACAACGAAGGCGACACCGTCTCCATTACCACGGATCAGGATCTGGCGGATGCCATCCACGTGGCGCGACAAGCGCGTCGGGACAAGGTTGATTTGTTTGTCCATGATCCCACGCACCCTCCCGTGCCAGCGCCGGTTGAGGCGCCCAAGCCGGTGGAGGAGAAGCCGGCCACCCCTGCGTCGGAGGAGACTGTTGAAGAGGTCCCTGCGGCCAAGCCTCGGGTTCAGACGTATCCCTCGCACCACCCAGAGGAACAGTTTATCGCAGGTGTGCCGAATGAACTCCTGCTTCCGGGAGCGATTGTGACGCTGGCGGCGGTGATTGCGGGTGTGTTTGTGCTGAGCCGGGCGACCAGTCGGTAAAGACTGATTGTTGGTTGGTGTTGGTGTTGGTGTTGTTGCTGTTGAATTCCTAGATACCGTTTGACTCTTTGCTGGAGCGTAGATAGCCTGTATCATAGATAATATGTTAATTGTTCATTGAATGTGAATATCTAGTACTATCTAGTACTGTATCCTGACGTGTTTGTGTTCTCCAAGTAGAAGAGGATGGATGCCTCAGGCACCCAGACCAAACGGGTTAGCGGCACAAAAAAAAGCAACTCCTTTCTGCTTCTGCTTCTCGTCGTCGTTTCTTCCCCCCCATCGTTGCTGGCGGTTGGGATGCTGTCGGCCTTTCTCAAATTCCTCTGTTTCTCTCTCTCTTCGCCTCTTCTCCTCGCTTGAGTCCCGGCTTCTTCTCGTCTGGAGAGCTTCCCATCTGGGAGTCACACCCCCCCACTAAACAAAAAATTACCTGAACCCCTACTACCCCACCTCGCGTTCGACTCCCTTGATCTCCCGCGTCCAGTTCAACCACCCTCCGTGTCTCTGATCGCGACTCTCGCTGCGTTCCGTCTATCGAGACATTGAGGAGACGTCATGTCCCTACTCCCGCCTGAGGTTCACTCGGCGCTCTCGCAGCTGCTGCGCGCCCTCTCCACCCCCGACAACGCCGTCCGCGCCCAGGCCGAAGACCAGTTGAACAATGATTGGATTCAGAACCGTCCCGACGTCCTGTTGATGGGATTGGCCGAACAGATCCAAGGCGCCGAAGAGGTGGTGGTAGGTTCCTATCTTGAAGGAGCAAGGAGGGCCGACCGACGTGAGGAAATGCTGACTCCCTAGACTCGCACATTCTCCGCCGTCCTGTTCAGAAGAATCGCGACAAAAACCCGCAAAGACCCCGTCACGAACGAAGCCAAGGAGCTCTTCTCGACCTTGAGTGGTGAACAGCGTCTAGTCATCCGTGAGAAGCTGGTGACCTGCCTGACGAGCGAGTCCACTACCGACGTGCGCAAGAAGATTGGTGACGCTGTCGCCGAGATTGCACGTCAATACACCGACAATGGTATACTTTCCCCCCAGTGAACTGGCCGAGGCGCGTGCAGCTGAGTTGACGGTCTTCCCTAGGCGACCAATGGCCGGAGCTCCTCGGGGTTCTCTTCCAGGCGAGCCAGTCCCCCGATGCTGGTCTGCGAGAGGCCGCCTACCGCATTTTCTCGACCACTCCGGGAATCATCGAACGGCCTCACGAGGACGCGGTGACCGGTGTGTTCAGCAAGGGATTCAAGGATGATAACATTGCCGTATGCTTGCTGTATTTTTTGGCTCATTGTCGGTTACTGACCTGCATAGGTGCGCATCGCGGCCATGGAAGCCTTCGCCTCTTTCTTCCGTTCCATCTCCAAGAAATCCCAGCCAAAGTTCTTCTCGTTGGTGCCCGACATCCTCAACGTGCTGCCTCCCTTGAAGGAATCGTCCGAGAGCGACGAGCTCTCCTCCGCTTTCATGGCCCTCATCGACCTCGCCGAAATCAGCCCCAAGATGTTCAAGGGCATGTTCAACAACCTCGTCAAGTTCAGCATCAGCGTCATTGCCGACAAGGATCTCAGCGATCAGGTGCGCCAGAACGCCCTGGAGCTCATGGCAACTTTCGCCGACTACGCCCCCAACATGTGCCGCAAGGATCCCGAGTTTGCCCGCGACATGGTCACCCAGTGTCTGAGTTTGATGACTGATATTGGAGTTGACGATGACGATGCGGCCGAATGGAACGCTTCTGAGGATGTAAGTTGGCAATTGTTGGATATGGGATGTTTCTGACTTGTTCTAGCTCGATCTCGAAGAGAGTGATCTCAATCATGTCGCTGGTGAGCAGTGCATGGACCGTCTGGCCAACAAGCTCGGTGGACAGGTGATCCTGCCCGCTACTTTCAACTGGATCCCCCGTATGATGTCGTCGTCCGCTTGGCGGGATCGCCACGCCGCGCTCATGGCTATCTCCGCCATCTCCGAGGGCTGTCGCGACCTGATGGTCGGCGAGCTGGATCAGGTGCTGGCCCTGGTTGTCCCGGCCCTTCAGGACCCCCATCCCCGTGTGCGGTACGCCGGTTGCAACGCCTTGGGCCAGATGAGCACCGACTTCGCGGGCACCATGCAGGAGAAGTACCACCAGGTGGTGCTCAGCAACATTATCCCCGTGTTGGACAGCACTGAGCCGCGTGTCCAGGCGCACGCTGCCGCCGCGCTGGTCAACTTTTGCGAGGAGGCCGAGCGCAAGATCCTCGAGCCCTACCTCGCGGATCTCCTCCAGCACCTGCTGCAGCTCCTCCGCAGCCCTAAGCGCTACGTTCAGGAGCAGGCACTCTCCACCATTGCCACCATCGCTGACTCCGCCGAGAACGCGTTCGATCAGTATTACGATACCCTCATGCCGCTTCTGTTCAACGTGCTGAAGGAGGAGCAGTCCAAGGAGTACCGCCTGCTGCGGGCCAAGGCGATGGAATGCGCCACGCTGATCGCCCTGGCGGTGGGCAAGGAGAAGATGGGACAGGATGCCCTCAACCTGGTGCAGCTGTTGGGTAACATTCAGCAAAACATTGTCGACGCAGATGACCCGCAGTCTCAGTACCTGTTGCACTGCTGGGGCCGTATGTGCCGCGTCCTCGGTCCCGACTTCGTGCCATATCTCCCCGGTGTGATGCCACCTTTGTTGACCGTGGCGGCCGCCAAGGCTGACATCCAGCTGCTGGACGACGAGGACCAGATCGACCAGGTGGAGCAGGATGAAGGTTGGGAGCTGGTGCCGCTCAAGGGCAAGATCATCGGCATCAAGACCAGCGCACTGGAGGACAAGAACACGGCCATCGAGCTGATCACGATCTACGCGCAGATCCTCGAGGCGGCCTTTGAGCCCTATGTGTTGGAGACGATGGAGAAGATCGCGGTGCCCGGCTTGGCGTTCTTCTTCCACGACCCCGTGCGGGTGTCGTCGGCCAAGCTCATTCCCCAGCTGCTCAACTCGTACCGCAAGGCGCACGGTGACACGTCGCCTGGGTTCGCGCAGATGTGGAGTAAGGTGGCGGAGAAGATCATCGAGGTGCTGAGCGCCGAGCCCACGGTCGACACCCTGGCGGAGATGTACCAGTGCTTCTACGAGTCCCTGGAGGTGGTGGGCAAGAACTGCCTGACACCGGCGCACATGCAGGCGTTCATCGCGTCGGCCAAGTCGACACTCGAGGACTACCAGGTTCGGGTGAAGGCACGTCTGGAGGAGCGGGCCGAGGCGGCGGGCGGCGACGGTGACGAGGAAGAGAACCTGGACTACGAGTATGCGGTGGAGGACGATCAGAACCTGCTGAGCGACATGAACAAGGCGTTCCACACCGTGTTCAAGAGCCAGGGCACGAGCTTCCTTCCCGCGTGGGAGACGCTCCTCCCGTTCTACGATGCGTTCATCACCAGCCAGGACCCGACGCAGCGCCAGTGGGCCCTGTGCATTATGGATGACGTCCTGGAGTTCTGCGGGGCGGAGTCGTGGAAGTACAAGGACCACATCATGCAGCCGCTGGCCGCGGGTCTGCAGGACCAGAACGCTGCCAACCGGCAGGCGGCGGCCTATGGCGTGGGCGTGGCGGCGCAGAAGGGCGGCCAGCCCTGGAGCGATTTCGTGGCGGCCAGCATTCCTAGCCTGTTCCAGGTGACGCAGATTCCCCAGGCTCGCACCGAGGAGCACGTGTATGCGACGGAGAACGCGTCGGCCAGTATCGCCAAGATCCTGCACTACAACGGCGCCAAGGTGGCCAATGCCCAGGAGATCGTGACCAACTGGATCAACACGTTGCCGATTATCTACGACGAGGAGGCGGCTCCGTATGCGTACTCGTTCATTGCACAGCTGATTGATCAGTAAGTCCTTCCCTCCGTTTAGTCTCATGAGATGCTAACGACGACAGGCAAAACCCGGCGGTCATGTCCAACGCCGACAAAGTGTTCGGTTACATTGTGCAGGCGCTGGAGGCAGAGACGCTGCAGGGCCAGACAGCTGCACGGGTGGCCACCTCAGCCAAGCAGCTGGTCGCAGCGACGGGGCTGAACGCAGAGCAGATCCTGGCGGGCGTGAATCCAGACAACCAGGCCGCGGTGCGCAGTTACTTCCAGTAGAATAGCCGGGTTAATTTATATACGTTGAGGAAGATATCCAGATAGCCTTTGGGAGATGTGTGCAGTGATGGAACGTCTATGTGCGTGTGTGCATGTCTAGTTAAGTAGTGATAAGTAACCACACCAGTCTATGAAGAAATCAAATGACCATTTCAAGAATCTCCAACACCTGCTCCTTCTCCTTCAACGGCACCGGATTCGACTGACACCACCGATCGTGCAGGCTGTTCGCCGCGAGCCCGTCCAGCTGGTCGCGGCTCACTCCGACCTCATGCAGCGAGCGCGGCATGCCGAGCTCGCGGATGACCGCATCAAGGACGTCGCCCAGATCCGCAGCGGCGACGTCCACGGCCCGCTTGCGCAGCAGCTCCGCCACGACGGGCTGGGCGAGGAGGAAGTCGCGCACGCGGGCCTGACGGTCGTTGTTGGCGTGGTGGCGGGCGTTGAATTTGCATACGGCAGGAAGGAGGATGCAGCTTGTTTCGCCGTGGCCGACGCCGAGGGGGCCGAGCTTTCACACAAACATACTATCAGTGCATCATTCCTCCAGTAGAGCAAAGGCGAGAAGGGGAGGGGGCTACCTGATGCCCAATTCCATGACTCGCACCCAGCTGCACGGCCACAGCGCCCGTCGTGCACGCCGCCATGGCATCCACGCTCCCCAGCTGGCACTGCAGGTGGGCATCGCGGTCTGCGCGATCGGCCTTGCAGCGCAGCAGACCCGGTACGAGGCGGCCCAGGGCCTGTAGGGCGAGGGCGTCGGTCTCTGCGCTGGTGTTGCGGACGGCGACGGCGGTCTCGACGCAGTGGTCGACGGCGCGGACGCCGGTGCTGAGCCAGATGTGGGGCGGGGTGGAGCGGGCGAGGTCCGGGTCGAGGATGACGAGCTGGGGGCCCTGCAGGGGCGCCTGGAAGGAGTGTTTGCGGCGGGTGGAGTCGCGCGTGGCGCCGGCGAAGTTGGAGTATTCGCCGGCGGAGAGGGAGGTCGGGATTGAGATGATGGGCACGGTGGGCGGATTGATGGACGGGAGCTGGTCGGGGCCGACGCTGAGTTTGAGGAGGGAGTCGTCGGAGGTGACGTTGTTTGCTAGGGCCTACACTCATTAGGACTCGTTCTTCTGGTAGGATAGGATATAGATGGGGTATAGATTGGGAACGTACCAGTGCTACCACCTTGGCCCCGTCGGTCAAGCTCCCCCCGCCAACGGTGAGGAGGAGGTCGGCCTGGGCGGCGCGCGCTTCGTGGACGATCTCGAGCACCTCGGACCACAGCGTGTGGCTCTGCATGCCTTTGCGCACGCCGACGATGGTGTCTGCGCCCAGATGCTGCTGCAGCTGCGCGAGGGTGTCGGTGTTGCGGGCCAACGACCCTGAGCAGATCACGTAGACGCGAGAGGCGTGGAAGGTCTGCTTGACATGCTGGGCGGCGGCGGCGGCAAATGGCAGGCCGTAGGAGATGAGCGGCCTGGGACGGCCGGCGAAGGCAGGACGGAGGGTTTCCATGGTGTAGAGGTGGTGAATGTGAAGCATGAAGTGGAAGTAGAAGTAGAAGAAATAATATTTATAAGATACAATGTGGAGATGTGGGGCCGGTGGAGAGATGTGCATCAAGTGGATCTGCATTGAAGATGTATACTTCGTCTACATCTATACTCGTCTACTTGCCCGCCAGCAAGTTCAGCGCACTGCCCGCCAGGATGAACCCGCACTGGTCCGGGCTGAGCGTGTGCTTGACGGGGATCTCAATCTCTCCCGACGGCTTGCGCACCCGCAGCGAAATCTCGCCCTGGCCGCCCGCCTGCAGCGTCTCGTACAGGCCTACCGTGTCGACAACATCGCAGGCATCGATCCGGTCGTAGTCGGCCGGGTTGGCAAACGTCAACGGCACCACTCCCTGCTTCTTCAGGTTCGTCTCGTGGATGCGCGCAAAGCTCTTGGCTACGATCACCCGTCCTCCGAGGTACCTCGGCTGCAGCGCCGCGTGCTCGCGCGCACTGCCCTCACCATAGTTCTCCTCGGCCACCACCAACCACTCCACGCCCTGGCTCTTCCACTTCGCCGCCAGGTCGGGAATGCTGTACGTCTGGCCCTGCTCGTCGTACGCAACGTTGGTCTCACCAGTGGCCGCGTTGACTGCTCCGATGAGCGTGTTGGCCGAGATGTTGGGCAGATGACCCTTGTACTTCAGCCAGGGGCCCGCCGCCGAGATCGTGTCCGTCGTGCACTGGCCTTTCACCTTGTACAGCACCTTCAGGCCGCGCAGGTTGTCCTTGGGGAACGGCGCGAACGGCTCCAGCAGCGCCAGACGGTCCGACGTCGGCGACACCTTCACCTCGCAGGTGGGGTCGGGCACGGCCGCCGTGGGCTGGAACGACGGGTTGCCGTCAGCGAAACCATCGTCCGGCAGAGCTGAGCCGGACGGCGGCTGGAAGCGGAAGCTTTCGCCAGAGGGCGTCGTGATGCTGTCGGTCATGGGGTTGAAGGTGGTCTCGCCGGAGTAGGTCAGCGCAGTGACCAGCTCGGGAGAGGCGAGGAAGTTCATCGTGCGGCGATTGCCGTCGTTGCGGCCGGGGAAGTTGCGGTTGTACGAGGTGAAAATGGCGTTATCCTCGCCCTTGGCCACGCCGTCCGTGCGCTTCCACTGTCCGATACAGGGTCCGCACGCGTTGGCCAGCACGGTACCACCGGCCTCGGAAAACGTGCTCAGAGTCTGGTCGCGGTCCAGCGTCGCGCGGATCTGCTCGCTACCGGGCGTGATGAAGAAGTCGGCCTTGGGGGTGAGTCCGGCGGCTTGGGCCTGCTTGACGAGGTCCTCGGCGCGGGTCATGTCCTCGTACGAGCTGTTGGTGCAGCTGCCGATGAGGCCGGCGCCAAAGGTCTCGGGCCAGCCCTTTTCGCGCACGGTGTCGGCGAAGCGCGACAACGGCACCGAGAGATCTGGCGTGAAGGGACCGTTGATGTGGGGTTCGAGGGTCGACAGGTTGATCGTGATGAGCTGGTCGTATTCGGCGCCGTCGTCCGCCCGCAGGAGGTTCTTGGGACCAGAGCTGGCGATGCGCGCCGCCGCCTCCGCCACGTCGCCGCGGTGCGTCGCCTGCAGGTAAGGCACCATGCTGGGCGAGAAGGGGAACACCGACGTCGTGGCACCGACCTCGGCTCCCATGTTGCAGATCGTCGCCTGGCCCGTGCAGCTGAGCGTCTCGACACCGGGACCGTGGTACTCGATCACGAAACCGGTACCACCGCGCACCGTCAACTGGCCCGCCAGGTGCAGGATGATGTCTTGGGGCGGCCCAGCCGTTGAGACGGCCCTCCAGACGCACACCGAGGATCTTGGGAGCTTCAGTTCCCAGGGAGCGTCGACGAGAGCGTCGACCGCATCGGCACCGCCGACACCGATGGCGATGGCGCCCAGACCGCCAGCGTTGGGAGTGTGGCTGTCCGTTCCGAGCATCATGAGACCGGGGGCGGCGTAGTTCTCAAGCACGCTCTGGTGAATAATACCGGCACCAGGAGGCCAGAACTCAATTCCGTAGCGCTTGGCGGCGCTCTCCAGGAAATCAAACACTTCGCTGTTGCCCTTGATCGAGGCGGGGAGATCGGTATCGGCACCGCGCTCACCCACAATCATGTGGTCGCAGTGAATGCTGGCCGGCACGGCGGTCGAGGGCAGTCCACACGACATGAACTGCAGCAAAGCCATCTGCGCCGAGGCATCCTGCATAGCCACACGGTCAGGCTTCAGCTTCAGGTTGGCCTTACCCCGGATGTCGCGTCCGTTGTTGGTACCGGTCAGGAGGGAGTCTTCGGGGTTGGCCAGGTGGGAGTAGAGGATCTTCTCTGCCAATGTGAGAGTACGGGACGAGCCGAGCACACGACGGACTTCTTCGAGGTTCCGGAGGATCTTGGGATAAGGGGGCATGCGGTTGGAGGCGCCAGCGGCCTCGGTGGCCAAACCGCGGGCCAGGAGTCGCGGGGGGAGGCATTTGGCCAGCTAGGAGGGGAATCGATTAGCTCAATGGTCGAGATACTGGGAGAAGAGAACGTACCCTTCGCGAGGCGGTGGCCCGCTGCCAGAGTTGAGTGACCATGGTGGATGGGTTGGAGAGAGAAAGAAGGAGAAGAAGAAGTCGATAGTTTAATTTTATTTTATTTTATTTTATGCCGACTGTATTGCCACACTCCTGATTGGCTGTCGGCGGGGCCGATACCGGGTGACGGTATGGTAAGTACGGTTATTACGGTTCCCGGGGCCCCGTACAATCCGCCGGCGATCGGCGGTATGGTAACTCCAAGACAGTACAGTATGGTCACTCCATTACAAGCCCTAAGCTGCAACTATCAACGACGAAGAAATGGAAACGCGACATGATAGCACAGGATGAAAGACAACGACCCCAACGCCTATCCGTCCCGTCTGGAAAATTTACCGTTGCTCCTCTTCGTCTGCTACGGCCGCCCGCAGCTCCCACACGATGTCGTAGCACTCCGCCAGCAGCGCGTTGACACTTCCCTGACCCTCGGGAATGTCGCTGCCCACGTAGAATTTGCCGTCCACGCGCATGTTGTCGATGGAATTCAGCTTCATACTGTACGGGTAGAGCTCGCGGGGGTTCGCCACGCCGCCGGATTCCTTCACTTCGATGAGACACCGCCGCAGTGTCTGCAGCTGGTTGTATACAGGAAGCAGGGCCTCCGACACCGGTTCGGACGAAATCAGCAGGGCATAGATGTAGCCATAGCTTCGTCGGATCAGATACAACAGGGTCTTTCTTGTCAGTACTTTGAGAGCCAGATATTAGGTCATAGGCGGACATACCCTCTGCGCATGGAGATCCGCTGGGCGTCCTTCCGCATCCACAAAGTTCCCATTCACCCGCGCCTCGTCGATCCGATCGAGCTTGCGCTGATAGCCAAACAGATCGGTCTCCCGCAGTGACCAGGCCTGCGTGACCGACAGTCGATCCAGCTGGTTCCGAATGTCCAGCAGGCGTTCGTACTGTTCTTGAAACCGCTCATCGATTTTGCCCTCCCTAATCCGAATTAGATCGAATCAAGTGCGCTAATGCAGACCACCTACCGCTCCAGAACAATCTCCGTCCACCGCCAGCAACGTTGCATCAGGGTTTTGACGCCTTCCTGGCCCGCCAGCGGTGTCCCGTCCGGCCCCACAAAGTTCCCGTCCTTCATGCTATCTTCGATCTTCTTCAACTGTTTGCGGAGGTTGTTGACTTCGGCGGCGGAGAACTGCTTTGATTAGCTGGCGTTGTGGCGTCCGTTGGATATACATACCTTGGAGCGAGTGTTGACTGCAGAGGTAGATCGCAGGATGGACACCAGCGTCTCATGGGTCGAGGCTAGCTCCGGGCTCATCGCCGTCAGGCGTTCCTGCAATTTTTTCAAGTGCAGTTGGCACTTTTCGAGACGACTTTCTAGCAGTGTCAACAAGGCGGGCGAATGTGTCTCGTGTCCGCGTTCCAGGGTCTCGCGCATCGAATCGAGGGTCTTGGTTATGGACGCGAGGTCTTTGGAGCTGTAAAAGCCGGCTTCTTCGAGATGATCAAGAAGACGCTAGATAGATTAGAGACTAGAGCGACAACAAAAGAGCGCACTAATTACCTGGACGGTGGTGGCGAGAGAGTATCTTCATCAACGTCAGCTACGCTTCTGCGGACGGACGTGGGGCACATACACTGCGGGGGCCTCATTATTTCTCCCCACGGTGAGGAACAGCAACGAGATCAATTGGAAGCAGTCGTCCAGAACGTAGTCCACTATGTAGGATCCAAGGAGATCAGGTTAGCGATCCGTCTGCAAGCTGTATCTCAACGCAAGGCCCACTCAGTGCTAACGTCTGTTGTATTCTAGCCGGCGATCCTGCTGCTTGCGCACGGCATTGAGTTTCTCCACCTCGGCGATGACTTCTTCGTAGAGAGGAAGAACATCGCGAGACTTGATGTAAGAGGACTTGTCTTGTTTGATCAGAAGGAGGGCGTCGCGAGTGCGGAGGAGCTTGTCGAGGATGGGTTGCTCATGCGGATCTAGCGGAGCGGGGACGGCGGGGGAGTCCATTGCATCGGAGGATGGGGGAAAGGTCGAAGGGTGGGCTGGAAGAAGGAGGAAAAAGAGGATACAGTAGATAGATGTACAGTGAATCGAAGTGAAGGAGAAAAGCGAGCTTGAGGAAGTGGATGACGAGTGAGATCCGACGTAGATGTCGTAGTAGTCGGCGTAGTAGAGCAAGTATACTTAGTCAGGTATGATGCAGACCAGAACGGCATTGCCTGATGAGGCTAGCGCGCAGTCACGCGCAGCGGCAGCGCGCTAGTCCTCATCGGGAAGGGAAGCCCTAAGCGATTTAGGGCTTGGGGCACCACACAACTGCCGCTTCGGGAAGCCACACGGTCTCTCTCGCTCGCGACTTCGACCCAATCGTTAAAAGTCTCTTTTCCTCTTCCCTTTTCTTCCCTTTGTATCCCCTCATCCCTCTCGAGACTCCAGTCCGCCAGTCCAACCCCCCCCATCGACACAATGTCTACTGCTGAGCTCGCCTGCTCCTACGCCGCCCTCATCCTCGCCGATGACGGTGTTGAGATCTCCGTACGTATCTCCCACTTGCTTGGATTGTTTTAGATGGAAAGACTCGAGTGTCGCATCACGACGACGATGGAGACGAGACGCGCACCGACTACAACCCGACCAACTCGCAGCAACACCTGATGGACCGCCGCTAATTGATTCACACAGGCTGAGAAGATCCAGACTCTGATCGGTGCCGCTAAGGTTCCCGAAATCGAGCCCATCTGGACTTCCATCTTCGCCAAGGTAAACCTCCGATCGCATTCGCATCTCGACAAGCTCGCAGGAAAGGATTCAGGCCGACTTACACTCCCATCTCTAGGCTCTTGAGGGCAAGGACATCAAGGACCTCCTGACCAACATCGGCTCCGCTGGTCCCGCTGTTGCCGCCCCCGCCGGTGGTGCTGCCGCTGCTCCCGCTGAGGCTGCCGCCGCTGAGGAGAAGAAGGAAGAGGGTACGCATCCCATCGCTCGCGATCCCGTCCGCGGTCCCGCCCCTAGGATATCCCCGCTAACTTCCCTACAGAGAAGGAGGAGTCCGACGAGGACATGGGCTTCGGTCTGTTCGACTAAGCGCCTCATCCGGTCGGCCTTGGTTTCTTTTTATCCTTTTCTCCTGTGTCGTCGTTATTTCCTACCTCTCTCCGTTTAACTCCTCCCTCGCATTTTTCTCGCTCCATGTGTATCCGATAAACCACGCGAACTCGCAACGAAGACCAAAAAAGGGAAAACGTTTAAAAAGAACAAGATTTTCAATTCGGACTGGGACACATTCCGGTGGGACTGGGCGCTGTGGCTTTGGCATGATGGGTTCCGTCGTGACTGAGGTAGAAAGGTTCAACGCCGGATGCCGTTACGATTCTGGTAGTTTATCTACACAAAAATATAAAAAATGGATTTGAGATTGTGGTGACGTCTTCCGTCGACGGACTGCTTGGTCTTGGTCTTTGGTCTCGTCGACGGATGATGTTGGATGACTCTTGTACCGCAACGTCTAGATCTAGGAGTGCAGCTTATGCGATCATGTCCGTCATGCGACTATGAACAATCGTTATTGCTCTATACGCGGAAGGTATAGGAAGTACGCTCCGTAGTTATGTAACATGGTAAGATATAGATACATTGATATCCGAACGCCCCATCCAGGTCTTCAATAGACAACTTTTGATACACGCAACGCAGGCTAAAACACGAAATACAATACCCCAAACAAGATGACGCGCTAATGCTTTGGCATGCCTTCGCGCAGGTGAAAAAGAAAATATAAAAGATCATGATGATACAGCCCCGGTGTCCGCCACGGCATACATACGGAACTGCACAAAGATGATCACGTCTTCGACCATCGTTCCCAGGGACCCGATCAGCCAGGGCGTGTTGGTCACAATGTAGTTCTTCTCGGTCGAATGACACAGGATCTGCACGAGTCAGCATGCATGTCTCTCCAATAAGAATGCCGCGCCACTTACGCCTGCGCCATACGTCAAATTGCCCATCAGCGAGAGAATGAAAAACAGCAAGGAGAGGCCTGGATACCGTTAGCGTGTGCGGACTCGCACCAGCCAAAGAAAAAGCAAATACCTTCGCACGACTTGTCGCAGTAGTTTTTGTAGATCTGCGGGAGACGCGCCCTATATCCACCGTTAGTTCTCCACCCTCAACGTATCCAACATCAGGAGCATACCCCAGATAGCAAAGCGCGCTGAAGTATCCCACTACCTGCGCCCCCGCCGCCATATCCACGCCGCCGTTCACCTCGCGCGGCGCTGGCTTCCACACCCCGGACTGCCACGCGATCGTCCACCCCGCCATGCCGATCACACAGATAGCCAACACGCTACTCAGGTTCTTCACCCAGGCCTGCTGACCCGCCTCGTTCTCCTCGACGATCTTGGCCAGCGTATCGTCCGCCTGGCGCGCACCGCCGTCGACACCGCGACGCTGCGACGAGACCGACGCCCGGCGGCGCGCGACCGCCTCAGGGAGGGTGTCGCTGAAGCGGCGGCCCAGCAGCGGAGTGGAGGGGTCGGGGGTTTCGGTGGACGAGCGGCGGCGGCGGCGCAGGGCCTCGAGACGGGCGTTGCGCGCTTTGTAGTACAGACACTGGCCGATGAGGACGCCGTCGGCGATGCAGAAGTACACGGCAATGGCGACGATAACGGGCACCAGGCCGGCCCACAGGCCGCCGACCAGGTTTGTGATGTCGCCGACGAACCAGACGAACAGGAAGAGGAGCGAGATGGCCTCCGCGTTGCCGTTGCGGTAGTTTTCGATCAGTTGCGGGACCTGTTTTGTCCGGTTAGATTTCTTTTGTCTCTGGCTCGCTGTGGACTGTGGATGGGTGTGCGTGGGTGCGTTACCAGGAGGAAGATCCAGCAGGTCATGGAGATGGAGCCGAGGAGGCCCGAGGCTGCTTCGCGCGGCGTCAGAGGCACGGATTCGCCGGCCGTCGCGGTGCCCAGCGACCTCAGGAGGGACATTGTGTCGTGTGAACGCTCAGCGATGAGTCGTCAGGGGCGGTTTGGCAAGGAAAATTGAGCAATGGCTGGGGCCGTGGGGGGAGAGATAAGAGGCTCCGACGGCGCCGCGAGTTTCAGAATTTGATCGCGGGTGGGAGAGGACGCAGTCCGCCCACTACATGGGCTGGAAGGAGACGACAGTCGAGCAGCGCAGAAGGACCCTTCCGACGGATCTTCGAGCGACAGGAGCAGCAAGCTTTTTGACACGCCTGATGGAGGAGAAATTGGGACAGGAAGAAACGATTTTAGCTAGCTTGTGCTTGCGGGTGGAGCCGCCAGAGCAGCTGTGGAATGCTTGAGTAAGCCGCGGTCGCCAGATGCTGCTTGCAAATGCAAATGGAGACGTAGGAGGAGAAAGTATGCGAGAATGAGGTGGTGCAGTGAAATATATATGTTTTTGATCTGGTGGTGGAAGGAGTGAGGGCGGAATGTTGGCTGGGAAGATGACGTCGTGGAGAGATGGATGCAAGGACCGCCAACTATATATTCTGCCGTCATACAGCGTCCACCTTCAAGAACTTCATATCCTATAACCCGCTTACTAGATACAACCGATCCTTGTATACTTTTGTCTATTGTAGTTCCATCTATGTCTGTTGGTTTTAAATTCCTATCTCCATAGTTGGCACTCTATAACTGCCCAACTGGTATATGCATCATGATTCATCCCTCACGAACCCTCTTCTTCATCGTACTCCAGTAGCTGCAGTTCATCCTCCAGCATGTCAACTACCATTTCGCCCAGGGCCTCGCGGAGGGCCCCGTGGAGGATCCGTTGTCGTGTGTTCTCCTGGAGCGAATGCAGAGCATCAACATACTCCGTCAAGGGAGAGTAATCCACCACTTCGCCCCAGTTCCCCCGGTCCACGCCATACTGCCGAAGGAACGCCTCCAGACTGTGCAGCCCATCTTCCAAGAGCCATTGTTCCAGCAGTGGTTGTTGATCGGCGGTAGGATGTGGACGGTGATCTGCTGCAGGCTCACCTTCAGACGAGACATCGTCGCCGACTACTTCCCCCTCACCTCCGGCTTGGAACCGGGGGAAATGAAGTGCCCCGTTGTTCAACTGGTCGAGCAGATCGCGAAGCCACTGTGGCCGTCCGCCTTCCGGCACCTGTGACAGATAGCCCGGTGTGGGGTCTTGCTGCTGCCGATATGCCTCAGACTCGTACGGAGGGAGGGGGTCGGATGCTGAGATCCGTCCCGTGACAAAACGCCCGGGCAGATGAGTTGTGACTCGAGGGACATCCGACAGGATAACATGACGTGCAATATCTAACGTGATCTCCGGGGGCTCAATGGCCTCTTCCTCGTCCGGCAGGGTGTCGGCCACTTCCACAATCAGGGACACCGCCTCGGGAGTGTTCCACAAATCCTTGGCTCGTACAATATACAGCTCGGTGAGTAGCTCGTGTGCATCTGTCGGTGGCATTTTACCCCAGATGCGCTTGGGCATGGGCTGGATGTCAAGCTCCTGTGCCAGCTTGCAGAAGACCCACGGGTACCGCGACATGGCGCGACGCAGCTGCTCCCGACACTCCTTTGGCTTGTTGAGTCGGAGATAGGCGAGTGCAAGTGAGCATTGGATATTAGGGAGCGAAGCCCACTCCTCGCTCAGCCGGGTCTGCGTGCATAGCTCAACGAAATGGGCATATTCCCTGCCCCGCAGAGCCAGGTGGTCGATCAGCAATTTGATACAATACGGATCGCTATCGTTCAAACTCAGAAGCAGCTTGGCCCATTCATATGCCGTGCGCCATGTTCCCTTCATTCCCAGGTTGGCGATGTATCTCCACCCCACCAGCCAGAGCTCTCGATTTTCTGAATGCACGAAGTCCAGTCGTGCGAGACCTTCCTTCAGCCGGGTCCCAAAGGAGGAATGGGCTGAGCGACCAATATTGAACAGTGCACGTTCAAGCAGATCAGCGGACACCGCATGATCACCCTGGTGCTTCGCGATCTCGGACACCTGGAGCAGCGTCGAGATATGGTACGGGTTGTACTGTAGAAGATGGATCATCCTTTGGGGATCCATTGATTCCACACACATGTCGAATTGCCGCTGGATATCCTGGTATGAGGCGTTATGCAGGATCTTGTAGACCGTAGCTCCGGTTGGAGCCTTCTCCGCTAGTTCCATCCCAAGGCCACCGCTAGGCGCGCGCGGCCACTCGTCTTTGCCTTGCATCAGGACATTCCGTCGCAGCGTTACCCCAGCCAAGCTCTGTCCTCGACTGGCTGGACTGTACCGGCCGGTCAGGGCCCGACCCAAATCCACCATCTCTCTGTTCCGGTCCCTGCGACGACCTGTGCCGGCATCCTGCTGATCAAAGTTCTCCAGAACCACATTTCCGAACAGTTTCCGCATTTCATTCGTCGCATTGAGGAATTTAGGCTCGATGCCTAGCAACTGATCCGGGGTCTTGGGGAACGCCGCATCGCGGGAGTTAACTGTCGCGGCCGCCGTGGCATTCCCATGCGCGGGGTTTTGAACCGCCAGCTCTTTGAGAGCTCGGTCGATCTCATCCAGATCTTCCTCTTTCGGCGTCGGTTCTTCTGCCGTAGGTTTCGTAGATGCCTTCTTCTTCTTCTTTTTATTCTTCTTTTTCTTCGAACCGGCCGACTGAATGGGTGCGGGGGTCTCTTCTACCGTCTGAGTCACCGGTTCGGGGACATCGTGGTCGGACTCCTGCTTCTCATCGTCCTCCTCATCGGCGGCGTTTAGAAGATCGAAGGCGTTAAGTTTCGGCTTGGAGGACTGGTAGACGGGCTCATCATCGCTGTCATTCTCTTCCTGCTCTGCTCGCTGCAGCTCTTGTTCGCGCAGCTTTTGCAGCTTGCGAATTGCGCGGGAGGACATCCAGAGCGGTGGGGGGATCTGTGAGGCGGTAGTAGTACGACAGGGAGACTGGACCTCCGATTGAGGCGAGTAAAGAGAGTGGATGTGAGGATATTATCACCAGGATTTCCGAGCCATGGATGAACAATATTGAATGGTCCGCGGGGAATGACGACACACGCCTAAAGGGTTTAGCGCAATACATCTTGTAATACAGTCACAGTCACATGACATCCATGAGATCATGGGTTGTATTGATGCCTGGGAGCCTGCATCTCGTGCTGCTCCGCGGTTGCTGATAACACCATCCATCCCGACACAGACAGCGCTCTCAAGGACCACCTCTATCCAGCTTGCTGGATTCTCTCCCACCTTGAATCGCACTCTTTTTGTCCGCCTCAATGCGCCGTGTCGCTCTTCAGACTTTCCGTACTGCCCGCCGTGTCCCAGTATGGAAAGTCGCCGGTAGGAGACCGCGTTCCGTATCGTTCTCAAGCAGTCAACCCCTTGCCCTCCGGTCCTCGTCTTCAACCGGAAGGCATTCGCACTTCCTCCCGGCATCCTTACAATCCTCCATGCATCTCCGGAACTTCTCTCTCGCGGTGATCTCGACGGTCGTGGCCTCCGGAGCCTGGTACGCTTATCAGGGTAGCAACTCGCAGCCATCCCCAGTTGGCGCAACTGCCACTTCGCAACTACGCTCCTTCGCAACCACGACTGCCTATGCGGAGGAGCCTTCGGAGGCCACCCGTCGTGCTCTGTTGGTCGATAACGATCAGTTCTACACCGCCACGTTATCGGGGGAACAGCCGCTGTTCAAACATACGGACGACTCCGATCGCCGCGTGCTCGAGATGTTGACGCCGGAACAAGCCACGCAGAAACTAAGGAAGAATGAGGAGTCGTATCTAGTTCACCGCGGCAAGGGTGTGGTCCGGTACGATGTCGTCCAGGTGCCCAGCAACTCTCCGATCGAAGACGACCATGCTGAGAAGGTCGTGGAGGTGCCTTCGTCTGTAGCGGCGGCTCAATCGGGTGAACCTAACAGTGACTGGATGTTCTGGGGTGTGTTTGATGGACACTCGTAAGTTGCTTGATTCGGTATTTTGCCATAGGAGGAGTTTCTAATAACCGAGCCAGGGGCTGGACGACGTCGGCCAAGCTGCGGAATGTTCTCATCTCCTACGTCGCTCGCGAGTTGAATACAACATACAAGGCGGCGGCTGCCGATCCGTCCATTGTTACTCCGACTTCCGCAGCAGTGGATGCTGCCATCAAGCAGGGCTTCGTACGTCTCGATAACGATATCGTGCACGGTAGTGTGGAGAAAGTGCTGAAGTCAAACTCTCGGCGGGTTGCGGCTGAGATGCTCGCGCCCGCTCTGTCGGGATCTTGTGCGCTCTTGGCCTTCTACGACTCTCAGTCCAAGGATTTGAAGGTGGCCTGCGCCGGGGATTCGCGAGCGGTCCTCGGCCGTCGTAGTGAGAACGGAAAGTGGTCTGCCACAGCGCTCTCTGAAGATCAGACTGGTGGCACTCCGTCCGAAGTGAAGCGTCTCCGGGAGGAACACCCAGGAGAGCCTTACGTTGTTCGCAACGGTCGTATTCTGGGCAACCTGGAACCGAGTCGTTCCTTCGGAGATGCCTTCTACAAGTGGAGCAGAGAGACGCAGGAGAAGATCAAGCGCCAGTTCTTTGGAAGGACTCCCCACCAGCTCCTCAAGACTCCTCCCTACGTCACTGCTGAGCCTATCATTTCGACTACCAAGATTGATCCCAGCCGAGGTGACTTCCTGGTCATTGCTACAGACGGGCTGTGGGAGATGTTAAGCAACGAGGAGGTCGTGGGTCTCGTGGGTCAGTGGATCGAGCAGCAGCAGTCCGGCTCGGGAAGCAACACGACGTGGCTGAAGAGCTGGCTTGGCTTCGAGAGCAAGCAGCTTCCCGTCGAGGAGTCCAAGGAGACCGCCACCGATGGTCAGCGTCGTCCCATCCGCCAGCAGCAGTACGATATCGCCGGCGCTGCCAGCCGCTTCGTCGTCGAGGATAAGAATGCCGCCACCCATCTTGTGCGCAACGCCATGGGCGGTAAGGATCGGGACATGGTTTGCGCACTTCTGACGCTCCCCAGCCCGTACTCCCGGAGATACCGGTAAGTGTGTTTTACTACTTGCATCAAAGCTGTGACTAAATCATATACTGCAGTGACGACGTCACTGTCGAGGTGATCTTCTTCGGCGAAGGACCGGATAACCGGACGATATCGATCAATGAAGAAGCCAGCGCATCGGAAGAGACCCCCAAGGCTAAGCTTTGATTACAGTATCGGATTGGGACCTGCATTGCACTTTTCTTTTCTGTTTCATTCTTAATTGCACAAGGCTTCTGTATATCCAGCGGCCTATGATATTTGTCAGTGGCGGCGTTGCTTGTGGGTGGCTTGCATGAATACCTCAGTAGAGCAAGATATCTTGCTAATTTTATATCACTTGGCTGTCATTTTGATAGATACAGCCAAGAAGAGCATATGTGATCTTCCATATTTGAGCAGCGGCCAGCTGGACTGTCCTTGGAGCTAGCATCAATCCAAAATACTGGTTGGCACCTTCGGTTCTTAACATGGGTCGTTCATTGTCATGGAGTCCCATCAAATAGGCCTACAAGGCTCATTTAGGTCTGGTTTTCTCCGCTCCTATCGGCAGCGCTTCCCGTAGTCCGGCAAGGATACCACAGAGGCTTTGCTGTCGGTCTGACGTGGGGAGTCTGAGTCGATTGGTATGATCTCATGCGGATCCAAGAAGCGAGCACACACACACTCCGAATAACCGATGTCTACAGGCATGGTCGAAAAGTATTCCAACAGACGGACGGTTCATTTCTTTGTCGCAAGAGTGCCCTGCCACGATTTCGGGAACGCAATGAAGATCTGTTTCCACGGCTTGAGGGGCTTCTTCGCGAACATGTATTTTTCCAAGAACAGCGTCTGCAGCGTCGCGACATTGGAGCTAGTGATCCAGTAGATCATCAGCGCCGAGGGCATGCCCGACACATACGCAGACAATCCCACATTCAGCGCCAGGAACTGAATGAACGTGCGGATTCCCCGGTAGATGAACTGTTTAGCCAGCTCGGGCTTCGGCAGGTCGGCCAGATCGCGCAGCGGGGGCACTTTCCAGCCGGTGCGGACGTTTAGCAAGATAGACAGGGTCAAGGCCGCGGGGAGGATCCCAGTTGCATCGCCAGCGAGCAAGTCCGGGAACCAGAGGGCGCCCTCTGTGGCGAGGGACGGCTCAACGGCCAGATGGACGGGGGACGAGGTTGTCGAGGATGCCGGCTCCACGAGGGAGAGGAGATACGGGACGAGACCCTTGTCATTTCCGGACATTGCACGGAGGCTTTCCATGATGGAGATCCAGACGGGGATCTGGAGGAAATTAAGACCTTTCCAGTACGGGACAACTTCGAAGCGCTTGTGTAGCTCCTCGCGCTTCTTCTTGATGTTTTTCGCCAGGTCGCGTCGGATATCTGGGGGAAGAATGCTATCTGGCGATTGGGCCTTTTTCCGTAGAAGGTCCTGACTGTAGTATTTGGACCAGGAATTGAGGAGGGGGAGAAGGTCGCGTTCTTTGCGGGCTTGCGCGCGGCTGAACATCTGGAGCGGCATGGCGACGGTCGTACGGACGATCAATGCGGTCAATGGGATGGATAGGGCCCAGGAAAGGCCGCTGACAGAATGTACGCCATGAATGAAGGAGGAGGAGACTTCGAGGACTTCGTTGATGAAGGGAGCTGGGCGGGTTGGGTGGAAATGTCGGATGTGCCGGGGGGTTTTGCGCAGAGGGCGCAAGACGGGGCGGAGGGGGGTCATTGAGATACGATGCAGAGAAAGACAAATATACGGAGGAGCGCAAGACAGAATCGTATAATAAAGTACAGGGGTGAGTGGTGGAGAGTGGTGTAGTTGCGTGGTCTGGAGCAGTGGAAGTAGACGCAAAATAAAGTAGATCACCAGATGGTCAGGTGACTGCTTACGATACGGGCCGATACCTTATCGATATGGCGACAGACGACAATCCTCCTCCTTCATGCCTCCGTCTTCATCTTGCATTCCCCCTTTACCATGCGATAGTCACTCGCCCACCATGATGTTATTTCTCTTGAAGGCCCTCATCTCCGTACTCGCCCTCCTCGCCGCCTGTGTGGTGCTCCCGCAGCTTCCCTTGGCCGTGCTGCGCATTGTCCTCCGCGGCGTCGGATGGATCATCCAGCGGAGGACGCGCTCACGGAGAGAGTACATCCTCTCGCGGGTACGGGCTGACGAGGAGGAGTTCCAGTCCAAACGATCCAAACCGTCCCCAGGGGAAGATGAGGATTGGGAGAAAGTCGACACCTCCAGCTCCAGCTCCGGGCCAGCTGGCAATAACAGCTCCTCGGGAAATGATGACTGGGAGGGCATTATCGGATTCTTCCACCCCTTCTGGTATGTTGTTGCACTTACGGGATCCATCATAACCACTACTTCGTTAGAAACTGACCAAATTGCAGCAACGCTGGCGGAGGCGGAGAACGTGTCCTCTGGGAAGCCGTCCGCGCAACACAGAAGCGGTGGCCCAAGGCCATCTGCGCCATCTATACTGGCGACCATGAGGTCAGCAAAGCCGCCATGCTGGAGAGAGTGCAGGTAAGCTGTCGCCGACGTATGTGCAAATCAACAACTCTGACTCCCGCAGACCCGTTTCAACATCCATCTCCACGCACCAACCGTCGTTTTGATCTACCTCTCCACCCGGAAATACGTCCTGAGCAGCATGTACCCCTACATGACGCTGCTAGGCCAATCGTTGGGCTCGCTGGTCGTCGCCTACGATGCCTTCACCCTGCTCGTGCCGGACATCTTCATCGATACCATGGGGTACGCCTTCGCCCTCGGCTTCTGCAAGTTGTTATTCCCCGCCGTGCCTACCGGCGCCTACGTCCACTACCCCACCATCTCCACGGACATGCTGCAGTCGCTCGACGACAGCACTGGTATCCAGGGCGTCAACGCCGGCGCCGGGAAGGGGCTGCGGGGGCAGATCAAACGACGCTACTGGCTGCTCTTTGCGCGCCTCTACGGCTGGGTGGGCGGCCACGTCGACGTGGTCATGTGCAACTCGTCGTGGACGGCCGCGCACATCCGCACCATCTGGGGGCCGGCTCGCCGCGCGCAGCCCAACCGCGACCCAACAGTCGTGTTCCCGCCCACCGCAGTCTCGGAACTCGAATCGTCCATCCGCGTCGACGCTGACTCCGAGAAAACCACCCGCCAACCCATCATCCTGTACATCGCGCAGTTCCGCCCGGAAAAGAACCACCCGCTACTCCTGCGCGCCTTTGCGCGTTTCCTCCATGAGCGCCGCCGCCCCGATCCTTCCTCCCACGCCTCCGACCCGCAGCTCGTCCTGATCGGCTCCGTCCGCCACGCCAGCCCCGACGAAACCCACATCTACAACCTGCGCCTGCTGGCGCACGAGCTCCGCATCCGCGACCACACCACCTTCCTCTGCGACGCCAGCTGGCCCGCCATTCTCGACCATCTGGCCCGTGCCTCCATCGGCGTCAACGCCATGTGGAACGAGCACTTTGGCATCTGCGTGGTCGAGTACCAGGCCGCTGGGCTGATCAGCGTGGTGCACGACTCGGGCGGTCCGCGCGAGGACATCGTTGTGGATCTCGGCGACGGGGCGACGGGGTTCCGCGCCTCCACGGAGGAGGAGTTTGCGGCCGCGTTCGAGGCCGCGCTGGCGCTCCCTGAGGAAGAGAAGGTGGCGATGCGGTTGCGGGCCAGGACGTCGGCGCTGCGCTTCACCGAGGAGGAGTTTGCTGTCAAGTGGCTGGGGGAAGTGGGGAAGCTGGTGCGTATGAACATGTCGTGATTCAGTAGATACCATAGATGTTATTTGTTCTATAGGTTAGACCTTCTATACGACTATCTTGGACTGTCATGTACAGCATGGGTCGGATTTGGACACAACTATCAGCGCTGCGTTCCGTATTAGCGAAGGGCTCGAATGCCCACACTCGGAGAGGGAACTACTTGTATGCTACGTCCTTGAGGCCAGCCTCGGATATTGCAATGCAATATGAAGACGGCACAATACCACTTATACTAAGCATTGGTATCTGTTCAGTCCCACTCCAGATTATATCTAGAAGATGCATTGCCGCCAGTCAATTTTGTTCGCAAAAGTGCGCTTGCTAGTCATTTCATCTAGTCCTGCGATGTAAGGGACTCGAGTAATACTCTGGTGCTGACACACCAAAACCACTATATACTAGCTATCAATGTCGTTCGTCAACTCCCCGCAATAGGCCTCTCAGAGGGCATATATGAGAGCAGGTCTTTCGCATATGACGCCGCAGCCAGAGCAGCGAAAGCCTCCCACTGATCGTTCTGGTGCGAATCGGCGTAATTGCTGATACCTCGGATGACGACCCCCGGAAAGCCCTGCAACAATCCGGCGGCCTCCATGTCGACGCATAATGCCCCCGTTTTCTGACGCAGCGCCTCTCTAAGCTGCCCGCTATCCATGATGACATCTCCCGAAGCAATGATTCCGTAGTGTGCCTTAGGAGTTGGACCCCGACGTTCAGCACGTTGCACTTCCCATTCGGCCGGGCATCCTGTACAGTCCCTTGCGTATGTTGGGTGCTCGTGTTCGATTTTGAACAAGGAATCGTGAGCAGGTCGGGCGAAGGTCCTCTGCACACGGCCCGTACCCTGGGTCGTGGTTCGAATGACCTCAAGGTATCTGGGGTCCTTAGTGAGCGCCAGCCCTTTCATCATGTCCACGGCTGACAACATTGTTCGAGGAGGGATATTCAATGGTCCGCCGAAGCACCGAATCTGACCCCCACTGCCCACACTAAAGTGACGGACGCCACCGCAGTTGCCGTCGGGGTAGCTGACCACAATATCACCCAGGCGGATATCATTCCATTGAGACGGTATTCCACCCCCTACACCAACCAACATAGCCATCCGAATCCTATAATAAGACTGGAACAGGTGATGAACAGCCGCAGCAACAGCAGCAGTCCCACGCTGGGAAGAGGGCATGCAGGTGATTACAATATAGTGTTTGCCCATTCGACCCAAGTGGTAGGTATTTGAGTCTGCTGCATGTTGCTGCTCAGGGTGACCGTAGCTTTCGTCGAGCATTGCTCTGGCGGCGGCATACTCGATGGGGCGAGAACAAATCCAACCAACCTGGCTGGTGATTTGTGCTGCCATGGCGATGCGTCGACCGTAGCGTAAGGAATAAACAGGTCTTGGACAAGAGCCGCGATAAAGATGCGATGAGCCTGACTGGACGTAGTCTGAGCGAGAGAAGATGGTGAGGGAGAATAGAAGGGAGAGATCTCGCTTGCCGATGGGGACGTATTTATATCATCAAAACCGCAGTTGCAAGGCGGATGCACTTAGAATGCCCTGCCGGCCAGGCCAGCGTGGAAGCCGCGAACGGGACCTAGAAGGTGAGCACTGCAGAGGAAGCGAGCACCTTGCTCACCATTGTGAAAGACCATGTCAAGAGGGAAAAAACATGCACCGAAACAACGCAGTTGGAGAATATGAGTACAAAGTCATCGACGCAAAGTCTATTGGTAACCATTAAATCATTCAATTGAGAAAAAGCAAGACCGACTGCATCTCAAGCATCAGACGATCCCGCAGAAACAGAGGGAGTTCTCCTCCGGGGTATGAAGGCTCATCGTAGACACGTAACAACAATGGTCCGCAGTCCTCGCGGACCAGGGGAATCGAATCGAATCAGAGCAACGCGGTGCAGCAGAAAGCAAACCAGACCTTTCCAAAACGGCGAACAGGTACAAAACACCATACCAGTGTGAACGAATGTCAAGCCTCTCCGGGATGAATTCCCGACATGTATGTCCAACGCCAAAAATACTCTATTAAGCAAGCGAACCAAAATTCCCGACAAGGGCCGGAGATCCCCTTCCCAGACAAAAGGCAGCAAAGGTCACCCCAGATGGGGGAGTGAACGAGTGAAAGAATAGAAAGCAAAGCTCATCCCAACATCTGTCCTTGGTTATTGACCCCGTAGAGGTTGTCTTGGGGGCTAGGATAGCCCCCGCTCAGCCCCGAGACACTGCTGAGCGCGGAATCATCATCGTCGAACCCGAATTCGCCGCCAGAACTGGCGTCAAAACTGCTCCGGCCGCCCATGTCACTAGGGTCATCGGCCGTCGCTGGGATCTGATCCCACTGGAGGGTCTGAAGGGCAGGATATTGCGCCAACAAGGCGGCGGGGAGAACAAAACTACCCGCATGCTGGCCGTCCATGTTGGGAACCATGAGCGGGGGTGGGATCGGCTGCAAGTGCTGTTGCTGTTGCTGATCCATCAACGTGCGTTCGCGCTCTTGCGACTCTTCATCAAGTAACGGCTTGATGCAGATCCGACCAGCTTCGGACCGGAAGTGGCGCCCCAAGGCATCGGCGCGAGCAAAGCGGCGACCGCAGCCCCACTGTCCACCCCGCGCGAGGTCGCCGCGGCAGACAAACTTCTTCTCGCCCGAATGGAGACCCTCGTGGCGTTTCCGGTCGTGCTGGCGGGCAAAGGCCTTCCCGCACACCGTACAGACGAATGGCCGTTCGTCCGTGTGCGTCCGCAGGTGCGACCGCAGGTTGTAGGCCCGCGTGAAGCGCTTGGGACAGAGATGGCATTGGAAGGTGGCTGGATGTTTCTGCACGCGCTTGGAATCATTGGGATTCGCTCCTGGGCGGCCCGGATCGGCAAGTCCCAGAATGTAGTTGCGACTATCGATCGACGAAGTCGACAGGCGACGATTGGACCGCGAGGGCGAGGGCTCCCGCGAGCTCGGGTTGCTGTGCGGCTGTCGGCCCATGCTGTCGAAGGGGGACAGCGACCGAGGAGATGAAGGTGCCAGCGGCTCCAAACTGCTCGAGGTGGAAGCTGGCGTGCGCGAGCGTGAGGCAGGATGGGCGTAAGGGTCGGACTTGCTACGCACACGGGAGCCTGGGAGGAACATTAGCACCAGGGGATGTTAAAATGCAGGAAAGTGTACGCACGCATGGGAGGGGGGCTGAGAGAGTCCAAATCAGCTGTGGGTTTGGTTTGCGGATAGTTCAGGTCTCGGGCTGGAGGAGCAAATTCCACATTGATGGAGGGCGGTGCCATCTGAGAGGCTTGTCCAATATCTCCAGCCATGGCATTCGGCGCAGTCACATTGAGGCCTTCGGCACCCGTGCCGTACATATCGTTCGTTGGAGGAGTGGGATACTGGTTCGTCGCCGGGGCGGACACATAAGGCATATTTGGAACCATCTCCCCTCCTTGTTGCGGCATGAGCTGCGGGGAGATGTACGGGCTGTGGGCCGGGCTTAGCCCTTGCTGGTGCGGATCCGAGAGCGTGAAGGACTCGATCCCCAGCGCATTATCGAACAAGGTAGGGTCATTCTGCGGGGCCAGGAGCGGAGAGGGATTGTTATCGACACCATCAAAGGACTCGTGTTGCGACAGGTAGGGGGAATGGGCGGCGGAGGACACCTCGGAGACTTCGGAGGGCGCACGTCGATGGCCTTGGAAGGCGGCATTGTTCATGACAGCCTGCCAGTCGGGGGTGTTTCCCGTCATATAAGCGGCCGTGGCGGGGTCCAAGGAAGTATGGCGGGAGTGTTGCGGGGTGTAGTAGGTCCCTGGAGTTGAGCTGGGCGGGGACATCGGACTCGGCGAATGCTGCTGGTCTTGCGGCGAGGCCCCTGAATGCGGGGACGGGATTTGACTGACGAGGTCGGCCGGGTTGACGGCGTGATTGAGCTGGTGGGACTGCGCATGCATCTGGGGGTCGAGCATCAAGGACGAATCGTAATCCGGGGAGGCGACACTGTTGGGGGAGTGGTTCTGATAAACGAAGTCAAAGTCGGACGGATTCGAGTTCAACAGGGTGGAGAAGTTTTCCTCGGAGGGCTGTTGTTGCTGTTGGTGGTGATGGTGATGGTGCTGTTGGTGCTGCGCCGCCATGCCGGCGGACTGGTCGACCAGACTGGGGTCGAAGGAGAGCGATTGGGAATAGGACTGATCGGGCGGGGCGAAGGTTTGCGCCCCGGGGGGCGCGGAGAGATAGGCGGAGTGGTAGGTATAGGAATCGGCTCCGGAGGTCGGATTCGCGTAAGAGGGATCGAGAGTCAAGGAGGACGAGGGGTTTGGCTGTGGCTGTTGCGGTTGCAGATGAGGGCTCACGCCGTGGTTTTTAGAAGCTGGATCCGAGTCCCGGAGCGCGTCCTGGGATTCCATGGCGAAGAATGGGGATGGTAACCCAGAATAGAACCCACGCGCAAGCAAGGCTTAGTCGGAAGGAAGAAGAAGGACGATCGAGAGGCGATCCAGGACCAAGGATTGTGGAGAGGGAGATAGCGCAGACGAGGGAGAGAGAGAGGGAGAGGGGCGGTGTCGGCGATTGTTGGACCGATGAATGGTCAATGAGCGACCCGAGGGGGGGGATCGGGGGATTGGGAGAAGGTCAGATGCGGCGCAGGATCAACGATATAGGAAGAAAGAGAGGAAATCACAGGCAGAATGGAATGAAAGAGGAAACAGTCGAGAAGAGGGAGAAGGAATGCTGACAGGCGGGTGGGTTGTGGTGTAGAAGGAGGAATGAGGGCGAGTGCACCTTGGATTCAGCCTTGCCCAGGGCCTGCACTAGGATGGTAGTACTAGGTAGTTAGTAGGGAGTTTCTGGTTGGGTCCGTTTCTCCACCCAGATGGATTGATAGGGGGCAGAGAAAGGAGTGGAATTGAAGAGGGAGAAAGGAGAGGGAGAGAGAGTAGAGGAGTAGAAGAGGAGAAGAGAAGAAGAGGAACAAAGATGAGGGAAAAGATGACCTCAAGGCATTTCCCAATCCAGCAACTTTGCGCCTTGCGGCCTGATCTACCTACATATTGTACATCTACATCTACATCTGCATTCATTTCTTTCTATATCTCAATATATCCCAACTATTGACACTCTATGGGAGTATTCAATCATTATTCTGAATTCCTATTATCCTTGGTCATATCTTCCTCCGCGCAAGGCAGACTGCGATCGACGTGCTGCGTTGGCATAGATCAAGTCTTCAAGTCTGCCAGTGTCAGACCATTCTCGATTCTTTCTTAAAATAACATACACTCGTCGATGATAAGCCAAACCCCTCATCTTCATGATTACCATCAACCGATGCCTGGACAGAAATAGAAATCCCCTCGACTGAAGAAACCACCAGCCCGCGATTCGGCAGTCGATCACCACTGACGATATGTCGACAATGTACCCTGTTCGCCCGAAACAGACAAGATCGGACCTCGAATTGGATTATGATTGATGCCTAACGAGAGCCGCAGGAATTCGGGGATTTCTGGTGTCATGGTGTCGGGGCAGGAGGCTCAGTTCACAACCCTATTCCGTACAGTATGTACAGTAGTCTACTGGACATTCTCCCAGCCTACTGGACAGCCGACTGCGTCGAGCTGTACCTACTTCAAGAATCAGAGGACAACGTGGAGACGGAACGAGAAGAGACAAGATCATCATCATGGAATGCGACTGTGCGACTCGTCTACGACACTCCCTCCTCACCGACACTTAGGGCACCATGGCCAGACGGAGAACCATCCGATCGAACCAAACGGTCGTCCCACGCAGAACTCATCAGGGATTTCGACGCGATATCGTTGGTGGGACAGCGGCCCCAAGTGGACTCGATAGCTTCTTTCTTGCACAGCCACCCAGCTGAACCGTCGATGGGACGGGGGTTCCATGGTCCCTTGTCCACACGGAGTACAGTCATCTCCACCCATACACCCAGTTTGCACATACTCCGTCCTCATACAGACAAACAAACAGACTAGATACCCCCCAGCGCACTTATACTCGCCCGCACCTGGTCGGTGTTATAATCGACCAGCAGATTATCCTGGCAACTCGACCCCAACCCCGCATTCTTCGTCCACGCCGGCTCCCAGTAGTACACGCCGGCTCCGCCGTCCGTGCCCGCGACCACCTCGCCCAGCCGCCGCAAGAAGGTCGACTGCCCGTCCACGGAGAACGGGATGTCGGCCAGGTCAGCGGGGAACTGGTATTCCGGGTTCGGGCAGGCGACGGGCCAGTTCGTCTCGACAACCAGCACCTTCTTCCCGTACGCGCTCGCCAGGTTGCCCAGGCTGGTCTTCAGCGCGGACAGTGTCGCGTCGGCGTTGTAGAACGGGTAGTACGAGACGCCGATGAGGTCAAAGTCGGCCGAGGTCAACTCCGAGCCGGCCGCCAGCACCGTGTCGTAGAAGTACTTCTGCGCCGCCCAGTCCCAGCCGTTATCGAGGTGGAGGAGGATCTGCGGCGTGGTCGCCAGCGCGCTGTCCTTCACGCCCCAGGCGCCCGAGTGCAGCAGCCGCGCGATGTTGGGGTAGCTGTCCGTCGCGCCCAGCGGCCACAGCAGCCCGTTGCGGATCTCGTTGCCGATCGACACCATCTCCAGCGCGATGTCGTTGGCCGCAAACGTGTCGCACACTTCCTTGGTGTAGTTGTAGACCTGCCACGCGAGCGTGCCGATGTCGTCGGTCGACCAGCCGGCCGGGGTGGTCTGATCATGTCAGTCGGGACCTAACGTGTATGAATCATTGTTGGGAAGGAGCAAACCTGATGACTCGGATCGGCCCACGTATCGCTGTAGTGCAGGTCGAGGTAGACGCTCATGCCGGCGGCCTTGGCCCGTTTCGCCAGCTTAAGATTGTAGTCCAGATCGTACGACCCGTCGCTGGGGTTCACCCACAGACGCTGGCGGATCGAGTTGACCCCGTTATCGGCGAGGATCGACTCGAGCGCCTGCGTCTGGCCGTTCAGGTTCTTGTACGCGATACCGGCATCCTCCTCGATGAGCAGGGAGGAGATGTCGGCGCCGCGGTAGGTGAGGGCGGCGGTGGCCAGCGGAAGAAGGGGGAGAAAGGACAGCAACATGGTGAGTGCGCGTGTGTGTCTGCTGTTTCGAACTTGTCCCAGCGAGGGCATCCGGTTCAGGGTTATATACCCGCTGGTCTTATATAGGTACTACATATAAGTGGATGTCGTAGACGGAGAATTTCCGGTCTGATACTGTTCGGATTGTCCGCATCATTTACCTCGAACATGACAGCGTGGTTTCACACGGAGGAATTGCCCATCAGATGGGGCATTGGTGGAAGAATCTGATACACCGGAACTGCCGATCTGAGACAGCTTGTCTGGGCGTCTCCGTGGCGAACATCATCATCATCCATCCATAACACCGGATGTATAGTAGGTAGAGCGTAGTAGAGATAGATAGATTGGTTGATCCTTGATTCTTGCCAGGTATTGTATAAATCATCCTGCAACCAGCTTCAACATATGGTCATCATCATCGTGTGCTTCCCCATGGATCCAAAGCCTCCATTACGTACAGAACATCGCAGCAACCCGCAATCCAAAGAATATATATAGACGCAAATGCGGGAGGCCGGGCAACGAGAGAACACAACCCAAGGCAGAGACGCCCGGCCCCGTCCAAAATCTCCCAGAAGAAAACACACTCCAAGTATAGACGTGCCACCGATGCGAGTATATGTACAGAAAAACCAGTGTCGGAGAGAACCGCCGACTTGAAATCAGTCACCAGCCGTCGTAGGCTGCTGTATGCCGAAACCCACAAACAAGGAACCCAAAAGAAACCCGGGTAATAAATGATGTACACACAAAAGTCCAAACCCAGAAGAATATAAGTCATAAACAACGTTACTCCGAAATTGGAGACGAATGAGAACCAGGGTGTGCCACCTGGATGCGAGGGAAGGAAGATGGGAGTATTCACAGTGAAGAGGATCAAAACTTTTCAGTTCCTCAGCCATCGGGGCAACCGGCAGAGTGGAGGTGACGGCCAGAGCCGGCTCAGGATGTCGTAGGCTGGTTGCCATGACAGGCTGGCTTTTTAGAAGTGGGTTTTTTGTTTCCAATGACCAGTCCTTCGTCTTCAGAGTCATCTTCAAACTCCTCTTCATCATCGCAATCGTACCGTACCTCGTCGTCCTCCGGATGACGAGGGGGGTGTAACTGTTGCGCTTTGACGGTTTCCCCGGTGCGAAGAATCGCTGGAACCTGGCCAGCGGCGTCACAATCCTTCTCTTTTCCGAGACCTTCCGCCGAGAGTGAGGATGCGCCAGATACAACTGAAGGGATACTCGGATGGGATGTGCTTTGAGACATGCCGCTGGTGTAGTCATCGACCGAAGACGAAGAGATCGTGGCCGCCGACGGAGGGGAAGTCGTCAGCCCTCCCACGTGGGAATCGGCGAACGCGCTTTCGTGCACATGAAATCTGGCATTCGGCTCGCTATCCCTGCGAGGAGCGCCCTCAGTGCCATAGGCAGTAGGTCCCGTGTCATCCCTTCTCGGCCGATGTAGAGCTTCTTTGGAGAGGTGGAAAGGCTCAGCAGGAGTCGTATCCGACAAGTGAGAGCGATTGCGTCGGTGTCCCGAGGCCACCGAGAGCGAGTTCTGCGCGTGCGACGAAGACTCCTCCGAGAGGTAGGTAGAGGAATGCCCCACCACCGAGGCCACCGTGACGGCCAGGCTGGGCTCAGAGTGACTGTCCCCATCTACAGAAGCAGATTCGGAGACCGATCGGTCTGAGCGCCGCTCCCCTGTCTGCAACCCCCTAGCCAGTCGGCGGCTTGCGCCGCCGAACAGCCCACTGACGTTGGTGGTCCCGGACGTTTCAACCCGAGACTTCGGCGCGGACAGACGAGGTTGGGAAGGGGTGATATTAGAGTCCGATGGTTTGACTGTCTTTGCAGACTCCGCGGTCGATAACGTCGACGTGGCGCGGTCAGGAGGGGCGGGTCGTGGGGTCCGCTCATTCAGGGCATCAAGATCAAGTGGCGCATTTTGAAAGTACGAGGTCTGGTCTTCCCTACCGACGGGACTGGCGGTGACACTTTGGGACAGAGGATGTTCACCATCTCTGGTCAGCCGAGAGGGACGGGAGAAATCCTCGTCTCCCCTGAGACTCGCTCGACGGCTGGTGTCCCACAGATACTTGCCAAAAGCATTGCTGCTAGACGTAGACGACGACTCCACCGAGGGACTCGCACTCGGCGTACGTTTCCGGCCATCCTTGTCTTTGGTCTTTCCGGTAAAGTAGGTAGACCACTTCGCCACGTTAGATCGGACTCGTTGGATGAAAGGGACTTTGCTGACAGCCGAAGTGACTTCCTCGTTGGAAACTTCGATCCGCTTGCCCTTGCTCTGGTAGCCGGGATCGGTCTCTTCGATCCAGTCCCGCGGATTGGGCAGTCCGTCCAGCACCCAAGGATGATGCTTGATCTCTTTCACGGTGATACGCTTGATCGGATCCTTCGTCAACAGCCGCTTGAGCAAGTCATACAGTTCATCGTCAATCTCTTCATACACCAGTTCATCTTCTCTCCGCTTTCCGCTGTCGACATAGCGGGGCCATTGGCTGACGGTATCGGGATCATCCTCCACCGGCGCCAAGCGTTTGCGGGGAATGAAGACGTCCTTCTTCACAATCGTCTGGAACATGCTGTATTCGTCATCGGAGACAAACGGCAGGCGCCCAAAGATCATTCCATAGAGGGTGACACCCAGGGACCACACGTCGATCGCCCCTGTGATCCGGGGTGCTGAGCCCAAGCTGTCGACGAAGTCCTCGCCGGTATAACACAGCTCGGGAGCGTAGAAGGCAGGGGTCCCCACGGTCTTGGACAGTTCCCGCGCATCATCAAGTTCGGTCGCATCGGTCTCACCGACCTGCTCTTCGTCTTCATCTCGGATGGGCCGCCCCAGATAGGAGACCCCAAAGTCGGAGATCTTGACGCGATAATTGCTGGTGACGAGCAGATTGGCGGGCTTGATGTCGCGGTGGATGATACCTTGGTAATGAAGATATTCCAGACCTAGCAAAGAGTCCCGAAACGCATTGCGAGCTTCGTTGAAGGTCAGGCACGGAACATAGGCCATGTCGTCATCGTCCGGTAACCATTCGGGCTCGGACGGCGCATAGCCATAGCTGCTCGATGCGGTGCTGAATCGTCGTTCAAATGGATAGTCAACATAGGCGCCATACATACTGCCCTCGATGGCCGCGAGGGCGGAATCGTGCGTCGAGGAGAATGAGTGACTTGGCGATGCTTGGGGTTCCTCCTGGCTTCGCATGGAGCGACTGGGCGTCCGAGATGCGGTCAGTTCGGGGCCCAGGTCGTCGTCCGATTCCGCTCCGTGCTCTAAACTCCAGGCGGGAATCGGACCCTGCTGGGCAAAAGCCGCCTGGGCTTGGCGGCGTTCGCGTGCCTTTTCCCGTTGGCGGCGCAGATGTTGCGCCGTTCGGATATATTGCTGGCTTTCCTCCATAAACGAGGGCGAATCAGCAACGCCGGCCTTTTCCCGCTCCAGCCGACTCTTATCGACGTGCACGATCTCGCGTAAGCCTCGGCGGCGCCAAATGATCTCTCCGTTCTCAATATATTCAAGGACAATGTAGACCTTCTGACGATTGGGGTCGTCGATGACTTCTAGAAGACTGACGACGTTGGGATGTCGCGCCTTCTTCAAGATGGCAACTTCTTTCTTCACTTTGTCTTCTGGGTTCCCTAGCTTCCCGAGACGACGCCGTTTCGAGTATCGTTGCACAATCTTGATGGCGACCTTTTGACGGGTGGCCACATGCCGACCCAATTTCACCTTCCCGTGTTCGCCGCGCCCGAGTTCTTCGAGAATCTCATACTGATTGATGACTTTGTTCCCGGTCACCGTATCTCGATCGACCTCGGCCGTGTGAGTTCTAAACGCGCAGTTAGTGATAGCTCTGGGTAAGAGCGAATTCAGAATCAACAGGGGACGTACTCTTTGGGTGGTTGAAGGTGCGTGGGGTGGAGGAAAGGAGAGCCGGCATGGTTTTCATCATCGGAGGCGAACGGCGTCGAAGAGCGCGGACCGCGGAAGGTGAACAGCCCCGGGCTTGATACGGGGGTGTTGCCGGCCGTGCGAGAGGCGCGCGCCGACCCAATGCGGGAGAGGGACTCGGTCCGGGAGGGGTAGGAACTGCGAGTGCGGAGGTAAGGTGGTTGGTAGGTTGGGTGTACTTGAGATTGGAGGACTGCATAGGATTGGTCGGGGTATACGGGGTAATCGGAAGAAGATTGGGAGTCGGAGTGCCCTAAATGATGCGAAGTTCGCCGGGGGAGAGGGGCGCGGATAAAGGCGTTATCCGACCGGGCGTCGACCACAGTATCCTCGTTGAGGGCCTGGAGCGAGCTCGACGAGGTCCGGGTGGATGGCGACCGCGAGGCGCTGGAGGAATGGTAGAGGTGGGCATAGGGATGTCGTAGGGCGGTTTGGGCATCCGTCAGATCGCCGGGGAGCGGGAGTTTCGCGGTTGGCGGCTTTGTGACGATTGGCTTGGGGTCGAGCTCTGCAACTTCCGCCATGTCGCCGGAGGCCCGCCGGGGCGCACCTTCTGGGAGGTGGCCATTTCGTCCAACGTAGTTGATGGGTTCCTCCGGGCCTGACACCGAGGAAGGCCGATCCGTCATTTTCATCTCTTGAAGTGTCCAAAGCCAACTCGGATCGAGTTGCAACGGAGCATCCTTTGCCGACCCCTCTGTTCTTCTGGTGACAACGCACTCGGTTGGCTGGTCGTGAATGTCTTCCGTCTGAACCTTTTTTTTTTTTCTTTTTTTTCTGGTTGTCTTGGATATACCTTTACTCTAACCTGCGCCGATCGAATCTAGCGTGAGCTGATGACAAGCTCCGAGCGGATGCACGAGTCGGGCAGCATTACTCTCTGCGGACGAGGCGAGGGAGGGTAATGACCGCCATGCAGGTGGCAGCGATGAAGGATAGGAGTATTTCCGACGGCAGCGCGGCGACGACGGGAGGAGATCCGGAGCGATAGACCTGCTACGGCACCAGGAGGCAAACCGAAATTGTCCCAGATGGATGCAAGGGTGGGGAGACGCAGCGTGGTGGACGGGTGGGAATGGCGACAGTCAAGGCGGGAAGGGCTGAGTTCGGATGATTGGGTTTCTCTCCGGCGAGCAGGTGGATCGATCAAAGGAGCGTCTTGAGGAAGGGAGGTCAGGGAGCGCAATGGGGATGCGTGGGAGGTAGAGTATATAGGGGCAGTCGAGTCGGACTGGCGATGAGATGGGCGCGGGCGGGAAATGCCCAAGGAAAGGGAAGTGATATGGATAGCAGAATTAAAATGGTATAACCCGAAAGGGAGAAGAAGAGAAATCTAAAGGAAGGGAGAGGGAGCCTTCCGAAGGGATGACGAGAAAAGAAAAAGGAGGAGAAGAAGAAGAAGACGAAGGAGAAAGGAGAAGGGAAATGGTTGAGACGGGGGAGGGAGGAAAAGAGGAAGAGAAGACGACGAGGGCGAGTATGATGGAGGAGGATTGGGAAGGATGGATGACGATGGTGGTTTTCCCGCCGTATGGGTGGAGGGGAGTCGGTAAAAATCAGTCTGCCCAGGTACTCTTACAAGTACCTTATGTATGGAGGTATGTACACTACCACAGGGAGGTACTGTACTTGTATGTACGTGGAGGAAGAAAAGAAATCAATTCGGTGGAGGCATGCAGGGTCTCATATTAATCTCACCATGCGAATGAGATCTCAACTACTGCCGGTGGGGAGCTCAACTGTTCTAATTCTGCGATGTTCGATACTGTCGTCGTCTCTCCATCTGCCCCGACTGACGGGATTCGGCAGAACCTCCTAGTACCTTACTAGGTACCTAGGTACCTAAGGTAGTCGATACCCAACTATATCCAGAGTAATGGATTATATTACTGAATACAGGGATCTCTACTATTGATTACTACCGGTCTACCTAGAAGTAGGAGGCTACCTAATCTACTCCTACAGAAGTAAGACTGGAGAGTACGGCGTAGATTGTAGGTACTGTAATTTAATGAATTACTCGGTCTGCTCTCCGTATCGACGCCATTCGGCCGACCATCCGGGCGGTGTCCATCAGTCTTGGCTGTGGTTGGGAGTCTAGGCGATCATTCCATTCTTTTTTTAATAATAATTTAAAAAGAAAAAGAAAAAAAAAAAAGTAAAATAAAAAATAAGAATACATAATTAAGAATATATAATTTATTCAGCACTCTCTTTGATCCTTTGTATCCATATACTCTGTACAATATCGAGAGTGGTTGAGTGCATTACGTAGGGACTTTTTTTCCGGGCGTGGGTTGATTGGCCCCGTTGCGACCATCTGTCATGATTATTTGGTTTCTCCGGCATCGCAGTCGCCTCTCCGCCATCGCTCCATGGAGATCTCTCGATAGATAATGACTACCTCCTTTTTGTTATAACTTACTCCGATATAGTAAGATAATTGTAGGGTTACTCGTATATCGTGCATTACCTACATATCTATACCCATGTAGGGATTCAGAGATCAATGACACCTGTCAGTCCTGGCCCCTCTGATCTGGGATCTTGAGGGTTCCGTGGGTCGACAGCATTCTTCCATCATCACATTGGGTGGATGATTTTTACATCCTCTGTACCACACTCGACTTTATTTTTTTTATTTGATTTGATTCTTATCAATTCTGGTCGGGTCCGATTCTCGCCCGGTCTAGCCAGCCTCTCAACCACCCTTTCTTCCAACTGTTCTCCTCCGTACTCTCTAGAAGTATCTGTCGATCGAGTCTCTCCAGAAACACATTTGGATCGACTCGACCGATCTCCTGGACCAATCAGATGTCTTCGGGCAGAGGTCTGTGTTTGACTCTAACGGGTGAATCACCACACGACCCTCTCGCGTCGGAGAAATAATGCTGGGATTGTCATCGCCTTCATACCACGCCAATACGAATGAATCCTTGCAATCATCTATAGTACAGACTACGGACCGACAGCTACAAGTTCCTGACTCGGACTCGGTTTCCGTCTCTAGTCTATGACGAGGAGGTCTCTCCCTACCGAGTACCGTCCCTCCTGCGGTGGAGGCCATTGTCCCCATCCAAGGCTCCTCATGGAATCAAGGCTGTGGGGCCAATCTCTACGGAGTATCTACATGCCTTAGTCTAGTAGCTTCGATATCCCCGTCCCCTGCATTCCAGCCGGTTTCCCGCTGTCTCGACGGCCATTGGAATCCCATCGAATCATCATCCATTTCAAACTCCATCCCGTCGTTACAACGAAGAATCAAACATGCAGCGACCCGTCCCACGAGGCGTGGCGCTGATAGTCTGTCTCCCTTTCCGTGAATCAACTTGGTCTTCAGAGTTCACTCCCGTCCCGGCTTGATTGGCCGCCGCTGGATTCGCACGGACGGGGATATTCCCCAGCCTATGAGTGTGTTCTTACAGCAAAGGGGGCTCGTATGATTCTACTACCTAGGGTCTCGTCCCAGATGAGCAGAAAGAGAGGTACAACTGGAGGGACATGTCCCAAGAATGTCCCAAGAACATCTGTCTCCCCGTACTCTGCTGTACTCTGTATAACCGAGACCCGACGCGGTTGAGGGGGCGCTCAGACCAGGGTGACAAGGGCGGCTTCCAATCAGCTCTTCATCTCACCACGGGCCCATGGCTCTAGAGACTGGCATGCATACGATGCATACGCTCACTCCTGTCCGCAAAAGGTTGGTCTGGGGACCCAGCGTCTTGGCCCCTCCGCCTGCTACGTCATTCAAGCCCAAGAGAGCTGATCGTTCTTGCATCGTCCCAAGTACTGACAGTGGTCTCAACACGTTGGCATGAATCATAGCAACTCATTCACAATACCCTCGTCTGTGGTTCCGGTGTTCGGATCCTGCAGTGAGGCGTCGCGGCATGCAGTGTGCGTGAATTTCATCAACTCTTATCTGAACCGCGGCAGGAACCCCCGTTGTGGTCAATCAATCTCCGGGTAAATGCTGCTGTCGGGAGGAAGCTGTCCGGGGCAGACTCTCTGGTCTACTCCGTGTACAGACTACACCCGCCGACGTTGACAGTCCTAGGCTGTAGTCCCCGACCCCAGTCTCAACACGGCATCTTCCACGTCAATCCGTCCTAGCCTACGAGATGATTGGAGCCATGGGCAGACGACCGCGGCAGACGACGCACAGGACAACTGCACGACCCGCTTTGTTCTGACCTCCGAAGACAATCATGTCAGTTTCATGTTCGTACGAACCAGGGTACCTAGGTACCCTATGTCCAGCGAACGTTACATCTTGAGGGGCGCAGGGATCGAATCGTGATACCATCCCAATACGTCTAGTAATTAATCGCCAAATCGAGGATCTTGCAGCCTGCCTAGGGCCGCGGAGGTTATCCTTATTGGCTTCTGGCTGAGAAACCAAGCTTTCTGGAGTGGCCGTGCGGTCGGTCGTGAAGTGTCGACGGTTCTCCTGAATCTTTCCAAGACATGCCTCTGACCCGTTACCAGACTGGGTTGGTACATTCCTCTAGTTACAGAATGTACTCGCTAGTCCTGGAGTCCGTGCCAAGTAGTTCTCTACTCCAGATAGTGCGTCATAGCATGCGATCTCAGTTGGCTCCACGCTCCACAGACGCTCGGTTCAACGCCTTCCGTCCCTCCTATTTCCGATGGAGGCGATTGGAGCATCCGCTGCACCAACTGCTGCTCTGCGTCGTTCATGATTCAAACCACACCACCCTGCTGACGAACCGACTGTCTTCCCTGCGTCGGATCTCCTTGTCCTCCAATCCGGTCAGATCCAGCCGACCCCCTGCGTCTGGTCAGCGTGCTCCCCAGCAACCTGCGCCCCAATCAGATGAGTCCAGGATACGAGTTCCGCCCCGGTCCTGTTGCTTGGGGGGTGAAATCCTGGCGTTATGAGAGGTGCACGCAACTCTATACCAGCCCCCAATATGAATGCTCACCTGGGTCCAAGCGCACGCAGCTCGATTCGCGGGGGACCAGGGAGGCGCAATGCTCCCGGTGAGTTCGCCCGCGGACATTCTGACAAACAAGTTCTCTGTGTCTGCGACCAGTCGCCTCCTGCATCCAACAGATGCAGTGCAAGGAGGGGGCCGTCGATGGCTGTGATACGCTGTTGGCCCCGGCGGCAAACCGGTTGTTCCCGAGCGCGTCTCTCCATCCTTGCACGAGAAGATATAGGAGGGTGTACGGCGTACATCCGAAGACTGTAGCTTCCTGCACAGTAACTACTTTATGCTACTTTATGTCGACCTGATGGCGACACCCACCTCTTCGTCCCTACCCCACTGGCAGGTTTCGAACCGGGTTGTTGTCCTGATCGCACTTCACACCCTGCGCGATGGATCAGAAGACCGGTCAGTATGACAGGAACGTCGGGACACAAGCCGAGAAGCAGATCCCGGGCATGACACCCAGATAGACGAGGACATCAGGCCGACCGTGGTGTCACCTAGTCCGCTATAGTAGTCATCTTATGGACGATGGGCTGATTGCCAGATCCCGTCCATACGAGGCATGAGGAACCTAGAGATCGGTTCGACCTTGGTTTCCCTTCTGGGAAGTCTGCCGAACGCTGGCGCCCAACGCCCTCGTGGTGATTCAGGCTGTTGTTGGTAGTCGAGGTGGTGGTGATATTTCCCTCGATATTGCTGCCGGTCACCGAATCTGGTAGGATTTTGTGCATGTGAAAGCGATTATGAAGACCAGGGCGGATTGCGGGAGAGACATCCGTGATCGCCGTGAGGTCTTTACCAGGAGCTCCTTTGGATAGTTGTACTCCGTATACCCGATCACATCAACACCTCCGACACTAGGTACCTCCTTTTACCGGACGTTACCTAGTACAGAGTATTCATTCCTTCGTCCCTTGTACTCGTGCGAATCTCTCTCTACTAGACTGGATCAGGGCGGTGATCTGTCTCAGAGGCTCCACTTGACCACGATAAACTTATCGCGTCTCATGCGAGGAATGTGTCAAGATCGATCGGAATTCTTCTCCTGCGCAGCATCTCGCACAGACACAGTCTCTTCACAAGCATCATCCACGCGTCCACAATGCATGCTATCGTGACATACGGAGTACTATCGTGACATCCGAGCCATGGATGCGTCGTCTGTCCGGTTCAGTTGCCAGCGCAACCGCCCGTGTTTACGCCAGCAGTGGTGCAGTCCATCCACTCCCGCAGCGAATCACCATGCCAAGTTGCCTTTGTGTTGCACTGCCCAGATCGCAGGTCGCACTGGGCACCATGATACCGTTAATTAAATCCATCATTGCGTGCCTATCGCCCCAGATCTAGATCCGCTGTCGATCGGTGGTGGTTGGGAATGTTGCCGCACTGTTTACCCTCCGATAGACGTTGTTGCTGCCCCTCATTGTTGCCCCTCCGCTGTTGACTCTTCGACGGTGCCATTTACTACTCCTACTCTTCAAGGACATCGCAATCAGAAGGACAGTGTATCATCTCGCGATTGTGCTCTTTCAACCGCGCCTGATCAGCTTCATGTGGCCAGCGCTCTCCACCGGCCGCTACTTCCCAGTATCGCGGTGACGAGCTAAAGTCGACGATCGATCTAATCGATCTAGATGCGTCACACCTCTCCTTGCCCTGTCCCTGTTCTCGTATTCGACCTCTCTCATAGTCCCGACTCTCTCCATGGATGGTCGTCTACACCGGACCCCCAGAATGTTCGGAGCCGTCGGCGTCCACCTCGCGTCGACGCTCGTCGCCGTCCTGTGTCTACTCAGCCCTGTCCTCGCTTCAATCCCATACTCTTCGTCCCACCTTCTATATTCCCTCCAGAACGATAGCTCTACGGCGTATCTCCTGCGACCAAGCGATTCCCGGCCCGGGGCGGTCGAGTTCCTGTCTATGAACATCTCAGGAAGCCTGGACCCCAATGATCCGGAATATACGCTGTTACTTGACGAGACGCCGTTTCGATTCAACGATCAGACATCCGCTTTCGTCCCTGTCACGGATTCACATGGTCTTCTCAAGGTGTACGCGGGGGACTGTCACAGCGCCGGGGGCGAGCTATGGCAGTTCACGCCGGACACCAGCAGCTCCATCGGCAACGGGACGTGGGAGAAGTTCAACACTGACGCCACCGATAGCGCCGTCGATGGCCCCAATTTTCTCTCCGCTGGATTTGCCTACGCCTCGTCCAACACGACTAACAGTTCTGTCTTCGCCTTCGGTGGGATGTGTCCCAATACCAGCGCCGGAGGGTCGACCTGGATGGCTGCGGCCAACTACTCTCAATCCATGATAGTCCTCGAACCTCCTACAACGTCCAACGAGTCATCATATCAGGTGTCTACCACCGGCGGTCGTGCTCCGCCCATCCCAGAAGCCGGTTTTGCCGTCGTGCCCCTGGATGCGACATATGCCCGTACTTCCAGTGGGGAAGTACTCCAACAGCAGGATTTCCTCTTGATTGGTGGCCACACCCGAACCGCATTCCTCAATATGTCACAGCTGGCGATATTTTCCCTCCCACAGAATAGCTGGAGCATCGTCTCTGCGAGATCCACTCAGGAAATAGGAAGCACGGAGCTTGCCGTGCGAGAGACCTCTACCATCATCGAACCAAGGTCTGGACACACGGCTGTCCTGTCTCCTGACGGGAGCAGTGTGGTTGTGTTTGGGGGCTGGGTAGGGAATACATCGGTTCCTGCTCATCCTCAGCTGGCCATCTTGGACCTGGGGGCGGAATACGCGGGTTACGGGGAGTGGTCCTGGAGAGTGCCATCGATGGAGGACTCCGGGATGGCAGAAGGGACCGGGATCTATGGACACGGCGCGACAATGCTCCCCGGTGGAGTGATGATGATTTCAGGTGGTTACCATATGTCAGGATCTTCCAAACGGTCTACTGTTGGACCCCAATCCAACGCACAGGTGTACTTGTACAATGTCACCTCTGGAAGCTGGGCATCATCATATACTAATCCCAAGGCCGTCTCCCCCCAAGAGGCTGCCCCCAAAGCATCGTCCAGCTCCTCTACCGCGCGAAAGGCAGGACTCGGGGCCGGACTTGGATTGGGTATCCCTGTTGTTGCTGGCACGGCATTTTTCATCTGGTACTTCTTCCGGCGACATCGAGTGCGTCGGGCACGACATAAGGAGCTTCGCAAACTGGCCCTTAGCGCGGAGCGAGATCATTTCTGGACTCAGGACGAACCCTTCATGGCCAGCAGTATCCGCAGGCCTCAGATGGCCGAAGCTGGCACCAACAGCGATTACCCATGGAACAACAACAATCGAGGATACCGACAAGTGCCACCCAATTGGCGGGAGGCGGGTGACTCGATGGCTGAGAGAACGCGTCTGTTGATGGATGTCCCAAGTCCGACGAAACGCAGTCGCCCGAATATTACGCCAAGGTTGTACCGCCCGCCAGGGCCATTCCACGAATACAGACGGAGTGATGCGACAGGGGATATCCATCCGATTGACGAACGCGAAGAGGATGAAGCCCAGGACGCAGGGATGGAGGTGCAAGATATGAACGACCCCTTTAGAGACTCGGCAGCGTTCTCTGTGCGAGACACCTACATCGGTGGTGACCGGTACTCTACTGCAGCTGGTGTCGCATCAATATTCGCTACCGGCCTTGGGATCGGTGGCGATAGTCATTCGTCTCCCGAACAAGACGCTAGGACGTCCTCCAACCTCTCCGACTCGTCCTCGTCATCCCAATCCGCCCATCAATCCCGGGGTGTCCTAATCCAACCCGCGAGTCTGCCTAGTAGCGGCCGGGAGTCGCCTGAAAAAGGGAGCTCCGCGTCGGCCCATAGCAAGGAGACGCGGAACAGACCCGACAGCGCCACGTTCCCCCAGGAGAAACGATACTCGTCCGACTCGTACTCTACCGCGCATACAACCCTCTCCCAGCGACAAGTGGAAGGTGATCCTCTCCTCGGTGACGGGCCGGGACTGTCACCCACTCCGTTGGAAGTCTTCTCGCGGCCTCTCACATTACCCAGGCCACGGGCCTCGGAGTGGATAGGAAGCGTCCGTCGCGTGCTCTCGGTAACTCGACGACGTCCTCCAACCGATCCAAGCGCCGGTGCAGCCGTGGCCTCGGGAATCGACCGTCGGAGCACTGTCCTCGGGGCGCCCAAGGGATCATCGTCGGGATCCGACCATAGTGCCTCGCATCTCCCTCGCCGGTCCGTCAGCGCATCGGCGGAGCTCTTCCGGCGGAAGCAAGGCGCGAAGGACTGGGGCGCGGAGAATCGCCTCTCGCGCGAGACCGGCTCATCGGCGACACCACCGTCCCTCACACAGGATGATTCCGCCTTGGATGGACTGTTCGTCTTAGATGATGATGACTGGGATGTGGAGGGCGCAGCGGAGGGTCGACGGGTGCAGATGACGTTCACGGTGCCGAAGGAGAAGTTACGGGTCGTCAATGCAACGGCAGGGGATATGGACGGGATGTCGGAGAAGTCTGTCAGTCGGAGCAACAGTGATGCACGGAATGAAGTATGATATGATTTATTTTGTTGGTTTAGGTTACTTTTCCAGCGTGTCTTTTGGGAAGGCTGTTTTGAGTGTATGATACTCCGTTCGTTTTGGTCAGGGCTGATATCCTGATATCCCTGCCGCTAGGCAGTTCTCGGTTGTGTTAGTATAAATGAATGAATGAGACCAGCATATGATATCAGGATAGTATGTACTAGTATATATAAAAATAGAGCGGAATTTCAATGACATTGATATAATGCTATGACAGGAACCACTTTTCCAACGAGACAGACGTGAAAATCATCAACAGCATAACTCTAGCGATCATAAGTCTACCGAAACGGAAAGGCAACCGACAGCTCAGGCATTGCCGCCGTTGGTGATGGAGCCGATGGTCGGACGGGTGGGGAGGGTCTTGGGCAAGGGCGGGAGGAGGGTCTTTGCGCTCTCACGGGCGTACTGGGCCATGAGGGCGTCCATGATGACGAGGGCGGACATGGACTCGACGATGGGGACGGCGCGGGGAACGACGCAGGGGTCGTGGCGACCCTTAGCCTCGAGGACGCCCTCCTCGAAGGCGTAGGTGGAGGTGGTCTGGGCCTGGCCGATGGTGGCGGGGGGCTTGAAGGCGACGCGGAAGTAGATGCTGGCGCCGTTGGAGATGCCGCCCTGGATGCCGCCGGAGTTGTTGGTCTTGGTGGTCAGACGGGTGGTGGAGGTGGCGCCGGCGGCGCCGTTGCGGACCTCGACGTTGGCCGGGACGAAGGGGTCGTTGTGGATGGAGCCGGGGACCTCGCAGCCGCCGAAGCCGGAGCCGATCTCGAAGCCCTTCGTGGCGGGGATGCTGAGCATGGCGTGGGCGATCTTGGCCTCGAGCTTGTCAGAAGCAGGGCTCGCCCAGGCCGATGGGCACGTTGCGGATGACGCA